GAACCCAAATCCGCACTTCGCTACACGCCTGCCACAAACGATGGCGAAAAGCTCACCCACAATCTTTGTGGATACGGAGACGAACAGCATAAAGCATCTCATATCACATCACACGCGCGACGCCGCAAGAACCGCTCACTATCAATCACACCGCTGACAATAGCGACGTAAACAACATACATTACGCGGGGCGACGCAAGAACCGACCTTACACACACATATCACACACGACGTCGGCTTAGGGACGCCTTTGCCTCAAACACACACATCACACAGTGCGTTAACACTATCAATTGAACAAGTGCGTCAACACTTTAAAATGAACATGAACTTTCCCTTTCTTCACATATCCCTTGTAGTTCACCTCTTATTTATTCGGCGCCCTCCTCAGGATCTGAGGGAGGTGTCGGGGATATCTCATCTTCACTTGTATTTCATATTATATCTCTTTACTTCTACTTGATCCGAGACCCGGGCTGGCCACCCGAGCTCTCGGTGATACATTACATAAGGCGCCAAGCCTCACTGAAGCCACGCAAGCCCCACTGGCAGCCCAAATATAAAGCTGTCAGTCAAGCGCCCGCTGGGAAGAGCTTCTTACTTTTTTCTTCACTACAATACACTGCTCTCATCCCTCTCAGAAGGGCCCAATATCGTCTACGTTTCCTCTGACATTACAGGTAGCAATCAGGGCCTGGTCATTCCAGGAGACATCGCATTGCAGCTGGCGGAACTCGGCGACGTACTCGGTAGCTGCACGGGTTTGGCGAAGGTTCTGGAGCTTGTTTTCAGAGGTGCGGACCCTGTCGCTGTCTCCGAAGACCGATTGCATCTGACTGATAAAACTATCAAAGTCCTGAAGGCTGTGATCTTGGCGTTCGACTAGGGGCGCCATCCAGGCTTGCGCAGTGCCGGTGAGGTAGGTGCCAATCGTTTGGATCTTGATGATGTTGCTGGGGTAGCGGTCGGGCTGGAGAGCAAACATCAACCGGATGTTGTTCAACCACCCACGGAATTTGTTTTTTTTTTGCTGCGGGTACCATCAAACTTCTCAGGCGCGCTGATTCTTGGCTCCAGAGCTCCGGGAGCAGGGTTGGTGACTTGAGGACGGGTGTACGCATCGGCTTGGACCTGGGCAGCAATGTTCTGGGCAGCTTGTGCGTCGGCTTGGGCTTGCGCTAGGTTGGCCTGCAAGTTGGCGTTTTGGCTTTGCCAGGCGGCGATGGCTTGGCACATATCGTTCCATTGCTCGGCGGTGAAAGGTACGGATTCGGATTGGGACATGGCGAAAAGGTGTGGCAGATGCAGGGCAGGACGGGTTCTGAACTTCGCAGCGTTGGAGCAGATCAAACTGTTACGATCTCGACGACTGAGGCGGAAGCGAAGTAGAGAAGACAGGGCGAGTGTGATAGGCGACCAGAGGTTGTATTGGCGAAACAAGAAACAAGGACTAGAACAGGAGATGAGAAGAACTGGTGTTGATCTGCTGGGGAGGAAGGGAATGGACGAAGAGAGGCCGGCTATTTATAGATAGGCAACCCAGCAGATCAGAGAACAACAACAACAAGAGGGGACTGGGGGGGCGCCAGCTATGCTCCTAGAGCGTGCGTGGCGAGCGTAGAGAGCATTGCTACAGCTGCTGGCAATGGGGAAGTAGTGGGGGGTGTGGAGAAGCCGAGGGGGGATTGGCGAAATGAGAGGAGAGAGGAGGAGTGGCGATATTGCGGGAGGATTGGCAAAATGAGAGGAGAGAGGGGGAGTGGCATTGACATTGACATTGACACTGACATTGACACTGACATTGACATTGACATTGGCGTTTGACATTGGCGGCTGTCAGTAGGTAAGCTTATGGTATGGGCGCGTCGTCCATAACAGAATCGTCCCGATCGCTCGGAACGCCCCGGAGAGGTGGTACAGTCACAGAAAGAAGAGCCGCCCAGGTTCAAGCCGCCCATTCATAACAGCCGCCCAGGTTCAAGCCGATACGTACACCCGTCCCCAAGTCGCCATCCCTGCTCTGGAGCCAAGAATCAGCTCGCCCAAGAAGTTTGATGGTACCCGCAGCAAATTCCGTGGGTGGTTGAACAACATCCGGTTGATGTTTGCTCTCCAGCCCGACCGCTACCCCAGCGACATCATCAAGATCCAAACTATTGGCACCTACCTCACCGGCACTGCGCAAGCCTGGATGGCGCCCCTAGTCGAACGCCAAGATCACAGCCTTCAGGACTTTGATAGTTTTATCAGTCAGATGCAATCGGTCTTCGGAGACAGCGACAGGGTCCGCACCTCTGAAAACAAGCTCCAGAACCTTCGCCAAACCCGTGCAGCAACCAAGTACGTTGCTGAGTTCCGCCAGCTACAATGCGATGTCTCCTGGAACGACCAGGCCCTGATTGCTACCTTCCGCCGTGGCCTCAAAGAAGACGTCAAAGACCTGATGCTCACAATGCCCCCTGCGGCCACCATTGATGTGGTGATGGAGCAGGCTATCCAGTGCGATAACCGGCTGTTTGAGCGCCGCCTGGAGCGAAACAGAAGCCGCCAGACCTTCCCGGTTCCCCATACCTCGTTTACTACTACCACCACTGTCGACCACAGCGAGCCTATGCAGATTGACGCCGCTCGTCCCTGCGGCCCTCTGAGCCCTCAGGAACGCCAACGCCGCATTTCCAACAACCTCTGCCTTTACTGCGGTGGCGCGGGGCACATTGCAAAAGTCTGCCCCGTCAAGAACAAGACCACCACCCGTGCCGCCAACGTCGACATCAAAGAACCCTCCACCGAACAGGGTTTTCCCAAAGTCCAGCCGCAGTAAAGCCCCAGCGACTGGACAACACACACCGCCCCGGGCCTCCTAACCTTGCAGCTCCTGCAACGGGAGAGGCCACCCCCCTGGTTCCCGACTCCGTTATAGCCGACACAACCCTCCTAGCCGCTGCCCATGTCGAAAACTCCGAAATTAACCCCCGCGCCATGCTTGCGCTGGGTCCTGTCAAACCCTTTAACTACCCCGTTACCATCATGGTATCATCCAGCCGCGCCCCGATACCTACCTCAGCCATGATCGACAACGGTGCCCTGTCCTGCTTCATCGACAGAGACTTTGCCCGCAAACACCGCATCGCCCTAGTCCCGCATCAGCGTCCACTGACAATCAAACTCGTTGACGGTCAACCCAGCTCTGCTGGGCCAATCACCCATCACACCCAACCAGTAGGCATGTGGGTCGACGACCACTTCAAAGAAATCGTCTTCCATGTCACCAAATCACCCCATGCTCCAATCCTCCTTGGTCTCCCCTGGCTCCGCCTCCACGACATTAACCTTGACTTCAAGAGCCTTTCGGTCGGTTTCCGTTGCGACTGTCAGTACCATGAATTCGCGAATTGGGACAACTCTTCAGCACCCCCGAGCCCAGCACCCGCCAGAACCCCCGAGCCCTTGATCCGCATCCCCCAGGATGAAGTCCCCGTCGACAAAACATGGTCGATTCCAGTACCCAAGGTATCTGGCTCCAGCACCCCAGAACCGGCTCCCACGCCGCTCCGAGTCTCGTTCATCTCTGCCCCAGCCTTCCGGGTCGCAGCAAGGCATGACCAGGTCTTTGTTGCCTACGCCAACCCTGCGAAACCCGATCTTCCGGCCTCGCCTAGCCCCAGTAACCCCCCGACACCCGAGAAAGACATCAAAGACTTCCTGCCCCCCGAGTATCAAGACTTCGCCGACGTTTTCGAAAAGAGAAATGCTGACACTCTCCCCAAGCACCGGCCCTACGACTGTCCAATCGATCTGGAAGAAGGCAAGCAGCCACCTTTCGGCCCGATCTACAGCCTCAGCGAACCAGAAATGAAGGCACTCTGCGAATACCTCGAAGAAAACCTCGCCAAAGCATTCATCAAACCCACAAAGTCCCCTGCCGGTGTGCCAGTCTAATTCGTGAAGAAAAAGGACGGTTCTCTCCGCCTCCGCGGCGATTATCAAGGCCTGAACAGCATCACGGTGAAGAATTGCTACCCCCTGCCCCTGATCAACGGCATCATGGTGTCACAGTCCACCCATCTTATATAAGATGGGTGGACTGTGACAGGTACCATAGTCAGTATTGAGACTGGACTGACTATAAGTTCACTTTGATAGGAACCATAGTCCGTTACGGGTCTTGTTACCCTAATTGAAGACCGCATTAATTGAAGACCACACTAATTGAAGACCGCATTAATTGAAGACCACACTAATTGAAGACCGCACTAATTGAAGAGCGCACTAATTGAAGACCGCATTAATTGAAGACCGCTCCACGCGTCTCCTGTGACTGCAAAAAGTTCAAGACCAATTTCCGACGCGGGTTTAACGCGTCTCCGATGCACAAGTCATTAAACTCTGCAAGTCAATCACGTGACCGCCCATGTGACACTGCACGTGACATAATAGGCTCAACGAGTCACTTTCAGTCGCGCCTGTCGAACACACCGTCACTCCTTACGTCAGCCCTTTTCCACACAAGTCCGCCGTTGCCCATCCCTACGCAAGTGGATCCAACAAAGAACCAAGTGAGGTCCACCCAAATATCCTCTCACCTCTCCATACATCGAGTCAATAACGTCGCAAGTCGTAACTAACCCCTCCACAAGTTATCGAATAGGTGGAAAAGTGACTTTTCAAACCAATGATGAACAACCGGAAAAACTAACGCATGTACCTCATCCCCATCACATCATCTTTACCCAGATTCATTCATTCTCTCATAGGGTTTCAAAAGTCACTTTTCCACTTACTCCATAAATTATCGTAACAAATAAGAAAAACCTTTATCAATCCCCTCCACTCATCGAAACAAGTGACTTTCCAAATCACAAAAGTCACTTGATACCCCCCAAAACTCACTTGACACAACTCTTATCGATATCCTCAATGTTTATATAAACACCGATTCCGCCCCTTGTGCATCCCCCGTACATTCGCTACTTCTCTCATCAACACTTCATTCTCCTAACATGGCTCGTATCACCAAGTCCAAGGTCGCTAAACGTCCCACGTTCAAGTCAAAGAAGCCCGCTGAGCTTGTTCAGTACCACCTCAACAGCATTTCGCACCTTATTGTCAAACGCTATTACAACGACAAGACGGGAGTGTTTTATCTCGGCCCTGATAGGAACAAATTCAATTACGTGTCCCAGAAGACCAAGTATCACGTTGACGGCTTGCGTAAACTCATTAACTGCTGTGTCTTTGAAGCGAATCGACCCGAAGAGGAAACTTGTACTTGCAGGAATACGCGCAAGTGTCTTCTTGAAGCACTTGGTGACCTCGTTGAATTTGCGCAAAAGGCCACCGATGATGAACTTCAAGTGAAACTGCAGAACTGTCGCCAAATTGCCATGTCATGCATGGTTACCAATAGACAAGTCGTTTGAACAAATATGCTTTGTAATACATTCGTTTTAAATCCAATAAATATTTTTCGTTTAAAGAGGAAGACATATACACTATCATTCGCAATACATTCGCAATATCATCTCATTCATCGTTTAAGATTTGTCGCGCCTTCGTCAGTGTCTCATAGATGTCTAGTAGGAGTTGCTCAATGATTTGCAGCTCTTTCTGCAAGTTATCATTCCATGAGAAGTTGGACTTCAGCCGTTGCAGCTCTTTCCACATGGCGTAGAATGCGTCTTCAAGTTGCTGTAGTTCTTTCATTCGACTTATAAGAAGCAAAGAACTAAAGTAATCTAAATGGTGAAAATTAGGACACTTGAGGGTATTACCATTATCCAATTGCCATGTTCAGACAGACGAGCCCTGTGTCGGTTGCTGGAAAGCGTCCGTGGCAAATCAAACCAGATGGTCTATGTGAAGCGTGACGAGACGAACAGTGAACTTTTCCGAACGATATATGAAATTTGTACAAATAGAAAGCCAAAATTCAAAAAAGCGTTTCTCTTTGGGAATGGTTACCTCGGCCTCTGTTGGAGTAAAGACAGAGGCAGTCGCATTATCGTGGGCAGTGATATAAACCGGCAACACAGCATCCTTGAAGTGATTTTTGGAGAACCGCCGACCTAGTAGCACTGTGTCCAAAAATTGAGGTATGAATTAGACAACGTTATAGATGTTGGTATGACAATTCGTGCGCTCAATTGAGTATTCGTCGAAGAGAACAGCAACGGCACTTGGAAACTGAACGGGTACCTAGTATTATACGTATTTATATCACAGTAGTATGACACTCCTCTACTAGCCACTACAGTAGAAGATTGGTCCAATATCTGAACGGTAATCGTAACGCGTGAATTATTCGAATTCATATATCCCATAAAGGAAACATGGGCTACCACTCCGGACATCCCGACTTTCCAATTTATGGGAGAAAAACCTCCTGTATACCCATTTCCATTTGTTAACAACGCATCTACAACACCGTCTTTGATGCAAACTGCAGATTGAATGATTTGTGAAGCATAGATGTTCGTACTACAAGTCAAATCATTCTTTACCAAAGCTGTTGTATTACATGTCATGGAATTTACCGTTGCTGAACCACTTGATGAAACGGTTCCCGTAGTCAACGCACCGGAAACATCTATAGTGTTTGCAGAAGCGGTGACAAGGGTTGCTTTTGGAACAGCCTGATTGAACTGAATCTGGCGGATTGCACATCCTCCACTTGTGGTTTGATTGGCATATGCCCATGCGATGCCCCATACTACATAAGGCGTGGTGTTTGCAAAACTAAATGAGTTTCCATCAGTGGTCCAAGTAGAACCAGGTATATTCAACGTTGCAATGGTTACCATAGCGGACTCGGTAGTTCCGGCAATCACGGAGAACGTAGTAGGCATCGCCACGGCGTCCATCAGGTAGGCGGTGAGTTTGATTGAACTCATAGCAATGGCCGACGGGAGTCTCAATAAAGAGTAATGAAGACTTTGTGTTGTTCCATCGAGTCCTAGGTTTGCTGTCGAAGTGCTCGCGGTTGCCCACCGCAGTCTGGAAGCAATACTTGCATTACTATAACAATCGAAAACATGTCCCGTATATCCATCTACACCGTTTCCGTTTGCATACGTGTATTCGGAAGAACCAATAACTGAATACCCGGACCATGATTGACCTGTTGCTGGCGTCTGTGGATATGGAACGAGAGTTGTGACAGAATTTAAGGCAGAAGTTTTCAAGTCCCCGGTCACATTAAGATTCGACCCCACATATAGAGATTTCGCTACAGATGCGCCTCCATTCACTACAAGAGCGCCCGATGTATTAGAAGTTGCATCAGAAGTGTTCAAGACCGATACAGTACCACTGTTGTTCAGATTTCCCCCAACATATACGTTTTTCGCCACAGAGGCGCCTCCAGACACTTGAAGAGCGCCTGATCCAACTCCTGTGCAATCGGTTGTGGTAAAGACAGATGCAATACCAGTATTTGTAAAAACTTTGAACCAAGTGGTATTTTCGGCCGAATTCCACACAGAAAAATCTCCTACCACCCGTAAATCGTCCCATACCCGTACATAAGGGTTAGAACTTTGATTCGGGTCTATGGAGAGAGGACCTGCTGAACCAGATGCAGAAATTATTGCTTGATTTCCGGTGAAATTCATGTTTCCTGAAACTGACAAACTGCCGATAGAACCGGTGGGAATAACAACCTTCCCCGTTCCATCCACTGTAAGACCTTGTGGTGCATTCCATAATCCCAAACCCAACGTGTTTGTCGCAAGACCTGCTCCAGCATAATTGAAGTACAATCTGGCCATATTATTTGTTGCTGCTCCTACTCCAATTTGAAGTGTTGAGAAACTCCCCGCTGCCAAATTAGGTGTTCCGAGATGCGAAGATACAATAGGGCCACTCGAAGAAATAGTGGAGTATATGGTACCGTTGACGTTCAAATCTTTACCAATATTGACATTCCCTGCAATACCCGCTCCACCTCTCACCTGAAATGCACCTGAAGTGGTCGAAGTAGAATCTATGGTGGAAAGAATTTGTACACTGGGGAGGTTAGAGTTGATTATGAAATTGGCATTAGACCCGGAATAGAGAAAAAAGTTCCCAGCATTTGGAGCGGTCGTATTGACTCCTGCGTAACCGAATGCTCCCACCGTTGTTCCTGTGTTGTTAACAAAACCGATCGAAGAAAACCCAGATGCTGAAAGACTCTGAAGTTTCAAAACATCTGTTGATGTCGAGTTTACTTGCAGTGTATGACTCCCAGTGGCCGATGAACCAGCAAATAGAGATTTTCCCACACCTAGACCTCCAGCAACTGTTAGAGCGCCAGTTGTTGTAGAAGAGGAGTCCGTTGTTGTATTGATTAGAACATTTCCATTTGTCAATATATCAAGGTTTGATACGCCGGGTCCGTTAGCGAATCGAAGGTTTGTCGGTGAATTATTGTACTGTGCCCGAATTACCATATCGCCAATAGCCGAATTTGAGGAAAAGTACCCTGCTGCTGAAACGTTGCCCGTTATGCTGCTTCCAAATGTGGGTGTGGACACCGAACCGTTGTACCAAAAGATACTTTGATTTGACCCGACAAAACTCGCATCACTTCCTACCGTCAATTTCTTGGCGATACCAACACCTCCGGCGACCTGTAAAGCCCCTGTTGTTATACCATTCGAATCAGTTGTCGAATTGATATTTAATGCGTTTGTTGCCACATTCACCGTTAACGCAAGATTTGCGGCAGTATTGTTGTATAAGCCGAAATTATTAGTTCCAAGGCCACTAGTTTGGCCTATATGCCACAAAGTCCAACCTCCACCGTTTGAGTTTATAAGACCTACAGAAGGTCCATTTCCGGCTGTAGATTCTTTTATGATTCCATATCCACCGACGTATAATGATTTAGCGATACCAACGCCGCCTGCAACTTGGAGAGAACCAGCATTTATAGCGTTGGAGTCAAGAGTAGAAGTAACTACAGTCGATGCAGCGTTATTTATATTCAAAGTCTGTCCTGTTGTGGTATTCAGGTTCGCTGTTGTTCCTCCTAGGAATACGGTGCCGCCAACCACCACACTTTTCCCCACACCAACTCCTCCAACAACTTGGAGCGCACCTGATGTGGTCGAGGTAGAATCAGTCGTTCCGGCAATTTGAACATTGGATAAGTTCGCATTTCCACCAACATTCAGAGATGATAGAGTTCCAACGATTGTAATTTGAGGCTGAGCAGGATTTACGCTAAAGGCGTTTCCAGTTCGTGTCAATCCTGTTCCAGCACTAAGAAGCGTATCAACATAAATCTTATTTGTAAGATGATTTGCTAAGGTCGGTGCTGTTGAGACGACAGCGTTTCCTGACACCGTGACATCTCCAGCAATATTTGCTGTTCCACCGACGCTCAATGATGATAGGGTCCCAAGAGATGTTATACCTGTTTGACTAGCATTAACGCTGAAAACGTTTCCTGTTTTTGTCAATCCCGTTCCAGCAGTTGAGACTAAACCATCTACATAGGATTTCAAGGCGACAGTTCCGTCAATGTTGGCATATGGAAGGACAGTTGTTCCAACATCGTTTGCTAAATCTATAGAATTCTTCAATGCAATCGAGCCTAAACCCAAAGCCGTCCTAGATGCTGATGGAGGCGTACTGATATAATTCGTTCCATCTCCTACAAGGAAATTGTTGAGAGTGGCGGTGCTCGAAGAAATAGCAGTCAATTTTCCATTTAGCGGTTGCGCTCCCGTTTGCGTTGTAGAAATCAATCCATCCACATATGATTTTGTCACAGCATGCGAAGCCGTGGTTGGAGTAGGTACGGTTATTGACCCTGTAAATGTGCTAGAACCAGAAACGGTGAGACCCGTCAAAGTCCCAACACTTGTAATTTGTGTTTGGACAGGATTGACACTTAAAGTCTGACCAGTTTTAGTCAAACCGGTTCCAGCAAGCACAATGTTCGGGTCAATACTTCCAACAGGAAGAATACCGGTGACATCTGCGCTTGCAAGATTGATAACGGATTTAGCAGCCAAACTGCCAAGCGAAGGCTTGTTTGTCAGTAAAGCCGAAGTGTAATCTATACTACTCAGTGCTGCAAGTGAACCAAGCGAAGGCTTGTTTGTAAGTAAAGCCGAAGTGTAATCGATACTGCTAAGTGCTGCAAGTGAGCCAAGAGTTGGCTTTCCAGTAATGTACGTCGAAGCATAGTCGATGCTATTCAGCGCAGCGAGACTGCCAAGGACAGGTTTATTCACCAACGCCGAACTTGTGTAATCTAATGTATCAAGCAAACTTAAATTCTTCAAGGACAAGTTCGCACGAACATCTGCAGGACTATATTGAATGAAGTTGCCGCCGCTTGCGATAAGCATGTACGTGTTTGTCGGTGCTATATTTGCGAAGTTTGTCAGACGAGCATTAAGGGGTTGATACGTCGTGGCTGCATTTGCTACGGTGAGGTAGTTGTTCAAAGTAGGACTGCTGATGCTTCCCGCTGTTAAAGTATTTGTAACATTCAATGTACCAAGCGTTCCTACTGTTGTTATGGCTCCCGAGTTGAAGCTAATCGAATTACTCGTGTCTCTAGAGAAGACAGGTCCGATAAAGGTCAGCTTCTTCTCGTAGACAGAGAGGTCTGGAGTGCCGGTTAACCTTGTGTATGGAATGGTATCTGTCTTTGCAACTTTGCTGTCGATAGAGGTTTGCAGTAAGGCATTAGTGTCTCCTATAACATTCATGTATGCCGGTTGTATAATCTCGCTATCGTATTGCCGCAAAAGAGACAGCGATATCGCAGTCTGAGGAACCTCATTTTTGATTCCTTTGAACGAACAGGGTGGAATGTCATCAAGCAGCAAACGTGTTACATCACACGATGTGTCATCAGTCTTGGGGAAAGTCGCTATAATCACTTGACTTCCGTTTGGGTCTGGCAATGGGTTGCCGTTGGAGTCTACTACATTGTTGCCATTCGCATCTTTCTGGTTTTTTCTCTCTCGCCCTGACACAGCGATGAATCCCCCTAAGATGCCGGCTGCTGCTGCCGGTCCTCCGAGCAGTCCTCCTACGGCACCGATAGCAGATGTGGCGAATGGAGCGCCTGCAGCGGGTCCGATGAGCCCCACCGCTCCTCCTAAGATTGAGGAAAGCGGTCCGGTCACAGATACAGCAGGGTTTGTCCCAGATGCAGTGAGGGGGTCACTCTCCCCAGATGGGTTCGAGTCCTCATTTTTCTCTTCAGGGTCATCGCTCTCTTTACGGTTTTTGTAGGGCTGTATGGAGCTGATATTGAACCCGGTTTCTTCCGAACCGACAACAAGAATGCCCGACCCGCCCGTAATCACTAACGGCTGTTTAGCGATGTTGAACTCCTTATCCCCTCCCGTCACAATGATAGGCAAAGCCGCAGTGATAACAGTCGGGGTTTCGGGTTCAGGCTGATAAGTGCAACTAATGGTAGACCCAGATATAGAGATGTTGTTCCCCGCCGTATAAGCTCCGGCGATGTTGTTTCCAGTTACGGAGACACCGTTGCTGCCCGTATAAGCCCCTTTAACAGAGTTGCCCGTGACCGTTACAGTTGAATCACCAGCCTGCAAATCTAGCTGCAAGTCGTTCTCTACTCGCTTCACGCCGTTCGATGCGGTCAGCTGCTCCCCGAATGTATTGTTACCATCGAATGTAATGGCCCCGCTTACAGATGGAGCGAGTTTGACCTGGTTTTGATTTTCAATCTTCAAACCGCCGTTGACTGGTTGAAACGTCAAACCTATCGCCAATTTGTCGTTCACTACTCGTATCCCTTTGTTATCCACAATTGCGGAAGGGTTGACTCCAAGATTTTGTGAAGAGTCAATTGCTAAGCTCGCATCCGTTCTCACATCGATAGTACGTCTTCCGTTACTCACGCTAGAGATGTCTATACCTGAACCTGCTTGATAAAGCTGCTCCACATACGCAGTCGACGGTACTTGATTGTTATCAGGGTCGAAGTCAGTGTTCACATACATATGAGGGGCATGCAATTCATTCAGAGTCTCATTGTAATAAAATGAAGAATCTCCATTGAATCCGCTCAAAGCAGAGTAGTAAGGAATCTGCCCCATACCTTTGGAACGTATAGCAAGCTTGTTGCCAGACTGTTGGAAATCGTCTGAAGTTTTCAAGCGAATGACGGTCGTATCAATATCAGTGTCATCTCCTAGAAAATCTGCAATGCTATCGAAGCCTTCTTGGAGCACATCTTCGAGCAAGATACTTGAACCTTTATCATTGGAAATGGCTCCACGTCCCACGATTACAGTGTCAACATCAGTCTGTAAGGCCCCGCTATCATCGAGTTTCAATCCCTTTCCGGTATCGAGGAGAATGTGACCGGTTGTATCGTCTTTCCTCAGAGGTCTGTCCACAACAAGTTTTTGATCGATCAAACTCTCTACATTTTCGCTGGCCACCGAGAGTCCTTCGCTAGTAACTGTCAAAGTACTGTCATGCTGCAGCCCTAAGCCACCCACGTCACGCGTAACTGGAAATTCAACATCTTCCCTTACCACACTCAGCTTATCACTCTTCACTGTAAGTGACGAGTCCGTGAGAAGTTTCAACCCATTAGAATCCCTTGCAAGAGGACTATTGATATCCTCTTTTTCAGGGAAGACGACGCTAAGCAAACCATCATCGGTCTGTTTAAGGGAATCATCGTGGAAAAGCGTGATACCATCTTGTGACACGCCCAAAGGCAAATCCGTGATAACAGCCGCTGTCCTTGAAGCGGCATCATATGTCAGTGGGAACTCATAGTTGTTTTCCTTTGTTGCAAGCTTCCCGTTCTTCACTTTCAAGTCCGTTTCATCTATCTTCAAGTCAATCGTTGCGATTCCTTTGTCGGTCTTTACCTCAAGCGGCTCTGTTGCTTTCACATCATTAACAAGGAAATCTCCATTTTCATTCGCAACTCGATTGAACCTTGCTGAATCGAATCCGCTTATCGCAACACTGTCTCCATTCGCTCGAAGGCTGTTTGTCACGAGAGGGGAGACTAAGTTAGTTCTCTCTAAAGTCCTAATACCCGAACTAGTTCGGCTATTGAGATTACTCATTTTACTAGATTAGAAAGAAAATTTAACTCAAGCGAGCGGCAGCTGCTGTAAGTGTCCTAAGAACTTGTCACCACCTTTGTGGTATTCCTCGACCTTCTGTAGTCCCAAGTCAGCGAACTGCTGTCCTTTCCTCGCGGCTTCCTTCACCTTATCATGGAAGATGTCATTCCCTTGAATCCCTTTGTTAACATGGGAAGCGATTGCGTATCCTTTGCGAGTGGCGCCGACGGCCTTGTCTAAGAAGTTTCTAGCCTTGCCCAAGTTCTGTGGCAGTTCATTGAAGAACGTGCGAGCTTTTCCTTTTGCCTTTTGGAAGAAGCCCATCGTATGTGAATGAATTCTTTTTCTTGTATTAATCACAAGAAGATAAATTCATGCCTCTCATATTCGATGATAGGCAAGCGGCCCTGCCCACCACAACGTTCCCAAGCCCGCCGGTGTTGAATATCCATACGAAACAGTTTGGATACATTCAAGGGCGCCCAAACGAAACCTTTGATCGAGCTTTCCACACCCGTTTCTTCGTGCCTGGAAAAGGAAACGTAAAAGATGTCTTCACCACCAGACAAACATTGGACCAGCCCTTCACACTTCGAGCAGCAGAATATGAGAGCCAAGTCGCAAAGGACGCTGTAACGGCGCTTCATGCCATCGACAAAGTGCGCGCAAAACAGGCTTACTTCGACGAACTAGACAAGGACAACATTTTTCCACGCCGTGGTCGTTCCGTGCAACTTACACAGACGGTTGCCTCCAAAGACAATGGTAACGGGTCTACTACAATCTTCCATCAGCCGTCGTACATTCGAGCACAACAGAACCAGTTCATAGGAGATGATGTGAAGAACGTGAAAATCGAGGGTAATGACCACTTGCCCGATAAGGCAAACATGGAAGAAAAGTACACAATCTTAGGTGATAACAAGGTCGTCACAAAGATGAACGACCGTGAGACTATGACTGATGAAGTCGGGAGGATTGGAGCGGCCTCTCGATTCGCTATGAGTAACGGCTCCACTCAAACGGATATTCCTTTCCACCGAGTCCGTGACATGAGAACCGTCACGACTCAGAGCAACATTCCCGATTTGGACTCTGATACTTTGGATTTGATTTTTGCACATGGTGGAAAGTTCACCCATTTCATCGATGGAGTTAAACATGCGAATGAAACTCTTCAAACTCAATTAAGGAGTCAAGAGGAGCAGCTTGGACGCATGTCGGCTGCTACCATGACACAATTTAGACGTATGTTGGAAAGCGTTGGTTTCCAGAACGTACCTGCGACGATGTCCCCCGATGATATGGAGCGACTTCTCAACCAGGTACAGAGCTTGACGCCCATCGCGCTCACCGAGGCAGCAGCCATGAGAACTTTGATCGAGACTTTGCGAGAGCAGCGCTTCAAGGAACAGAAGGACATAGGGACCCAATATTCACCTACTGGGGTTCCAAACGCTGCAAAGCGTAGACCTGAACCCATCATTACTCGAAACCTGTCTCCACAGATGTCTTATAACAGCGCAGGCAGTGTGAATGAATCTGATATCTTTTCCGCTCGAAGCAAGTCAACCTTGCCGAAGGGTAAAACACCGAGTCCTATGGACCTTGGTACGCCACCACTTGAGCAGTTCTTCACTGAAGATTTCGGCATTAAACAAGAGTCGAGCGCTGGGTCTTCACCAACTCCTACTCAGAGAGATATTTTCACGGATGACCCCGCTGTTAGGGCTCCAGAGAATACACCTGCAGCCCCCGTCCGCAAGAAGAAGAAGCCGCGTGTTGGAAAACGCGAGATGCAAGGCTTGAATCCGGAGAATATCAAAAGCGGGCCAAGGAGCCGAGGTGGTTAAACCCTCGTATTACATTCGATTCGATTGGGGTGCCCGTTATTTCGGGTTTTGATTGTGATAATGTAAAACTAGGAATCTGTATATAGAGACTCCTAGTTTTGCATTATTGATATTTTTCCCGAATTTTTAGGTTGCGGCGATGTGATGAAGGTGAAGAACTGCCCGTCACTTTTCCTTACAACCACAACTAACATTCTAAATCTTCTTCCCAGCCCGTCGCGCCAGAATGAAAGGCAATAGCGCTGGAGGGATAACGCCCTTACGAGGCTTTCCAGTTCGAGTCTTTGCCGCTCCCTTTGTCAATGCAACAGGTTTGAGGATTCTTTTACGATGCTTGTGCATACTTGGTTCTAATCATTACATTCGAAAATAACTTACACCACATCGACAGTCGCTCCAATCAAGATGGTGCGCTGGGAGTAAACCGTCGTAATCAATGAGACGTTAGTGCTAGGAGCTGGCAAAGCGTGGTGAGTAATCAAATTGATGTTGCCGTTGCTTCCAACCAAGTTCAAGGCCGATTGAGCATCTTCATCAGCACTCTGCCACGAGTAGCGAATCATAAAGTTCTTGTCATAGAAGTTGTCTAGATCCAAATCCTCACTCGCGTAAGAAGAGTTGTCGTTCATAGACAAGTTCGCAATCATTACCGCATCTTCTACTTGGAAGTCCTCCGTGAGTGGCAAACGGTAAGATCCAATTTGGTACCTCCATGACTTGAGGTTTGCAGTATCATAGATGAGACTCTTGTCCCCGCTTGTGGTAGCGTAGTCGCTGTCATCGCGGAACCGATGAGTCAAACCGACAACGCGTGCATTGGTCAAGGGGAGAATGAAATTATTCTGTGAAGCTCCGCTGCAGACGTTAGACAATTGGGTAACACCAACAGTGTCAATTTCCAAATACTTGCCCGCTTGGATGCCTTGCCAGAGAGTTGATAAATACAGTGCGCTAGGCGTTACCATCTGAGCCACATAGCGCAAGTTCGAGACAACAAAGTACGCACCACTGGGAAGATTAGTGAAAGCCGCTTGTGGGTTGTTGAGCGTTAGGGTTAGTTCAACGGATTGATTGGGCAAAACGCAAATTGGAATCGGCTGACCGTTCAATGGTCTCATCGAGCCGGCAAGCAAATGATGCTTGAAATTGAACGTTCCGGTGGAATTCTTGAAGGCATCTTTGTTGCCTGCGCCTTCGTTGTATTTGAGATACTTTCGTTTCTCGACTTCAACAGTTTGGTAAGAGTCTGCAACGAACTGCGGCATGTCCTCAATTTCATCTACCACTTTCCCGCCCATCTTAACATTCAATGTGCGGAAACAAGCCATGGCGCCGATTTGTGAAATCTCCGCAGTTGTAAAAGGCGAACCATCGGCGTTGCGGACTTCAATCTTTCCAGACAGGTAGGAGCGCTGAGGACGCAGGAAAGACGAGTTGCTATCAACAGTAATCTTGATGGCATTGCCGGGAGAGCGAGAGTCAAAATACTCCTTGATACTTCGGTAAATCGCGATGTTCTCTGACAGGGCGTCGCTATGCATTGAAAACTGGCGACTCGCATAGATCCAGTTCGAAGGCACAACAGGATTCGTAGACATAATGAATAGACGAACGGTTTACATTAAGAAAAGAAAAAATTTAACGACGACCACCAAAGATTCCCATGTAATCGTCCTCTTCCTCTTGCGGAATGTTTACATGCACATTAGCGAATGTATCATCTTCTGATTCTGGCTCAGGGGTCGGTGGTCGCTTTACCAAAGGCCGCTGAGGCTTTGCTGTCATCCTGTTCAAGCGCTTCTCTTCTTTCGCCTTTTGCTTTTCCTTCTCATACTTCTCAATGATTTGAGCTGCAAGCTGTTTTTGCTTCTCCTTTTCCAACTTGGCCTTTTCCTTTTCTTGCTCTTTATCGGTCTTCTCCTTCAAAGCTTTCATTGCCTTCAAGTTCTCCGTGCGCTTCTGCTGTGCGGCCCTCATCGCTTCGATTTGTTTAGGCGTTCGAGGCTTCTTTGTCTTTACTTTTGATACGATGACCTCTTCGATAGGGTCGGTAGGAGTTTCCTCCTGAGACGGCACTTGTTCAGCGGGTACATCAATAGCAGTCTGTCCATTCTCCGACATCTTGTTCTGATTTCTACTGTACAGTAGAGAAAAAGAAATATCAGACCTTAAACGACCAAATCCATCGGGTCATCATAGATACCGAGTACTATTACAACCGGCGCACTTGGCTTGATGACCTGGAGGGAACCCGAGTCAACAATCTGGAAATCCACTTGATTCAAGGTGGTGTCTTCCGAGCGGTGGAAATTGTCGCTCGGGTTGATCCAACTGAGGACATCATTGAATGAATCGGGCGAGATTGCAGCGAGAACGTTCAGGTCGGAGTTAATCCCAGACGCGTAAACGATGGCACCGTTAGTTTGCAGAGTCCGTGACGTAATGAGAATGGGTTGGGACGCGCTGAGATTCAACGGGTTAGGAAATGTGATGCTGTTCGCGTATCCCGTTTCATTCGCCTTATCAATGCCCAGTTGAAGGAAAGCGGTGGAGCCCCGACTCCCTCCTACGATTTTGAAAGTCTTGCCTCCACTTGAAGAGACCCGCAAACGCCGAGTCGTCTGGTCGTAATCAACCGTATAATTCTGAGTACCGGCTGCTGTAAGAGCGCCTGCGAGAGCGCTGATGATACTTGTCGAGTCATAGGTTCCCGAAGGCAATGTTGCTTTCTTCAGGTTAGAGTCACCGTTCTCTGCAAACATCACCACATTGTTTGTGGAGCTTGTGGCATCCCAATTCTGAAGAAGCGAAACCGAAACGATACGCCATGCGTAACAGGGTATGGTCTTTTGAAGGCGGAAGGTCGGCTCGTTTAGAGACGGAAGCGTTCCGGTATTTAGAATCAGCTCACGATACATGGAGAAGTTTCTCTTTGTCTAATAACAAGAGATTATTTTGTATACATGGAAGTGAAGAGGACAAAGATTCCAAAGGAGTTTGAAATTTCCATCAAAGACAAGACGCCCGAGGGGTACCCCAGGAAATTCTTTACATTGACACTTGTTGGCTCTTCGAGAGCGGGCAAGACCACCTGCATCATAAATTTGATTGAGAATATCGCACGGTGTTACTCGAATGTAATCATATTCTCTCCAAGTGCTGACGCTCCGGAGTGGACAGCCTTGAGGAAGTTCGATAACGTCTTTATGTCTAATCTGGTGTCTAATAACATTCTACACAAGCTCTTTGAAAAGCAGAAGAAGCTTTATCAACAGGACAAGACAAAGAATCACATGTGTTTAATACTGGATGATTTCGGTTTGCTTGCCAAGGAAAAGGGCCTCGATATAGGCAAAGAACCAAGAGAAGCGGAAATCGTATCGAGCGGTTGCAGGCAGATGCTTGATTTATTGTATAGCCGAGCTCGACATAACGGCATGTCGGTTCTCGCCAGCTTTCATGACTGTAAGCAGATGAGCCCTTTACAAAGAGTGAACTCCACTCACTGGATTTTGTATCGCCTCAATGAAGCGCAATACAGTAAGATAGCCCCTGAGATTCGGTGTCACCTAAGTGAGAAAGAATTTATAGGCAAGGCGGAAGAGTATACTAAGCAGCCTTTCCACGCTTTGTATGTCGATCTAAAAGCCCCGAAGAACGAAGATGTATTCAAAGAGCTCAAACCGGCGGCAGAGGTCTAGTCATCGAACCGCACTATAACGTATCCTTCCTTTTCGCTGTATTCAAAGTCGAACGGCTCGGGTTTCGGGGCCTTCTTCTTTTTCTTCTTCTTCTTTTTCACCGGTTGAGTCTGGGTCTGTGCGTCTTTTTGATCGATCAAAAGTTCCTCTGGAAGCATACTACTCTAAGAGCAAGAGAATGTAAATAGCCCCACTTAAAGGAAATCAACGCGTTTCAGTCAGATTAATTTCTACGATACATTCAAAGATATGTGGGGGAATTGGGAAGGGAATACATTTCAGGATATTGACGTCTACATCAAGAACAAAGAAAACTTTGATTCCTTACTCAAAAGCTTGTCTGAGAACAAGCTCTGGGCAGACCTACCTCCAGAAAAGCGAGACGAAGCCATGACAAAATTGAAACACGATGTTGTCTATCAAACACTTCAAACAGCTATTACCGAAATCGAAGGTGAGCCAGCAAAGGTAAAGTGGGAGGCAGTAAAGAGGCAAGTCAGGAAGAAACCCGCTGCAAAAAAGACCACGCCGAAAAAGGTAGAAGAGTCAAGTGCTGATGAAGAGTAATCGACCCGTTATTTTTGAGTGTTTTTGCAAGCGATTTTGTACTGTTGTTCGCAACCCGTTCCCTCGAAGGAACACAAACCAACAGCCCAGTGGTGCTACCTCCTGACTAATGAACGGTGCCAGTGACTCCATAGTCGCTGGCAATTTTCAAAGTGTTTTTGATCGATCAAAAAGTCTCCCGAAAAATATTCCCTCCACAATGTAACTATGGCTCCTCCTTTAACTAGAGCACAGGAAGAGAAGCTAAAGACTCTTTTTTATTCGGAAAAAAACTTTTTCGGTAGAGACCGACTCTATTTTCTTTTGCAGCAAGACCCGCGAAATGATATATCACGACGACAGGTGATGAACTGGCTTGCTAAACAACCCATAGCACAAAAGTTTCGAAGACCTGTGAGAGCCACAGGTGTGCGAGCAATCGTATCAACGGCTCTCGGTTCATTTCAATGTGATACGATGGACATGTCTGCAGACAGCTACAGAGGATTCGGTGCAATCTTCTCCATGATTGACACGTTTTCCAGACGTTTGTATGCACGAGCAATCACAGGAAAGACTGCCGCAGAATGTACGCGCGCCTTGAAGGAAATTTTAGATGAGAACCCACACATGGCGTTCCACCGCGTAGTCTCAGATAACGGTGGAGAATTTCAGAATGTATTCGATGAGTACCTGCAGGAACTTGAGGTACCGCATAACGTCACGCGTCCCCATCAGCCTTGGTCAAATGGAATAATCGAGCGGAGTAATGCCTCGTTAAGAAAACAACTGTCGATTTATATGGAAACCACAGGCAACAAAGATTGGCCGGCTGCTTTGCCTGATTTAGTTAAACGGTTGAACTCGACCTTTAATGCAACAACGAAACATTCGCCCAATGAGTTAGAAGAGACGTCTCCGGACAGCGAAGAACACACTAAGGCTGGATCAAACATAATGAAGCGAGCTGGAAAATCTGTTAATGTCCGTGGTGCAACGACTCTACAAGTTGGGGATACGGTTAGGAAAGTGTTTCAATATTCGGGCACAAATATTCAAAAACCATCAAGGACGGGATACTTTGCGCCAGAAAAGTTCGAGATTGTAGCAGTTGTCCCATCCCCTTATGCAAACCAGCTTCCATCATACAAGCTGAAGAACAGCGCGGGTGTTGTGGAAAAGGGTTTGTTCGCTCGAAGTCAACTCTTGTTGGTGCCCAGTGAAGGTATCCGGATCGACCCGCCTCGACCTGTTGAGAATGTAGGCGAGCCACCCGTGGAGGAACCGGTAGAGGAACCGGTTGCGCCAAGACGTTCGGGAAGACTTAACCCCGAGAGGGAGTATGAAGTCGAATACATTCGAGACAAGAGAACGCGCAGAGTAGGTAGACGAACATTCATTGAATATCTAGTAAAATACAAAGACTATCCTATCGAACAAAGTACATGGGAAAAGGTCTCTAATATCAATGCGCCTAATCTTATTCGGGAGTTTGAGAGTCAGAGGAATCGACGCTAAGTTTACGCTTTTTGTTACTGTTGTAACGATTATACAAGGAACTCTCTTCCTCGTTGTGATGATTGTTAAGAGCTAACAGCCTGCTAATAGGGTCTTGCAGCCCGTTCCTACGCAGGTGAGTAATCTGCGTTTTCCTGCAACTTCGAACACCGTGCTTCTGTCCACACGCAGCTTCAAATGACTTTTGTATATGGGTATTGAAATTGTTTGGTGTGAATGGATTTCCCTTTGAATCGATAAACACATGAGCGCCTTCCGGGCGAAACCGCTTGATGAATCGAATGAGAACGTCAGAGACAAACGCAGGGTCGATGACATCCTGAAACGACTCCGGTGCGTCTACAAAATGTTGCAGAAATGACTGAACCTCGTCCTGTCTGTGTTTCTTGTTTACAGATTGTCTGTCAAACTTCCTATCATTCCATAGAATGGTAGGCCTTCCGGTAGCAGCAAAGATAAAGATGTTATCCTTTTTCCAATCGATTCCTTCGCGGTCGAATATCTTGAGATTTCCAAAGTTGCCTCGGACGTTGTAGAAACAAGCGACAAACAATCCGATGATGCCGTCTTGCAAAAGTTCAATCTGATGCTTGCTGGGGTGAGGAAGGTCGAATATGTAGAACAGGCTATCGCAGTATTTGCGCATCTCGTCAACAACTCCCTTCCAATTAGGAATCAATTCATCGTCGGATAATGTCTCTCCATTAGAACGGGCTGTGTTGTAAGGCTGTTTCAATCGACGTTGCTCATCAGCGAGTTTCTTCCTGACCTCCTCCCATTGGTCGAATGAAATACCGAGGGGTTCGTGACCGCAATTTCTGAAGATACGATGAACTTTCCCAATGAAATCCGCCATACTAGAGTCAGCAATTTTCCCGTCCTTTAAACGTGCAGATTGCTTTGACTGAGTGATGATAGCTTTAATGTCGTGCAGGTTGGATAGGGATTCCAAGGAATCGAAGATGCCGCGCTTCTGGAATTCGGTCACATCTTTCAAATCGCCTGTATAAGATTTGGTATCCTTCGTAAGGAACTCGCCGAGGTTGGCCGTTTTCAGATAGAATTCAGCCATCTTTGTTACTGATTATAGAAAATAAACAATGACAGAACCCATAGTTAGGGCGTTTATATAAACATTCGCGTGCATCGGCTATCGATAAGAATTGCATCATATGTGTTTCAAGATATGACAGATGGTCTCCACTGACATCGCGTTGTCTAAGAGACTTAACCTTGCGGCACTAGAGATTCCGTGCGTGTAATTATCAGGAAACCCCATTGCACGCTCTTTGTCTATGCACGTCAGTCGCTTATCGTTCGGTGCTTGCCGTTTATGAAACGGCGCAGGCTGAATTCGGAAATTCGCCCAATACCATCTCTTCCTAGACAAACCGTTGAAATCCGCATCGTCCAACATTATCGGCTTCACTCCTAAAGCCTCGCTTATCGTTGCGGTCGGCTCCGTGTTTGCAAACAAAAAGTAGCGAGGGTGACATGCCCTCAAAATCTTATCGAATCCATTCACATTTCCCGCGCCGATGAGAAATTCGAATACAGGCAGAACATTGCATTCGAGTTTCTCAATATCTCCATAGTTCGTTTGCCGAATGTGGTGTATCTCGTAAATCTTTACAGCTCGCGGGTTTAACTCTGAATAACCGACGCAGTGGGCGTTCTCAAACACCCGATTCATAGCAAGGTCTGCTCCCCCGATTCCGGCAGAAGCGGAAAAGTAGCGCAAGGGTGACTTCTTCTCCACGTCGAGCAACGACGGCGTGCAAGCGAAGCTGTTCACTCCGGGAATGAATCCATGCGTTTGGAAAGCCGCGACGAACTTCTTCGCAAGCGGAAATCCAGACTCGCTGTCAAGATACGCGACTGTTAATTTCCCCTTCCGCAGGTGACACAGCATCGCGACGGAGTACAGCTCATCGGTGCATTCTGACACGATTCCGACAGCGCGTATCACTTCACCGCTTTCCAAATCGTTTTTCGCTTTGTCTAAGAAATCTTCTCCTTCGATACAAGTCACTTCATTCTCTGCGGCAAAGTCCGTTATCGCTTTGTGTATGCGGTCTTGCTTCTTAACCGGAGACTTCTTCGGAGGAGGAGGTGTATCTTCGTCCTCTTCTTCTTCTTCGCCTGACTCGACATAGCTTTGCCTTGCGCGCTTTCGCAAATTGTGCGTATGTTCGCGCACGTCTTTGGGAAGAATCGTGTTCCCTTCAAAGACATCGCAGAACGCTTTTTGTATATGCAGATTCGCCTCTCGTGCAACGTATATAATAACCCTCGGATTAGGGTCATCACTTATCGCTTTCTTGTGCGGATTACGCTCTAACGCCGCTCTCGACAGGTGATTGTTTGATCGATGGAATTGCGCATATTGGTCGCATCGCCGTATGAGCGGGAAGCTCCAGTTTCGCCTGCCATCCATAGGCAATAAGAATATCGCATGGTCACATTCGCCTTTATCAATCATCTCCATCACCCGTGCGATGAACTTTGGTGTAGGGTTCTCCGACTTCTTCATGTGCTTTGACTGTTCGTCAGACAAAGCCCTAGCTGGCGGATTGCAGAGAATCACACTCGGTCGCCCTGTCCATTCGCTTGGTTCCCGTTCAGCCTCATCATCGTCTGCGGGAATGCACCAGCGTTCTAATCCAAAGGCGTCCACAAACGAACCGTCGGGCTGTACCCCGTAGTAGTATTTGCAATTGATTGTCGCGCAAGGATTACTGCAAACGTCGAGGTCTATCGAGTCATGAAAGCACTTGACAAATTGGTCTATCTTGTCACAGATTTCCGGAGCTGCGTTGTACTCGTTCTCCCCTAGCTTTGTCCTAGACCGTTTGCAGTGAATCCATTTCGACCTTTCTACCGAGCTCTCTTCTTCCTCTGACTCGGATTTTTCGGACTCTGCCTCCTCCGACATAACCTTTTTGCGGACGTCTTTTGTCAGATACGTCTTTGGTAGCGTGCCGAAAATCTCGCAGAAGGAACGCTCAATATCCATGTGCTTTTCTCTTGACAGATAAATCAAGCAGCGTGGGTTCGGGTCATCGACGACAGGTTTCGCTTGCGGTGAGCGTTCTAAGGCCGCCTTCGAGAGATGATTGTTGAAGCGGTTAAAAATTAAAAGTTGGTCACATCTTTCAACGAGAGGCGGGCACCATGACCTTCGCAAATCCATCGGCACAAGGAGAAGCAGATGGTCACATTCTTCGTCATCCAGCATCTGCACAAGCCTATCAAGAAACTTCGGAGTTGGGAACTCATTTTCCATACGGCTAGCCTGCTCTTCATTGAGCGGCCTCGCAGGCGGGTTACACACGATAACGCTTGCTTTGCCTGTCCATTCCCGGGGGTGCAATGCCGCTTCGTCTTCGTCGGCTGGGATACACCAACGAGGCAAATCGAATGCATCGATGAACGTCCCGTGGGGTTGAACACCAAAGTAATGCTTACAAACGAGCTCCGAACTGGGATTCGAGCATACATCCAAGTCGATGCTATCGTGGAATGTTTTCACAAAGTCGTCTAACAACTTGCAAATGATTGGTGGCGTATTGTATTCGTTTTCACCTAACCGCCTTCGTGCGGAAAGTGAATGCCTCCACTTCCCGATATCGGTGACCGGTTTGCCTGACGCCAGTCTCGCTTGATCGATCAACTCTTCTTCGTCTTCGTCCATGGGAAACTCATCCTCATCAACTTCAGGCAAAGACGCTCCTGTAGGCGAGGCTTCCGAAGTCAAATCAATGGCATTTGAGTCGACCTCGGGTTCCTTGAAAGGTGCACTGAGCCTGCATGCCACTACATTCTGTCGTCCTTCGTAGAATTCCACATTTCTGTCCCAAATCGTCTTCAGAGGCAAACGCAATTTCTTATGCAGCTTCAGCAAAGCGAGACAGAGTGCGGCATTGCAAGGCAGCTCATCGGTTGGGACGCCTTCTTTCTTCAACCGCAAGAGAACGTCTCCGCAGTTTGAGATATTGTAGAACGTCCTGCGCGTCACGTTGTGAAACTTCTTGACATATTCCTCGAGCGCTGGCGCCTCGTTCTTGTAGAGCCGGTGCTCCACAATGGTATTAACGGCGATACATGTCGTAAGGAAATCCTCACTCTCTTCGGGGTTGATGTGCAGGTATCGCTGGTTGATTTTGCTCTCCTGTATCTGTAGCGGTGAATCCATTTCGGTGTGCGGCAGCGCGCTGTGTGTTGTGCTGCAACGGACAGCGAATGTTTATACGGATGGCGGAGTTGTGACGTAAGCGCGACTGACGGGATTTTGAGAAATGTTTCTCAAAGTGCCGTCAACATCTCGCAATTAAAGACGTAGCTTGTTAGTAAAACAAAAGATGCAACCCAGATTCAGCCCTTATGAACGTCCCCCGCGTACTTGCAAGGATTGTCCCGCTATTATCGAATGGATCAGGCGAAGAGTCAGGTGTCTCTCTTGTCATCTGAAGTGGAAAGCTGCTCAGCCGGCGTTCGACTTGAAGCTTGATGAAGATTGAGGCCGTCTTTTCCACTGTTTGTCTGCGATTGCGCAAGCCATTGCGTAAGCCTGCTTACTTGATGTCACAGTCATCTCCACTCCGCCTTTGCCACGGTAGGTGAGGGTTCGTTGATCGAACTTGCCCAAAACCTCGTCCATTACCTCCTTTTTAAAGACCTCCTGCTCAACCTCTTCCCCGCTGATACCATGTGACTTATAGAACTCTTCCATTCGTTTTCTATAAGTCAAACATTCCAATTTTGTCTACTGAGACGCGATGGTTTGCCCAGCTGGCACTTTATAGATTCGTATGGGCAAGACCCCCCGTTCCTTCCTTCCATTCGGCGATTTGCTGATAGAAGTGGCAGTAGCGCGGTCAATTCCCATCTTCATCGCCAACTCCCTGATGCTTTTCCCGACAAACTTGTGTTCTGTGCCATATCTTTCGTGTATTCCGATGTATTCCATTTGACAACGTATGTTTAACACTATACAAACATATGTTTAAACGCCGCCAAAACGCACACATCATAATGAGGCAAGATGGATGCGTTTAGAATGTGATTTAAACATCTGTTGCTGAAGAGTAGACAACGATAACAACGTGAGTATGACCGACATTGATGATAAGTTTGACCTTGAGCCTTACAAGAAGCTAAACGACAAAACGGTTTTGTGGAAGGTCGAATTCATGAACGAGAATAGACTCAAAGTTCTGCTTCAATCTCCATTCTTAGACGCGAAGCTCAAGAAAGGCTTGCAATCGATGGTCAAATACAACCGCGTTGGTTTGAACCTTTACCGAACGGAGTACGCTTATTCTTCCCACTCGGTCGACGACAGTGGGCGTCTCTATGCTCGAAGCAGGTCGCTTCAAAACTTGCCGGCAAATGTTAAAAAAAATCCACCTTTCCGCCAGTACCTTGCAAGTGGAGAATACCATGACATCGATCAAGCAAACTCCATGCCTACCATTTGGGCGCATCTCTGTGCTTCACATTCGATTGTTTGTCCCAATCTAGATACTTACATCAATCAGCGTCCGACGATTCTCCAAGAAAGAGGCATCGACAAGCAGGTGGTTATGGAGTACCTTACCTACGAACCTCGAATGATAGCAGACCCCTTCTTCCGACAGATTCACGATACACTTTACCGAACCTTGGTGCCGCTTCTAAAGGAGAAGTACAACCACATCTGGGAGAAAGTCATGAAATCTCGCGAGGATAAAGTTAAACGCAATCGAGGCGGTAGTTTCCTCTGTCAAGTCGCCCACACTATTGAAACTAAAATCAGCCTCGCTGTTGACAAATTCTTCACGAATCGAGGTTGGTCTGTCGATGTGCATGTTTTTGACGGAGTGATGATTCGTAAACGACCTGATACGAGCATGACCCCCGAACTGCTAGAGGAATGTAACAAATACGTCTCCGACCAAACCGGAATCGCTGGTGTGAAGCTCGTTGAAAAAAGCCTCGATTTCGAAGCTCATCCTCAATTGCCGTTGCTCGCAATCCCCCAAGAAGATGTAAATCCCGTTAAACCAGCAGATGGCAATGCAGTAGATTTTCGTGACCTTAAGTGCATCAAGGGTTGGGAGAACTTCGACTTCAGGCGTATTTTTAGCCCGACTCACAAGAATAGCGCGGAGTGGTACGTAGAACAACGCCACGCGTCAATCATGAAACATTCGAGCGGGCTGTTGTTTATACTCGGCAAAGACAATATTTGGAGGAAATTTGACAGCGTGAAAGCGAGTGACCTCAATTTGCAAATCGCTGATAACTTGATTAGCAGCTTCGAGAAATTGATTGACGATGCTACCAACGAACTTCAACATGGTAATGTCGACATATTGAAGGCCAAGCTCAAAACGTTTCGTCCCGAAGTCGAAGGCACCGCATATTCTGGAAGTGTCGCGTATAATGTCGAGCGACTTTGCAAAACCGACGACAAATGCATTGACCTGTTCCTCTCCAAACCTTACTTGCTGCCGTTCAACGATGGGGTGTACGACTTGGTCAAGGGAGAATTCCGACCTATTGAACCCACAGATTACATTCTCTTCACTTGCGGATATAACTTCCCAAAAACGTCAAACAAAGAAATCCGAAAGAAGATTACCGACTTCTACACCTCCATCTTCCAGACTGAGGAGCTCACCGAATATCGACTCGCTACAGTGGCGCGTTGCCTCTACGGAGAAATCGTCGAAGAAATCTTTGTGATTCAGAAAGGCAAGGGACGAAACGGGAAAGGAGCTGAAACAACCCTTATTCAAAATGTTTTTGGTAACTTGTTCTACTGCCTCGATAAGCGCAACTTCACTCGTGACCAGCAGGACGTGGACCGACCGAATTCACAAGTGTACAATCTCTTCGGTAAACGATATCTGACAACCAGTGAGACCAATAAGAACGACCGCTTCCTCTCTGAGGTATTCAAAGGATTCTCGGGAAACGATTATATCAGTGTGCGCACGCTTAACGGCAAACCTATCACTTTCCGCGTCACAGGTTTGCTGAATGTTCAAACCAACGAGGACCCTGTTTTTGATAAAGTAGACGTGGCGTTGGGAAAGCGCACCCGTATGCAGGAGTACCCCTTCACCTTCACAAACATTGAGCTAATGGAGACAGACGATACCGAACTTGATGCCATGGAAATTGATGAAGACGAGAGCGAATATAAGGCAATCGAGAAACAGGGTGACGAGAACTTGAAACGCGACTTCAAGTCTGAGGCGTACCGCGATGAAGGAATGCTTCTGCTGATTTCGTTGTTTAGAGAGATGTTCATTCAAAGCGATGGGTCCCTCAGCATGAAGATTGACGTCCCCGATGAGGTGCTCGCATTTACAAAGCAGAATCTTGCTACAAGCCTTGCTGCTGCAAAATGGCTCAAGTTCCATTACAAGATTACCGGCGATTCTACAGATGTTGTGAGGAAGAAAGAACTGTATTGCGAATACGCACAATCCGTGTTTGACGTGAAGAAGAGGATTGGCAAAACGCAATTCTACAAGGAATTAGAAGGGATTCAAATCAAAACCGGCATCCGTAATGGTTATCAGGTGTATGTAGGCTTGAAGAGAACGGCAAGGTCGAATGAAGGTGACGAGTTCTTTGATGTTTAAGAAGCAACAGTATTTAATTGAGCATAACTGAGCATATGATATCGATAAGAGTTGTGTCAAGTGAGTTTTGGGGGGTATCAAGTGACTTTTGTGATTTGGAAAGTCACTTGTTTCGATGAGTGGAGGGGATTGATAAAGGTTTTTCTTATTTGTTACGATAATTTATGGAGTAAGTGGAAAAGTGACTTTTGAAACCCTATGAGAGAATGAATGAATCTGGGTAAAGATGATGTGATGGGGATGAGGTACATGCGTTAGTTTTTCCGGTTGTTCATCATTGGTTTGAAAAGTCACTTTTCCACCTATTCGATAACTTGTGGAGGGGTTAGTTACGACTTGCGACGTTATTGACTCGATGTATGGAGAGGTGAGAGGATATTTGGGTGGACCTCACTTGGTTCTTTGTTGGATCCACTTGCGTAGGGATGGGCAACGGCGGACTTGTGTGGAAAAGGGCTGACGTAAGGAGTGACGGTGTGTTCGACAGGCGCGACTGAAAGTGACTCGTTGAGCCTATTATGTCACGTGCAGTGTCACATGGGCGGTCACGTGATTGACTTGCAGAGTTTAATGACTTGTGCATCGGAGACGCGTTAAACCCGCGTCGGAAATTGGTCTTGAACTTTTTGCAGTCACAGGAGACGCGTGGAGCGGTCTTCAATTAATGCGGTCTTCAATTAGTGCGCTCTTCAATTAGTGCGGTCTTCAATTAGTGTGGTCTTCAATTAATGCGGTCTTCAATTAGGGTAACAAGACCCGTAACGGACTATGGTTCCTATCAAAGTGAACTTATAGTCAGTCCAGTCTCAATACTGACTATGGTACCTGTCACAGTCCACCCATCTTATATAAGATGGGTGGACTGTGACACATGGATCGTTTGCGCGGCGCCCGCCGTCTCACCAAGATCGACCTCCGCGGCGCTTATACCCTCTTACGCATGCGCCCGGGCGATGAATGGAAGACCGCCTTCCGCTGCCGCTATGGCCTATTCGAATACAATGTCATGCCCTTTGGACTCAGCAATGCTCCTGGCGTCTTCCAGTACCTGATGAACGACATGTTCCGCGACAGTCTCGATGTGTTTGTTGTCGTCTACCTCGACGATATCCTGATATTCTCCAAGAACCCCGAAGATCACCCCAAACATGTCCGCCAAGTCTTGTCCCGCCTCCGACAGCATGGGCTGTACGCCAAACCAGAGAAGTGCGAATTCAACCGCGAATCCGTTGAGTTCCTAGGCTTCCCCATCTCCGAGAAAGGCATCCAGATGGACCCCAAGAAGATCGCTGCCATCCCGGATTGGGAACCTCCCAAGACTGTCAAAGGCGTCCAACGGTTCCTTGGCTTTGCCAACTTCTATCGCCGATTCATCCAAGGTTATTCCAAGATCGCTCCCGCTCACAGCCCTGACCCGGAAAGACATCCCGTACGCCTGGACACCCGCCGCAAACACCGCCTTCGAGAACCTGAAGAAAGCATTCACCACCGCCCCCATCCTTGCTCACCCTGACCCACAGAAGCCCTTCGTCGTCGAAACTGACGCCTCCGACTTCGCTCTTGGCGCAGTTCTCCTCCAACCTGACCAGGACAATCAGCTCCACCCCGTGGCCTTCCACTCTCGCAAATTCACGGCCGAAGAGATCAACTACAAGATCTACGACAAGGAACTTCTGGCCATCCAAGACTCCTTTGCCCAGTGGCGACACCATCTCATTGGCGCCCGTCACAAGATCACCGTTTACTCCGACCATAAACACCTTCAGTACTTCATGACCACCCGCACCCTGAACCGCCGCCAAGCCCGCTGGTCAATATTCTTCTCGGATTTTGACTTTGTCATTACCTATCGCCCCGGTTCCCAGCAGCGCCAAGCCGATGCCCTCTCCCGACGCTCCGAACATGAGCTAAAAGAGGGGGAAGAAGCGTTCCGCTCCCAGGCAACCACAATTTTGACTCCGGAACGCCTCCGACTCGCCGCAGCCTACCTCACACCCATGGATACCACGCTGCTTGACAAGATTAAGGCCGCCCAGGCCTCTGATCCCCTCGCTAAGACCATTCGCGAAAAGCTCAAGATACCCCTCGCCCAACGAACCGAGGAAACCCAAGATCGTATCAAGCGGTTCTCAGATGAAGATGGGGTCCTGCTGCACAATAACCTTGTCTATGTCCCCCCAAATGAGCTCCGAGCTGAAGTCTGCCACGACATGCACGATACACCCCTAACTGGCCACTTCGGGATGTCCAAGACGCTTGAACTCGCCTCCCGCAACTACTGGTGGCCCAGCCTGTGGCGCTTCGTCAAGGCCTACGTCAAGTCCTGCGATACCTGTAGCCAAGCGAAATCCAGTCGACACAAACCATATGGCCTACTCCAGCCCAACAGTATCCCTACCCGCCCTTGGGGATCTTGGTCCCTGGACTTTATCACCGGTCTGCCTCCCGTGGACGGGTACGACTCCATCCTGAACGTCAACTGTCGCCTCACCAAGATGGCCCACTTCATTGCCTGCAGCGAGTCAGAATCCGCCGAATCCACCGCCGACCTAGTCTTCCACAACATCATCCGTCTCCACGGCCTCCCCGACGACGTCATCTCTGACCAAGGACCCCAGCTTAAGTCCCGGTTCTGGCGTCGACTTCTCGAACTCCTTGGGGCAAAAGCCAACCTCTCTTCGGCCTTCCACCCCCAGAGCGATGGCCAGACGGAACGCACCAACCAGATCCTGGAGCAGTATCTCCAATGCTTTTGCAACCACCAACAGGACAACTGGAAGCAGCTTCTGTCGTCCGCCGAGTTCGCCTACAACAACACCCACCAGTCCGCCTCCCAGACCACCCCCTTCTACGCCAACAAGGGTCTCCACCCCCGCTTCAGTTTCGCGGCCTCTGCTACCTCCAAATCCGTCAACCCCGCCGCTGAAGCCCGCGCTAAACAAATCAGGGAAGTCCATGAACAGCTCGCCCTCGAGCTCAAGGAAGCCCAAGATCAAATGAAGCGCTACGCCGACGCTAAACGAATTCCTGGACCAAACTTCAAGCCTGGTGACCACGTCTGGCTCCTCCGAAAAAACCTCCAGACGACCCGGCCCTCTCAGAAGCTCAACCATCGCGAGATTGGGCCATTTCCCATCGTTGAAAAGATCAATGCAGTCACCTACCGGCTCAAGCCCCTGCCTACGTACAAAATCCACAATGTCTTCCATGTCTCGCTCCTCGAACCCCGCTTCACCATCCCCGAACAACACGAACCCGAACCCGCGACCCCAGAGACCGTTGAGGGTCAAGAAGAGTGGGTTGTCAAAGCCATCCTTGACTCTCGCATCCATTGTCGTCGCCTTCAGTACTTGGTCAAATGGCAGGGCTGGCCTGACTCCGAGAACACCTGGGAGCCTGTGGAACACCTCACCCATACCGACGCACTTCTCCAGGACTTCCACAGCGCGTACTCCAACAAGCCTTCCTCTGTCCCCGTAGCACCTCCTCTGCAACCACACCAAACTCGACGCCGCTGCCGCCGCCGCTAAAGAGAGGGGTGATGTTATGGACGACGCGCCCATACCATAAGCTTACCTACTGACAGCCGCCAATGTCAACCGCCAAATGTCAAACGCCAATGTCAATGTCAATGTCAGTGTCAATGTCAGTGTCAATGACAATGTCAATGCCACTCCCCCTCTCTCCTCTCATTTCGCCAATGCTCTTGCAATATCGCCACTCCTCCTCTCTCCTCTCATTTCGCCAATCCCTCCTCGGCTTCTCCACACCCCCCACTACTTCCCCATAGCCAGCAGCTGTAGCAATGCTCTCTACGCTCGCCACGCACGCTCTAGGAGCATAGCTGGCGCCCCCCCAGTCCCCTCTTGTTGTTGTTGTTCTCTGATCTGCTGGGTTGCCTATCTATAAATAGCCGGCCTCTCTTCGTCCATTCCCTTCCTCCCCAGCAGATCAACACCGGTTCTTCTCATCTCCTGTTCTAGTCCTTGTTTCTTGTTTCGCCAACACAATCTCTGGTCGCCTATCACACTCGCCCTGTCTTCTCTACTTTGCTTCCGCCCCCGTCGTCAAGATCATAACAGATTCCCTTCACATGGTAGCACCACAAGTCCTTCTTGGGACCATACATATACTGCAATACCAACGACCCAGTCCTAGGTACCCCACAGCAGACCAGAGACCCGGGCTGGTACTCCAACTAAAATAAGACCGATCCACTGGTCCATAATACCGATACACTGGTACGTATATCCGAGAGGCTGGTACAGTCAAGAGGAGGTGTAACGGGAACACACACATTTTGGCTTAGTGGTTAAGACACCTGGCTCTCACCCAAGTGGCGTGGGTTCGATTCCTACCTTCCCCAAACATTTCTCTCTTCTTTCTGTGACTGTACCACCTCTCCCGGGCGTTCCGAGCTATCGGGACGATTCCCTTAACAGATGGCTCGCCCAGCCGGCTGATCCATCAGAGCATTACCCATCACCGTTGCCTACCTCAGTGAAGGGATTTAAAAATCTGCCACGGTTAAAGCCAATAGCTTTCTTTGGGCGGAAGATGCAGCCCGCTGAGACACGTTATCCCGTGCACGAACAAGAGCTATTAGCTCTGGTCGGCATTTGCAAGGCTTATAGGCATTACTTGCAAGATCGGACTAATGCCCGCCCGTTTCGCGCGTTCACCGATCACGCCAGTCTGGTATGGCTTCAGGCTCAGCCGTTCCTGAGCCATCGCCAAGCATGTTGGGTTGAATTCCTGCAGCAATTCAAATTTGACAATGAATATCAACCTGGTCGTTGGAACACTGTGGCGGATGTGTTGAGCCGTAATCCGTATTACGCCCCACGCTGCGCCGAGTGTAGTAAGCAAGTTGAAATCGCTGCGGCCATGGGTATGTCCATCGATTATATTCCTTTGGGGAATGTTACGCTGGATGATTGGATACAAACCTTGGAGGCTGATGAATTCTTCGCTTTGCGCAAAGAGGCTTTCTCACAGCCAAAGGAACGACAGTCTACATTCGATTGCCGTTTTTCGATCGATGACTATGGTCGTTTACTGTACCACGATAAGTTCTATGTGCCAGCTGCTTTACGAGGGACTGTATTGCAGGCGTACCATGACTCGTTGCTCTCTGCCTGCATACAGGGGTACAAGGTACATTGGGCAAACTCCTACGTGAGTTTTACTGGCCCGATATGGGCGCAGATGTGAGAGGGTACATCAAGACTTGTGGGTCTTGCCAAAGGTTTAAGTCGCCGAACAATAAGCGTGTTGGCTTACTTCGTTCGCTCCCAGTTCCCGACCGACGTTGGCACATGATGGGTATGGATCCTGTCTCGATGCCAATAACACGGTCGTGGGGGGGGAAGGTGCATAGTGATGCGTTTTATGACAGTATTATTGTCTTCATCGACTATCTGTCAGGACGCGCATACTTTGTACCTGCGGCATCCACAATAATTGCCAAACAGTTGGCGCATCTTTACTTCCGAGAGGTATGGCGCCATACGGGTACTGCAACTGTGATCGTCGGAGACCAAGATCCACGCTACCTGGCAGACTTTTGGAATGTGTTTCAATCATTGTTGGGCTCTAAACAGAGTTTGAGCACGGCACAACACCAACAGACGGACGGAAAAGTCGAACGGTGTATCTCTATCTTGAAGAAGATGATTAAACCGTACCTTAATGTACCGGGAGACGATTGGGTTGACAAACTGCCGTTGTTGGAGTTTGCCTACAACCGTACGCAGAACAGCACCAGATACTGCCCTTTCCAGGTTGATTTGGGTAGAATTCTGCAGGCGCCAATGCATTGGCAAGTTGACGCAAAAGTGTTGCAACGTATGGACAATATGTCGATCCCACTCTTGCATAAGTCACGACGTGAGCTCATCAAACAGATGGAGAAGCGTGCCGAGGCATACCGATCCATTGAACTCATAGTGCAGCAGAAACTGCCGGAAGCCCAGGACAAACAAGCGAAGTATCACGATCGTGGACGTCGTGTACAGAGCTTTTGTCCAGGAGATAAAGTCCTGTTGAACAGCGACGGGATAACGATCCCTGCGTTCAATAAGAAGCCGCTCAAGTTTAGACAGAGCTGGCTAGGACCCTTCATCGTGAAGAAGGAAGGACCACACCCGGAAACGTACAAGTTAGAGCTGCCAGCTTTAATGGGCGCTTTATACCCGGTCTTCTATACAGATATCTTGAAGCCTTGGCATGAGCCGACTTCAGGTCTGCTGCGCATCGACGATGTAGAGGACTCTAACCCAGAGCCTGTCCAAGTCGAAGGCGAGGAAGAATACTATGTCGATAAGATTATCGGACGTAGGTTGGTCCATGGAAAACCCGAGTATCTCGTTCAGTGGGTTGGTTACCCACCTGAGCAGACGACATGGGAAACGCATGAGCGAGTAAGAGGTGCGCTGCGTTAGACGACTCCATCTTGGTCCATGGTGAAGTAGAATCCGTTACAGATAAGCGAAAGCGGAAGCGCTCTAAGGGAACTGAGGCTCTGCGACACAAGAGTGCACGGTTGGCTGAGGGCCATGAATGATCTGTAGCCGGAGACTCAGTGGTGTGTATGCCCGGAGGTACACATAGGCGTTGACTCTGAACGACAGAGCTTCGTTGGCTCGATGGTTGCGTACATCCATTGCCCGACAACTTGTATTAGGCAACGTGCGATACAAAGCACACCCGTTGCATTCACAGCTGGGGTACCCGCTGCCGGTAGCAGGTAGCGTGGATGGCGTATACCATTGAATTAGAATGGTTTGCAAGCGTCGCTACCCACAACGGTCTTATGGAAAGCTTTCCTGAATGACACACTATTCTGACGTCCAGTTGGCAAACCATGGCTTTCAGCGAAAAAGCCATGGCTTTTTTGCATGGTTATTTGGACCGACGACGACAAGCACCATTAAGGATTGCGCTGGGTGCGATCCCGGACACTTTCATATTCTACTCTGCTGGAGATTGCTGGGCAGGTTCGCATCGTAGAATTTGGGGGGGGTGTAATGTGTGTTGGGTTGTCCGGTCTTATTGGAGAACGACGCGTCAGTGAAAGCCCTTACGCCCTAAGCACTCGGGCTTACGCCCTTCACGCTCAGGCTTACGCCCTTCACGCACAACAGTGTTCTCCAGTGGACCCCGACCACATGAGTACTATAACAGTGCTCGTCGCGAGTTCCTATTCACAACAAGTAGTTCTTTTACTACATACCGAATAGCAGCGCCGGCGAACACCCAGTCCGTCTACAATACCTTACAGCAAAGTAGTTATTGTACACGAACATCAGTTATACAACCCGTGTGGAAGGTAGTCCACATCACATCTGCGGTACCCTGTCCGCGCATATACTCTCGCAAACGCTTCACACAGTATCCTTATCACCGCTCACTGGCAAGTGATTCTGTTTGCATTGCTCCCTGAGTGCTGCCAGCGTGGACGCGTAAAGCCCAGTCTTTGGCTGTTTCCTCCCTTTGTTGCTGTTGCTGCGTTTGCCTTTCATGACATAAAAGTCATACCAACGCTCCTTCCTTGTTGTATCCGGCGCCAACTCTCCTTCTACCATGAAATCCCAGAAATAATAAAGGCTCAGAGCACCGAAGGCACAAAGTTGAACGTCACTATGGCGCATGAGCGCTTTGTACTCTGCTCGACCGACTCGATGCTCTTTGCCTTGCCACTGCGTGAGACTCAATAAATAGCAATCCGTGGGCCCCTCGCCTTCCATTTCCCGCAACCATGTATCGGCAAGTTGGATGAATCGCACGCTCTGCCCGCGCCCGAAGGTTGAATGCTGCATATAAAAGCAAGCCCGGTTTCACAAGCCGACGCCAACATGATGGTCTTTCATCCACCAGTCAGATAATTTCCGTTGATGCTCGCTTGTGTATTTGTTGAGCAGCGTGCCTTTCCCGCGGTCTTCGTATGTCGCTTGCCGGACGTTGTGTCGATCCTGTGCGATGCTTTTCAGCTTGTCCGTAACCACTGAATCTCGAGGACGGGGCCATGGGTGGACACCGCCAGGGCACCGCTTTCCTTGCTCCTTCCATAGAAACACCAGCGACTTGACACACTGCTGCACGGAGGCTCGTTTCAGCGGTGCAGGGCGCCCGTCAATCTTTTCCTTTCGATTGCCCCGAGGCAGCACCACTTCATTGAGGAAACAAATGACCTTATCGGCGTTGACCATCACTCCATCCGTATAGTTCTTCACATTCTTACACCATGCGGAAAACTTGATCTGGATGGGATCATAGCTCGCCCTTGTAGCAGGCGCCGATGCTTGGCGTGCCGCTGCGATTTCATTTTGTCGATGAATCGCATGAAGTGCGTTATTGCAGCCTTCATCAGACACAAAGCCCCCACGCAACAGCTGATTCTGCCACACGGCCGCAGCTGTCACTGAGGCTGGGAGAAGTCTAGGGTCCACAGTGCGCCTTTCCTTGGCGTCCATCCTTCTGTCCTGATAAACAGTCAACAAAAGCCGGTAGTCCAAAAACTCGCTTGAATTGAAGGCCTCCAAGAACAGAAGGGTTATTGCGTATCCAGTGGTGTCCGTGACAGCGTCAAGGATGGACGGACGGTCGCAGTGCACCCTCACAGACCTTCTGTCCGAATAAAGTGCTCCAGACGCTTGGAAATGAGGGAAACGGTGGAATGGCGGGCAAATAAAGGACAGAAGGTAGACGGTCGCCGGTCGCCAAACAAAACACGGAGGGGCAGCAAAAGAGAGCACCAGAGAGCAGAAGGGCAGGCACCGGGCAGTGGAGGGTGACCAAAACCTGATAAGTGAAAAATGGAATGGCAAATGGAAATGCTAAAATGCTCGAATGCAATGCCGAATTGCCGAACTGCGAAGGTAACTACTGTCATGGGGTGGCGGCTCCAATCAATCAACTGTTACTGTTCAACCGTAGGCCATACAGGAGGTATGTGTGACATCCATATCCTTTTTTTGGGTATGAAAACGTGCTACTAAGTGAGGTCTACTAGTCGACAGTTATATATACACTAGGAAGCGCGCTCGTGTGGCGCAGCGTGGCTTGCTGTCACGGCTGCGCCACCGTGACATCGGCGCATCCTATGTGACATTCCGTGACTAGAGTCCTATAAACACTGCCATCTACCGACCTACCATGACCTAGTCGGTGGCCCAGTTTGCCGTTGTCGGGGGCGATTCACCTTGCCTCCGTAACGGCGAGTGATCTTACCATCTGCCAATATTTCGCAAAATCACTCCACGTTGTTGACTAGTTGCTTCGCATTTTGCCCTGTATCCTGAAGAAGTCCGCTGCAGAAATTGTGATACGGATGCTCCAAACGCCGCGAGAGGTATTCGCGAAAAGGTGCGGCAAACGATCTCTCGGTCACTTGCAAACTGTCGGGGAGCTACTCCGGATTGGCCATGAGTATGACTCCGCCCGTCGGATGCTCTCCTGCAAAAGTCGCGCAAGAGCCAGATGGCATCTCCTTCGGCGAGCGGAGCCCTGGGCCGAGGGAGATGCCATCTGACTCGCGCGCGACTCCGATTCCTCGGATGTCCGGATGAAAATGCTTCTCTGCCCGGTGGGATTGAAGGCGGTGGAAGGGCCACTGGGGCCGGCCCCAGGGCTGCGCGCTCAGCGTTCCAAAGGGCTTCAAGATCTCGAGCTCGCGCGTGGAGAATTGTATTTCCACCGCACCCAGGATTTGCGATAGGGAGGCCGTCCTCGTCGCGAATCTCCAGACCCTCTGCTACAAAGTGAATAAACCTTGTCTCGGTAGGGGTTACCGGGACAAGTTGCTTGTGCACTTTGAAGTCGAGGTTGATCGGCGTTGTCCCCTGCAGCCACCGGAGAGTAAAGCGACCCCGCGAGTCGATCAATATACCCCGCCCTTCGAGGACAGTTGCGGGTCGCATCAACGCCGCCCTTTCCGGTGCGAATCGCATGAGACTCCTATCCCGCTGTCTCTGCGCGGAAAAGAAGCCATCGGGAAGACCCGCTCGGAGCTGTTCCCCTTTCTGAATCAACGCTCTCGTTCGGGCCTCCAGATCAAACATCCAGTTATCGTCTGTGGCGCCTTCAGGTGCAAACGCCCGGAGGATCGTGCAGAGCGGGTGTCGACCGTCACGAAGTCCACACTCTCGCAATGACCAGGCCATGTAGTAACGATCACGAGGAACTTGCACGGCCCACGCCTTCCAACCATTCTCGTTCGTTTGGTCGGCGAGGTGCATCATGGAATCGGGATAATGGAGTTAAAAGGAGATTCACTTGCAGGCGACGCTCCGCGCTACCGGGATCTCCAATAGACCGCTGACAACGCTGCATCCGCTCTTTACCGTTGACCTGCCGGGCCACCACCTCCTCAGCAGATATCGCCCTTTGAACGCGTCTGTGTTCTGCTCGTTCTCGTCCCCACACGTCCGCCAACAAACGCTTGGCTGTTGCAAGTTTTGTGAAGAGTGGCCCGAACCCTTCATCCATGGTAGGAGAGTCCGGACTCACTCTTGCCAGGACACGCCTGCAGAAAGCTCGACGATCCCACGTTCCAGGATTCTGCTGATACCCATCATCGAGTTCGTTCACCACTCGAAACATGCGAAGTGTGATGAGCCATGTCAGATCGTAAACTTGACGAAGCGCTGGTGGTTGGCGTCCGTATTTGTCAAAACCGGGTGCAGATGCGGCATGATTAGAATGTCCTGTGGGCCGGAGGTCCGGTCACATTTGGGTCGAGAACCCACCCGGTCGGCCCGGTGGATGAGATAAACGGGAGTCCCACGAAGTCAAGAAAGCAGTCCATCGGCAAAAAGTGCTTGTGCAGGATGCGTGCCTTCGCGCAGGATGCGACCAGATAGGAGAATGTAACGGCCATGAGGTGGCGTGTATATTTTATATATCGGCGGAGAAGCGACAGGCCTGCCGATATGCTCTCGTCAGACGGAGCGGGCCACGGGTGTAGATCGACGAACGGGAAGATTCTGCTATCAAAGTGGAGCCCTTCACTTGAGGAGCTCGTCTCAATTGCTTGATAGCGGCGTATGAAGTCCTTCACAATATGAGCAGATCGCGATTTGCCAGTCCAATACCCTTTCCCCCTAAAATACTCTTCTCTTGTGATGTCCTTGCCGATGAAAATGAAGGGAATATGTTTGGTATCCTTCCGACATCGTGGTATTGCCTGCTCGTACAGACTGGCGATTGCGTCAGCGGAGATCTCGTGGATGCCCGACCCAGTGAGCCCAGGCTCATTCTCAATGCACTACAACCTTGTCTCGCCAGTCCTGCGCCATACTTAACACAGACGCCGCCACCGCATGCGTGTCGCTGATGAAATTCGTCAAGTATTGATGCCTGGCTAGTGTTGATTCGGCAAGGCCATGGGATTCGATGTCTGGAACATAGCTAAGACATGCTCCTCCCAGTTGTCGATTCAGTAACGCATCTCGTCCGCCAAACAGGGCTGTGATCACATTTTCTCTGTTGTCACGGGCTGAGCTGGATGCAAAAGCTGGGTACCGGGCGCCGCCGACCTCGAAAACCTCCCCGCGGCCTAAGTGTCTGGGCCACGCTTTGAAGCAAGGTCAGGAAGTCGTTCATGATGGAGCTGCCATCTTTCATGTCCTCCTTGAATCGCTTGTATGGGGTAGATGGGGTGCGGCATTTCCCGACATATCGCATGAAAATCACCGGGCATTGACGGAGTATCATCAATACGTTTCCTAGGACTTGCGCTTCATGAACAGGCATCCCTTGTTCCAACCAGTGCTGAAGCACACGCTCTGCGTCTTCCTTGGCAACGGCCCAGCCCCTCACGTAGTGAACTTCCTGATCGTCCAGAAGGTTCTGCTCGTCCGGCCTTGGGAGCGCGGTAGATTCAGCCAACCCACCATGTCATTATCCGTTATAGTCATGTGATTGTTGGCCAGATAATAGTGTTGCGGGTCCAGTCATTGATCTCGGTGCCCGCGGGAATCAGGAACGACAGAGTTTGCAGATTGACATCGGTGGTATCGACACCTTCTTTGCCCATGCGATGTCGAAATTTTGAGAGGACCTGGCGCAAGGCTACATCACGGTTTAGGGCCAAGCGCCAAAGAGCGGGGAAAGATGTGGTGGTCTCGTACGACAACGTATGCGTTGACCAAACCGGCGTGTTTTTTTGATGCGTCTGCGAACTTGCCGCAAATGCGCTTTTGGAGTCGATTTCGACAATGGAGCAGGAGCTTTTGCTTATCGAGTTTGGTTGGGCTTACACGTTTCCTGCACGGGTCGCATTTCTTCGCTTTCTTCGCACTCGCCTTCCAGCCGCTTCCCATCATGATCCCACAGTCCTCGCACCAGGCCAGGCGGGCAAATAGGTAGAACTCGTCGGCATTTGCATCCTCCAGGTTCCAGAAGATCATCTTCCCCGGGAGGTTCAAATGGTACACCGGGGCCACCATCGGAGTCGGTAGTTCTAAGGGCGGGATCTTGACAACGCCCCCGACAACTGCAAATTGGGCCACCGACTAGGTCATGGTAGGTCGGTAGATGGCCGTGTACCGTATATGAACGTGTAGTGGGATGCCGGCCCATATACGTACAGATAGCGGTAGATGGCAGACTACAGATGGCGTATAGGTATGTGTAGTCTGCCCTGTATATGTAGCGATTAGGGTGTCGTGCGGTAGGGCCGCTACAAGCAACGCTTCAAATTCAATCCACGTAGCACATACTGTATATGTACAACAGTCAGGCTGCCAGATATCTGGTTACGACGCCCCAAGGACACATCATTCCGAGCATAGCTACCGGCTCAAGTTGCCGCCATGCAAACCCTTTCAGCACGACCGTTATAGATCAGGACACCATAGTTAACGCAACCTGACAGTGCGTATGCGCGCACAGAAACGCCCGCAGGTTCACGCGACAAATACACCTTTTCCTCACTCCGACGCCATTGCCAATGCGCCATTGCCATTGTGCCATTGCCATTGCGCCATTGCCATTGCGCCATTGCGAGTCCCAAACTGACTCCCCACAGCACACTGAGACCTCGTGGCCCATCACAGGCCCCTCCTGAGTGTGCCAATGGCCTCCCCGCGCTGGACTAGACGTGGTGGCACCACCCTCAACACCTACCAACACGTCTGCACCGGCCACCCAGTCAACACCAGCCACCCAGTCAACTCCGCTGCGCCGCTCACCTAGATTCACCAACACTGCCAACCCGCAACACCTGTTCCCTCCTGTTCTCTCTTGCCCTCGTGGGAAGCCCTTGACCATAGAGGAAAAATATATGGTTGTCAGAATGGCGAGATTCCTTTACCTTCACGCAGACAACTATCCCGGCAACCCAGCTGCACTTGACGCACGTGGGAGAACGGCAGAGGCCTGTGGAGTTGGCAACAAGACCGTCACAGCGCTTTGCAAGGGGTACCGTGAAACCCAAATCTTTGAGAAGTCCGTTGACAAGAGGGGAAAGTACGAACGTCTCCGACTGAACCACCGTGCCATGAAAATTGATATCCGAGAGCTGCTTCATACTCTCAACGCTGGAGGCTCCCCAGTCTCGTCAAACATTGTGCGCCAGCGTATGGTTGAGCTGTGGAAGGTCAACATATCGACAAAGTCTATCAACCGTATCCTTAAAGGGCTTGGCTTCAGCTGGGCCAACGCTTCAGCCGGTCAGTCATACACTGAAACCCTTGAGATTCACCGTAAGCGCTCAGAGTATTTGCGAGCAAGGATGGAGATGCGTACCAATCCGACTGGCGAGATGGAGATGTGGCTAGATGAAACATACTGCAATCAGCACCATGTCCAGCGGAAGACGTAGTTGGTGGACGCAACTACAATAGTGAAGAGAGGCAACAAAGGACCCAGACTCATCATTGTGCATGCGGGAGGCCCTGATGGGTGGGTTGGAGAACCCGTTGTCTTTGCTGCCACTCAGTCACAAGGAGATTACCATGACAGGTATTTGAGGCGCTATGTGATCATTGCACCAACAAACTTTTGCGCAAAGCAGTTTTCATGATGGACAACGCTTCCTACCACCGCGGTTTGGATGAGCCCCGCCTTAACAGCATGAAGGCGGAAGAACTGATGACCATGTTGAAGGAGAAGTATGGCGTGAATGAAATGGAGCTGCAGGTCCTGTTGAAGCGGATCAGTAAAAAGACAGGTCTTGGATGGAAATGGGCAACAGTGGCATCGATGCAGGCTATGGCAACCGAGAGAGGCTACAATCCCCGCATCAAGTGTGAACTCATCGCCGCGAGATACGGACACCGCATTCTTTGGCTTCCCCCTTATCACTGTGAGCTGAACCCGATTGAGCTTGCATGGGGACATGTGAAGAATTGGGTGGCGCAGAACAACGACGGGAGCAACTTCAAGAAGGTTAGGGAACTGGTGCTTCGAGGATTTGACCAGGTTTCCATGGAGTCATGGAAACGGAAGGTTGCAAAGGCCGTGAGATGGGAAGACTGGTATATCCAGAAGAAGCATGTTGTTTTGAACGATCAACTGGCCGCTTCTACGCCAACGTCACTGGTTATTGACTGGGAGGATGGTGACAGTGATGTGAAGGATGTCTTGGATGCTGAGATTGAGGCATCGATTGAGGAAGAAGGCATGTTGGGGGATGAATAGGCAACATTTTGCATTATTTTTTTTCTACTGAATAGAGAGATTGTCGGAACCGGACTTGACACTGTTACTTTGTCATGATAGTCTGTGTGTTTGACAAAGGAAACTTGTGGAAAAAAGAAACCCGGCGATTCCGCTGGAAAATACTGTCAACCAGTTTCTTGGCTCTATGGGGCGACGCGGGTGCACGCCCGTCAATTTGCGTTAACTATGGTGTTGTGATCTATAGCCCAGGGCAAGATTGACAGCCGGTGACTCTGGGTTGCACAGGGAGGCTCAACAACCCGTCGTAATGAGATAGCTTGCAGCCTACTATATACAGTAGGTGGCCAAAAGTCCGCGTACGACGCGACAAGGACACATCATCCCCCAGCATAGCCACCAGCAGAAGTCGCCACTAGTCGCTGGCTTGCCTGTCCATCTGGAGAAGTACGGAAATTGACGGCACCTGGTCGTTGACTTTTGCGTTGCACATGGAGGCTTGGCGAACCCGTCGTACCCGGACTTTTGGCCACCTACTGTACTGTACCCTCGCAAAAAGCTGGCTCCCCTCAAAATCAAGTCTCATCAGTGTCGCCATGAAGAGTGGTTGCGGTTGGCCAAATGGGACGCTTGAGAAGTGTCAGGCATATCAAACCATGGTATGTGAACAATGTGCTTTGCTCAATGTTAGTTATGGAAGGCCCGCGTGGCCTAATGGATAAGGCATTGCCCTCCTAAGGCAGGGATTGGGAGTTCGAGTCTCCCCGTGGGTGCGTATTTTTCGCTCTTTTTTTCTTTTCGTTTGTTTCGCCCTCCCACTGTTCGCTCGGCATGTGGGAGGGCATGCCGGGAACAGTGGTGTTGCGGCGCAGAATTCTTCGAACGGAAAACTTGCGTTTGTACGTTGGCGTGGGTTGTTGAGAAAAACCCACCGAGCGATTTTGTTCCCCCAGCGCTGGTTCATTTTGAACGACAACATGTCTTGCGGGTCCACTTGAATTACAGGAAACGGTGAGGCAGGTCTGAGAAGATCGCCGGAAGTGCAAAAGGCGGGCCGATTGATGTGTTGTGCGATGTGGTTGCCATCTTGTCCGAGACGGCTGCATAGGTCAGGTCAGAGATGGGTTGGGAGCCATGAAACTCTTTAATCCGCTTGTCGAGCAGATCCTCGCTACGGGCCCCGAGTCCAGGCACAAATCTGCGAGTCCTGGGCGATTCTCATCATTTCCGACTTATTGCATGATCGCAAGACCTGGCTGTCGCTTGGAATGCCTCGATACATTGACGCTGTTGACGGGCAAGGGAAGACAACGTGGGAGAGAGAATTCGACACCGGCCACGGACCTGTTGTGAAGACCAAGGCCTTCCCAGCTTTGCCGACAGCTCTCTGACCCTGGCTCCACCTGTTGGCCCCATCAAGGTTTACCTGTCCCCGATGCTGACGAAATCTGTTTTGGACAACTGTGGCTGCTTTGCGCCAATAGCACTTTTAATCCCCTATGGGAGCCGCCGTAGGTTCAGCAAGCGGTGGAAGGCCGACAGCGCGCATCTTCCTATCGCCGCAAGCAGTTCACGGGCTACGGTGACATGAAACATACCAGGTAGCATGGGCCAGGCAGCTTCACGACGGCGATCATATAGTACTTAGATTTATATCGAAGGAATTATTACACATACGGCGCGAACCACAAGGAGGAAATGAATGCGAGAAATGAGAATACAGCCAAGTCGGTCATCAACCGTTCGGCAGCCAATTAATGGCGAGGAAAACATACATCCGCCACGAAATTCCCCCTTTCCACATCCAGCGGATTACGTACACTAAGAGAACCCTTGGCCCCAACCCTTGCATCAACACCGAATCCCCGCACATTTGATTTCCCTCAAGCACGCATCAAACCAATTACAAACGTAGCCAAGATAAGCGGAACGCCGAGGATGGAGAACGCCATGTGGACCAACGGCTCGCCGTACGAGACTGCGACGATCTTCCAGGTGACCGAGAGGAGGAAGAAGGTCCAGAAGAGGATCATAAGGGTTTGGGTTGCGCCGACTAGAGTGAATAGGTTCAGGTTAATGTAGGTATGACCGTGATAGGGCGATGATGGCAATTGGAAGTTTGTGAGGAAGACGTACCAGCAGAGATGAGGACAGCGGCCGGGAACAGCATCAAAAGCGAGTCCCGCCCAATTTCGGAGGCGCTCTGGAGCCTCGACGCCTAGAATCGTAAAGCCAAATGAGTCCACATTCATCGTTGGCGGCCGCTATCCTACGAGACGTACCCATGAGGTCTGAGCCGAGCGCTCAATTTCTTCGCCCATAGGCAGCTGCACGGAGGTAGGCGCGGCGCCGGCGCGAATGGCGCGGATGATGTGGAAAGCAACTTGTGCGAGCCACCTGTGAGAAGAAACCAAGCTTAGTCAGGGTGATCCGGAACTGATTGATCTTGTGGTAGTGAGCGACACCGCATACGAAGCCCGAGACAGCCGAGAGCTTGCATAGAACATGCTTGGCCCCCGGATTTCGATAAACGATCGCCATGCGCTCGCTAAATCGCAGGTTGAGAGCATTCCCCAACCTTCTGCCCATCACCCCCTGTTCTCAAAACTTACCAAACAAGAAACGAGAACAAGAACGCATACCAAACGCTCAGCGCATGGTTGTTCAACGCAATGTCGTTTTCAGAGCGGGAGGCCATCATTCCTTTGTTTCTGTATGTCTTCCAGAGATCGAGTTTTATGTTTGAGCTTCGTGCTGGTCGTTTAGAGTCGAAGTCGGGTCTGAAGGTTTGTGGTCTTGAACGTGAGATATAGCAAGTTGGGCTGCTTTGAAACGGAACTGAAAAGTCGCAGTCCATGAAGTTCGCGGAGGTTCCTAGCCCACCTCCACACTTTCTCCAGCAATGACGCACTTGTCGCAGTCTGCCCCGTCTTGGAGGGAGGGTTTGCCCAATGTGTGGGGATGATGGGGGGACGAGATCACGGTTGACGGCATGGGAACTGTCAAAACGCTGTCACTATGACTTGCAGCAGCCACGCCACAATTTCGCGCCTTCCATCACGTATACCACAGTCATCACTCGCACTTCATATTGTTAGTATATATACAAGCGAGAAATACACCTTGCAAATAACATCAACCTAGTTTCCTACATGAACGGAGGAGGACAATGAGCCTCTCAAGGAGGTAGGGGAGTCGGGTCGGATGATCTATAAAACATGGACAGAAGGCTCACTTCTCTCCCGCCTCGACGCCCTCCTCAGGCTTGTGCTGATGCTGCTCAAGCACAGCGACGGCCTCATCGACCTTGACCTTCAGAGCCGTTGTATCCTCAAGCAGATGCAGCAGCTCACTCTGATCCATCTCCAACAGCATGCCCGTGACTTTCCCGGCATGGACCGTCATGTCGTTTATCAGTGGGAACAAGTTTTCACCGAGTGTGCGCTTTTGCTGGTCTGGCGACATTTCAGCAAGGACCGCACTTGTTAGCGGTGTCTTAGCGGGAGCAGCTCCGTTAGGGGTGCTTTGAGCGCTTACGGGTCCGTTGCGCGGATGAGGGCCGTTGTATCTGTACGGGCCTGTGCGAGGTCCACGCCCAGGCTGCATGTATGCCATGCCAGGCTGACCTTGGGGAACGCCGTTGGGGTAAGCTTGTCGGGTATACTGAAATGATTGGGATGTCATGAGGTTAGGCCGTGTCCCAGGGGGACCTCGCTGCTGTTGCTGACGAGGTCGGGCGCCAATTTGCGGAGCAAATTGCACGGGAAGCGGGCCAGGTTGCACCGCAGCGTAAGCGCCAACAGGGATTTGGGCTTGACCCGGTTGTGCGGGACCTTCCGAGCCAGGACCAGCCCACCGACGCGAAGCCATGGGTGGAGGAGGGTATACCACCCCTGCTCGCGACGGATGAACCATGCCATGCGGTGGATAGAACGAGCCGGGATACGTGCCACCCATTCCCATGGTTTGCTGCATGCGCATTTGTGTTCGTTGCAGCATTTGCGCATCGATATGCTGACGACGGACCTCCTTGCGTTGGGCAAGAGCGACGTAAATGGGTTTGGAGCAAACGATGCGGGCGTTCATCTCTGTAACAGCCTTTGTCGCTTCTTCTGGAGAGGAGAAGCAAACAAAGCCGAATCCGCGGGGGGCGCCGGTCTTTTCGTCTCGCATGACCTTTGTCGAGGTAATGGTTCCGCATTCGGCGAATAATTGGCGGAGGCCCTCATCATCGATACTGTCATCGAGGTTCTTCACATAGAGGTTGACGCCTTGATATTTGATCATTCTTTCTTCGCGAGCGCGATCAAACTTGCGACGTAGCTCCTCTTCGCGTTCGAACTTTTTCTGAGCACGGTTGACGTAAAGCTGCTGGCCGTTGACCTCTTTCTCGTGCATCTCTTCGACTGCCGCGCTGGCTTCCTCGTGCGTAGAGAAGTTGACGAACCCAAATCCACGACCTTTGCCGTCTGGCTCACGAGCTACCGATGAAGACGTAATCTTCCCGAATTTTGCAAACAGTTGCTCAAATTCCTCGTCGGTGATCGAGTCGGTGAGGCCCTTCACGTATAGGTTGGTAAATTTCGCCCGCTGCTCTTCAAGTCTGTTCAGGCGTTCCTTCTTCGGGATGTGATATCCCACAAAGCTGGAAGAGAAGGGAAGAGTCAGGGTTAGAGACTGCTCATAGGGATGTTCGACGGTATGATGCACATCACGCTTACACTTTACGTTCGTTGAGCAGCATTCCATTGAGGTTTCTGATAGCTTCATCGGCCGACTCGGATTCCTCAAAGTGCACAAATCCGTAGCCGCGCGACTTTTCACCGTCCATGGCAACCTTGCAGCTCAAGATCGGTCCAAAAGTGGTAAACACTTCGTGAAGCGCACGGGTATCAATCAACGGGTCCAAGTTCGAGATAAATATGTTTCCGGCGCCTGATCTGCGTGACGCTGGATCCCTTTGGGACCACATGAGGCGCATAGGGCGGTCCTTGATAGGAGCATAGTTCAACGCCTCCAAAGCCCGTTCCGCGTCCGCAACCTCATGGAAGTTGACGTACGCGTAGCCCAGGGAACGGCGAGTCACAGCATCACGGCAGACGCGAATGGAGGTGACGGGACCGATTGCATTGAACGCCTCGAACAGCTGTGCTTCCGTGACAGACGCATCTGTCGCAAAAAGGGGAGTCAGAATCCGACGTACGCGTTCCAGCTCCGCCTATAATTTCCAGAAAATACCTAGATCGCCCACATACAGACTGGCTGTGGCAGGTGTAGGACGTTCGAGGTCGGACGGAGCTGCGCCATTGGGGAGTTGGGCAAGAGAGGCGGGTTGCGGGAAAGCATTGGCAGTACCAGGCTCAGCAGCAGCAGCAGCGGCGGTCACATCGGCTGCCTTCGTGGGAGCGACGCGTTGCGCAGGAATTTGGGTCTCAGTGGGAATGGCGAGAGAGACTTTCTCGGGAGCAGCTGTAGCGGCCATGTTTTTCGAATTTTTTTCCGAGGAGTTTTGAGAAGGAGGTACCGTTACTGTCTGCGTAACCGAAATATTGTTTAGGGGCAATTGCGGGTTCAGAAGAGCCTGCTTGCTCGAAGACAACGTACCGGGACGAAAATTGCGGATCAACCGAGGACTTTGCGGGCGCGAAGGAATAGAAGAGAGCTTCACAATTAAGGAGTCTCTTCACGCAAAACTCGATGAAGGGGTTTCCGGATTGTCCAACTCAGCAAGATTTGGGCAGGTTTCCCCGTTGCGGTTTCTGTTCCGCTGGATTTTTTTTTTCTATGCTTTTAAGAAGAAATATGGAGAAGGCGAAGGCCGTTTTCGTAAACTTTTGGAAAGCAAAGAGTCCCAAAGTTGCAGAAGACGAGCTGGGGGTTTTTTGTTGGTTTTTTTGGGGGATTAAGCCAAGGGATGGAGCAGGCACCAGAGCAGTCCCCTCTAGATCTAGCAGCCTGTGGAATATCACCAGCGACTCACGTGTAAAATATGCCGTCGCGACTTTCGGACACTTCGGACACCCCACGCAAGCAGGCATCAGGCAGATCGGAGAGAAGGGAGAACGAAAGCTTTGCAAAAAAGGACTTCATGTACTGTATGTGCAGTATTATTGAGGTATATGGGTGTCGCTAAAGAGACAGAATGCCAAAGGAAAGAGAGATTCATATACAAAGTGGGATGGGAAGATTATCATCGCTTCGTTATATCGATATCTAGTTCCCGATGGTAACCGCTTTGTTGACCCATTTGGTCTTCTCGGCGCCTACGCACTGGGTTGCAATGAAATGGCCAATGTCGAGACGACTGACGGTATACGAGACTAGGTGCTCGTCCACTCTGTATTTCTCAGTCAGGTCGCCGTTCGTGAGAAAGGCTGGGCGCACCAGAATGAATTCCCGCAACCTCCACTCGTCTGCGGACGCAATGTGTGTGAGCCCATCCTGCTGCAAGTCCTTTTCGACTTCGGGGTCAATGTGAGGGAGACCAGCCGCGTGGAAAACGGTGCCTTCCAACTTGATCTTGTCAGCATGCGGGTGGTGCAGCATCCACGAGTACATAGGCCTCATCACCAGTGGTAGTTCCCGGTGTCCAATCGGCCCCAACCCACTCGATGAGACAGCCACCAGGCGGGCGTGAACGCCGGTCTGTTCGGATTGCTCACGAAGCAGTGGGATGATGTTGCTGATGCATCGCTCGGTGATTTTGGCGGGGACGATCGGAGGTCTGAAAGGGTTCTGCTTGAAGTCCAAATTACGACTGCCGATGCTGAAGATGACGGTGTCGACGGGAGCGCCAATGCTTTGGAACGCCGTTCGTACACTCTCGATGTCGAAGCAGTCGCCGGATACGGTCTTGACTCGGTCGTTGCCCTTGAGGCGTTCGTCGAGCCCTTCCGGGTTGCGTAGGAATAGAGTGAGGTAGTTGACGGGATCCTGGAGGAGGAAAACGGCCGCTTCCAGGCCGCAGCCGCGGGATGCGCCGAAGAAAAGGATGTGCTTGATGGTTGTGTCGTTGGTCATATCGTTCAATTCAGCGCTGGTTGAGGGTATTGAAAGGCGGCTTTTGAAGAGTATACCGGACGCAGTGTGTGTTTGATGTGTTTGCTAGCCGATGCTTTTGCGAGTGTTGATGGTGAGAACAGGAACTCCGCAAATCCTTCGTTCCTTTTATAGCCGGCAGACTCTAGGAACTAGATCCAAAACTGGGCGAGGGAGGCTCTTGGGCACAGCGGCTTCAGCGCCGCCGGAACCCGCCAACAATCGCTTCACCCCGATACGTTCGTTGTTAAGTGCTCCGCCCACGCCAAACGCAAGGGGAAAACGACAAGCCCAGCTCCATCTCTCCGAGTGAATATTTACCAGACCCCGCTTAGCGCTATTGCAATCGATGACCGATATGGACCGATAAATTGCCACCATATGCGGACCGCAAGCTGAGAGCCGCTCAGCGGGATCGCCGGATCTACGAGCCCAGGATTGCTCCCATATGCGTATGCGGCAAGCTGAGAATCGTGGACTTTGAACATGAATCACAACCCGCCGTCACCCTTGTGCGTGGAGCCACGTTCCACGCGTCACCCAAATTCGACGCGGCGGTGGCAGTTGGCGAACGGAAGCGGACCTGGAAAGCTTGTCTACAGTAGGCTGCCAGATATCTCACATGTGGCTCAACTACCCGTCCTAACGAGATATCTGGCAGCCTACTGTGCTATACTGTACAAGCTTAGGGCCTTCAGAGATCTGAATGTATAGGACCACCTACAAACCTCCACCGTCCAAGCGGAAGTGCCACATAATGCGGGGCTCAGCTCAGCGAGGGGCGGGAGGGAATTGCCGGGCGGGTGCGGCCTTGGCACGGCACATCGACCGGTATGGCGTAAAGAAGGAAAGCGGATTGTTGCCACGTCAATTGCTCATTATTGCAGGAGATTGTTGCTCAGGAAGAAGATGGTGTACGACCAAGAAGTGGATGCACTGGGTTTCGACAAGCATTGTATATTTCGGAATATGGGACCGAGCTCGGCGCCCCTACGCCAGTGATGAGGAGGAAGTTGAAGCGTGTCCTTCGATGTACCGCATATGTCGCAATGCATGGTCGTTAAACGGCTCGGTCTTTACATATGCGGTGCAAGCGACGCATTACGGGAAAGTGCTCGCTGAACGTACGGGGGACATTTTGGTCGAGGGGAAAGACTGCGGGAGACCCGTGCCAAAGAAGGTCTGCTTGGATTCCACTTTTATCTCACCACCTCTTGCAGTTGTCACCCTTCGCAGACCTCTACGTGGACCGCAGGGAATCATAGGCCTGGAGACGAGCACCGTTGCGGTTTTGGCCTCTATATCCGTCTGCATCAGATTGGAATTCAGTTGTGCGTGAGCTCACCACGGATACCTCCACGCGTTATCGGAGACGAGTAACTTACGTCTTCGTGCGCAAAGACACGCTGCGGGTGCCGACCGCTCCTGCCCACCCCGTTGATACGCAAAATGAGGACCCGCCCAGCCCGCATGAACTATGATCGGAGAACAGCATCATATACTTCAGCGTGCCCCAACACGACTCTTTGAAAGATTCAGACGTACAGTACATATTCGTACACCGCGCCCGTTTGTAAGCTTTTCCGCTGTTCGGCAAGAGGCTCTTAACTAACTTGCCCGACGGCCTTGTTACGGGAGCGCGTGGGTTGTGCATTCTGCGACCAACTCGTCCCTACCGTGAGAACATAAACCCTACCTGTGAGCGCTACATCAGATGGATTCACCACAATACCAAAACATCAAAAAAACAGAATGGTCATGTGTGGGACGTGTGAGAGACATAGACTGACGACGGGGATGCTTCACACGCTATACAGCTCTATCTGTAATCTATGGAAGATTGTATCCCATCATTAGATGCTATTCCCGACGAACGTCCAGGGTCCCATTGAACGCTGAACCCTAAGCGACGCGAACGAGGCACCTATAATCTTCCTGAAGCTGTCCCCGTTTGAAGCACTATCCACCTTCCCCACATGCAGCTATTTGCCATCCAATCCCCTCCTCGATCGCCATAATCTCCCTGCAAAGGTCGTCGCAAAAGAAAAAGAAGAACGCAGGAACAGAACCTAAGAATTCTGCTGCCGCCCCACCATAAACGAAATACGCCGATCAAAAAGACTAAATACAGAAGGCGGCGATGCAGGCCGCCCATGGCTTCCGTCTCGGTTCCTGAACGCGCGCCCGTTGCGTTCGCCTATAACGCTAGGCATCACTTTGGCGGCGGGCGGGGGCGAGAACCCTGGCGGAGGCGGGACCGTTGGTGTCTTTGTTGTTGGTGTGCTCGATGGTATGAAGGGCTTGGCGGTTATGAACTGGGCCATGGGTATTCCTGTGCGAGGAGGTTTTGCCGTTTCCGGCGTGACGACTGGGTTGGTCGGCTTGGGGGCTTCGGTGACGTGGTCGGCCCACCCGGTGGGCTGAGGGCGGAATCCGAAATCCAAGCCGCTTTCGAACGGACTGTACCATTGTTGATCGGTATGGAGCGCATCCGACTCGGGGCTCCTCACATCCGCCACGCTTCTCGGCGGCATGGAGTCTGCCATCATGTACGGGGAGCGAACGGTATGCTTGACTTGTAAGTCCCGCTCGTGATCATAGAAACGTACTCCGTTCAACGAAGGTCGCCTTTGCTGAGCCTGATGTCGAGACTCCAACAATACGTCTTCATAGCTGGGTGGTGGCGGTGAAGGCGAGACACTCCGGGACTTCTTGGTTGTCAAGGCGGGCCAAGTCGCATTCTGTTTGATGTTGTTGAACGAGGATGGTTTGTCTTCGGCAGCATTGGCCAGTGGTGATTTGCTGACGAGCGATGGGCGTGTTTGTGGAGATGTGATGGATGTAGAGTACAGGGTGTTTGGTTTGTGGGGTATGATGGTTGATGTGCGTGGGCCTGGGGGTGACGGTGTGGAAACGCTTCGATTGTGTGCATTTGCTGACGTTTTGCTCTGATTCACATTGATGTTCGATGAATGGCCGATGTGGTTCTGCGATGCGTTGCTGTTATCAGCCGGCTTAGCGGATTTGGTTGGGAGATCTTTGCCAACGGGTGACACTGATGTACGATTGTGCGCTTCTATAGTGGTCTCGTTGCTCGCGACAGGCGGTTTCGGCTGCTTAGACGCTCTTTTCTCCTTCGCAATGCGCGATGGAGCGGTTCCCGTTGCCGACGACTGCGCATCACGATGCGGTACATCGCTAGCACTGTTCTCAATCAGGGGATCGGAAGATACATGTCGACGATGACGGTTCTTTTTCCGTGATGACGATGACGAAGACGGCGGTACGAGAGCTCTTCGTGAATCCGGATTTGTGCGCGTTTCTCTATCTGCCGACTTGGCAGCACTGTCGCTGGCCAATGACTGCGTATTTAAAGGCGTATCTCCAGCCACGACAATGTCCACCGATGGCGAAGTCACATTTACTGAAGGGTCGTTAGGTGAGAAAGGAGAGAAGCTTGATTTTGCATCGTCAACTTCCCCTTCTTCCATTGACTCCGCTCCATCAACCATGGAGTCGTTGGGGTTTTCAAACAAGCGCTGGCCTCTCAAGGGCCACGTCCCGCTCTGGGTTCGTATCGAGGATGTTGCCGTTAGGTGTCCGTTTTGCCTCCTTACTACGGAGGCAGTTGAGTGAGGATCAAATTTCGATTTAGGAGGTGGTGTAACTGGGTCAATGCTGAGAATGTGGGATGCTTTCGATATCGATAATCTCCGTAGTTGTGTTGCACATGCTTTGAAAGAAGTCTTCTCGAAGAAATGGAACAACAGTAATTAATAATCCTAGTCTGATGGAAAATCGGAATTGCTTCGCCAGATTGAAGAAACACCCACCATAATGGCACCGTGTGCATAAATCCCCACGAATGCAACCAGGAGTGTCACTGGAGCCCACCACCAACGCCGCCATCGACTGGAGTAGCCGACCGCTCCTTCGAACGATGAGGTGACGGGCAGACCAAGATCTTCGCCATGAATGTTGTGGTGCGCATGGGATCCCGCGGAAGCTTGCGGCATGATCAACGAAAGCAGTGACGCAAAGCAAAAGAGAGCCACCATCGTCTGCTGAATGTGGCAGCGGGTGCGTCCTTCTCTAGTGCCTCTCCTCGTCATTGTGGCATTCACGCAGAAGTCTTCGGGGTTGGTGATCGGCGTAGTCCCTCGTTTTCGGCAGGAAACGGTGGAATGAGGAGCCGAGTCGTCGCCGTGATCGCAAGCCGATGGCGACTGGGGGTCTTCAGATAAATAAGCGGAGCTGAGCAGAACCCTCGGTAGCTAAACCCTTCTTCGGCAGGGTCCAGTACGTAGAGTAATGTCTGCAGGAAAAAAGTTTCCGTCAAAATCCAGGGAGTCCCTTTTCCGTGTTCCTTCTTCTAGGGTTCTTGTATTTTTGTTGTCCTCGCGCAGCACTCCTTCGCGACCGTCACTGGAGGAGGATACCGTGCACAAGACACAAAACCCAGTCCTTTGTGCTCTCCTTTTTGTTCACGCTGTCCCACCTCAATGTGCATGCCATCAGGATTCAGGCATTGTGAATGTTCCTTTCCTCTCCCGACGCGCATATGGCAGTGGTCCAAGTCCCATCGCCGGGCGTCGGACGGCGAGTTGGGGCCGACATCCGAGTCTAAACCAGCATACCGCTGCTCCGGCTCCTTTGTGGAATGCCTGCGTGCCAGATGCACGGGTAAAAAGAAACGCAAAAGAGACACTTGGACTGTTGGACATGCTGTTTTTGCGAGTACTACAGCACTGTGGGTACCGGAGAACTTGTGATCATTGGCTTCCGTGGGGAGTTGCCTGATGGAAACCTGCAAATTTTGACCTGCCCACGCGAGAGAGCGTCTGGAGGCTCGCTTTTACATAAAGCGGGTCACGTGACCTACCACTGTGGAGTGTAAACGCTCCGAGGTCCTGGAAGACAGACGAAGCCTCTAAATACAGTACAACGGCGAGGCGGTGGGAAGGTGGGGATAATATGCAACGATGGCTTTCAATAAGTCTCAGTCTTCAATGTAACCGGCGGTTGCAAACGCGCGTATTGCACGTGCCCAGCTCGTCGGTGCATGTTGAAATGGGTTGCGCTGGCAGTCCACTTGTCAAATGTAAATAATAAAGCATCTCGCGAACAATGTCATCAGCAGCAACAGAAGGGCAGACTTATCAGCTCGACTTGGGTAAGCGGGACCAGCAGCGCTCCTCTCCTCCTCCCCTTCACTCCATGAAATTGTATACTTACGCAGGGACTCCCACTCAGGCCATCAAGAAATCGAGCGCATTGTGGACGAGCTAGAAAAGATCTACAGGTCAACACCCGGAAACGACCACTGGCTCCCTGCCGAAAACGTGGCCCAGCTCCTCTGCACCCAACTAGGCTACGAGGATGTCGACGAGTTCGAGGCCTCGTTGGAGGGCAACTTCTCCGACTTTCTCAAAGTGATACCACTGGTGGAAACGAAAACAGACGACACTGGGAGACTCGTCTTCCGCTTCAAGCCGGAAGTGCCTCAGTCGGAATGGGTGGCCAGACGATGGACGTTAAGGATTACGGACAGGTCGCAGTTGTGGTGGGTGCTGTACAAATCGCCACACGCACGGATAGAGATCCCGGAACTCGAGTTTGAGATTTCGGCGGATGGCAATAGGCGGATCGACACCTTATACGTAAGTTCATGGACTAGGCCCCAACGCTTCTCCAGTTCAGGGATCTCACACTTTCGCATCGCCAGAACCATATCGGCGCGGCAGTCTTCAACCTAACAGAGCACATCCGAGGCTCGGACTTACCCCCAGACCAGCAAGAGAAGACGTTGGACTGCATCCAGGGCCTCGAAACGATCCTGGATGTGGATAAGCCTTTCACTATCGTTGTGCATGATCCGTCTGGGCTGAGCGACTTTTCGAACACGAAGGATTTGGAGGCTGAGTATGGGATGACTATGACGTTCGATTAGCGTACCTCTCGCTCACAGATGGGTTATGTAGAGATGGGGAGTACCCTTTGAAGACTGGGATACACAGAATGCGGAGGCGATAGATAGAACTTAGCCACTAGCATGCTAGCATAGCTACGAGCCTTCAGAGATTTCACTTGCATGTCGGCCGACGTGAGGTCTCAAAGGGGAGAAAACTCATGGAATCAAATGTTGGATGTGATGCCAAAGATGAAGAACCTCCCAGCAAACACTTTGTAAAATTACTCATTGAACCGCTGTTCCAAAATATTCCGCCCGAAAGGAACCACTCAAGTGTTCGTCCGATTTCGGGTCATTTCGACCCTGGTCCTCGCCAGAGATCTTTTCAATATTTAACCTAACGCCGAGGTGATCCGATACGTATCCGGACCCTCCTCCCAGTTCCATCACCGTGTCCCCAAACACAGCGATCCCCTTCATCTCATACGTGGGATGTGAACCAGCCTTCCAGTAAAACCTATCAAATCGCGCCGGAGGGTATTTGTCGGAGGGATAATTTACGCCAATTGTATGCCCAGGCGCATCCAAACCCCGAACAGTCAGCCACGCATCCTTCCAACCCCCGCCAACAAACGCCAGATCCTCGTCTGGATTCGAGAAATTGAAGTCCCCGCATACAATGGAGAACTGGTACCCCTCAGACATTCCGAGGACCTTATCGAGTTCGAGAACCTGTTCTTTCCGTACAGGTGCAGAATCCCGCAAGCTGTCCAAATGAACCGTCGCGATAACCGCCCTAGCCGACGCCGACAGACACACTGTCACACACAGAAGGTTTCTCCCCATCCCCGTCGGAAGCGGATATATCTCAACCCCCTCCATCGGCAGCCGCGAAAGGATAACAACCCCATAACGCCCCAGCGTCCGTCCCGTCGCGTCCGTCGTGTAGTACTCGCCTCGGACAAATGGGTCGCTCAGCAAGATCTGGAGCCCGCGCCCGGTGACTTCTTGCAGGCAGATGATGTCGGCGGAATGGTCGCGTAGGAGGGTGAGGAGGCCGGACATACGGTGGTCGAAGAGAGAGCGGTCGGTGGGGGAGGGGTCAAATACTGTTCCGCCTTTAAAACAGACGTTGTAGGTTAGGATTCGCATGGCATCTGGCGACTTGGACTCTGTGAGATTTGAGAGGGGAGGAGCAGGTCTCCATGCGTCGTTGGTGAAGCGGTAGGAGTGCATCGTTGCTGTCACAGGATGCACGCCAAGACTCAATGCGTGCAAGGAAGATGCGATTACGCTTGTTGCGTTGTGAGAGTTTGCACTGTACGCCGTATGACGAAGACCATCTCGCCAACCTGTTTATCCTGCGACTCCGAGTTGGGCGACGATGGGGCTGCCTGGCAGTGCTGCTGGCAGTGCCTGCATCTCTCTGTTTCTCAACGCGTTCATGACGCCTGTCTGCAGTGCGAGAACTTGCTCACAAAATCTGTTGTTTGATATACCGCATCTTATCGATGTCAAATGGAGCCATGAAGACAGTAATGCGTATGTTTTGATCAGACATCCATTAAGTATCAAGTAAAGTAGAAAATGTATCCTATATACAGCGAAAAAGTCCGGAGTCCAGCTTCAAGCGGGATGAATGGGGGGGAATCAAGCAAGAAAGTGCACCACACATATCCCAATCCCAGTGTATATACGCGACACGAACCCAAAAAGGTGTCACATGCGCACTACACGTCCGTGACATTACCGACGATGACAGTGCCCACCGAGTCCGTCCGTGGTGGAGCCGGGGGCGCCTCATCCGCTCGGGTTGCCGCGACGGTCCCGTCATCGAGAATCGCAATGACCTCGACTTTGGGCGCCTCAGGATTTGGCGGGGGGATGTTCTTAACAAACATGATCGCGCCAAAAAGTGCAAGGAGAACGATCCCCGATGCGGTCCAGATGGCAGCGTGGTACCCGTTCATCAACGTTTCATTATCGGCCGTTTCCGTGTCCGGTATGACGGAGGTGGCGACGACGGTAGTGATAGCGAGTCCGAGTCCACCTCCAATCTGGAACCCGGTGTTGAGGAGCCCGCCGACGATTCCGACCAGATGCATGGGCGCGACGCTTATCGCGACGACGGAGGCGGAGACGTAGGTGGAGGACATGCCGAGGATGCCGACGATGAAGGCCGGGAAGAGGATAGACCAGTACTGGTCTTCGTGGCGGTAGAATCCGAGGATGATGTTGCCAACGGTGCCGAGGGCGAGACCGCCGACGAGGGCCATCTTGGGGTTGAGGTAGTGAAGGATCTTCTCGCCAAAGAAGAGTCCGACGACGGAGGCCATGATACCCACGGGTAGGTAACGCACCGCGGTTTGCAGGGCGTCGTAGCCCATGATCTGCTGGAAGATCAGGGTCATGAAATACAGGTATGCCTGGAAGTACGCCATGACGCAGGCGGCGATGGCGAATGCGGGGGCAAAGTTGGGGAGTTTCCAGATGGCGGGCGGCATCAGCGGGCTGTCGACCTTGAACTCGACGAATATGAAGGCGGCGAACACCACGATGGAGACGATGAGGAGGGAGATGATGAGCGGGGAACCCCAGCCGCGGCTGTTGGCGTCGGTGAGGACGAAGACGAGGAGGAGCATAGAGCCGGTGGAGAGGAGGCCGCCAAACCAGTCAATTGATTGCTTCTTCTCGGGGGCGGTCACCGGTGAGACGAGCGATTCGTCGCTGGCGTTTGTTGGGGCCTTCTTCTTCTCTTCCCCGGGCAGATCCGCTGGGATGACGACCACGCCGATGACGAAGAGAATGGTGGAGATGATTGCGGAGAGGTGGAACATCCAGCGCCATCCTAGGGAGCTCTGAGTGACGGAACCGCCGATGATGAGACCCACGACGAAACCGACGGCTCCGGTGGAGGAGAACATGGCCATGGCGCGGTTCCGGGAGCGTCCAATGGGGTAGACTCGTAAAATGAGGGCGATGGCGTTGGGGATAGTGGCTGCGGCACCGACGCCTTGTAAACCACGAGCAATGATCAACATCGTCGATGATGTCGACAAACCAGACACCACTGCAAACACTGTAAACCATGCCAGTCCAGCGACGAAGAACTTTCGGTGGCCGTATACATCGCCGAGACGACCCGTGAGTAGCAAGAAGCCACCGAACGTGAGGGCATACGCAGATATCACCCACTGTGGAAAGAAAGCAAAGAAACTTCAAAGTCAGCTATTAAGGTCGCCAGCATGATCCCACGGTGAACCTGTGCCTACCTGCAGGGAGCTAACGGAAAACCCTAGATCCTTGCGAATCAGGGGCAAAGCGACGCTAGCACCGGACAAATTTATAGCATCCAGCAGTTGAGCGAGGCAGAAAGTTGGCAGCAAGAGAGGGCTCAATTTCTGACGGAGACGTCCGAGTGCCGATGCGTCAACCAGTGTTTCTCCGCTATCGACCAAGGCGACCTTTGGCTGTTGATCCGAGTCCTTTGTTGTTATAATCATGGTTGCCGAGCGTAAAGGTAGGCAGTGGAGGTTGAGGAATAGAAGGTTATAAAGTGCGTCAGGATAAAGTCGGCAAAATGAAGTTGGGCGGTAGTGTTGGCCGGTGGTGTAGCAAGAAGCTAGAGTGAAGTGGAGTGAACTGGACTGGAAGGGAACTGGGACACTTGGTCTCCGTCTTTATATCCCGCACAGCGAGACAAGCCTGCTATTCCACCGACACAGGTTTCACGTCAGGACGGACCAGTATCGAGAAAGAACTGCAGGGGCCTGTCTGTATTGTATGCATCCTCCTGTGCAGCTTGGCCACGTATGGATGGGTGTTGCCTGCTTGCCCGAGTGGAAAAGACGAAAGAAAAGCCATTGGAATTAGTAATGGCCGAACGCGTCTGCGCAGAACCCGCGATGCAAAAAATTCATGTTTGTTCTGTGGGGGGGCGATCTGCCGGTAACGAATCGCCGAATTAAATTATTCCCACGAGCAGCCGGCGATCGACGCTAAGATTCCTAAGTCGCACCCTTATTAGCGTGTGAACACTGAAGAACTGCCTCCCTCACGACACTTACCGAGTATCCAGATTCCAGCCCGTCGGGCAAAGCAGCCACCCACGAGCCCGTGGACTCGGTGCGATCTCCTCGGGGTCCGAAACGGCGCAGTCGAACTTGTCCACTGCCAGTGGGTATGATCTCGTAAGGTAACTGTAACTAAGGTTGAAAGCTGCCACGCGCACGCATCGCGCAATATGATAGCAGATGGAAAGTCTAATTTCTAAGCAGACCCCAGATTCATCCCTTTTCCCAGTGGTTCGCGATACACGAACAATCGTTCGATTCTGGATTCGATAGCGGAAACGCCAGTGAAGACTACTACCCGCAAGCTCTCGTCATAGAACTCCGGCAATACATCAAAAAGGATGGGAGCTCTCTGGCAGATGGGACAGAGGAGCAGTGGACGTTTTGTTTCACTTCGGCGTGATGGAAGAGGGCGTTTCGATGGGACGTTTGTATTTGGGAATATGAACCGTCGAAACCTCATCTGTCATCTTGTCCGCATGCAGGTTTCACTTTGGACACCATTGAGTTGTAGAATCAGGGGGGGCCAGCGAATTTCTATGGTGTTCCACCGGGAGGTTCGCGACGTCAAACTGCTTTAACGCGATAAACTCAGCGAAGGGCGGTTGGAGCAAAGACGGACTCGGTAGTTCCCTTGCGTGGTTGCCGACGTGTGGGACTCGCAACCCACACAGGGCGAAGGATCGCGTATTCAAGATGCAACTCGGTTCAGAGTGCCATCGGGAAGGGAAGGGAAAGGGGTGAGCTTTGGTCTAGCTAATTATCTACGTACCCAACCGCTGTACTGCACCACTCTCCTTTCTACGTACGTATCTACCACAAGGGAGCGGGATTCTGCTCCCATGGCCCCACATTCCACGTGGGTCGATGACCTCGATGTAGGGAATTTTGATGCTGAAGGAAGCTGAAATTGGCGCCACCTTGAATACCTCGGTCAACGATTGGGCGTTGAGGGGGGGGGGGGTGGGAAGTCAGGGTGATAAACGCTCCAAAACCTTTGCCAGTCAGTGGGTCTTGACCAACGGCGGTAAGCGACCAAACTGCACCGAGAACAACGGGATCGAGTCGTCTCAGTAGGCAGATGCTTTCGAAGTGAGTTGACGCGGGAGAAAACGTCGCACGCCGGGGATAACGCGCAACTTTTCTGTCCGTAAGTGGGGTCTGAAGAGGCGCGTCCGATCGCACATGCCAAAGACGCAAACGTCAGAGGCCCCTCACATATATTGTTGACTTGACCCCCCAGCGGCCCGCCCACCAAGCACCCGTCCGCGGATACTGACAGCACAAGCAAAAATCATATGCAAAGAGCCAACAACAGCCCCTGGCCAGAAAGAACCCTTCAGCAGCAGCGGCTCAACGCAACTCATAATATATACCCCGACCCACCGTCGACCCCGTAAAGAACCCCACACAGGTGCCCCCAGCCCAAAGGGAAAGTCTGGGAAGGAGTAACATCTCTGCACCGCAAAATCCTCAGCTCGGGCAATCTCGGCAGCTTCAAAAACACACCCCAATCCGGAAAAAAACCGTCAAACAACTCCCCACCCAAATGACAATCCCACAACCGGTCGCAGCAGCCGCCGCCGGCATCCCCTCGTCGCACTCCCACCACCACGACGACCAACCCCCCGTCCGCTACGTCCCCGTCTACGGCGCTTCCGCCCCGCCATCCCCAACACCCACAACATGGTTCTCCTACCTCACCTACATCCTCGCACTCATAGGCCTCCTCACACTCGTACTACGCGTGTTGGGTGCCAAAGCAAGGTCAAAAAGCTCGAGGAAGGGAAAGAGGAGAAAGTCCGTGTCTTCAGGGACTTCTAAGGCGAAGAGTGGTGGTGTGAAAAGTGCTGCTGGGAAGGCGGGAGGTATCACGAGGAGTGATGGGACAGTGGTGAATGGGGACGGAGTGGTAAGGAGTGTTGTGAAGGCTCCGTCGCCGTTGAATTATAATCAGAGGCAGTTGAGCACGAATGATGTACACTTTGAAGAGGATGATCATGAGGAGGAGGATTCTGAGGAGGAGGAGGAGGAATCGGAAGATGAAAGAGGTGAGTACGCGAGCGGCGCGAGCCATGTTGCGCGGAGGGCGCAATACTTCCCTCATCCGCCCGTTTGTTGATGGGCGGTCGGCGGTTCGACGATTGACAGTTGATGGTTGATGGTTATATGGTTGATGGTTGTTGATGGTTGACTAATGCCATGTGATTCATTCCAGACTACGGGCAAATCATAAGTGAGTCGATGACAAACGCCATGGTACAAGGCGCCGTTCTGCTCAAACGAAGCCCAATCCCCGACATGATGGTCTCCCTGACCGGCTACGGGCTGGAAGGTTACAAACGGGTCAACACGGCTTTCGGCGTTGAAGAGAAGATCGTGCACGCCGGTCAAAAAGCCGTATCGGCAGGAATCACCGCCACGGGAATCTTTGCAAACGCCGCCATACGCGCAGGGCTGGCTTACCAAATGGCACCTGGCCGGCGAGAGAAGGAGACTGCGATGCAGATGCTGGCTATCAAAGAGGCGGAAAAGGCGGCGGCCGCCGCTGGGAACCAGCCTGTGAAGATCGTGCGCGTTATTGCAGATTCACTGCCGGGTGGTATACCGCCACCCCAACTCGTCGACGCAGGGACACAGACCGATTGGCCCATTGACCAGTATATCCCAACGACGCTATCAACGCGCTCTGGCAAAGGTGGCAACTCACCCCAACGCGGCACCCTCGACGCCTCAGCCGACCCCGGCGACGGCACGGTCCGCGGCGTCCTGGCCTCCTACCTCGACTCTTCCCTCCGCGTCGCCGGCAACGTCGTCACCGCCGGCAGCGAAGCCGTCCTCGGGAAAGAACGCACCCTTGTCCTCATGGGCGTCGACCCGATCGAAGCGCGCCGCATCGCCCGCCAACCCGCGAAACAGGTCAAGACGGATGAGAAGGATGACGGGTTGTTGCCGGAAGATGGGAACGTGGTTTATGTCAATGTGGGTGGCACCTTGTTTGCGACGACACTGGAGACGCTAACGACGGCGTACCCGGATTCGCTGCTTGCGGAGTGGTTTGGGGATGAGGCGAAACGGGCGTCGTTGGAGTTGAGGGATGGGTGTTATTTCGTGGATCGCGATGGTTTGTGCTGTCTTTTTGCTCACACTGATATGTCAAGTTGCCACGGAAACTAAAATGCAAAATCCCTTTCCACACAGCAACGCACTTCCGCCACATAATAAACTACCTCCGCGGCCTCCCCTCCCACCTCTCCCTCTCCCGCACGCCCCCAGCCCTCCTCGAACTCGCCCTCGAAGCCGAATTCTACCGTCTCCCCGACCTCGCCTCCCAACTCCACGACATGTACGAAGACGCCCTCCTAAACCCGATCGCGCAGTTGGACGACGACCAGATCGAGGAGAAGGGGTGGCGCGATGTGGCGGGGCTTGTGAGAGGGGTTGTGGGACTGGCGTGGAGGATTGGGAAAGGGAGGCTTAGGAGACGAAGGGGGGTTGTGGTGGCGGTGGTGAATGCGGCGGTTGTGGGGGTGGTTTTGGCGGCGCTGTGGGTATATTAGGTTATGATGTGTGCGCGGGAGGGTTTTGATGGGAAGGGGTGGTTGTTCTGGGTGTGGCTCTTTTTGGGAATGTATCTTTGCTTCTTTACGATAGTTGCAATAGCTTGATAGTGCGATAGTGGGTTAATCCGAAATCATAATCCTTCCCTCATAATACGACGACATAATCATTTGAAATATTGCCAAGATAAATAAGTAGAACGGAACACAACACAAATGTATACAATGAAAAGAAGGAAAGAACAAGACCGAATAAATACTGCGAAAAGTAAGCTAGCGTCCATAACCCGATAGCAAGAAATGCGGGGCCGTCATCTCAAAGAAAAGAACCGAGTAATTTACAAAAAAGTGGATTAAATAACGTATAAGAAATCTTGAAATGTGTGAACGGTGTCCTTCCAAAGTTCAACCCTCAATGGCTCCCCGGGCCCCCCAAACCATGCAAATCATCCACCAACGAAGCCTTGGTGAACCTAAACGCAACCAAATCGCCCGCCACGCCATTAATCCGTCCCAAATCGGTGCCGCCGGCGGCGCGGAGGATGTTGTCGACGATCTTGTTCTCGAGGGCGCGGTTGACATCGTGGAGGAAAATGTGCACTTCGGAGAGCTTGTTGGCGCGCAGGCAGTCTTTGGCTTTTTGAACGGACCAGTGGGTGGCTTCATGACGGCCGGGTTGGTCGGGTTGGTAGCCTTGGGGGGCGTCTGGAGGGGTGAGGGGATTGGAGCGTGAGCCTATTTTTTGGACATCATGAGAACGATCAAGGTTCTTTTCAGGAAGAGATACCGACCGACGAGAATGACATCCCAGCACACATTCTGCACCTCCTCCGGCAACTGCAGCGACGTCGGGCTCGCAAAGAACGCGTCGGAGGTCGCGACCGTCGACGTATACTTGTCAAAGAAATGCACCTCCAACGACGGGTACGCCGCCGACACGGTATCGATCCACGTCTGCCAGTTCTCCACAAACGCCGTGCGACCCCTCCGAGCCGCCAACCCCGACCCAGGCGACGCATGGGGGGGAACGAAGCAGTTCGCATTATCCCACAGCGGCGAGTCGTGGCCGAGCCCCCAGACCAGGAACCGGTGGTCGCGTTTGATCCCGCCGCGGGTGGTGAGCGCGTACGCGGAGGTCTGCACGGTGGTTGCGATCCAGAGCAGCTGCTCGAACGACAGTTGGGGCTTGTTGGTCGGGTTCTGGGCCGCGTCCTGCAGAGAGCGGACGTAGTCGGTTCGGCAGGCTGGCGCGGCCTGGTTCTCTTTATGCTCCTGCGCAGCGGCGTCGTCGGCGTGGAAGTCGTCTGTTAGGGCCCATTCGGGCGCGGGGTGCGAGCTGAGGGAGGAGGACTTTTCCGCGATGGTGTCGATTAGCTTTTGGGCGTGGTGGTGGTTGTGGGGGAGCGCGAGGTAGAGGAGGGTTAGAACGATGACTGCGGCCACTGCGACGCGTGGGGAGAAGCGGGAGGTCTTGTGGGATGGATGGTTCACGCTAGGCGGCGCCATTGCGATTGTTGGCTTTTGGTGTGAGATGAGGGTCGGTTGATGTATGCGAGAGTCCCAATGTTCTAGGCTTCTGACGAAACAGCTGTTCACTACGTGATGGTGTGATGAGTTCAGAATCTGTCTGGGATGGCGAGAGTAAGAGTTGAGGAAAGACCTGAGGGACGCGTGCGCAGCGTCTTCACTCTCTGTCCTTTTCCGACTTTCAGCCTAACTGACGTACCTGCTGCTTTATGTCAATGCTGCGTTCAATACTATATACAGAAAAAGATGCTGGAGGATTCCGTGGACTTAACAGGACAGAAAGAGGGCTTCTGGCTTCATGAACAGGTCTTTATATATCCGGACGCCGTCCGTCACTCACAGAACCAAAAAATTCTATCCTTCATGGTGTTCATGGTGTCTCTGGTGTATCCGATGCATTCCAAGGAGGGTAATGAGCCGTAAAAGCCCTAGGGGTGGTTCCTCGTAAGGGGACATTGGGAAATTGGAGCGGACGCGATTACTGACGCGAAACCCAAAATTGGAAAAGAAGGAAGGGTCCGGCTGGTTTGACCTGTGAACGACGGAAGACAGACGACCCCAAGCACCCTTGGCAGATGCAATCACACAGGGGAAGAGACCAAGAGGAGACACTGTCGTGAGTCCCATACTGCATTGAAATCTATGACCGTCCCGCTAAGAAGTCACAAATGTAAAACCCTATATCCGAACAGCGGTACTGTACCTCAACATCTACGAAGGACAGTCTCAGCAAAGTGATGACACTGCACGCATGCCATGCGCCACGTCGACGCCGCGCGCAAGCCACATGTTGCTGCCTTTGCTCTTTCCATTTTGACTTACTGCCCTTTTGACAAACGCACACTTCAACTACGAAGCTCAAGAAGCACCCCTGCCCTTGTGCTCACACTCAACCAACTCACTAAGGACACTAGATTATAGAGCCATATTCGTCGCCTGCCATACGGCACTTTGTCTACCTGGGCTGACAAGCCGCATTTACTTCAACTTCGCTTCAATTCCGCTCGCTTTCCCAGGTTCTTAACGGGCTCCAGCTCCGTCCGTCGAACCAGTCATGCCTAAAGCAGAAAAGGTCCGCTCGGCGACCTCCACTCGCGCGGCCAATCCTCTCTTCGATAAGACCCTTGGTCAGCACATCCTGAAGAACCCGCTTGTTGCGCAGGGAATTGTTGACAAGGTGGGTTCCGGAGCTACGTTCCCAGTACCTCTCTCCTTCAGAGTTCCTCGCTTACAAATGTGGTTTGTGTAGGCTGCACTGAAGTCGACAGATATCGTTCTCGAAGTAGGACCCGGTACCGGTAATTTGACAGTGAAAATCCTCGAGAAAGCGAAGAAAACGACCGTCGTGGAAATGGACCCTCGTCTCGCCGCCGAACTGACAAAACGTGTGCAAGGCACACCCGAGCAGCATAAACTCAACATCATCCTCGGAGATTTTCTGAAAGTCGATTTGCCTTACTTCGACGTCTGCATATCCAACACGCCGTACCAGATTTCCTCGCCATTGGTGTTCAAACTGCTGCAGCACCGCCCATTATGGCGCTGCGCCGTGCTCATGTTTCAGCGCGAATTTGCGCTCCGTCTTACCGCTCGACCGGGAGATGCGCTGTACTGCCGTCTGTCTGCGAACGTCCAGCTGCTCGCGAAAGTAGATCACGTGATGAAAGTCGGCCGAAACAACTTCCGTCCACCACCGCAGGTCGAATCCAGCGTTGTGAGGATCGAGCCACGACAGCCTCCACCGCCTGTAGACTTTGACGAATGGGATGGATTATTGCGAGTCTTGTTTGTGAGGAAGAACAAGACCGTCGCTGCGAACTTCAAAACGCAGTCTATTCTGGATATGTTGGAGCACAATTACAAAACGTACTGCTCGTTACGGGGGTTGGATGTGCCGATGGACTTTGATGTCAAGGCAGCGGTCTTGGCCGTTCTGGATTCCGTCGGCATGTCGGAAATGCGTGCGTCAAAGATGGATAACGACGATTTCTTGAAGTATATTTTGATGCATGGGCTTTTCTCGCTCCCTGTCGTGGTTACTTACCATGTGTTCCCCTACCTACCAGATTGCTTTGCGCATTCATTGATGCAGGTTTCCGGTTCACATCGTCCTAGATAAAGGTGTTTCGACGACGTTGAGGCGGTGCTGGTACACCTCCACTCAGCGCAACACCACGAGACGAACGCCCAGGGCATGGCCCGTGATGTGAGCTGTTCATGAGGATACCTGCCGGCGTAAACCAACAAATGCTTCCTTCTGCCCTGTCGGCAATCGTTCATCATCCCAGCCAGAACTTTGGGTATTCCCCGAGTCGTCTTGCAAAATCGGTTGACCAATACGCCAGCGGCTTCACTGATTTCCAATCACTGTACATACCACACACATCTGTCGCCATCTTGGCTCCATGTTTATATGTATTTATTCACGTTCCATAGAAACGCCTAGTCAACCATCAAATAGATCATGCATGCTACATGCACCCACGTAGTGTCCCGCAAATTAGGTTTTGAAGAAATGCTGATTTTTTTAGCTATGAGAATCAGGTGGATGGATGAATGGAGCCTTTGGTTCTTATACGATATGGCGGAAAATAAGCGAAGGATGTATACTCTACGCCGAGGTATCTTTTCGATCGCTACAGGGGTAGATGGCGGCTCAAAGCGGTCGCGCCGACGCTGGAACCCGTCCTTGTTGCGACATGACTGCCCGGTCAAGGACAGGAAGCCGATCCATGGGTATGGGCGGTGAGCCCGTTGCCGGGAAGGCACCCAGCGCAGACTGATGCTATCCGAGATGAGTTACCAGCGGCCTACAGATCGTGGGGGATATTCTGCACCGTCAAAAGGTGGCTTTCCGTCGCGCACCATCGCGCTCAATCAATCGCCTTACGTGAAGGTGACCTCCCTATGGGTGGTATCGGCAAGTTCCACAGTCACGATGTCGAAAATCGTTGACAATCGCATTCACGTTTCCGTAAGCCAGGAAGAACCGATCGCGATGGAGTTGTTTCCGCTGAGAAAGAGCGAAGACGGTATCCCCGCGACATCCCCGTTCGTTCCCGGACGCGCGTTTGTCGGATCAACGAAAAATCGAAATATGCATTGATGTCCGCAGCCGGTGCAACAATCGAGGTTTGCCGAAAACCATTCTGGGTTCAGATGAAGGAGTTAGCGCTGGGACAAGCCATGAATGAACAGGTTGTGGCTCCCACCTTGCAGGCAAGCCAAGTGTCCACCGTGGGCACAGCCTTGACACCAGACGTAGAGTCCTTTCGTGGTCCTATGACTACGAATGACAATTTGTAAGCAGCAAAACTCCGATCATAATCATGCGTTTAGGGAAAGATCGCTGGAACTCATACCAAAGGGAACAAGGGTTGACCAACTTTCCGCAATTCTCGCATCCCCAGATCGGGCCGGACGTATTGGTCATGGGCTTGTGGCAGTGATTGCAAATGGTGTGGATGGTCGTCGATTCCTGGTTGCGTGCTTCAACAACTGGGATGCGACACGCTCGTATGATGGCGGTCGCAGGGACCCAGAGCTTGAACCTGTGGAGCAAATCTTTTGGAGAAAGGAGCAGCTCGTCAGATACGCGGAAGGACGCTCGTGCAGACACCTATATTTACCGATATATGACCAAAACCACACTTTGACACGGTCCTCATCGACGCGTAGCTTGTTCTTCAGGATGAGTACGATGGCCACGCACATCTGGACGTTGCCCTACACATATGCCCGGTGAGGATTCGAGGAGCTGGCCCTTATGATAGCGTACGACTGTACCTGCTCAGCATAGTACTCCAGCATCTCCCTTACAATCGGCTCGTGATTCCACGAGGGAACAAGAAAATCGCGAATGGGTCGTAAAGATTTCATCTCATCGCCTTTCAACTTCGTCTGTAGAGCTGCGAAGGGCGCGAATTGACTGGAAGCCGGGGCGGCGGAATCAGCTTTCAAGCCACTCGCCACAGAACCCGCGTCCAGGATCTTATTTGAAGTGAGGAGATCCAGAGTGTCTTTGGGCCGTCGATCCCGACTACCAGTACTGGATCTCAGAGATTTGCCTCCAAAGCGAGATTTGTTGGCTTTGATGCCGATCCCGAACCTCGCCAGGGTGCGACGCCCTGCCCCGATTTTCAGACCATAAGTGAACCCTTGCTCAGAGTCCGACGACGAACCATCGAATTCGGAATCATCGGAGAGGTAGCCATCATCATCCTGCTGGCCCCCGTGTGCTAGTTCGCTGGGGACCAATTCGCCCCCAACTGTAGCGTCATGTCCGTGAGAGTGGCGGAATCCGGTGTGTGAGGTGTAGTTGTTGAGCCAGTTGTCGTTTGGGGCAGTGGTAGCTTTCTCCTTCAGGAGCGCTGAATCAGATTTCGTACTTCCAATGGTGACGTTCTCCATCTCAGAGGAATCGGGTATGTCAAGTTTATCACTTTGGCCTGTCGAGGGAACCCTGTCAGTTATGCGCTTCGAAGACTTGAAAAAAGTACAAATCCGTTCATACCCAGCTGAGGGGCGCCATCCAGCCTTGGAGGATCCACCGGGTCGAACAGGGCTGACACAGGATCCCTGGACAACGAGCTCTGTCTGCTTCTCTTGGCTTGGTCTTCAGAGTTTTGATAGAAGAGGGCGGTGAGATTGCGAGCTGGCGGCTCCGGCGTTCCATAGAGCAACTGCAAGGTTCTCCAAGTCTGTGCACTGCGGTGTAGGCCTAGCTCAAGTGCAAGCTATATGTGTTGTCCGATTAGTAGCCATGCGGCGAAGATGCTGGGGATCGTTTCTTACCTGCGCGTTGGAATCGCAACTCTCCCACGGGTCTTCATTTCCAATACAGAGCTCCTCCGCCAAAATAACAAAGGCTTCGTGATGAAAGGTTTCGGTATCGGCGGTTCCCACCTTTTGCCGAGGTTTGTACTGCGCGACCTGTCGACGCTCAACAGGTTAGGGTCCAGGTTCACCCCTGAGCTTCCTAACGGATCACCTACCCTCTCATCTTCGATGGGTTTGTCGGTAGCCGCTCGGCGCAGCGCTCGTCGCAGTGGATAGGATGGTGCAATTGGCGCCGAGCGGTTCTCCTCTGCAGGACTGTCGGATTGTCGATCATCAATAGCAAAGGCAAGCTCGCCTGCAACATTGAATCCAGCGACGCTCGTGTTGAGGTATCTCAATGGTTCGTGAGCATCTCGGATGTCATGGCGAGCAAAAGAGCGATCCTTAGAGCATGACCACACGGTATTGGCGTCACGCCACAGGAAACCGGTTGTTACGCCGTCATGTGCGTCCAGCGTCCGCACAGGAATGTAAGGCCTGGCCACGTCCCAGGTCTGAATGCGGTAGTCGGTTGACAACGCGCAACTGGCAAGCTGCGTCTCATGCCCTGGCCTCCAACTGACTCGCGCGACGGGCGCAATGGTTTGAATCGTGTACAAAGGTACGCGGCTGACGGATTTCATATCCCACACCTGGTCATATGTCTATATGAGTGCGATGAGTGAGAAATAGCAGTTCAACTTCGGGCTCCAACCTTGATCAGCCGATCCCTCCCTCCGCTCGCAGCCCATCTCCCATCGGGATGCCAATCGACCGCTAGGGCAAAGCCATTATGCGCATTCCACTTGCGTTCATACTGGGTGGGAAACCTGATGTCCCATTTCTGTAGCGAAGCGTCCTCCTTCAGTAAAGCTTCTTGTGGGCGAACAATAATATCGTTCTGCATACCTGGACATTCCCGTTTTCAAACGCAGCAACAAACTCGAATGGACTAGATGGGCTGAACTGGACGTCGCGCACACTCTCCGCCTTCCCTTCAAAGCTGTTTCGAGCGATGCTTTTTGCTCGCAGGTCCTAGATGTTCCGACTCCTCAGTCACCTTGACGTGAGCGCTACGAAGACATAGAATCATTCACTAACCCACAGTCTCATCGATCCATCCTGCGAAGCACTCAGTAGTAGCACAGGCTCGGTCGGATGAAAACAAATGCGGTTTACCGCTCGCATATGTTCCGTGAGGATCCGTTCTGATGGCGGAGAACGAACTCCCTGTTACACCTCCCCTCTTCCACGTGGTAGACGTGGGAATGCGAGCACCCACCAAGCTTTTGTACATTTGGCCGGTTCAAATCCCAGATTGCTACGGCCCCATTCGTGGCAGCGGTAGCGATCGTTCCTTTGGCAACTGTGTAGTTTGTCGTCCACCAGATTAGCAAATCCGTCACCAGCAACCTATCTGTAGAAGTCCCTCATAGGACACCAATGGTACGCACAAGCATTCCCCCACTTCACATCGTTGATATTGGAGCTGAGGTTCAACTTGACTCCACTCCGCAGATTCATCACCTCCTTCACCTCAGACTCATAGACTGACAAGATCTTCAGCACTAGAAGGAGTACACCAAGTAAGCGGTCGCCCACAACCGACTCGCAAGTGCGGAAAGAAGCGTCCTCCACTTGCCTTCCCTCCCTGCTACAGCCAACCAGTCCTGCTCCGGCGAGGCTGCCAAGGCATTCAGTCCAGCATTCAAGCGATAACGCAGCGATGGATCTACGATGGTGTCCAAAGCGTGCTTCCCAGCGCCGGGAGTAGCCTGGTCACTCGAGGTATTTGCGTAGACCGGGACATCTGTTTCGCCAAACACGATGGGACGGCGGTGAGAACGGGGTGCGCGAACGTAAATTATGGTCAAGTTAGTTTAAGCCGGAGGATAAGCGCTCATGAAAGTCGCCTACGCAACGGTATCCATCCTTCCATAAGGCCATGTCTCTCGACCCAGCCGGTTTTCAAACGTTCAATTCCATAAGATAGCGTACCTGATCTAGTGCCTTTTCCCGTCACAATGCTCGACAGCACGGCCTTTTTCATTATCACGGCAGGCCCATTCCGACGCCGTATTCAGCTGGTGGGAAGTCGAAGAACCTTGGGCGCCGGATGTGTGGGTGATGTCTCGTTTCCCAGGGTAGTTTTGGCAAGGAAAGAACAACCGCAGTTCAGTCGTGACGTGATGAGTTTCGCGGATGACTTGTGAGCCCTGTGGACCCAGCCAAGCCTTAGTGGAACAAATCAAAAATCACAAACAGAGAATGGGATTCGAGGTGCAGCAGCATGGAGAAAACGATGCGATATATAAAGACTCTGTGTAAATGTACAATTGTTCCATAAGGCGGGGATGTTGGAATAGATTAAATCACATTCGGCCGAAACTTCGATGGTCGATGGGTTGGCAAATGAATTCGCTCGCCCCGAGCCTCAGATCCTTTTTGTCCGGACCTCCTCGACCCACGCCCGTGCATTCCAGAACAGCCTCATCCATCCGCCCCACTCGTTGCTTTCCCAGCCAGGCGCGGTATCTTTATCAATACCCCACGTGTTTGCCCACGACCGGACTACACGTTCAGGGTGGGGCATCAGCGCCAGTACTCGACCGTCCAGCGAGCACACACCAGTGATGCCACCGGCGCTTCCGTTGGGGTTGAAGGGGTAGTGTTCCACGTCTGCAGGCTTGCCGTAGTTATCGACGAAACGTAGCGCGATGGTTTTATCGGCGATCGCAGCCGCGCTTTGCGCTTCTCCACCGACGAACTCGGCGCGGCCTTCGCCATGAGCGACAGCGATGGGGATGCGGGATCCCGTCATGCCTTTGAGGAATATGGAGGGGGAGTCGAGCACTTCCACGGTGGCGACGCGGGCCTCGAATTGTTCGCTGCGATTGCGGATGAACGCGGGCCAGTGGCCAGCACCGGGGATCAAGGGCTTGAGGACGGACAGCATCTGGCAGCCGTTGCAGATACCCAATGTGAAGGTGTCTTCGCGTTGGAAAAAGTCGGTGAACATGTGCCGTGCACGTTTGTTGAGCAAGATGCTCTTGGCCCATCCGGCGCCAGCTCCTAGGACGTCTCCGTAACTGAATCCTCCTGGGCACGCCAGTCCGGTGAACCCGCGCAGTTCGACGCGACCACTGAGGATGTCAGTCATGTGAACATCGACAGGTTCGAAACCGGCCTTGTAGAAGGCGAAGGACATTTCGCCGAAACTGTTGACACCTTGTTCACGCAGCACGGCCACCTTTGGCGTTGGCAGGCTCGATGGCGTCTTGAGGATGGCGGTGGTGATGTCTTCGTTCGGGTCATAGGTAAGCTGCGCCTTCAACCCAGGGTCCTTCACGTCAAGGAGTGTGTCGTACTCGGCCTGAGCGCAGCTTGAATTGTCACGCAACGACTGCAACCTAAAGGAAGTTTCCGCCCATTTCCTGTGATACTCCTTCCTCGATCCGGACAAACGAACCGTGGTGCCCCATGCGAAGCTGATCTTGTCCGATCCAGCGGCGCCAACGGATCCAATGATGTGCAAGTGTTGGCTAGGATAACTCGCAGACTCGAAGGCCTGACGGACGCGGTCGACATCTTTTGTGCGGACTTGCACCACGGCTCCAAGCTCTTCGTTAAAGAGCGCAGCGGTGGGGTCAGCTCCCGCAAGTGGTGACAGATCGATTTTGGCACCGACGTGTCCAGCAAAGCACATTTCAGTGATGGTGGCAAACAAACCACCGTCGGAACGGTCGTGGTAGGCAAGCAACAGCCCCTCCTTGCGAGTCGCTTGAATTGCGTTCCAGAAGGCCTTCAAAGCGTCAGTGCTCTCCACGTCCGGTGTGTCGGTGCCAATCTGGTTGTAAACCTGGGTCAAACAGCTTCCACCCAAGCGCTCTTTCCCGAGACCGAGATCGATGAGGAGAAGGGTCGTCTTGCCCTCGTTTGCACGCAGTTGAGGTGTGAGCGTTCTCCGCACATCTTCCACAGGTCCATACGCGGTGATGATCAAACTCAGCGGTGACGTGACCGCTTTCTGTTCACCCTTCGAGTCGGTCCACTTTGTCTTCATGGACATCGAGTCCTTGCCCACGGGAATGGTCAATCCCAATTTCGGGCAAATGTCCAAGCCAACAGCTTGTACGGCGTCATAAAGGGCCACTCCCTCTCCCGGGTGATCGGCGGCGGACATCCAGTTTGCACTCAATCGCACAGTCTTCAGGTCCTCCACATTCGCAGCAGCGAGATTCGTCAAAGATTCAGCGACTGCCATACGAGCAGATGCGGCGGGGTTGATGAGAGCAGCAGGGGTGCGTTCTCCCATGGCCATCGCTTCACCTTTGTAACCTTCATATGAGGCGAAGGAGACGGCAACGTCGGCAACAGGCACTTGCCATGGTCCAACCATCTGGTCTCGGGCGACAAGTCCGGTCACAGTACGATCTCCGATCGTGATGAGGAAGGATTTGGAAGCGACGGCGGGAAGAGTTAGGATCCGCGCCGCAGCGTCCTCGAGAGACGCACCCAACGGAAGGCTGAAGGCATGACGCTCAGCTTTCACGGTTTCGGAAGTCCGATGCATTTTAGGCGGCTTTCCGAACAGAGTAGACATGGGGAGATCAATCGAGGTCGTCTTGAGTAGCGAATCCTCGAGCACCAAGCGCTTTTCGGCAGTAGCTACACCAACAACGGCAAACGGGCACCTCTCGCGCTCGCAGATGTACTTGAACCTCTCCAAGTCCTCCGGCTGAACAGCTAGAACGTATCGTTCCTGCGACTCGTTGCACCAAATCTCCATCGGGCTCATGCGAGGGTCATCGCATGGCACATCACGAAGCTGGAACACGGCGCCAAGGTCCGAATCGTGAACGATCTCCGGGAGCGCATTGGAGAGTCCTCCTGCGCCGACGTCGTGAATTGCAACGATGGGAGTATTATCTCCGAATGCTGTGCAAACATCAATGACGGACTGAGCGCGGCGTTCCATTTCCGGGTTGTCTCGCTGGACTGAGGCAAAATCCAGTTCGGCCGAACTGGCGCCTGAGCTCATGGACGATGCGGCACCTCCTCCCAGACCAATAAGCATCGATGGTCCGCCCAAAACAATTAGTTTCGCGCCGGGTTGAATTTTTTTCTTGAAGACGTGCATGGGACGCACGGCACCAACGCCTCCGGCGATCATGATGGGCTTGTGATAACCTCGAACCTCAGATCCTCCGTTTGTCGTTGGCACACGCTCCTCGAACGTTCTGAAATATCCGGTCAAATTGGGGCGTCCGAACTCGTTGTTGAACGCCGCCCCGCCCAGAGGAGCTTGGATCATGATGTCTAGAGCAGACGCGATGTGTCCAGGTCGTCCAATATCTTCCAGCTCTTCCCAGGGCCGGACTAATCCCGGAATTCGCAAGTTCGAGACGGTGAATCCGGTCAGCCCAGCCCTCGGCTTGGACCCCTGGCCTACAGCACCTTCATCTCGAATCTCGCCACCGGAGCCTGTAGAGGCTCCGGGGAATGGAGAGACGGCGGTTGGATGATTGTGAGTCTCCACTTTCGCGAGGTAATGCAGGGCCTCCGTAGTAGGTCCGTATTTGTAGTGCTTGGCGGGATCCGCCGCCCACCTCATCCCCGTAGCTCCTTCCATGACGGCCGCATTGTCGGAATACGCAGAAATGATGTACTCGGGGTGCAACTTGAATGTGTTCTTAATCATACCAAATAGCGAGTTATCACGGTCTCGACCATCGATAGTCCATGACGCACCGAAAATCTTGTGGCGACAGTGTTCAGAGTTCACTTGGGCAAACATCATAAGTTCAACATCCGTCGGGTTTCGAGCTGCTTGCCCAGCAGGAGGATGGAGAAACGCCTGAACGAGATATTCGATCTCATCCTCCGCAAGCGCAAGTCCCCATTCCTTGTTCGCCTTCGCGAGCACTTGACGAGGGTCAGCACCAAACTTCGCAGCCGCAAGCAGATCGACTGATTTCAGAGGCGCAGGATCTCCTGTCTTGAAGAGCTCGGCCTCAGTGGGAATTCCGCGGACTACGGTTTGCGTCATCCGATCGTGAATGTGGTGAGCAAACTGCTGTGCGTCTGCATCCGTGAGTTTTCCACCATCGACTTCGACAAACAGAGCCAGTCCGCGCTCAACTCTCCCCACAAGATGACCCAAACCACAAGTCCGGGCAATATCCGTCGCCTTAGAGGACCAGGGTGAAATGGTACCGGGTCGTGGCAGAACAATCAACAGCTCTGGACGTGTAGGGTCGGCGTCGGCGCCAGCGTGCCCTTTTGTAGCCAAACTGCTCAACCATTTCTGCTCAGCTGGCGTAAAAGTGTTGGCATCAATCGAGCCGTAGCGTAGCAAGGCCTCAAGAGTTGCCTGGACCTCAATGGCCTTTTCCGTCGATAGGTGCGAGTACGCTTCGGAGGTGCGGACGAAGTGGACGTGGAAGCCAGAAATCGCTTTGACGCTGGGAGAAAGCACCTGGATGTCGCTGAGCAACTTGCTTTCCCGGAAGGGGGAGAACGCGGCCGAACCGGGGAGGACCAGCATCGTGTCTGTTTCGGGCTTTCAGGGGGTCTCGCCCGATGGATGGTGAAGCTGACGAACCCGGCTGAGGGAGAAGATAAAGCTGCGAGGGGTCGCCGTCAGGAATCCCTTTGGCTGCAGCCAGATCTCCCAGACGAGGAAGCAAGTGGTGCTTTCTGATGACCGAAACCTCCTACGCTTCCGACAGGTTTTTGTGCGTGCTGTCACGTGACTGACTCAGAGTCTTTCGGAAAGGCGAGATATGCATGCATGCATCGCGGCTTCTAGAGTCGCTGCAATGTGACGGAAACCTGACGATCCTTTTCCTGTAAAGCGATCTTGGGATTCGGGATCCACCGTAACTGCCATTACGGCGCACAAACGGCGGCTCTGTACACATGGTAGGTCCGCCGTCAATCGCCCTCGTCATTCAGCCCTGCATCAATGGGGCAAACGAGAGGAGTGACACTAGGATCTATCATATCTCATCACGTGTACGGGCGAAATCCAATTGCTGGATGGGATTGATCGAGCGGGAAGGACTGATGCACACACTGCAAAGGGAAATGCAATCGCTTTATGGTTCCCCTCCTTATTTTTAGATGTGAATATAATGTCTGATGTGACTGGTTGGTTGGATGAATGGACAGTCCGTCATCTTGTGTACGCACTCTCAGTGCCTCACACATATACTGTCTATCTTCCACGCCTTATACGTAGCTGTGAAGATAGTTGGCTCAATGATGGTGTCGGAAACTGTCATTTCTAAAAGCGCGACTTGGATGGCAGTGCGGCCTCGTACGAGATCCCTTACATGTCCGTCTCGTAGATCCCTTTCTCCGTCTTACAACAATGGGGGGGAAGGGCGCCATGAGATCAGCGGATATAAAGACGTGGATCCCTCTCTTGAACGTGAGCGTGAACAGCAGTAACGCCGCGGTATATACCGGGACGCTGATCATATATCGCCGGGCGATCTCCTATCTTGGCAAGGGCTACGGGCTACACCCTACGTCATGCACGATTCATTCTGCGACAGCCCGTCCAGCTGATCCCATAATCCCAAGGCCTTGTTCAATGGGATTGCCCAGTGAATGCCTCCCATTGTTGGCCTTACCGAGCACGCGGATCCGCCGATCCCCAAAGTGATTTTTCCTCCTGTTCGCCTGCGTGGCAACGACTCTTACGACTCATCAGGCTTAATCCCTCCCATCACCCGGTTGCTTGTTTGTGTCGTTGTATGGCAATGACAGAAAGAATGTGAACCAGCAAGGGGAGCAAGGGGGTTGGCGCTGTCTGGGCGACTGTGCTTGACTGGTGTGAAAGCAAAGACGATAATATCGATATCTTCAGCGACCAAACTCTACAGCACCAAACGGACGCTCCCTTCTTCATTTCCCCACCAGTACCCGAATACGATCCGCCGGATCGCGGCGAATCTCCCAAGTACAGAAAGAAAACCGGGTTCTCAATTTCAAAGCTCCTCCTCGCCGTAGATCCCACCGACCCTTTATATTCCGGCCGGCAACCGCCCCAGTTCCTCAGAACTGGTTCGTCTCCCTGCCATACTTTCAAGAGCTTCTGTTCAACGACTTTTCGGCTGGCAAAGTGGATCTCGAGCCGCCGGCGACTTCGATCATCTATCTGTCAGTCGCCTCAAATCCCTCCTCTCCCAACGTACGACTGCTTGTTCTCTCGCCTGTGAACGCTCGCTATCCTCTCTACCCTTCGAAGCAACCCATGACGACGCGGGACGTTGTGCTAGCACCTCTTAGTACCCGCAGCGCACCCGATTGATAAATCGGTGCTTCACAAGTGGCGAGGCTTCATTATCGCCTCCCGACTCACTTTTTTTTCTATACGGGCTTCAAGCTTCGGACAAGCACGTGATGGCTACCCGTTATACTTCTTCGCTCGCCAACGTCCTTCATCTGCGTGACGTTACCCCAGAACGCCATGGGGAAAGTGCTGGCGCTTCGTTGAATCTGCTTGCTGTAAGTATCTTTGGCGGGTGAGACATATAGATCTGGCAGAAAAGCATTCACTGACATTTTCTGTGTCTTTGTTCTAGCATGACCTCAAGATGGCTTCCTCTGGCCTTCAGCAAAAGGTGCAAGAGGAAACGAGGCAATTTGCAAGGCCGTCCGAGATGTCACTGTCTCCGTCAACTACCCCTCCTTCGGACGATTCACAGAGTGTCACAAACGATGGCACCGCCACATCACTGCCTCCGATTCTTTTACACCCAACTGCGTATGCTCATAACTTTGCCGCGTCGGCGCTGCCAGCCCCTTACCTTCCAGTGCCGATTCCCCCTGTTCCCCATCATGCGTATACCTTCCCTCCTGTGGGTCAAGCAAGTGAACTTCCTCCTAAAGTGTTGACAAAGCACAATTCGTATCCTTTACCCAATACCCACCAATATCAATCTCCTGCTACCTCACAAGGTCACTCTCATCAAGTGGCCGTTGAGCATGGTCGTCCATCATCGGACAGTCAATTGTAAGTTGAAAGCCCCCAGTGTGAGGCAGTCTGTACACCAGCTTATATTGACGTCATCCATCAAATCTACATTTCGAATATCAGAAAAGGAAGCCATCCCGCTTTACTCAGAATACACGGCGCAAACAGAGCTTACCCCTACCCGACGCCGCCGCTAGGACGGTGGCCGAGCGTCAGTGGGCCGGACCCACATGCAGTCAGCATTATGGCGCCTTACAAGACCAGTCAATCGTCGACTATGGTTTCCACGGCTGCTCCCGTAACGGTGCAACCGAGTGTGGAGCAATCACAGGGCCCCTGCACATGTAAAGACCATCAACACCGCTACGATTGCGAATCCCATCGTGCGCCTATGGCTGCCGAAGCCCATCTGGCCCCTCAACCTCGGCTGCAGGCATCACCCTTCCGCCATCATCCTCCGGCTTCCGACCATACCGCGGACCCTGTCGGACATCTAAGCGCTTATGCACACCTTCCTGCGCAACCAGATTCGGACGCTCAAGTGTACATGTCGGCGAAGATGGAACCCACAGGCGACCCCGTGAATGAAACCTTAACTTGGCAAATGCAAGGTCAACCGCAACACTGCTATCACCACCACCATCATCACCACCATCACCATATCGAGCAGGAGCAGCAACAGCTTGCCAATAGCGTTCCGGCGGACTCCGAACCCCTACCAGTGTCATCCAATGCCGCACATGAACAGTTCGCGGCACCGGTCACTTCTCCATACGATACCCAACGCTTCCCACCGCATGCCATGAACTTCTCACCTTACGCGCATCCCAATTTCACCCATCCACACGATCACTACGCACACCCTCCTCAGAACGGCTTTGGCACCCTGAGTGGCGGGCCCCATATTCAACCGCAATACCAATCACATCAATACATTCACAACCCTGTCGCTTCCGCAACTCCTCAGCTTGCATCTAGCCATCCGCTCCATGTGCCGCGCAATGCAGGGAACGTGCCTGACGGTCACACCGCAGCTTACATGCCCATGATGACCTACATGGCCACCCCACCGAGCTCTCAGGGGCCTCACTCCGATGACTTTGGGTCGTCGTACAGACAAGGACCACCGATGTCGCATTTGGATCGTCTCATGTCCGGACCCATGCATCTCTCCCCATCTCCCGCGTCCACACCGGACGGATCGCAAGCGTACCCACCGCCTGCATCAGACGACGTACGTAAGCCCGTGAAGTCATCCCCCCACAAACGCTATGTGTGCCCTGAATGCGCGAAACGATTCACACGCCCATCGTCGCTGCGGACGCATCTCAACTCACATACGGGCGAAAAACCGTTCCTCTGCGTGTGCGGGCGCAGCTTCAGTGTGCTGAGCAATTTGAGGAGGCATGAACGAGGCGGATGTTGTGCAAACAAGGAAAGCGTTGCACCTCGATAGTTGGCAGAATAGGACGAATGTTCGTTACTCCTTTACTCCTTTTTTTTTGGATTACATATATCTTGATCCTTTTTCAGTTGGCAATGAAGCTGTTGGCGATAGCTCTGATTTGGAAAGCTTCAGTAGTTTTTACATGGTGTTCATCAGGTCAACTGCAAATATACGAAATGCCGAACCGGTGCATTCAAAGCATTCTTTGCCGTAAGCGCTCGGTCACCGAGTACTTGATATGTCACGCCGCAGGATTTCCCCCAAGGGGATTAGTGCTTACTACGTGCGGAAGCCGGAAATCCTACGCAGATGCAGGACGTCTCCCATACAGATCTTCACGTGGACTCGGACCTGGAAAACGCGGCCGACAATGCAAATTATTGGAGCCTTTGGTCCTCGGAAGCGGCGAGTTCTCACGGTAGTCGCTCCAATTCGCTCGAAACTCGCCTCCGAGTCAGCGGCCTCGGATGCCACGAGAAAACATGCTCCGAATCTCGGACACTTCTTCGTCTCGCATGCGGCATATGGGATTGTATGTACAGTATCTATACTCTAGGGGCCACATGTGACGGTAGGGTTGGCGACGGCTCCCGAATCCCGATAAGCGCGTGGAGGCTTTTCGCTGGACATGGATTTCTGCAGGAGGCTCGTCTTCGGACGCCAACGAGACGAAGCTGGTTGCTTTCACCACATATATATACGTATATATCAGCAACTCGTACTGTCCTGCCCGGCCTTACGTCGTGCACTCAGCGTTGTTCAGCAAGAAACACAGTCCTCGCGCGCTTAGATCATTCTGCGTTTCCCTCCCGACACAATGACAACAGCAACGGAAGAACTCCCTGCGTGCTGCCGTCAAGGCTACGTGCACGATGGCGTCGCAAAAGGAACGGTGGAGAACCTGCACGGCCTCAAAACCTACGTCGCCAAACCGGCCAATTTCCCCACGTCTGCCGCCGAATCCCCACGCAAATGCATAGTATTCCTCACCGACGTCTTCGGCCTGGATTTTATCAACAACCGGCTCTACGCAGACAACCTGGCTAACAGCAGTGGCCTAACGGTCTACCTACCCGACCTTTTCAATGGAACAGCGATGGCGCCTGAGCCCGTAATGAAAGTGGCCGAGGACAGGGAGAAGGTGAAGGGCATCGTCGATCGCCTCCGCCTAGGTCTCACTGTGGTCAAAGCACTACCTACCGGCGCACAGTTCCTGGTACAAAACAACGACAAGACCATGATGGCTCGCCTATCACAGTTCCTGAACGGGTTAATCGATATCGACCGTTACAAGCGCGAGCATATTGGCGCAATCGGACATTGTTGGGGCGGCCGATACGCGACGCTCCTTGCCCACGAAGCTAAAGTAGCTTGTTTCGCTGTCGCCCATACATCTCGGACGGCGGTGCCAGGGGACATTGAGCCTATCAAGATTCCAGCGCTCTTCCTGTGTGCCGAGGAGGATGTCTGGTTCTCAACCGCGACCAGGTTACGCGCGGAGGAGTGCTTGAAAAAAAGGCGCGAGGAGGCTACCCAGGCGGCGGAGGACAAGGTTGCGCCTGTAACTACCGACTACGAGTTTGTCGTGTACCGTGGCACCACGCATGGTTTCGCTTGTCGCGGGGATGTGAGCGACCCGCTTGTCAAGGCGGCTGTTGATGGTGCTCTCACCAAGGCATCGTTGTTCTTCCAGCAGTATCTCATTTGATGTGGATTGACTGGAATAGGCAAATTTTGACACTTGACTCTAGACTGTAGAGTAGTTAAGAAGATATTCCTCTGTGCTACCACGGCATAGGTGGTTGAACATTTTGTCCAGATGTAGCGGGAGAGTGGAGGCATGTTAGCCTCATCAAGCATATATGCAGCTGGTCTATATATATTCGTGCATCCCTACGAGATTCGATACGGATCTTGTAACAGTATACACTGCGCTTTTAAAGTTTCGAAAGTGCAAAAACGTCCTTGTCATGGACAGCGGGGGATGGTCGGTGGGTAAACATGCTACTAACAGTATATACTCTGTGGGAAGAAAAAGGATGGCGAGGAAAGGAAAGGGAAGGTGCGTACTGTACGCTACTGCAGTCTATATAGACATAAATAAACAGCGAGTTGAAAGGTTAATTAAATTGTTCAATTTATCCGACGGCCCTCGCTGGTTTGAACGTGATTTCACCCGCGTTCTATTGTGCATATTTACTCACATTCTGAATCTAATCCGTACTATGTTTAGGATCATGTTTTGTTCATGTTCTGATCTGGAGTGGATGGCCCGTCTCGTCTTATGCTGGTGCCGTACGAATTTATTTGCACGGCGAACGGAAAGAGGTTCCCCATGTATATATTGACTCTCTTGCTCTCTTTTCGTGTCAGAATTTACTGAATATATACATATATACACTTCACACTGTCCAGGCTATCATGAGCGCAACGCAACGCAGGGTCGAGGTCTATACTCCGGACGAATGGGCAAAGTACCCTAAGGCAAAGCCGCTGGCCTTCCCGGTTGCAATGGGACCCATTTCGGCTGCGTTCGTTGACTTTGTCGTTCGCACACTCTACCCCGGTCTGCCTCCCTTCGCTCTCTCGTTGGTGGATGCCCAAGGGGGATTTCTTCCCTTGGATCTCGACAGCGAGGACGTACCGCTCTTCGTCATTCTTCACTCCCCAGGCGACACGTCCACCGCTCCAGCTCTCCCTCGCGCGAAACTTCCCAACGGCCGCATGTCCAAGCACGGGGGAGGCAAGCGAAGCCTTCCTGTTGGCTACACCCCCCGCAGGGGTTCCAAGAAGCCGTCGTCAGCGTCCCCTGCCTCCACCGCCTCGACCCGAGGCTCTCCCTCCCGCGCCGGACTCGCTGACGAACCTTCACCGCCAGCCATTGATCCCGAAGCCCTCGCCGAGGCGTTACTTGATGCCGAGCCTGAATTAGCCCCAACAACTCTACAGGCTCAGATGGCAAGTAACTGCCTCAGGAGGGATCAGTTCTGCGTGGTGTCGGGGAGTCTTGTCGGTCTCGAGTGCGCACACATTCTCCGCCCCGAGTATGCCTTCTCTTTCTTTGAGGACCGCCGCGCCGCGCAGTGGCTTGAGGAACCGCAGGTCATTGCCAACAAGCGTCCGTATGACGTGCGCAACGGGCTCATGCTGACCTCCACCGTCCACCAGCTCCTAGACATATTTTCCTGGTCATTTTTGGATTCGGGACGGCGTACCCCACACTTTCGTCTTCAATGAGCAAGCAGCAGTGCTTGTCCCGCACAACCATCCCCTCGCCATGCCTCTTCCAAATCCACGGTGTTCCATCCCAGACGTGTTTCTTCGGCAGTTCCCGCATAATGATCTTCTCTTGGTCCACCTGCAAGAGGCGGTTCTCCGCCAATGCCGTGGAGCCGGGGAGAGGGACGAGGAGTGGGATGACGAGGAAGGGGGTTGGGCGGTGATGGAGGAGGAAGAAGAGGAAGATTGGGCAGAAGAGATGGGAATGGCATCGGGAGTCATTTTGAAAATGCCCCGTCGTCGCGATTCTGCTGATTAGCCCTCCTCAATGAATGCTGCAAATGCGGCCGCTCTAAATCCATATGCGGCGTTACGCGACCAGAACGCCTTTAGGACGGTACTGTAAATACGAGAGGGACGCTCTCACCACAACATACTGCCAGTCGCTCTCCAAGATACTGCAAACGGGCAAGCACGTGCTCCGCTCTTTTGGAACGTGGCTCAAGGGACAGTGTAAAGTGACGGTATCCTAGCCTCTCAAATCCACCCGAGAGCAAAGACCGACCACGTTGCCAGCCCGATGACTGCCTGACGGGATGAAGAAAAGAATAGGCGTAAATTGTGGTATAAACTTCAGCTGAATCGCTAATTGATGACTCAGCTGATCGCGACGCGAAAGGGGCGGAAAGGGGCACATCGAGGACACTTTTCTCCGACTTCGGGCTACCGCTAATGCCTGAACACCTGCCTTTCATTGCCCGCCCACCGTCCTGTGTCCACCCTTTGAACGGCCTGAGCCTGGATCGCATTCCCTATCAAATCACATAAATCAAAAGCCGTTTGTTCAATCAGTGTTCAATCTCCGATTCTTCTTGTCCGCTGTCCGTCCCGGGTAGTCGTGTTGTGGGGTAAACCGTAACCGTATAAATATCTTGGTGTCATAGGGAGCCCCTCTCACCTCCCACAACCTTCCACCACCGGACACGCTATCGTGCACCGCCGTGTTTCGACCACTTGGAGGTCACCTCTTCGGTGTCCCACCGGTTGACGACCGCAGATATCCCGGATATCACGGAGCACCTTCGGCACCTGTCACCCCGACTGCTGCCATCGTCAGTACGCTACTTCCACAGAAGCGCTCACACCGCTGGGCATACATCGACGGTCATACTTGATGTGGGTGTAAACTGCGGACTGGAAACCGCTTGCTCCCTTGCTGGGCAACCTCAACTGGGTCTCGTGCTCGGCGGTGCTGTCAAAAGACGCGCTCGCTACACTCTGTCCCTTCATCCGACTCCGCTTGACTACGATCATTTGCCTTGGCTACGGTTATCGCAAGCACCGACACCGCTAGCGTCTCTTTCTGGTTCGATCGAAAATGTCGGGACGTTCGGTAGCTTCCGATGGCAGCGTGTCCCTTTACCAATCTAGGCACATGCCAATGGCAACGGCAGCTCGAGGCACGGCGCTCCTATGGGTCGTTCTAGATCTAGGCCTCACTTGGAGCTCTCTGGTCATAAGCACGGCCATCCTTACCTTCATCAACACTTCGTTGAAGCCGCTGATCGCCGTCCTCGCCGGGTTGTCATGTCTTTCAGCTTTGGCGTCGGTTAGGCGATTCATGCTCTGCCACCAGATGCATCCGACGCGCTTGACTGCTCGGAATGTGGAGTGTGGGTATGGAGGAGCGTCGGTATCTGCCAGGTTGACGGAATCGCTGCCAGCGGGTTATGGCACAAGCGGAGCGGCATCGGCCTCCACCGGCATGTCATCTGCGAATATGATTCCCTCCGTTCCTGTCGGGATGCCATTCGACCCGCAGACTGCGAACAAGCCGTTGATCACTGAACGTAAAGACAGCGGATATCATGAGCTGCTTTTCGACACAATGGACAGCGGTGACCATCGATATGCTGGAGTTGACGAGGATGAGCTGCGTTCCGAGACATTGCAGATCGTCGTGCATGGCCGGACGTATGGCGCGCTTGACACCAGGCATCACTGCGGGGGAACTGCTCCAAGCTCTACCAATGCAGAGGACTTCTATGGGGAGCATCTTTCGCCTGCAGCCGTGTTCGATGCCATGGCGACCCAAAGCACATATCGTTATCCGTCGAGTCTCGCGCAGGAACATATCGTTGACATGATTATGGAATCCGAGCTCGACAAGACATCCTGTTCGTCGGTGCTTACAAAGGCTGCCTCTCAACGGCAATCGATGGCAGCGTTCACAAAGCATGTGGCATGTATTGCGTCGGATGAACGTAAGGACATAACCACCTCCGTGACGATTCCGCTCGATCAGCCGTCGCTCAAAGACGCTCCATACGTTGCTCACGGCGTAGTGAATGCGGTCGACTCTCAGCCTCTTCGCAACGAGCAGGTCATTGGGTGCGCTCTCGCAACTGAAGCGATTCCCAGCGTCAGTCAGAATGTCACAGCTACGGGAGTTGACATGTGCCCATCTGCACCTAGTCAGATCTCTAATGCGTTGCTGGAAGACTTGCACTCGTCGATGAACGACGTGGAACTCGAGACGGCTAGCAACGTTTTGGTCAACGCCGCTCAGCTTTTGGAGGAGCCCCTACCGGCAAGTCTCCCGGACATCCAAACCACGAAACTCGCAACACCTCGCATCGAAGGACCTGAATCCATTCTGAAGTCATCTGGAACATCACTGCCGGACGTGCAGACTTCGCCATCCCTGAGCGCGTCGTCATGCCCTGATTCAGCGGTCGAACTTCCCGCGTCACCCAGAATGTTTTGCACAAAAACGGAAGGCCATGCAATGGCACTTATCAAGCTGCCTGGCACAGACATTGTTGCTTCTCGTCCCTGTCGACTCGCTGAGACACCCGAGTCCCGCTTACGCGTTGGACAGCAGGATAGACCGATTCGCTATAAGATACCCGTCTTGCTGGCTATGCGTGCTCGAGCGACGGACATATTAGCGACTGTGAACTTGCCAAAGGAGATCACCATGCGATGCGACCCTGCCACAAGCCCTGGTTTGCAGACCAAGGCGCTGGGAGTGCGTCCGGTCCTACCCGTCACCGAAAACCTGGTGGAGAAGTTCGTGCAGTCCTACTGCGGACCCGACGGATGTCCGTTGATCACACTTCCGCGCGAGATACCCGTGGAAACGGACGAGGCGACCGACATCATCACACCATCCGTCGCTTCGGGTACAATGCAGATTCCCAATCGGATATGGAAGAACGCGAAGACCTTCTCTGCATCGGCAAACGACTTTTGCGTCATGACGTGGAATGTGCTTGCGCCCATGTACTGCACGCGGGAGAAGTTTCCGGATCTGGGTGAAAAGTGGAAGGCGTGGGAGTATAGGCGGGCGAAAATTTTGGATGAGATTGTGTACTATGCTGCCGATGTTGTTTGCTTGCAGGTTTGTGTCGTCGTTTCGGAAATCGCGTGATTGCGACCATGAATCTGACCGACTCGTCTTTCCGACATTTTACAACCAGGAGCTCACGGAAGCTGATTTCTTGTACTACTTTGCGCCCCACCTCCACAAACTTGGCTACCGCGGCATATACCGCGCCAAATCCCGCTCCCCTTTAGCTACCGAGCAAGAACTCAACACTACGAGTACCGATGGGTCCAGCCCTGGCGCGCCGCCCTCTCCCACTCTGACAACACCTGACGGTTGCGCACTATTTTACAACACGAAAACGTTCCGCCTGCAGTCAGTGCAGACCTTCTCGTACCCGGAGCTCGCCGCCACCAGCCTGCTCTTGCCGGCCACGCATGATCTCGGGACGGATATGATGCGGTTCCCCAACACGGCTATCTGCGCGACATTGTTCCATAAAAGCACCCGCAACCGTGTTCGACTCGTGACAACCCATTTGCATTGGAACCCTGCACATGAGCGCACCAAGCTATTGCAGGCGGCATGTTTGATGGAGTTTTTGGCGAAGATGCAGGCGACGGATATGCAGGATGGCGCGCGCGAGGGACGGGGCAGGAAGGCTGGCGGTTCAAGGACGAACGGTTGTGGGGACTCGCGGATTCCGATTGTCATTGCTGGCGATCTGAACTCTATGCCTGCGGAGCGTGTCATGCGATTTTTGGAAACGGGTCAGGTTGATGTGACGGGGGACTGGGGGTGGGCTGGGAAAGAGTATGGACCGTTCACGACGCCAGATGATGGCCAGACTCGGGGAGACGGTACCGCGAATGCTGGCGACGGAAGTAACGCGGGCGTCACGGCGACGTCTACACATTTGAAAGCGCCTCTTCGTTTCCGCAACGCGTACGCAGGCGGCGAGCTGCCTTTCACGAACAGAACTGCGACGTTCACTGGTACGATCGACCACATGCTTTATACCCAGGAATCGCTGACGGTCCGAGACATGTTGGGTCCGGTCACTGGTCGATGGCTCGACACCGTGCCCGCGTTGCCGACAGCGAGCGTTTCGAGCGACCACCTTCCGCTTTGCGCGTGGATGTGCTGGAAGAATTCTAACAATGGCGGCAACAAACAACATGTTGAGCGATCGCAAGGCGCGCGATCAAATCTGCCCCAGTTACCGAAGCACCGAGAGAAACCGTCGGCTGATGCGTGTAAAGCGGGCTTCACGTACGCGGCGGACAATTCGGGAGGTAAACGGAAACGACGCAAGCCGAAGAAGAGTGGAGGCGACGGGAGTGTCGATACCTCTGCCCGCCCACACGGGTCCGCGAACATTGCGATAGGGGGAACCACAAAGGCCGGCAAACCTTCCATTGATGCAGGAGGAAGGTTGAGGGTTCTTCGCGCCGACGCGAATGTGGCGAACACCAATTGGCGTGGTGACAAAGCCCACGCTCGTGACGAACATGGCAAAAAGGGCAAGCATCCCCGCAAGCGTCGTGGTGGAGGAAAGGGCAGCGAGGCGGAAGGAATGGGATCTCGCACTGATGAACAATGGCGTCGCCCGTCTGCGGGTCTCATCGCCGCTTGTGTCTGAGCAGTTCACCTCGCTTCGCAGTTTATTTTGGAAAGATGGAAGGGGGCACTTGTGTGTTCCCGTCAACTTTTTGTATGCTCTTGTTGTCAAGAGTTTTTGGCTTTGTAGTAGCGTAGGTGCTCTAATGTCTAATACGGGGGGGGGGTGTAATGTTCCCACAATGAAAGGAGCATGCTTTTGAAGTTGCCGATTGGGCTGAGAACCTGACAGCGTGTCAAGTACCACCATTTACGAGGCAGAATTCAAAAGAGACATTGCCACCAGGTCTTGGCATTTTGTCCTGGTCCTGAAGCCTGTACAATGACGAACATCAAGAATGATCATTGACTGATACGGATAATGATATGGTATGTACATGCACGACACTAAACGATTCCTACATTACGACCCTCCTACTTCCAACGCCTCACCCAGCCAACGCATGCCCCGACCTCTTGATATGCTCAAAAAGCTTTGTCCGTGACGAAAACGCCTCGCCACACACATTACAGTTCGTCGACCCCGCATTCTTCTCCTTCGCGGCCGCAGCCGCCTTCTTCGCCTGTCGCTCCGCGCGTTTCTGTTTCGCTTTACCTTTCCCTGGCCCGTTGGATTTGGACGGTTGGGAGTCGACGCTGGAGACATCATCTAGTGTGGTTTGATGCAAGGCGTCCGCGAGACTGTCGACGGCGGCGTCGGTGGGGTCGGCATCTGGGTATCCGTCGTCGGAAGCAGGTTTGGAAGGTATTGGGTCGGGTTTGGCAGGGGGTGGCGTTGCTGGAGCTTCCTCTTCTTCGTTGTCAGATGACTGCGCCCACCCGAAGCGTTGCTGCTTCTTTTGCTTCTTCTTCTTTGCTTTACGTCCGCGCGGCGGGGTTGGTTCTGGCGGCGGGGAAGGCGAAGATAGGCGTTCTGCTTCTGCTGTGAATGCGGGGATAGGCATTATTTCTGAAACCTGTTCCGTCGGGGTCTCATCCTTCTCATCCCTCTCATCCTCGTCCACCAGTTCTTCAACGGCATCGTGGAATGTATCGCCTTCCGACGAGAGGTCGTCGTCCTCATCATCATCCCGGAGTATCCCGTCATCTTCCAGGAGCTCTCGGCGCAGAAGCTCCACGTTGCGGATGTGCTTCTTTGACCGTTCATGGTTCTCAAACTGGGAGGGGATGAGGATTTGAGGACCACCCACTGCCTAGATGGGGCATTCAACTCATCGACATACCTGCTTCTCACTCCGAAACCCCTTATCACAAGCCACGCAATACAGCTCTTCAATCTCCTCCTCCTCCTGCAGCTCAAGAGCAGCGTGGTGATCCTTCTCCGCAATCTTGGCCCATTCCGGAATGACATAATCGTCCGCGCGGAGTTCACGTTCCCGCTTCGTCTCTTCCGCTCGCTTCTTCCTCTGCAGCTCAGCCTGCTTCTGCGCGTCCACGACGCCTTGCTTGTCCTTCCACTCCTTGTAACGGGGATCCCGTTTGCGGAGGAAGGCTGCTAAGCTCCGCACTGCGTCGTTGAACTCCCGTCGTGCGAGTTCCCTGGCGCGTTTGTTCTCCTTTTCCATTAAACGCCGGACACGGCGATCCGGCGCGTCAAACAGCCGATGTTTGTCATGCCACCTGAAGGACTTCACAGTCACATAGTTGAGGAACTTATTGTAGAAATCCCGCGGTCGGCCCTCATATGCCTCGGTGGACGTGCCGAAGTCCGTGCGAGTCTCCGCAACCTCCTCCACTTCCTCAACAAGCGCCTCAGAGTCGTTTGCGGCGGCTTCTTCGTCTTCGTGTTCCAGTCGGCGGAAGAGGTCGCCAAAGACTGCGAAGAACCCCTTGGGGCCGTCGCCATACCCGGAGTACGAAGAGGCGCTGAAGAAGCGCATTAAGACATCGGTGGTTGTGACGTCCATGTACGCGGCGCTTCCGCCCGCTGTTTCTCCAATCGAGTCTTCATCGCCTCTCAGAATTGCGTCCTATAGACCAAACAAATCCATGTTCGTCAGCCCTTTGCGTCTTACGTATATAGAGCAGACTGCGTCTATGCCCATACCCTATGCGAGTCATACCTAAAGAAAGTGAACATATAGTGAGTCAAGAGCCCCAGATGAATAAGCTACAGACGAAAGCGTTGGCAACACATACAGATAATTGGTGCGCCTTCAACATACCAAGCACGCTCTTGTTCGTCTGAGAGGACCTCGTACGCCTGCTGCACCTGCGAAAACAGGTGCGTAGCTTCCTCAATTCGGTCAATATTCTTGTCACTGTATCCAGGAAAGGTCCTCGATAAGAAAACTGAACGATGCCTACTGCGTTTCACCAGGAACGTAGGACTCACGGGTGCAGCTCTAGGGCCTTCCGTCGATACGCCTGTAGGAGGGAAGTTAGCCGAAGCCCAGTGGAAGGAGACAGATATCTTTGAAGCCTACCTTCTTCAGCTCCGAGGCGTCGGCTTTTCGCTCGACGCCGAGCAGTTCGTAATAACACGTACGCATGTCGGCAAGCCGAGCGGTTGTGTCGGTGCGTGGAAAGGGAGTGCTGCAATGAAGACACCCGAGGGTCCCGCCGTATATGCAATAGAAAGCCTGCGATGGACAGAGAGAGAGCACAAAAGGACTGCCGTCACAACCAGCTCCTACGGGGTTGCTTTCAGGACGGAAATGCTGCCGATTGTGAACAAGTCGACCAGAAAAACAGCGATTTGCCCAAATCGAGAACGCGTTGCCCCTGTTGCATTTTCGGTCCTTTGTTTTCCACTAGCCCAATTCGCAACGGCGTTCGCCAAGATCATTCACTTTCCCACGGTATTCCGGTGGCTCTTTTCACGATGCTATCCTCTCCCGTGCGATATGTGACCAAGAACTTCACTTCCGCCGGTGAGGTCGACCAGTTCTGGGCAAGCAAGGCACGATCGCCGGCCCACTCCACCTATCATCTTCGGACAGCCGCCCTGGGTTACTACAATGTTGAGGCTTACGGCCGGTAGGGAAGATCATAGATGCCTCCAAGCGTATTCAGGGACGACCACTGAAAGCTTTTGCCATATATTCGCTCTTTTCCAGAGCTGAGAACCTTCTGAGGAAGTACATGGAGACAATCGACGACGCGAATGATATTGAGGTTCGTTAGAGGGTTTCCAACATTCGTATCCGGGGACGAACGACTAATTTTCCCCAGGCGCTGGAAGCCCTTGCTAGGTAATCGCGTCATCATCCGCCTGTAGCAGGCTCGGGGCGGGGAACTGATTTCGACGGGACTTGTAGTGCTTCGGTGAAAGTTGGGAAATTTCGGGACGCACTAGTGTTGCACGAGAGGTCAGTATGCCCAAACATATCGGAGTGGGAGCTGAACTAGCTTACGACGTTGGAACCACTTATCTTAGGCTCCTCGAGCTGCAACCAAACTCGCACACTCTATTGCTAGCAATAGCGAAACTGCATTTGAGAGTTGCAAAAGCTTCTCAAACCCCGACTACACGGTGTGATAATGTGGAGAAGGCTTTGGTGTACTTACCATCGTGAGTTCTGACTTCATACTGTTTCTGCAAGCCGCTGAAGCCTCATGGAGTTATCAACAGATGTCGGTACAAGGTGGACGACCAGATGACTCGAGATGCAATCGACACACTTGAGAAGGCATATCAGTTCATTGCCGAACAATGTATGGACGTTTGCCTGTCTACCGAGATGCTGCATGCGCAGGAATTTCTGAATCAGTTTCGCAGGTCCCGAATGCGCTACACCGGAGCTTCTACTGCCGAGGTTGCTGCAGTTAGCGCGTGTACCCGAAACATGGAAGAGGAGAAATCTTCATGGCTGGCTCTTGAGGGCTGTCCTCCGCAGTGCTGTGCCAGCGAGGTTCGGAGGCTCCGAACTGTGACGCAATCTCAATCTGAGTGCGTAAAGGACTAAAAGTTTTTGTGTCTGACAGCGGCTGGAACTACGTCACTTCACAACGCGAAGCGATGGCATCTTCATTGGACTGGATCTCGACGGCCGTCCAGTTCATTGACGATATTACGGATGGATGCACCAACGACGAACGGGAACTGGATATCGCCGAGCTAAAGCTGTGGCTGCATGCGACCCACATTCGTCTGCTCCTACAGAAGTGGGTTAACTTAGATTGTACGAGAGCACTGTATAGCGGCACGGATGTTAATCTATTGCTCAAAGAAAGCCCCTCAACGACAATGGCGTCAAAGAAGCTTTCCAAAGCCTCGAGACGGCTCTAAACGACATTGTAGAGCTGCTGCCAATCGCCAAAAATGAAAGTAACCGCTTCTTTGCGGACCTGCGCTCGGTAGGGCATTGTAAGCTGGTGATAAGTGGATTATGCGAGAAGTCTCACGAACAAGCTTTTGCGCATACAGGAATACCTGGCTCAGTGCGAACTGCTGGGCGCTCTCAGCGTTCTGCATAGTCTCGCCTCGAAAACGAGGACAATAGCCGATACGAAGCATCAGCAGTCGCAAATTCGGGCGACGTTGGATCATCTTCGACTGTGCCTCTCTTGTAAGTTCCTAGAATATTCGGCTCCGCGAAGGGCCCCCGTGGGTTGACAGTTTGCTTTTACAGTCAGGATGTCGAGTCAGGATGTTAGACTTGCACGAGCAGCAACCACGCGCTTGACAGTTGCGACGCATGCCATCCTAGCCATTCTTTATACCTTCGACTACGGCTGGCTGTTCTCCGATTCGCTCCATTCCCCGACGAAGGTTGGCCACTCCCACTTGAAGCAGCATCCGCGTCTGTCGAATGAAATCGAGTTTCCTACATTGACTCTGCCAGAGAGTTCGGAAACAGAGGAAGTGATACCTCGCGATGTGATGGTACTCCTTGGCTGGATGCATAAAAGTTTGGCTGCCATCGATGAGCCTGTCTTGAAGCACGGCAACGAAAATCTTGCCGAGTACATTCATGTGGTTGCATGGCACTATTCAACGGATAGTTTCAGAGAAGACCTCCGGAACGTTCTCCCACGTGCGGTTGAGACATTCCAGGTAAGGCGCAGGAACATGCCACTTTGTCTGCCGGACTTCAAGACTGACCTGTCATCTTTTCCCAGCGATCTGGCTCGGTCAGTGACCGGAAAGCATCGCACACACGTCCGCAATTGACCCTGGCGGACATTGATGCCTTTATATTGATGCTCCTCATTCAACGGCAAGCGTGGTGCAGGCAGAGGAAGCATGCCGGTTCCAGCGGAGTGGAATATCTTTCTGCGATTGGGGCCTGGAAGCCGACGGAATTGCAGCAGAGGTTCTGGTTGACTGCGCTGGGTAAACTGGGAGATGTGAGTCAATGTCGACCTGCCGGCGGACAAACGTTGTTTTACTGATTTTCCTTCAATCACAGCCCGACGACCAATGCCCGGCTGACAACATACTTGACGAGGAATCTTTCGCACAAGCTATCCGGGATATTCGCGGAGTCTCTGCATCCGGCCAGCTATTGACGGCATCTGATGGTACTGGTGTGCACCGCCGGGCTGTCTATGGTTCGATTGGTCTGCTGTATACGCGACTGTCCAATCGACAACCTGTGCGCTTCAAAGAGGCTCATCACTTCTTGTCAGTGTGGGAGAGTCTCGTGGATGACGCTGAAGATGGGGCCGATCTGGGGGAGACTGTGGTATTCGACCCGGAAGTTCAGATGTAAGCACAGCCCCACCAAATTTCAGTGCGACCTTCCACCTTCCGTCCGTAAACCCCCTCGACTCATGTTCCGTATTTGGATATGAATAGGGCTTCCATTGACGAAGCAGACATCAAGAACGCCATCCAAGAGCTGACCGCCCGCAACGAAGGACTGGCAAAGAAGCAATCCAGCCTCAACCTATCGCTGAACAGTGTGTCTCCAAGACCAGTGAAGGTGGACTCCCCTCTTCCTAGCGAGGACCCCACGCCGTCGCCCGAAAACGAAGCCTCGCAGCAGGATGTGCCCGGCTCCGATAATGCGTACGCAGCTGTTTTCTCTCCGGTAAACTCCCTTCCGAGGACTCCCAATGGGCGTTATGTGAATCGGGATAGTCAGGGCAGGCTTGATGTTGATCGATTTGCGGCACCTGATGGCAGCGAGGTGTGTACCAGAGGGGCGAAAGGAACTCTTCACTGAAAACCGCTAACGCATCATTACGCAGAGCTCGCATCGCCCTCAGGCATCGGTCAAGGAAGAGTTAGGAAAGGATGTCGGACGAGTTAGTCAATTAACACCCAGCCGAAAGCCTCAAGCGGTTCAGACCCCTGCGAGTGCGCGAACGCGGCGACACTTTCAGGAACTAGAGGCAATGAGGAAGCCTCCCACGGAAGGTACGGTACTATCTGGTATATGTAATCGGCGACGATTCACGCTGACTAAATGGCCTCCAGCACTGCAAGATTCCGTCTCGAACGGAAGCTCCTCACCCGCTTCAGTCTACGGCACCCCGATGCGCGATACCCCTATCCGAGCGTCGACCGCACAGTTCACCGGCCGGTACCAACCAGAAACTCCAATTTCACATTACTACACACCGAGTGCGGGCGAGGGCTCGTCGATACCTGTAATCAGGCGACCCCCTTTCTCCAGTCCTGCACCGTCTTTGATCCGACTGTCTGTTGCGCAAGTTGAGCCGGCACAGGAATCCGTCACAATGGGGGAATCTTTCATTCAAGCTCCTGCACCTCCGTCTTCACCGTTTTGGAGTAAATCTCCGGCCGGTAAATCGCCGGCTGCACCGAAAACTGTTGCATTCGACCGTGAAACGGAACCAAGGGAGACTGGTCAGGCTCACGATGAGAAGAATGATGATGATGAAGACTTGGCGGAAAAGGAGGAGAAGACGGTCGGCCTGGAAAAGGCGGACCGGAAGATGCTGCCGCGGTTCCAACTATCCGGCATATCGCACACCCCGAAGCGCAATCCGAGAGAACTGATAGGCAACCGAGGCGACATGTCTGAGCTTCGACGTCGAGCGCATGTGAAAAATGCTCAATTACGCTTTGAAGGTGGTCAGCCGGATAGCAACTCTTCGATGGTAGGTCCTCCAATGTTATAGTCCTTGGGTAACTCTAAATTGAACTGTTTATTTGTTGTAGATGGGTTCACGGTTGAACCGTCAACTTTCAAAATTAGGTGAAATGAAACTCTCAGAATAGTCCTCTGGTCATTACTAGTTACATCTGTTCATCAGGACTCGAAACTTTGCGAGATGATACTTCAGCGTCGATTCATGGACGTAATCCACGTAGCAACTACGCCAGTACTTTGTATAGTTGGGGGAGCTAGTTAATCTTAACGATAGAAATCAGGTTTATCGATATCATATCGAATGTGCGTTGTCTTGTTCTCAGGGCTATCTTGCAGCATTCTACATCTGGAAGTAAAAGACATTGTCTTTGTCAAATCCGCTTAGCGATACGGCGGCGTGCGCATTCCGAACGGCGGGCTCTGGTTCCAAAGCGAACAAAGTCATTTGGAAGTTCCTCCTCAACTAGAGTTGGTCATGTTGACCCACAGAAAGGCTGAAAAGCGGCTCATGGGGCAAGAGTCAATCAGCGGCAAGTGGATGAAGCATTGCTGTTGCAGTTCAATTGAGCCGATATGGCGATTGTGTATACAAATCCATTACGGCGATCTGATGTGATCTGCGTTCCGAATAACACAGGCGGACATGGTCTAGACTGGCTCGTTCCCACAAGGCACGGACGAGGAGTGCTTGGTGTGGAGTGGGAAGGAGATAGCTATCGTCCCGTCTGGTTCGTCTTCTACGTTCTACGCTGGAGTAGTAGTGGCATTTGTTCGGCCTGCCTTCGGAAGTCGTCGCGCTTTTTATACCTGCGGCCCCGAGAAAGAAAATGCGTCGGACAATATTGTTGCGACCATATGTCTGTGACCTCACGTGATCAAGTCGGCTTCGTGCCCGGACTTTTGGCCACCTATCTGTAAAAGCCCGTAAGTTACGCGAAATTTCAGCAGACTGCTCCGTCCGCACAGGTGGCCGCCGACGAAGGTGAGAGACAGTCGGGCCCATTATGAGTCCAGGTGCAAACGGATCGAAGAAGATACCAGCCGTGGGTCTACGGGTCTGCGACAGGCCCTGTCCTCCCTACTCTCTCGACCGACGGGCTTCCTGCCAAGATGAGCATAACGTTGGATGGAACGCGGACTTGGGAGCCTGCGTTGACTGTCCCTCGGCTGTCAGGCCAAGCACCCAAAGGCTATCGCGGCATCGGGATTGTTGTGCCGACCGGTGAGCATAGCGATAAGCCCTTCACCAATTATCACCGGCCACATAGGAAAGCAGCCACTCAGGCCTCGCGGAGCGGTGAACCCCGAGATGTTGGGCTGGATCGGCATCGCTACCTTCTCTACACTTCATTGGCCGCCGAAAAACTCGCTGCAGCGGAGGCGCATCCTGCACCACTCAAGCATGTCAACCCCGTCGCGGCGGCGATGGATCTGCCGTATCTGGACGCACACTCCAAACAGCAAGTCGTGAGAAAGCCTCCAAAACTGCCACCGATGCTTCAGTCGCAAGCGGAGGAGCTAAAGGAAATCCAAAGAATCGCTGCTAACATTGAGAAGAAGCAGGAGGAGGAAAGGAAGATGAAGGAGAAGCAGCTGCATCTTGAATTTGATCGTATGGTCCGCGCCGAAATGGGGCAGTATCAACACTCTACCGGAAATGTAATCTTTCACGAGATGCCTCAAACTGCTTTTGATCGTCACCTTCCACCGCCTTCGGATGAGCTGACCGTAATCTCTCATAAAACCCAATGGCTGAACACCGTGTCATCACAGAAAGGCGCGGTTGGGAGCAGCGCGATGGAGCAAAGAAAGACCGTCGTGAAGAGGCATGAGAATGAAAGGCATGGCCATGACAACTCGGATGAGGACCTGTTCATCGTCAGGACGGCCGAAACGGATGACGCTGACGAGAATGGGATGAAAAGTGTCTATAGCTTCGACTCGGATGTCTCTCACCTTTCGAAAGGAGATCGAAATAGTTCAGGCCGTCATCCGATGAGTGCTCAGACATCGAGGCCCGTGACGCAGAGGACCAGTGCAGCTCGAAGATCCTATTACAGACAATCGACCGCGAAAAGGCCAAACCCAGCTGGATTGGGTGGTACTGGAAGCAATGAGAGTCCGACTGATGATGAAACGCAGACTTTATCTCGCTCGACCGTCCGTCTCTTGAAGAAGTTCACCCGTGAAGGAGTGGATGGAGCGCAGGCCATGGCACTCCCTTCGCGCAACATCGAGTCCCTCCTCCGGGTTACACTCACGGGCACTACATGGGATAGGGAACAGAGAACGGCGAGATACATCCCGTATGCCGTCGTTCCAAAATCGCCTCAGCCACCACCTGATGGAGCCGCACCGGATAAGGCCGCAGTCTCGGCAACCCCTTCGAGAAAGTCCCATCTTCCCACTCAGCGGCATCGGCGTGCCTACGAATTCTACAACCCAGTCATGTTCCAGCGTGCGATGCAAGCTTTAGAGGAGGGAAAATATGTTGAGGCCGGACAGCTCGCAAAAGCAGGAACGCAGGCTCCTGTACGAGCAGATGAGATACAGTTACGTTTACCGAGTGCTCATGAGGCGAGGGATGACGATGATACATCAACCGTCACCGATGACCCATCGAACGACGGAACGGCCCAGCATGGGACAGGTGGTGGTGGAAACGGTAGTGGGCTTACCGATCCGCTCGCGGTGGACTTCAATATCAAGTTTCTACATAGTCTAAGTAAGGTGAGATACGCTTCCCTGAGGGATTTTCACGCCATCGACCTTCAACACCAACTCACCGCTACATTCGCTTGAATGTATAGAAACCCGCTACTCCGCAGCTCGAGCTGCCTGAGGTGGCCCAGCGTAGAAAGAAGGATCAAGCAGCTGAATCGACAATGCACTTTTCATTGACACGTTTTGTGATTTTGCGTAAGATTCTGCGTTTTCGTTGCCAGCAGAAGATAACGCTCCTAACTCAACAAACCTCGTCCGCGTTAGTGAAACGACTCGCGAAGGAACGCCTAAAACCAAAACCAATCTCCGACGGCCGAACGCTGAATGCCGCCGACGGAGACTCATCTACCTCGCATAGCGCTACATCGAAACATTCCTTCCTCGATTTTTTGGAAACCCCTTACATTTCACTCGACCGACCACCTATGAAAAACACCCCTGCCTTCAACGCGCTATTCAAAACCCTTGCGCAGGCTCTATGCGACACCAGCCCCGACCGAACCCTCCGTTTCGAAGCCTTCCGTCTTCTCATCCAGATTGACAACGAACCGCAGCTTGGGCGATGGGAGGTCATAGCGTTCAGGCGAGTCATTGACGAGATGTTGCAACATGGAAACGCATCGGAGCAGTGGCTGGCAGCGACAACTCTCGCGAGGCAAGGGGAGCTGAATGATATTGTGCTTTCGATTTTGCGCAAATCGTTGGGAGATGTCGATGCGGCGCGGAGGGCGCTTGCATTGCAGATGCTTGGTGGACTGGACGTTTCTTTGGCTGATCGCGTGCTGCAGATTGTTCTGGAGGACTGTGGGAGTACGAGCTGGAGGGTGCGTTGCGATGCCGTTACGTTGCTGGAAGTGTGGGTTCAGAAACTGTCTGAGTTGCTCCCATGCCCCACGGACGATGATGACCTCCAGACGACCCTGCATGGCGGAGGGAGCCAGTCCAGCGAGCGCTCAAGCGTGGCCAGCCGGTCCACCCGCCCCAGCACACAGCAGCACCCGCCTTCAGAATCAGAAGATTCTGCGAACGCTCGGCAACTACTTCAAATGTCTGTGCAAATGCTGCTTTCACTTATGTGGAACGACTGGCATCAAGATGTCCGGCAAGTGGCGTCCTCTGCGCTGGCGAGATTGGGAAAAGGTCGGACTGTGCTGGATTGGCTGGTTGCGATGTTGGGTGCGGAGGATCCTTTGAGAAGAGTGGATGCTTTGCGGGCTTGCATGAGACTCGGCTTTCTGTTAGCGGCTGCTGTGGACAGTTATGTTATGTGCTTGGCTGATAACTTTGCAAGTGTTCGCCTTGAAGCGTGCAAGGTGAGCTCAATGAGCGCGTTCGTGGGGCAGCGATAAGGGAAACCAGTTAAATCTAATCGTACTTTCCATGGGTTTCTTCAGCTTGCTTGCGTGGTTCAAATGAAAGATCGAAGCGTACTGAACAGTCTGTTAGATCGCGTCACGGACTTCGAGTGGCAAGTGAGGGCTTACGCCGTCAAAGGTGAGGCATAAGTACTAAGAGCGGTTAGCTACTGTACATCGTGAATCAATGCTCACATATTATAATCGCAGGCGTCGCCAACAGTGGTAACACTGACCCGCAAGTACATGCCGCTCTGCGCTGCGTCCTATATCACGACCCCAACCCGTCAGTACGAGCCGAAGCAATCAACGCTACTCAGTCATTGGGTATCTTGGCACAAGACAAGGTTCTGCAGCAAGCTGTGTTCACCCTCAGAGAAGTGGATCCCACGCCGGCGGTACGGAAAGAGGCGGACAAAGCACTCACGGCGGCCGTGGGCTTGATCATTGCTACTGGACCGGGACAAGATCTTCCAACTTTCACTTTGACCAATGAAGCGGGTGCTGTGGTAGCACCTTCGGCAACGACCAACAACGCGAATGCCGCTGGTGGCTCTGCTGGCCTCGGGTCACCTATGCCCACTGCAAGAGGAAGCGGAAACAGCAGTGTTCCAACGACATCCGGCCGCGGGGCGGCCAGCAATGCGAGCAATGCCACCCTCTCCATCCCCTTCGCACACATCCTCTCCGACCGGTCGCCCGCAGAAGCCTCAGTCTTCCTTCGCACTTCGCTGGTAGAAGAAAAGGAACTCGAAGCCGTAATCGACCAGGTCCGCGACATGGCGGGGCAAGACCGTGTCACTGCCGAGGTGATGGAGAGCAATTCAGGTCCACACCCGTACGATGAAGATGAGGAAGTTGTAGATGATCACGTGCCGGATGTAAAGGCGATTCATGAAAGGAAGGGGAGAAGGCATATTGATATTGGGTTACCCGAGATTGTGAGGAAGCTGCCTGGGGTTCCGATGAAAAGACCGTGGCAGAATCGGCATAGGACGGTGGCTGGCGCGGCTGAATGATGGGACTTCGGTTGTACCAAACCCAGCCGAACACTATCCGCTGCAAGCAGGACTATGGGACGACCGATGTTGAGATAAAGCAGGCGCCCAGTACTGCATATGTACATCATGAATATAGAGAAAGAAGGTGGTTGCGAGCTGAATCGCAAGCCGATACTGCAGCAGCGGGTCGAGACTGGGTCGAAACCCCGTTCTTGCAAGCACAGTTGCGAACCGAGTGCATCGTTCCCGACGTCCATAGACTTCCGTAGTATGGACTTTGCCCCGGCATTGGACCGCACAGTTATCCAAGCTGCTGCGGCCCTTCGACTATGTGCCCTTGCTAGGCGCTCGTTGGCAGAGGATGCGCGGTTCCATGCTTCAACCCCAGGTGTCTTGACAAGTAACTGTCCATCTAGAATAGGCCACAGCATTTCGGTCACAGCAATCGCAATCTGATCCTTGCAGTCTTACGCACAACTTCCATATCCTCTGCTCTGCGGTGACGGCCTCATCATCCAACCTCACCCAATGAGCTCACTCCCTTCAACAAGGCGTTGAATTTGAACGGTGATGAGAAGCGGAAGGGAACGCTCACAATCGGGAACGTCGATTGTGCCAAATTTCAGCACAAGATGCACAACGCGAGACGAGAATGGAACACAAATCCGCTTCGTTGTTCAAGAGCGGCATGCACCAGCACCCTTCTCAAACTCATTGGAAGTGCCGAGGATGTCTTTCACCTACGACCACACATCACAAAGTCGCAACCAGGATGCTCTCCCATTCCTCAATCATATCGTATTTTCTTCCTTTATTTTGTAAATTTCAGGAGAGGCCGAAGCCTCTCCCACCACCAAAAATTATACCCCCACGCTGACCCCGAAGGGCCAGGTGAACCAAGGCCATCGAACGGTTGTGCAATGCCGACGAGCCTCAATCCGGCCGTGCCTTCTTGATCACACGAAGCCGTGAGTCAGGTAAGTATGCAGGATCACAGGGGGATGCTGGGCAGGCCTCCCTTTTATAGGCGCTGAGGGAGCTCTCGAGATTGCTCACATCCCTTCGCCACAACTCCAAAAGGTGGCACAGTCATGCTAAATGCCCGCAATCCGCGCGTGAAGCAGGGGTGAATTTAATTCGGGCAAATTTGAACTTTTTTGTTGTTGCCCACCCAGACTGCTGATGACCATCGCTGTATTAGTACTATCGGCGTTTGCCTTTTGCCTCAGCAAATGACGCGGCGGCATAGTGGCGTGGAGCCTGCTTTGGAGGGGGAGATCGGCGAGACGGCGTCGCCTACCAGCGCTTCAGCTTTGACCAATACCTCTGTTGCAGCGTGAGACGCCGGCTCACGGAGAGCGGAAATTCAATTCGCACCAGAACCTCCTCCACTGCGTCAACTGTAGGCCAGGTCTCAAGATACACCTCTACAGTCATCGCCACGCCCCCAACATCGAATCCATGGTCCCTACATCCCTCCGGCGCCACAATCCCTCCGGCGCCACAATCCGTTCTTGCTCACCCCTCCTCACACAATGTAAAAAGTGAAAGCATTCCTCACACAACGCCAGTCCGCGTGAGCCAGGCAATCACGGGAATGGCCAGTAACCGGTGCGGTGCAGCAGAATGTGAGCGGGGTGCGGGAGTGGGAGGAGCGGATACCCCGGTAGCTGCGGGCGTCACAGGCGGCGCAAAGAAGTTGAGTTTCGCAGTCAGGGCAGGTAAGCAACTCGAGCGAACGAGCATCACTGATGATTCGGTATTTTCGCCAAGGGCACATGGTCTTCTGTTATGGGCATGTCACAAGGGAAGCGCCTGACTAGCATTCCACTTGTTACGAAGTTATGCGAAGCCTCCCATGATGGTCTTTCCACACTGATATGGCATATGATATGCTTGGCGAGTGCCATTATACTGCTGACCGCTCCACCTTTGCGATGTTGGCTGACAAGTTCAGACTAGGAGAACGAGAGCGTCCAGAAACAAAGCAAACTGCAGAGCGGATGCTGCCCAATGATGTTTCGCTCACGAAGCCTACCGTTTGGGGCTGCCGCTCATGAATTTGCGGCATCTCATGCAACATTGCATCCGTCTTCGTATTCGTATAAGGAATTCCAGACGCAACCGTGCAAGCTCCGACGAGTACCATTCAAGCAGCTGGGTTACATTCCCCGGCCTTGGATCCAAAACACAATTTGGAGAACGGCCTAAAGTCGGTGTGCTCCACTGGGCATAGACCAGCTACGTAACATAGTGAGTGCTAACCGCCGTGTCGGAGTTAGCTGTCAAACGCGCCCATCCTGAAAGCTGCGAAACCGGGATGTCGGAATTACAGTGCCAAACCCGACAATCCGTATAAATACAGCTGTCAAACCCGACAATCCGGATAACGTGTCGGACTATAGCTGCCAAACCCGAAAATCCGTATGATGCCTACTCCCAATTACGCCCGGGCTTTGGTTTCCGGTTTCCTGATTTATGGGGTTTGACAGCTGTGGTGGTTTGACAGCTGGGCTGACTTCAAGGTTTCCACCTGGCAAACCGTCCTTTTTTCGGCGGCGACAGGCAGGGATGCTGTGGAGAGCCATAAAAGGTGGGTTAGCGTCCCTGGGTCTAGACTTTCTCCATCCGTCATCGCAACCCCTTTCCCACCTCCAAGTATAACCATGCCCTTCGTTCAGCAGCTCATCTGCCGAAGTTGTCGACAACCCCTCCCTGAAGACAGGAAAGCTTTCAAGAAGCACTGCCAGTCAGAGTGCAGGCAGTGGCTCCAGGACCGAAGCCAGCCTCTGATTAACAACGATTACCTTGCATCTGAGTGAGTGTCATTCATTCGTTGATGACCTCTTCCCTCCCGACGGGAAGGCGCTAACTTGTTACTGGCAGATTCGACGAACGAAACTTCAAGTTCTGCTGTCACATCTGCGAGCCTCGACACTCGGGCAGTAGCAAGTTTGACGGCTGCTTCTCCCTCAAGTATGACCTTGCTCGTCATGAATGGAACAAGCACAAGACGTACATGGAAGTGTGGACCTCAGGTACCTTTCTCCACGGCCTCACCGTCCCGTTTGAAGGACCCTCGTGCTGACAATGCGTCTGATTAGATGAAACCAAGGCCAGTTCATCCGTGAAAACCTCCACGGGCACGGGCTGTCGCAGTCGCCCGGTTCCTGGCAGCTATCTCGACACCGTTTTGAGTCAGGATACTTCCGACTTTCTCGAGAGCGAGCCGGAAACGAAACCAAGTGGTATGTCCATAATCGCATCGTAGATTGCAAGTACATCCAGCAGCTCGCTCATTGCCGCCCTTCGTTTCTCCCAGCTCCCAGGCGCAGGTCCAAACAGCTAGCGCTTCCCAGTGAGCGATCCCTCCCCAGATTTCAAAAATCAAATGCCACGAAAAAGAAAGTCACCACAAAAGAAAAAGTCTCCAAAAAGAAGCTGGTGATCGCCGAGATGGACAAAACCGTCGGAGGGACGCCAAAGAAAAGCCCAAAAAGAACGGTCGCACCACCAACGCCATTGTCAAAGCAGAAGCCGGCCCCGAAACGAAGACCTTCGTGCGGTCGCTCCGCTTCACATGCGGCGAGCCCGTCGGTTCGCCCGCTCCCGAAAGTCACTCTGACGGTCTACCCGGCTTCTTCGAGGTCACCGTCCCCAGCGCCACAATGCTCAATTCGAGAGACTCGTAGCGAGACACCGGTAGTCCCCGACGAGCTTGGATCCCAGATCGAGCCGCTTCGCTCGGAGACGCACCGGTCCTCCTCCATGGAATCCCATGGCAGCGAAAGAGAAAGCACTGCGTCAGCAAGCAACAGCACCGCCGTGGCTTCCGGTCAGCAACCCGGAGCAGTCACATCCTCCTTCGAGCGGGCCATGCATTGCATTCGCGTCCCCATGCGCATGTCACAAAGCGCCTACGACGAAAACATCCTCCGCGGTCTATGGTATGGCCACTGCTACGCCGCCGATTTCCTCGCCGTCTCCCCGCACATTCGCCAAGCTGCCTTATTGTGGTACCGCTACGTTCAAGCTCACTACCCCGAGCTGAACCAAGACGTAAGCGCCATTGCCGGCGAGACGGACCCGGCTTTTTGGAACGATACGGACCAAATCGACCTGTGCCATAGGTTGCTCAAAGTGGATCCGATTGCACAGCCGGACGATATGAAAGAGATGAACGCGGTGCAGTCGGCGCTGCTGCATAGGTCAATGCAGCCGTATCGGGATTCCCACGCGCCGCTGGACATCCCGACGGTGTATGCGGTCAGCAGCGCGATGATTACGAGCGGGCAGGCGTCGCCGTTCTTGGGTTGGGCGTCGTCGCCTCCGCATCGCGCTGAGCTTGGACACATGGAGTTCGGCGGGACCCCTGCACTCCAACACCTCCATCCAGAGAACAGGACGCACGGTTCTGACGCTACTACTACACCACGCATCCGAGCGAGCAGCGCGACGCCCCCGCACGTGCGACGTGGTATGTCCAACGACTCGCAGGATCGTAGAGAGGTGACATTTTCGGACAACTTGGATCACTACTGGTTTGCCTTGGACAATGTGCCTTATTCTAGCCTCAACATTTCGGATCATTAATAGAAACTCAGACTTTCGATCGTATAGAAAATACATTCTTAGAATGCGTCTAAAAACTCTATTGACATTTCGTAATAACTACGACTACTGCAATTTGGGCTTCATCGCGTCCTGCACTCTCCGTAAGGGATGGGTCTTCAGCCATTCTTGTAGAGCAGCAGGCCTATCTGAACAGATCCCATTCGCTCCAAAGCTCCGCACGGCCTCCCAACCTTCCACAGTATTTACGCCGCCTCCAGGCATTCCATACACAATGACGGGGATGCCCTTGCGATTGAGAGCTTCTGCGAATCCCGGCCACAGGATCCATTTGAAATTGGGCATGATGAGCGCGCTTTCGTGGTGGTGCATGTACGGTAAAAGTCCAACGCTCCACGCGACAAGAGAGGAAAGCAAGCGGGAGATCCTGAAGAAGTGGGGAATCTCCGGGAAGTGCGTTCGGCACCAGTCGTTTTGCGGGTTATGGAAACTGTGCTTGCGTTGGTCACACGGGTGCATACATCAGAGACGAAAGCAAATAGAAAAGCTTGGCCGTACCTTCCCCACACGGTCTTATCGGTCCGTTTGTATTCGCGCATCAGGTTCCCAACCTGTATCACCAACTCCTCCGGTCCTTTCTTCACATCTATCTGCATCGGGTACTGTGGGAACTCGCCCAGTAGCTCCGTAAGCAAGGGGATCCGTGTCGAGTCGGGATCTCCCGTGACCTTCTTGTCGCCGGTGAGATCTGATGGGATTAATAGTGGTGGTAGTTCGTCGTAGTTGCTTTTTGGATTGAATGTCTCAGAATTGGGGGAGTGGTCCATGACAAAGCAGCGAGTTGCAACACGTACTAATCCCCGATGGCCTTCCCCTCCAGCCCACACAGCCTCTTCAAGTCCCTGTCGTGAAATATGACCGCTTTTTGGCCGATATAGCTTGGTATCGGTTGCCTATTTCTTCTCCGCGCCACGGCACCCCTACCTTTCTTGTCCTTTGTCAGATAGCAGTCGAGTTCCAGCAGGTCCACTTTCAACTCCTTCGCGGAATATCTAAAAGCTGGCATTGTATTCTCCACTCGCTCTCTAGACAACCGTTGGCATGTGAATATAAGTATGCAATTCAACCGCTTGTGCTAATGACCCAGGGTGCACCTGCCTACTGCCCCCACGATGGGACATGAGGGTAAATGGGAAATTTAGTCGCCCTCCTGTGGACGACATGGTGGATCGAGCGGAGGTGCTTGAGAGGCGGACGCTGGCGGACGGACGAAGAGATAGCTGCTTGGTAAGGAGGTTTGCTATGGTGGCTGGTCTGATAGTGGAATTTATAATGAGCTTCATCGCAAGTCTGTCCCCAAGGCCAAAATCCGATGTGTCGTCTCCCTCTCCCAGCGTTTTATGCGATGGACGCGTCACAAATCCGATGTCGAAGGATTCCATGATGATGACACCGAATGCGTAACATCTATCCGGGCTTTGCACTCCCGATGTTTCCCAGCGTATGCGTTTAGGAAACTGTCATAAGAACCCGCAACTAGTGTTTGGAAAATAAACGTCTCATGCCTCTGGCGCAGGGCTCGCTGTTCATGGTGGGTGCGGGAGTAACTGAATACTTTTCCGCAGCCTTCTCAAAGAGACACGAGCAAGCCGCTTTGGGAGTGTACTGTACAGTACCTTCACCCCGAATCCAGGAGACGACAACATGAACATACAGCAGATCTATTCGTTCCTGCAATTCATTGCGGTGTGCGGTTCCTAACGCCCGCCCAACATCCATGCTTACGCCAACCGGACACAACGAGCAGGAAGCAAGTCCGCAAATCCGTTCTCTCGAACTCAAGAGTCAAGTCAGACAGAGTTTCAAGCCGCGTCTTGGTGTCTCGGAGAGGCTCCCCCTTCCTACGTGCTTCGTTAAGGTTTAAGACCATCCCGGCCACTGTACAAGTGAGCGACGGACAAGTGAGCAATTTTCATACCCACAGAGCCACTTTGTAGGTACGTGAAGCGGATCGTCTGAAGAGCACGGTGAGGCCAGGTACCAATTATTTGAGATGCCGCATCCCAGCGCATCCCGCAGATAACAGCTTGGGGGCGGTTTGGCCTGTGAAATGCTGTCAGAAGTCGGGCGCTCGATCATGGAAGCTTCGATATTCAATTTGACCATGAAATCGGAAGAGGAGAAGGGTGCACCGACTGTTTGGAACCCGTACCGTATTTTCGGACACCCGGTACGCCTTATCAATGTTGAGATGAGGGTCGATGCACCGTGTCCCCGGGCGTTTTCGGCGGTTGCCAAGTCTCAGAGGTTAAGGATGAAACGCCCTTGCAGCTTGCGGCCGGACACAACCTTAAACTTTTGGGCGTTTGCTCGCGGGGGCTGTGCGGCGAGGGGAAGGCGGCGGCAGGCAAAGAGAGAAATATAGGACCCGCTCCGAACGCTGCAAGATACAGTATATCAAGACAGACGGACTGGAGGTGCTCCGCAGCAACTTCCTCCGTATTACCGTATTCAACAACAACGTCAGTCTTCGGAGCTACGAGACGAACGGCATTCTCACATACCCGGCATCCTCTGACAGCTCTAAACCATGGCTCTCCAAGCAGGGCAATTCGTGACCAGGAACGGCCAAGACCTATATGACCCAACGACAAAGACACCACTGCGGTTCGCCTCCTTCAACACTCCAGAATTGGCTTACCTAGACGACCCAGACCGGCTAGTGCCGTTACTCTACGAGCAAGAGGACCTCCTTCGGTCGGTATCGGATTTTGGCGGGCGGGTCGTCAGAACGTACGTCTTGTCCGTTCAAACGAAAGGTGATGGGGTATACGACAATGGAGGCAACAGCCCACCGACAAAGCACATCATCAAACGCCGGAATAACTCCACGGCGCCTGCCGGGCAGGTTTTCGACCTGAACGAGCCACTCATGCGAGGCCTCGATAACGCTCTGGCTGCTGCCGGACGGATGGGCATCCGGATAATATTCCCGTACGTTGGACCTCATTTTCGCTGTCATTTGTGTTTGTGAAGGTAACTAACCCTTTCTTCCATATAGATTCATAGATCAGTGGGAATGGTGGGGCGGCTGCAAGCAGTTTGTGCAACTGGTGGACCCCGCATTGGAGCAGACTGCGTTCTTCACCGAGCACCGAGTCGTCGATCAGTTCAAGTTGCTCATTCAGGCTGTCCTGAACCGCAACAACACCGTCAATGGCCTGCTTTACCGTGACGATCCGGCCCTGCTTGCCTGGGAGACCGGCAATGAGCTCGAGTACAACAAAGGCCGAGTGCCCACGGCATGGACAAAAGACATTGCCGCGCATATCAAGAGCATCGACAAGAACCATCTCGTCATGGACGGATCATGGCAATTTGGGTGGGATGCGACGGTGTTGGATGACCCAAATATCGACATGTACTCAAACCACTACTACCCGGGTTTCATGCGTACGACAACGAAAACGCCTCAGATTGGCGGTATCATCGCTTTGGCCGGGGTCATGATCCTCGGATTCCTCCTACTGATCCTGGTCAGCTGCTTCTCTCATCGTTTCCGGTTCCTCAAGAAACCCACCATGTACGAGCACGTATACATGGAATCAAAAGCCCGCAAGCGCATCACCATGGCCGCCGCCCTCGTCATCATCGGCGGCTCAATAGGCGGAATCGCCGTCCTCAACCGCAACAACAACCAACAATCCCTCTATGGCGACCTCGCCGCCGAAGATGCGGCCATAGTCGCCTCCCACAACAAAGTCTACATCGCCGGCGAATTCGGACTCGCCCCCTCCGCCGCAATGCAGAGCATGCTCACTACAGCCGTCGACCAACCCTCCAAAGGCTTCGCCGGTGCCCTCGTCTGGTCTCTACGCGGCCACTCTCGCAACGGAGGGTTCTACATCCACTCCGAGTCCGGCGAAGGATACTTTTCATACCACTACCCGGGCTTCCCATCCACTGGCCCCGGGTTCCCCGCCGATGATATCAGTACCATCAAACTCGTCAAGCAGGCCGCCCGCGACATGGCGGCGAAAACGGGATACACCATCCCCGCGCCAACCGTTCCCATCCCGCCATCCATCATCGCCTCGGTGTCAACCACACAAGATTTGCGGTTCATGGGCTCCGCAACCGCGTCCAGCTACGAAATCCAGCGCGCAGATGGCGCCAACGCACCCGCAACCGCAAACTGGCAGCCGGTCAAGACAGATTTCCTCGACAATATCACTCAGAACTCGACCATGTTCAAGGATACAACCGCAAAGGCGGGAACGACGTATAGCTACCGTGTGCGCGCGAAGAACGATGTCGGCGTAAGCGAGTTTAGTAATGTTGTTTCGCTTGTTGGTTGAATCAAAACCCTCCCCTCCTCATATTGTACATAGCCTTTCTTCATGCTTCCTCTTCGGGCGTCCTTGCCCCTCATGCGCACAGACTTTTTTTTTGCCATCTTAGATTTTGTATGATATACGAATGATATACATCGGATCAAGGATATCAAATGGTCCCGCTCATCTACGTATCAGTTCACTTTTGGGATTGTGTTCCGGATTCGAAGGAGTCCCCCTGCCGGAGGTTATATGTACTGTGAGGTTACTTGGTGTGCTCAAACCCGATTTCACCAGAAGCTGCGGGCTGCGACAAGGGCCTAGCGTAAGCCCAGCTTATCTGGGAACTGATGAAAACGACACAATGCAGCTATCCTTTTGGCCAACATACAGTATTTCGGAACAGACAAACTCCGGATGTATCACAATGACATGAAATGTTACAACAAAACCAGGAAAGAATGTTACAACAAAACCAGGAACGAATGAGGTTACGGAGGCACTCAGACACCATCAGCAAAGTCGGGTCTTCTCAGAATCGAATTTCTGTTTTGCTTTTCGTACCAAGGCGAGCCAACCTTTATTCGTCAGCCTCGCCCTCCTTCTTCACCTTACCCTCCACCTTCAAGACGTTGCCCGTCACCCGCTTGTAGATATCCTTAACGTCCTGGCAGACGGACTCAAAGTGACTGGTGGCGTCGTACGACTTGGAGATGTAGGCGCCGTCGGATTTGCCGTCGGATACTGGCTCGAAGATGTCCGTGATCTCAACGAACCTGGAAGACGGATGCTTAGAAAGGGACAGTGGCGAGAGGAGAGGATGGGCGCGACGCGACTTACTTTTCTGTGATGGGGCCGAGCAGAGCAAGCGCGGGTTGGAGCTCTTGCTCCGCGTTGGCTGTTTCTACGATGGTCGAGACGATGGCGATCCAGTAGTCTTTTGCCGCGACATTGTGCGCAAATGAGGTAGATGCGACGTAGATATCTAATAGCAGAGCGAAGGTGAGTATGCAGAGAAACAAGGTTTTTTCCATACTTCGCCGGCACTGACATACCATGAGCACGGTTGACCTGCTTTTGGGGGATGACGATTTGGAGAGAATCGGCGTCCGAGGTATTTGGTATGGAGTGCTGCAGAATGCAGATGGCGCGGACAACCTGGCCGGCCTTCTTCACTTTGTCCTTGAAGTAAGTAGGGTCGCCAATGACGGCCTTGGTCTTCACAACCTGCATTCGATGAACGTATGGTTAATCCTTATAAACTCCGGACACCTGCTTCACCAATACCGAAGAGCTTACCTCGCCCTCACTCTTCACACCGACCAGTTTTCCATTTTCATACACAATCTCGTCGATCTTCTTGCTCAACATGTACGTTCCACCGTAAATGGCACTGAGGCGAGCAAACCCTTGCGGAAGCTCTCCCAAACCATACAGAGGGTACAGGTATGGGGACTTGCCGTATCGCGCCATGGAGTTCATGTACAAGCAGATGCGCTCGTACGTGTCCCTTGCCGGCTGGGTCATGTACTCGTCATCAAAGTGCAGTGCAAGGGCGTGTCCAACAAAGTCCTGCGTTCCGGCCTCCAAGCCGAATTTCTTGTACACCTCCGTCATTGTGACGGTGTTCAAATCCAGTCCTGTAATACACAAAACGCTTTAACATTGCATCAATGCTTCCCATTAGCTCCATATATGGTCTCACCTTGGTGAGTAGTCGGGTTATTGAAGTCGTAAGCCTGGATGAACTCGAAGAATTTCTTGGCTCTGCGCTTCTCGAAGATTCCCATCAAAGGGCTAGCTACGGCCTCGGTGTTGCTGGCAGGCACCTTGGAAATGCGGCCATCGCGGTACACGTAAGATCCCGCAATCTGGCGGAACTCCAAGTAGCGGGTGACATCGGTGTGGTAGAGAATGTTGGTGAATTCACCAGAAGCCATGGCGAACTTTGGAATCAAATCCACGTTCCAGTCCCTGTCTCGGCCGAAGGTGCTGGGGGGCTCCTGGCCAGGTCGGAACTTGCGGTAGAGCTGCAAAGAAAACGATGGCCTATCAGTCGCCGATTGCCGTACGGTATCATAAATGCATGCCACCGTACCTGGGACAAGTTCAAGGAAGCACTTTCACCACCATAGTAGTCGTTCCTATCCATATGGAGAACCTTCTTTCCTTCCACCGAGAGGACCCCTGAGAGAATACACTCGGTAAGACCGGTGCCGAGCACAACGACATCATATTCTTCGTCCTGCGGATAAGCAAAATGTGGGGTTCAGCTTCATCGTCGCTACGGTCACGCGCAGTCGCAATGTTGCTTCCGCAAGAGCCGGTCTGTCATACGAATGGGCAGCTGACATACCATTTTGAAGCACTATACTGTTCTCTTGGTCACTGCTGTTTGTTACTGTTTGTGAATACGAAGGCGATCTCAGATGTCGTGGGAAAAGATGTCGGTGATGTCAAGCTCAGGCAGGCAGCGGCTGGTTCTTTGTGATGATGACAGCACACCAGGAGAAACAAGCCACAGGGTCAAGGCAGTGCCCAACCTTAGACAGGACAACGCGTTTCAACTCCAAGCTCTCCCAAAGACTGCGCTTTTTTCCACAAAAGAGGTACTGTACAGTTAACAAGAGGTACTGTATTCTGTTCTACAGCCTTTCTACAACAAACTAACTCGGAATACACCTAACGTCCCTTTTCTCTGTTTAAAATCTACATCTTGCAGGTATTCAGTCCCTAAATTGGGAGTGTTAGTTGATGGACACCCTAATTTGCCAGGAAAAAGTTGGCTTGTGTTTCCTGCTGGCGAAGTGCCAGGGCATGACCGGGGCGATGATGGAACGCGGACCGTGTCGGCATGTACATCTGCAGCCAGGAGCATGAACGCATGTCCTGTGACGTACATGGCCAACTACGGCTCGGCGTCCGCCGCTGTACTCTGTCCAAAATTCTGATGAGCGATACTGCGTGACGGCTGCGCGTCGAGGACAAAGTTCGCAATGAGGTCGTCAATATTCAGGTATGAGGGGTTTCATGGGATTCACGGCGCACCTATAGAGCGTGTAATAGCTGAGTTTAGGAAGCTCCCAGGATCCCCTGAAAAACGGCGTTCGGCACTTACATCCAAATGCGTGTCTTGTAGATTTTAAACAACTCGCGTACCAATTCGCGGAAATCGATTCGTCCCTCAGCCACAAAGTAGTAGGTCAATTTCCGCCGGTCCCTGCAGAGAATGAAGGTTCATCAAACAAGCGTCCGAAATCAACCTTCAAGCTGGCTTGGAGGTGCGTACCATTGATATTCCGCATCAACGATCTCCATCGGTAACCTTTTCTGCCGAATCTTAGCTTGGCAAATTGCCATAGCTTTCGCTTCGTCCTGACTCTTGGAGACGAGCATCGTCACCTCCGCAGGCCCGGCTGCTCTGTATATTCTTTTCGGATGCACTTCCTTGGTGGGACTGTGACACTCCGGGAGGGAGTCCACGTGTTGTGCCTGATACATCTGAAGTATTTGGAGATTTTGAATGTTGTCGTGGATGACCTTTCCGAGATCTTTGCCGCGGTCAGCTTCAACCAAGACAAGATCGCCGCGTTTCACCGGCATGCCATACAGGGCGGTAGTGTGGAAGAAATCTTTGCGGCCGGCTTTGAATTCGACCACATAGAGCGGCCATTGGTATGAGTAGGATTGCATCTGGAGGTTCTTTCCAGCCTCGACCCATGCTTTTGTCCTTCTTTTGGTGTTCTCAAAGTAATCATCGATCTCGTCTAGGAAGGGAGTCTCTGATGTTTCGTTGATTCGCATGTTCTCCAACCCAGCCACCAGATACTCGGGGGTTAGAGGGACCTGCACCGGTCCAGCCAAAGTGTGTCGGCGTCTGTACACGTCTGAGATATCAGTGGCGGCGCTGATTGAAGAAAGGTTAGCTACAAGACGGCGCGGTCTACTTCTTATAACCACACGAGGCTTACGGTTCATATTCGTGGTATAAGCCAGGCGCATGTGAGAAACGGCGGTCTTGTCTATTGTACATGTACGCCGTCAGTGGCACAGGAGAAATGCTGTTCGAATCCGCTCCGGATTGTGCAGACGGCCTTCTATGTATGATGTGCGGTTTCTGGGTCGCCGCCCAGATACGGTCCATGTCGGCATAGTCCGATGTCGGGGAAACGGAGCTTTGGAGAGCATCGGCAGGATACGTATACAAGGCTTCCTGAGTTGATGGAAGTCCGTAGACTTCTGACGAGGATTTTGATCGCGACCGAAGCTTGGGCGCAGGAATCGTGTCATACTGCTCACTTCCATCCCGCAGTGGGACTATCGTTTCACCACCCCTTTCAAATTTGTCGAGGTGAGCCTGCGGTTCCCCTACCCCGCCCTTAGACCCCATGGAAAACGACAGACTTCGGTACTGTCGGGAGGGAAACGTCGCTGAGACATCACCGGGTATATAGGGTAAAGGTATGTTGGTGCCATCTGTCGGGCTGGATTTTGCGCTGCGAGCGTTGTTCAAGTTCGCCTCGTTCCAGGACGAGCCTCGCCATTCAACGCCAGGCTCTCCCCAATTCCCTCCGTTTCTATTCGACTGTTCTGGCGTTCCTGAATAAGAGACCCAACCCGATATGTCATAAGACGACTGATCGATCTCGCATCAAAAAATGCCATAGCCTGTTCACCTTCCGAGCCTTTGCGATCTGCCGCCCACTGCGGGGCTTCCTGCTTAGCAGACCGCGCGGCTGCTGATTTGGCCACGTTGGCCAAGCTAGATCGTCGGGGTGTTGGGATACCTGGTGAGTCGGTCCCACGGATATTTGACATCATCACCACCGAACTCTGCTTGATGAAATATTCCCTCAGAGTCACTCCTAGGATGCTTGCAAAACTGCACAACGAGGACGGAGTAAAGTTGATCCAAGAGAACTGATCCGCCAACTTCGCGGCGCTGTGAAGGAACTAGCTGTTATACTAGTTTTGCACGCGAAATTGCTCTGTCCAGATGACGAGATTGTTTCAGAGCGTTATCGTCTTGAGATTACAGCAGAACCGCCACTTAGTCGAACTGTCGACCCGCCTAGGCGGGTTGGCAAAGACGAGCCTACATATGTATGAGGCCAAGTGTGAAGGGACAGGAGCACCCCTTGCTGGGGCGTGCAGGAGTGTGTTTGTGCCTCTGCTTTGTGGCCCACAAACTTGCAAGTTGGCGACAATTCAAGAAGCGCGCGCTGACGACCGGCACAAATAACGATCGCACGATCCTAATCAGATTCCATCTTACGACAACTTCATAATTTAGATTCCCAATCAAACTTCCCACAGCGATCAGAGCCGTGACTGCCGGGACTCGGGGATTGTGAGAAGGTGTTGTGCCAGCCTGCCATGCTGCAGGTGGTTGAGTAGCGGAGGCTCACGGACGTCGGTGGACTCGGTTGGAGGCTCCAACTTGGCTGCAGGAAACTCTCACTCAAGCTGGACAGTGGATCGTAACATCGGCACAATACGAATCTCAGGTCCTTTGTACGGTACAGTTGGTATATACAAGGGGAAGATGGCTCCTCACTTGCGCAACCGTGTTGATCCCAGATGGAGACCTTCATCACTTCCGTCCATATTATTTGATGTCTCTTTTACGTTATGGGGAATCCCTCACCATGAACCACATACGGCTCTCACGCACTGTGATGTGACGAAGCCTACTAAGAGCTGGTCTTTGCGTACTTGGTTCCATAAGGGCAGGTTTGGTACCCTGCGTACCCACCGCGTCACGCCCAACCTCAGCCCAACCTCCAAACATCAAAGCCCCAACCACGCGCCGGTTGAGTCGTGGGAAAACCGGAATCACAAGCGTTGGGGGTCACCGTACATATGCAGAACCAAACAAAAACATAGAACAAGAAGCTCAACTGCGAATACTTAGTAGGACCCTTTCACTCGGCACAAAATCGGATCCCCTTGACTTAAGGTTAGTTGATGATCCACAGCTCTTGGCGAGCACACCAGCCATCCTTTTGTATGGAATTTCAATTCATGCCTGGAGACGGTGCGAACGGCCCCGAACATTCTTCTCACTCGCATCTTAGCAGGCCATCGCAGCCATGTCGGACGAAGATATAGCTCCTGGCTCCGATGTGGAGCAGGAAGTTTTGGACGATGAGCCAAAGAGCATCTTACTTGGCATCATCGGGCAGCTACGCAAGGGAGGTGACCTGTCTCGGGTCACCTTACCCACGTTCGTTCTGGAGCCAAGGAGCATGACGGAGAGAATAACGGACTTTATGAGCCACCCGGAACTCATCAATAAGTAAGATCACAAAGTTGAGGTTGAAGTCGGCAATTGGCGATGGCCCTCAAAAGTTGAGGCTTACGCGAAGGTGCATACTGCGCCCACTTGGAGGCAGGCTTAGCAGACTCTGTGTACTGCTTCCGCATGCGACCTTCGTTCAGATGCAAAAGCAGTCTGGAAAACGTTTTAACCAGACCTTTTTCCGCCATATCATAGTGCGCCTCTGAACACGGACCCCGTAGGCCGATTTGCTGACGTTGTCGCATACTTCTTATCTGGTTGGCATATCAAGCCAAAGGTAAGCCCACGTCCAGAACGCTTGCTAATGCATGGCTCGCCCTAACACCGTTATCCAACGAAAGGGAGTCAAAAAGCCGTACAACCCCGTGCTTGGAGAATTTTTCAGATGCCGATGGGACTTTGAGGATGGTTCAACAGCATACTACGTGTGCGAGCAAGTATCGCATCACCCGCCCGTCTCCGTTTACTTTTACGCCAATCCGCAGAACGACATCTGGATTTCGGGCCACGTGCGCCCGGCGTCCAAGTTCCTGGGCAACTCCGCGGCAACCTTGATGCGGGGGACGCATCATGTTCAGTTCAAGCGATCCTGGCCTGGAGAGGAGTACACTGTTACGTTGCCCAACGTATATGCCAGGGGAATCCTTTTCGGTTCCATGTACCTAGAACTGGGTGATTCTGTTGTCCTCAAGTGCCCAAAGAATGATCTTGTTGCGGACATTGATTTTCAAACCAAGGTGAGGAGCGACTCGGGAGAGAGATACCAATGAATTGGACGAGCTTCTAACGTCAGGACTCGCCTTCCAGGGCTTCTTCACAGGGGTATATAACGGAGTCAAGGGACGGATAAAGCGAGAATCTTCAGGCGAGGTGATATACAACATTGCGGGCAAATGGACGGATTCCATCCAATTCACCAAAGCGAGCACATCGGAGAAGAAGACGGTCTTCAACGCCGCCACGGCGCAGATCCACACAAAAGTTCCGCCTGCGGAAGACGCGCAGGAAGAGTTCGAGGCGCGGAAACTCTGGGAAAGGGTTACGAAAGGAATCACCACCAAGAACTTGGATTATGCCACGAAGGAGAAGACGGCGATCGAAGATAACCAACGCGTTATCCTCAAGGAGCGTGCGGCCAAAGGGGTGACTTGGCAACCGAGATTCTTCACTGGGCCTGTAGATGACGACTGGAGCTTTGGATTGAAAGAGTGAGTGGCATCCCACCAACCTCCATCCAGTGCGCAAGGGCAAGAAAGAGGGCGGCAGCTAACATTTTTCCATGGTTTACCAGCTTCCCGAACGACCCGAAAGCGGCGTCCAAATTGATAGAAGACTTCATTTTCGCGCAGCCAGATTCCCCATCACATAAGACTTTCTGGGCCTCTCCAAGACAGTCCACCACTTCCATCTCCTCTGTAGATCGACCTTCAACTTGAACAAATTGAACTCGTGTTGGCCCGCTTTGTGAGGGATTTGCACATGGTTTTTCTACTTTTTGTTGTGGTGTGAGAATGGGAAACCTCTTGGCAGTGTGTGCTTGCCTTGATCCTTTTAAATGGCAGAGGGCAAGCACATGCCCATGATATCGCTCCGGCACCGGCACGTTGGGAGCGACAAAAAAACGTTACTCTCCAGGAGCATTCCAAAGCAGCGCTCAACGGCAACCAAGTGGGGATTCTATAAAATGTTGCGATTCTGCATTCGCTCCGTACACCAACTCCCTCACGGCTTCCGCTTTGATGAAGACGCCCATGTTTGATATTTTTTTTTTCATTTCGTGTCTGCATAAATACACGTCGGGTTTGGTACGTATGATGAGAACTGCACAACCTCGTCGTATGGTATCGAAAGACGCCATTCCATCCCACTTCCCTTCTTGCCCTCCAAAGAGCTCCAACCCATCGATCCACAAAAATATCTATCTGCCCTCGCATTGCCCGCGTCTACCCTCCTTCTCCTCAGCTGCCCTGTGACCCGGGAGCCCTGATTATACGACATCGGAGGTAAACGCAGCGTTCTGTGCTCTATGGTTTATCAGATTTAGCCCGCTTATGGTCCGGCGACCCTCCATCACTGCTTCCTCCAACGGAATCACGGCGGAATGGTCGTTTCAGGCCAGCCGATTCCTCCCGGTCCCGGAAGGCCTTTTTTTGCGGTGGTGGGGACGTAGATCGGGATGCTGCTTCGTCGGGGGATGTAGAGCCGCCGTTGGCTTCTTCGCCGCCGTAGTTGGCTAGAGCCGCGAGGCCGTCGGAGGCTCGGGCGGTTTTGGGGCTGGTGGATTTGGAGGCGGAGCGGCGTTTGTCGTCGGTGGTGGGGGTTGGTGCTGCTTTCTGCTGCGGTTGTTGTGGATTTTGTTGCGCTGCAGGCCGTTCGGGTTCAGGTTTGCTCTCCTTCTCCCGCTCCCGTTCCCTTTCGCGTTCACGCTGCTCGCGTGCACGGTCCCGGTCACGGTCGCGCTCCCTCCCACTTTCTCTCGGATATTCACTCTCCTCACCAGCCCTCTCGCGACTCCACTCCCTCGACACCGCCGCAGACTCCTCATCCCGCTGCTGCCCGTACGACCGATCGCTAGGCAACGCCAACCGTTCCTTCTGTGCCGGTGGCCGCTCCCGTTGCGGCGAGGCCTTGTTCTCGCCCGCCTTATCGTCCTGTTTACCCTTTAACAGCCCCGCAGACGTCTTCTTACTAGTGCTTCCGCTGCTCGTCTCCCTCCTCGCGGGCGCGTCCGACTCTTTGGCGCGATCGTCGTGTGCCTGCTGGGCTTGGGCGGCTGTGGGAGAGGGCAACGGGGGTTGGTCGATCTCCATTGCGTTAACACCGCGCTGGCTTTGGGAGGATTGCGGGCGGGAGGGAGCGTTGATTGCATCGGAGCCTTTGCCCTCTCTAGCGTCCGCATCATGCACCTGTGCTCTTTCCTTTTCCATGCCCTGATCGGTGCCGGGTCCTGCAGGAGTGGCTTGTGCTGGACCTCTGCGGTCAGTGGATCTCTCAGGCATCCTTTGTCCTCGTTCCTCAACGTAAGGGCCACGGCCAGTGTCCATGGGTCTCGACTCCATCTGACGAGCATCCCGATGCTCATGCGACGGGGAAAAGTCCCTGGGACGGGGAAGCTGTTCCCTCTGTCGTTCGTTGCTGAACCTCGGCCTGTCAACGCCTTCCAAACTCCTGTGGCCGGAATCATGTTCCCTCTGCTCTCTCTGATCCCTCTGAGGGAACGGCAGCGCGTCTCCGTGGCCAAGGAACGAGTCAGACGAGCGACGGCCGTGGTCGTCGGGCCTCATGATGATTTCTGGCAGCCGGATAGACTCGTTGGCGTCCCGAGAGTGTCGCGGCATGTCGCCAAACGATCGCAATGCCTCCATTTGCGACGAGCCGTCACCTCGGCCTTCGCCTTGCTCGCGCTGTCGGCCTTCCAGACCTGATAGAGGCCCATTGGACGAACGGCCGTCTTGGCCATAGCGTCCAGAGACCTCGTCTTGCGGGTTATACAGACGGGGTCCAGAGGAGTTAGGCGGCATGTCCTGCACATTCGAGCGAGATCCGTTCCGGTTTTGCTGTTTGGGTGAGACGAGCTTGTCGGCGCGGCCACCCTTGGGTTTGCCCGGTCGGTTCACGAGTTCACCAGGAGACTGCAAGGTAGGTCTGTCTGCCATCGAAGGGATCCTCCGCTCATCGCGCTGCCCGGGTCCGGAAGCATAAGGCGGCAGCGTCGATGATCCAGGAAGCATCCCTTCGCGCCGGTCAAGGTCGGCAGGCTGAGGCGCATGACCGGCGCCTTCGGGATGGGCTGAGCGGCCAAAGCCAGTGGGCGGCTGAGGTCCTTGGTACAATGGACCCGATGCGTTGGCGTGAGGACCCGAGACGTTCGGATAGCCCTGAGGTTTGGTATCGCGGAGAACAGCAGGCTGGTGGGCGGGACCGGAACCTCCGGCCTGGTTCTGAGTTGCTCCTCCTTGCGAGCTGCGGAGCATTTGCAGGCGTTGCTTGATATGCGGGTTGGAAGGGTCGAGCTCGAGAGCGCGTGTGTATGCATCGAGAGCGTCGTTGACTTGATTATTGCAGCTCTCGTAAAGAGTGCCGAGATCGTACCTATCGAATCGACAATGGGTTAGCACTTCTCTGCAACATGGGACCAAGATGATTGTCCAAACTTACCAAACTTCACTGATGTATGGGTTCAATCGGATAGCTCGGCTATACGCGTCCAGTGCGTCGCGATATTGATTGATTTGATAGTACAACACTCCAATAGAGCACCAGAAAGTTGGATTGCGTCCATCCCGGTAGCTAAGAATCGGGAGTGAGCGCTCCATAATCACAAAGTGCTCATGAATAGTTGCTACTTACACAGCTTGTTGATAAGCCTCGTAAGCTTTGTTGTATTTCTGTTGAGCCATGTAGCATCGTCCAAGCAGATACCAAGTTTGTGCATCATTGACATCTGCAAAGTGTGTGAGCGCGAATTCACCTTCGATTTCACCCATCACAAAGTTCTTACCAGCTTCGAGTGACCGCGTCAAATACTGGATGGCGAGCTCCTGGCTTGAGAAGCTGGAGTTTTGTTGATGATAGAGCCAGCCGAGTTGTTGCAAAACTTTGGCATGGTTCGGGTTCTCCGTAAGGACGCGTTCGTATGCATCACGAGCAAGTGCATACTGTGGATGGTGAGTAGCCATGATGAGCCAGTGTACAGACCCTCACGTTATACGAGCGCTGCTCACCTCTTTCTGCTGCTCATGAACATGTCCGATTTGGAACCAAATGTCCACCTCGGTGAGGGGCTTCGGCGGGCAAGTCAAGATGTACTTGAAGCACTGTGACATGAAAATCGAGGTCAAGATCTGTCAAAGTTTCTCACTTCACATCACATCCCATCAAATCGTACTCACACTCAGACTGGTTTCGTATTTGCCCTGTTGCTTGTAGATTATGCCCAGTCTGAAGTAGATCTCGTTGGCTTTCTCGAATTTGGGCTCCATCCGGATGACCGCTGAGAAAGCTTCCTCGGCATGCTCATATGATCCATATCGATCATAGAGGATACCAATGCCGTACCAAAGCTTGGGCTCCTGTCAATGCGACCACGTTAGTGTTGATATTTTCGAGACTGCGACCCATACGGCGTGAATCAAACGTACTTTGGGATTGGGCAGGTGGTAAAGGGCCTGTTGATAAGCGGTGTATGCCCTCTGCAGATCATCCTGCATGAGGAAACAGTGCCCAAGGGCTCCCCAAATCTCTCCGTTCGTCTGATCGATGTTCAAAACTCGCTCAAAGTAATCGACAGCCTGATAATCGGAAAGAATGTTCATCAGAAGCCGCTCCAAGTAACGCAACGTTTTGCATAAGCTGACGTACCTTGGAAAACTGCTCACGAGTCCTACACAGGGCAGCAGCTTGGGTGAGAGCCTTGGTCGAGTGAGGGTTATGACGAAGGGCTTCCTCATATGCGTGCATGGCGCGGTCGAGGTCGCCCATGGTTTCCGCCACAGAGCCTGTAATATCCCAGTTAGCTGTCTCTCCTCACCAGCGGTGACAATTTCCCTACGCCATGGTTCATACCTATCTGTATCCAAGCGGCCTCGTCATTTTGAGACAATTTATGAATTACCGGAAGGTAAGAGGGCGGAGGTCCCGCCATGTTGGCCGGTGCGTATGCTGAGGGACACCGATAGGAGATCAATGGAGTGGGAATGTGTTATCAGCGAAGCGATCCGAAGGATCAGGTGCGCTGAGTCAAGAGACACGAACGTACCAGGCCCGAGTTGGAAATCAGAAAATAGAGTTTTTTTTTGTTCAACTGCTTCGTGTTCGACACGAGAACCTTGACGGTGAGACGGAAGGCTATGTTCCTGTCTCTACACCGCTCGAAACTTTGAAGCACTCTTTTGACGGCGAAAGGCTGAGATGCAGGGTTTTTCTGTGTGGACGGGAGGGTTGTGTGGAGGGCCGTCTCTTTTCTCTGGGTGGCCGCAGGACGGACGTCCGTCTGGTGTTGGATCTGCTGGGTTTGGAGTTGGAGTTGGATCTCGCAGGGGGGATGATGATGGAAGAATGATTGACGAGCGATGTCGCCTCTTGTGTTCTCATGGCGACGCGCATGTGTTTTCCCTGCGCTCCCCCGTTGTTGCCTTTAGGCTTTTCTTTGTGGTGTTTCCCCCACCCTGGGCTTAGAGATCCCCACCACTTCCCTCTCATCATCAACTTTTATTTATATCTTACACTTATATAAGCTACTTATCTTCATGCCTTAAAACTTCCAGCGTCCCTTTCGCGCGTCCCTTCCTGGGAGAGGCTCTCGGGCGGCGGCTTGGGTGCGAGCGCGCGAGTTTCGTTATTTCTTTGACTTTTTCGCTCCGGGGGCGCCGCCCACACAAAGGACCACCACTGGCCGCACAAACGGGCCGCACGAGTCACAACTCGCTCAAAGCAAACTGGGTGGCATCCCAGGTATATATGAGACCGTCGTGTCTAGAGGCTCGTTATTCATCCGCTTTATCGTTGTCTGAAATGTCTGGCCTTGGGGCTTTTTTACAGTTCTGAATGCAAGCAAGCGACCTCTCAGGCTGAGGGAGAAGTTTGAGGTAGCATCTTACTACCTTCATAGCTCAATCTTCGAAGGGGCGAAAAGGAGATCCCGCATCCGAATCCGCGGACCCGTCTCAACGGTGAACCGGCGGTACTCTCTCAAGTGTCTCCCGCGTTGACAAGTGTGCCATTTGACGGGATATCTCCAGTCTTTGGGGCGAAGCATGAGCTGTTTCTTCTGGCCAACTTTTCAAGGATCGCTTCAGGTAGGGTCTACTCACTCACTCCGCTACTTGGATTTGAAAAGGAGACGAGGGAGGTTCACTAAGATCTTTTTGGGTCGGGCCGGACGCCGTCAATTTTGAGGATCGCCAGAAACCAGACAGACTTCGATTACGACAAACCGTTCTGCACCAAAAACGGGCGCATCTGGAGAGTCCGTCCCCTTTAGCTTGGGTAAGGAGCTACTTGGCTCCGAAGTACCTCAAAGCAGGTAGAACGAAAACGCTCCCACGTTTGAAACGTTTCCTATTGACCTCATTTCGCCTACAGCATGAAGGTCCTTTTCATGAAGTTCCCGCATATCAGCGGTCTCGGAAAGCAGCCCTATCTTGCAACGCAGGTCCTCAAATACGAAGACGTTACCGATGCCGACATCGCGTGGCTTCTGGAATCTGTAACGATTCTCTCTGCAACGGACCATGATGGGGAAGAGTTGAGAGTCGTTGGTCTGGATACGGAGTTCGACGGGCCGTACCTCGGCTTGATTCAGCTGGCCATCGAGACCCGCTGCCTACTCATCGTCGTTTCAAAGCCCCCGTTTGCTCACAATAAAAGGAGGCCACTCAATCCAGCTCTTGACAGGTTACTCTCGAATCCCGCAATCCGCAAAACCGGCTGCGAGCTGACGAAAGATGCCCTACTCCTTCGATCCAACTTTGGTCACGACATCCGCGGCGGCATCGATCTCACCAAGCTCTACAACGAGGAAGCGCCTACGTACACCACCAAGGGCCTCTTCCATCTCTTCTCCGACATGTATCTCCCGGAAAGCCTGCCGCTCCGCAATGACAAAGCCACCGCCACATCCCGCTGGGTCGGCGTACCTCTCAGGTTCGCACAGCTCTCGTACGGCGCCCTCAACGCCTGGATCTCCTACAAAGTCGGCGTCTACGATCTCCCCGGGATCGCCAAAGCCCCCGTCCTGGATTTCACCAAAGCCAACAAACAGGTACTCGACATCCTCACGGACCACAACAGCGCCATTCTGGTCGTGGAGGACATGGAGAGGAAGAAGTACGACAGCAAGTTCAGCACTGTTACCCGGCTCAAGAATGGGCAGTACAGCGTCCTCAATACCCAGTTTCGGAATAAACTTATGTTTGATGACAAAGTCGTCATGTACTTGGCGTGTGGCGAGGAGGTTACGGGGACTGTTGTGAAAGGGCCGCATGGGAAGGCGAAGACGGTGATGCCGCATAAGCCTATACAGCCTTCTGAAAATGTCAAGAGGATTACAGTGGTGGAGCAGGGAGCGCATCGAGCAGCGGACGAGTGTCTCAAGTATGTGAGACTGACGTTCGGTATCTACTTACGATTTACAAACCTGCTTGGTTACCAGGGACCTCTTCCCCAAGCTCGTCCTTTTTGGAGACCTCAGCGTCTCGGACATCCCGTTCTTCAGCATGCTCTTCTTGGGCGATACGAGCTTCAAACCGCACGTTGCGCCCAGCATCAAATCGAAAGAACATCTTAATTTTTACGCACTGGCTTGCCAAACCAACACGGCTACCCGTAATGTGGCCGTCACGCTTATGAAGCGCGGCGTGGAGGATTTCAAGATCATTGTGTCGGACAACTTCTTCGTGAAGGTAACAATTCGTCCATTTGAACTTTCCAGCATCGTGCGCTCACCCCTTCCTTTGACTGTCGCACAGTGGCACGAGGACCAATACAAATCAATCCAAGACCACGTCATCGAATCCTCCATAGTCAAGAAAGACATCCTCGACAAACTCATCGGGCCCCACACAGTAGTCCTGTGCTCCCTCGCCCAACTCTCCAACGAAAAACTGATCGAAGTACTCCAACAACGCAAACTGACCCATATCGTCATCGACGAAGCGTCGCAGATCTCCATGGCCGATCTCCCGCATATCCTTGCAACGTACAAGGCGTCATTACAACGCCTCACATTTGTTGGAGATCCGAAGCAGCTGGCGCCGTTTGGGAGCGAGAACCATCCGTCGGTGCAGAGCGTGTTTGAACGGTTACCCGCTGATGTCATGCTGGACGAACAGTACCGCATGCCGCATGATCTCGGCTCGTTTATTTCCGCGTACGTGTACGATGGAGTGTTGACCTCACATAAGCAACCGCGGAATGAGTGCAGCGTTGCGTTGATTGACGTCGCGAATGGGAAGGAGCAGATGCTGGGGACGGGGTTCATGGTAAGCGCACCGGTAGCTCAGCCTGTTCGCACCATCATCTCCTCAGCTAACCTCGCTTCATTTCCGCTAGAATCCAAAAGAAGCCGAAACAGTCGTCAAACTCATCCTCTCCCACTACCTCACCACCGACTTCCTTATCATAACCCCCTACGTCGCCCAAAAAGAACTCATCGCAAACCGTTTCCGCGACCGCATCACCCGCCTCCGCGCCGACCGCAAAACCGACGCAGAACCCACCCTCGCCGACGAGCGCGTGCATACCGTCGACACTGTGCAGGGACAAGAAGCGGATATCATCGTCTTCAGCGCGGTGCGCACGGCGCGGATGGGGTTTGTTGTCAGTCAGCGACGGATGAATGTGGCGCTTACCCGTGCAAAGGACAGGCTGATTGTTGTTGCGAAGGTTTCGTATTTTCGGGATGGTCAGGGGCAGCATAGTCTGTTGGGAGCGTTTGTGAAGGAGGTGGGCGTTGCGGTGGATTCGAAGATGCTTGATGAGGGGTATAAGCTGGATTTCGCGAGAGAGGAAGATGATGAGGGGCATCAGGGTGAAGAGGATGGAAGCGAGGGTGATCAGAGTGAGGTTGGGGAAAGTCTGACGGTGAGTGCAAGGTGAAGAATCGGACAGGGTTGTGCAGGATTTATCGAGTTTTTGTTTTTTTCACAGAGCAGCTGAATTATACATGCGTTTTGGGGTAATGAATGAAACGGCGTACCAGAGGCAGATCGTACATGCGCCTTATTCAATGGAGATTCACATTCGAAGAGCATCAATCCTTCGATGGCGTACTCGAAAAGCCAGTCGTTATGTTAATCCAGTATTATCAAAGTATGCAGCATGGTCTGTGCCTAGGAGTACTGTAGATTCAAAGTTTTTGGGGCATATCAGTAATGGCGTAGGATAGTTATTATGATTCCTATTGCAGTGGTTGAGAAGTGAAATAAATGCCTGCTATGTTTTTAGGCGAAAAATCGCTAGTCCCTGTCAACCGCTCAACGCGTCACACGGCTGTGACGTGATCGCTTGCTGGACAGAGGGCAACTCGATCGACTGAGATTTGAGATTTTGCTTTCTGACCAACTTCGACCGAATTTTGCGCACTCGAGAGAGCTGTGTGTTGCCGGCGTCTACATTCGGTTGTTCGGTAGTCCTTAAGGCGGCCAAGCGCCATCACATCTACTGCGAAACATGAGTTTCCAAGATGCAATTGCGGCGTTACTGAGACCGACAGAAGTATGCAGCGTCTCCGCCGATCTCTTCTACGTGAGCCGTAACCAACAGCGGAAGAGGCGAACGCTCGCTGTTTACAGGAATATTCAGGGTGGGGACGAAGCTGGGTAGGTAGATTGCCCAGCTTGGACATGTTCAAGCGGAAGATGAGCCGAAATGGTTTCGTTGGTGGGGTTGAATGCCGGCCAGCATGGTCCTTCTCATGCTCTGGGCTTCCCACACACCTTTCAGAGTCTTCCTTCTGAAACGAAGAGCCGGAAACACGCCAGCGATATATGACATGATGCCGATATATGCGGACTTTCGGCTGGGAGTGTGTAAGTCAAAGGGCCGTGGGACAACTGTTGAGCCGTCTGCACGAAAGATACTGACTGTGGACCTGCTCAGCGCAGAGCAAACCGGTGAACCTGGAAGAAGAGGGTCAAACGGTCACCCGTGCAAGGACTGGTTGGCACATCTTTACCCGTTGAATCCCCGCGGGGCCCTTTTTCTCATGGATTTAGGATGTTCCCACCTTAGGATTCACGTTGAGACTCTCGTCGGGACCGAAACAGATGGTTCTGGAAACGGCGTCGCTAGAGACACTTCAGTCTGTCCTGGTGGAGTTGAAGAGGTTGATGGCAGTTGCTCGTGCGTACCGTTGAGTCGTCGGAGAGGGGAAGGAGTTTGGGACCCTATGTTGAAGTTGTCCGCGTTCAGAACAGAGGGGCTATGTCGCCGATGGAGGAACGCATAACTGGATGCAGCACTATGAGCGGACGCGAAGTAGCGCCGCTGCGGCTTTGAAGCAGGCAGAACTCACTGGTAGGTGCCCATATTGGGTTGGTCCGAATCTTACCACCCATCATTCATTGGCGTCAATTCCTAAATAATTTTGATAGGCAAAGCGGAGCAGGGTAAAGCAAATAGACGGATCGCATCATATGGAGAGCGGACCGCTGATCAAACCTCCACTGACCTCCAGATCGAACACAATCGAACATGGCCAACCCATTCATCAGCTTCGATAGCTCCGTTACCGGCGGCAGTGTGAAAGCGATCAAAGAGGGTTGGGTGGCCAAAGAACTTAGGGCTCGGGAAAGCAGATTCGTCGACTTTGATTCCAAACGGTAACTTAGAGTAGTAGCTAGTGTCGATGGAAGGCCGGGAGTACCTCAACCGTATCCAGCATCTTCGTAGGATCTTGGAATGTGAACGGACAAGCCCCTTCACAGCCACTAAAGCCCTGGCTGGGTGTGTCTGCTGAAGAGGAGCCATCCATCTACATCCTAGGGTGCGTACAATTGACTACCCTTCTGGAAGCAGTTCTAATCTGCATTGCTTTCGTAGGTTCCAGGAGCTCGATCTCAATACCGGCGCTTATCTGTATGCTGACACCACGAAGGAGGATGAGTGGTGCAAAAGCATAGAACAGGCATTACGGACGAAGAAGACGAACTATATCAAGGTGCGCACGACTTCTTCCATCACGGGTTTTCCTGCGGGTCGAAATCTGATAGCCTAGTCCGCCATCCAGGTCACATCGAAACAGCTTGTCGGAATCTTTATAGTTATGTATGTTAGCGAAGCCGAGAAAGGGTTCCTTCGCGAGGTTTCTGCGGAGTACCTTGGTACTGGACTGCTTGGGATGATGGTAGGACCAAGGACCACGCATCAGAGAGGTTAGAGTCAACTGGAAAGTTATTTACTGATGCCTCGCCTTTCACAGGGAAACAAAGGAGCAGCAGCCATTCGATTCCGCTTTCACGACACGTACATTTGTTGTGTCAACTCCCATCTCGCCGCAGATGCCAGCATGGTAGATCGGCGTAATCAGGATTACCAGGAAATCTGCCGCCGAGTTGTATTCCCTTTACCGTCTTTGTATGACGATTTCACTGCCTACGCACACGCAAATCCCTGGGTGGCGAGCTTTTATGATGCGCGCCAATCTGCGTTGGCGACCATCAGTGAGCAAGCGGGGAAAAACATTGCCACGATATTCGATGCAGAGTAAGTACGACTGCCTGCTTTCATGCCCATGTGTAGGGCACGGATGTAGGTCGCTCATTTCTTACGCGCGTGCACAGTCATTTGTTCTTCTTTGGGGATCTAAACTATCGCGTCTCACTTCCTGATACGGATGTGAAGGCTATTATCAACAAGGGGGATGTAACGCAGCTGCTCAAATTCGATCAAGTACGTTGCAGCTCGCGACAGAATAGGAATCGAAAGTGTTTTAGATGCTGAGGACTCTGGCCCTGTTTGTAGTTACTCATCGAGCAGCGAGCGAAACGAGCATTCCAAGACTTTAAGGAGGCACCCATTACTTTCGTTCCCACTTTCAAGTACGACATTGGGACAAATACCTTTGACACGAGGTGAACATATGCTGTCTCCATCTTCAACACCGTCGTGCCGTACTCAATTCCTTCGATGGCTCTGACTTCTAAAGTGAGAAAAAGCGTACACCATCGTTCTGCGACCGAATTCTATGGTTCGAGAACCCATTGCATGCCGAAGACCCAGCGTGGCTGACGGCCAAGTGGTATCGAAGCGGCATGGACATGACGTTGAGTGATCATAAGCCGATCATGGGTCTCTTTGAAGCCAAGGTCGGTTCAAGCTATATTGATTTGGTTGATGAATCTGGGCCAATGTGAACGTTTCATACGCTAGGTTCGGAAGATCGACGCAGACAAATTGACGCATGTGCATGAGGAGATCCTGCGAGAGCTTGACAAGTTCGAGAACGAGTCGCTTCCAGACTTGGCCGTGTCTACAAACATACTGGAGTTTGGCGATATCCGGTATAATGTGCCGGTGACCAAGTCCATAACGGTTGAAAATAAGGGACAGGTATGTGCGGCGGGATATGTCCAACGCCGTTGGGGTTGCAAGCTTGCTGATTGGCCAACTCGTTGGATCTTCAAAGGTTATTGCCCAATACCGATTTGTGCCGAAGCCAGATGAGGAACACATCAGCAGGCCTTGGTGTTACGTCAACCCACCAGCAAGCATGCTTCTCCCAGGTACGATTCGTCATCGCTGCCCGCATTAGACGCTTGAAATACCTAAAGCTTCGATCGAACGCAGGCGATCAGGTCAAGATCAACGTCACAATTCTGGTAGACCAACACACCGCCCCAGCCCTCAACTCCCTACAAGATACCCTCGACGACATTCTGATCCTCCACACCGAGAACAGCAAGGACCACTTCATGTCCGTCTCCGCGAACTGGCTACCCAGCTGCTTCGGAACCAAAATCGAAGCCCTCTGCAAATTCATCAAGCCCGTCAGGGAATGGTCCATCGCGGAGCGGAAGACTGTGTTCCTTTCTCCGACGGTTTTGGGTGGTGCTGGGGACGACGGAGGCTTTGCGGAGTCGGCCGGCGCGGCCAATGATGATGGGCTTAGTCCGAATCCACCGGTGCCGGATGCTGATAATCGTTACAGCATTCCGTACCAGTTGTGGAGGTTGATTGACTTCCTGTTTCGTTACGGGATGGACGTGGTATGTTGGGTCGCAATTCAGGCTCGCTAGAAACATCGTTTCTAAGAAGCTCTTATTCCAGGACAACATCTTCACATCAGGCGGCGACCCGTCCATCGAGGAGTATATCCGCGAATGTCTGGATGTCGGCGTCGAGTTCGACGTACCGTTACTCCTCCTCGATCCCACCACAGACCCTCATGACTCTGTAGACGACGACCCGGACGACGAGGACGAACATGAGGACGACACCAGCACGACAGGGAGTCGGTCACGTCGCCCTTCGGCGGCCGGCGGCTCGAGCGGTGCTCGTACACCAGCCGACAAGCGTGACAGCATTCACCTGGACATCGAAAAGCTGTTGAAGGATATACCGGGCGCCAAATCTGATACACTCCTGGGTCTCGCGTCTACCGCGAATCTGAGCGCCGCGACGGAAACGGTCCCACTGCCTCGGACACATGGGCGCGCGGTGTCCGTGTACTCCATGGCTGAAACCTTGATTAAGTTTCTCGACAGTTTGGAGGAATCTGTCGTCCCGAGCTCCATGTCGTTGAGGTGTACCCAAGAGGGATACTTGACGTTTGTGGCGGCGAGACAGACGGTGCAGAGGCTGCCGAATGCGAACTACAATGTCTTCAAGTACATTGTGAGGTTTTTGAGAGCGGTGGTGGAGAATTATAGGGGGAGAGGAGAGCTTGATGTGGAGCGATTAGGTGGGTTCAAAAAGCCCGTGTCTCGCAAATCTTTGAGTTGAGAATTCTAACAGATGTTACTCCCATACAGCGGACATATTCGGCCCAATCCTATTACGGCTCCCAACCTTCACGGAAGGTGGCGACAGCGGAGGTCTCGGAATGCACCACGCCAACGCCAGCAACGTCTCCGTCCAATCCGTCAGCAGCCTGGCCTCCACCAACCCGCGCACATCCTCCCTCGTCAGCTCCAACGTCAAGTACGCCACAACCGGCAGAAGCCAACCCGTCACGGGGGGCAGACCGATGCCGGGCGGAGGGACGGGCACAGCCGGGTTGGCGCATGATTCAGCCGCAGCGAACCTGGCGAGGGTCGCGGCTGCGAATGTCAGTACGGGGAGCCTGTCGGGCCGCCCCGGTGCGCAACAGCAGCTGGGCAGTTCGCAGGAAGAGGTGTTGAATCGCAAGAGAAGGATGTTTTTGATGCATTTTTTGGAGCCGGAGAATCCGGACCTTCCATGATGCAGGTTTTCGTAGAGCACAATCAATTATCAGCGTAAAACGTACACATGCCATGCCGTCAACCCTATCAATATTTTCATATTCATACACTACTACTAAGGCATTAGTATCACAATATCATGGTGTAATCGACTCTAGTCTGGATTCGTCAACGCTAGAGGTTGCAACTTGCCAGAGGTCGCCAGACGGAACGCGTTCAACGGTCGCGTTGAAACGACTCGGACATGACCAAGCAGTGGCAAGCACCCCTGGTCGTCCGCCACGTTTGCGAAACTGCGCTTCGGTTCACAACTTGCGGCTGGATGGAGATCAGGAGCATTATATGAAAGTGCCTCGTAGGTGTGTTAAGTATATGACGAAAACCGTGCAACAACGATGGGCTCGATCGGCCGTCCATCGGATCTCGGGTCCGAAGGCCGCCACCGCTTATTGGTGAGCGGCGCGTCAAGAGAGTCCGCTATGACAATATTGAATAGAGTCCGCGGACTGCGTTTTGGCAAATAACAACTGTCAACCGTCAACCATAAACGCAGGTCATGTCGACCGTCAATGAAGGCGGCTTGAAGAAGCGTACATAAAGTTCGCAGGCCTCAGGGTAGTTTTCATCCCTAGACTCTTAGACCGTTCCACAATGGTGCTCGGTTTCGGAAACATCGAAGGAGCTGGGCTCGAGGCCCGAAAACTATCCGTCTTCCAGTCCAACTGGAGGGGCAAGGAGAAACAAGCCGAAACGAAGTCCATCTTGCGCAATGTCACGCTTTCGGTACCGCAGGGCAATATCATGGCCATCATGGGGGGTAGTGGAAGTGGGAAAACCACCCTCCTAAACGCCCTCTGCGGTCGGTTGAACACCGGGCAAGTGTCCGGCGAGGTGACGATGGACTCCGTGCCGGCCAGAACCTATATCGCCAGCGGCCGAGTAGCATACGTTCAGCAAAGCGATCAGCTCCTGCCGTACCTGACTGTTCGAGAGACCCTCCGCTATGCCGCCCGTTTACGGCTTCCGAGAGATATGCCAAAAGCGGAGAAATTTGAGCTGGTGGAGAACGTTATTGCCGAATTGGGGCTGAAGGAATGTGCGGATACGATCATTGGAAATGATCGGAGGAAAGGATGCAGTGGCGGAGAGAAGAGACGAGTGTCGGTTGGAGTGCAGCTTTTGCTGAACCCTAGTATGATTTTCTTGGATGAGGTTAGATCTGCGAATCGGTGTCTCATCACGTCGTCGAAACTGATTCTAATCCCCAACATCTTGTCAGCCGACAACCGGACTTGATGCGTTCACGTCGCTTTCATTGATCCAAACTCTTGTCGAGTTGGCACGGAAAGGGAGAACGGTATGTTACAGTACTGATTTTTCGATGTCATATTCCGGAGCTTCGCAACTGACTGCACCCGCTAACTTAGATCTGCGTTTCTATCCATCAACCACGGAGTGACATCTTCGAGCTCTTCGACAACATTGTTCTCCTCTCGCGCGGAGATTTAGTCTACTCGGGTCCGAGGAGCTCAGTTCTGAGCTACTTCGAAAGTCTTTCGTACAACGTGCCGGAGCACATGAACCCAGCAGATTACCTGATCGATGTGTCGAGCGTAGACAACCGGGACACCGAAGCAGAGGAGAAGTCGAAGGCGAAGTTGAAGACTCTTGTCGACGCTTGGGTGTTCCGCAGCCACACGGCCATCGAGGACAGGGTGGGGCCCGTTGGGGGAATCGAGATGGCACAACTTGACGGCGATGGGAGGGCCCTGCTGGCAGCGGACAGGAAGCAACCCTCGACGTGCGGGTTTGAACACGGGGCCGCTCAAAAGATTGGGGCATCACCGGTGCAGCAGACGATCGTGATTGCCGAGCGCACATTCAAGAACTTGCTTCAGGACCGTCTGACTTTCTGGGGCTCGGTCTTGGAGGTGCTCTTGTTGGCTGGAGCGGTCGGTCTGATCTTCTTGCGTCTCGACGAGACGCAGAGCGGGATTTTAGGCAGAAAGAGTGCATTATACATCACCGCCTCCGTGCAGAATTACCTCGGACTCATGTTCATGATCTACAAGCTCAGTCAGGAGATGCAAGTCTTCGATCGCGAGCGGAAGGACAAGATGTACTCGGTTGTCCCGTACCTCGTGGGATGGCTCATCGCCAATTTCCTGCTGTATGCTGCGCTGGCGGTGCTGTTTTCATGCATCATCTACTTCATGATCGGATTGAGGACGGACTCGAGCTTCCACTTTGGCGTCTTTGTTGGAGCGAACGTTTTGATGCAGTTTGTCACCATCGGCTGGGCCTACTTCTGCATTTCATGGGCTCGAGGTTTCGCGACAGCTTCTCTGATCGGAAACTCGTTTTTCACGTTCCTTTCGACGTCAAGTGGATTTTTCATCCAAGTTGATCAGATTCCCATTTACCTCCGATGGTTTAAATGGATCAGGTAAGAGAGACGGGACTCAGTATCCTACCAACTCTTTTTCCACTGACTTTTATCCACTTCTTACTTCTATCCGTTCGACGTTTATCAGCTATATCACCTACGGCTTCCGCCTTCTCTCCACCAACGAGTTCTCCGACAAATCCTACGCATGCCCGGATGTCTCTCCAACCAACGGTCGAGACGACCCTCGTTGCCAAGGCAATGTCATTCTGCAAACCCTGGGCTTCGGGACAGATGACTACTCGTTTCCCATTGTCGCCCTCGTTATCAACTACTTCGTCTTAATGATCCTCACGGGCCTCATCCTCCACCTGAAGCCCTACGGAGGAATCACGCACGCTGCTTCCGTCAAGACAAAGACCGAGAAGAAGATCTCAAACTTGGACGTGGAGGGCCAGACACCGGCGTCCGAGTCGTCCGTACCACGCATCAACATCACCCTCGACAACGTCTCCCTCTACCTCACCAAGAAGAGTCCTCTCTCAAAAGCCTCGTCTACCTCCATAACCATCCTCGACGGCGTCTCCGCATCGTTCCAAGCCGGGCATCTCTCTATCATCCTTGGTGCGTCCGGCGCAGGCAAATCCAGCCTGCTCAACATCCTCATGGCCCGCGGCCTCCCCACCGGCGCCTTCCTCAAAACGACGCAAACCGGGCGTATCCTCTACAAAGGCATGGAGATTATGCAGCCTGCGCAAGTGGCGTCGCTGTGCTCATTGGTGGTGCAAGACGATCATCATTTGTTGCCGGGGTTGACGGCGAGGGAGACGCTGAGGTACTCGGCGCTGTTGAGGCTGCCGAAGGAGATGTCGAAGCCGGAGAAGTTGATGAGGGCTGATAAGGTGTTGTTGGAGCTGGGGTTGAAGGATTGTGCGGATCGGTTGGTTGGGGGGGAGGGGATTGCGAAGGTATGTGCTGTTTCTGGTGTTGGATCATCATGGTTGAGTGCTTTAGGCGGTTGAGCGTGTCGTTGACTGTTCGTGTTGTGCAGGGACTCAGCGGCGGTGAGAAGCGGCGTCTTTCCATTGGAGTGCAGATGTTGACCAACCCGGCCGTTCTCATCATTGATGGTACGTTGCAGGTGTTGTCATTTCTCTTGTTAGCATTATTCTGACGCCTATGCACTTCTACAGAGCCAACTAGCGGTCTCGACTCCTTCACTTCTCATAACCTCATTCTGAAACTGAAAGAAATTGCAACATCTGGCAGGACTATCATTTGCAGTATCCATCAGGTAAGGGGCTTTCCTCCTCACATCGCGGCTACATCTCTATGAAAGATTAGAGCCCTAAAGCTGCTCTCATCACGATCAGCCTCGGTCTGATATCGTAAAAGAATTCGACTCAGTCTTGCTGTTAGCATCCGGCGGCCGAACAGTGTACTCCGGCGCCGCAAAAGATATGCTCCCCTACTTTGCCAGCTTAAACCACCCAGCGCCCCGTCTCACCAACCCCGCCGACTTTGCCCTTGACCTGTCCTCCATCGACTTGCGCAACCCCACCGCCGAAGAAGCATCCCGTGCACGTCTGACCCAGTTGGTCGCTTCCTGGCGTACGATGCTACAGCCCAGATCACCCAGCGACGAACCGCTGAATTACAAGCCCCCCGCACCGCCCCGGACACGAAGCGCGCATGAAGGCGGTCCGGAATCCTCCGAGAATGCACAGGGTAGCACAGTGGACATTGCGTCGCTCGCTTATCGCAGCCCGGCCGTCTTCGCGACCGCTCTGTCGGTTTTGGTGAGGAGGAGTATGAGAAATATGATGCGCCAGGTGAACTTGGCGAGCGCTAGGATCATGCAGGTCGTCGCCCTGGCTGTCATCTTTGCTTTGTACGTATTCAAGGATCGCACGCTTGGTTGGGGGTAAGGCTTCGATCCTGATTTGCATTTGTTAGGTACTTTGCCGGACTTGGCAAGAATCAAGCCTCCGTGCAATCACGGTTTGGTATCTTGGTAAGCCCACCTCAATCAAGTCCTTACCGTCTAACGCGATGGAACTTGATCGCTAAGTGTCAACCCTACCCACTGGTTGCTCCATCAGCAACAACAAGGTTCCCTCATCTTTGTAGGAATGCTGAACTGCATCGCCGTCTTCCCGCAAGAACTCAGCCTCATGCGGTTCGAGTACCGCGATAACGTCTACAGCGTGGCCTCGTTCTTTGTCAGCTACTGTGTCAACGAGTTCCCTTTCGGTAAGTTTCAATCCATAGGCCCGCACTCTGTATTCGAATCACAAGATGTCTCACTCTCGTCTACGAACCCTGAACAGAACTCGTAAGTGCACTGCTGTACGCCATCATCATCATGTTTGCCGTAGGCCTGCAAGCGTCCGTCAGCAATTTCTTCACTTTGGCATACATTGCGTTTTGTTTCATCAATACTGGGGAGAGTCTTGGAATCGCCTTTTGCGCTTTGGTAGGTTCTTCATCGGTTCTGCTTGTGGACAGGCTCCCGTCTGACCTGGCCGTACCGCTAACTTCTTTCGTGAAATAGGTCGACAGCATCGGATTCAGTGTCCAGGCCATGAGCACTGTGCTCTCGCTGGAAGTCATGATGGCGGGTTTCCTCAGCGTCAAGATGCCGAAGATCCTGGAGGGCTTGAACTACTTGTTCATCACGCGTTTTGTGGCTCGCATCGTCGCTGTTCAGGTTCGCATCGGCGTTTTGCCCTATCCACAAACGGTGTCACTGCTTCTATCTTCTTTTCTAACAACCCCATTTTCTCTAGGAGTTCACAGGTCTTCATTTCGACTGCTCACCCGCCGAGACCGCCTCCGGGACCTGCGTGTTTCAAACAGGCGACGACGCCCTCCGTCTCCTCGACTTCGACACGAGCCACAGCCAGTGGGTGCTGAACATGGTGATGGTGGCGGTCTTGACTGTGGTGTTCCGAGTAGTGGCGTATGGAGTGCTTTGGGCTCGGACCAAGAACTGAGGATAAAGAACAGTACTGTTGGACTTCGAGGGACCTTTGGAACATTGAAAGAAATGGACGGCGTTTTGATGTACTTCTTCTTTTACATATGCACTTCTTCTCTGTGATATATAGTCGGTCGGAATACATTTCCCATTCTATGCTCTTCACACACCTGCAGGTCCGTTTTGCCCTCTCAGCAGCACCGCGCACTGCCTAAGCCCTTCTTATTGCCGATCTGGACAAATGTTCCTTGAATTTTAAGGGGCAACAGTGACGAGCCCCCGTTCGGGTGAGACCTGCTCACTGAGCAGGGAGCAGGAAGCCGGAATGGGGAAAAGCTAGTAGATTTGATGAATGGGGACCGGGTGTGTTAAGCCTGTAGGGAGCGACGATTGTGCTTCATGCTAGGCACATGGCTTCCCCTTGTCGTTGCACTTGTAGCAAGTGCTTCCTCATAGTACTGGCAAGTCTGTGTTTCCTTTGGGATTGTGACCCCGACATCCCAGTACTGAGTCTGCACTCCGCCGCACTTGCTACAATTGGGATTGCCGTCCCGGACGACTGATTCCCCCATTTTGTCGAGAACAATCTTCCCGCCGCATTTCGCGTCTGTATCTGTGTTGCCCCTGCATACGGTGCACTTCTTCGTTTGCGCCTGGTGCTGCTGGAGAGTCTGTTCGGAGCGGAAGACTTTATTGCAGTCGCTGCTGTAGTAGCGGTAGTGCGTCGCTTCATTGATGCCGCACACAGGCCGCCTCAGTGCTGAATACGGTTGGAACTCGCTTTTGTGAGGAGAATGCAGATGCAGGTCCGTTTGTCGCAAGGGACTGGCCCAATAAACCGACCAGGCCGTGTGACCGCACATGACCGTCGTTTAAACTCCCGGCGCGCGTGTCATTGCACTCGGAGCGCCAAATGAGGCTGACGATGAGATGCCCGCCAATGAGCATAGTGACCCGAGGAGCGCCTGCAATTTAGAGCCGCCCCCGCCCCGCAACTTTGAACTGAGGCTTTCTGGCAAAAGATATCCCCCAGCGCTCACTGTACACCCTACCTCTGCATATATACAGTACACATACACATACCCGGGCACTCTTCGCTGCCTGTACAAACTCCAAACGTTCAGATCAATTCAGAAGCAAAGATGGCTGACCAACCCCTCCCCTTGCCGGGCAATCGCACCATCCTCATCGGTAAGTTCTCGCGTTGAGAACAGCTGCCGACTGCAACTCATCTCGAAACTAATCTCCAACCCCCATCCCCCAGGAATCGACAGCATAACCAAACACGGCCTGCAATCCTCCCCCGTCCTCTCCTGGGCCCTGCGCCAATTCCTTGTGCCCGGCGACAGCATCGTAGTAGTGCACGCGTCCAAATCCCTCGAAACGTCCATCTCCACCGGGTTCACCAACACCATGTCGCCCGAGCTGCTCAAGTCCCTCGAGAAGGATGTCGAGACCACCGTCCGCGAGATGGCAAGGAGCGCGTTCGGGTTTGAGAAGGGGCAGCTGTTCAAGGTTCGGGCGCATGTGGTGAAAGGCGACCCGAGGGAGACGATCAAGGGGCTGGCGAATGAGGATAATGCGACCGCGGTTATTGTGGGGAGGAGGGGGAGTGTTGGGGCTGTCAAGAGGTGCGTTGTTGTATTGAATACATTTTGCGTGTGGTTTTCGTTTTCATGTGCTAATCGTCGTATGATACATCAAACAGGGCACTGCTCGGAAGCGTATCGGACTACCTCGCCCGCGAGCTTCAATCCACCGTCATCATCGTCAAGGGTGATTGAAAGAATCACATGAGAAGCAAAATATGCCAACAATTCATGTTGAGCATCAACGTCGGTTTTTGGGTGGACTTGGTTCGCAAGTCACGCATACATTCACGCAAGCACGGAGAATTAATTCATCGATGAGGGAAAGAGAAAGGGGGGCAAGGCATGCAGCGTCTTTCAATGAAGGCGCTTTCTGTATCATACACATTTGATCAAAAATCCGAGTTCTATGAACATCACTCGCAGCTTCGGCAAATGCCAAATACGCCGCATGCACGATATTCTCCTATATACCCCCGTGTCTATGTTTACGTGATAGAAGAATCCAGCAACCCATACTTATTCATATACTGCAACGTAGCAAAACTCCATCCAGTGGCGTTGTACGTCGTATCCGAGACCGTTTTGTCCATGTGTTCACCATTCCGTTTGCCCACATCCGCATCCCCGTCATATGCCCCACCCTCCATCAGGTCCCCTCCATTTCCCGCCGACCGGAAAACCCTCCCATCGCTCCACCCCTCCCCATCCTCCCCCTGCCTATCTCCCTCCGGAATAACAATAAAGCTCTGCTCAGGATTCAAAGCCAGCTTAGCGATGATATCCGCAGTCTCGGCATCTCCATCCGCAATCTTACACCCCCGCCCGATGTCCTGCGATAGTTCTGGAGGAGACGCGCGGTGTAGTGAAGCATCAGCCATCGACCCGTCTGAGTCCTCCAGTGGCGTGTCGAGCGCGTCGACGACCGTCTGAAGTAAATGGGCTGTGCGTCCCTCCGGCAGCGGCTGTTTCACAGTAGCCGGCCCCGGATCGTTCTCAATCCCGTCTTCCCCAACATCCCCCTCGACAACCGCAAACGAGACATCTGCCCCATCTCGCACCGTCTTCTCATCTTCCTCCACCCCATCCCCATCACCATCACCACCCTCACCACCCCGCTCAACAACCGAGAACACCGGCCGGTAATTCGCCCCATCGTCCACCGGCAGATGGTACGTCCGTTCCAGCACCGTCCTGTTCACGCGTTTCATGAGGGATTCGAGGTCTGTTGTTTCTAGCGTGTTGTGTGTCTGTAGGGGTAGTGGCGCTCTGGGAGGGGAGGGCTCATTTGGGGTGAAGAGGGTGGTGTTGGTTGCGACGGAGCGGTGGGTTGTGGTCGCGTGGGCGGGCGGTGGGTAAGATGGGGGGAAGCAGGGGAGTGGGAAGGGGAGGTTGAGTTGTGGTGAGGTGTTGGTAGTGGAGGCGGTGAGGTGGGCTTTTAGGGCGTTTAGTTGGTGTTGGAGGAGGTCTAGGTAAGTCGCTTGTATGTGGTCGTGAGTGGGTGCCTGGCTGGGTTGGAGACGGGATGTTGGGCTCGAGCGGGCCTTGTCGTCTGTCGGATTACGCTCTGGCTCGGGATTCGAAGAGTTGGTGTCGTTTCGCTTTTGGGTGGAGATTGGTGCGTCTCGGTCCGGCGTGGGTGTATGGGCGGGGCCAGAGATGTCCATGCTGTGCGCTTCGTCATGCACTGACTTCGGGATCTCAGTATCAAGTCGTTCCGCAATGTCAACGGCCCCCATCTTTTCCCCAGAGCCTGTCGTTGAAGGTGATCTGGATGGGAGAGCCATTCGTCCGTCGTCAGACAGTAGCTCCACTCTTCAACACGACAATTCGCCTCACCAACTGAATAACTTACCTTTCTTGAGGTTCCGAAGACGTATCCACCACCGGCACCACTTCCATCGTCACGCCCTTCTTCACAACCCTTTCCCACATCCCTGCCCCCTCCCCAACCCCTCCCCCCTCCCCAACCCCTCCCTCCTCCTCAACCCCTCCCTCCTCCTCAACCCGCCCACGAAACCGCGCAAACCCCAACTCCACCCCTCCCTCCACCTCACCACCCCCGCCATCCCCGACTCCCTGCTCAATAATATAATCGCAGTCGTAATACTCCACCCTCGCCGCTCGCCCTCCATCACCATTGATGACAAGAACAAGCATCTTGTCCCGCCCGGTATCCAGCTTGGTGTAGCCGTGTTGATCGAGGATGAATCGAATGCATGCGTTGTGGAGTTTCGCGTCTCGCATGTCGTCTACGTCTCTTATCCATCTGCAAGATTTGCGTATCAACACGTACTGTTCACAGGGATGGTGAACCCGGGCAGGAGACTTACATTCCGACTAACGGGGCGGATAAGGCGAATGGATCGTCCAGGGATATGGGCAGGACCTGACGGGCTCGGTCGATAGCGATGAACCTGTGCAAGATATCAGCGCGCCCGCGGCGTTGCATATGGCTACGGTAAAGGGGTTGGTACATACCCGAGCTCGAAATCGGACTTTGCAGCGCCGTGCGACATGAGATGTGATGTCAACGGGCAGGATACGAGCGGTAATGGAGGGATGCGGGTTAGAGTCAATGTGATTGTTGGTACTATGGATCGATCTGTTACGAAGGCTTTTAGGCGGTTTGTTTTGCGGTAAGAATGCAATCAAGAAAGGTGATTACATTCGATGTTGGCAAAATTGTACTCTGTGTCAAACTCAATTTCCGTCCACATTGGACATAAGCCTGGTCCGGGATGCAGATCCGATACGAGGGGCTCACGGAGGTACTATAGAAGGTCTCATTGAGCAGACCGGACCTAAGGATGAAGAAAATGCACAAGACTCACCTTCATTAGCTTTCGCTTCCAGAACGCCTCAACATCGTTCGTGAGGTCATGGGCAGTATTCGTTCTAGCTACCTGGCCAAAGATCGTCAGTATTTTGAGAAGTTGCCATGACACAATCGATGAAAACAGTTTACCTACTATCAAAACTACATCCCCCGATGTTACAAACGTAGGTTCCATGCCCTCAGCGGCAGTTCCGCTCCTCCGCCCCGGATCAAAGCGGTCCAGCACGAGGAAACTGCCGCTTCGTCTAATACTCTGCTTCTCGGAAGATCTCTCACGCTTGGACACGAATCGCCCAATAAGATATCCCAGAAACATCACGTTTCGAGAGGGTGGGTCCCGCCGATGCAGGGCGTCTCGCATTGCGCGACAGGCTGTGGGCATCAGTTGTACTTGGGTTGGTTGGACATGATCGGGGCAGACGTGGGTTTTTGGGCCGATGGGGGTACTGTCCCTGCATGCAGAGGTAAGTGTGATAGTTCGGAGGGTACTACTATCGCCGTGACGTACCAGGAAAAGTACTTTGCAGCCGCGGGCGGTTCATACTGGTATGCCGTCTTCTGCTTCCGCTCATAAACGGGCGCACAATTTGAGCCTCCATTGTCCCCCTCGCAGTAGTTCCTAGGCACGGCCCTCTGCGGTTCTTTCCCTAAGATGACATTCTCCTTCGTGTGAGAACTCAACCGTGGTTCCGCATCCCTCGCGTTCGGTGGTTGAGCCACTTCCTTATCCTTCCGCGTGGACGCCCCAACAACCCGTCTCCGGCCCCTTCCCACCGTCCACGACGTGGTAGATGCATGCGCAAGTCTGATGTTTGTGGCGCGGTCGTACAGGTCGGTGGTGATGGGACCTAGATTTCCTGGACCGGACTGTGCGCCAAGCGGTGTGAGCGGGCCTCCCCTTGGATTTCTCATTTGCTGAAAGATGGGTACGGAGCTTGAGGAGGGTAGTTGGGGGGCGGGTAGCGTGTGCCATGTGCTTCATACGTCCTCCCATGCACCCAAAAAAGAGACTGCGGAAACAGGCGACTTTCGGACATGGTTGAATTGGTTGGAGAGCGAGAGCGCAGTAAGCATGCGAGTACCTCAAAGGTCATGCTTGGCTTGCTCACACACCCCATATATACTGTACAGTACCTCACTCTCCCCACATGCATGTGCAATATGTGCAATGTGCCTGCAGCCATGGAAGGGATTCAGGACAGCGTCGATACGGGCAGATCGAGATACTCCTTGCTGTGACGAAAGGACCGCCTGAGTCATGCGCTGTTAGGATGATGCAAGTCTCTCGCGCCTCTTTCGCGTGAACGCGTCAGGGTCTCCTTTCCCTTTAACGCTTTAACCCGTCGGCCGAACTGCATATTGCGGATTCACTCCGACGTTGAGCCTTGCCCCACCCCATACGCTTGATCGTATACTGATATACCCGCTACAGCTGCTGCACCACCTTCGATAATCACTTCCGCCACACAAACGAACTGTCTAACTGCATACAAAGCGACCGAACCTCGTCAGCCTCGTATCCGCAACCTCCGCTATAAGAAAACTCTCGTGAGCCGTCTAAGAAGAAACAGAAAGAACCGCACCTCTTTTTCCCATTTCGGAATCCCCACATCCCCTCGTTCATCATGGCTACCGCTCAGGATCGCAAGGAGAAGCTTGATATCTCGCCTGCGGTGAGTGTTACGCGAAGGCGGCGCCAAGTGCTGGAGGGAGTCTGGAGGCTTGAATAAAACGCCCCGAGATGCACCGCGGAAGATAAACACCCTTTCATTGTAACCTCACCTCTCATCCTCCAACTCTCTATTCCGCGCAGGAATTCGAGAAAATCCAAGAATCCCTCAAAAACAAAGAGTTTCGCGACCTGTTCATGGACTATGTCAACGAGATATCTGACCCTGCTAACCGTGAGGTACTTGTTGATCCCTTGCACCATGCTCCAGGAAAGCCGCTATACCGCTCTTCAATATTTAATTCGTCCTCCAACCCACCCCCGGACAGCTCTACGAAGCCGAACTAACCCAACTCGAATCCGAACGGGGCAACAACGTCCGCTTCATCACCCCCACACCCGGCCACGTCCTCAAAACCCGCTTCCTCACCGGCGCCCCCGCCCCCCCTGCGGGATCCACATCCACTGTGGAGAGGACAGATAAGGTGTTTATCAACATGTGCACTTCGAAGGAGATCCAGCAGGCGTTTGCGGAGCGGAAGGCGAAGGGTGGGGTGAAGGGTGGGAACGGTAATGGTAATGGGAATGGGAGTGGGGGAAAGAAGGGACAGCATTGGAAGATTCCGCATAGTATTAATAAGGGGAGGGAGGATTTTGATCATGGTAAGGTGTTGCGCGCGTGGGTTAGCGCCGCATCGTATCATAAGCCGCTTACTGATGTTTACCGTCCGTTATCGACACAGCCGGAAAAGTATGCACAGTCTATGACTGCATCTTCCACCCCGTCACCTACGCACAGGGCGTCAAGAGCTCGGCTTTCCAGGCGATGCTGGCCGCGACCGCCATCGAAGGCGTCGAGCGCGAGTTTGGCGTCAAGTTGGATCGACGTACGTTCTATATACTTTGGCTGTTGTTCCTCATCCGTACCCGGGCCTGCAAATCATGAAATCTCACCTCATCGTTCTTCTCTCTCGCAGGCTACAAAACCCCCCGTATGTCCTTCAAAGGCCGCCCCATCTCCACGGTCATCCGCACCGCCGCCGACGGAGGAGCTGCTGCGTCTACACCTACCGACCAGAAGACATCACTCCCCTCGCTAGCAGCGTTGACGAATATCGCGGGACAGACGCTCGCGCCACCACCTGCGCCGGGAACAGTCCAGGCACCTGCTGCGGAGGCGGCCTCGGAACCGTATGGCGGGTTAAGGGAGACGGGGAGTACAACGCGGGCTGGGGTTGAGGCGTTGACTACAGCCACCGCGGAGGTAGATCAGCCAAAAGGGAGCGACGCACATGATACCGAAAAGGGACAGCCGTCAGCCATTACGCCAAGTTACACCATAACCCACCGCGCAACACGCAACGATTACCAAACCTACACCACCGAGCGGGTCGTGAGACGGCATACGGGGCGGCCGGACGCGTTAATTGTTCGGGTTGGGTTGCCTGGTGTGGTGTGTACTCCATTCCTTTCAACCTCCTTTTCTCTAGTATCGTTTCAGTGACCATATCTAACCACCCCCACCCCTGCTGTTCCCCCCAGACATCCTCTACCCAAATCCACCTCTCGCCAACCCCCACAACCTTCACCCTCCAAGCCACGGCCTCTGGGCGCCCCGCAAAGCAATACACACTCAGCGTACCGTTACCGTTCCCGATCAACCCCGATAGCGGGACGGCGGTGCTTGACCGTGGGAGGGAGGAGTTGGTGGTTACGTTGGGGGTGCAGGAGAAGGATGTGGTTGTGCCGGAGGAGGTTGAGGGGTTTGGAGGGGCTGTTGAGGAGGTGGGTGATGGGGAGGAGAACGATGATATACATGGGGAGGAGGTTGGAGATGCTGGGCAGGACGCGAAAACAGCGGAAGGGCTGGGAGAGCCCTCTGACGAAACACACACCAGCGGCCCGACGTCGCGTATAGAAGCACTGCCATCCCCCTCCCCTTTGGAGTCGGAGGCCGTACCCGATGTCGCACCTTCCGACCTCCCTCCCGCCATCGACCCCATTCCCATACCCGCCCTTCTCACCACGCCCGCAGATCCTCACCCGGACCCCCGCCCGCAGCCCGCACCCACAGACCTCCTCCCATCCGAAAGCGAGGACGAATCAGAACCCGACGGCTGGGTCCGCGTTCAACCCTCCACAGACACAAACACCGATACCAGTGTGGAAAGCGGCGATGCAGGGACCGAGGGTGGTGGAGACGCAACCAGCAAAGTGGAAGTAGCGGTTGACGATGACGCCGTGCTGGTGACGTTGACGAATCGGCTTATGTTTGAGTTGGATGAGTGAATTGGGGTCGCGGTGGGGAGTGATGGACTAGACTGTTTTGAGACGCAATGGGATGTGATTAGACGCTTTTTGGGGGGTTTGGGGTGTGAATGTGGAGTCGGCTTTCTTGGGTATGAGAAGTGGATGACATCGTCGATGAATGAAACATGCCATCTTTGCGCGGACACACAAGCAGCCAATAATCGGCTTCCATAACGATGTCATTTAAAGATAACTCTATGCAAAAATAAAGAGCCGCGGCGATGGTCAAAAATCACATCTCCACTGATGTCCTGGGTCTCGGCGTCTGCGAGTAAGACATCATGATCTTCATGTCAGTTTAGCGAGGTAAACCGTGCAGAGAGGCCGTGATGAGCTCTATGATGTGGTTGTTGAGGTAGTGATGTTGTAGTTGGTCGACGGTGAGGTATTTTGCGCCTTGGATGCGTTTTAGGCACTGTTGTGGACGTGAGATGAACGAATGACTGGTCAGCACTGGCTCACAAGCTTGCGAGGGAAGGTGTTCCCGCGCTCCCTCAGTCTCCGTCCTGTGAGTGCAGCGCCTTCGCTCGCATATCCCGCAGTCTCGGAATCCCTCGCTTAGCGCATCCGGCTGGCCGACGGCTCATTTCCCTCTCTCCCCGCTCGCAAAGTCTCGCCCCCCAACCCAACCCTTCCGCTCAATGCTTACCTTCTCACTCCCACACCAACAATCAAACGCCTGATCCATATCCCACTCCGAACTCGGATAGAAAAACGTCAACTCCTCCCCCTCCCGCACCTCCCTCACAACCCTAACCTCCTTCTTCACCGTATCAATCACACAACTGGGGTCACACGAGTGGTTCAAGTACACCAGATTCGAGTTCAACTCAATGTGCTCGGTCGTCGAGATCTGCACGGTCGTGTAGGATGGTTTGGGGACCGGGGTCATGGTGTCGGCGAAGGAGAGGAGGACGGTGTTGGGTGTGAAGTGGGTTGTGGCGGTCATTTTGGATTGGAAGTTGGGGGAGGAATGGACCAGGAAGAGGTGGGGGTGGGTGGAGAAGGTTTTGGTGGACGCCGCGGGGGAGGTGGGCGAGCCGTTGGTGGTGGTGGTGGATGCATTGGTGCCGCTGCCGGTGGCGACCGAGTTGGTTTCTACGTGTTCGACCATGATGGTGGGTTTATTGGATGGTTCACTTTTTGTGGTGTTGCTGGGTGGTGGGATGCGGGATTGGACGTGAGACGCTGAGCGGGATGGAAGAGAACCTGAGCGGGGGCCAAGCGATCTCCTAAATAGCTTTTATACGAAATGCGACGAAGGTCCCAGGGTCTCTTGCAAAAAGCGAAGTGTGCTCAGCCATCTCCGTCCATCTCCCGAGCGAGGCCCCCTCCGAACACCTCGAACCCCCACTCCGCCCAGAAACTTCTCAGTTCCCGCGGTTGCGCCCTTTTTCTTTGGCCCCTTGATGGAGAACGCGCGTTTGCCGACGCGTTTTCTCAACTTCTTTCTTAAGGATTTTCGTCATATTGTCTTGGATCCCTCATGCTCGCACCATCACATGCCAACCGACCACAAAAGACTGCGCATTCGGGCATGTCCCGCCCCCGGAACCGACCACGAAAACAACCCAGACAGTTTTCCGTTAGTAGAAGATGGCAAGGCAAAAGGCAAGTCAATTGATGCAAGCAGCGACATAGATCGTCTTCTGATTACAAAAACTTCAGGTATTTACATGACATGTACAAATGGCTCTACCGCACACTTTATTGCTATCTACAAACTATATCTGGTACTCCTTTCACCAAAATATGCCAGCAGGCAGTGTGCCAACTTTGCTATGGTGCGTGGCTCGGTATGTGCTGATGGAGTGTGCGTGTAATCTAATCATTCCTCTAGTCGGAGAAAGCAGGCTGGCTGTCGTCTCCTGCCGTGGACGACGACGCTGCCACCTCGACGGCGGCGGGTGCCTCGAGGGTGGCTGGGTCCGTGGAGGCAATGAGGGGGATATCGACGCTTCCTGTTGCTGCTTCCTCTGCGCGATTGGGATTTGGTTTAGGACGGATGGTTACAAAATAACGACAACTCTCGATGTAATGTGCTTCCGTTTTTCTCACCTGTGTTGAGGTTGCTTTCCACAGCCTGCGGTACAGGCGCTGCTTGCGCGGCTATGGCCAGAAGAGGCAAGACGAGAGCAATGATGGCCTTGAATTGCATGGTTGTTGTTGTGTTGGTGGTGGGTTGAGTCGAGTTGAGTTGCAGCAGCGATTCCGTTGGATTGCGTTGATTTACTCTGAGGGCCTTCCGGAAGCACAGCTCGCTTTTAAAAGATGGCCTCGCCAACGCTTACTGCGCATGTTCACCGCAACATCCATTTCGAAATTGGACATGGAACATGAGCGGATGCCGGCGGGAAGGCGACAGGATCCCATCAGGGACAAGGACCATGTCTCAGTATCGATTGGCTGTGCGCTCGTCATCGTCCATAAGAGGTTGCAATTAACCAGGGGCATGGATAATCCCGCATTCTGTGCATTTCCTGCTGTCTTGGCAATGGACTGAGCCCCATGCAGAGCGTCTTGAAGCAGGTCCCTCGAATGAGCGATGGGGGGGGGGGGGGGGGGGCAACTCGGTTTCATCTCCGTGTTTCATGGGCGGAGTTCAGAAACGCCGTTACGAACGCGTTTGCGAGAGGCTTGCGTGGCTTGGCATGTGGCGAGGGGTTGCTAGACTGCGAGTAATGCCCAGCAATGGCCGACGACGAAGCATCGCATTCAACAAGGCCATTTGCACGGAAGCAACACTATTGGCGGAAGCATCTTCGAATAGCATCGTGCCTCAGCTCTCTCTGTCTAGATTGGCAACGGAGTTTGATCAATCTGGTTCGTAATTGGTCGCCGCCCACCGTGGTCGGTACGGTATTGCTGCCAGCGTCGTGAGGAACAACGATCAGCAGTAGCCCCATCCCCCAAAAGTTCTCTGTGGCGTCCGCTATAATGTCTGCGACACAGAGCAGCTTCGGCAACCTTTTCCGCCGAAGTGCCTTCGCTTCCTTAGAAACCCTACCACATATCAACTCCGCACCTCAAATCCTAACAGCACCAGTCGCCGATCGCATCACTGGGAACTATGGTCTCAAGCATAACATCCCGCCACCGATAGTTCCCGACCTACCAAAGTATGTCGAGATAAGCGGAGTTCAGACCAACAAACTTGAACACTCGCTCTCTTACCAAAATATTCAGGTCGAGAGCCACGACCATCCCTGGACAAAATATGCGGTCGTAAAGCCCGCGACGGAAAAAGTGAAGCTGATGCAGGTGTGGAGTGAGATTACGCCGGTGACGACTGGCGTGCCGCGAGCGAGGGAGCAGGCGATGGACTCGTTTGCGAGGGATGAGGATTCTGGCCGGATGAAGTTTGCACCGAAAGTGCAGGCGACGAAGAAGCCTGAGGGATCGAGTGGGATGGCAGAGGCGGAGAAGGTGCAGAACCGACGACCACCACCAGACATGAGCTTGATGGACCTATCGCCGAAACAATGGCGGAAGCTACTCCAACTCGCTCGCGAAATCCGTCCTCAGTATCTCAAAGAAGCCGCCGGCGAAAAGTGGGAATACTACCTCTCAGTCTACAAGCCGACCATGGGCCGAAACCACCCCGCAGCCATCGAAGTCCACCCGCCGCACTTCCACAACACAACGCCCGAAAACACCCTCGTGCAAGACGAGGACAAACCCCACTTTGTCAAAGGTCGCTACCTCAACCCCATCGCCCGAGGCGGCGTCTTCGCGGTCGGTGTCGGCGGCCACGTCGCCATCCTCCGGAACGAGAAACGACCCGCGTACGATGGCATCGTCGGCGAGGGCGGTGATGGCGCCTACAGTAGCCAACAGGAGCGGTCCAACTTGGTCGAGTTTGTGGTCGATAAAGCTGCGTTCGATGACAAAGCCCGTCCCCAGATTCAGCTCACTTTTGTGGAGAACGTGTCGAGAATGTCTCCGGTTTCTGGACAGTCTGGGCTTCCAAGAAGGAGCATTGATAGGCTGATAGGACAGCTCCCGGTGGATGCGAGTCGACGGCCGTTTGGAGTGCCCCCAACGGAGTCGTCATCCACTACCGACCGTTCAAATGCACCTCCGCGGAGACAAGGCGGTGATGTCGACACTATCTTGGGCCTCATGAGTCAGATGTCGAGCAAGAAGCCGAAATCGGAATGAGAAACATGCATTTTCTCCATTATCAATGCTACCTCCCACCAACCTGAACACCATATCCGTCATTCCGCAATGCATCACCCGCCAGCTACCATCCATACCCCTCGTATCCCCCAGTTCCCCGCAATCCATAGATGATTATATATACACGATGGGAATGTAGCCTCCCTTGTAATCAATCATATACGGTTCCTGGGCTGACTCTGCGCACTTTGTCGAATGTTCTGAGTAAATACATGCGAAAGAAGAACCTGGAAGTTGTCACTCGTTCAACGTTGCATGCTCACGACACGCGAAGCCAACGCGCCTCAAGCCTCGACTGCTTTCCCATTGCTTTCCTACCCCTTCACCTTTCTCCGCACAACCCGTTCACGAGAACCAAGGAAAGGATTATGACCACCCAAATAGACGCAGCTGCCCTCCAAGAAGAGTGGAACAGGTACGTCAACCGCCGCCCTCACTACCTCCCTTATACACTCCTTCTGAAAACAGGCATCTTCGTTTCAGGCAGCAAACCGACCTCACAGCCCGCATCATCTCCCACGACGTCCTCTCCTTCCACCCGCCTCCCTCAGAATCATCACCATCCTTCGTCCAACACACACCGCACGCCGGCGGCTGCAAGGCTCGTGGTTGCGACGCGGATACCAACCCGTGGCCCGGCCTGAAGTACATTGCCGGGATGGATGTGTCGTTCTTCGAGGGCACGGATGAGGCTATCGGGTGTCTTGTCGTGTTGAGTGTACCAGGGATGGAGGTAGGGTTGAGTGGGATGTTGTGTTTAGGTGGCGGAGGATGGTGGGCTCAATTGACGAGGATTCAGTGCTGATTGAGCGGCGCTTTTGCGGACAGCAAGTATACGTGGATTGTCAAAAAGGTGCGGGAAGTTTGAGGACTGCTGAGGAGGGGTGATTGGAGTTCATTTAACGCCGGGTGTATGTTTACAGTGACACTCGACACGCCGTATATACCATCCTACCTCGCGTTCCGCGAAGCGCCGATTCTGCTGAGGATGCTGCAGAAGGTGCGGGATACGCTGCCGGAGGTGGTGCCGCAGGTGTTGATGATTGATGGGAATGGAGGTGAGAGGGGGGAGGGGGGAGCGAGGGGACAGGGCCGTTGGAACACCTGATATGAGCATTGGCTGATCGAGGGAGATATTGATATCTCTTGTGATTATTAGTTCTGCATCCCCGGAAATGCGGCCTGGCATGTCATGTCGGCGTGCTTGCTGGTGAGTTGTACACTCACGGGGCCTGAGTGGGTCGACCCCATCTCTTACACCTCTACCATGGACAGACATCCCAGCAATAGGCGTCGCCAAGAACTTCCTGCAAATCGATTCCGAGAACCTTGTCCTCCGGAATATGAAGGACATGTCGAAGCAACATCTGACGAAAGCCGGGGATTGGTTTCCGATCGTGGGTGAAGCGTCGGGGGAGGTTTATGGAGCTGTAAGTCTGTGCCTCCAAACAAAAGCCTGCCACAGCACGATTGAATCCATTTCCCGATTTCGTAGGCGTTACGAGCAACATCAGACGCCGCCAACCCGGTGTTTGTCTCTCCGGGACACCGGATCTCGTTGAGGACGTCGGTGGAGTTGACGGCGTGGTGTAGTGTTTTTAGAGTGCCAGAGCCGATTAGGGCGGCGGATTATGCGAGTAGAGAGGTAGTTAGGGCGGTGGAGAGAGAAGCTGCTGTTAAGAAATCTGAAGTGTGAGATGGAGGATGTCCAGTGTGGGGTGGTAGCTAATATCTCTTGTCTATAGACATTTGCATGCAGGCGTAATTTCTAGGTTGACGCTGATAGCCAGCCATTGCATCGGGCTCCAAATATATAATGTGTATGTAAAGAAAACCTGGGCGCGGAGTAAAAGCCGTGTACCCGCTATAGCCATCACTACATGCATGACTCTGTGGACCATGGAGGGTTTCCCTACTTCTTGGAACCCGCCTTCTTTGCCTTCTCAGCCATAGCCTGTCTCTCCTCCCTCGTCTTCGGTTTCCTAAATTTGGCCCACGGGTCATTAGAATCCGCCTCTTCCTTCTCCTTCGCCACAACCCGCTCTTCCAAGAACGGGATCTGGAACCCCGACAAGCACATGACAGTCTCCCAATCGCTCTTTCCCGTGGTCTGCACAACGATGTCCGTGTCGAACAGCTTCGGGTACATGTCGAAATGGGGTTCGATATCCGGGAAGTAACCGACGGCGGGGCCCGGGAGGCGGAGGGTTATGGACCCGTTGTCGTCGCCGACAGGGTTGATCCCGTTCCATTCACGCAGACGGGGGAGCACGGTCTGGGTGAGTTTGTCGAGGAACTCGTACATGCGCACGCCGCGGAGCTCGACCTGGGCGCCGAGCGGCATTCCGGCGCGGATCTTCTTGGCCGCGTCGCCGGCTGTTGCGAAGATGGGTTCGGCGCGCACGCCGGAGATGGCTTGGAGGGACATGATGGCTGATAGCAGGACCATTCTGAAAATGGAGTGTAGGGTCAGTCTCTCGTCTGTGGAGTACATCGAAAGTCTGTCGGCGGTATCTCTTACTTGTTCTGCACAGCACTCTCGTCCCAAATCCTCAACACCACCCTCGACACAATCGGCACTCTCGACGGCAACGGCGAGTACGGCGGCGGCGGCGGCGCATCCTCCCTCCTAAACAACCTCTCCTTCGCCACCGTCGTATAATCGATCGGGTTGAAAGAACCCCGCCTAAACACCCGTTTCAGCACCACCTCCTTGACCTTCGCATTCTCCAGGGTCAGCAGGTTCGTCACCGTGTCGGAACCCGGGTATGTCGGCAGCTGCTCGACCTTCACCGAGTAGAGCGCCTGCAGCGGGTTAGGCGGCAGGCTGCGTTGCCATTCCTTCTGTGTGGCGAGGTGCGAGAGCGAGGCGTGCGCCGAGCTGTGATCGTATGTGAGCACGAGGAGATCTTCCAGGAGGGAATTGTAGTAGTGCTCTTCGAGGCGGGGACGGGATACTGGTATCGACTGAGGGCTGGGTGAGGCTTCGGGCGCTGGTGGTGGAACGGCGGGTGTGTCTGATAGCGAGGAGGGGGTTTCCACAGCGGTTGCAAAGCTTCGTAATGGGGACGACTGGAATGGTGCTATTGGCGACCGCCGTGGCAGAGACCGCAGCTTGCAGCCGCGAGCTATGGACGCCATACTGAAGTTCGGTCTGCTGTCTAGTTGCTTCTGTTCGTCGAAGCCCTTAGATCGTGGCCAGGAAGGATTGTTGTTTGGGAGCAGCTTCAAATTTCAGATTCTGCGAACGAGAAAAACCAGCTCGCGTCCTGCAAAGGCGTTTCCATTCTGGTTTCCATTTGCAACATTGCACTTGGCTTCCTGCTCCCCATCTGCAGTTTCATAAACCTCGTGATAGAGACATATCATAAGCACTTTCGCTAGGCTGTATAGCTGCTTTTCTTCTTCCCACCGCACTAGTTCTTTCTCGCCTCGTTCAGCATGGACTTCGACAACGGAGTAGTTTCCTTGGTCCCCGTGAGCTCTGCGCCTCGTCAGCGACGACAAAGGCGCGGTCCACTTGACCTGGGAAGCTTCCTGGAGAAGCTCCGCACGACAGCCACGTCTGCCCTGATCCCGGCGGCGGATAGCCGAGAAGCTATATTGGAAAAGATTGCGCAAGGTATGCGCTCGATTTTATCACCCCGAGGATTTTTCCCACGGGATTGCTAACCGCACCGACCTGCACGCAAAGCCGAATATGCCTTGAGAGACCAGAGCACGTACCTGGAGAACTTGAGGATTGAGCAGGAGCAGCTTCAGTCGCGCGTGGAGGAAAACGTTAGAGTGATTCACGAGTGAGCGTCGCTTCACGAACCGTACGCGGAGACACAAATCGGCCGAAGATCTCGCTGCTTAACCCTTCCGATGTAGCCTGGAAGTCCATATAACGGATTACAGCAACGAAACATGGCACGGAGACGTCCGTCTCGCCGATCAGCGCGATCGGACGCAGACTCTCAGGTTTCAAATCGTACGTGGCTTTCCCACCAGCGTCGCCTGTATCGCTCATACGACTTGGACAGATACCGCTGCGAAGCTCGATGGACGTCATTGAAGGAGGTGATGAAAGCTCAGGAACAGCTCTTGCGCCAGGCCCTGGATGAATGGAAGAAGAGCGACGATGCGGGTGTGCAGAAGGACGCGATTGAGATGGTGGAGAGATCTATACTTGATCTTGACAGAGGTGATGACCTTGCACTCGCATGGAGCAGCTGGGAACGGAATGAGAACTGATCCTGGGTTCGTCGCATAGCTTGGACGGAGTATAAGGAGGCCGCGGCACGATTAGCTGCGGAGCATACAGGTTCGGGTCGTAGATGACGAAAAGGACGACGCGACGGTGGCCTTCAACGTGTCGTTTCCAGAGATTCGCCAACGAACGCAGGATACCTTACGCCGCGACACCGAAGAAGCGCAGGGTCACTCCAAGTTCCAGAACCAGGAGATCAGCAATGACGAGAACTCGGATGGGGTTGCAGAATGGGGTAAGATGTGAAACTTCGGAGCTACGATAATGCAGGCCGCTTGATCCGATTCTTCTTGTTTTGACTCGAAAAAGTGTTTGACGAAATGCGGTCTATCGAGCGACGCATCAGGGAAAGCACGGGTCGGATGGAGGTTCTGAAGGTAGGTCAACACACGGCGCAGTATGATGTCGCACGGACATCCAACCGACCACGATTGGCGCATAGACGATGCTGAAGGATTGAGGTCAAGAGCCTTACCTGCGGAGACACAGTCGGCATCCTTGACGGAGGGACATGGACTTTCATAGGAAGCAGCAAGATGCCCGGCTTTCCTCCCATCCCATGATGGTGGTATATACCATGGAGCGAAGCCTTACACCGTTTGCTGGGTATGGCCTATCCCTATTATGATGACCTTTTGGCCGTTTTTGCTGTTCGGGTTCTGACGTATGACATTGATACATTGAGTTGTTTCTGAGAAGCATTTGAAGACGCATCTATGTAAACCGTAGAGCAATGGGATGCATTTTATGCTTATTACGAAACACGTGAGAGTGCCTTTGTGAATTGAACTGTGGAGGATGCCTGAAGTGGGTGTGGGGCACCAAAAGAATGCGGGCCCCAAACTTATGGTGTCCCGCAATCACCCCAGGCCGTTGGTCTCTTTTTTTTTTCCCCGTATGCGAGAATGAAGAGGGAAATTGGCAGCTGGATGATGATGTCTGGCAACAGTGAGCGCACGCCGGGCATGAGATATGCACCACCCCCTTTTTTTTTTTACAGCGTACAAGACTGCAAATAACATGAGGGACATCTATAGTGTATAATAGTCAAATTGCAAAGAAAAACTTTCGCTGGCCCTATCTACACAAGACACACAGCTCCCTCTACCACTTAACAGCCAACCCACTCACATCCGTCTTCTCCACCGCCCGATACCGCGTATGCAGCATCTCCCTCGCCTTCTCCGTCTCCCTCCCACCCAACCACGTCTCATACAACAGATCCACCGCCGCGTTTCTATCCGGGGGCTGCACGCCGCCTGTGCGCGCGACACTGCGGTAGGCTTGCTCGGTTAGGTTGATCCAGTCGCGGGGGTTGGTGGGGGTGGTGGTTGGGATGGGTGAGGGAGGGGGCGTGGGTGGTTTGAGCTGCCCGCCGCCGTTGATGCAGCCAGAGGGACAGGCCATGATTTCGATGTAGTCGTATGGTGCCGTTACAGCCGCAGTGGAAGCAGACGCCGCACCCACCCGCCGTCTCCTCACAGCGCCCCGCATCCCCGTCCCTGTCCCCGTCGCTGCCGAAGCGGACGCAGGGGCATCGACCTTCCTCACCAGATTCTGTATATTCCTAAACCCGTACGCGATCGCGAACCTCAGCACGGGCGTTTCCGTATCCGTGGGGAGGTAGAACAGGTACTCCTTCGAATCGGGGTTTCGTCCCGGGCGGATCTCGACGCCGTTCGTGCCTGCTTCGACGTCCTCGAGGGACAGCTGGATGTTGAACAGCTCGGAGGCGGCGTAGCGGAGGATGTAGGAGAGGTAGCCGCCTGATGAGGAGCCTTCTGTTCCCGCTAATATGGGTGCGTCGATGAGGGCGGTTATAGCCATTGGGTTGTAGTTATCGGCCGGCGAGTGCATGACGGCTTTCGTGAACAGGCTGTCGTCCAGTGGTAGGGCGGGGATATCGGGGAGGTGCATGTTATGTTCCGCTAGCATCTGGTCGACCTCGCCGGTAGTGATCACGCAATCGACGTCGCGGGTGGAATACAGGTCGCTGTAGAAATCCTGGCGGGACGCTTCGAGTTTCTTGTCGTAGCAGGGCATCACGGCGACGTGGTAGACTTGCGCGGGCGAGGTGTGGCCGACTTGCCGCGCGAGGTAGTCTTTCACGAGGGAGCCCATGATTTGTTGAGGGGATTTGGTGCTGTCGATGTAAGGGATGATGTGATCGTGCGTTTTTTCGGCGTAGCAGATCCAGCCCGGGCAGGCGCTGGCGAGCATGGGGAGTGGGGCAGGTGGTGAGGGTGGTGATGACGTCGATAGGGGGCTTTGCAATCCTATTGCACCCCCTCCGCGGTATTGTCTGTACCGCTTGACGAATTCCCTTCCGCTCTCCAGTAACGCGAAATCGCGCGAGAAGGCCGTGTCGAAGACATAGTGTGCACCCAGGTACGATTTGAAGAACCACAGTAACCGTTTGTGCACTTCCAGTGGCGTGATGTTATACTTTGCTGCCAACGACGCTCGCGACTGCGGCGAGACCGAAATGACCACCGTGCGGAATTGTGGTCTCTGAGGTGCTTCCTCGCCATTCACCTCCATCGCCACTTCTCCTGCCGACACCACTCCGCCGTTCGCCTCCGCCTCTTTGTTCGCCTTTAGAACATCATAGAGCTCTTTATGGCTCTGCATTGTGATCAGTACACTCTCCGCGGAGGTGATACACCCGCTGCATGCTAGACAGTCGTTGAGCGATATGGAAGCTGTTTCGAGTTTCGTTTCGTCGCCGTCCCGGGAGACCTCGTAGTAGCCGCCTGTGTCGTCTATCCGTATCTGCGACTGTGGAAGGGGTGTCCATTGTGAGTATTCGGGCAGTGTAGGTGTATTTGTAATGCTGTCAACGACGGTTACCTGGTCATTAGCCTTCTTCTTGACTTCGACTGGCTTGATACAGGCCTGGGAGGGGGTGATGAAGTCGTTGAGGTCGGTGAGGGTGACTGCACCCGAGAAGCCCATTATGAGAAGGTGAGTGTGCCTTGTTGTCTGTCTGTAGTTGTCAGTGCGAGGTGAATTGGGGAGAGACTCGAAGACGCCGCGATCGGACATGCTTCCCCAATGCGCGCGATCCCACGGCCATGTCCAGCCAGACAGACTCCCTTCCTCCTTTTTCCCGCTCTCACAAGCACCCATAGATACTACATACACCCTTCTCGCTTCCACATACTCTTCCTCAACCAGCAGCTATGACCAACCCCGAGCCAACCGTCGCCGCCCCAGAAACAGCCCTCCCCGTCAAGCGTACCGACGACAACGAGTTTACCCCGCCCGCCATCACCGTCAAGAAGGCAAAGAACGACTCCACCACCACCAGTGCTGAGCCCGCCGCTGCTCAAGCCACTCCCATGTACGCCCCGTTACTCGTCAAGCGTCTGAGCGAGAAGGCCAGGTTGCCTACTAGGGGAAGCGCGTTCGCTGCTGGTTATGATCTTTACAGGTGCGTTGGGTTGCGATGGGAGGGCGAGCGGTGCGAGTAGTAAATTTGAGCAACAGCGAACGTTTGTTTTGTGATGCGGTTGTGGTCTTTGGGCACTGCGGAGTCGACACTGTTCCTGGTCTTGTTGAAAAGTCCATTCCTGAGCTTCATCCTATCCCATAGCGCAAAGGACGTAGTAATTCCCGCCCACAACCGCGCCGTCGTCCCCACCGACATCTCCATCGCCGTGCCCGCAGGAACCTACGGCCGCGTGGCACCTCGCAGCGGGTTGGCCGTCAAGCACTTTATCGATACCGGTGCCGGGGTCGTTGATGCAGACTACAGGGGACCTCTGGGTGTTGTGTTGTTCAACTTTGGCGAGAACCCTTTTGAAAGTATGTTATTTGGCGTCTTTGCTTTCGCAATGCCGTATTCCATTTTGGACTGTGCTGACTCTCTTATTTTCGAATACAGTCAAGGAGGGTGACAGGATCGCGCAACTGGTGCTGGAGAAGATTGTGACGCCCGATGTGATGGAGGTCGAGGTATGGACTCTACTTTCTCGCACAGCATGCTCATTCTCTACATCGTCAGTCTAACCCTGTCATATAACCACTGCACAGAATCTTGAGGAGACGGTCCGTGGCGCCGGGGGATTCGGATCAACAGGCGTGTCGTTGTGAGCTAACTCATTGTTGGTTGAACGATATGGTTGCAAAAGGACGACGGCGTAGGCGTACATCCCTTACGTATTGTACATAGTTTAGTTGGACTAGCGAGCTCGAATCGTATTTAACATAAAAACGTGCGAAGCGAAAATTGAGCAATCTTTACATTTAACGCTTGCGATGGCTTGCAATTCCCCCTCGGCGGCAGCTCTGTTGCGTCCGACCGCGGGCACTGAGCTCTCACTCTTAGTGTATGCTTTCCCCTTGAGCTGGACACTATATCCAACTGGCTGTCCCACGGGTCCACTCCCATATCGACGTTCTCCTCGTCACATCACCTTTCGTTTACCTTTCATTGACGCCAGCTGAAACTATCATACTCAAGCGTTCATGATCCACAAAACCCCGTATTCCAGGCTTGCGAACACGAGACGTTCCAACCCGGGATGGTAAAGCCTGCTGTCGGGCAGGGCGTGCTGTAGAATTATGGACATTCCCCTCTTTCCAGGTCTGCGCTTTGACTTTCATGCAAGGTTCGACCACTGTGGGAACATCTTGGCCCAGTCCCCACCGCAGAGTGCAATGCGCGCAGAGCACAAAGGAAAGTAGCGATGCTTTATCCACTCAGCAACGTTCATTATTGCATTGAATTATGGTATGACATCAGTATTCGCATCCCTGGCTGGGCGAGCAGATGCAGACAGCCAGACAAGAATGGCGCAGCCGGTGACGACTCTTCTGATGATGACGAGAGAGATCGACCTTGAGGACGAAACAGACATTGTCGCCGCCAGAATGATCACCATGGCGTCGGAGTATGCGGTTTTGATTGGACTGGACAGTCTCGTTGGACGGCACGAAGAGGAAGAAGTTTCACCAGCTGTGACCAACGGCGGGTCTGTGGCGGGTCTCAGTGTCCTCCAAAGGCGGGACCTCTCCATGAAGAACAGGAAGGAAGAGCTGTCGACCGTGAAGAACATGAGCCTAGAGAGCCGTCACTTCTCCTTCGGATGGATGATCTGTGCTGGTGCAGCCAGATAGCTACTCAGAGAATAAACGATCGGTGGGTCAACCCCCAAGAACAGCATTTGTTTCGCTTCCACTGGCAGCTATTGAGTCTCCCAAGAAAACCTTTGCAGGGCTGTTTTGAGAGCTCGATTCAACTTCCTAGTAAGGCCTCCTTGCGTGGGAGGGTCTGCCACCCATCCCTGACCCATCAGGTCCTGATGCAAAAACATTTGACAGTTCACGCCACTGACAGTATTCCGGATTCCAGCTTCTCGGAAACCCTGAGTACCCACCCTTCGGTTCATGTGGGAGACGCGTGAACCAACCACCGGAGATGATTCCCCCCGACGAAGGCGAATGACAGTGAAATTTTTACTTGTCTAAGAGCGAATGTCTAGAGCGAGATAGCAGCCGCCGCGGCGACGGTTTGCGCGAACGTTTCGCGCATGAAGGCTCATTTTCCTTGCCGTCAGGACAGTCAGGCGGACATCTCTTCTATCTCCGACCTCTCGTAGCTTCGCCTCGGAGAGTCGCCACCTTCGATTGCCAAAAATCTGATGAGTCGTGCCCCATGTCCGACCGTGAAGGATACGCTTTATCGGAGGTCCTTCGGCGTGTTTTTTGTAGGTCGGGGCTGTCGGAGTAGTTTCCCGATGTTGGAATTACCCCACCGCGCAGTACGCCACTTGTGAGTATTGGGTGGCACGCACGTTCGATTTCGTCGGGAAGGGGGGCTTTCCGGGGGTGCCCATTACTTTTTGTTGTATGATTCCGTTGGCTTTGCGATCCGCCCCTTTTCGGTAGCTCAGCCCAGAAAAATAGTATAAATCCCTGAGCGTTCACAGATCCCCACTCCCATTCCATCACCACGCACACCACCTCCTCCTCCTCGTACCATCACAACCATGCGCACCCACCTCTTCCTCCTCGCCCTCCTCGCGGCCCTCGTCGCAGTCGCATCCGCCGACAAGATCGTCTTCAACGGTCTCGACTTTGACGACGGCGCCGACGACACCACCGCCGTCGCCGTCAGCGCGCGCTCGGACCTCGCCACCCGCGCGCCGGGCCAATGCACGATCTTCACGGGCTTCAAGTGCGCGCTGGAGATCGCCAAGGCTGCCACATGCTTTGCTGTTACCATCATGGGTGAGTCTCACATATCCTCGTTTTCAAACCACAAACCTCCAAACACATTTCTGACCCCTTCCATCCCTTCTCTTAGCCGCCCCTGTGACCTTCGGCGCCGCGCTCGCGGCCTTCACCGCCTGCTCCAGCTTCGGCCGCACCGCCGTCAGCACCTGCAAGCCGTGCTTCGACAAGCTGTTTGCGAAACTCGTCGCGCTCGCACATAAGCACAAAAAGGCGCTGCCGTGGGAGAAGAACACGCCTAAGAAGAAACTGACCATCCGCGCGCCGACTAAGGAGTCCTTGGTGGCGTGTTTGGATGATCTGGTCAAGAGCCAAGGGTTTGAGCAGGACGACGCGATGCGGTTCTGCAAATTGGGCGGATACTAATAACCGAGGGTCGTTGGGGAGTCAATCCCCTTCCCTCGCCGTACAACCGCCGCCCACATCCCGCCCCCAGCGCCATATGCACCATACATAGATACCCGTAAGCATCGGGACCCGTCCTCATCCGCACGATACATACACCGTCGCTATAATCTAGATTACACAATAGTCACCCCACCTGCCCCTTACACATACTGTACTTAGTTTAGATGACTCGGAGACCACCCGGAAGCTGGTTCTTCTCTATAATGAATTGACGTTCCTGTGACATGTGTCTGCTGCACCGGGTGTTGGCCGTTCGACAACACAGCGTTCTGATCCCTACGGGCGCGGTACCTGGGGGATGAAGCGCTACTCCACCTCCCGCGTCCAACGCTACGACCGTCTTAAACGATTCGATCCGGACTGATATTCCGTTCAATCATGCTGGGTGCAGGACGATGTCGAGAAGTAAACGGTAAACGTTGCTTGGTTCATATTATTTCCTTATGCTCGCATGCCACCGGGAAGCTTATGTCCCGTTTCCAATGACGCTCTTAGGCACGCTCTATTCAGCTACAGAAACTGTGTGGATACGGTACATATACCGCGGAACTAGTATACTTCTATAATAATTGAGCGGCTCTACCGCACGCACTTCCGTCGGTCCAAAGCTATGAGCAGAAGTCTCAACCCGCTCCCAACATCTCCCCCCTCGAATCGGGTAACTGTACCCACGAACACACCTTCCACATCTTACCAATCCCTTCTAAGCCCGGCCGCCTTCGCCTTCATCCTCTCCACGGCCCTCTGCGCATACTCCTCCCGCACCCTCCTCTCCTCCGCCGCCTTATTCACCATCCACTTTGCATCGGACACTCCCAGCTTCGCCAGCGCGCTCATCGTCTGCCGTTTGGGCGTGACGTTCTTGTCGATGGGCGGGATGTGCAGGTACTTGGCGCGGATGGTGGGGTTGTTGACGGCGAGGACTTGGAGGAGGGAGATTAGGTTCGCGGCTATCCAGTACATGAAGACGGCCTAAGAGGAGGATGGGATGGGGATTAGTGCGGTGGGACCGGGAGGCGGAAAGGGGAAAGAAAGCACTTACCGCGGGGAGTTGGGCGGTGAAGAAGAACCCTCCGACCATGAGGGCGCGGAGAAAGTTGCGCATTCCGCTGGGCATGGGTCGGCCTCCGCTTTCGGCGCCGAGCTAAATCGGAACAACCGAACAATCAGAAGGAGGTTGGAACTTCCCATCGGTATCAAAAAAAATCCCACAACGAAGCTTATTCCGAGTAAACCCACCTCCAAAGTGGCCATCAATCCCACCACGGCAGCCAGGGGCAAAATATAAGTCGGGTCCGCCACAGTCAAATCCGTGAACCAAAACGCACCGCCCGTCTCTAACCCGGGTACAGGCGCCGCAACCATCTTCCTAATCCCCAAGAACGCAAACAACGCCACGGGTCCTTGGATAACACCCCAAAACGGTGAGAAGAAGCTAACACCCGCGTCCTCATGCAATTTCAACAATTTCTGCCTCGTGCGGGTCTGCTCCACCATATCTTTGTTGGCGCTCGCGCGCATCATCTCGGCTTTGATCGGTTCCGTCTGCGGGGAGATGTTGTGCAGGATGGCGCCGGCGCGCAGGCCTTTTAGTGTCAGTGGGAGTAAGGCAACGCGGAGGAGGATGGTCCCGACCATTAGGCTGGCCCACCAGGGGAGGCCAGTGGTTACGTAGACGGCCTCGAAGAGTTTTTGGCACCAGCCGGAGGGTGTCCAGTTGCTTGCGAGGCCGATGAGTTTTAGGTCGCCGATGTGGGTGATGGCTGTTAGTGTTGATTGGGTTGTTGCGGTGTCGATGAGGGTTGTTGTGGTGGTGTCGAGGACGGTGGGGTCGACGATGAAGGATGGGGTTGTGCTGCTTGCGCTGAAGGCGGTGGAGGCTGCCTGGCCCGCATCTACGGTCGTTTCCACAATCGGTGAAGGCGAGGCTGGTGGTGCTGGTGATGGTGATGGTGCCGCCCCAGGTGCGGTGGCCTGTACAGTCGCTGGAGGAGGGACAGCGCCTGTCGGTGGTGTTGGTACGGGTACGACGTCAGGGGCGACGACGGCCTCTTTGGGCTTTGAGGACCAGAAATACGTTCGGGAGGAAGCCGCGAACGCTCCGGCATCGGGTGTTACATTTCGTGCGCCGAGCCCAACAAACAACAATCGAGACCGACTTTCTATCCGCTGGAGCGAGGAGACATTCCGGCTGACAACGTTGATCCGCGACGTGATGACCCTGTTGTTGAAACAAAAACGCACAGTTAGCCAAGTGCGATCGCGAGCAAGTCAGGCAATCGGCATCTACCTTTGCCCGGCTTTGGGAAACTGAGGTCCACTTTGACCCACTGCTGAGCGCAGCAGCGACACACTAGTCTTCAACATGGCGTTCGTAGCTGTGTCCTAATTGTCACAGGTATAAGGGGAGGTGGACGATCTCCTTCTTGAGCCGTGTGAAGGACGACTTTTTCGCCCGGTGACTTCTTGCTGTACACGCTCGCAGAATAGTCCAGGCAGGGACGCCGCCTGTGTTCTAGCAAGCTGCTGCCGTGCTCAGGATAGGCTTCGGCTTGCGTGTCGCTAACCACGACGTTGCAACTTGCACCTTGCAAAGAAATGGCGAGTTTTTGAACTTTCCGTCGTCGCAAGATTTCGACAGTACGCTTGCAAAATGGAGCAGCCCTGTCAATGCGGGTGAATCAGCGTGTTCTCCAGTCGGAAATCATCCCATCGGCGTGTGTCATCACCTCTCCAAATTCCCGCTGCCCTTCCCCATGACCCCCCTTTCTCAACTGCCCACGCAGCCTGCCCTCGCAGAGTCTATGCGAGAAAAACATATCACCACTCCTGCACAGCACCGTCGTCTACAGCACTGCTCATAACACTCTAGGAAACCCGCACGACCCTCGCCGAAGAACACCCCACGATTGCCTCGCTCTCCCAGGCAACGTAGATAGCGAGCTCGTAGTGCTTCAACGCAAAGTATACCACTCCTACCCAAAAAGCATACGCTGGTAGCCGACTGTATTCCGAAGTGGATTATTCAGCCTTGACACGGCGTTAGTCGATAAGCGAAACGTGGGCTCTTTTCCGTCCTTTTTTGGAGCCGGAGTTTGAGTTTTTCGCGATAACTTACCGCGGCGCCGAAAGGGACGTACGAAGCAAAGGACGTACGATTTCAAAAGGCAAAGCCGGATTCCAGTCTACGTAAGAGAACTACCTCCCCATCGTGAAAACATACACAATCGCTAACTCCACGTCCTCCCCGAAGTCCACAAACCGCATCATCCACACCTCACCATCAAAAATGGGAATCATATTCAAACGCTACCTAGACACACCGACCCACAACAACAGCCGCATATTCGGCTGCTCGGAATGCAAGACGCATATGGCGACTACCGAGGATATCGTGTCAAAGGTGTGTACACATACTTTGAATTTTTGTTTGCGATTGGGATTGGGATTGATTCCTTTTGGGCTTTTGGTTTCAGGCGTTTCAGGGAACGACCGGGCGGGCGTATCTTTTGCAGAGTGTGTAAGCAACACCTCCCAGTAATGGTTTCTCTTCGGTGTTTGCTCTATCCTAAAGCATCTCATAGGGTGAACGTGATTGAAGGCGATCTACGAACAGCAACCATGACCACAGGCGTCCACACCGTCAAGGACATTTTCTGCACCGCGTGTCAGACGCTTGTCGGGTATGTGACTATCGCTTAATGCATCTATGGACCCGCGAACCCATCTGCTGATACCGACGTTTCGTATCCCCACTCATCAGATGGAAATACGTGAGTCCCATCCTCGCTACGACGCTGATGACGCGCTAGATCTTCCCAACTGACAGCTATCAATCCCATCAGGAACACGCACACGAAGACAGCCAAAAATACAAAGAAGGCAAATTCATCCTCGAGCGGCAACTCGTCTGCGAAGTCATATGATGCTTTTCCTTTCATCAGTTATCATCTCCGTACGACCCCCGACTGTTCTCTCCCCTTTCGCCATCTCATTCACGCCTTCTCCACTCTCAGTTTTGTTTATTGTTTTGTTTTGTAGTTACGCACGCCAGTTTTGCTCGTATGGGAAGGCTACTGTACTGGCCTTTCTTTTCGCTGATCCCCGTACTCTCCGATCAGCAGTTTTTGTTTGATATGAAATCTAAGTTTTCTGGTTTATCTTGTGAGCGGTATGAGGTTATGCGCTGGTTCGTAGATACATTCTCTTCACGGAACCCCATTGAAATATGCCATCCAGGCCTGTTGCAGTAAAGAAACAACTCTATTTGAAGCATCGAGTACATTAGGGATCTGCACAGATATGGGGGACAAGAGACGGTGACGAGGTGCATCGCTCTTAAAAAAAGAGGAGGTGAACGGAGAGACACGCCACGGAGAGTTTCGGTTTAAAAAGATGTCTTTTTTGCTTTTTCTTTGTGAATGGAGGGGGGGTACCACGATGATAAACAAGGGTGGGAAACAGAGAGTTTCCTCCACATCTTCACACATCACGGACTCCCCATCTCAAACATTTCCACCATTTCCGTTGTACATCAAATCTGCAATTTCCCCATTTAACCCCTTTTCTTCAACATATTGCTCAACCACTCCAACCCCTCATAAAGCCCATCCCCAGTCGTCGCGCAGGTCGCCTGGATATACCACTGGCGTTGCCTGAGGGCGTTGAGGCCGAGTTTGTCGGTAATTTCGGGCGCGGTCATGGCGTTGGGCAGATCCTGCTTGTTGGCGAATACAAGCAGGACGGCGTCGCGGAGCTCGTCTTCGTTGAGCATTCGTTGGAGCTCGTCGCGCGCTTCGCCGACACGGTCGCGGTCGTTGGAGTCAACGACGAAGATGATACCTTGGGTGTTTTGGAAGTCTGAGGGAGAGGGGGGATAGGTGGGTTAGACAATGGTCGCTGTGGTGAATGAATGGGAGTGAATTGGACTTACAGTGTCTCCACAGAGGACGGATCTTGTCTTGACCTCCGACATCCCACACGGTAAAGCTGATGTTCTTATACTCGACCGTTTCCACGTTGAAACCTTTCAAAAACGGAACAATGTGAGCCCGAATTTGCCTTATCCAGTTTCAGGTCCCCGACCACACAGTAAAAATTGGGGTTCCGCCATGTACAAAAATACCGCCACCCTCGCGGATTCCTCCCCTCAAAAGACCTAGATCACCGCTCCAACCCTGACAAAAACAAATCGGCACTCACCAATAGTAGGAATCGTCGTAACAATCTCACCGAGCTTCAGCTTGTACAAGATAGTGGTCTTACCAGCGGCATCAAGACCCACCATCAAGATCCGCATCTCTTTGTGGCCCCATAGGCCCGCAAAGAGTTTCGAGAAGGAGAGACCCATCTTGTTTTTGCGTTACTGAGTGGGTAAATCGGGGAGTTCGTTGCTTTGTTGGGTTAGACGGAATGGGTTGTAGACGGACGGTGGGAGGGAGTCCGAGCTGTGAAGGAAATACGAGATGGGTATTGAGGATTAGTGAGGTGCGGTGGGAATGCGAACGCGGAGATTTTGAGCGTTTGGCGGAGATGTGCATAGCAATCGCGAAGGGGCAATCCTATCGTTAAAACGAAGTGCCTTGGCGCCGGAGCTCCAAGAATCATAACCTCCTTCCTGTCCTCCAGCGGTTGCCCCGCTCGCGCCTCCCCAGCGATGCTGTCCTAGCCGAGCGTTCCGCACATACATACCTGTGTGTTTGGGGTTTGCAGATTAAGATTGCAGAATGCGAAGGAGGGTTTATTGGCGGCGGGTCTTCTGGGCGTTCCTAGCGAGCCGCAAACGCAATGAATGGTACTGTAAACAGATGGAGGAATAAGTCACCGCCCTGCCGCCGCCGTCCTGCGCATGTGGTGGAATGCTGTGACTTCTTGTTCCCTAGTCCCTTAGTGCCAGAATCTGTTGATGATGACGGACGTGGCGGCTGGGAGGCTTATGTGGCGCGTTGTCACTTGTGTGTCATGACTTGCCACGCTTCTTGAACTTGGAGTTTGCCGTCCACGTTGACTGTTTGCAACTTGCAACGTTTGGGCCCATCACGACTCCAAAGACCCATTTTCCCACGCAATTACCACTGCTCCTTTCGAAGTAAAAGAACCCATTCCAATCTCAGCAGCGGCAGGCCCTCCCTTTATCTCCCTTATCAAAACCCACAGCACCTCGCTCTTCGAACCATCACCGACACATACCCCCAAGATGAGTCGCCCATACGGCAGCCCAGCGGTGGCTACTTCCGGAGGAGGGGGCGGTAGTCTTAGAGGACAGCCACGATTGAGGGTTGCAAAGTCGCCAAACGAGGCCATGGCGAGGACGAACTGTGTGTTTGTTAACCCGAGAGATATTGACCCGAATGCGAGATTTGTTCTGTTGGAGGATAATTACGCGTTCAACGTGAGGTAAATGAGCGACAGCGAGCGATGGTGGTTGTCTGCGGCGGGCAAAGGGAGCGTGGGAGCGAGAGAGAGTTGCGACTGTGGACTGTGACGAGCGAAGCGAGACGCAGGGATGCTTGAAAGAGGCTAGCCATGGGTGAGTCTGGGAGACCGAGCGAACGCCGTCGCGAGCGAAGCGAGCCACATCTCGTCAAAGGCGCAAGGCGCCGCTAACCTTTCTGGTTGAAGATGGTTGATGAATCGTTGATGGTTGATGTTGAAGTGTTTGGATGGTCACTGATGGGTTGATGGTCAATGGTTGATGGTTGATGGTTGATGAACTTTGATAGTTGACCGACCTACGTCGTCCCTTTATGAACAGAACCAGCGATGCCGTACCTCCCGGAGAGATCTTCACGACATTGTTCCATCGGCGTTTCGGGTCTCTGTCGCTGAATCAGGAAGTCAGTGTGTGGCCCTTCGATCCGGCGCAGGAGAACCCAAACTGTTTCATGGGGACCATCGACCTTCAGGTGGGGATGACCTTCAATGCCCAGCATCCCAGAAGTGCATGCTAACGCGACGATACAGGTTGGCTTCTTGAAAAGAAACTTCGAAACAGCAGAGCTCTTCAACGTCCAAGAGATGGAACAGATCTTCCGCGCATCGTTCGACGGGCAGATCTTCGCAGTCGGCCAAACGGTCAACTTTGATTTCCACGGCACGGATCTGTTGTGTGAAGTCGTCGGGATCACCCCAGTGGACTTTGAGCAAATCGCCGGCAGCGGGGCGGGACAGATGGGTGTGGCGAGCACAGCGAGCGGGACGCAACAGGGTGCAGGCGCTGCTGCAAGATTGTCCCGTGGGATCTTCCTCAACCAAACGATCATCCACTTTGTGAAAGCGAGCGACTCGGCGATCAAGTTGAAGGGAGAGAAGAAGTCAGTGGTGAAAGATCAGTCATTAACCCATCGGACAAAGATAGAAAGCTAAAAGTTGTTACGGCGCTAGGTCTGCTGCTCCAAACGCTCTGCTGCAGCCGAATTTCAGCTTTGAGGATTTGGGGATTGGAGGGCTTGACCATGAGTTTTCGCAAATCTTCCGGAGGGCTTTTGCGTCTAGGATTTTCCCGCCATCTATCGTCGAAAAGCTTGGGATTCAGCACGTCAAAGGTCAGTGTCATGACTGATGACATGCGATTTTGGGAGGCATCTGCGGAGTCAGCTGTCTGTAGTGTCTGCCCGCCAATGCTCCATCATGGTCTTTAAACTGGACTCCTTCGCGCCAGGTATCCTTTTATACGGACCACCGGGAACGGGTAAAACGCTCATGGCGCGTCAAATCGGCAAAATGCTCAACGCCCGCGAACCACAAATCGTCAACGGACCTGAGATCCTCAACAAATACGTCGGACAGTCTGAGGAGAACGTCCGGAAGCTGTTCGCAGCTGCGGAACAGGAGGTCGGTCTCAATGCTTGGTCCTTAAGACAGGAATAGTCGGTCTATTCGAGCGAGGCTGAATTGCTTTTTTTTGCACATAGTATAAGGCGAAAGGGGAAGAGAGCGGATTGCATATCATTATTTTCGACGAGTTGGATGCTATTTGCAAACAGCGTGGGTCGAAGAACGATGGAACAGGTGTTGGGGACTCTATTGTCAACCAGCTGCTGTCCAAAGTAAGCTCCCTCATTCGTCACGCATCCACGCTCGAACATGCAGCTTACTGCCATCACTCAACCCCGCACCCATAGATGGACGGCGTAGAACAACTCAACAACATCCTCATCATCGGCATGACCAACCGCCTCGACATGATCGACGAAGCCCTCATCCGCCCCGGCCGTCTCGAGATCCACATGGAGATCAACCTCCCCGACGAAAAAGGCCGCCTCCAGATCCTCAACGTCCACACGGCGCGCATGCGCACCCACGAGCTCCTCGAGCACGACGTCAGCCTGCAGGAACTCGCGGAACGCACCAAGAATTTCTCGGGGGCCGAGATTGCCGGGTTGATCAAATCGGCTAGTTCGTTCTCGTTTAATAGGCATATTAAGATTGGGGCGTCGGTTGCTGTGGATCAGGATTATGAGAGTATGAAAGTGGCAAGGGAGGACTTCATGTTGGCGTTGGAGGAGGTGCATCCGTCGTTTGGGGTGGCGGAGATGGAGTTGCAGCAGTGTGTTGCGAATGGGGTTATCAAGTATGCGCCGCATATCGAGGTGAGTGGGGTGGTCGAAAGGCTGGTCGCGACGGGTGACGGCAATGCTGACTGCTATATCACCGCAGCGCATCTTATCGGATGGCCAACTCTTCATCGAACAAGTCAGGCGCAGTAAACGTACACCTCTCGTTTCCGTGCTCATTCACGGTATGAAAGCGGATTCGGACTGCAACCTCGAAATGTGGTTTCATGGATTCTAAAACCTTTTCATCTTCTCTCCTAGGCCCATCGGGCGCCGGCAAAACCGCCCTAGCAGCCACAATCGCCATGGCGAGCGACTTCCCCTTCATCAAGCTCATCTCCCCGGAAAGCATGGTCGGGTTCACGGAGCAGGCTAAGATGAACCATATCAGCAAGGTACGATTGTGCTTTCGCCCTTTACATACCCACAGCGCACGATTGCCTGACGGATTATTTCTTTTGCAGATCTTCAACGACGCACATCGGTCAGAGTTCAGTTGTATCGTAATTGATAGCATTGAGCGCGTACTGGACTGGGTCGCGATTGGGCCTAGGTTTTCGAATACGGTTTTGCAGACGCTGATGGTACTGCTCAAGAAGCCGCCAATGAAGGTATGAAATCAATCACAGCACCCATAATCCTATTATCCCTCATCCCCATCTCACCAACGCCTCATTTCTTTCACACATCACAGAACCACCGCCTCCTAATCCTCGCGACAACAAACCAACGCCACGTCCTCTCCCAAATGGACCTCACCGAAGCCTTCGCCGCCTCCCTCTACACCCCCCACATCTCCACCCTCCCCGCAATCGACACCGTCCTCCGCGAACTTGCCACTTTCAGCGACACCGACCGCCGGCGCGCGATCGACGCCCTGAGGAACGCGGATGTGGAAGCGAGGGGACTGGCGATCGGTGTGAAGAAGTTGTTGATGGTTACCGAGATGGCGGCACAGGATAGGGAGGATCCGGTGGAGAAGTTTGTGAATTCGGTGTTGGATGAGGGGACGAGTGGGGGTGGTGGGGGGAGGGAGGGGGGCAGGGAAGCGATTTCGATTGCGTGAGCGATGGGAATAGGCATTTTTTGTGACGCATGCTCTTGCGAGATAATCAGACTCGTTGTAGCGCCTCTGTGGATCTTTTTTTGTTATGAACATTTGCATTTTCTGTAACTTGTGCTTGAGAAGCCATTTTTTCTAGCTATCTATGTTGCATTGACTGAACACGTGTGGATTATACTCTCAGCTCCACTCTCCGTCGCCCACCCCAGGGCGAACGTGTGGTAGATGGGGATCACATAATTGGCACGAGCCCTCCTAACATTGAATCCCTGACTCGGGATACCACTAAGACGCAGGCCTGGACGTTCCCCATCGGTTGATTGGGCGGCATAGCGTGCGGCTGAGAATAAACACGATGCGAGGGAATGTGTCGATGTCCGTGGCGAATTGTCGGTATTGATCCCCCCACATGAAATCACCAAGGGCCCGACTGGTGGGGCATCAGCTGCCCAGCGTCTTAGTCTGCGATCTGCGCCGACGATATCCGCGGTCTGACCACTTCAGATGTCGGTTCGCACGTTTTGAACCCACCCGGTGTTCGGTCGGGTACTTGCAGCTACGCCGACCTCTGTACGTCCCCAGCCGACTATACGGGCCTGCGATATGTAATCGGCCTGAGGGGCGGGGTTGCGTCCTCTACCATGAATTGCAGGACTAATCGAGGTCGCATTTTGATGATATACGAGCCCCTACAATGCTTGCGATGTGCCCTCAGGGAACCTGCTCCGCGCCCGGTCCGTCAACGTACAGCGACTTGCTCGCATCAGCAGGGAGATGCCTCGCACGCCCGCAATCCCTGCATGTCGTTTTCACGCCTTTCGTTCCCGCCTTGACTACAAAACAACCCGGAAAGTCAACAACACCAAACCAATACGTTCAGCACAGCAACGAGCGAAATCCCTCACCGGCAGACTTAACATCAGCATTAACCCCAACAACCAACACAGTCCTACAATACTTGCAAAACGTCCGCTTAACCGCCGGATGCGACCTCAACACCAGTTTCTTCTGCACCACGTGGTACGTCTGCGCGTAGAACCGGGCGAGAGGTCTCATATCTCCCCCTCCCTTCCCTTTCCCTCTCGCCTGCTTTGGTGCTGACTCTACTGTCGAAGTGGAGTCCGGTGCCAAGGTGACATCCGGCGAGGAAGGGGAATGGGAGAGGGGGGCGGTGTTCATGAGCAGTGCGGCCTGGTAGAGGAAGTTCATGCGCTGGTAGGCTTCGCGGTTCTCGACTTTTGCGGGGTTGGATTGATCATTGCGGCCTCCCCCGCCTCGTTTTTTGCCGCGCTGGTTGTTATCTCGACCCATTGTTATAGGGCGAATTTACTGAAGGATGGGTCGAAGGTCCAGTGGCGGGGTAGCTGCGTTTGGTGAAGCTCTTGATCTATACAGAGAGTGGGCTGTCCTTTCAGCCTTTTGCGGCTTGCGGCTGGCGTCATGGGAAAAGACACGTCCCGCTCAAAGCTGCTCAAAGCGCCCAAAAACACAATATGCCCGCCCGTCGGACTTTGACTTGCCTCCAATCTTGACCTTCAAATCCATCCTCAACTCATACACACCGAGAAGCCCACTCTCGCAACCATGCTAGACGCAGTAACAGTCCTTACAAAAGGCGGCCTAGTCCTCTGGTCCAAAGTCTACTCCCCGCTCACCAAGGGCCCCGCCGCTAACCCGATCGACAGCCTCGTCCGCACCGTCTTTATCGAGGAGAACCCGACTACGAACGCTGACGAGGGGTTTACAAAGGACGCTTATCAGATCAAATGGACTTTTGCTAATGATTTGGGGTTGGTTTTTGTGGTATGTCTGGCGCGAAGGAGTGGGATGGGTTTGTGACGTGCTTCATGAGGGGGGGCAAGATGCCCGGCGGCGAGCCAGGGCGCTAGCTAGGGCGTTTGGTTCGGTCCGGGAGTCGGACCGTTAGGGAGGGCGAACGCCTTTGCGCCAAAGGCGCAATGCTCCTCTCACCGCGGTTTTTAGCAAGCACCGGCGAGCGTTGGGTCTTTGCGAGGGAAGCGAGCTACGCTCCGCCCGCCACATTCTTGTCGCGAGCGGCGCGATCAGAGTATCGTTTCAATTGTCCGCTCCAATCACCCTTCCACCGCATCGCTCAGCCTCACCTTCACTGACATGGATTCTATATGTTCTCTTACGAAGATCGTGTATCAGAAGATCCTCCAGCTCGCCTACATCGACGAACTCCTTGAAGGCTTCAAACGTCTGTTCTGCCAGGCGTTCGCTGATGAGATCAGGGACTCAACCGCATTGCACGACTATGACTTGTTTGACGATAACTTTGAGACATTGTTACATGCGTTGGAAGCAGAGGATAAAATGGTGAGAGATGCATGGATAATGGAGGGGCACAGGCGCAAAGGCACTGACTGCTGATTCTCATGGATGCAGAAACAGAAAAGGAAAGCCCCTCGCAAATTCGAACAGACCAAAGCGTATCAGACAACACTGGCCGCCCAATCCGACACGGGCAAAGCGGACGCGACTGGGGACAAGGGTGCGGGGTCAAGACCCGCCGTGATGGAACGCGTAGACACACTCGATGAGAAGCTTATGGCTCTTGGGTTAGGGACTCGTAAAGGTGGGAAGGCCGCGAGACGCAAGCCTGGAAGCAAGTCGGGGTCGGGAGGGAAGAATAGTAGTGCTGTGAGCAGTGAGGGGTCGCCGGCGCCCAAGTAAGTACCGGATCCGAGATTGTGGTCTCATCGATGAAGTTCAGAGCATGGCAGCCGTCGACTGATGCCGTTTTGTTTTCGCTCGAGTAGCCGGTCGCCTAAACCGCAACGAACCTGGGTGAATGGAATCGCGGGAACGGCGTCATCGGAAAGCCTGGATTACAGCGACAGCAAGGCGGAGGATGCTGTCGCGTCAACGTCCGATTTGGTTGGAACTCACCTCGGAACGCGCGGTGCAGACGGCCTCTATGACGCCGCAGAAATGGACGGCCAAGACTCTGACTCCGAAGAAGACATCGACGAAACCTCCACGCCCCTCTCAACCCCCACCCGCGGCCTCTTCTCCTTCTTCCAAAACCTCACCGCCTCCCGCAAACTCACCCGCGAAGACCTCGACCCCGTCATGACCAAAATGCGCGAGCACATGATCACCAAAAACGTCGCTTCCGACGTCGCCGACCACCTCTGCACCTCTGTCATGCAAGAGTTAACAGGGAAGGAAATCGGCCGCTTCACCTCCCTCACAAAAACAATCAAACAAAACCTCGAACAATCCGTCCGCAAAATCCTCACCCCGAAAACTTCCACCGACCTCCTCCGCGATATCATGGTCGCCAAACAGGCCAACCGCCCATACACCATCACATTCGTCGGCGTCAACGGCGTCGGGAAATCAACCAACCTGTCTAAAATATGCTTCTGGCTTGTCAAGAACGACTTGAAGGTCCTCATCGCCGCCTGCGATACCTTCCGATCAGGCGCGGTTGAGCAGTTACGTGTTCATCAACGGAATTTGACCGCTGTCCAGCCCGGCGCGGTAGTAGAGTTGTTTGATAGAGGGTATGGCAAAGACCCAGCGGGGATCGCGAAAGATGCGATTGGGTATGCGGCGAATAAGGGGTTTGATGTCGTGCTTGTGGATACGGCGGGGAGGATGCAGGATAATGAGCCGTTGATGAGGGCTTTGGCTAAGGTACCGTTTCACATACCCCGCTCTTATCATCACCCACCCCAACATCCCTACTCATCCTCCAAACTTGCTTCAGCTGGTAACACTCAACAACCCCGACAAAATAATCTTCGTCGGCGAAGCCCTCGTCGGCAACGAAGCAGTCGACCAGTTGACCAAATTCAACCAAGCCCTCAAAGATTTCAGCGGCGTGCGTGACCCGCGACAGATCGATGGGATCGTGCTTTCGAAATTCGACACGATTGACGATAAGGTAACAAAGAACACCCCTAATGATACACCCCTATGATACACTGGATTGATTTATTTTTGCGTTTTCAATAGGTGGGAGCGGCATTGAGCATGACGCATATAACGGGCCAGCCGATTTTGTTTGTGGGGACCGGGCAGACGTATACGGATTTGAGGCGGATGAATGTGAGGAGTATTGTTGGGAGCTTGTTGGCTAAGTAGTGATGTAGGACGGGAGGAGTTTCTGGATGGGGAGCTGTACTTCTGTTCAATGAGGATTGAATGAAAGGGTGTATTGGGATTGATATGGAAAGTGAGATGCCTGAAAGTGGCATATGCACAGATATGCATGTCATCGAATTACGCGGCACTGCGGCTTTCCCGAGTTTCGCACTTCAAGAGATCTGCAAAACCAACGCACACTGTACTGTAACATCCACTACTGACTCACGGCGGAGTCTTCCGTCGACGACTGCACAGGAGCCCTTCCTCTCCCCGCCAACAAGCTCCGCGACTATCCGCATTTGTGATCATAGAGTGGAACAGGGTCAAGCCACGCTTCAATTCCCAGCACATACTCCTCCAAGATGTACCCCGAGTCAATGAGCCTGCACCTGACAGGTGAGAGTCCGAAACGGCAACCGGGTGGCAAAACCTGCAGCAACAAAGTTCATTCCCGCCCTTTTAATTCCCTACGTTTGGCTCACACCCATTTCCTCCGCCCCCCTACAGGCCGAAAATACTACGAAATTCTCAGCCGCGAACTGAACCACCCCATCGACAGCGCCGAATTTGCCGCCGCCCTGGACGCCCGGGACCCGTTACGACATCTCCGGAGTCAGTTCCATATACCGCTGCGGAGGGATTGTGTGCCGGAGGGGCAGACAGGTACTGCGGGCGGGAAAGATTTACGGGGACGGGGAACGTGATGATGGTGGATATTGATGGGGTCTTTGGGGGGTGCAGAGACTGAAGACCCGGATGCGGAAGCGATATACCTATGTGGGAACTCGTTGGGGTTGCAGCCGAAGCATACGCGGAAGCTGGTGGATGAGGAGTTGGATGTGTGGGCTACCCTGTGAGTATCTTCCGGGGTGGGAAATGTTTGCTGAGGAAAGGGATGGCAAGATTGGGACCCGAAGCTGATGAAGGGGGCAACAGAGGCGTACAGGGCCACTTCCGCCACCCCGAGAACCGCGAGTGGGTCACGATTGACGACCATGTTGTTGAGGAGAGCGCCAAAGTCGTCGGTAGGTGTGCGGGGTAACTCCGAGCGAGGACGATGCAAACGAAGACCGGGGGGGCGGGAACTCACTGCGGGGAATTCGGTCTTGATGGGGCAGGCGCGAAACCAAGCGAAGTGGCCATCATGAACAGCCTGACCGTCAACCTCCACTTCCTCATGGTCTCATTCTACCGCCCCACGCAACAACGGTACAAGATCCTGATGGAGAGCAAATCGTTCCCGTCCGACTACGTACGCTTCCTTCATTTCAGTCCCCCCGGTGGTATGCGACTCCACTTCCTCAACAATCTGTCCCCCCCTGAAATGTAGTACGCGATCGAATCCCAAGTCAAACACCACAACTTCCCCCCCTCCACCGCCATCATCCAGCTCTCCCCGCGCGAAGGGGAGCATACCCTCCGCACGCAGGACATTGTCGACGCGATCGAACGCGAGGGCGAGAGCATCGCGTTGGTGATGTTTAGTGGCGTGCAGTATTATACGGGGCAGTTTTTTGACTTGCATGCGATCACGAGCGCCGCGAAGGCGAAGGTGCGGGTGGCGGGCCATTTTGAGTGTGCGTGGGAGGGTGGAGATGTGCTAATGAAGCGGGCGTTCTTTTTTTTCTGGGGGTAGGGATGTGTGGTTGGATATGACCTTGCGCACGCGGCGGGGAACGTGCCGTTGAAGTTGCATGATTGGGGTGTGGACTTTGCGTGTTGGGTAAGGAACAAACGGGGGGGGGGGGGGGGGGGGGGGGGGAAGTTGTTACGCGTTGAGAGGGAGACGGAAAACTGATTCATGGGTATGGGTGTGGTTTGTTCAGTGCACGTACAAGTACCTCAACGCAGGACCCGGCGGTATCGGCGGGGCCTTTGTGCACGAGCGCCACGCCAGAGCCGATATCCCAAGGTAAACGCACTACGTTCAGCAAACTCCCCTCGCGAAATATCAGGCAAGCTAAACATACAGCTCCTCCTCTCTCTGTTCAAAACCCAGACTGGCGGGCTGGTGGGGCACGGACCCGGCGACGAAATTCGACATGTCGCACACGTTCGCCCCGATCCCGTCCGCGCTCTCCTTCCGCGTCTCCAACCCCTCCGTCCTCGCCACCGTCTCCCTCCTCGGCTCCCTCCGCGTCTTCGCTCAAACCACCATGGAGGACATCCGCGCCAAATCCGTCCTGCTGACCGGATACCTCGAGGTCCTCCTCGACGCGCTGGACTCGGACAGGTTCACGCAGCTGACGCCCCGCGACCCCGCTGCACGCGGGTGTCAGCTGAGTCTGCTGTTCAGAGAGGAGGGCGTGATGATGAAGGTGTTTGAGGCGCTGTGCAGGCAGGCGGTGATTGTGGACGAGCGCAAACCGGACGTGGTGAGGGTCAGCCCCGCGCCGTTGTATAACACGTACGCGGAGGTGTGGAGGTTTGTGAGGGCTTTCAGGGGCGCGTTGGAGACGGTGAGCGTGGGCGGGGATGCGGTGGATGCGGAGGGGCATGCGGAGAAGGGGTTTGTGACTTTGTAGAGTGGGCGGTTCGGCGCAAACGGGATCGTCCATGTAGGATATAACGATATACGGCCTCTAGATTCTATGCTTCGTCCTCAGATTTCTGATACTCTACGCTTTTCCCTGTACACTAGATTACCCGGCTACTATATACATACGCGCTCCTATCGTTCATCCTAGTCTTCATCCCACCTGGTACTCCAAACAGGGCATCCCGCCCGCCCTCCGCACACCCTCCACAAACGCCTCAACATCCGCACCCACATCGACCCCACCCGCGCGCGCCGCATCCACAACATCCGCAAACGCGGCCTGGATGAACGGGTGCCGGTGCGCGAGCGTGGCGTGCAGCGTGAGCGTCGTCGTGACGATCCCCTTCACGGCCGTGTGCGTCTCGGCCGTCCCAGTCGGATACATCGCAGCCAACGCCTCCACGCAACACAACGCGCCATGCAGCGCGTTACCGCCCGTGCGTCCGGTGAGGATGCGGGTCAGGGCGGGCAGGACGCGGGTATGTACTAGGGCCGGCGGGGTGGTGTGCGCGAGACAGCGGGCGGCGAGGGTGCGGACTGCGTACGAGGGGTGGGTCGACGCGGTCAGAAGGTGGTGTGTCAGTGGGTCGGTCGGTGGTGCCGGTGGTAGTGGTATCGCGGGAGCGCCCGGTGCTGACGACCCCGCGTGTTGGCGTCTCCTTCCCCTCCTCCCCGCCTCCAGTGTGTTCATCGGGGTCGATCGACCGCCAGCAACAGACTCCAGAACAACCAACCCGGCCACCCGCCCCATCTCCGTTCCCGTTCCGCCCAGCGCGCTGACAACAGCGGCCATCGCGGCCGGGTACATGCGAGAAAAGGCTTCGACCCGTTCCCACGCCTCCGCCTGACATAGCCCGGGTACGCCGCGCTCGAGGACCGCGCAGAGTAACAGGACCCCGGCGCTCGCTACTCCCGCCGCGGCATCGGGGGTATGGATGGAGTGTAGCGCAGCACACAGCGTCTCGCCAAACGGCATCCCCGGCCCCGTCTTTGCGTCCTTCACGAGACGATGCAAGATCGTCAACGCCATGACTGTCCTCGTTCTGTCATGTGTGTTACCGGGGTTGAGACACGCGAGGAGGGGGGCGACGACGGTTTCGTTCAGGACCGTGATGCGCTCGGTGGGGTCGGGGAAGGCGCCGTGCAGGATGGCGAGGAGGATCCGCGCGGGCCCGGATGTGCGGTCGTCGTGGCGGGGGTATACCTGCGCCTCCACGCTACTACTCGTACCCGCGGGTGAGACGATGCCCGCGATGACGGCATCCAGCCACTGCTGTGGGAGGTGGTGGTAGGTGGGTGATGTTACGAGGGCGGCGCAGAGAGATTGGAGCGATTTCTGCGTCCAGTTGGCGGCGCCCCAGTGGCGGATTTCGAGGAGGGTTTTGGTGAGGAGGTGATATGTGGTGGTTATGATTGTTTCTGTGTGGCGTGCAGAGGAGTGTGACTGTACGAGTTTGACCGCGATCGTCGAAAGAGCCAGACCTCCGGATCGGATCGTGCGCCAGGCTGCTGCGATTAGAACTTTCCGTGGAAATTCTTGCGATGCAGTATCTTCACCCGCCTGTTCGTCCTCGTCCTCCTCCCCTTCGTCATCATCACCCTCTCCCACCTCCAAAAACATCGTCTCCCTAAACACCCCCACCGCCGCCTTACACGCCTTTACAAGCCCATCCACCAACTCACGCACTAGGTTCCGGGGTACGGATTGGATGTGTGTGATATCCTGCACGACGTACGCGATACCTTCGACGGCGCCGTGGATGTTGGGTGCGGCGGATGCGAAGGTGGGTGAGGAGAGGTGGGTTGTGAGGAGGGATGAGAGGTGGGTGAGTGATGCATAGGTGGGGTGAATCACGGGATCCTTGATGTCGGAGGGAATCGCAGACTCGAGACAGGCGACCAACCGCCAGACCATCCCGCCGCGTAACCTCGCCAACGTCGACACGTCCTGGGATAAAGCCACAGCGGTGTTTATCAACTCTCCCGTCCGCGGCTGCACCGTCTTCAGCCATCCCGGTTCGTCGCGTAGGAGACTGAAGGCGGCTGCTCGGGCATACTCAAACGGATTGTGGATGACGATTTCGACTAATTGCGTTGCGATGGATTGTATAGTGGTGCGATCGTCGAGGGGGGTAGAGATACCGCGATGCAGGCCGACAAAAACCTGGAGAAGGCCGAGGGAGAGAGCAATGTGCGGGTACGGCCCGGTTACGATCGTACATTCATTCTGCAGACGCAGGACGAGCTCCACGAAGCTGTTGAGTTTATCTTCTTCTCCGCCCGAATCGCTCGTCTTCCGGAGGGATGCCCTCCTGACGGCGGCGTAGACCTTTTTGCATGCCTGCAAGATGTCATTGCGGAACTTGTTGGAGATGGGAGGTGTGGTTGTTTGCAGGAGGCATGAGCGGAGGAAGGTGAGGAACTGGGAGGTGAGGAACTGGGAGGGCTCGTTTGTTGGTGGAGCGGCGAGCGCTGCTGTGATTGTCAGCAGGTCTTGTGGGGAGGGAGGCTTCTCTGGAGGGTTGGACATTGCCGAGTGCCTTTGCCCCAGGAAGTTAGGGACGCTCTTCTCTCGACGTGTGCTGCTGCTTCTGCTATAGTCCATTCAGTCCATTCATTTCTGCTACCCACGCAGGTCACTTCTGAACGGCGTCTGGTATGTACTGTATGCGAAAGGGACCCGAAGCGGGGGGGATATGCCTGTGTTATGTCATCCAAGTCCTCGTTTAAATTCAGAATGGCTTCCCCTGGTTGAGCGAGGGAATCACGTGAGGCGTTGTGGGAGTGAAATCCGATGAGTCAGTCAGTCGGATGCAAATGGGAATCTCTTATCAGCCATCGACTCACGGGCTCAGCATCATCTCCCTCCGAGTCCCTCCCACCGCATGTGCTGCTGTGCTTGCTGTGCTGTGCTCTCGCATGGCTGCGCGGCGCGTATCCTCCATCCCTCTTCGCAATGTCGCATGTGCGTGCGCTATGACGAGCTACGTATGTACTGAGGAGCTAAAAGGCCCAAAGGGTATCGCCCCTCCCATACATACTGTATCTATCCGTCGTCGCCGAGAAGTACATATATCCATACCACTCCGTCTTCACTATCTGCTATTCGTCAGAACTGTATGTAGAGACTCCCTGGCGCGGAACCATAAGAGCATCCGCCCACTCCGCGAGGAAACTGTCTCGTCTCGCAATTCCACCCCCCCCCCCCCCCCCCCCAGGCATTCCCGGCGACGAACATTTATTCACACACAGTCATCACTAGCCATGGCCGCTGCAACCACCACCCCAGAACACTCCTTCCTCCACTCCACCCTGCAAATCCCTTCTTCTCGTAGCCCACGGCACAGTCCCGACTCTCCTTCAATGTCCGCCCGCTCAGTCGAACAACAACAACAACAACAACAAATACCCCACCCGCACCTTCTCTCCCCCTACCAAACCCTCCGCAACAACTTTGGCGCCGGCGCAATAGCCCTCTCCACCTCCTTCGCTGTCATGCACCCGCTCGATACCCTCAAAACTCGCATGCAGGCCGCTTCAAAATCCACATCACACTCAAATCTAACCATAAAGAGTTTCTTCACCCGCGATACTCTAAAGACTCTACGGAGAGGATTCACCACTAGCGTTCTGGGTGCGGCCGCACAGGGCGGGTTGAGGTGGATGACCTTTGACGCGTGCAAGACGGAGCTGTGCGCGCGGTTTCCCGAGAAAGTCCCAGAGACGACCGGAGGGACGGGGACGGGGACGACCGCGGACGGGACGAGACGAAAAAAGAACATCCTCCCATCAGCCTCCTTCATGCTCACATCCGCGGCCTCAGCGATCGCAGGCGACCTCGCATCCTCCATCGTCAAAGTACCCCGCGAAGTCGTCACTGCCCGTTTACAGACCGGTCACTACGACACACCTCCATCTCATTCCCACTCGGTACAAGGAGTTTCCAAGCCAAAGGGGGCAACCTACGCCATCCGCACCATCCTCCGCTCCGAAGGCGTCCCAGGCCTCTTCCGCGGGTTCTGGTCCCTCACCCTCCGCGACTGGCCCTTCATGATTATCCTCTTCACCACCTACGACACCCTTAAATCCGTGCATCACAATTTCGCCATCAACAACGCCCCACCCGCAGATATTGCTGATGGAACAGCAGTCTACACCCACGAGATACCCACCCTGAAATCGACGTTATTTGGCGGTCTTGCTGGGGGTCTGGCTGCGTTTGTCACCACCCCCTTTGATGTCATCCGCGCACGGATCATGACCTTCAAGGCTGCCCCAGGGACCGCCGCAGGGGCGACGCCGAATATGAGACAGATCTCTGGGATGATTTTAAGGGAACACGTTGCGAAAACGACATCATCGTCAGCAGCAGCGACAACGACGATAGCAACAACGACACCGACACCGAGAACGGCGATAAGCATGATCCCCGCAGCCTCACGCGCGTTCTTTGTGGGAGCCGCGCCGCGGACGGTGTGGTGGTTCTGTGTGTGTTCGATGTTTTTCCCGATTGTGGAGAGGTGTAAGGAGGGGTTTGATGCGCTTAGTGTTTGATTATTGTTGTTGGAGGCGGGGAGTAGCGGATATAGCACAGGGAGAGTGATGGAAGGGCTAGCGATATCGTGGTGGATCTTTTTCCCCGCTGATGGATTAGACGAAACGTCCGCTTTACTTTTACGTCCTTTTCCGTCTGGCTTGCGGGCTGTAGATGTACTGTATACTCTTTCTCTTTTATGTTTGAGTATTTATTACATTTATCTTATGGGAGCGATGCGCACAGTCTGAGCGGTGCCAATACTATGGGTTCGTGGGGCCGTCCTGGGGCACTGGCTGGGGCTTTGTTGAGAGGTGTAGTGTCCGAGGCGCAACCCTAACCCGCAGACGGCATCTCGCTAGGCGCGTGTGCAGCCATTTACTCATCCTCTCTGGTCTCTTCCCTTTCCTTTTTTTTTGCGCACTTGCACATTCCCACTCGCCAACGGACCCAAAGGCTTGCTGGCAAGTGCTCCTGCTTCTGCTGCTCCCACAACACACAGCAACAGCAGCACCCCCCTCCACTCAACCCACTCACACCCCCCCCCCTCCCCCAGCAACATGGTCGCCTCAGACACCCTCCCCGACTTCCCTACCGCCCCCACCTTCCCCTCCGAATCCCCCTCGGCCCAAGCCACCCGCCTCGCAACCCTCCTCTCCACCCCCGTAACCCAACAAGATGGCCTCTCCGCCGCCGAGCTCATGTCCCCCACCCTCTCCGGCGGCCTCACCTACAACGACCTCCTCATCCTCCCCGGCTACGTCGATTTCCCCGCCACAGCCGTCTCCCTCGAATCCCGCATCACAAAACGGTTCACCATCAAGACCCCTTTCGTCTCCTCGCCGATGGATACGGTCACCGAGACGGCGATGGCGGTCGGGATGGCCCTGAACGGGGGTATCGGCGTGATTCACCACAATTGTCCCGTGGAGGAGCAGGCGGAGATGGTGAGGAAGGTGAAGAAGTTTGAGAATGGGTTTATCACGGATCCGAAGTGTTTGAGTCCGAGGGATACGGTGGGGGATGTGGTCAGGATTAAGGAGACGCTGGGGTTCTGTGGGATTCCGATTACAGGTAAACAAAACAGAAGGGAATGTGGGACGGGGTGATAAGGCTTTAATACTGATCGAATTTCGGATTGTGTAGAGGACGGAAAACTGCAGTCTAAACTCCTCGGCATCGTGACCTCCCGCGACATCGACTTTCTCCAATCCGCCGAAGAGCGCAAACGCAAACTCCAAGACGTCATGACCACCGACCTCGTTACGGCCCCGCAAGGCGTCTCCCTCCTCGAAGCCAACACCATCCTCAAAGCCTCCAAAAAGGGCAAGCTCCCCATCGTCGACAAGGACGGCCACCTCACCGCCCTCCTCGCGCGTTCCGACCTCATGAAAGCCAGGGACTACCCCTGGGCGTCCAAAATGGCGTCCTCGAAACAACTCCTGGTCGCCGCGGCCATCTCCACGCACGAGGAGGACAAGATCCGCCTGAAAGCGCTCGTTGACGCCGGCCTCGACATTGTCGTCCTCGACTCCAGCCAGGGAAACTCCCTCTTCCAGATCGAGATGATCAAATACATCAAACAAACTTACCCGCACATGGACGTCGTCGCCGGTAACGTCGTCACCCAAGAACAAGCCCGCAACCTCATCGCCGCCGGCGCCGACGCCCTGAGAGTCGGCATGGGCTCCGGCTCCATCTGCATCACCCAGGAAGTCATGGCCTGCGGACGCCCCCAAGGGACAGCAGTCTACCGCGTCGCACAGTACGCGCGCCAGTTCGGCGTCCCCGTCATCGCCGACGGGGGTATCGCCAACGTGGGCCATATCGTCAAAGCCCTCGCTCTCGGCGCCTCGGCCGTCATGATGGGGTCCCTCCTCGCTGGCACCGCCGAGTCCCCCGGGGAGTACTACTACCACGAAGGCCAACGTCTGAAAAAGTACCGCGGGATGGGATCCATCGACGCCATGGAGAAGGGCGACGCGGCGGGCAAACGGTATTTCTCCGAATCAGACAAGATCAAAGTCGCGCAGGGCGTCGCGGGCGCTGTGGTCGATAAAGGCAGCGTGAAGAAGTTCATCGGGTATCTTGCGGCGGGCGTGCAGCACTCGTTGCAGGATATCGGCGTGACGAGCCTGGAGACGTTGAGGAGCGAGGTGTGTGAGGGGAATGTGAGGTTTGAGAAACGGACCGCGAGCGCGCAGATGGAGGGCGGCGTGCATGGGTTGCATTCGTATGAGAAACGGTTGTTTTCGTAGAAGGGGGGACTGAGCGACATGTCGTCACACGGCTGTGTTATCCACACCATCCTGCACAACCCGGCATTGCCAAATCGGGACAAACCGCTTAGTCTAGTGCCCCTGCGTCATCCCTTTCCATCTGCATCTGACCATTTCTTCCTGTATTTATCATTTCAACAAAACATACGTGCTATTTACATGACTAAAATCGACCCAGGCTTCGTTTTGAGTCTCCAAAAAATGGCGATGGCGGTGTATATATGATCACTCAAGGCCCCTTCCCACCAACAGCCGGACAGTGCCTGGCTTGCGGGTGTGGCTCTCCCCATCTCCGCGATCGCCGCTCTTCCTCCCTCTCGGACGTACAATGTAGTCGGCCTGGCAAATCCTGCCATGCATATACTGTATGAAGTACGATATCGGGGCGTGCCGCCTAGGGTGTGTCGTTGTTCACACCCCTCAATCCTCCGCGACATTCCACACAGCAATCGTGCCGGCCTCCGAGGGTTTGATCACCACATTCCTGGATTCGCAAAACCACACCAAACAATCATCAGGACGGTCAAGTCCCCCTTACTAACAACGGCAACTGAACCCAACTCACCCCCGCCCAAACTCCACACAAACGGCCTCATACCCCCCCGCCGCGAGCCGGGATGCCGCCGCCGAGAGGGAGATGATGTGCGCGGCGGAGGAACGTGGGGGTGGCCCGTGGGCTAATACCGATGTTAGTAGGCCCGGGTGTGGGGAGCGGATCGAGAAAGGACACGCCTCCTTACATGCGATGCGGAGCCCGTTGGCGTCGAGGAGGAGGAGGGAGGTGAGTTCGGGGGATTGGGAGGCGCTGTGCGGGGGGAGGAGGGGTGAGGAGGGGGATTTGAGCGGACGGGGGTGGGGGGGACTTACAGGCGGCGGAGGGTCGGTGTGAGGGAGGAGTCCATTGGTGCTGGGGGGGATTTGGGTGTGGGGTGGGATGGGATGGGGACAATGCGAATGTCAAAAGGGTTGGAAACTTTGGAGGCGGCGGACAAAACCTTAATGATCCCTCGACCACTTTGACATCCCCAACAACCTGCCCCCCCAGCTGTCATCCCATCCCGGAACCCCCTGGCCCTCCTCTCGCATGCGCAAGGCCACAGGTCCCTCCACACAACTCCTTGGAAAAAAAAACAACAACGAAAAAAATGCCACCTCCATCACGGCCCCCACCCTCCACCTACGTCCCCCTCTCCGACTTCCAATACCCGCCCCGCCCAACCAGCCCCCGCCACAATGCGAACATCACCATCACCACACTCCCGCCTAGCGACCTCCTCGACGACGACGACGACGACGACGACGACACATTCCTCGCGGATACATTCCGCAGCGCCGACGACGACCGGGGAGATCATCCCCGCCACCACACCCCGACGCGGCAGCACCATCCCCCATCCCCACGCAGACGGACGAGTTCACCGAGACGGGCGGGGGGGATCATGCCGCCACCGCTATTACATTCCCCATCGGGATCGGGATTCCGGACTTCCCCAGTGAAAGTACAACCAACCTCATCGACCTCCTCGACCCCCCCGCGGCGAACAAGCTACCTCGACGATCACTCCCACCCCGACGCCGACGCGAATCACAGCACGGTTGTGGCGCTTCTCTCCGGCGCTGGGCACCACCACCACCATCACAATCAGCCACATCCGGGCTATGGGGATAAAGATGGGATCGAGAGCGTGCATTTCAGGTCGGCGGAGAAGTTGCCTGAACAGGAGTTTTTGAACCTGTTGTTGCATCAGACGAGTTTGGATGACGCGCAGGAGTTGTGTCGGGCGAGGTTGGATTATTTGTTTGAGAGTGATGATGCGAGGAAGTTGCAGAGGTACGGGTGTTGTGAGTGTGAGAGAGAGGGGGGTGTAGCAAGGATTTGCACACCCGGCGCACGACGAAAGACTGATGGGTTTCCCCCGCCCCAACGCAGAACACCGTTCTACCGAATCGCCCTGTTCCGCTTCCCCGCCATCGTCCTCACCCTCTGCCTGGAGCTCGTCGTCGCGGCCATCATCAGCAGCTACGCGGACGTGATCACGGCCCAGCCGCGCTTGAGCGCGTTCATCCCTGTGCTGTCGAGTATCTCAGGTGGGTGTGGAAAAACGCCCCGGAAATGTGTGCGGTCGGGAAAAAAGAAACGATATCGCATGCCGAATATACTGATTGGGGGTTCCGGATGGGTTCGTAGGCAATGTCGGCTTACAAGCATCAACCACAACCCTCCGCGCCCTCGCCACCGGTCACGCCTCCAACTCCAACCTCCAAGGCGTCCTGCGGGTCATGTTGCGAGAGGTACAACCAGTTTCCCACCCTCCCCACTTCCTATCACCATTCACCCATCTGACCCCACATCGCCCTCCCCGCTCAGTTCCTAACAGCAACCCTAATAGCCCTAACCGCCGCCGCCGTCCTCCTCCCCATCGCCCACACCTGGTCCGACTCCTGGCCCTTCGGCCTCATCACAGCCACCGCCATCCTCCTCTCCTCCTCCCTCGCCGGGATCATCGGATCAACCGGCCCGTTGCTGTTCAAGCGACTGGGCATCGACCCCGCGCTGACCGCCGGCCCCTTCGAGACCGCGGTCCAGGACTGCGTCGGCGTTAGCGTGTATCTGGGACTGGCAGCGGCGTGGGGGTTTGGATAGAGGCCGTGCGGGACGGGACAATGGAATCTTTTATTCCCCTCTCGTTTTTTTTTTTGGAACGGGTGTATATGAGTAGGAAGAGGATGTGACGGATGAAGCCGCGCTTGTGTATATATCACATTTGCCTATGGACAGAGTGACGGGTCAGGAACAGCCTTTTTTTTTGGGAGTGTGGGGGTATTGGGGGTGGTGCGGCGGGCACGTTTGTACATATGTTCTATAGATTGTATGTGTTCTTTGACCCGGTTGGAGCAAGCGAGCACGGGTGCTGGGTGTGAGATGGTCGGCCGCCCACCCCCCATCCCGTCCATTGCCACTCTATCCGGCCCACTCTATCCGGCGCCACCAGATGCAAGTGATCTGAATGTGTGGATCGGGCTATTGTTTCCGAGGACGTTATCGTGCAGAGGTTTTTGATTTGGGGAATCTTTCTATTCCCATCCTTGTTCATATATGTACACCGTAATAGAACCCATCCAATCCCGTTTCATCCCATTCCATACACGCCGCCCCCACTACCTAATCACTGATCCTCCGTCCGAGAAATAATAGGCAAATGGTTGTACGCTCCCTTCCGGTGATCATCTAACAGTTCGATAGCCAGCTCTGCGCCCCTCGTCTCACCCCGAAACAACATACACCCTCGGCCCCTTCTTGATCAAGAACCCGTCGGCGTTCAGCGTGTCCAGCAGAGTCGAGAAGGTGTTTGGGGTTGTTGCTGAGGGGATGTTTATTGCTGTGTGTTTGTTGTTGAGTGTATGAGCGGGGTGAGTTGGGGGGAGACGAAAGATGAGAATGGGTAAGGGGGCGAAGGGGATGGGGAAGGGGGAGATATATGTGGTGTTTTACCTTTTGCTATCTGTCTCAGCTCGTCAAAGTCGTATCGGTTGGTGCCGTTTGCCGCGGATTGTCGGAGGTGTGCGATGAATCTAGAAAAAACGATCGATAGTAAGCACAGCGACAAACAAACCCCCCGAATGGGAACTTCGAAGAAAGATCCAGCAAGACCGGGGAAAAACCACCCAACACAACCTCTGAGCTTCCGCCACAACACCTCCACCCCCACCCGCACCCCGTTTCCTCTTCCCCAACCCGGCACCGGGCCCCTCGACAACAGCAGCACAACTCCCAAACGCCTCCCTGCACAGCTCCACCACATCCCTCACATCCCCCACCTCCACCGCCTCCCGCAACTCACTCCTCGCTCTCGCCTCCGCCATCTTCACCACCGTCTCCAGTGTGCGCGACGGCGCCGCCGCGGCCGGCTGCAGGGCGTGCAGAGTCGGGTAATTCGCGAGGATCTCGGCGGCCGCGGCGGGAGTTAAGTATGGGTGGACGTGGGTGCGTGCGTAGGCGATGTAGGCGCGCAGTTGGTGTGTCGGGAGAAGGGTGGATACGGGGGGGAGGGTGTGTTTGAGGCGGTCGGGGAGCGGGTCGGTTTGAAGGTACTCGGACGCGTCGTCTTGGACGTCGGTGCAGGCTGTGACGCGCGGGTGGGGCGTGGGTCCGCGCATGTTTGTCCCACCGGCGTGGAGGTCGAGGACGCGGCGGGCCATGTAGCCGTCTTTTTCTTTTTCGGGGATATCCAGGATGACGAAGACGAGGTCGAAGCGGGCGAGCATGGCCGGGGTCATGCGGGTGTTTTCGCAGACGGTTTTGCTGCGGTCGTAGGTGCCGACTGGCGCGGCGGTGGCGCTTCCGCCGGGCGCACTTTTTCTCCAGCCCCCACCTGCCCCACCGCCACTGCCGCCGGAGGGCATGCCGCTGCTTGTAGGACAGACGGGGTTGGCGGCGACGATCAGAGAGGTTCGGGCGGGGACTTGTACGTACATGGGCACGTCCTCCGCACTGCCGTCGAGTGTGACATAGCCGTTGTCGAGGGTCTGGGCAATCCAGGTGTGCCAGGGAGCGCACTTTTCGAAATTGTCGACGCAGCATGTCCCAAGGTCCGAGAGCACCAGGGGGCCGGCTTCTACGGCCACGTCGTTGCCGGAGTCGGGGAGACGGGTAGTGCTTAAGCCGAAATTTGGTGGTGAAGACTTGGAGGTGCCAACGGTGAGGTATTCGCCTCGAGGTAGGACGGCGCTGAGAGAGGCTAGCATTTGAGATTTGCCCATTCCGCGGTCGCCGACCAGCATGATGTGAATGTCTGAGGATACTGATGTGTTGTGATCCGGCGCGCAATTTCGAGGTCCTCTGTCTTCTTGGGCTCCAGCGGATCCCTTCACACGACCTCCAAACAGCGCGAGCAGAAGAGTGGCCTTGATCACCTCGTGTCCGTATATGGCTGGGCAGAGTGAATGCACCAGCAAAGAAAACAGGTTGGGATCCTCCGCCAGTTGCCGAATGCCATACAAGTCTGCCTCCGTATAGGCTATGCCCGCCTTACTGAGAACCCCAGCGTTGCCAGTCGGATTCGCAAGGGCGTTTATCCCACGCCCATCATTTGCCTTTACTATCGAGTTGACATCGATATAGAGCCCCGCGTAGGTGTCCACTTTCCGTCCTTCCACGACCTTCAGAACCCCACTGACCGTCACTACATCTCCCGGCATGATGGAATCCACAATCTCATCCGCAAGCTCACACTCTACGACCCTCGCTTGCGTTCCCCGTGACGACGACGACGACGGATCGCCTTCACTCGCGTCCTCCCGCACCCAGATCCGCTGCTTGTTCTGAGCGACGGTCGCGCCTAGCTGCGGGGTGAACTTTCGACTCTTGCAGCCATACCGAGCACATTTGGCTGGCACACGGTAGTAATGCGTTGGCTGCTCTTTGAATGCCATCTCCTGCACTTCTCCGCAATCATCGCACATGTATGGGATGGACGTAAGCACGGGTTTGACGACTGCTACGCGCAAGACTGTGCCGCGGATACTGAGGAAGGATGATAGGAGGTTCGCTTTGACTTTCTTAATCGGGGTGGATTGGGTATAGTTGAAGAGTCGGACTGTGCGTCTCTCAAACGACGGCTTGATTGCGTGAGAAGAGTTTGCAGGCGCTTGAGCTCGTAGTATGGAGATGGTTGCTGCGTGGGCTGCGAGGTTTAGACACGGCAGGATGGAGCCTGGTGATTGGCGAAGCTTGGCCTCCAGAGCAGGGACCTCCTCACAACCCTGCACGAAATCCCCATATTCCAGCTCTACAGTGTCCCTGTCCGTCCATAGCACCCTTCCCGTCGTCGTTTGACTATTGCTGTTGTTCCATCCAATATGCCCAACATCGTCGGACGATGCCGCGCAGGAGTAGTTCCGGACGAAGTAGTGGAAGAAGGCGGTTGCGAATGCCACGTCGTCGTCGCGGAGTCTGAACGTCTTGAGTGGGAAGTAGGTATCCCAGAAAGAGGCGAGCAGCTGCGAGGGGTTCATCTTGCGGTGCGTATGTACGTTGCTGTGGGGTGCCATCTGCGTGGTAATGGCCAAGGACTCGACAAGCCACTTTGACCTTCTTGGGCCAAAAGCACAAAGCGGCCAGTCTGGTGTTTCTGACTTGCCGACGGACCATAACACTGCCATCCACAGCTACCCGCCAGCCAGCCAACCACCTACCATGACTTACAACGGTACTGGAGACGGCGCTCCCGCTGCTGCTGACCCGGTACGTCGTCACTTGGAGCCGGCAGGGTGGAAAGGCCGCTGTCTATTCTTGTGTGATCTCGCAGCATTGTCTGCTGGCCCCCTCGCTAACCCATCTTTCGTGCTCATTTTACAGAGCGCCATTTTGAATGCCGCCGTGGAGAGAGCGAAGGCTATAGCCGCTCGTCTATCACAAGTGAAACCTCCAGGTGCGTCTGATAACCTGTCCATTGTCCCCAAAAGAGGCGGCGTTGCACGCTAACACCTATTCTCTTTGACGCAGCAGGGGATCAGTTCGAAAATGCAAGCAGTCCAACTACTTCCGGCACCAAACGCTCCCACGCCGAATTCGATGACTACCGTCCTCCGTCCTCTGGCTACCGCCGCGAGGACTTCCAAAGCGAAAGCAAACGTCAGGCTTCCGACCACGATCAGTACGGCGGAGGCAGCCGCAGCTTCGGTTCGAACCCTTACGACCGCCCGAACGATAGTTATGGAGGATCCAGTGGCGGTGGTGGAGGCAGGCCTCGCATCGGTCTTGGTCACTCTGACGCACCACCTTCGTCGCACTACGGTCCCGGCGCTTCTCACGGCAGGTCCTCTGTGAGTGAGGAAATTACAGTTCCCAATCAATTTGTAAGTGTGCTTCACCCCGCCACCCTCCCACTCCCGAGATCGACGAGGAGGAGGGTGCGGTGCCTCGTTTCGCATATGTGTGTGTCCGTGGTTGGCAGGTCATGACCCCGGTCCGTATAGGTCGGGCTCATCATTGGCCGCTCCGGTGACAACTTGAAACGAATCGAAAGTACTTGCAACGTCAAGGTGCAGGTTGCGTCAGGTAAATGTCCCATCGTTCAGCCCACATGCTGCCTTCCATTCTCGCTCACTATCTTTCCCACCGCCAGACAAAACAGACGGGCCGGACGCAGACCGCCGCACCACAATCACCGGTGAGCCCGAGGACGTCGCGCGAGCAAAAGCAATGATCATGGAGCAAGTCAACCAAGGAAACGCTCCTCCGTTCCGCGCCCCAATGTCCTCGGCTCCACCTGCAAACCCATCCGACTCCATTACCGTCCCTGCTCATAAAGGTGATATTCTCACATTGTTCTCCTGCCGTATTCGCATTCCCGCACTTATCGTTCTTCACCTCTTCTTTTCGCAGTTGGTCTTGTTATCGGCCGTGGCGGCGAAACAATTCATCGCTTGCAGGACCAAAGCGGCGCCAGCATCAACGTCGTGCAGGAGAGTGCACAGGACACGTCCTCGGGCTTGCGAACCATCACATTGTCCGGAAACCCTGCTTCGGTCGACATGGCCAAGCAGCTGATCGATGAGCTGGTCAACTCTCAGGGGCCTCCGGGCAGGGTAATGCCTTTCTTTCTGAATTTTGTGGTGCGTTGGTGCACAATGTTAAATGCTGATTTTTCTGTTCGATAGTTCCAAAACAACTTCAGGGGCGAGACTGAGATCATCAAAGTCCACACCGACAGGGTACGTTGTTGCACGCCGGACAAAGCGAAGAGGTTCGCCTTTGCAAAGAAATACACCGGAGAATTCATTGACATCGCTCTCCCTCTTCAGGTCGGCCTAGTAATCGGTCGCGGTGGCGAGACCATCAAATCCATCCAGATGCAATGCGACGTCAAGATCAAAGTCGACTCACAATCCGACCCCGAAGGAAATCGCACGGTAACCATCTCCGGCCCGCCCGAGAACATCGCCCGCGCCAAAGAGATGGTGATGGAGCGCGCTTACAGTAGTCGAAGGGAAGGTGGGCCGATGGGTGGGCCGATGGGCGGTCATGGCGGTGGCGGCGGATACCAGCAGCAACAACAGCAGTACCCGCAACACGTTCAACAGCAAGCGTATGGGCAGTACGCCCCGCCTGGGAACTACGGCGGATACGGACATGAGCAGTGGGCGGGCGGCGCGGAGGGTGCCCCCGGCGCGTACGGCGGGTACGATGCCAACGCATACGGGTGGAACGCGGCCGGTTATGGGCAGCAACCCGGCGGTGAGGCCGGTGGCGCTCCCCCCGGTGCCGGCCCCGACTCTGCCAACCCGCAAGGAGACGCAGGAGGCGAGGGCGGTCAACCCCAACAACAGTACGACCAAGAAGCCTGGGCGGCTTACTACGCGCAGTACCAGCAGTATTACGGCATGTACCCCCAATACGCCGCCGGTGCGGTCCCCGATGCGTCCGCTGTACCTGGCGCACCTCCTGCACCTGCCCCCGACGCGACCACCGAAGACAAACCACCCACCGACGACCAGAATTCGTCCGCGGCGCCTTCTGCACCCGCCCAACCGAATGCGTCCTCGTCACCTGGCAGCGTAACCGGGAAGGATGATTCGACCGCTGCTGCTGCGTCGCCACCGGCCGCCGAGTCGGGAACCGCGTCGCCGGCGCCTCCATCGGAATGAAGCAGATTGAATTAATTATCTGAAAGCGTTGATTAAGGTTGACGGGGAAGGAAGGGCGGGGAAGGAAGCGAAAACAGGAAGGGTTGGTTTCTCGCTGTATTCTCCGGCGGGCTTCAAACGAGGATTTCGCTGGCTGGCGATCTTAAATATATATTCGATGCTCAAAATGGAGCTCCAGTTCAATTTCTCAGCTTCCCCTTCCATCTGAATGACATCTATTTTTACATGACCATACATATTCCACCATGCACAAGGCCCCAACACCCTTGCGTACGTAGTACTGTTCTATGGCTGCAAAGCAGACAGAGCCCTAGCGCTCGTCGCATGGTGTCCCGTACGGGGGAAACGCGCATGCCGCATCTGACTGCTGGTGACTCTTCTTCACCCGCTCCCTTCTGTTCTTACTGCCTCCACCATTTCAAAAACCGACATCTTCCCCATACGTGAGAAATTTTTTCTTTGACCAGCTGGGGATAGTCAGCTGAGCTACATGCGACCATCTCACGCTTGAACCGGTAATGCTGTGAGTGCCTTTGGGATCTGCCTGCCGCTGATGAGTTGAAATCTCTACAAAAGGGTTAACCCTTACCCCTCCTGACATTCCTCTAAGGCAGAGACTGTCCACTGGCTTCCGCTGCACTAGTAAGCATAACGGCAATGCAGGGGCTTTGTCGCCATAGCAATCGCCCCGCCTACGGCGGCTCGCTGTTCGTAACCCGAACACCAGCTGTCCGCAAATCGCGTAGTCTCCCCTCCGCGACGGCCGTTCGGACACATTCGGACAAGAATCCCAATTTCACACTCGCTGAGCGTTCGCCTTTCCATCCGGACTCGTTGCTTGCTTGCGCTTGGCTTCGTGCAGGGGCAGCAAAGGGGACACACATAGCAAAACCGAAGGAGATATTGCGTTGGGTTGCACTTCACCTTCACACTCTTCGCCTCCGGAATAATGTCCAACCGAAAAGCTGCGTTGCAGAAGCTGCGGAATGCGAAAGCAGCGGGTGTCTCCGCTTTGGAGGCCTACAAGGTACGAACGACAGCCCTCCGCATAGTTGTCTCGCCCACTGGCTGCTAGGGAGAAAGTGGGACCTTGAATGTCTTCTAACCCTTTCTAACGCGCAGGTAGATGAACCCGACAAACTCGACGTCTACGACGAGGTAACGGAAGAAGAGTACAATGCCTTCCGCCGTCGCCGCATGGAGGAAGGCGGTGATTTCGTGGTGGACGACGACGGTCTGGGATACGTCGACTATGGCCAGGATGAGTGGGCGTCCGAACATAGCAGTGAGGAGAGCGACGAGGAGGACGATAAGGGCAAGGCGGGGAAAGGTCTGAGGTAGTGCGTTCGGTAAAGACTTTTTGAGATTTGATATTGATTGGCATCTGCTTGATTGTGGTTAGGCAAGCGGAAACGAGGGAAAGAGAATGATAACAAACCTGCCGGCGGAAACATTCAGAATCTGTTCAATCAACAAGCGCGGAATCCGAAACCAAAGCCAAAAGTAGCTCCACGGGTAGGTAGTCATTTGGTCACATCACCCTCGATTCATCGAGCATCCCCTTACCTTCATCCCACTTTCCCTCCCATCCACCACCTACCACTCTCTCAGACAGCCATCTCCGACGCGACCGCGAAGGATCTACTAGGGTCCATTTTCGAAGATCTCGACAATCTCGACAACGAAGTAGACGATCACGCGGCCAAACGGCAGAAATCGGAACGTATCTCGAATGCCTTCTCGGCCTATGTCACATCGGCGCAGAATCCGTTTGCGGCTTATGCCCGGGGATCTCGGAACACGAATGCTGCTAACCCCGCGGTACCTAAGGAGCGTACCGTTACGAAGGTATGCCATCATCTGTGCTTTCCTTTGCCATTGCTGCATTAAAAACCAAGCGTATTGACATTTTTGCTTATGTGTAGACCAGCGAACCCCAGGAGGATTCTTCACCACCGGCTTTTGACATGTCGGATTTGCAAACGCAGGAGCCCCCACAGATAGACGAGGATGAAGTCGCGGACCTCCATTCACCCGAAGCCGATACGAGTGCAGTCGAAACGCAAGCACCCGCCCTCCCCGCACCCGTTACAGTCAAAGTAAAAGCCCTGCAAACCAGCACCGCCAAAAAACCCGCACTGAGCTTCGCACCTAAATTCGCCCCAAAAGTGGACAGAGTCGAAGCCGAAGCGCGAGCAGAATCAACCGTCGTCTCCGCGCCCGACAACGCCAACTGCCGTGGCTGGATGTCGCTCAAGGATGCGATCCAGGTCCAGAATATGGAGCCGTCGCAATCGATGACGGATGCGGGGTCGGCGACACAGTCAGGACCCGCGGAGTTTTTGGAGGAGGATGGGTCATTGAGGATGTTCTGGTTTGATGCGTTTGATAGAGATGGGGTTATTTACCTTTTTGGAAAGGTGGGTTTGTTGTATCTGGGTATTGTGATGGCATAAGTGGAATGCTTTTCGTAACCGTCGAAACCTTCTTTCCCTCCCAATCAGGCCCAGAATAAGAGGGACGGAAGCTATGCGTCGTGCTGTACAATCGTCAACAACATGCAGCGGAACCTTTTTGTCCTCCCTCGCGCCCGTCTTCTGGACGACTCTGGCCACGAAACCGATATCAACGTGACCATCCCCGAGGTATACCGCGAATTCGACGCTCTGCGCCGCCAACACCACATCAAAGAGTTTGCGTCCGCTAAAGTCTCCCGCGCCTACGCGTTCGAAGTGCCCGACATACCTGCCGAGTCGGACTACCTGAAAGTCGTGTACCCTTTCTCACAGCCGGCACTCCCCACCGGTCTCAGCGGTAAAAGTTTCAGCAAGATTTTCGGAACCAAAACCAACGCATTGGAGCTGTTCATCCTGAAGCGGAAGCTGATGGGCCCATGCTGGGTCGAGATCAAGAACCCCAGCATGATTAACCGCAACGTCTCCTGGTGCAAGCTCGAAGTCAACGTCGCCGACCCCAAAAGCATCAGCCCCCTCAAAGACGAGCAGATGAGCCCCACGCAGAAAAAGGCGCCCCCCTTCGTCGTCATGAGTCTCACACTCCGCACAGTCATGAACCACAAAAAGCACGTCAACGAGATCGTCGCCGCCAGCGGGCTCGTGTACACCAACGTCAACGTCGACGGCGTCTCGGCGGAACAGCACCCGTCGCGGTTCACCGTCATGCGACAGTTGAACGAGATCCCGCTTCCTGCCGGGTTCCATGATCTGTTGCAACAGCAGCCGACGCGCATCGAGGTGCCGAGGAATGAGCGCGGGTTGCTGGGGTTCTTGATTGCGCAGATCCATCGGAGTGACCCGGATATCATTGTGGGGCATAATTTTATTGATTTCGATTTGGATGTGCTTTTGCATCGGATGCAGGCTTGTAATGTGGAGCATTGGTCGAAGATTGGGAGGTTGAGGCGGACGAAGTATGGTGTTGTTGTGATGTATTTTCACTGGATTGATTGAGGTTTGTTTGCTGACGTTGTTGCTCCCGATTCCGAATCAATAGATGGCCGAAGCTTCAAACCGGAGCAGGAGGCACCGCCGACTCGACATTCGGCGAACGTCAAATCGCCAGCGGCCGCTTGCTTTGCGACACCTACCGCGCCTCACAAGACCTAATCCGATCCAAATCCTACAGCCTCACCCAACTCGCCGCCTCGCAACTCAACGTCGACCGGCCCAACATCGACTACGAAAAGATCCCCACCTACTTCTGGGACGCGGGCAAACTTATGGAGATGATCCAGCACTGCCAGTTCGACGGATACCTCCAGGCGCAGCTCATGTTCAAGCTGCAGATCTTACCCCTTACGAAGCAGCTGACTAACCTCGCGGGGAATCTATGGGCGCGCACGATGACGGGGGCCCGGGCCGAGCGGAATGAGTACCTGCTCCTGCATGAGTTCCACGATAAGAAGTTTGTGGTGCCGGATAAGACGCTCCCCGGAGCCAAGATTGTAGTGGATCAGCTGCAGGAAGGCGACGACCAGCCGGAGCCGGCTAAGAAAGCGGGTGCAAGCGCTCGAAGAAAACCGGCGTATGCGGGTGGACTTGTTCTGGAGCCCAAGAAGGGCTTCTATGACAAGTATGTCCTGCTGCTGGATTTCAACAGTCTGTATCCGTCGATCATCCAGGAGTACAACATTTGCTTCACGACGGTGGAACGCGGGCGTAATACCGGTGGGCTTGTCCTAGGAGATGATCAATTGCCCGACGTGCCCGACCCAGAGCTGCCCAAGGGTATCCTCCCCAAACTCCTAGGCACGCTTGTCGACCGTCGTCGGGTGGTCAAGAACCTGATGAAGGACCCTCGCGCCACACCCACGGAACTCGCGGGGTACGATATCCGCCAAAAAGCGCTGAAACTAACTGCCAACTCCATGTACGGCTGCCTGGGTTTCTCGCACTCACGCTTCTACGCCAAACCGCTCGCGATACTGATCACTGCAAAGGGACGGGAGATCCTCCAAGCCACGGTCGACTTGGCCGAGCATGAGCACCTGGAAGTCATCTACGGCGACACGGACTCGATCATGATCCATACCAACACCGATGACCTGCAGCAGGTGAAGCGGATTGGGAATGACTTCAAGAAGGCGGTGAATAAACGGTACAATCTGCTGGAGATTGAGATGGATGGGTTTTTTCAGCGGATGTTGCTCTTGAAGAAGAAGAAGTATGCGGCTGTTGCTGTTGAGGAGAAGGGTGGGCAGCTGGTGACGACGTTGGAGACTAAGGGGTTGGATTTGGTAAGGAGGGATTGGTGTGGGCTGAGTCATGATGTCAGTGGGTGAGTAGCTCGATAGATTCTTTGCGTGATGGAAGACGTTGACTCTCTAACTAACTGCCGTGTCCGACGACTCTCTGTTCAGCTACGTGCTCAACCAAATCTTCTCGGGCGCCTCGCGCGAAGAAGTGATCGACAACATCCACGCCCACCTCCGCAAAGTCGGGCTCGAAACCCGCTCGGGCCTGATCCCCATCCCCAAATTCGTCATCACCAAATCGCTCACCAAGAACCCCGAAGAGTACGCCGACAAGAACTCGCAGCCGCACGTGCAGGTCGCCTTGCAGATGAAGGCCAAAGGAATCTCCGCCCGCGTTGGGGATACCATACCCTATGTTATCTGCATCAAGGACAAGGATGCCACCGGGGACGGAAAGTCGTCCACGGTGAACACCGCACCGACCAACCTGATGGCTGCGAAAGCATACCACCCGGACGACGTGGCCAACGATGCATCGCTGCGGATCGATTTCGAGTGGTACCTCGCCAACCAGGTGCACCCGCCCATCGCGCGTCTGTGCAGCCCGATTGAAGACACGGACGCTGGCCGGCTTGCGGACTGTTTGGGGCTGGATCCGAGCAAGTATAGGAATGTGGGCGGTGGGGGTGCGGGTGGTGGCGCCGCGGCGGACTTGGATGAGCTGTATACGCTGGATAGCCAATTGACGGATGAGGAGCGGTTCAAGGATGTGGAGAAGTGGTGCCCGAGGTGTAGGGCGTGTGGGGAGATGGGGGAGTTTATGGGGTGTGTTCGGCGGGTGGTATGTATGCGAGTTCGGTTCAGACTCAAATAGGGCCATTGATGCACAATCCGCGTCTTACGCAACGTTTTTTCTCCTCCCGCTCACAGGACGACGGCACCCTAACCAGCTCCTTCGCCTGCCCGCACCCAACCTGCGGCACCCGCCTCAGCACCGCCTCCCTCATCGCGCAACTCTCCACCGCGATCCGCACCCACATCCAGCGCTACGCCAACGCTTTCTTGATCTGCGACGAGCAGGCCTGCGCGACCCGCACGCGCTCCATGGGCGTCTATGGCGAGCGGTGCCTTGTCCCGGGGTGTCAGGGCACCGTGAGGTTCGAGTACCCGGATACGAGGCTGTATACGCAGTTGAAGTATTTTGCCAGTTTGTTTGAGACGAGGGAGGGGGAGAAGAGAGTGGGTGGGGATAGGGATTTGTTGGGTAGGTCTTTTTTGTTGTTCGTGGGGTTACGCGCTTATTCCACCACCACGCACTCTTTCTCACACGTCTCTTCGCTTCGCTTCCATATACAGCCCAATTCAACACCCTCATCCGCCAAGACGCTGAACCCCTCACCAAATTGGCCGCGTTCACGGACAGGTACCTGCAAAAGAACGCCCGTGGGTTTGTGGATCTGCGGCAGGTGTTTGGGTTCTTGACCATCAGCGGGAGCGGCAACAAGACGGGGGCGGGAACGGTTGGAGGTGTGGAAGGGCAGGTGGTTGCGGTAAATGGGTGAAGGTGTTGAGGCGCACGGCGTAGCAGGAGCAGTTGTGCACTCCGTATTAAATGCGGATACATAAATGTACACGCTTGGTATGCGAATGGAAGGGGTTTGTATGTACATACATCTGAAAATACATAGGCTTGTGTATATCTGAGGGTGTGTGAACCCGCGTAATAATAACGCGAGAAACAACCCAAAAAGTGTTCAGCGGTGAATTCACGTCCTCCGGTGATCTCGGCTTGCCGCTTTAGTTCCAGCTCTTTCAGCTCAGCGGTGAGTTGAATGAAGTCTTGTCCTGCGATCTCGGCTTCTCGCTTCAAATCCAGCTCTTTCAGCTACGCGGTGGGTTGAAGTCGTCCGGTGATCTCGGCTTCTCGCTTCAATTCCAGCTCTTTCAGCTCTGCGATCTCGGCTTCCAGGTTCAGTTCCGACTTTTTCCGCTCAGAGGTGAGTTCACGTCGTCCTGCTTCCAGCTTGAATCCCACCTGTTCCAGCTCAGCGGGGAGTTTATGTCGTCCGGCCGCCCCTTCGCCTTTCTAGAGTACGAGATGGGGCATTGAGCTCGCCGACTACAGGTTGCAAGAGCTTTCCTTCCTCCTCGAGGTTAGCGGATAACATTGTCCTTGTCCTGCGCATGGTCCTCCTCTTCACACATACACAAAGCTCGAAACGTAACTTCGCAACAGTCCGGCGAACATATCTCTTTGACTTTTCCGCGTTTAGCAACCTCCGCGAGGGCTTGCTGTCGTTGGGCTCTTAAATCCGTCCACGCCGTTTGCATCAGCATCCGCTGCGTCTCAAGGTTAGCGATAACATTGTTCTTGTCCTCCGCGTTGTCCACCTCTTCACTGAGCCGTCGATGAACAGACTACATCACTGTTTCATCTGATCCAGCAGGTCCCAAACGACCAAAACCTGGGCCAACCCATGCGCGGCGGAAACCACTCCAATCATGTATCCCTCATGCAGGAACACCAGCGGCTTGCCCTGTAAAGTGGGCCAGACCGAAACCAAACCCACCTGCGTCCAGACCGCACTGGTGGGACCGCCTTCGCCGCTGGGTGCTGCTACAATATCCACTCGATGCAACGCCGCGTTACCCGCTGCGCCGCTCGACCCCCATGAAAACACATAAAGCGCATCCCCAACCCGCACCGTCGAATGATGCGGGAGGAAGTGCTCGCAGCTGATTTTCGGCATATCGTCACCCACCGAGGGCAGTCTCAAGAAAGTCTGTTTGTCACGTGCATCCAGCATATATACATCGATCAGATCCGCGGGCGAGAGGGTTGTCGGCTGCGTACCACCAAACGAGGCGAACGCGTTCAGGTGCGGTACGTCAATGAATGTGTGCCGGTCCCGTGCGGGTGGGGCTGAAGGGTGGGTAGTGCAACCGAGCCACCCCCAGCGGTAGTAAAGGGTTGGTCCATCGGGGATTAGTATGATTTCCAGGCAATTTAAAGTGTCCAGAGAGGATGGCAGAGAGGTATCTGATGGATGGCGAAGGAAGGTGCCGGCTATTAGGAACTCTGTGGTGGAGGTTGCGTGGATGGTGATGCCGGAGGATGCGGGTAGGGGGATGGGATGCGGACAGCGTGGATCAGGGATGATGGTTTGGAGTGGATGTCCTGGTCGGAAGAGGTATAGTTGGGCCATATCCGGTTCATCAGAGCTTGAGTCCTCCCCTAAGCCGTCCGTTGCCGTTCCCGTCCCATTGGGGACCATGTCATCTTCATCGCTGTCGTCTTCATCGTTGCCATCCGAGGAATACGCGTGAAGATTGTTGCGCAGATTACAGTAAAAGAGAGCGGCAGCGTCAGATTGCGGTGGTCCAATGAACAAGGTTCCCTCGACTCTCTCCAGGCCAGCACCCAGAGTAACCGCCTCCCATTCCACTTTGTTGTCGGTATGGACGAGGTCGACGGCGGCCCCATCCCAATAAAGCAATCCGGACCCAGGGGCGGACCGTTCCCGTTTCCGCAGGAATCCATCAAGATCCAATCGAGACAGTTCCCTCGAATAGCTGAATCCGTCCGGTTCCGCCACAACCGCCATACGATACAAGTGCCTCCCCACTACAAAGTGTGTCTGATTTTGGGGAGCCGAGCGCTGAAAGAACCGCGGGAACTCGTCTCGAACTAGAAACAAGCCTGGACGGCGGAGTAAACGACGGGAAGCCAGCGCTATGTATGCAGAGCGACATATGTCCGGATAGCGCCCATGGAGAACCCGGGAGGAACGGCTTAGCTGCGCGGAAAAGTCCCGGTCGAGCAAGCGTTTCCAGAGCATCGGAGTGGACTCCAACGCGAGCAGGCTGCGGGAGGACGCACGGAGATGCAGCCATGAGCGCACGGGGAGGAAAAGCGCGAGGCGCTCGGCGATGGTGTGGATGTTCAAGAGAAAGAGGAGGGTGGGCTTCTGTACAGTCATTGGATGGATCGTGCCTGACTGAGGAACGTCGGAGCCCAGGTCGGAGCCTGCGGATGTCATTGCGAGGATTACACGTGGCAGAATCAAAGAATTGGCCGATGCCCAGTCGGAAGTTCGGAAGCAGTTGCCCTCCGTTCGTAGAATGTCCCCAAGAGCGGCTTCCAGAATCCGCACCAGCATACTGTATATATAGTTCGAGTATGCGTGCAGACCTAAACCAACAAGTTGCCCAAATCCTTTCCGTATGAAGAGGGGCGGGTTCTCTGAATACGCGATCTTCCCAGTCTTGCACCCCATGCTGCGACTCCCTCCGAACACGTTCAGCGCACAAATGTTCAGGCCAACAGACCGCATTCCCTCCCCCCACACCCTCCCCGGTGGCCGCCGCGAAACCAAAGCCCTCTTCTTTTCTGTCAGGGCAGGGGGGGTCGTGCTCGCCGGACTTGTACTCGTAAGTCGATCTCCTTACGTTCACACTTACTTCTCCTCAGTCCCACCAACGTCTTACATAAAACAGGTCGTCTGCATGAGTCAATTTGGACCTCGTCGGTCCTTGAAGTCTTGGCCAATTGTCAAGCGCGGCCTGAAGTGGTTGGAGGAGAGACGCAAGTAGGCCAAAACCATCCAAAATTCGGACACATGACTTGGAACACTGCAAGCGGCAACCGTATCGTAAAGGTCGTTGTTGAACTCTAGTTCTTCAGCAGGACTACCTAGAAGCGCTGACTTCCAAACTTTCCTGTCTCTGCATCCTATTTGCACCGCAACGCATAAGCCCGTTTGTTCTGCGAAGCGGTTGCAGGAATGATGATCGACGCAGGCTATCCTTCTCATTAAAAACCGCCTGACAAAACGAGACTCAATGAGGGGACCCACTTGCATTCTTCCCTTTCGAGCGCCTCACACTAGCCCAGCAATGTACGGTTCTTGATCAGGTCACACAAGGGCCCCAATGGAGCCGACGGACCATATTCCCGAGCTCAAAGCCCCCAACAAGTCGGCCACCTTCTATGTTTTCGCTGGATCGCGGACAAAATGGAAGACGTGTTTAAAGAGGTGCGGGGTCCAACGGTGCTAGACGTTCTGAACGAGGATTACGATACGGAGGAAGATGAGGACTTTGTGGCCGACTTCTGGCCTTATTTGATGAACGCAAGTGGACCGAGGCTATCGAGAACATGGTGGCCTATAGCATCCTGTGGGACAGGGATTGGGAATTGGAGGACATACAGTGGGTGCGTCGGTGCCGGACATCAGGAGAGGTTATTTCGAACCTTACACGCGGAGAGGAGACGGAAAGACTAGGGAAAGATTGTGGCATTGCTGTAATGATCATCTTCCGATGCTGGAGCTAATTAGACCGCAGGCGGTTTCGGCTGCTGACACGCCAACGGAGACGGATGGAGCCCTGACGAACTCGGCATCAGATCATTGCTTCCGGTGCCACCACACCTACAGATGTTGGCACAACCGTGGGCAACGCAACTAACATCAGCACCTCAACTGACCTCGGCAGTAGTCCTCCGCACCAGGAATGCCAACCGCCACGGCGGAGACTGGAGCAAATGCAGGCCTCGCCGAAACCGATGGAATACAACCCACTCAGCGCATCGTCTGAGTAGCGTACGCACACCGCATCCCCTCCTGAACAAACTTCCTCGACTCCCGCTAACCGCAAAGAAGTGATCATGATGAACTGGATTAAATGGACATAGGAAGGAAGTATAGAGGAATGTACTATACATGTATAGATACCCCCCGTAAGATGCTCGGTGTTTCCTCTGATATAATCCATCCAAGGTTACCTTCTCAAGATGAACGAACCTCTTTGTTGTGAATGTCAATAATCGTCGACGACCTTTGCCATGCAGCGCGGTTCTGTCTTTTTCGCGTGCGTGACGTACAGTACTACAGTAGTACGCTTCAACTCATGGATGCCACGCGCTTGAACGCCCTCCGGTTTGTCCCGGTTTCTTTACGCCTTTTCCCACGGGCACATTCGCATAAAAACAACCCAGCAGCTGCCCACCACCCCCGGAAGTCAGCATCATCGTTCATCACCCCTTTCTCATCCACATTTGACCTCCCACCCCACGCCCCCCACAATGTCCCACGAAAACCCCGCAACAGATCGCGAAGACCTGCGCACGGACTTTGTCACCCTCACCAACGACATTCTCACCGGCCAGCTCAAACATGGCCGTGCCACCGGCGACCTGACCATTCTGTTGACCGCTATCTCGAGCGCGTGCAAGTGGATCTCGAACGTTGTCAGGAAGGCGGAGTTGATGAAAGTGTATGTATTAGGACGGGGTTTTAGGAGGCGCGATTTCGGGCCGATGTCGTGAGAAGCGGGCCGAGCGACTAACGCAATTCACCACCCCCAGCATCGGCGTAACAGGCGGCACGAACGTACAAAACGAGAACGTGCAAAAGCTGGACATTCTCAGCAACCAGATCATGTGCAACCTCCTGCGCGAGTCTGGCCGCACGGCGATCTTGGTGTCGGAGGAGGACGATGAGGCGATCTTTGTGGATGGCGGGAAGCAGGGGCAGTACTGCGTGTGCTTTGACCCGCTGGATGGGTCGAGCAATATTGACTGTGGGGTGTCGATTGGGACTATTTTTGGGATCTATAAAGTGGTAGGTTGTGATAAAGAGGATGTGGGCCGGTTGGGGCGATGTGGCTTTGGAGAAACTGTGCACGGGGAACTGATTTGACATGTTGCTGGTGATTGCAGAAGAATGAATCGGGAAAGCCCACGTTGGCCGATGTCCTCCGTCCCGGAACGGAGATGGTTGCTGCTGGTATGTTATCTTGTGCTATGTTTATCCGATCCGGGCCGGTGAACCACGAAATTGAACGAGACATCGTACATTTTTTTCAGGATACTGCATGTACGGCAGTTCGACGGTCCTAGTCCTCACATTCACCGGCTCCAACCAGGTCAACGGGTACACCCTCGACCCTCACATCGGTGAATTCGTGTTGACCCACCGCAACGTAAGTCCCTCCATCGCGTTGAGCCTTGAGATCGATCTCCTCTGATATGATCGCATTTGCCGAATGCAGATGAAACTCGGCAAAAAGAAGATCTACTCCGTCAACGAAGGCAACGCGCACACCTTCGACCCAGCCATCAAAGGCTACATCGACTCGCTCAAGTTCCCGCCCGCAGGCCACACAGGCAAATTCACCCCGTACTCGGCTCGTTATGTCGGGAGTATGGTTGCCGACGTAAGTACCCCCATCTACTCCCTCCGCACACCGCAATCGCTAACCCCTCTTTATCCCCCACCAGGTACACCGAACAATCCTCTACGGCGGCGTCTTCCTCTACCCCGGCGCCAAACTGCGCATTCTCTACGAATGCTTCCCCATGGCCCTCCTCATCGAAGCGGCAGGCGGGAAAGCGTCCACGGGCCGACAACGCATGCTGGACATTGTGCCGGACAAGCTGCATGCGCGGTCGGGGATCGTGCTGGGGACCGCGGAGGAGGTTGAGGCTGTTGAGGGGTGGTATAGGAAGGTGGATGCGGGGAAGAAGTAAAGGGGTTTTGTTGCGTAGTTTGGCTTTCAATCCAGGAGCGTATGTTACATACTTGGGGCTTTGAGTTTGGTGGAAATAGGCTGGGTTTTTTGACCGCTGCGTAAAGCGGGGTGGACATCTATTCGGTCGAATGAATCGAGGTTTCGAACCATCTACGTGGGTTACCAGGCCGGAACGATCGCATGCAGTGCAATTCTACTACTATTCCACTCTCTAAGTACGCCCTCCCGTCAGCCTTCCTTCTAACCCCCCTTAAGCCGCCGAACTCGATCAATAAAAACCACCAAAAATGGCCCTAACTACACCTACTCCCGCACCTACTCCAAATTCGTATTCAAATACTCCACAAACCCATCTACAACCTTCCTCACATCCAACTGCGTATGCATCCGGTTCAAAGTCGTATACTGTCTCCGCAGCCGTCTCAGTTCCGCCAGGGGTACGATACGCGGCGGGAGGCGGAGTCGCGGTTGCTGAGCTGTACTGCTGCCGTTTCCTTCTCCCGCCGCCGCAGAGCTACCGGGGACGACCAACCCCCTCCCCGAATTCTCCGAACCCGACGTCGGATCATTCTGCACCTTCCAAACAAACTCCACCACCTCCCCCGTCTTGCGATCCATCTCATGCAGATAATTGGTCTCCGTCAGTGGTTTGACGACCGTGGAGAGGTTAGGTGGCGGCGGCGTGCGGAGGAGGGCGGCGAGGATATGGGGGAGAGGGGAGGGGTCGGTGGGGAGGAGGGTGAAGAGGGGGGCGTCCCAGCGGTTACGTGATTCGGGCTCCTCGAAGCGAGAGGTTAGGTTTGCTATCAAGATCGGTGTGAGTTGCGTGTTCGGCGATGGTGTCGCCCCCTCTACGGGTGGTGACTGTGTTGATGCAACATCGTCTGGCTCTATCTCCCCCTCAACATCCACCCCCCTAACCCCCTCCCCACCCACATAAGGCCGATACCCCCCACTCTCGAACGGCCGCGCGCAAAACACCGTACACGTCGGCGTCCCCAACGCCCGTGCGACACAGAACAGCTGGTACCGGAATCCCTTGATGTAGTTGAGCGAGTCGCAGATGACGATCGTGTCGCGTGAGAGGTGCCGTTCGATGGCGGAGAGGAGGGCGCCGCGCGCTTTTTTTTCTTCATGCGGTGCTGGCCGAGAAACGAGATAAACAACCCGTTCGTACATGGTGGAAGAAGCCGGAGGGTAAGACATGTCACTTACAGGAATACGCAACACCCTTATCTATCCCCAACGACTCCTCATTAACCACAACAACAGTGCGGTTCATGACCGGCGGTGCTCGGCCCGTTTTCTTCCTTCCGTCCCCTGCTGATGCGTTTGGTTCGTTTGGGTCATGGGTGCTGGTGGTTTCGGCGGCCAGGTGGATTTCGATTTCTTCCTTTAGCAGGAGGGCGCGGGTGGTTTTGCCGGATTGCGGGACGCCGCAGATTGTTATTAGCGGCATGATGGGGTGCGAGGGGTGGAGGGGTGTTTTGATTTCCGAAGGAAATGGGTGTTGCGGAATGTAGAGGAAACTCGAAGTTTGAGAAGCACGGCGCATGGAAGGAACGCGTATTTTCCTTCCTTTAGTCGACATCAAGCATATTCAAGCGGAGTCACACCCCGCAAAGGGAATCAAATAGATGCCTGTGCAGGAGCAACAGCTTCCGGGCCACCATCTCAGACTAACCAGAAAGGTGTATAGTAGGCGGTGTTGCTATCCATCTACATGTCTGCGTGTCCCATCAAAGAACGAGTGTGGCGAAGAAGCCCCATAATAGGAAAGTAATTAAGAAACCAGATCCGGAATGCATCAAAAGCACAAGACTGTCGCCGATGGAGTTAAAGAGCATAGCGAATGCAACAACGAGTGACGCCAGAGCGATGAAAGACGGCGATACCTCTGCTTCAGTACCTGGTGATTTTCCATGACGGCAGGGTGGTCGGGTATCCAAACGGCGCGGGGATGAGATTTCGCAAAGGCATGTCATCTTCGTCCGGCTTCCTGAAGACAAGCAGGAAGCGTCCCGCGGCGAAGTAGCGCAGGCACTCGGTTGGGGGGAGGTAGCTCTGATGGCATGACATTAGGTGTTCATCCTACGTCTTTGTCCTAAGCAAAGTAGACCCGATATGGACGCACGGCATTGCACGCGGAATCTCCATCCAGTCTGATAAAGATTTCTCCCGCACCAGGGAGGTTTGTGCGCGGAAACATGTTCCGGCCGCCCTCTTCTCCGCCTCGACGCCGACGTTTGAAAACGGAGACACCTGCGACGAAAGACAGGGTTCCACATATTCAAATGTTATGCGAGATTTCTCTGTGATCAAGAGGTTCTCCTGGAGGTATTTTTTTAACCCCCTTCCGAAATCATCAGTTTCGAATAAAGATCGGATTTGCGGCCGATCTTCCAAGACGACGTCAAAGGTTTTCTGCGCCGGCATCTGTAGAACGGTGGCCCAGGCCAGTCCAGTCCAGTCTCTCGTTGCTTGTGGGAAATGCGGACCCAGACGCGACCGACCTCTACAAGAAGCGCGGAGGCAGAGAAACGTGGCTCCGCGCACCACTTCGTCACAGGCTGGCAAGGGCATAGCTGTAGACGAGGAGAGAGATGTCTGCGGGTGCAGATGTTGACGGAGTTGTGATTTGGGCTCAGACCCCTTCCGACTGGTAGCTCCCAGCTCCCCATGATGTTTCTCGAGACGAAGAGGCGGGTGGTTTGACAGGCAGGCAACAAGGGACGGGGGACAACACCAGGTGTTCCATTCCCACGCAGAACCTCCACTCAGACCTCCACCTGCCGTGGCGGAGGAAAGGAAACGTGGCGATTGGGACCAGCCTGTCACAAAGCGAGTGTTGCGCAGCCTTTGTTACTGGTATCTAGTTAGTAGGAGTAGTAGCATTAGTAGGAGTAGCAGGAGAGAGAGCGGCGGCCTCCGCCTGAAATTGCTCTGAGCATTTTGGGCTTTTTGCTGCGGCCGCCGCGCTCCCTTTCCTTTCCTTTCCGCGAAAGGGCACCGGGCAGCATTGCAACCATCACAAGTGATCAGCAGTAGTGACATCCTCTTCCCCCCCCAGGCCTTCAACCCACACTCCCCCGCTCATCCACTCGCCAGCCAACGCAGCAACAATGGCCTTCCACGACGGCCTCCACCCCTCCATCCTCATATCCCTCTGGTTCTTCTTCTCAACAACCCTCATATTCTCAAACAGATACATCCTCGTCGAACTCAACTTCCCCTTTCCTCTCCTCCTCACCACCTGGCATCTCTCTCTTGCCACTATCGCCACGAGGGTCTTGAGAAAGTACACGAATTTGTTGCCGGGAATCGACGAGATTGATAAGAAGCTCACTTGGGATAAATGGGCGAGGACTGTGCTGCCCATTGGCCTGCTGTTTAGTGGCAGTCTCGCTTGTGGGAACTATGCTTGTGAGTACCGCGAGCGGAGCGCCAAACGAAGTGAGGCATTGGGTTGCTCTGGGAGCTCGGGCGGGAGCGAATGCCTTCCGCGAGCGCCTTGCGCCAAAGCCGCAATACCCCTAACCGCGGCTCTTAGCGAGCCTCAGCGAGCGTCAGATCATTTGCGAGCGAAGCGAGCACCACATTGCGTCAAGGGCACAATACTCCGTTCACCCAGCCAACCCAACCTCTTTGTCGCGAACGGAGCGAGCAGGGTGTCGTTCAACCAACCATCAACCATCCGTCGCTTCGCTTCGTTCATCGTCCACTTTCTCACACTCACACACATCCCTTCACCTCCCTTCACCTCCATTACACAGACGTCTACCTATCCGTCTCGTTCATCCAAATGCTGAAATCAGCCACTCCCGTGGCCGTACTGATGGTATCCTGGTTCTTTGGGACCGAGAAATTCGATCCAAAGATCTTTGTCAACGTCCTGTTCATCACATTCGGTATCGCTATTGCTTCGGTAAGATCACAAGGCGCATCTCTCACTTGATCCTCGTCCCTCACTCACATTAACACCGACCCCATCACAGTTCGGAGAGATCACATTCGTAATGACCGGCTTCATCCTCCAATCCATGGCCCTCCTTTTCGAATCGACGCGGCTGGTGCTCATCCAGAAACTGCTGAGCGGGCGGGATATCAAGATGGAGGCGCTGGTTGGACTGTACTACTTTGCCCCCGTCTGTGCGGGAATCAACATGTTCACGACGTACTTGCTGGAGTCGGATCGGATTACGATGGCCGCGGCGCAGAATGTTGGGTTGTCGGTTATTCTGTTCAATGGAGCTAGTGAGTTGATTCAAAGAACCAAATTCGTGGCTTCTCCCCAGAATCTTGTCTCCCTGACACCTTCCAACCCATCATTCAACCTCCTCGTCCAGCCTCATTCCTCCTAAACGTCTCGGCAGTCCTCGTCATCAAAAAGACATCCACCCTCGTCCTCGCCCTCTGCGGCCTCCTAAAAGATATCGGCATTGTCGTCCTCGCCACCCTCGTCTACAGCACCCCCATCGGCACCCTGCAGGGGTTCGGCTACTCGCTAGCCCTGCTCGGGCTGATCAGGTACAAGACCCGGACAGAGGCGTTTTGGAATCATCCGGTTAAGAGCACGTTGTTGGGGGTAAAGAGGGTTCTGGGGTGAGTTTCACGTTCCGCTGTTTCGCTATGGGTCCCTTTTTCTCTACTGACTTTTCTTCACGATTGACGCTCTCGTAGGTTATTGAGTAACAAAGGTGGCGAATTCTCTTCATCACAAAAGGGCGGGTACAAACCAGCCAACGTCATGGCTTCCCGTGACGACGATAAGGAGTACGCGCTGCCGACAATGGCGTCGCATTCGCCGGTTCGGCCGTAGATTGTAAATCCTGGGCTGAGGGAGAGTGGAAGGAGAATGAGAAACATGGGAATGGACATCGAAGACATAGAGGCCGGGGAAGGGGAAGGGGGAGGGTTGCAGAGACGCTGTTTCTGCGAGAGGGTATCAGGACGGGAGAATACCTCCCTGGGGGCCCCATGTTCCGATCCTGATCCACGACGGCGGCATCACGACATCTCGGGCCCCCCTCTCATAGTAGATCGCCCAGGAGACGGGCCAAACCAACGACAAGCCATTGCGCGAGACCGAGGAGCGGGAAGAGGGGCAGGGACATTTTTGTACATTATTATAGACGGACGGCTTTCTTTTCATCGAAGAGGAGTGGGAGCAGATTTAAAAACATTCTGGATATGGCTCTTGGAGCTGGCGGACGGACAGTGGGTGGCATGCACCTAGCTTGCGGTGTCCCTCGCTTCCCAACAGGAGTGGTATTTAATTTTCAAGTGATCCTATCAACACGCTTTGGTACCGGTTCTGTAACAGTGCGCCCTCATTCCTCGAATCCCTCGCTTTTGCTTTTCGTGTCGTTGGACCCCTTTGGCCCATCGAAGATGTTGCCTTCTACATGTGAATGGAAGAGGTCTCCCAACCCGCTTGAAGCTCATGAAACGAACACAGATTGCATGGAAACGAATAGTATTAAAAGTGCATACAGCCCAATATATGTCCAAACGACAAGTGAAATGGATAATCAAGAAGAAGAGAAGCGAAGTCCCAAGAAATGCAGAATTAGGGGGGGTGGGGGAATGAAAAATGATGTGGAGTGGGTGGGTTCCATCTCTAACGACCGGTCTTATAAGTCCTAACCAAGAAGTTCAACACCACCAAATTGAACATCCAGAACCCCACCAAGATGCCGAGATTCCTCCACCGGTGGTCAAAGCTCCACGACAGCTGATCCGTGAAATCGTCCCCGTACTTGATCGCGCAGAACCCGCACGCATCCGTCGCCGCCTCACTGACCAGCTGCCCCGGCCCGCCGTTCGCGAACCACGGCGCAAAGTACTGCCCACACGTCTGCCCCGCGGGCGGGATGATGGTCGCGACGTCGCCGCCCGCGCAGATCGTCCGCACCCCGCCGAGCTCGTTGCCGATGATGCCCTCCACGAAGTAGTGGAACGGGTCGATCCAGTACAGCCAGCTGCGCCAGAAGACGGGCATGGCGAGGTAGGTGATCGTGACACCGCAGAAGAGCATCTGCATCGACATGAAGATCGGGTTGAGGATCGCGGCGAACTGCACCGTGGGCGACACGGAGGCGATCATCTGCCCGAGGGAGATGGCGAAGAAGTGGAAGATGACAAAGATAAGCCAGAAGAAGCCTGCGCGGTCGGAGCCACTGTTGAGCTGGTGAGGGGAAAGAGTGGGAGGGGATGATGAGTTTTCATGGAAAGGAAGGGAAGCAGACTCGCAAGGAAGAGCGGATTTACATACCCCAACGATGTAGTAGAAGATGACGAAGAAACAGGTAGCGGCGACCAAAGCGAACGGCCACTCGGCGGTCGCGATCGACAGCGAGAAGGCCTTCCAGTCATAGAACCCAGCGGCCGACTCCCGCGTGAACCAGCTCCTGTTCTTGATGTAGTTGGGCTGGACCAAGTTGATCAACAGCGCGCCGATGGTCATCGCCATGAAGATCGCAAACACCTTGTTCTGCAGATCGGTCGCGGTGTTTTCAAGCTGGTAGTACGAGAACCCAATGAGCAGGGCACACAGAATCTGCGAGATGATCCGACCAAAGTTGTAGGACGGGTTGCGCCAGTACGACAGCAGCATGCGTTTCCACACAAGGCTCAGCTGCGTGCCGAAAGGGACGTTGAACTGCCGGGTACCCGACGCCGCCTTCTTTTGCGCGACAGAGACGTCCTGCGCGGCCGAGTCGCCGACCCCGCGGATCGCGTCGATCTCTTCCTGCCGACGGGTGAATTCCGGGCTCTGCTTCCACAACGCCGGCCAGTCCTTGAGCCCTTCGCGCACGGCGGTGCCCGCGCCAATGACGTCCAGCATATATTCGGCGACGTTGGCGGTGGGCGGGCACGGGGGCGCGCCGTGGCCTTCGAAGTAGTGGCGGAGCGTTTCGCAGTCGGGGCCGAGCTCGCCGAAGTAGACGGTGCGGCCGCCGCGGGCGAGGAGGAGGAGGGCGTCGAATTTCTCGAAGAGGACCGCGGAGGGCTGGTGGATGGTGCAGAGGATGGCTTGCCCGTTGTCGGCGAGGTTGCGAAGAAGGCGCATGATGTTGAAGGCGGCTTGCGAGTCGAGACCCGATGTGGGCTCGTCGAGGAGCAATACCCGGGGGCGGGAGCAGAGCTCGACGCCGATGGTGAGACGCTTGCGTTGCTAGATAGATTCGTAGAGAACACAGACTTAGTATACGATCAATAAACCAATTATCAACGATGAAGTGTGTGCATACCTCTTGACTGATTCCAACGCTTCCACCAACTTCGCCAATCAACGCATCAGCGAGCGGCTCAAGTTCCAAAATCTGCATAATGTTCTCCACATACGCGTCCTTCTCATGCATCGGGATCTCAGCCGGCTGTCTTAAGCGCGCCGAGAACTGCAACGCCTCACGGACGGTACACCAACCATTATGCACGTCCATCTGCTCGCAATACGCAGTAATGTTCTTGAAATCGGGGCCTTGCGGGTTCTTGCCGACGTAAATCTGGCCAGAGAGTTTGCCCATCGTCTTACGCTGCGACACCGAGTCGATCAGCGTGGTCTTGCCGGCACCGGACGAGCCCATCAGCGCCGTGAGTTGTCCCGACCGCACGTAACCGGAGACGTCGGCGAGGAGCTGCTTGGGTCCGCCCTTGACCTGCACGGTGTAGTCGATATGCTTCCAACTGAAATCCTCGGCTTTGCTGAGCGTGATCCCGCCCATTCCGGGGTGGTTCTGCGCATCGTGGTTGTTGGTCGTCGTCACGCCGCTGGTCACGGAACCCGGTGACCCGCCGTCCTCTACATCCACTTTCCGTTGGCTCATCTCCTGGTGTCCCGGATCGTTCTCGGCGCGGCGTGTGCGCCGGTCGCCACCGCGGCACTCGAGGGATTTGTGCTTCTTCCACGCGTTGATGGAGTACCGCTGCGGGCTGAAATCGATGAATTTGGCAGCGAACATCATCCCCATACAGATGACGAGCCAGAATCCCATCAGGATCGCAATGTTCCACCACTTGTTGTACGACGCGATGCCGTAGGTGGCGCGCAGGTAGTCGAACCCGTCGACGTGGTCTTGGCCGGGCTGCCCGCCTTTCACGCCGACACAGGCCTTGTTGGCCGCGGGGGCGTTGGGGTACATGGGCATGAACTGGGAGGAGCAGTCGATCTGGAACCCCTCGAACTCGTTCTCGAGCAGCGACTTGATTCCGTAGCTGAGCGGGTTGAGCCAGAAGACCCACTTGAGCCACGGTTTCATCGAGATGTACGGGATGGTGTAGCCGGTGTAGAGGATGAACAGCAGCAGGAACACCGAGTTGACTTGGTTGGCGACCTCGATGTCCGGCGCAGAGAGAGAGATGATGCGGACCAACCCGCCGAACGCCTGGTTGGTGGCGAACAGGAAGATGATGTAGGTGAAGAAGGCGCCGGCGGTGGGTTTGAGCCCGACCATCCAGTAGTTGATGCAGGACCAGACGATACACATCCCGAGCGACACGGGCATGTCGGCGACCTGCATGACGAAGGGGGCGATGTAGGTGCGGTAGAGCATGTAACTCTTGTGTTTGGACGCGACAGCACGGCCCTGGATGACCAGCGGCACGGACGCAAGGGCGCCGAAACAGTTGTACAGCACACCGAAGAAGATGGCACCACCACGGGAGAACGAGCCACTGGGTGTCGGGTCCAGTTGGAAGAACGCGGATCCGACGATGATGGCCATGACGGTGTCAAACACCAACCTGCCGATAAGCGCCACGTTCCCCTTCTGCAGCTCGACCTCGCGCTTCAGCGCCGCCTTGAACTGCTGCGAGAGCGAGGTCGTGTACTGCGTCTTGAGCAGATCGAACCGGCCCAACGCCTTCTTGTTCTCCGTTACCTGCGTCCCGAAGGTCTCCTTGCGCTTCTCCTGCTCGATCTGCGCGTCGATCTCGTCGCGCTCCGCGCACATGTCCTTGTACACCTGCGACTTGAGGTACGCTTGCTCAAACTCCTCGTCGCTGTTGGGGAGTGCGCCCGTCCAGCCTTTTCGCACGTCGCGCTCGTTGGGCTCCGTGATACCCGTCAGGAAGTCGGGCATCACTTTGCGCTTGGGGCAGTAGAACCCGAGGGACTCGAAGTAGGCTTTGGCGTCCTTGGCGGGGCCAAAGTAGATGCAGTGGCCGCCGCTGACGAGGAGAACGCGGTCGAAGAGGTCGTAGATGTCCTGACTGGCTTGGTATAAACTCAACACTGGGAACAAAGGGTTGGGTGCATGAGCACATCGAAGGCGTCAACACATGTAAGAAACTCATCAGGAACTCACCATTGGCAGTCTGCGAAATATCGGTCGCAGTCCTCAACGCCCGCACGAAATCCAAGGCACTCGACGAATCCAGTCCCTTGGTACTCCCGTCCCAGAACCCAATACTAGCCGCAGCACAGATCTGTTCGGCAATCGACACCCGTTTCTTCTCACCACCCGAACAACCGCGGATGTTTTCGTCGCCGACTTTCGTGTCGCCGCAGTTTCGGAGGCCAAACACGCGGAGGAGCACCTCGATGTGGGTCTCGATGCGTTGCCGGCGGGTTGTGTCGATCGCGCCGCCGACGCGGCATTCGAGGACGAAACGGAGCGTTTGGCGGACTGTGAGGGGGCTGTAGTGCGGGTCTGGCAGATGAAAGAGAGAAAATACGGTAAGCAACCCAAAAAGAACGAAAAGTGAAGCGCCCCGAACTGATGATATAAACCGACGCTTACCATCCTCAGGACTATAAGCGATATAAGAACTGTAGTTCTTCTTGAAGGTCACCCGGTCAATGCCGTTGTACCGCACATCCCCCTCCACCTTCGACAGCCCCTCCGTCACATTCGCCAACGACCTCAGCAACGTCGAGCACCCCGCGCCCGGTCGTCCAAGCACCAGCGTCATCTCCCCCGGCTTGATGAACCCGGACATGGGCATCAAGATCTGTCTTGCGGGCGGCTTGGGTTTCTGCGTCTTGGTCACACCGCGCACGATCCCCTCCACAAGCGGCACGGGGTTGAAGATGTTGAAGATCTTGGCGCCGACGGTCTCGATGTGCGGGCGGGTGATGCGGTTTCCGAACACGGCGAGGTTCTTGTACGTGACCATGACGGTGGGGACCTTGAACCCCGCATCTCCCGCGACCTGCACGCGGGTGGCGAGGAAGGTCTGCAGGTCAAAGTTATCCTTTGTGGGATCCACGCCCTTTTGTCTGGGGATGAGGAGGGATTTTTTGGATGAGCGCCGGGTCGCGGTGCTGACGGCGCGGGTGAGTTGGTTCAAGGGTCCTTTCCGCGATTTGCGGTCGTCGTCGTCGCTATTAGCGTAGTCGACGTCGACGACCGCGGCGTTGGCGGCGGTGTTGGCTGCCGTTGGGGTGGACGGGTCGTGGATGTCGTGATGATCGTCGTCATCGGATTCGAGGTCGCGGTCGAGTTCGTTGACGCTGATGACGTTGCCGTTGGCGTCGCGGATGTAGAGGGGGGTTGTGAGAGCTTCACCGAAGAGCGTTGCGCGGTTGGCTTGGCGGATGCGGGCGGCGGCGTCGGCTTCGTCTTCGACTTCGCTGGGAACGACGATGTCGCCAGAGTTGTGGGTTCCGGAGTCTGTGTGGGGGCAGGGGGCAAAAACGCGGATGAGCATGAATATCCAGGAACGGGATCGCTGCGAGTCTGTCTGGGCGGGCTCCTTGTAGATGACATTGACGTCGAAACATACCTGTCGTTGGAACACTCCCCCTCCAGACCGGCGCGCCGACATTGTCGGTCACGACCAGATTGACAGAGCTGCGGTTGTTTGCAGACATCTGTACTTATTTGCCAACAGAAACCTGGTATGAAAAGCGCTCGATGTTCTCAATGCCCGAGATCGAGATCGGTATATGTAAGCGAATGAAAGGGGCTGTTGCAAGATCTGAGGGTATGACAACCCAACGAATATTTGATAGGCCAGCACTCGAGATCGAGTGAGGTTAGAAGAGTGAGCGAACGGTGTTTGGGTTGGGTATCGGAACGAACGATGGGAATGAATGAACACTTTCTTTGGAACAGGGAGGCGGCCACGAAACGGGGCGTGGACTTTATACTCGTCGAAAATGGCCCTATCCGGGTGCAGCATCTCATAAGGAACGCCGCCTTGCTTCCCTGATTTCTCATCGAGGCCCACGGTACTCTATTCGCGTGTTGGAGCACGCTTAGATTTCTTTCAGTGTTGTGGGGGGAGGGGGCGTACTAAGGGGGAATATCCCTGCATCCCGTGGCAAGCACGTCAATTGGAAGTTTACGCTCTTTGCAGAAAGTTCGGCGTCCGAGAGCGGTGAGGAGGGTTGAAGGCACCGCCCTCGATCGACGCACCCGCGCTGCGTTGCATGCGTGTCCGGGAATCCGGCTGGTCAAAGCATTCCTTGTTTGCGAAAGCCTTACCGAGTGGCAGGCGCCGCACCTTATCCGCTGGACACTTTTTGCAGGCAGCGAGCGGGAGCCGACTCAGCCGAGTGAGCGGGAGACGGGTATGACGGAGTTTTGCCAGACTTGAAATGGTTATCCGTACCCGGCAAAACATACATACATAAGCCCTGGGCATGCAGCGAGGACGCGTGGAAGAGCCGTTTTGCGAGTGGAAAAAAACTCGCGAGCGACTCGGAGGCGTTTGCGTGTTACTACTATCGATACATAGCACTAGCCGCGGGTCCGTCTCTGCTCCCACTCACTTCCCCACAGGCTTCATGTTCAAATCCATGGGAGTCAATGGACAGTTAAGTGACTGCAAGTTGACAAGGTACGTCTCGGACGAATCTCGGACACCATTTTCGTAAGGACAGCACTCGTCATTGTCGGGGTTTCAATTCTGAACAGACCCACCGATCGATGACTGGAAGCAGCATATGCCATCATTGCCATGACATGCGGAATCCAAGGCATGTGAAGAGCACCCGCGGGCCGACTGGCTCCCCAAGAATTTAATTTATCCTTGCGCTGCCCATTGCGATCGATATCTGGGGAATTCGACACTTTGCGCAGTCAACAATCGCGTTGTGGCATGGAGCCATCTCCGACAACAACAAACACCCACGGACTCGCGGGCGGTGGGCGTCAACCCCCAATCAAATATACAAACAACCAACAAACAACCTCGGAGGCTTCGTGCCGAGGCTTGCGGGCGTAAATCCTCTTTTTGGAAGATCCAGAATCATATGCCGATCCGTGCACAGCTTGAAGTCGTCTCTCACCGACAGACTCTCCGCTATCATGCCACAGGTGTGAACTCAACACGCCCTCGAGATCGAGCAGGCAAATGGAGATCCGTGGAAAAGTCACTGCAGGACGCCCAACGCCGCAAAGCACCGGCGAACGCCCCGGATGCATCGCTCAACTTCCGCGCGCACGCCTCGTTTCCATCAAGGAGCTCAACGACTCTAAAGCGCAGGACAATCATAGCGGCAGAACGCACGAGGCTCGGGGCTGAGAGGGAAACGTGCTGGAGAAAACAGAGGCCCGTGGTAGACCGCACATTGGAGACGGACGGATGGGAGCGAGTTTGGTGGGCGTGCCGACACAGACGAGTGCCATGTTACATGTGAACATCCACCGTGTGAGAGTGTGCATTTCGATTCGCCTCCGTGGATTCCGCGCATGATCTGCATATCCAACATAGAGTCTACCACAATTCTGCAGCTTGATCCCAACCCCACGCAGGCGGCCTCGGAGCATCGATACGTCGCGAGAGAATATGGTCAGGAAAAAATTGCCGCAGGACGCCCCAACCGAAAAGAAAACGGCGACCGCCCCGGATGCAACGCTCAACTGCCAAAATGTTGTAGATACAAACGTTTCTTTACCCCACTCCTCTTTCTTCATTCAGGAGTCCGACGACGCAACGCACGTAGGACATCTGTCCGTAAGCGGAAGATAGCACGAGGGGAGGATGCTCAGGCCGAAGAAAAAAACAAGACGGACCGCGACTAGACGGCAAGTGCGCGATGGTTTTTTTGTTGTTGATGCCGGACCATGAGCGCGCCCAAAGGCCATCTTATCCGGATGCATGTGCGTCGCAAGCAAGCGATCGCCTTCCCGTGGGGAAGCTCTACGCCCAGCACTGAGATCCGCCAAATCTTCGACCGGAGCAAAATGCACGTCTCACGTTGCTGCCCACATACATACATACCGAGTGCTGTCACCACATGCCAACATGAAAAGGTGAAAAGGGTTCCAGCCCCGTGGACGGATGGTAAACGGCCGCGGCAATCAGTTCTTCAAACTGAGGCTTTCCACTCGAACGAACCCCCGCCTGCATTTGCAAGTCCCATATCCCCAGTTTCACGCCGCACCAGCGCACCACACCGTTCGAATATGCATGTAGAAGTTGTCACTGCTAGGACAAAACAAATGGTTTGAGATTTGCAGTCAGAACAACCCATCGGCTCCATCCCGTCGAACGGGCAAAACATCTATATACCCTACGTGAATCCCAATATCTACATATAACCTACTTACATCCCACCACCCCTCGCAACACGTCGTAATCTACATCTACCGAAAAACGCCCACCCATCATCCCTCCCTCCTCTTCATCTCCTCCAACCCCACCCTCACATACGCCCGTTTCACATTCTCCTCTCCATTCCCGGTCGCAAGCACCGCCACCCGTCTCGGATGTCCATTGTTCCCGTCCCCCAGCATCTCCACCGCCCGCGCCCTCAGCGTCGGGAGATCGTACGCCTCCAATGCCCTCCTGCGTCGTTCAATCGCATCGAAATGCGGCTGGTCGTCGTCATCATCCCCATCCATCTCGTTCTCGTCAAACGCCAGATGCTGCATAAACCGCAACTTCCCCGCCGCGGTGTCGTACGGGCTCCGTAGGCGTGCCAACAGCGCGGCTTTGATCGAGTCGAAGCGGGGTTGGAGGGTGGCGGCGTCGTCGGCGAGGGAGCGGAGGAACGTTTCGGTGAAGAGCTCGATGCGGGAGAGGAGGTCCCGTGGATCGTGGGTGTTGGATTGGATGGCGGCTTGGAGGAAGAGTTGGTGGGCGGCTTGGAAGCCGCTGGACGAGACGAGGTAGCCTGTCTGTTTTGTGCGCGGGGGGGGGGGGGGGGGGGGGGAGGGTGTGAGTGTTTGACTGGGGACAATTCACGGACCCACCCCAACTTGAGACGCGAGAGGGGGACATGACACTTGTACCTGCTGCCGAGTCCGCAACTCCGTATAAAACGGCTCCTTGACCAACTTCACCAACAACTCCTGCGCCGCCCGCAACTCATAGCTTTTTCTCCCCACGTTCAACGCCCACACCACCGCGTTCCCCTTCACATCCACCGCCATCTCATGCAGCATGGGGCGGGTATTCGTGAACGGGCGCACTTTTGTTCGCGACACCTCCGAAGGCGCGCATGGCTGGCCGGGGAGCATGCGGTGCAAAGTGTCCCATGAACGCCGCGCATCGTGCTCGGTGACGTTGCCGCCGACGAAAGCTTCGATGTAGCGGGTGTCGAAGAGGGTGCGGGAGAAGTGTTCAAGGTCGGCGAGGGTTATAGAGTCCACCGCTTCTGCGAGCTGCCGCCCATAAAATTCATTGTCAGTTAGCCACGACGGTCAGCAAAAAAAAGGGATGCCCCACCAACCACACAACCGCACCTGAGCAGAAGTACAATACTCCTCATAAACCACTGCCGACATGCACTCCATCGCCTGCCTCACAGGCCCGTCCCTCCCCGCATCCCGATACCCTCTACTCGCACTCTCCCTAAAGATCCCAAACTCCGCCTCCGTAAACCCGGGCTCTCGCACGCACCCCAACACGCTCTCCAGCAACAACTGCGCTTTCTCGCTGTACCCCTCAACAGAGACCGCGATGCCCGTGTCGCCCGGTGCGACGGCGACGTCGTAGTGTAAGCCCGCGGAGGCGGCGTCGTAGGAGAGCTCGGTGAGCCGTTCGTTGACGAAGCGGGTGTAGAGGTGGGCGAGGACGATGGAGCGCGGGTTGTTCGGACGGATCTTGGGGGTCTTCAGTGTGAAGGCGTGCAGGCATTCCGGGACGAGGAATTCGGAGTCGGGATAGAAGTACAGTTTGCCGGCGGGGTCGGTGGGGTTGGTGAGTTGGGGGGAGAGGGGTTTGTCCTGTTGCACATAAACGTGTGTGCGTGCGTGTGAGTATATATGTATCAAATAGACGAAGCAGTTACACCCGGATAAAAAGAAGAAGCTACGCAATGCCGGCACACTACCCGCTAATCCACCCACACTACTTACACCAGCAACTCTCAACATATCCTCCACCCTAACAACCTTCTCCCTCGGCTTCCCCACCTCTTCTCCTCTTCGCACCTCAACATCATCTATCCGCTTCCACCCCTCAAACGACACCGTCTGAATTCCTCGTGCGTCCAGGAGGGGTTTAACGGATGCAAAACCGCCGGATGTTTTCGAGGTGGCGGGGGTGAGAGAAGGGATGTTGCCGCTCCGCACGTCGTCGATGATGGTATCGGCGGTCTCGACGGCGTCGTACATGGTGGCGGCGATGACGCCTGTCGGGCCGCGTTTGACCCAGCCGGCGACGTAGAGGGGTGGTGAGGGTGTTGTGTTGTCCTAAAAACGATTCGTTGTTTATTCATGTGAGTTCTCAACCTGGGATGCATATCGCGCCCCCAACTCACCTCATCAACAACCCTCCCTCTGACATTCGGCACCCGTCCCCTCCTTTCATCAAACGGCAACCCGGGCAACGGCGCGCTCCTATACCCAATGCTCCTCACCAACAACCCCGCCTTCAACACTTCCATCTCACCCGTGCCCACCGCCTTCGGAGCCCCTAAATCCCCCTCCAGCCTATTCCTCTCCACCATCATTGCTTCCAGTTGCCCATCGTCTCGCGTTTCGAGTGCCACGGGACTACGGAGGAAATCGAGCGTCCATGATTTTGTTGGCGGGTTGTTGGCCGGGAAGGTCTTTGTAGCGCCTTTGCGGAGAAGATCCATGAGGCGTTGGCGTTGGCGGTCCATGATGGAGGCGCTGGCTTTGACGTGGGAGTCCAGGAGGGCGACGTCGAGGTTGAGTTTGGTGTCGGGGAGGGCGATCATTTCTCGGAGCTCTTTTGACGTGAATGCGATCTACGGGGCTGAATATTCAGTGAACGCCATAATCTCGCGTGAGCACAGAGAAAGCGTGACCCCCCTACCTGCAACGGCCCCCGTCGACCCACAAGCCGCACATGTCTAACCCGACTCCCCCTCAGCGCCTCCAACGCGTACTCCGTAATATCCGTCTTCGCCAGCTCCTCCACCGGCCTCAACAGTGTCCTCGCCACATCCAACGCCACATTCCCCTGCCCGACCACCACCGCCGTATCACTGCTGACCAAATCCGGTTTCAGATCCGCATACTCCGGTGTCCCGTTATACCACCCGACGAACGCGCGCGCGGAGAAGACGTTGGGGATGGTGTCTTCGTTGGGGAGGGAGAGTTTTTGGTCCTCGCTGGCGCCGTAGGAGAAGAGCAGGGCGTCATAGCGGGGTTTGAGCTCGGTTAGGTCGAGGTCCCGCCCGATGGTGACGTTGCCGATGAAGGTGAAGCGGGGGTCTTGGGAGAGGAGGTCAAATTTGTGGATAACGTTCTGTAATGTGAGGGGAGTTTTCTGAGTACGTTTACTTGAAGTTGGGGATCTTGTATTCATCGCTCACCTTGACTTCCCAATGATCCGGCGCAACGCCATATCTAATCAAACCATACGGGATGGGTAAGGAGTCATACATATCCACATGCACATTAGGCAGGTTCTTCAGCAGATGTTGAGCGGTATAAAAGCCAGCCGGCCCAGCACCAATGATCCCGACATTCAGCCTCTTGGTCGACGCCGGCGGAGGGTGTGCCGACAGCGAGTACGCGCGGATTTGTGGCCGAAGCGGGTGGCTCTTCGTCGAGGACACCCGACCACCGACCCCATTCGTGGAAAGCATCACAGGCGGACCGTCACGGCGTGGAACGATCTTCAGATTCTGCGGCACATACGGGTTCGGCTTCGGGTATTTCACCTCCGTGCCCGGTCCCAGCCCCGTCCACCGCGCAACCTCGTCAGCAATCGGTCGGTTTGCATATTTCGCGCCCATCCACTTTTCGGTCCTATCAAGCTTGACCTCTGCGTTGGGCGGCGCGATTATCGTGTACATGCATTTATTGGGGACCAGCTCGGTGAACAGGGCGCGCGCGGCGTCTGGATCGAAGCGGTCGATGAAGTAGGAGCGGCGGGGGAAGGTCTCGAGGCCTTCTTTGCGGAGGAGGCCGCAGAAGTGGGTTGCGATGGAGGAGTTGCGTTGTTGGTATTGGTAGCCTATCTTGCGCATGTAGTTTTCCTCCTCAAAGAGGTGCTGCGAATGAGGGACGTCTTGATCAGCACGGCGCTGGGGTGACTGAGCCGCGACTCGGATCGCAAGACCGCAATAGAATCGACCTACCTCGGGATACGGTTGCTCCGCCAATGCATTGATGGCCTGAAAAACGCGAGAAACCACTCCCCTCCATTCCCTAACCCCTTTCTCCGTCAACGAGATGGACACCTCAAACAGCAGGTTATCAGCCCCCAGATGGCTTTTCCCAGCCGACAACCCCTCCGCAAGCTCATGGGCCCTCAAAAGCGACAACAGCGAGTTCGTCCCTTCGTACCCCAACACCTTCGAGGCGAGGTTAGCAGGCTTCGTCGACATGTCGTGGTATTTGAACGGAATCTCCCATGAGAGCGTCAGCTCCCGTAGGTTCTTGATGGGCTCCACCCACGTCAGGGTGCCGTGCAGGGAGTCTGGGAACACGCGTCCGTTGGTGGTGGAGAGGATCGGGACGTCGCTATTTGGGATAGGACTAAATGCCGCGGCTGCCTTTTCTGCAAGCACCGGGATAGAATCTTTCCCCAGCAGTGCAAAGTTCATCAGATTCGCACTGTAGTTCTTCCGAAACCAGCCCTTCAAGTAATCTTGATCAATCAGCTTCATCGTCTCCAGATTCCCCGTGTTGAACCCCGCGAACGGATGTTTGGGGTCGGCCAGTTCTTTTCGCACATGCAGTACGCGCCATCCGTCCTGCTCGATGTTCTTCTTGAACTCCTGGTCCACTGCGTTCATCTCGCGATCGACGCACGACTCGTTGAAGAGCGGCTCGTAGAAGAATCGCGAGAACCGGTCTAGAGCGCCGTCGAAGGCATCTGGTGTCACGGATTGGAAGTAGTAGAGGGAGTGGTCGGATGCTGTGTACCCGTTCAAGGCACCATTGTGGTCATAAATGAATCGTTCGTAGTCGTATTCATTGGGATATGTTTTGGTCCCAAGGAACAGCATGTGTTCTGTAAAGTGTGCCGTGCCATCGTGTCTACAGATGCATAGATATGGGTAAGAACAAGCAAGGGAGGAGACCCTAAACCCCCATGATTATATCCCCTGCAACTAACATGCCGTCCATCCAACTTCCTGCCTCCACCGACAGCGAGGCTCCTGTGACGGGCGACTCCTTGTCGGAGATCACCACCCCCTTTATCCCATTAGGCAGCTCCAATTTCGCAATCTGGCGGTTCTCCAGCTGCTTTGTGAGAACTGGGATGTTGAGGTCCACCGGCAGCAGCTTGTATTTCGGTGCCGGAGTCGGTGAAGTGAGGGTGCTGGAAGTGAAGGTCCTCACTGACGCTGCTGCTCTCCGCCTCACAATGGCGACAGAGGCGGGGTATCTCCAAGGCCCCAGCCGCGAGGCAGGCGGCGGTCGCTGGGAGAGGAGCCGCCTATGCATGTGGGGTCCTCCTCGTATCAGTATGTACTATATGCAAGTACAGCTCTAAGGAGTCCAATGTCCACCGTTCCCGTCCTCTTCTGTGCGGAACCTCACGCGAAACGCGCGCCAAAAGCTTCACCCGGAACGGAAGGACATTCCCAGTCTGATTCCCAGTCTCTCGACAGAACGACCATAACAGCAATGGCAATCGAAAATCCCCTCAGGGCGCTGCACAGGGCCCTGCCCCTGTACCGTTTCCCTGCTTCCAAGCGCACCAGCGCAAACCCCGCAGAAGCCGCAAACTCACCCGTCCTGTTCATCTTCCCACGGAGCAAACACGCCGTAACCTCAACAGATGTTGAGTGCGTCAAATACCAGGTATAGTGGATGCCGGGTAGTTTGTGTCAATGAGTGTATCTAACTCGTTGAATTGTGAGCTCTAGGCGTTTCTGACGTTTTCAAATTATGCACATATTACACGGGATTGCCATGAACCGGAAATGTCCCCGTCGGGTATGGCTTTCTGTGACGTCCTACTGAACCTATGCATGAGCTATATGCATTGACTGTGTCTTCCAAACAGGGAGACTTCCGTTCCTCGCACTACCGGACGGGAGGATATTGACGGGGTCGGGGATAGTGGAGGAGGTCACAGCAACGGTACACCCGGTGGGGAGGGAAGGAGGAACCGGAGTCCGTGCGAGGACGCTGACTGCGGATATCTTCACAACCGCTACAGGCAGGCGACCTAGAATCGAGATTAACAGCAGAGGAAAAGTCGAAAAGCAGGGCATTCGTCTCTCTCGCCGAGGCCAAGTTGGAGGTTGCGCTGGTACGTGAGAGCTTGAACCTCTTCCATCTTCAACGTGTCGTTACCCTGCGGGCTCACTGGCATCCCAGCTATTCACAATGTGGTTCGACGTCCGGATACGAGACACCGTCACGTACCCGCTGTTTGAAGCGCTGTATCCATGGCCGTTGAATAAGGTGCTTACGTGGACTGCCAAATCGGAGAAGACGGAGTGGATGTTGAGCAGGAAGACGGTTTTGCAGAAGGATGAGGTGTGTTCTGGGGAGTGGTCTTGAATTTGTGTCACGTCTTGGCTCTTGAAGGACTGATTGTGGTGGTTGGCCCAGATCCTGGGTGAGGCAAAGCAGGCGCTCGCCGCACTCTCCACGTCACTTGGGGAACAGCAGTTCTTTGGTGGATCCAAGTACGTTCCCCCTTGGCGGAGAAGTTTGCAGTCTCCCACGAACGCTCACTCACTCTCATATTTACCACGCACACAGAGCAACATTTCTCGACGCAACCATCTTTGCCTACCTGCACATCATCCTCTCCCTACTCGCATTACCCTCCGTGGAAGTCGAACTGAGACAGGCTGTGTTGCGGCATACCAATCTTGTGCAGGTATGGAGAAACATCGCCCCTCCGTCGTCAACAGGGGCTATCACTGGGTGTTAACATGTGGGTGATTGAATAACCCTTGTAGTACGCGCAAAAAATCTTCAACACATTTTTTACCACCACCACCACAACCACGACCACCACCACCACCGTCGCATAAGGTCCTGTGACCATACGTGTCCGACCCTACGGCGTATCGGGAAGACTTTATTCCCCTTGTCGGGCGGCCAAACATGACTCCGGAGTACGGGTTACAGCCCTTTCACTTGTAGTTAGAGTAGATGGGCAGCCATCGGGTGCGCGTTGTAGATAATGTCGTGGGGAAAGCCGTACCGTAGAACAACCCATATCCCCGTGGATACCGCATGTCTGGCGTTGTGTCGATGTATAGCGAGAAAGCATCCTGATCGATGGAGGGAGAAACCTCCCCTGCCCGCATGAAGGGAAAACGCGTCGGATAATCGCGGGGGGGGCATCCTTCGCACTCCTCCAAACAGTTCCCACAATCACAATCACTTATCCCCAAAATGACCCTGCAAACGCACCTCCTCCTATCCCGCACAGCCTGCAGAGCCCGCCCACGCTCCTGTCGCTCCCTCTCCTCTCTGCCATCCCTATCAATATCAACCCATCCTCGCCTCCGCCCAACCATCCTCCGCACCCCCCTAGACAGTTCCCCTCTGGGAATACATCGGAGACAGCATGGAACGCATAGCCATCACCATGGCGTGCGGATGGAGACGCGGGAAGGTATCAGTTTCATTTCATCACCTCGTGGAAATTGATCCGAACGGATGCTAAGATTTTAGTTTCGGCATTAGGCACGAGGGTGACGATAGCGGGGATAGGAGTCAATGTCGGGTTGACGATCGCGAAGGGGGTTGGCGGGGTGTAAGTTGAACGAGAGTCGCGTTAGGGTGCATGGGCCGGAAGATAGGGGAACCATATGTGAACGTTGCATCTGGTGCGATTACAGGGCGTGGCAGTCTGCGTCGCTTATCGCAGAAGCCGTGCACTCGTTGAGTGATCTGCTCAGGTAACGTTCCATCTCAACGTTCGCCTATGGGTGTACCCAAAAACTGAAATGAAGCCCTTTTCCCGACAGTGATTTCGTAACCCTCTTCACCTACGGCAAAGCGCGCGCACCACCATCACAAAGGTTTCCATACGGGTTCGGCAAACTGGAGCCTGTCGGGGGGTACGAGTTCGCACTCGTCGCATCCCTGTCCGTTCACTTTCCGTGTGGCGCTAATTCCGTGTTATCATTGCCAGGCTGGTGGTATCGGCGTTACTGGTAGCCGCCGGCGCCGGGATCGCCGTGCATTCCTACGAAGTGCTTCTTCCCTTCATCATCTCCCCAACCTCCACCCCGACCCCAACACCACCCCATCATCTCCCCACCGCAGCCCTCCAAATAATGCTCCTCTCCGTCCTCTCCAAAGAAGCCATGTTCCGTTGGACGCGTTCCGTCGCCACACGAACGCACAGTTCGGTGTTGTTGGCCAATGCGTGGCATCATCGTGTGGATGCGTTGAGTAGTCTTGTGGCGTTGGGGGGCGTGGCGGGGGGTGTGATGGGGGTTGGGTGGGCGGATGCTGTGGGGGGTGTTGTTGTTTCTGGTGGGTGATCTATGTCGTATTGGGTATGGGGTAGAAGGGCGTAGAACGGTGAGGGTGATACTTATCTGATGCGTGTGTAGGTATGATTGTGAAGGCGGGGGTGCAGGCTGGGTGGCCTTCTTTGTTGGAGTTGTTGGATGCTGGTGAGTGAGGCGTGGGGCTGATGATGTGAGGGGTGGATGGCACTGACGATTGAGTGATTTGGAACCACTAGCCGCCCCACCGGAACTCTACACCCAAATCAACACCGCTCTCGAGTCCTTCCGCGCCCATCAGGGCCACATTACGGCCGTCCGCAATCTACGCGTGCGCAAGACGGGACCGTTCAGTTATGGTTCGTGCCCTGCAACAGATGTTTGCCTTTCTCCCACCTGAGATGATGCTTATCAATGTATTATGGTTTTCTAGCGGATATGCAAATCATCCTAACCCCGTCAACATCGGTCTCGGAGGCTAGTCAGGTACGAAAAATGACACAACCATATTCATATTCACTTGCCCCGTTGTGAGCCCATCATCACTAAACTGGATTGTGTGCAAATCACACCCAGATCGCGAATGACCTGCGTGAGAATCTGATGCATGCCGTCGACGGCCTGCAGGAGGTGCTTATCGAGATTCGGTGCGATGACGGGAGTGGGCCAGGGACCAGTACTATGACTACGGCACATGCGAAAGAGTATGATGGGGACGGGCATGGACACTAGAAGATCACGTCGTTGATGCGGTCGGTAGAGCGTGTATATAGACGTTCATCTAGCGATATTCCAAGTTACTTTTGTCTGATGCAGGCCTTAATGATACATAGATGCAGAATAGAGTGTAGGGTGTGGTGTATGTGACTTGGGGTGTACCTATTGCGCTTTGCCTAAATGCACGTGGGAGAGAGAACGAGTCAGCAAGTGCCTGAAACCAACCACCACCCCATCGAACCAAAGAAAACATACTTCTGAAAAACGTATAATGCAGCGTGATGGTCTTAACATCCTTCATCCACGGATCATACGCAAACTCCGGATCAATGTAAAAGAACACGGGCATATCCACCTCCTCGCCGGCCTCCAACTTCTGCTCCTCAAAGCAGAAACACTGGATCTTATTGAAATACTGCGCCGCTTTCGCGGGGACGACGGAGTAGGTCGATATGCCGACGATATCCTCCTCGGTCGGGTTATGCGCCGTGTAGAACGCGAGGGCGGTTTCGCCGGGTACGACGTGGATTTCGGGTGAGACCGGTGTGAATGACCATCGCATGTGGTCTGAGACCGAGGACGCGAATTTGATTTTGAGTTTCTGGGCGTTTGCGAGCGGGATCATGGACTCTGGCTCGAATTTGTGGCCGGGGGAAACCATGGGCGTGCCGTCGAGGCCGGTGTCGGTGCAGATGAGTTTGTAGAGGGGGACGGCGGCGTAGGAGGCGCCGATGAAGAAGACGATGATGGCGCCGGTGTAGTAAAGAGTGGATTGGGTGTTGTGGGCTTGGGCTTGCCGGGCGGCGAGGCGCGGGTTGCGGGGGTGGGAATAGTGGGAGTGGGCGCCTTGCGGGAAGTGGGTGGCGGTTGCGGTGGCGGCGCGGGCGGTTGGCCCGGGGGATGAGGGGGGTGGTGGTGGTGGTGCTCCTGTGGCGGACCGTGGGTATATTGTTGTCGAGAAAGGTCGTAAGGAGCGAAGGGTCCGTGGAACTGCAAATGCTTCACGATGTATAGTGCTGGTCCTCAGTAGCCCCTGCGGCAAACTGTGGGACGAGAGCCCAGCCGTCGGCACGGCGCTCTTTCCTCGTATCCGCAGGCTCTGCAGAAGGAATAGGTAAGTAAGATGCGTTTTGGGAGATAATGTCGGGCGGAGAAAAAGAGGACTTCTTACCGGAAGCAGCAGACCTGAGGTTGCTTTGGACAGGAAGGTTGGACACCTGCATGTGGAGGCCATTGCTGCAGCGTATGTGTTCCGACTGGCCAGGTGTTGGTTGTCTTATGTAGATCAGCCAGATATGGAGGTGGGCACTGGGGATGCCTTCTGCCGTTTGTTCCTTTTGTTCAGCTTTTGGGAGCTTCTCAACTTGCGCGGACTGAAGAGGATTCTTGCGCGTCTTCCGACTTCCCACTGGCCCGACATCATTGCGCTCATCGACTTTCCGAAGTTAGCAAAAGAGGACCCTCTACACATATACTTCTCGCCCTTCGCATACGGCTGCCCGCTGAGAAACAAGGACGTGATATCACCGCTTACTAGAGCCTTTTGGGACTCTGGAGGGGACCGGCTGGCAGCGAGTCCAGCACGTTACAAGCAGCTGCATATCTCAGAGTTGACGTGCAGCACACAGCACACGCAGGGAAGAACTATAGAGCTTTCGATAGGACAATGAAGCCGCTATCCACCGCCACCGCTCCCCTGAGCGCCTTTCCACCCGTCCAATGGGACTTGCTCGACAAGATCTGGATCCTTGTGGATGTCGAGAACGGCGCGGTCAAATTCATGCGGTCAGCGGAGGCTGCCAAATTAACGAAAAAAAGCCCATTCCGGATCTTCAGCTTTTCTTCGAAATCGTTCAACGCCAACGGAGAGCAGAAGATGAAGCTTGTTTCAGAAGGCGCTTACCACCACTTCAGAGCACTTAGCGACGACTCCCAAGCTGCCGACAATCTCCTCGTTTGGAAATACTTCCAGGTTTTGCAGAATCCGGTCACTGTTCACCACATATACATCGCCGCTGGCGGAGACGCGCGATACTCTTCTCTGATTAAGGAGGGGGCGGGAAAAGGCATACGGGCAAGCCACTTCAATACGCAAGGCGCGAAGGGTACATTCGAGCACCTGATGGAGCTCATTCGAGCGGAGAATGTGCGAAGGAAAGCGAATTCTTCCTTGGTGGCTGCCGAGTCTGCATCAGCGCCAATTTAGCAGGAGCGAGTGAAAGGGGTTTTATGATTGCACTCCGAGCCTCGCTACAGTTCGACCTCGCAGCTCAAAGGATGTCAATTGGGCATACCGCACAGCAGCGAGCTCCAACCGTTAGCCGTTGCTCTGACTGTAATTTGACGCCTCATCAATGTAGCATACAGTCGTTTTTGGAATATACATACTGTACATTAACAGATGAGTGCTGATGGCAGCCGTTTCGTGGCGATACATGGAAAAGGCCGTGAATGGAGAGCTCTAGCTTGCTGATACCCTTCCCAGAAAAGGCCTTAGAAAAGGTATACGATGGAGAACATATGCTTGCCTTGCTTGAGGAGTACCTCACGGCAAATGGTTGAAGGAAACCCAGAAGGAAACCGACCTTCGCGCAAGCGAGCCTTTTCGACCCGCGCGTTCTTCCGACTTTTTTGCTCAGAACCTGCCTGGCTCAGAACGACGCCTGGGAAAAGGTGGACGGCAGACAAACGCAACGGCTCCCTTCAATACACACAATGAGAATACCGCAAAGGGCCTGTGCGGTACGGGCCCTACCTCGTAACGGCGCCGCTGGGGGCAGGTATGAGTGTCTCGCCGCGGCCGCGCAACAACGCCGCCATGCTTCCACCACCACACCATTGCACACTCCCGCCGCCGATGCCCCAACAACGCAGGCCCCCACAGCAAAAAGCAATAGCGGCTCCAAACCCACCCGCCGCCGCTTCCCCTCTCGCACCCTCTCCGGAATCCAACCCACCGGCGTCCCCCATCTCGGCAACTACCTCGGCGCCCTCTCCAACTGGGTCAAACTCCAAGATGATCTACCCGCCTCCTCGACCTCTCCCTCCTCCATCTCCACCCTTCCTAGCTCTCCCATCTCACCACCCTCAACCCACCTCTACAGCATTGTCGACCTGCACGCCCTCACTCTCCCGCAAGACCCATCCCTCCTCCGCGAGAACGTGCTGGATATGGCCGCGTCGCTGCTAGCGTGCGGGATTGACCCGAAGAAGAGCGTGCTGTTTAGGCAGTCGAGGGTGCATGAGCATGCGGAGCTGGCGTGGTTGTTATTTTGTAGGACGCCGATTGGGTGGTTGAGTCGAATGCATCAGTGGAAGGTGTGTTTCTGGGGTTTGAGGAGGAGGAGGGCGAGGACTTCCTGATGTACTGATGCGGGGTTTGGGTTAGACGAAGCTACAAATGATGCAGCAGAAATCAGGCACCTCCACAACATCAGCAAACGCAACCCTCGCCATCACCTCCGATCTCAACCTCGACGATCCATCAGCCCAATCCGACGAAGCCGGGCCAGGGCCCAATGTCGGGTTATTAGCGTACCCGGTGCTGCAGGCAGCTGATATCCTCATCTACCGGTGCGTTTACATTTCCCCATTCTTGTTCGTGGGCAGGGCATGGAACTGACGCGATGTGATATCCAATGTAGGGCGACCCAAGTTCCCATCGGCGAAGACCAAGTCCAGCACATGGAACTCACCCAGATGGTCGCACGGAGCTTCAACGCGACCTACAAGAAGGACGTCTTCCCCATCCCGCGTGGGATCTACGGTAAAACGCCTCCCTTTCCACTTCCCCACATCCCCACGCCCTCGCTCACCCCCACTATATCTAACCCCTTGATATGTTAGCGTCCACCCACACAAAACGCATCATGTCCCTCCGACAACCCACCGCCAAAATGTCGAAATCAGACCCCGCGGACGCATCCCGCATCAACCTCTCCGACACCCCCGAGCAGATCCGCGCCAAGATCCGAAAAGCGACCACCGATTCCATACGCGGTATCACCTACGATCCGGTGACGAGGCCGGGGGTGGCGAATCTCTTGGGTGTGTATGCTGGGTGCATTCACGAGGCGGAGCTTGCGCAGGGGGATGAAGGGAGGTTGGAGGACTTGGCGGCGACGTTCGGGAACCATACCACCGCGACGTTCAAAGACGCGGTTGCGGACGCTGTTATTGCAAGGTTGGGGCCTATGCGGGAAGAGTTGGTGCGGTTGAGGAGGGATAGGGGGTTTGTGGAGGGGGTTTTGGAGGAGGGGGAGGAGAGGGCACGGGCAGTTGCCAGGGAGACTTTAAGGGATGTTTGGGGGGTTGTTGGGTTGAGGTAAGGACCTAGAGGGATGGCGTAGATTGGCATCTTAGCTGTAGATAGGCTGTATCTCCCTTCGTAGTGGTTGTTGAGAGAACGTGTATTTCTTCACTACCCTCGCGATAATACATACACGAAAAACGACAAAAAAAACGCCCCAAAATGGTTCTCCCAACGGCTGAAAAGCTGACATCCGCTTCCTCATTTCCCCTAGCCGCCTCCCCTTTCTTTCTAGCCCCCCTCTTCGCTTTTCCTTTTCCCTTCCCTTCGATGAGGTAACCACCGGCGGCCAACATATATACGGATGATGGAATGCAAGTCGGCTGCATTGAGATCGCGTATATGTCGCGTTTTTGATTCCAGTTATTTCGTTTTCTTGACTCCAACCCAAGTATGTAGTGGAGCTTGGCGACGCGAAGGGGAGAACACATGTATGAGCGTCGGACGGGATGTTATGGGGGTTGTCGGTTTATGATCCTTCGCCGAAGAGTCTTTGCACGCGTTTCAAAACCGAGTCCTGCGAAAACCAAAAAACCGAACACCGTTAAATCTCGCGAATCGCTTCCCCTCACCACCAACCACCCCCAACCACACCCCCCCCCCCCCCCCCCCTTCCCCCGCAACGTACCTTCGACGGATCATAAGGCCTATCCTTACTCGGAATCTCCAACACAGTTGGAAACGCCTGCTCATAGTCGTCCAACAAATGCCTAATCTCATCCGCGACCTGCTGCGTAATCAGGATGATCGCAATGTCCTTGCGGGACGTGAACTCCTGAAACGTTTCTTCGACTTTGGGTAAGGGTGTTTTGGAGTCGACGACGAGGAAGTTGGGCTTGGATTTGGTGTCCATGTGCCCGATGCCCGCGAGTAGGAGGCCTGTCACTGAGTCCTGGGGAAAGAGGGGTTAGAGGGTGGGGAGGGAGGAGGGGAGGTGGGTTTTACGGACCTCGTCGCCGATGGCGGCTAGAAGGACGCGGTCTTTTTGTGGGTTTGCCATTTTTGAGGTGCTCGCCCTCTGGGTTTGAGGCCTAGATCTCTATCTTTTCGTAACTAGTTGTTTGATGTGTGCGTTTAGCGTGGATCTCTTTGGGTTCTGTAGATGGGAAACACAGAGGCAGGTGAGCGGGTGTTGGGGTTTAAGGTGGTCCTCCCTTCTCTTCCCCATGCAAAGTCATCGAGCCCATGCCGCGGACCACGTTCATTCATTGAGCAGCGTTATACAGCAAGCGGACTTCCTCCCGTGCAGGGTCCATCCTTCCATCCAACGACCATGGCTGGTTCCCACGCGATCGTCATCGTCATCCATCCTCTCTTTCAGAGGCTTTCACGCAGACTCTCCCCATCCAGTCCCTCTATCCCCCATCCACGCCTCCAGCCAATATCCCGATTCCCATGGCGCTGGTGGTGCTGGTGCGTCTTCCCACCGGTAATTGCGCGACCGACCCTGTGTCATCTTGACTCTCTTTTCCGGAGATATGAGGGGTTCGTCCCGTTCTGGTTCACCTCAGTGGATGGTGGGGATGGGTGTGAGGTATTGAAGAGTTATGTACGTACCTGGTCGTGAGGGTGTGCTGTGCGGTTTGAGAGTGCGTAAGGGGCGGACGTTCCAAGTTCCCACGGGAATGAGACGAGAAACCGCCTCGGCTGCAAAGTTGCCCAAAAGCCCTTCTTGCGTTCTCAGACCCGCAGCCCCAGTCGCAGACACCACCTTACATACAGTATATACAGTAGTGCTGTACATACAGACAGTACATATCCTTACAGCTTCGGACCGCCGCCGTCCGTCGTTTGAGCCGCCACTACCAACCGGAATTATCCTCACTCGAGTAGTTCATGCGACACCCATAGCAATTTCAGAAAACACAAACGAAAAGCAATGGACAACTTCTTACCAGGCTCGGCGAGTTTAGTGGATTGCGTCGACAGTGCGTTTTGGCCTCGAGATTATCCCACGTTGTGTCATGCGCAATGTTCATTCGAGGACGGTCTTCTTACCGTTTTGCGTTGATATTGCAGAGAAACTGCTGGTGATACTACGCGACAGCCGCAAACTGATAGGGTGGTTGCGGTCCTACGACCAATTCGGTATGTGGAGGGGATCCTCAATTCAAGAGGGTTGTCATGGTGCAACGGGTCAAGGGCTCAGCGCCGGCGATCTCACACCCCCCGTTCTTCCCTTACAGCAAACCTGGTACTGCAAGATACGGTCGAACGAACCTATGCGGAGGACAACACGTACGGCGATGTGTACAGGGGGATCTTCTTAATACGCGGGGAGAATGTTGTTATGTTGGGTGAGATTGTATGTATCGGTGTCTGGATCGAGGAGAGTGGACGGGGATATCGAGAGTGATGGGAAGTCGACGGGAGAGGAAGTGTTTGGAGGTTGGGATGTGTATCGTTGATGGAGTGGGACATCATGCGATGTGGGAGAGACCGCGAGGCGTGCCTTGTCAGCATGTCTCCGGCGCAGGAACCCACGAAAGCGGTGGCATGAGCAGACCTTACTAGACGGAACATGTAGGGAGTCCCGTCATGAACCACCATCCGCAGACCAAGGCGACAAGCATCTAATCCGAACGGCGGCGACCCTCCATCAAAGGCACTAACCACCACTCCTTCCCCTCCCTCACACCTAGGACAAAGAGAAAGAAACAACTGTAATGTCGACCCTCCAGCAAGTCCCCATCGAGACCGCCAAAGCGTCTGCAAAGAAAGAGCTCGACAGGCGGAAACGGAACGAGAAGGCCCAGAGGCGCGCGTTGCAGGAGAGGGGGTTCTCGGTGGATGGGGTCGAGGGGGATCAGTATTAGGGGTGTGGGGGATTGAAGACGATCAAAGAGGAGCGGAAGGTTCACTATTGATGGAGCGATGTTGGTGGTGGCTTGGCAATTCCTGGGGTGCCGTTGGTGAACGGACAAGTGCTCTTGCTATGTTTATGCCGTCCCATGATGGCCGCTATGTGGAGACCACATCCGGCCGCCCCGACGGGTGGCAAAGAGAAGCGCCGAGGAAATGCACATACCTTCGGACGAAATCCCGTGCACATCGCAGCACCACATTACATAGTACAGCACCCTGACTGTACATTGGGAAAGATCAAACACTTCGGGTGGACGTGGTTCAAGAAATACAGAATCACATCTTCCTTGTTGCGCAAAGATACCTTCGCTGGCAATGATGCATAATGGTTCGTTTCATATCGTCATAACACTCCCGCTGCAGATAAAATCCCTCACTACAGTACCCCCTACGTACCACCACCACCGGACTCCTCTTTCTCTTCGTCCGGACTCCGGTATGCAAGGGCGAGGAGTGTTGCACACGTGGGGAGGTGGTGTTGTCGTCGTCGTCGGAGGCTTTGGAGAACGAGCCGCACGCGTCTGTCGAAGTTGTTCTTTGCCCAATGCCCCGCCCGCCCCTCAGCACAACCGCCTGCCAGCGACGATTAGCACAACAGTCAGTGCAACACCCACCACACCAACCCTGATACCAACCTTGCATACCGGGATACCTCAGATACCCCTTCCACCTCGCTTCCTAATCTGCCACCTTTCACCCTGTCACAAAAACGCTTTTCTCCGACGCCGGACACGCCGATTCCAACAATGGGGCAACACCACACCCCTAACCCGACACCTCCACCATCCACCTCCCACCCCGCCCCCTCAACCCCCTCCCCCTCCTCCTCAAACGCACCACCGCAATCTCCATCACAACCACCACCACCAACCCCCGGCCTCCCCTTCTGGGAACAACGGCGCGCCGCCTGGACCGCCAACCACACGCCATACACGGAGAACCCCGCCCCCGTGACGGACCAGTGGATCAGAGATAACCCGGCGCTGGCGGATGTGGATGCGACGGCGTATGATGCGATTTATGCGGCGCTTGTGGAGGGGAGGAGGTTTGCGAGGAGGACGCCGTTGCCGTTTGTTACTTCTGTGCTGGTAGGTTCTGGATGGGAGAGAGAGAGGGGTGGCACTGAAGGCTGGGCCGGGCACGAGGGGCAAGAATTGCTTTCGGTTGACGAGCCATAGGCGAGCCTCGGCGAGCGTTGGAATTTCGCGAACCAAGCGGGCTTAGGGGAGTCGTGCGGTCGGGCAGGATGGTGGTTTTCATGCGTACATGCGAGCGATTCGAATATGCATCAACCAACCTCGCCCGATTTCCTTCCGTTCACAGGTCCACGGATGGAAAAAGGAAGGTCTCTGGGCACCCGCAACAGGGATAGGAGGATCGAACAGTAATCCGTACCCGCTCGCCGACTCGAATAGCAATTCGCAGAACGTCTCTTCTGGTGTCATTTCTGGGCAGCGGCAGTGAGCGAAGAGTGGAATGGGGTTGGTTTCTCTCATAGAAGGGATTGGCAAGGGGCTCTGCAACGGCCTCGACAGTGGCGGCTCGACGGGGAGAAGCATATCATATAGACAGCGGGACTGTCTACATTCGCACGGGGGGGTACAGATGCGCCATGAATTAGGGCACGCGAGGCTAACTAATAGAAGTAGGGATTCATGGAGGCGTTAAGCGCCCTAGCGTCATTAGGGTGCATAGTTTCCGTTGGGTAGTGTAGTCTTTGCAACAGCTCGATATCGAAAAAGGCTGACACCCCTGCTGTTGCGGCTTTGCACTCATCATCATTTGGTAAACTACATAATACAAGTTGCCATCATCGGCGATGCCTCCGGCAGAGGTACAATGATGTGGATGGCAGATAACCACCACGGAAAATTCTAGACTACTGGTTACGGGAGAATGCGTCTGGTCTGCCATTGCCAAGCATCACCGAACGCACAATCGAGAGGAAATTCTTGGTACTTAGGACGTCCCGATTGTGCACTTTCATCCGTAGTCGTAGTGGTCGTCGTCTTCCAGGAATCTCAAATGGCGTCCAGTCTTGGTTGATACATTCGGGGTTGGGGCAACCCACCAATCCATGGACGTATTCCATTCTTCCCCTTCTAGCTTGCCACGGCCGAGATGACAGCCGCCGTCGGATGTTTTTCTTCACACGACCGTGGCAGTTGGGGCACACGGACGACGTTCGATACTCATCTAGCAAGTAACATGGAATGCCGTTTCTCGCAAAGAGTGTGCGGAATCTGTTCCATGATGAGTTAGCATATTATAGTACATAAAAAACAATGATGGTCACTCACCCCTTGGTCTTCGATGACTCCTGAAAGCGCATCGTTTTCCCAGCATCGCTCCAATCACCCAAGATGACCGAAAAATGCTTTCCATACCGGCGTCGCATGTTCTTAATGAGCTTGCTCTCAGACTTTTGCCGCAGTGAGAACGCCTTGAATCTGCGAGCGACGTCAATCTCATCCCGGTAAAACTCATCCAGGGTGGGATCTGGGATATGGATGGATGTCAGCCCATGTATTACTAAATTTGAAGATCAAAATTGAAGTAGAACATCATACCCGCATGTACGTGATCCACAATGAACGCTGAGAACGCCTCGATGTGCATGCTCTTGTGCGACGGAATATGTGATTCCATCTCAGCGATGCCGGCATTGATCTTTTGCTCTCTCATGTCTCTTTGAAAGTACCGAGACTTTGTCTCGACCGCCCGTTGATTGGATGTGTATCTGATATGGGGTGGTGCATTGTGAGAACGCTGCAACCGAATGTCGCCGCAATGGGGATGGTGGGGATAGGGGCGGTGGGAGCAGCAGCGGAGACGGGGGGGTGGCGGGCGGAGACGGGGGGCTGGCGGGCGGAGACGGGGGGCTGGCGGGCGGAGACGGGGGGCTGGGGGCGGAGACGGGGGGGGGGGGGGGGGGGGGGGACAGCGGGGACAGCAGGGCAGTAGTAATCAACTGAAACGTACCGAAATGGCCGCTCCTTCTCGATGTCTCGACAGAACAGGAGGTCACGCTTGCCCGGATCAATGCAGACGATGTTTGGAGCCTCCCGTAGTTCCGCAATGTGGTGCTCAAAATACAGCTGCTTGACTTCTTCCCGCATTTGGGCCTTGCTGCGCTTCCGGGCCCGATACCCATACTTGAGCCCTGGCTTCTTGAAGTGGATGGTAATGGAATACCCGTCAGTGCTAATTGACCCATCGAACTTGAGACCAAGCTTCTTTCGATGTTTGAAGACCTTGTCCTATAATCCGTCATTCAGCGACGTAATCTGATTGAAATAAGCACATAAGGATAGAGACTTACATTCACGTTGATAAACTGCCCCCACAGCTCCCGCTTGCGTTCATCAGTGAGTTTTCCCATGCGACGTCTGCTGACATCCAGGATATGAGTACTTAGGATCAGCGTGTTAATCCGAACAGACGACTGGATTCGAGATTTGCGCAGTGGGATAGCGGAAAACAGCCGCATTCCACGGCGCTCATAGAGGCGCGAGAGGTCACAGTAGGCACCTGTGATGAGGCGAGGCAGGTGCGGACCATGATTAGACAAAAGAGGGCACCGCAGGGGGGGGGGGGGGGGGGGGGGGCGGTTTCGCGTTATGTTTGGCGCGCGGCGAACACGTCGGCGGCGCTGGTTACGTTGACGCCATGGCGGTGGGCAAGAGCATCGGTCGCGCCCCGGGCCCGCTGTGCGCGCACTGGCGGCGTCGTCGAGGCCGGGGGGGGTGGGGGCCCCGGCGAGAGATACCCTATATGATGGCGATATCTATAATCGATGCCTGGTAGTTTTCGCTGGTCGAATGATGACTCGGTGAACACCCTCAGTGGTTTGTGGGAGCCAAGCGTGCGGGCGCCCAGCGCCAACAGCGCATCGCGAACCACGTCGGCCGGGGTCCCGGCGGGCAGCCACTGGGCGTCGGTGTACCAAGTAAGGCGCTCGCTCGCGTCGCTGCGCAGCCACCCACGAGTTGGGGGGGGGGGGGGGGGGGGGGGGGGTAAATATACAGGATGCAACTCACTTAAATATGGCATTGCGTCCACCGCAAGGCTGTACGCAAGCGGTTCATCCTGGGGAGGAAACAGAGCCCATAACTCGTCGAGGAGAGTCTGCTCAAGTCGTGTGAGGCCGGCAAACTCCTCTTCCGTTGGGTACTCTTCAAATGTCGCGTACTTTGTGAATTGACGGACACGACGATAATAGTGTCGCCGCTGCGCTCTCCGGAGATGCCGTTCGATTTGCTTCAAACCAAGCTTTTCATTGACGTAGCGCAGAAACATTTGCATGAAATGCTCTTGTACGTTAACTTTGAGGTTTGTGAGGATGCTCGTAGCCGTGTACGCTGCGGTCTGTTGGCAATTTCGCATGCGGATGGGGACGAATCCGTGAACATTACAGTACTCTTGAACCCGTGGACGCAACTCTTGCGCAATGACCGGATTGCCGTTGTAGCCTGGATTGTTTAGCAGCTCAAATATCACGCTGATGTGCTTGTCCGTGATGTCCGGGAAATCGTGCAGAGGATGATCAGCTGTGGTGGGCAGACGTAGTAGTCAGGACATTGTTTCAAGAAATATACAGTGTAGTGTACGCCAAAAACTCACCAAGGTAGTACTTCAGGAAGAAGGTGGTGTGGCGCGCAAGGATGTGAACATTGCCGATGAATGTTCTGAGGCGCTCCCTTTGAACTTGATTCTGATGATTCTGATTATGGATTCGATGAAGGGAAACCTTGGTGCAGGCATGCGTCTGCGGGCGGGGTCGTTGAGCAGGGGGTGGAGGCGGGGGTGGAGGCAGGGGTTCATACACCAGGGATCCCGGTGTGCTGGGAAAACGGAAAGGGATGGGCGCGGGGAGGTTCAGTGGGCGCTGCAGACCCCTGTCCGCGGGTGAAAGCCCTCGCTGCGGCTGCTGCTGCTGCCCGTCTTCATCGCCGGAGCTCTCGCCAACCATGTCTGCAATTGCTTGGGGCAAGTGGCGATGGACAGAGGGCGGGAGCTCGAATCGTGGGGGTTGCAATAGTGTGGCTGGCAGACGTATGGGCAATCGCGGGGTAACCGGAGCAACCTTCCTCCTCTTCCGCCGTGGTGTGGTTGCTCCAGTAAAGATGCCACACCACAGGTGCCCCTGGAGCGCCTGGTGTGATGACATGATGGCTGTGCTGTGCTGTGCAGGCAAGTGGTGAGATCAAGGGGACCGAGCAAGGGGCCTGCTCTCGAGGAGGATCCAGGAATCCTGCTTACCTGCGATGTGTTGAAGGCTTTTAGAGGTTGGTTGGGGGTTTGCCTTGATGTGCGAGGGTGGAAGTGTGCGCAATTGTGGTTTGGTGGAACTACATAATATACCCGGTTTCTGCATGTTCAAAAGGGTCACCACGATCGCGATTGGCCTACTTCTCCACCCCTCCAACGTCTGACAGTCGGAGCGCGGGCCAGACCAGGGCAAACGACAGTGCAGCAGAATATAGGGGCGACAACGAACGCAGAGCACGAAACTAACCCTCTGTTGCCTCAACCAGTTCAACTGACGGCCACAGTGGGAGCTGCTGCTGGGAGCGCACGGGCGAAAACCCCCCTCTGTCGAGCCACGTCTGCTTTCAGAACCATGCATTCAGAGCTACGAAGTGGGGCCGGGGGGGGGGGAGCATGGGTAAATCTATAATGCGCGCCTAGAGCCTGCCATATTGTTTGTTGTAACGGTCTGGCTACCGTTCTGTAGATGCCTGTGCAGTGTCAACCTCATCTGGGTCACATCAGAGTTAAAAAGTCTACCACAGTCCTTAATTGGTAAAACAATGCACTCTGGCTCGTTGAACTGTTGTTCACGTCGCGGTAGATCCCCTCTTTGGAGTTTCCGAGACGAGCGAGCTCTAGTTGAGGTGCGATGAAACGAGTGAACTCCTTGCTCCGCTTGCCGCTCCGACTCTCCCGGGGAAGAGGTGAAGCGGGACGTAGCGAAGCCAATGGGGCCTGCATAGAGCTAACCCACGCCGACGGCCATATCCAATTGCAGCGTAGTACTCTTCGTGCCCATTCTCCTGAATCTGTTCGTTTTCCCGTTCGCACAATCTGCAGCGTCTTGGAAGTGTGTTTCCGGTCGGTGTCGGATTGAGAGGACATGTTCCTTATTCTCTGAGTGGTCACTGAATTTGCTAGGCGCTTTGCTGGGCAATCCTGAACTCACCGGGCCGCATCGGGTACGCGGAAGCCGTCCGTCGCCTCAGAGGCAGTTTGAGCAATCCTCTGTGGAACTTCTCGAATCCAAGCCAAAAGTAAGCCGCACTATCGTCACTGAACACTTCCTCGATTCAACCGTGTCACAACGATATGTTATATATCTATGGTGCGTTTATTATGCAGGCAATGTCCTCAGCAGCTGCAAAGGAGGCTGGCGTGGAGGGTTTTGGCGTGACGGAGGCGACAAGCGGGCGGGAGCCTCAGCGTTCGCGGGATTGCATTCTTTGCGAATCCGGTAGAACTCACTTTACCTAGAACACAAATGACTCTTTGGTTTCTCGGTGGTCAGCGGCTTGAGAGGTCCAGTGGACAGTGGCGCCTATACACTCTGGAGGTTCCAGAACTCTCCGCGAGGTTCCCGAGAATGGAGAAGCGTGGAAAGGCCGTACTGACAGTTTGACAGGATCGCGTGAGTCGTCAGTCGCGTTGCGTCCGTCCGACAAGAGATCGACAATACAGGCAGGCACTCGTTTCCCCACCCTTTCCGTCGGGATTCAGATCGCACTCTCACAAGCATAACGGATACACTCACAGCAATGCCCATATATCATCCACTATCATTATCAGCACTCCTGCTCCCACTTCTCACTCTCATCGTCCTCACCGTCACCCTTTCCCCTCCGTGCGCAGCCGCGTCTTCAGACTCTCTCACTAGCGTCGCTCTCGCCAACTCAGCACTACTATCACACCCCGTCCCGACGTGCCCTACAGGACAGTTCTGGAATTCGGTATTGCTAAAATGTGATGGGTGTGCCGCGAATCAGGTCGTTGGTGTTGGAGGTAGGGCGAGCGATAGCGTGCATTCGTGGCTTTGAGGCGAGCGGTGCGCGATGATCTGCGGGGAGTTGCGACCGCGGCGGAGGGTCCCCTGCGCCAGAGGGGAATATCCCTATTATGGTTCTGAGCGAGCCGCACCGAGCGTTGAAAAAAACATCGCGAGCGAAGCTAGCCACGCCCCTCTTAAAGCAGCCCAACATTCTTGTCGCGAGCTCGGACCGAGCGCTAAATCATTCGTCGATGGTTGATAGGTTGTTGATGGTTGTTGATTGTTGATGGTTGATGGTTGTCACTCTTCATTGAATTTAGGGAGATGCGTATGTGCATCTGGATACTACCGCGAACAAACGAACGGGACCGGCATATTGCCGGATCAGACATGTGTTGCGTGTCCTGCAGGGCAGGTAAGCAATGTGGGTCCAAACCACCATGTCCCTATACCTGATGTTTCTAAACCGATCGTGTCCCTTCATCTGAATGTGTTGATAGTACGCATCAGCAGACGAGACCTTCTGCCGCACCTGCATCCAACCCTCCGACCCATCCCTATCCGGCACCCAATGCACATGCGGCGTCGGAGAGTATCTAGGTATGTCCCCCACCTCACCCCATCTTCCCTCCAATATCCTTGAATCTAACATCCTCTACTATCATCAGTGGACAGAGACGCCGCCACTGCTCTCCCACTTGCATCTGCAACATGCACTCCCTGCCCCATCTACGCCTACCCAACGCGTAACCTCACGACCTGCATCGAATGTCCGCAGCACGTCATGCAGGCCGTCTATGCGGCCGACTCGGGAACGTATGAGTGTGTGTGCCGCGGGGATTTGGGGTTTAGTGAGACTCCGGTGGGTTATTTGAGTTCGGTTCCGTCTGTTGGGAGCGGGATCCCATCTCGAAGCGTCAAGTGCCCGTCATTCCCTAACCCCTCCCACGCCTCATCATCCAGCAAGACGGCACATGCATCGCCTTAGCCAGTACATCCGCCATCCAATCCAGAGTGCCCGCCTCAAGCATCTACACCGTCACTTACAGGGTATGATATCTCTCCCATTCCCTACATATGTAGCACTGTTCATCGATATCTACTTGACGGCACACAGGATATCCTAACTCCCAGCGGCACCTCGACAACCCTCACCGCCCGCTCCGACATCTTCGCATCAACCCTTATCGGCGCCGCTGCCGGCTGCGAGGTAACATATGCCCATCTCTTTCCCATGCCCCATTACATCCCACCACCCGCAACTCATCCCTATCAATCCACCATCAGTTCGACTGGGACACCGAATCCTGCCAACTCCTCGCGAACCTCTGCGTGCTGCAGCTCTACGACTCCTCGGCGTCGGCGTGTGCGCTTTACGCCCGGGTTGCGCAGGCTAAGGCGCAGGGGGCGGGTGAGGGTGATGAGTGAGTACGTTTGTGCGGGGAGGGTTTATGGGCGAAGCGGGGAGGAGATGGTTGGCGTTCAATGTGGGACGGCAGTTCGAAGCGGAGAGAGCTATTCTGACCCTATTTTTGTGGAACAGGTTAAGAGGCCTCCCACGAATATACTACGGGCTCGGCACGACGCTAGAGGACTCGACGACCGTTACGAGCCAGGTGGTCACTCTACCGGCGGGGTCAGATACGGTACGCCGCAAGCAGACGAAACGTGCAGTGCTTGTGAAGTTGATTGATGCCCCACTGAAGGATCAGCTGAACCTTCCTCCTACAGCTCAACCTTCTCCTCGGCGCCTACACACTCAACGGCACATTCCTAGGCTACGAGCCCGTCGGCGCTCAACTACAGGTTACATTCAAAATTCTCACCCCATCCCCAACTCTCGTAGATGCTAACGAGGTGAAACGATGCACAGTACTGCCTCCAAACCCCGATCGACCAAACGACCGCCTGGCTGAAAATTGGGCATAACTTTGAGGGTTCATGTCGGGTGAATCTGACCAGTCTCCTCCAGGGACGGGCAGGGGTTGTCTTTTATCAACTATGTGGGTGAAATATCATTCATTTCATCATCATATATACCGACACATCACTGACCCAACCATATCACAACCCCCCCAGACATCCGCGACGCCACCTCAACCCTCCTCCCGATCCCAATCCGCCTCACCAACTACCGCGCCACGGGCGCCCGCCAACCCAACCTCGACCCCGACCCGCTCAGCTACGGCTCGTCAACGCTGTTCCGGCGGTTCTTTGTCACGGATGGGGTCAGTGGGGTTGAGGGGGGCGTAAGGAGGGCGGTTAGGGGCGTGCAGGGGGTGCGGGTTTGGTGAGTTGACCGTGCAGGGCAGGAAGGGGACTTGGGGTTTGGGGTGGGGCCTGATGGAGTTTTTTTGTAGGATAAGAAAAGCGCCCGGGGCGAGGAGCGTGTACATCCCTGTTGTGGATCTCACGTACTTTGAGCGGGACGTCAGCACGCTCTCGGGGGCCGACGGGGGTTCCGATGTCTCGTTTCCGCAGGTAACTTCTTACATCCCCCTCCCCGTACACATCTTTCAATGTTGACATTCCTATCATGATACAAACAGGTGACATTCGAAATGCACTACACCGCCCCCCTCGACTCCTTCTGGAAAGCCGTCAAGATCGTATTCGCGCTCGTATGCGTGTACGCCGGTTTTCTGGCGCTGTATCGCGCGCGGGCGTGGAGCGCGCGGAATCTGGGGGCGGGGGAGGGGTGGGATGTTCAGGTATGTCATATCATCCATCCGCATCATCCACCCAGGATCATATTTGGAGAGGACAGAATCTAATGTTGACATGATTTCTTTTTTTTTTTCAGTTTTTCGGCAGATGCATAATAATCCTCGCAGGCAGCCTCGCGCCCCCCGTCATCTTTCTCCTGCTCGGGATCTCCGCCTACTGGTTCTTCGCGTTCAAAAACACCGCCAACGCGCTGGACCACCTCTTACCGTGGTCAAGCGGGGATTTGAGCACGTTTAGTGCTGTTGGGGTTGTTGCTCTCTGCTGCTACGTAAGTCTTACTTTTTTCCATTCCTATGCTATTTATGATTGTTAATAAATTGATCACCCTTTTTTTGGAAGGCATTGTATATCCTAAAAGAACTGCACGCCCAATGCACCGCGGATATCTTCTTCATTGATTGGGAGCAGAGCAAAGGACGGATCTTGAGGAGTGGAGATGAAGGCAAGGCGCGGTTGGCGCCTGTGAGTGTGTGGCGGAGTATTTTTTTGATGAATGTCTGGGATGATATTCAGGTTCGTGTTGGGGATATCATCTATCAATTGGTGGGCACTCTTGCTTCTTGTGTGGGGACTTCTTGACTAATGGACGAGATTTTTCGAATAGACACACAGACTCGTCAACATCGAACTCAACCTCCTCGCCATGTTCTTCATCCTCGACACGCTTCAAGTCCGGTACGCCGCCACCCCGCAGCCCGACCGGCAGGATCTCACGCCCGGTCCCACTAGTCCAATATTGCTGTTTGGCGTCGAGGGGATGGTTTGGCTTGCTCTCTCCGCTGCACAGGTATGTAATGGTCCCGCCCTCTACTGAAGGGCCCATGATCACCCCCCAACTGATATACGAATACGCGACACAAAACATGTAGGCATTATTCCGCCACCTCGTCCACGACCGCTTCTACCGCAACCGCCTCCTCAACTTCATCGACGTCCTCTCGATGGCCAACCTCTCCGTGTTCGCCTTCGACGAGCAGTGCCATGGGTACTACATCCACGGCAAGAGCGTGCATCAGTGTGCGGATACGAGTGTTGCGGAGCTTAATGGGTTTCTGCGGAAGGAGCAGGTGAGGAACGCGGATGCGCAACGTTTGCTCGTATTGGGTGGTTTTACAGAGTATTGACTTTTTTTTTGTGAAGGCGGACCTGGTACCACGAAGAGGCCTCCAAGGCTCCGACCAGCAATGTTTCGAAGTCCTCGCACAAAAAGAGTTTCGCGCGGCGTTTAATAAAGTCTACAGGGCGGTTATCGCGGATCTGGATCGGGGGGATGGGGCCGCGGCGAGGGCTCGTAAGTCATTCATCTGGCGAAACTCGATCCTTTTTGATGCGCCCTGACATCCTCTTTTTGATGTTTTCGATTTCTCTGAAGAACGCCTGACGATGGAACCCCGCGCGCGCCGCTTCACGGGCGCCGACGAGGAACGTGTGCGCGCGTATGAGACCGTCAACCATTTCCTCAAATCGTTTTTCGACCAGGTACCAAAAGCACGTCACCCTATCAACTTCTCTCATTCACTTTCGCACATACATACATACATACATGCATAACGTGCTAAACGAAAACTCTCTCCCTCTACCGCAGAATCTGAAAGATTACCCTTATGTCATCCGCACCCGGACGTACTTTGAGCGGTTTCTGGCCAAGACGCCGGATGTGTCGCATACAAGCGTTCTCTTCCACGGTAAAATTCTAACCCTCGCCCTGCCTGTCCTTCTCTCCCCCCAACACCCCACTCACACCCCTCCCTTATGTTTCCCACTAGACACGACAGCAACCCCCTTCACCCCGCTCCTCCTCCGCGGCCTCGAACCGCACCTCCTCCTCCTCTACGCCCTGCTCTTCACGCTCGTCTCGCAGGCCGTGGACTCGACGGGTGTGGCGGTCGTGGTTGTGTATGGCGTCGATGTGGCGGTGAGATGTGGGAGGAGGCATTTTGGGAGGGGGAATGTGGGGAGGAAGGGGTTGATGGATGGGAAGTTTTTGGTTTAGGCTGTGGGATGGAGGCGGTGGGATGGAGGTGTACGTAGGGAGGAAAGGGGCGAGAGTTGGAGGACGCAGGGGGGACATTATCTACATTTATTTACATGGACAGTTTTGAGCAGCGGGACTGGGTCTGAAAGCTTGTTCGTAGCGCATCGTTTTCCTGGAACATGGGCGACAACTCCGCTGATCACGTACTTGCGTTCGGGTCAAGGCGAAGTTGCCACTTTCCGGATGTATTCATAACCTCAGGCTTTCAAGTCATACACCTTCGCAACATCACATATGGGGGGTCATTATCCTCTATTTATTCCCTATGAGCTAAAGCCGAGTTCGTCCTGAATAACTTGTTATTCTCTCCATTACGCCAAGTGCATGCAAATAAGAGGGGCAGCACATATACATATAACGATTTGTCTCCTGTGTCCTGGTTACTCGCCGCCGCCCTCGACAGCTCAGCACCTCCGAGCGTGCGTCTGCCGATGACTTGGCAAGCGTGCCGCCGTAGGAAACGGGTATGAACCTCACCCGGTTTCCCCGCCGCGGTGAGTTCCGACAAAATCCCACATCACCCCGGAATCACCTCCACCCCCCCTCTCTCCTCCACCTGTCCCACCACCCCTGCCCCTCCACCCACCACCGCCGTCCATACATCACATAAAGCCACCCGACAACAGCCCCCGTCAAATGCGCCGCATGGTCAAACATCGCCCAGCCACGAACTAATCCAACAACGTCGAGACCGACCATGAGCGGGAGGAGGTCGCCCATCGTGAAGTGCAGGCCGGGGAGGAAGATGATGCCGACGGGGAGGTGCGGGTACATTGCAGCGCAGCTGTGGATGTGGGAGTGGATGGTGAGTGAGAGGTGGGTAGGGTAGATTGTAGAGGTGGGATTGACCGACTTACCCCGTCAATGTCGCCCAGATAGCCCCACTAGCTCCCAAACTCCCCTTCACGGCTCTATACTTCCCCAACCACAGTGTGGTGAACAGATGACTCCCCAAACTCGCCAACACCGCCGCGCTCACATAAAACGCGCCCATCTGCTCCGTGCTCCCCAACACGCGATCCTGCAACAACGTCCCAAACCCATACAGCGCATACATATTGAACGTAAGATGCAGCAATCCTTCATGGCTGAACGCGGATGTCAGCAAAGTGTACGAGCGCCCGGAGAGAGGGTGGTGAGTGAAATGGCGGAGCATGAAAGGTTGGAGTGAGGGAATGCGCCAGAGGAGAAAGATGGTGGTGTTGAGGCCGATGATGCTGTATACCAGCTTGAGGGAGGGTTTGGCGGTGTCCCAGGAGTGGGTGAGCATGGATTTGATCCGGAAGAGGGGTTCAGGGAGGTAGGTTTCCCAACTACCCGGTTTAGGTTTCGTGGCGGGTGTCGATGATCTTGAGTCGGTGCCGAAGAAGGTGTCGAGGTTGAATAAGGCACCCAGCTTGGTTTTGTCTTCGGCTGCCCAGCGTCCGCGTGCGCGTTCGTAGGATGCGACGCCGAAGGATAGGCCCACGACGGCGAGGGAGAAGAGGATAGGGCGGAGGATGGTGCGCTTGGGGCTGGATGTGTGGGGGATGAGAGATGGGTCGGTGGGGGGGTGGTCGGTGGGGACTTGCTTCGCTAGTTGTATTCTGCCGAGTCGCTGACCTTGTTGGGGAGGGAGAGGGGATGGGGATGGGATGTACTGTGGTGGGGTATCACCCACCCGTCTTGATTTCGGCGGAGGTGTTCGCAGGAATCTGTGTATTGAGCCTGCACTCGGCCGTTGTGATGCCATCGCTGGTACATGTCCGCGGCCTGCTCTTATTGCCTGTGCGCACAATTGCAACCCCATCGGCCGTATGCTGCACTGTTGTACCGACGTCAAGCCCAGAGCCCACGCCATGACTTCCAAGCGGTGTTTCCCTTTGTTTCGTTCCTTCGCTTGCCGACCGGTTTTCCAAAGGTATATCTATTTGGAAATCGTCCGCAGTGGGGACGATCGCAACCTGTGTCTCAACGATTGAAGGACTATGTGAGGTCGGTATTGAAACCAGGTTGTAGTTCTATATATATATGTAGACAGCGGACGGCTGCACATGCAGCGTGCGATTGAACAGGGAGGTTGTAAGTCGGCGGACAGTCCTGGGTTCTCTCGGGAAAAGAGCCACGGCGGAAGTGTGAAATTCGAGAAGGAAGAGCGGAGAGCGACTCGTGGCGCAGTTCCATTCGCACATCCATTCGCACCACACAGGGAGGTTTTCCTTCCGGCTTTCACAAACACAGGCATACCAGAGGGAGCTGGTTGAACATGATGGGGAGTGAACTCTCTACGGTGCCCTATGGATTGGATATGCTGCGTGATATACAAAAGAAGCGTCCAACAAATCTACGTAACAATGCATGATATGTAGTCCACCATAAAGATCGAAGGGACCCTCCCTCCACTCTCCTCTACTTCCTCAACGGATCCCGCACAACAACAGCCGTCCCCTTCATCGCCAACCCACTCCTCTCACTCACAGCCCACAATTCATACTGTACTTCCCCATCCTCCCCGTCATCACTCCGTTCCGTCCGTTCCGTCCTCTTCCCACACAACCGCACCTCCTCCCCCACAAACAACGGCGCCAGCGCCCTATACCCAAACTCCCTCACCACCATGCCTTCAGGTTTGCACTTCTCCAGCAGATCAAGGAGCAGTGTCGCAGTCAACGGGCCGTGCACAAGACACGCCGGATACCCCTCCACCTCCCTCGCAAATCTGTCGTCGTAGTGTATGAGGTGCGAGTTGAAGGTGACCGCCGAGTACCGGAAGAGGGTGACGGGGGTCGGTGTGAATGTGCGCGAAAAGTCCGGGATGGTTTTGATCTCCACTGCTCTCCGCTCGGGATTCGTATCCAGTTTGGGAAGGTAGACCAATGATCTCTTTTCAGTAACACACACACCCGCACTATTCTTTATCGTCTTGTCCATCCACACCAACACGCTCGGTCCCCTCCCCCCCATTTTCTTCTCAACGCGGTCGAGGGTTGTGGTCTGTGTTACTGTTTCGGTCGTGTAGCGGAGCGGGTTGTGAGGGTTGAAGGTGAAGGAGCCGCCGGCCCACATGCGTTGGATGTAGGGGTGGGGAGGAGCGAAGTGGGTGTCGTAGCCGTCCGGGGCGAGGAGGCGTTCAGGGATGTGGGGGGGGAAGAAGGCGAGGTGAAAGGCGGGGGGGATGGGGGTGCCGAGCGTGGGGATGGGTGGGGTTGTAGCAGGCATTGAGGTGGAACCTATTGTTCCGTTTGGTTGACCGGGTCCGTTTAAGTGACCGCCCTGGAGCGTCAATGTCAGCAGGTGTCCGTGTCCAGGCGCTATCTGATCGTGATCTACGAGTCGTATCGACTTGACCTCCTCAATCCACGCCTCAAGCCTTGCATCTGCGTCCGCAACATCAACCGCGCTCGCGGCAGTCGTAGAGAACATAAACAGTTGTTTTGCTTTTGGTGGAGGACGCTGAGCAGGCCGCACATAAGGCCGCTGCCTATTATTATACGGACTTGGCGACCGATGGTTCTCCCACCCCTGCGACGCCACAACCGGCGGCGAAGGCCTCCGCACATCCCTCGAGTTCTCCCACGGATTCCTCGCCCTCAAAATCGCCTCCACATCCAGCCCTTCCTCAAACCTCCCCAGCATCCTCGCAATCGCCTCCCTCCCAACCCCATGCGTATTCATCTCCGCCATCGCATCCACATCCCGTTCCATCCACCACCCCGTCGTGGGTTCCACAATCTTCACCGTATAGCCCCTCTCGACCGCCGCAGCGACGTACGGCTGCGCTTCCCAGGCCTGCATGGTGGTGTTATCGATGATTACGGGGGATATACCCCGGTCGAGGGCAGCGAGGGCGCGGGATTGGTTCCAGGTGTGGGCGTGGGTGAGGTGGGATGGGTTGAATTCGTAGGCGCCGGTTTGGGGGGAGATGAAGTAGTCGTCGGTGCTGAGGATTTGGCCGGTGGGTTGTTGGCCGTTGATAGTGTCGCTGAAGGTTTGCAGAAGCCGCCGTGCTTCCGTTGACTTGCCTGACCCCGGTGCGCCCCTCATGATAACCAGAACTCTCTCAGCAACCCCGCGGTGCCCATTTCCACCGTTCTGTCCCACTATGGATGCCATGGTCGAAAGGCTATTTGCAACAAGGACCGTCCGCGAGTGCTGTGGTTGGAATGAGTGTTGAGTGAGCGATCTCCGGGATGGCGCTAGACGCAAGTGTGAGAGTGGACGGACGTAGCGAATGGGTTGTTGCAGACGACGGGCCGGGAGGAGCCTCAGTGACATTTGCCCGGTGGGTTGAACTAGAAGCGGAGGGCTTGCAGGTAGAGTCCAGTTTATATATCCCTGGGGGGGTGGGGTGGGGCAGAAAAAAAGGGGACGAGGAAAGAGGAGGAGAAAGCGTGCGCGGCGAGAGTTGAAAGCCTTGGACCACTGGCTGAAAGGGCTGAACACTCCACTGCAACCTCACGGCCACAGCCGGGCAACACACAATGAAGGTTCCAACCGTCGACTCAACCCCCTACTCGCTCGCAGCAGTCGCCCTCGCAGCCTCGGCACTGACTGTCTCCTCCATCCTCCTCGCCCAGCGCTTCAACAAGCAGGCTCGCATTCAGCGCATAAAGGACGAGCTGGCGGAGGCTATCGCTCAGTCCGACAACAGCGACGATACGGTTACGAGGCCGCGACCGAAGGATAAGAGGCCGAGACTCCCTGTGGAGAGAACGCTCGACGAAGGGTTGATTAGGGAACAGTTGGCGAGGAACTATGCGTTTTTGGGTGAAGAGGTGGGTTTCCCACCGCGGCGACACTATGGGCAGTACAGTAGCGTGGGGCGAGAGGAACGAGGTGCAGGGATGCTTGAGGTTGATTTGCGATGGACTTGCGAGCGGGGCGAAGACGACCAGAGCGAACGCCTTCGCGAATGAAGCGAGGCTGGCGAGCCATAGGCCAGTCATCGAGAGAGCGAAGCGAGTTCCGCGCCGCAGGCGCAATACTGGCGCCGACAGGGAATAATGGAGGTTTTCAGGCGAGCGCAACTAGCTCCCGCATTGAACTGCGGGGGACAGGCGAACGGGTCGTTTTTATTGCATGTTGGCCGACAATTCTGTAGCTTATCCTACCGTCACACATCAACCAACCAACGCATTCACTAATGGGGGACCCAATCATGGCAGGGCGTGGCGGATGTGCGGAAAGCGTTTGTTATAGTGGTTGGACTGGGCGGAGTCGGTAGGAGATTTTGACCTCTGACGAACGGAAACTGGATTCCGGGACTGATCAAAACCTGTTGCAGGGAGTCATGCGGTATGTTGAGGACGTTTCCTTGCGAAACAGAGGAGCAGGAACTAGCTCATATCAGGATGACCACACAGGCACATATGCTCATGCGATCAGGCGTCGAGGTACGGGCCCTCACCATTCACTTTGCCTCCTGCCAACCAACAGCACGCTAACACCCCTCATCCCGCATCCCCCAGCGCCTCCGCCTGATCGACTTCGACCAAGTCTCCCTCTCATCTCTAAACCGGCACGCCGTCGCAACCCAAGCCGACGTCGGGATCCCCAAAAGCACCTGTCTCGAGCAGCACTTCAAGCAGATCGCGCCGCACGTCGAGATCGACGCCCGCAATGAGCTGTTCACGCTGGATGCGGCGCCGGAGTTGTTGGGTGGGAGGCCGGATTACGTTCTAGGTGAGGGGTCAGTCTCTCTTTTACAACTTCTATACGGCAGTACCTTACATTTCTGTTGGGACAGACTGCATCGACAACCTCAACACCAAAATCGATTTAATCAAATACTGCAAAGACAACAACCTCCCCATCATCTCCTCCATGGGCGCGGGCGCCAAAGCCGACCCATCACGGATCCAGATCGCCGACATAAGCGAGACATTCGGTAAGTCACCCTCCCTTCCCCTTCCTCACCCCCTCACCTCACTCACTCACGCATGTGATACACCTAGAGGACCCACTGGCCCGCGCCACCCGCCGCGGCCTAAAACTCAAAGGCGTCGAAAGCGGCGTGCCTGTCGTCTACTCCACCGAGAAACCGGGCGCTGTTAAATTGTTGCCGCTTGAAGACGATAAAGTCGAGGAGGCGAAGGAATACTCTGCTCTGCCTGATTTTCGTGTCCGGTAAGTCTAACATGATCCCTGCCCCCCCATCACCCTGGGGACATATACATGTATATTGACTATCTCGACTCGATTATCTTTTGAAGCATCCTCCCGGTCCTCGGCACCCTCCCCGCCCTCTTCGGCAACTCCATGGCGACCCACGTGATCACTTCCCTCGGCAACTACCCCACAGAACCGCTCGCCATCAAATGTCGCGAAAAGACGTATGCGCGCCTGCATCGTGATTTGGTGAATAGGGAGAAGAAACATGGGGGTGGGGCGATGGGGTTGAATATTGCTGATGTGGGGTATATTTTCGAGGAGGTATGGGATAATACACTTGCTGCTGTTAGTCCCCCACTCCACACTAATCACATTGTCTTGCACACAAAGATATGGCGCGGTCGCTCAGCCCTCTCCGGCACCTTCGAAAAGCTCGCCCTGCTCCGATGGGACTCGTCGCAACCGATCTCGTTCCAGAACATCGTCTGTCTCACGCGCGCGGAGGCGGAGAAGCATGAGAGGGTGCCTCCAGGGGAGCTGGCGGGGCATTATGGGGAGGAGGTGCTGAAGTTTGTGAGGGGACGGTGGGAGGAGGAGAGGAGGGTTGGGGGGTGGAGGTAGAGTTGCGTGGGTGGTTGGAGTAGGGGTTGAGGTGGAGGGAGGCACGTGGATCTGCTCTGAGATGTATAGTGTAGGGCTTATAGCGGTGTCTGTTTCAATATGTTAGATAGAGGCTGGCTTTATACCGGGTACGGATCGGAAATGCACTCCGCACCCTCTGAGCGTATCACATTTTCTCAGGGCCGTTGTGACTGATCTTCATGGATGTAGTGGGGGGGCGTTCCTGCACACCTCAAACATACAGTACTGTATACATGTACAGTATATAAACATATAGTCCATAACGGCAATCCCCATAGCCAATAATAGCGGCACATATCCGGATAAGTGAATTCAGTTCTACGATACAAAAGGAAACGACATGGGTCGGGAGTTACGCACGGATTGGTCTGTAGAGTGTGCATCATTATGTAGCGTCTCGGACACCTTCCCACCCCTCGCTTACCTCGACCAGTGCTTCCCTCCCAGCCGATGCTTCCATCACTCCTCCACCTACATAGACGCTGAGCTGGCATCCCGGCACAGGTCTACAGTACCTCCAATACGGATAAACACAGAAGATGCTAGCAACCCCAAGGCACTGTCATACTGTCAATTCTATTCGACCGTCGTTCTGCCGTTATGGAAAGATGAGCCCCACAGCACAACGAGGCAAGAGCCTCCGTTTGGGACGCTGCCTCGAGCCACCCTGCCCAACATGTGCATTTGTGGAGAGCGGCATCACGATTCACCACGCCTCACCGGCCATCTTCCCCCAACGAACAGAGCGGCTCCGGGTTCGAAGGCTCCTCCGGCTCCTCCGGCTCCTCCGCCATCTACCATCTGGGGTTTCTTCACTTCCCTCCGGTGAACCCGACTTCCGGCGGGGTATCTTTGCGGCGCGTGTGGTGGTTCGGCATAGCCCACTGTGAAGCCTTGCTCGACGAGGGCGGCTAATATCCCGGGTGTTACTGGTATGATAAATCGCAGCACCGGATGAGCCATTGACCTCCGGCGTGTCTCTTGCGTTTTTGTGGGCGCTTCAACGCGTGCCCAATGTGCCTCTCGTGCACACTGCACACCTTTTTTGTAGCGCCTGGGAGGCACACAGGTGTCTATGTATGTACACCTGATACTTGTTTTTCGCGGGTTATTGCGCTGTCCCAAAAGCCTCGAACGTGTGGGGCGGGCAAAATATGGACTTCTTTGATGTGAGTCTGGAGTCATGCGCGTTGCTGGATCGTGCACAACGCGGCATTTTGCGTGTGATGAACTCTTGCTCTTGAAAGGCTCCGGCTATGGCAGGTTGTGGCTGTGGATGGGCCGCCGGTCGAAGGGAATGTATCCTATACGAGGGGTATGGACACTGTGGAGACACTCGAGACGACTAGATAGAGTATAAAGGCCAAGGACGTCGACGTCTTCCCCCGGCACACACAACCCCTGTCCATCCATTGCTTGAAAGAATGTTCACATCCACAAGCAAGACCCTGCTAGCGGCCACCGCGGCCGCAGCGGTCTTCAGCACCACCATCCAAGTTGCCGACGCACTCTGTCCCATCCTCGCCGCTCGTGACCCCCGTCTCTCGATCCGCAACGCCGCACCTGCGCCGCTGCCGCCCAATCACCCTGCCGTCTCCAACCATTTTGCCGCGCCGGTCTTTGAAACCCGCGACGATGCGACGACGTACATCTCCAAGATTGATTTCAAGGCCCTTGAGGCGGATATCATCAAGACGCTGACGGATTCGAAGGATTTCTGGCCCGCGGACTTTGGGAACTATGGCCCGTTTTTCATCAGGTTGGCGTGGCATTGTGCTGGGTCTTACAGGTCCTCGGATGGTCGTGGAGGTTGGTCTCCCTTTCATTGCACATTTGCTCACTGTTTGATCGTGCATGGTCTAACATCTCGTTTCTGCGAATCCCATAGGATGTGATGGAGGCCGCATCCGCTTCGACCCCGAACTCTCCTGGGCCGACAACGCCAACCTCGACAAAGCGCGCCAGCTCCTCGAGCCCCTCAAGGCCAAATACGGCGCTGCGCTCTCCTGGGGCGACCTCATCGCCTTCACCGGCACCACCGCTATCAAGTCCATGGGCGGACCCACCATCGGGTTCTGCGCCGGCCGGTCCGACGATGCCGACGGTCGCGCTTCCCTTCCCTTGGGACCCAGCAGCGAGCAAGAGGCGATTGTGCAGTGCCCTGTTAATGGGAACTGCACATACCCGCTGGGTCCGACTACCATTGGGTTGATTTATGTGAATCCGGAGGGACATATGGGGATCCCCGAGCCGAGTGGGAGTGTACCGGATATTCGCGCGTCGTTTGGACGGATGGGCATGAATGATCGCGAGACGGTTGCGTTGATTGGCGGTGGGCATTCGTTTGGGAAGGCCCATGGTGCTTGCACGGCTGGAGCTGGTAAGTTGAAACGCTAATGATGTCTGCCATGCAATGGGCGGAGAGACGACAAGCCGTGTGCCAACATCGGACTTCCCCACATCCAGGCAAATGCGGCACAGGCCCCGACCAAGGCAAAGGCCGCAACACCTTCACCAGCGGCTTCGAAGGCCCCTGGACCGCCCACCCCACGAAATGGGGCAACGATTACTTCGACAACCTGCTCACTTACAACTGGACCGTCTTCATCGGACCGGGAGGACACCACCAGTGGCGCCCTGCGGCTACCGATACCGTTGAGCCCGCTGACGCGCATATCCGCATGCTCACGGCGGATGTTGCGCTGCTGCATGACCCGAGCTACCGCGCTTTGGTCGAGGAGTATGCGCGTGATAGACGCAGCCTCGAGAAGGACTTTTCTGAGGCTTGTACGTCAACCCCTTTTCGAATGTGCCTTTGTATTCGGATCCGCGAAACTGATATGTGTTTTCATTGTAGGGTACAAACTAACCACCCGCGACATGGGCCCGGTCACTCGCTGCCACGGCCCTACCGTCCCCGCCCCTCGCCCCTTCCAAAACCCGCTCCCCGCCCGCACGGCCCCGCTACCCAACTTCTCCGCCGTGAAATCAGACATTGGCAGATTGCTGCAGACGGACAAGGCGGCCGCGGCGTGTCCGGGCGATGGCCCCAATGGGAAGTATTACGGCGCCTTGTTTGTTGAGCTCGCGTGGAGGTGTGCATCGACGTTCCGTGCTACGGATTTCGCGGGTGGGTGTAATGGGGCGAGGATTAGGTTGGCGCCTGAGAAGGATTGGCCTGAGAATGTTGGGATCAATCAGGTAGGCCGTCTTGATTATCCCGTCTTCCGAATGAAAGAGACTCTTGTAAACGCTTGTGTTCCCCGCCGCTCAGGTCCTCGACGTGTTGCGCCCCGTGAAAGCCAAGTACGGCGTCGAACTCTCCTGGGCCGATCTGATCGTCCTCGCTGGACAAACCGCTCTCGAGAAAGCGGGTAGCAAATCCCTTTCCTTCGTCGGTGGCCGCGTCGACGCCAAGGACGGCAGGTTCGTGTCTCTCCTGCCCCACACCTCTCATCCAGCAAAGTCCACAGTGTGCTGACTCTTCTTTGTTATACAGCAACCCCCTCCCCCGCACCTACTACCCCAACGCCACCATCGCCGCCCACGACACCCTCTCCCTCCTCAACCTCACCGCCGCCGAATACACCGCCCTCTCCGCGCGTCTCCGCAGCCCAACCCAACAATCACGTCTCGGCCTCGGTTCCAAAACCTACACCCGCAACCCCGCGCGCCTCACCAACGACTACTTCAAAACCCTCCTGTCCCACAAATGGGCGCCGACGGGCGTGACCTCCAAATCGGGCGCGAAGCAGTACAAGGCGGTGGATGCGGAGGTTTTTGTGACCGATGCGGATTTGGCGCTGGTTTGGGATGGGGAGTTGAGGAGGGTTGTGGAGGGGTTTGCGGGCGATGAGGAGAGGTTCCGGAAGGTGTTTGCGCAAGGGTGGAGTAAGCTTATGACGGCGGATCTGTTCTAGAAAGCTTGTCCGGCCCACTCTTGGGTTGGGATTTATACCCTCTATCATACCCATCGAGTCTTTTGCATGGGGACGAAGCAGCTGATTCGCTTTCGTCACGGCGTACGTTTGTGTAGCGTAGCATTAGCATACTACCAGTAGCATTTTCATATTCCGCAAAGGTCAGACGAAGAGTGATAGTATTGCACAGAATCTTCAGGACCTCAGGTCTCTGCGCTACTTTATTAAACGAAGAAAGCTAAGTACAAGGACGTGGTGTGTCCGGTAACAGATGGTGTTGTCAGGTAACAGTTTATAAGGGAGAGGGGTTTAATTGTAGTACCCAACGATAACCATGGGCAGCAGGCCTCCAGGCTGTACGGACCAAGACCTGTGTCCCGCTATTTTCGTAACGAATTGGATCGTTCCGGAATGAGCCACGATGCCAATGAGGTCGTCCGAAACTTTGGGCCCAGTGAAGTTGCCGGTGGACGACGCAGGCGTGGTCATGATGGCACCAAGTACGCTCCTGACTCGTGCCTCGATATGCGCATCGGATTCCGGCTTAACGCCATTCCAAAGCGTGTCAGCGTCGTTAACCAGGTCGGAAAACGTAAAGTCGGGATACGTGAGAGCCAGCTCGGTCCGGTTATGGCGCTGATCGCAGATATACGGCCCATACGTCTCACGCAGATCTTCATACACGCGCGGGTGGTATTGGCCGTGGGTGATGGTGCCCCAGACCAGTTGCGTGGTGTTCAGCGCACGGGAGAGCGGGGACGAGGCGATGAGGGAGGGGACGGGGAGGAGTTGGGACTGGATTTCGGAAGCGATGATGGCCGTGGCGTTTGCGAGTTGAGCGGTCCCGAGTGGGGTAAGAGGGGCGTCAAGGTAGAGGGGGAGCTTGCTGCGATACCAAGGAGGACAAGGAAGAATAGACGGTCAGTAACATCGATGGGAGGTTGGTTGATGGATGAAAACAACATCCTGCTCGCTCGCTTGCGGCAAGGATGCCGAGCTGTGGAGCGCTAAGCTCGCTAAGAGATGCGGTAAGAGAAGCATTGCGCCTTTGGCGCAATGTAGCTCGCTCCGCTCGCAAAGGTGTTATCTTTGAATTCTCTGGGTGGTCTGCCTCAACATCCCTGCGCCTCCCCCGCCTCTCGCCTAGCTCACCCACCTATAATATTCATCCCAAGCTTTGATGCCGTACGTATCGACCGCGACGTTGTGAGTGCCCTGGCCATGGCGTTGAAAAAATATCATCTTGACAACACCCTTCTTGCCAACGCGTTTCTTCAGCGCATTGAGCTTTGCGAACGCTCTGTTCCAGCGCCCGTCGGTTTTATCGGCGAGGCCAAGTGCGAACGGAACAGCAGGGTATCCCCTAGGATTGGTTGCAACGCTGCTCTGCTCAAAGAAGCCGTCGACTGCGGTGAATCGAACAGGCAGGAGACGGGCGGCGGTCGAAATTCCCGGAGCAGCGTCAACGACGGTCGAGATGACTGCCAAGAGGAACGAAAGACCTGCGAGGATCGGCCCGGCGCGAGATGGAATTCTGCCCATTGCTGCTGCTTTGAACCTTGAACTTGAGTGAAATCGAAGATGTCGCAACTCCAGGGCACTCATTCTTGAGTCTCCTATTTAGATTTCGAGTCCTCCGCACTCCCTCTCAACAACGTCCACCTCAGCTTGCCGTCTGACCGTAGGCCGTAGGGGGAAGGGGCCTCCGTCGGAATGTCATCGCTGATCAGTTGTCCCACCAGTTGTGCTCCTGGTCTTTGATCGAGTGCCAACGCGTGCCCACTTTGGATTTAGGCCCACTTCTCACGGTCGCGCTTGATCGCGCATTTTCACGCTCTTGGATGAGCCTTCAGGCCCCGCCGTGCCTTACGCTGCAGAATATGCAGCAGGAAAGACGTCTTGCGCATGAGAGATATCCTTTCATGATCACGGTGAGTGGTCGCATGAAAGTGGTTAGAGGTTGTGGGAAGCCTGGAAGGTCTCCCGAATGGCGACCCGCTGATCAAACCACCTGGATAGGGCCGGAAACGGCCCAAACTGTGTAGGTGAGGGGCGTACATGTGTTGGAGACATGTGTTGTCACTGACAAAAGATATCCATGGCCACATGAAACGCTGGCTGCTCGGCGAAGGGTGGAGTCAGGACAGCGGTTGGTAGATCACGGCACATCGCCGCCAGCGTTGCGCTGTACGACATTCCAGCGTCTGCGACGCTTGGTCAACCTACCTATCAGGCAGCGTGGTAATCATGTTCTTGCCGTAGTTGTTGATTTGAGTTCTATGCCAAAAAAAAAAACTGGGTCTACATATGAACGGTCGACGTGTAATGGCACGACCTTGCCTCCAGCGAGAACCAGATCGATGTCGCCTGTGGAATGAACCAGCGAGAACACCAAGACTGCTGTCGCCTCTGGAAACCATCTCTGGCTAGCGAAGTCGATCACAAATGAGACTGTCGGCGACGTAAGCTTGACGGTCGACCTTAATGAAATGACACCGAGATTCTGTCGAAGTCCATCTATATATTTACGAAAGGACTCAGGGACTCCGCGTTGAAGGATCGCCCCAAATCCCAACTGCCCAAATAAGTGAGCGAGCAAAGCGATTGCACCCACGCTTCAGCAGCGGTTCGCGTCCAGAGAGAGCGAAAGCGACCGCCCCAGGCCATACTAGATTTTCCGCATGGGAGGATCTGGAGATCGCCAAATTGGCGGTATTTTGACAGGCCCACTGACAGTCCCTGCTGACAGTCCCGTCTTTACCCACTTTCCGAACCCATGAGGCAAAGAGCGAACGTGCTCTCAAAGAGACAGCAATGAACAACTGCCCATTCGGGCCCCTTTAAGAGTCGAACGCACACACGTCATTCGTAGCTCACATTCGCAGGATCAAAAACAACGGCAGCAATGATGCAGTTTCCAGCGACTTGGAAGTCCCCGAGACCTACTAGGATACGATACGCTGTTGCTTTGCTTGGTATATACACACCCGCTCCCGATATTGTGTTCATCTTCTAAAAAGCCCATAAGCGGAATACCAATATGCCATTTTTGGAGTCGTGACATTCGTCGTCGCGGCGGCTCTTACCTTGCCACTCGGGATCCTGGTGCTCAAGGGCTTACGGGATACGACACATGTTGGTGAGCAGCCGCGAAGCTTTCTACCTTGCATGTTTTGAATAGCATGCCGGGTACAGTTAGCGATGTCCTGGTTACAGGGATTGGAGGCGCGATAGAAGCCAATGGTAATGTTCGCCATCACTGTCATCTAAAACAGTTCCGATCTGTGCTATGCTGGCTGATCTGGTTCTCATTTTCCGGACCTCCCGGCGGCAGTTCTGGAGCTCACCGAGACATGTGTCACGACCATGCGAGGTTAGACTGGCACTAGTTTATAACGCAGAGGAGTGAAACTCAATGTCTGTTTGGGGCGGCCTTGCAGACACGCTTGACGGCTCAGCAATGCGGGCGTTCCTGAACATTTACGCCGCAAACAGATCCACTATGTTCGCAGACTTGGGCGAAGAGTAAGGGCTTAGACGATCCTATCGCAAATGACGACCATAGTTGCGGGTGTTTGATCTATCCCCACTTTTGCTCTCCACAGGCTCCTGAGCGAGGTGGTGACTACAGAACGGTCCGCGGTGCTTGTCGTTGCGTGCCTGAGCGTAACCACCTTCTGTAATGCGGTAGTCAGTGCGTTCCTGCTCACTCGGCGGGTCCCCGTACTCTCCTCCCGAAGTGGTGTGGTGTTCGAAGTAGTGTATTGCAGAAGGGGCCTCCCGATTAAGAAGCTGAACGTGTTGATGCATGCGGTATGCGTTGTGACTTTCCAACGGCTATGCTCTGCTGCTGATGTGCCGCTGTCCTCTACCCAACCCCGTCCAGGCCTCCACCTTCGATTTCCAAAACCCGGAAATCATCCAAAATTTCACCAGCGCTCCATCCTCCGTGAGCTAGCCGACACAGAAGAATCTTTCGACATCATGCTCCGAAAGTTTAGTGAAGCGGTGCAAGCGAATCAACGGCTGCTCACTGTGCGAGCGATGTATGTAGGTGGGTCGGATATGGTGGATTTGGAGGACGGTCGGAGTGATTGGCGCAGCTGGTTTGTCACGCCCTCGTCTGTGCGCGTATAGAGTCTCGCTCTCATGACTTTCCAGTCCTCTCAGAAAACGCTTCTTCCCACAGGACATCGAGAGCCACATGAACCAGTTCCCATAGACACCACAGTACCTAGACGGGCAATGGCACAGCAGCAACTGCCCACCGGGAGGATAGACCTAGGTAAGGGATCGCAGGAAGCAGCAGGGAGGCTCAAGCTTAATGGCAACAAAACTCACATTGCATGCCCATTAGACCAACCGCGCTACGACCAGTCAACGTACAGCGGACGGTTACGCCATTTCTCAGAAGTTACCAACCCTCTGTGAGTGTGGAATTGGGTCGGCGGTGGAAGGAGCTCGTTACTTGAGCTCAGTGGCATGATGAGAGGCTGATATGTTGACGACTTTAGAAATCTGTTGGCGACCTCTGCCCAACAAGATGCCGCAAAGCAGTTGGTAGCGGACTACAAAGCGGGGAAGGTTGACGCTGACCCTGAGGCGTTGTGGAAGGCCAAGACCCGTAAGTTTTGGGGAGGGATGCATATTGAACTGATGGTTTTGGTAGGGTAGAACTTTGATTTTGACCCGCGGTTTTGGTTTTCAGTGGTGGACAGCACGTTCCATCCTGACACGGGCGAGAAGATCATCCTGCCGTTCCGGATGGCGTCGTTTGTGCCTACCAATGTGGCGATCGTGGCGGGGATGTTGATGCCGAATCCATCGGTAGGTGACGAAACGTATTGTGCAAACTGGTAGTGTAGTTTGGCAGCAAGGAGTACGACTAAAGAGTGCGCAAATGTGATGCAGATACGAAGCATTGTGTTCTGGCAATGGGTAAACCAAAGCGTGAACGTTGCGTTCAACTACTTCAACGCTAACAAAACGACCGTGATGGACGTTCAAGAAACCGCAGGTTCGTGATATCATCTTCCTCACCCCAATCCTCAACGCCAGTCATCCTCGCCCACACACACGCTCTTCTTTTCCAGTCGCCTACGGCACCGCAGTAGCCGCCTCCTGCACCATCGCCGTCTCCCTCAGCGAATACGTCAAACGCGCCACCTTCAGCCCGACCACCCAAGCCCTCCTCGCCCGCAGCGTCCCCTTCGTCGCCGTCGCCGCCGCCGGCTCCCTCAACGTCCTCCTCATGCGCCAAAAAGAACTAACAGAAGGCATCGACGTGACAGATGAACAGGGCAACAGCGTCGGAAAGAGCACAGAGGCGGGGAAGAAAGCAATTGCGCAGGTCGCAATCTCCCGCGTAGCCACCTCGTTTCCGGTCGTGTTTATCCCGTCGCTGCTTATGGCAAGGATCGACCGCACGCAGTTCTTGAAACGGCATCCGGGATATAGGACGCCGATTAACCTGGCTACGATCACTGGATCCCTGCTCGCGGCACTACCGTGCGCTGTTGCATTGTTCCCGCAGCGCGCGACGATGCGGGTTAGTGATTTAGAGGAACGGATGAGGGGTGTGAGGGGGAGGGATGGACGGGTGTTGGAGACGGTCTGGTTCAATCGGGGATTGTAGTTGCGTATGGGCTGGCGTATCTGTTCTGTGCATAGACCTGGGACTAGGTTGAAAGGCAGAAAAATGGACTCGATGTGCAGGATAGGAAGACTCGAGGACACAGACACACATCCCACACAGCACAACTCTTGTCCGTAGAACCACGTCCACCCGCCGATTCCACGCATGTGAAATACATGTGTGAAACTATATCCATATTTTGCCGCAACCGCCAGCAATAGAAGGAACCATGTTCTGATTGTAAAAAAGTTTTGGGCGAGGGATATATAAACATGTGTACATGGGCACTGGCTGGAAGGAGGGAGGATTACCCATCCCAGATACAAAGCTATATGGAAGTGCCCGCAGGCCAACCAACACAGACATCGCATCCTGAGGGTGGGTCTGATATCCGATGTGGAACAAATTCATCCTCGCACACAAGCCAGACATCCGTTGACGCTGGTACATGGGTGCGGGTATGAAAATATGCGGGGATACCTGGAAATCGCTATGCGCAGATGATCCCGCCCTCACCCCACGCCCCGCACCCAAAAATTCCCAATCCTACGACCTCGCCTTCTTAGCCCCCTTCCTGACAATCTTAACAGCTTGATGCCGTCTCAGTTCCGGATCAGACGTGTCCTGCAGATGCCCCTCGCGGAAACACCGCAGGCAGTACGGGTCGTCGTCGCATTGCGGGCAGAGGACTATTGCGTCGTCGTTGCAGATGCCTGTGGGGGATGTGTGTGAGTTTAGGGGATTTGGGGGATTTTGAGAAAGGAAGGGAGTTTGGGGAGTACTTACAGCACCAGTCGTCCCCTTCTTCGTGTCCTACGGTCCCGTAGTCGAAATCTTTCAAAGATGGTGGGCGTGGCGGCAGACCCAGTGATGTAGCATTACTATTTGCGGTGTCTTTGGTCGGTGATGACGATGCAGGTTTTGATGCAGCCGAAGATGCCGGCGGCACATACTCCTTCAACCCCCTAACCCTCCTCTCCAAATCATCCGCCTGCATCTCACTAAAAGCGCCATACTTCTTCTCCAACGCAACCTCCTGATGCACCTGCTGCAGCAACTCCTTCACGTCCGGATCCAGCTCCGCTTCCACCCGCGACGGTTTGGACGGCGATGTGAGGAGCAGGTTGGTGTAATCCACATACACGCCGTCGGACGAGCCTGTCCGGGTGGGGATGGGGCCTTTTTGGCCGGATGCGGCGTGGGCGGCTGCTACGGCTGCGGAGGAGTTGAGGACGGCTAAGACGGCAGCCATGGGCGCCGCGTCGTCGTCGGTGTCGGGGTCATCTTCGGCGGGATCGGATAAGGGCACATTGATGCGTTCAGACTCGTATGCGAGGTCGAGCCCGACATCTTTCAGCAGGTTCGTATCGTTCAGTAGCGAGTTAAGCTCGGCGTCTAGATCGGGAAGGTCATGTAGTGACTCGACCAGGTCGTGAGAAACTGGCCCGAATGACCGGCGATGGTACGGTGCTTCTGGCCGCGGACTGGAACTTGACGCAGCGATCGGGTCGTTGCCTGTGAGGGATTTCAGCCGGGAGAGGAGCTCATCGTCTCTGGGAAACTTGATAGTTTGAGCCTTTGCAAGCCACCATATGAAAACATTTTTGCACACATTACTCACGAGGGAAGTGGATTTGAGCGACCATCTTGAGATCCCGCACCCGCACCAGCAGTTCCTTCGCTGGTTGCTTTCAGTCGCTCGAAGCGGTCACGCAAATCCTTCTCAAAATCGTGTGGCATCTTGTTTCACAAAATCGTTGCCTGACGCTTTTCCCATACATTCCCATACAGTACATTTCCCAACTGCCAGCGTACAACCCATTATTCTTGGCGTCATTCAAGCGCGCATGATTCATCAAACACCCATTTTTCTTTAGCGCTAACTTTAGCGGGGACTCCTTTGCGCAGACTTTCCTTAGACAAAGGCCCATATCGTTCAGGGCCCTTCCTCGCCCCATCTCCCCATACGCCCAAGAATTCAATTTTGTTTAGCCGCAAGTTAGCCAAACCTCCCTTTCCAGCGCGTTCCCCTAATGTAACAATCCCGTATCCTTCAGCTTCCCTACCCTAGACACTCCTCGCTCACACGGCAACCCTCAGAGACCCTCATTCTCTTCACGCGCGGATTGCGGGCATTTAGCATGACTGTGCCACCTTTTTGAGATGACCTTCTCTCAGCTTCCCCTCATGTTCGGGTCCAGCCGGGTTCACCACCATTGTTCAGCGTTCTCTTTTCACCCACGATTCCACGTGCAACCGCATAAGCAAACCTGGTGTCTGTTCAAAGGCCTATGTTGTTTATCCGCCGGGTATTCTTCGGCCACTCAGAGTCGCTCACCGTGAATCACTTGAGTGACTCAGAGTCCATTAGTAATAGTGGGTTTGCACGCGCAATTGCATAAGCAACTCTGGTGTCTGTTGAAAGGACCTCCTCCCTCTTTCATCTGACGCGCCGAGTCATCTTCAGCCACTGACAGTCGCGCTCCGTGATTCACTACCGCGAGACTCGATGACTAACAGTGGGTTTCACGCGTAGCAAATTGCTTACGCGACGCGTTCTGCAACTCCGCTCGAAACTGGCCCTGCCCTGGCCGCCAAAGTGGGCCCGAGCATGCCCGACCAGGATGCCAGCGCTCGCTCGGTCGCTCGGTCGCTCGCTCGCACGGCCTGCCTGGCCTGCCTGCCTGCCCGGATGTCTATAAATAGAGGCCCCATTTCGCCATTCCCTTTCCTGATCTCTAGTTTGATGAAAGACTCGGTACGTGCTATCTTGGTCTTTCGCTGGTGCGCTCTTCACTGGGCATCCTCTGCTATTCCCGTGGTTGTCGTCGTCGTCGTGGCCGTTGTTTGTTGTACTAATCTTTTCGCGTTTCTTTTCTGTCTCTTTACCCATCTCTTCGCCCCCGTCTCTTCGCCATCTTCGCCATCTTCGCTCTTCACCCTCCAACCTGTACCTGATTCTCGTCGGTCATCTCCATCTGCCGCACTCTACTCCATCCTCCATCCTCGGTCTTCAAAACCTCTTCGTCGGTCGTCGTCGTCGCACACTCTTCACGCGTTTTTGCCAACTCCTCACGCGTTTTCGCCAACTCCTTACGCGTTATCGCACCTCTTCGTCGGTCGCCATCCACTTCTCGCATCGCAACTCTACTCTTCGGGTCGTCGCCATCTGCGCTCATCGCCACCACAGAACTCCCGCAACCCTTGCATCTAAAGCTCAAAACTTTACTGCAAACCAAACCCACCCAAAGCAACCGTACATATCACACACCAATCAAACTCCGCAACGTACACCTTCCTCACATCCGCATACCCATACCCACCGTACATACCACTCTCCACTCAAACTCCGCAACGTACACCTTCCTCACATCCGCAATGTCCGCCCCTTCCTCCTCTTCGACTGCTTGCTCCTGCAAGTCAGTGTCCTGTTTGGCCTGTTTCCCCTGCCTGTTTTGCAAGTCGACGCTCTCTGTTTGCCGTGACCACATTTCTTTCGTGGGAGCGGCTGGTCGGCTTGCTGTTCAACCTTCTCCCCGTCCTGTTTCTTCTCCTGCTGTTGCTCGCAATGGCAGTGGTCCTGTTTCGGTTTCGTCTTCTTCTCCTGTTGTTGCTGGCAATGACAGTGGTCCTGTTTCGGTTTCGTCTTCCCCTTCCCTTTCTTTGTCTTCCCCTTCCTCCTCTGTGTATACATCCCCTTCCCCTTCCTTGTATATTTCCTCTTCTCCTTCTTTGTATACACTGTCTTCTCTCTCCAGCCCGCCAACCTCTTGGAACGACATCATGGAACGCACTACGATAATGGAACAACTTGGACTCGACATGGACGACATTGAACCCGAACCGATCCCGATTGCTTACGACTACGACATGGAAGACGACGACTACGCGTACCAGCAGGACACCACATTCTACGACTTGGACGGCAACATTCTCGGCAACCCAGGCGGCTACGATCCCTTCTCCGACACCGATTTCGATTCCGATTCCGATTCCCAAGACCATCGCCAACTCCCTCCACCAACTCCAATGCGCCGGCGTGCGTCTACTCCCTTCCGGCGGCCAGCAATCATCGAGTCCTCAAGCGAAGAAGAGACCATCGACACGGTCCCCGAAGACGACGACAAGGCCACCGAAGAAACTGCGACGATCCCTCAGGACCAAGGAGAATTTCAAGCTAGGCAAGTGCGTTGTTCGTGGTGGGTTGGGGATGTGTTTGAGGCCATGGAAGAAGACAAGGAGAACGTCGACCCAGAGCCCCGGCCACCGGTGGTTTTGTGGTTGTCGGACTCTGAGGATTCGGAAGTGGAGTTTAACTGGGAAGATGAATCGGAGTGGGACTCGTCGGATGACGAGCACAACACTCCGGTGTTCGTCGGGGGGGGTTCGGTTTTCACAGGGCAAGAAGATATCGACATCGACGACAACAAGGAGAACGTTCCGCCGACATACGACATCGAGAACTTCATCGAGGAAGCCGACACGAACGACATCGACGAGGTCGTGGAGCCCACCGCCAAGGAACCCAAGGTAAATATCATCATCATCGTCTACTTTGGTCACTGTTCGGAATCCGCTAACACTCGTCGTCGTCCACAGGAGCCACGAAAAAGGACCCGCAAGACCTACGGGCCCGCTCGCTGGGCCCGTGCCAACGGACGTTTGGTGCGCGTCTAGATTGAATTGGGACACAGTTGGCACAGTTGGCATGAACGTGTTGGGCACTGAGGGCACAGTTGGCATGAAAATGTTGGGCACTGAGGCATATTGGTTGGGTACTGAGGCATATTGGTTGGTTACTGAGGCATATTGGTTGGGTACTGAGGCATATCATCCTGTTCGTCCGTCGAGAGCAGGGACAGTCGGGCACTGAGGGCACAGTTGGCATGAAGGTGTTGGGCACTGAGGCATATTAGTTGGGTACTGAGGCATATCACCCTGTTCGTCCGTCGAGAGCAGGCACAATTGGGCACTGAGGCATATTGGTTGGGTACTGAGGCATATCATCCACTTCGTGAAGAGCATCACAGTTGGGCACTGAGGGCATATCACAGTTGGGACACAGTGGGCCTTGGTGTGGGCATTGGCAGCCTATCCGTCTACGGGAACTCACCCCTACGGGGATGTAGACGGCATCTTCGGATGTGCCGTGAGTTCCACCCCCAAAAAAAGGCAGAAACATATGAATGGTTGCGAATATGAATGGTTTCCGATGATGATGATCTCTCTCTTCCTCTCTTGTTATGATCGTTGTACTTTATATACTCGTCTATTTTAATACAATGCTATCTACTCTACTCGCGAACTTCTCTCAACGTGTGCTTTGCTGTTCTCGTGTGCGTCTACTCTACTCGCGAACTTCTCAACGTGTGCTTTGCTGTTCTCGTGTTGCGTCTGATCTACTCGCGAACTTCTCAACCTGTTCTTTGCTGTTCTCGAGATGATGCTTGGTTTGCGGAGTGTGCGTTGTCAGTGAGTGAAGCAATGTCGGCAGCAAATTCGGTTTCGGATTGATTACTTAGTGCGCTTCTCTCTAACGGTGTCCGGTGTTTTCGTAGACGACATCCTCGGCGATGCTGGGATTTTTTGGTCTGCCGAGTAGCACCATCGCCGCCACTGTGAGTAACCGTATGCCCAGCACCTCCACGGAATGTTGTGTGAATATTTTAACGAGTCGCAGGTCTCGAATTCCCATCGCACGTCGAGAGGGCATCGCATCGGACTTGCGGCGAATGAGGATTTCAGAACTCCGACGCGCTGTTCATGAAAACCCTTTCCACTTTTAGGACTTCAAGGCGCAAGACAGATCACCGCCAATAGCGGTCGAGCATGCAACCCTGCTCAGATCCCTGTTGCATCGTCGTGTTCACATTTGGGAGTCCAACGGACAATTTGGGAAAGTGCGGATGGGCGAGCGTGAGCCGGTCAGATGGCGACGATGCACGATGAGGTATGGTAAATCGCCCGTGAATATTGGAGTGTTTCGGTAAGTCTCTATTCATCAACTTCCCATGAAGGATTGGCGCCGCTGGCCAGCGCCTGCAACACTTGACACTAAGTTGTGCGTTCTCTTGATTGATGTTTCTCCTGCATATGTCAGATTCATCATTTCCGGGATCATCTGCCCAACATCCCCCTCAGTGCGCTACGCCACGATAGATGTGCTGCTTTATGGAACCGAACAGTGAGCCATTCTCTGATCATGCCTGTTTATGTTGGATGTGCTGGCTCCTCGATGTGGATGGTAGGCAAACAGACGACGAGGGGATGCGTTGCGGTCGGTTCAATCCCCTCTTTCAGCGGTGTACCATGTGCAAATGCTTGTGCAGCAAGCATCAGTCGCCTCGTCCGTTGAAGTTGTCGGAGATGGAACTGCGCTCTAGAGTGGAACTGCGCTAGGAGGGATCTGCGCTGAGATGTATGGGATCTGCGCTGAGATGGAACTGCGCTGTCAGGTGTTCGTTTCTGAAGGTTGGTTTGCCGCATCTCACGACTTTCACTTGACCACGGAAACGACTTGCCCGGCGGCCCGGCGGCGGGTCGCATTCAATCGGCAGGTTCAGCAGCTCGCTCCCAGTCAACGGTGCAGTCACGTCTCAATTGACGGAAAGGTTGTGGCCTTTCCGTCACTGAATTTTCTGCCAACTGAACATGGATCCAGTTTTTGCCAACCTATTTTGCCAGCTGCGTAGTTGTCTTTTTTGAGAACAGCAATGTAGGGCGGAGCGTGCTTCAAAACCTTCAATTACACAGCTTGCCTGGAAAAGCCCTAGGTGGTGAGAAATTCCGTGACGAAAAGGTATATTGGCAGCAGAAGAATACCGCTAAATGGGAGTGGGAAAAGGCTATGTGACAGGGGATTTTGGGTATCCCAGTTATCTATGTGGCTGAAGCACTTCATGCTGTTGACTGAGTGACAGAAGGACTCTGGCTGTCTTATTGCGCTTTTTCGGAGTTCGGGAGGGCCACCTGTTGAGTGAGATGCCTGTGAGATGCTTTGAGAGGGTCTTCCGTCAACTGAAATTTCCGTCAACTGATGAGACGCGACTGTGCTGTAAGGAGTTCTACAAGTTGGTTTTGCTACCTGCTCCCTACCATCGTACAGCACGCCCGACATGGTGACCGACGACTGGCTGCTCAGGCCCGGCGTAGGTGACCAACCGCCGCTCAGGGAGAAGGTGGTTTCTATGTACGAGGAGCTGTTCCAGGTATGGCGGATGGGAAACCTCTCGCCGCATACATTACAGTCTATCGGCGGCATGAAAAGCACTTTGGGCACAGCCCATCGAAAACAAGCATATGTGGGGTCTTACGCCATTTTCTTTCACGTAGGGCAGAGAAATACCGGCGGAAGACGACGACGAGTACTGGCAGGAGATATTCCTTTTGAAAGTGAACACAAGCTTTCTGTCCTCTGTTATTTCGAGCGCCTCCGAGCCAGAACTGCTCCATCTAGCGGTACGTCCGATTTCTTAAACTACGACCTATTCTGAAACTCCGATCATTAAACCTCTGCATCCGTTCGATAGAGCAGCATCAGCGCCTTATTTACGAGAGCGATTGATACGCTGCATGATAGACTTCCGCTACGGCAGGGGCACGCTGCTCAAACGATGACGATATTGTTCGAAGCAGTGTACAAAAAGTTCCCGAATCGAAGCTTCGATGTCCTCAATGTGCTCACGGGGATGGACAATGCTGATACGGCCTTCAAGGTAGGCGGCTCATCTGAAGGCTGTGGTGGGATGGGATGCAATAGGTCTGACGCATCCAAGACGTTGATAGCGAACATGGCGTTCATTTTGCTTAAAGAAGATTCAGGTAATGTCACTGTTCTTGCGAGGTTCACGCGGATTCGGCTCATATTTATGCTACGAACAGTTGAAGCACGGCGGCCCGTCCTGGCCCTCGCCAAGGCGATTGTAACGGCTAGCGATAATCTCAATCAAAATTCGTTCAACGAGTATTTTATGATGAACGATTTCTTCGACGCTCTGATACGGGTATGCATAACTGGTTATCGCATTCCACACATATCAGTATAACGCAAATTGCTAACAGTTTCCTCCTCGTCATCCGCTCGCAAAGCAAAGACCATAACGGACCCCCTAACGCGCACCCTAGCCTTCGATGCGTCCATCCTGCTCGCATTCCTCTGCAGCTACAACAAATACGAGTCCAGCAACCCATACGAGAGCCGGCTGAGGGACGTGGATGACCGGGAAGTTTTGCAGGCGTTGGAAGCTGTCTGTTCGCTTGCTTGCAAGGATAGCCGGTCGAAATATATGGCGCTGGCGCCGGATGTTCAGCCACCTTCGGCTGGGCTTTTTGGAGCGATTGGATACGTTGGGGATGTTTTGTTTAGAAAGGATTCGCCGTCAAGTCCGCAGCTGGCTGGCACATTGGGGTACGCGCCTTCTCGGGTCACTCATGGGGAGTTGGGTAGCAGTATCGACTGAGCAACGCGGTCTCTTCAGGTGTCGGCAACTGGTGTTTGTCCTGCTCTTCTACGAATGCGTCCGCAACCATCGTTTTGTCGACACTCTAGCGATGACGTTCGCGTCCGTTATGAAGTTTGGCGCGCACAGCTCGCACTTGGCTGCTGGCGCCGGCCGCCTCAATCGATCGCAGTCAGATATCTTCTCCTGGACTCGCAGATCGAGCTCGGCGGGATCATACCCGCAATTGTTGCAGGGCGGTAAGGATCTCTCCCCCACCTACTGCTTTTGAATGACGATTTACATTTCTGATTTTTCTTTGACCCAGACAGCGCGTTGGTGGACATCCTGTCCTTTACTTCCTACCTGTTTCAGAACTCGCGGGATGGCAGAACGATGCTATACACCCGCCTGTGCCTCATGTCGCTCATTCGGCTAGTGGAGAACCCAGTGCTGTGCCGGATAGTGTGTGACATCAACATGGCGGTGGTGATCCGGTTGTGTCGGCAGGTATGATTTTCAACCCGGTAATATTCATCCTAGCCGGATTCTGATTGACACTTCTTGAAACCAGCGTGTTCCACACCTCCCACCAGCCTCAGACACCGCGCGCCCAGTCTCCCTCGCCATCCTCGACGTCGCAATCACATTCCTAAACCACAATCTAACGAAAAACCTAGACGTTACGGCCTACACACACTGTATAACAGTCATCCACCGCTTGCTGACATTTATCATCAGCAGCGCACGCGTTTCGCAGATCGACAGACCGAAATCGTCGAAATTGACGGGCGTCGTCGCGTACCATTGGGCGCAGGTTTGGCATGCGATTCTGAATGTTGTCCGATTTGTTGTGCAGTTTAGGGAAGCGTTTATGATGAAGGATGATTTGGTTGCGGAGTTGTGGTCGCAGGTATGCATGATTGGGGTTGGTTTCTATGGGGCTGGTGAGGGCACTTTTACCGAGTTTGTATGGTTTTTCGTTGCAGATTGTATCCGTCTTCAACCTTTTCATGTGAGTAGTCTGATCGGTTTCGCTTTGTATCCAGTACCAAACGGAAAGCTAACGTTGTCTTGTTCATCAGCACGTACGGCGACAACTTCCTGCCCGACTCGGACGGTCTGGACGTGCTCTACTACGAAATCATTCGCAATGCTCAGGAGCTTACAGCACTTGATGGTTCTGGTATGCCATCAACCTATATCCCATTTCATACGGCCCGGCAATGACAAATGCTCATTTCATTCTCCACCTCTTACTCCCATCACAGTCCAACGGCGCCGCTCCTCCACCAACCTCTCCCCCACCCCCTTCTCCCCAACCTCCACCCGCTTTCAAACCCCACCATACCTCCAACGAACATCCTCCCACACCTCTCAACACCGCACCTCCTCCGACTATGCCAACATCGCAACCATCATCTCCCACTTCATGCCCAAAATCGAAGAACGAGCCAGCAACTCCGGCGGGATCTCGGCGTTCTTTGGCGCCTCGTCCTCTGATACCGATGTTGCTGATCCTTCTTCACCCACAACAACGACGCCGACAGCATCTGCGGCATTAACACCCAAAGTGGTTATCTCGATCATCCGTCGACAGCACGATACATTGGAGTTGAAGGATATGCGCGACACGTTACTTCCTGCCGGTGCAAATGTTGCGGCAACGGCGGAGAACCCGTGGACGGGGACGGCGCTGTTGCCGTTACATGCCGAGCAGAGCTTCTTCAGAGCGATGCTGAGGGCGGTGTCGGCGGATGTGAAGGAGGGGTGATTGGACAGGATGCGGTGGTAATGCTGCACGGAATGGGGACGTAATGCAGGGATATCTTCCTGCCTAAGGCGGTCTCACGTTGCGGCTGGCCCATCGCACGACAAGGAAAGAACTCTGTGGTCAACGGACCGCGCGTAGAAAGGATACGTGATGCTTTGGATACCGTAGACGTCTCGCAACCCGTTCCTACCCCACCCGAACGGCGTACTGGAGACCAGCTCTTCATTTTATTCTTATTTGCTGAGCTCCCCTAATTCCGGCAGATGGTTATTGCTCATTGAGTGCGTTCAATCAAATGTACCTCTTGTGGTGCTTTTCAACATCTTAATGGAAATCATGAAAGCTTTCGATCCCCTCGGAATGTTTCCTCGATGTGATGGCGGTTCCTGTAAAAGATTGATCCTTCCTGTCCTTGGTTTATATGGATCTTTGATATAACAGAGCGCTTTCCTGCATTCATCTGGTCACATTTTTCATGGGAACTGGAAGAGATTCGGTCAAAGGGTTGAGTCCGCTGGTGGAAAATGACACTTCTAACGGTCATGGAGACAGTCTGGGGCAGGTTCGACACAAGCAAGCAACGTCAGTCCCTAGCCATCTGGCAGTGTTTCATTTTCGTATACATAACTCACACTCAGTCAAAGCGCCGTGGATGTTCTCTAATACTCCAAACCCATCCCCAGTCCCAAGTTCCAACCACATCTGGTACCCCGCTTTCCAAATAAACATATCCTATCCACCCACCACCATTGCACAGTTCCTCACTCAACCCCTCGCCAACATCAGCTTAACCTTAGTCCGCACCTCCTCCACCGTCCCTCTCTTCCTCTCCATCAACCCATCCAGCTCCCTCACATAACTCTCAAACTCCGACTGCTGCTGCGACATGTCTGACGCGGACGTGTTGTTGCCCATGCGCATCGTGAGGTTAACCAGCAACTTGCTCTCGAGCCGGTTGATCTCGGTGATCTCGCGGATGTGCTGCCGGTGCAAGCGGATGAAGTCGTCGACGGATTCCGCGTCAGTGCTGGGTGCGGGTGGTCGGGTGGTTGTGGATGATGTGCTGGCGGCGGTCGGGATGGATGTGGAGGGTGGTGGCGGTTTTGCGAGGGATGAGGCGCTGGTGCTGACGTTGTCCTCAGACGATACCGCCGACGAGGAGGTCAATTTGTCTTTGGAGAAACCCCCGCGTGGGGTTGGTTTGGGTATCGATTTAGGGACCTTGCTACGCGTGTTGTACCCTGTTGCCGCCGGTTCCTCAACGGCCGCGACCGGTTTCTGTACTGGTTGTGGCGCTTGCGGAATCACCCGCTGCGCCTGTTCCTGCACATCCCGCGTCGGCTTCTCCATAATGGGTCTCGTCAAGAAATCCGCATCCTCGTCGTCTGTAAAATCCGGTGGCAGCGGGTGGTCATCATCATCCTTCAACGGCGCATCGCTAAACAGGAAGTTGTCCTCCTCGTCAAGATCGCTCACGTTCCGATCGTCGTCTGAAAGATCGTTGTTTTGGTTGTCGAACTGGGGTTGATGGCGATGACGTCGCTGCTGCTCTTGGTAGGCTTCGTCATTGTCGTCGTCTTCAATTTGACTATCGCCTTTCAGTTCTTTCACACTGTGTATTGGGGAGGAAAGTAAGTTTACCATGCATTTGTGAGCCTCATCAAGGATGGGACGTACCGGTCAGCGTAGCGCAATGTGTTGAGACTGTGCTCGCTGTTTGACATATTTGGCGAAATAGTGGCAATCATACATGTCCGCGAGTTTCTACGTATCCACGGACGAGAATCAGACACTCCGACGTGGTAATTGTTATATGAAGTTTCAAAATGCACACATACCCAATGAACGAGTCTTTCAACACCTGGAAAGAAAGAAATGTCAGAACCAGAGCCCATATCTCAAAAATCATGAAGTACGGGGGTTCACGCTTACCTGAGTCAGTTTACTCTGCCGGAACGGCGTATGTCTCGACTCCTGATCCAGCGCTCGGATACATTCTTTCAACGCCAGCAAACTCTTGTTGATTTCTGATCCTTCCATTCTGTCAAGTGCGAGCCCGTCAGTTCCATACCACGACCACGGGAACCATCGCTTCTGCTAGTCTTGTGTCTGACCTGGTCTGCTTATCCGCGTCCCCACGATCAGCACCTCGTTCGCTGCCCGCCAGGTCGATGAAGCTCAGCTTGCCTATACGGACGGCTTGTTCAGCATTTCCCGCAATTTGAAGAAGAACCTGTCGCATCTTCCATACCTGCTAGCTTCTTCGACTTCTTATGCTTGAGGACGATCTGAAAGATGGCGTGAGACCGTGACGAGTCCGCGTTTGCGCCGGTAGCACCTTGAATCCCGATCCAAGTCAATCCGATGCAACACGTACGAAGCGAAAACCTCCCCAGCGTCCATAAAACACCCACCAGTACTCCTCGCACTATTCCCAAACTCAAAGATGCTCATCAACCCCTCCACATCTTTAACTTCATGTTCCTGCAACCCCGCAATGCAGACTTGTTGCTTGCCATCCTCACGCGCAAACAGCTTCTTGCGTGAGTTGAGCAAGTCGTACAGTTGCCCTTGGTAGATCTCGTAGAAGCTGCCCCAGGCCGTCAGGTGCGCGTGTTGCGGCTGCTGCAGGGTCGCGAAAATGTCCCGGCCGGCTTTGACGTAGAGGCCGTCTTTTTCGTCCAGCATAGTGTGGGTTTTGCCGCTACCTACATAGTTTCACGTTAAGATGGATATCGCAGCGACACGTGGCTCCACAATGCTTCCTGTATACCTGTTTGTCCGCTACAGATGCAAGATATCAGAATTTAGAACGGGTTGTGACTGAACGACCCCCACTGGAACTTACTACGCGAAGCAGGTAGCTTTTCCTCCTGTGAAAATGTATTCCACGAGTGGAAACGCGGTTCGTCGATACACCTGCAGGATGGCTCAGCTTTGGCGATGTCGACCGTATCTCATCATATCAGAAGCGAACGAACGTACATCATCGTTCGTGCAGTGTGAGTCGAAGGCTTCGTCAAAGACGAATTCATGCTGCTCGACGTATCTCGTCAAATCCACTTTGACCCTACAAAAGCAGTGCCAATCAGCCATCTGAACAGGATGTTCTGTCGCGGTGATGCAATGCCAGTACATACTTTGGCTCGTTGATATTCACAGTCCTCCGTCCGGTCACCGTCGCAATATCACTCTCATTCCGCTTCCGCTCCTTCGAGTTCAACGGCCTCTTCCTGACGCACACACGGATCCTATCGCTCAGACTCGAATTTGACTTCGCAAGATTCTGCGACCCCGCCGCCGCCAGCGGTATTCCATACGCGTTTAGCACTGCCTGCGATTTCCTAAACTTCACAGGCGTTCGACCATCCTCGTCCGCATCATCGCTTCCGTTTCCACCGAAAGAGTCGTTGTAGCGGTTGCCGCCGAAACTGCCAGACGGCGGGCGTATGCGTCCTGAACTCGCTACGCGGCGGAGATTACTGTCCTCGCGTTGCGATGATACTGGCTGTTGATATGTCTGCTGTTCCGGGGTGACGTTGTGCAAACTGGATGCTTTTTGAAGCAAAGCCGCTGTTGATGATGCGTCGGTATTCAAGCTAGGGAACTCCGCTGAAAAGCAATACCGTTCGTGAGAACTAGCCCGGGGTTCGTCATGCAAGCTACGGTCTTACTTTTAAGCATTTGTATCAGCTGAAACCTGCGGGTTAAACATCAATGATTTAGCGTTCCTCCACGGGGAAGCCATACGATCTAAGCATAAACTTACAATCCTAAGGAGAACATAGTTATGTTAGGGAAGGTTTACGCATGGGAAGAGTGATCTCTGGCTTACGTTTGCGGTCTTCCATACTATGCACCCCGACAATGCCATAGTCCTGCATGGTCAGCTGCACCAGCGTCTCCACATCGTTGATACCCACTACAGAGAAGTTACTGTAGTACTGCTCTGCGAGGTTCGGTTTTCGTCGATTTGTAGGAAGCCGGACGGAACATGCATGAAGAAGCTGTGGTTAGGGGCGGTTGCAATGAAAAAGAAACCAACGGACACCGAATTCTAACCGAGCTCAACTTGACGCAGCGTCTCCAGCAACAAAGCCTGGCCGTTCATTCCGATCTCCCTCGTGTCGTGGTATGAAGTTCCCGCTTCAGTTCCGCAAGATCATCACCGCTCCCCGTGTGTTTATGTCTTCCTGCGCTAATGAAGGCCTGAGGCCTGCTCCGAAAACTTTTGGGCGCTGGGAATACCCGTACGCTTCCCTACAGTATGTGCTGGCCAGGAGAGCGGTATCCTCCGGTGGACACCTGCTGGGTCCAATGTTTCTTTGGCAAAAGACGGACAACGATTCCTGTGACAAACAGAGCACACGCTGGCATGTCCGGAACCTGACGTTTCAGACCTGGTTTCAGACTTGGACATTTTCCCAGCGAGCGACTTGACCATGGCAGACCATGGTCGACGGCACGGTGACATCGACCAAGTCCTCTCCAGTTCCATATGTTATCCCCGTGAGACAATGCAACGCTATGTACGAATGATGAGTTCACTCTCACTGACAATGGCACTTTCATGTCCCTTTCCTCGCATACGCAGCAATGAAGAGTTGATACTACTAATACGTCGCCGGGGCCATGAGGGGTGCCTGCTCAGTTCTTATCGGCTGAAACTCAACTCTTCAGCACGTTCCTTTCGGAGTGTGTCTGTCTGTGACCACATGTCCAGCCAATGTCCAGCAACGTCCAACAACCAACGTCTGGCTCATTCCAGCAATAATGGGTCTGAGGTCTCAAAGAGGAAGCAGAGGAAGCGCGCAACTTCCCGCAGCTTCCGCCTTGCTGCTATCACCAGGAATGTCAGCCCGTCTTTGATTTCAGACAACCATAGTTCCACCGTAGTGTTATGTACAGCACATAGGTAACCTCGAACAACTCCAAGATGCCGTCCGATACAGTACGAAGAGAGGCCTCCCACGCAGGATCGTGGTATACGGGCTCAGGTGGGTGTCAACCATCTTCCATCTCTACGATGGGTTGCTGTCAGGCGGGCTATCGGAGAGTCGTGATGGATGTGCGGCCAAAAAGTTCACGAGTGTCCGCGGAGGCTGTTGTGTTATCCCGTTGAGATCGTAGTCCACCATGTCGTCCCAGGGTGACTGCTGACCTTCCCACCCACTTGCAGGAGGCAAACTGTCCACCGAGCTCGACTACTGGCTCTCCAAAGTCCCGACGACCTCAACAACGGGGTCCCTGAGCTCTCATGACCTACCCATCTCCAAATGCCGCGCCATTATCGGACCGTGAGCTTGAATGCTGCTTGAGCTGTCATAAGGGGATATGGTGATGGAAGGTCTCACTCCGAGTTATTAGGCATGCGGGATACTCATACAGCGGACCGACCGCGGCGTACGCGTACAAATGTGTAGATGCAGAGCCTATGTACGTACCTGAGTGTGATGAGAACATCGCATGCATTGACGACGGACATGAAGCTAAGGCTGCTCCCCCTTTCGCAGAAAACGCGTGTTCATTCTGGGGTGAGGAATAGCGCACTGCGAGACTTACAATGTCGGGAGCTGATTATCTGCTTCCTTGGGTAAAGGCCGAGCCATCATGTATACCTGGACGGATGTGCGCTGTCTCAGTGCACGGTCTATGAGACACCGCTGGGAGATTTACAATTGGATCTGGAGGGTTGGTTATTGATGGACACTTCACGGATGGAGACGTGAAAGGACTCATGTCGCTTCCGTCTAGTGATCGAGGAGCTTCGAGCGACGGGCAAGTTCTCGGAGATGACCCTTCAGCAGGATGAGGATGAGCATAGCATCGAGATGCATATTCCGTATCTGTTCAAGATCATGGAGTCGTGAGTTGCCATCATACTACCCACGAAACCTTGCGCAGCTCTGGTCGTCCCAACGCTAACTTAGCAGATGTAACGCAGAAAGACAGAACCATACACCGTCATCCCAATCCTAGTCGGCTCCATCAACGCCACCAAAGAAGCCCTCTACGGCAAGCTCCTTGCCCCGTACCTCTCCGACCCCACCAGCCTCTTTATCATCTCCTCCGATTTCTGCCACTGGGGCCGTCGATTCTCATACACCAACAAAGGCCCCGCGGAAGACAAAGCGAGCGGGATGCCCATATATGAGGGAATTGAGAGTTTGGATCGTGAGGGGATGGGGATTATCGAACGCGTTGACCCGACGGCGTTTACCGAGTATTTGAAACGGACGAAGAATACGATTTGTGGACGGCACCCTATTGCGGTGCTGTTGAATTCTATTGTGGCGCTTAAGGAGGTGAGGCAGGTCTTAGGCGCGTTCTGCGATGGGAAGGAGACCCGTTCATCTTCGAAACCTCCCACCTGCAGGCAAACGCAACAAAAACAGCAGAAATCAAGTTCACGCACTACGCTCAGTCTAGCAAAGTCACTAGCGACAAGGATAGTTCCGTATCCTATGCGTCGGCGTATGTGTATCTTGATCTCTAGTACCGTGCTACAGCACGGCTCCGATCGACAGCGATGGGCGGCTGAGCGAGCCCAGCATAAGGAACTTCCTGCCCGAGTCCAACACATCGCCGCCAAGAAATGTATTATTTTGATAGTTCGTAGCCCTAGGTTTTTGTTCGGTTTTGGTTTTGAAAAGTCTCCCCGCTGTATTCTTTTTTTCTTTTTGCTTAGTAGTACGTCGATAGCTGGTTCGGTCGCGATAATAATGTAAACCATGTACCTAAAGGAGGCATATTGCAAATTCAATTTCAGGCTATGGCTGAATGTGCTGCTGAGTTTTGGTCCTTTAGCATGGGCTAGATAGCTGGGAGCGCTCGCTTTGCTCGCTGATACTTCAACCTCTTGCCACATCACTTCTGCATAGCTTTGGGTTTTGGGGCCTCGAGGCTCCCATTTCTGCTCAACTTCGACACCATGTCACGCAAGTATATAAATGGAATAGATGACAGGAATACGACAGCGCGCTCCGACACCTTGTCGACAAACGCGTTTGAGGTCCCTTGCGCTGATTTTCCGATTCCTCACTCGGGAACCTGAAAAGGTCACAAAAACGATAAGAGGACCTGCATGTCGCCCCGATCCTTCCCCAGAGTCGAAACTCGCAGACGCACCGCTGCCGGGAAAACTGATGTCCATGGCAAACTGCTTGCTTGTGAACTGATATGATTCTCAAAGACCGTAAACCGCAGCTGCCCATGGCTGTGGACGGCGCCCGGTTTGTAGACCGGAACCCGGAATACCCTGTCTGGCCCCATGGTAGGAAACGCGACCCAGGAAATCCCGGCCCGAGTGCCATGTTCAGTCGACAGCCCGCTCGCGTGCGCGTATGGACTGGTTTGCTATTCGAAATCCTCTTGATAGTGCTGCGAGGCTGCTGGTGACTTGCGCGGGCACTGCTGCAAACCCTCGTGACAGGAAGTACCGAACAAGCGCTAAGCGAGGGGTTTCTAAGCTCTCTCTTGCGGTGCCCCTATTGTCGTCTGACAAATCTGCATCGCCAGGGCCTGGATAGCTACCCGGTCGTGATCGGTAAGGAAAGATAGCCGGTGGCGGGAATAGTGACCAGACCGGCGACAGGCTCGTAGCACAAGTCGTAGAGCTTCTCCTATGTAGGCCACTAAAGACCCTCCAGATGGCTGGACATGGCAGTTTAAGAGGACGGACTTCCTATAAAAGCCAGGGCAGATCCGCCGACATCCCTCATTTTTTCACCAAATCAAAACCAACCAACAGTCAAACAGCCATCCCAACAGCCATCTCAAATCAACAACCCATTCCTGCTCCATCACCAACAAGCCCAAAATGGCCCGTCCACTCTTCGTCTTCCTCGCCATCTTCCTCGCCATGTTCGTCGTCATCGACGTCGTGAACGCCACGCCGACCAACACCCTCGAAGTCCGCTCGGGATGCTGGAGCTGCTGCAAGAGGTGCTTCTGCCAGTGCGTTGCTGTAAGTTCATCTGCAACTCTATTCATATATCTGGTATTTACAATCTACAGACGCTGACTTTATTTTCTTTTCCTCTCTGATAGCACCCACCTCGGGACCAGGTTGGCAATTACAACACCTGCGCGCTTCATTGCGGAAACAGTGAGTGTCGACATTCCATCACCAGATGTTTGAAAGGATATCGGCTCACAATTTTTTCTCGCTATAGAATGCACGGCTTGGCAGATGGTCAAACTCGCCTTCCACCGCTGCTAAAATACTTGGCTCAATGCTCGATAACCCAACGGCGCCTTCTCGTTTCAGCGATAGAGCCTAGTGCTCTTTCGAACTCTAGATTGAGATATTCCCGACACATAGACCTGTATAGACCAGGGGCTTGGCGCTTCCTTTTCCGCACATGTTACATAGATTTTCCTTTGCTTTTTCTGCTTGTATAGACTGGTGAATATGGAAGTAGATTTTTTGACGAATTATAACCAACCGAATGCCTTTATATGTGTACGACAAAGGCGGAAATCCGATCAGTAATATAGGTCTCATGCAGAAAGAAACCGAGTTGTCGAAAGCCGTCGGTGGGTGGGACAGAGCGAGCGCGATATGAACTTTTCAGCTACATGGACTTGCGAGAAGTGCAGCACATATTCCGTCTCTCGCATCCTCCCTCTCACGGCACTTGTTTGGCCTCTCTCACAGAGGTCTGACTATCCCGATATCTCGAGCGAAACGGTAAGCGGAAATAAACATACATGTTGGGGTTGTGGTTCCCCAACGAACTACCTTCCAAGATTTCCGCCCGCTTGACCAAAGGTGTCTGTTGACCCTGCTCCTCCTTGTAGATCACTCCCACGAAGCGTCGTTAACGACCTTTTCCGAAAAAGAGCCTTCGCCCGTTCTCTGGGGCGCATCCCTTCCCCCCGGCGCAACGTCCTCCAGCCACCACCACCCCACATTACCAAAATCACACAAAATGTCTTTCCACGCGGAAGAACAATCCAACGAACTCGAAGCCCTCCTCTCCATCTTCCCCGACGAGTTCTCCCTCCTAGACGCCGGCCCACCCGCCCATTTCCACATCCACATCCAACCCGACGTCGAAAGCCTCATCCCGCCCTCGGACGACCATGACGCCACAACACCCCGCGAAGCCGTCGAATTCTTCCTCGACATCACCTACACCGACACCTACCCCGACACGATCCCGTTGCTGGAGCTGACGGAGGTCGCCGGGTTCGACGCGGGGGAGTGTGGGCAGATCGTCTCGGAGCTGACGACGATGGCGGAGGAGAGTGTGGGGATGGCGATGGGGTTCACGTTGGCGGCCGGCGCGAAGGAGATTGCGGAGCGGGTGGTGAGTGAGCGGATCGCGGCGCAGGAGGCCGAGGCTGCCGCCCGGGCCGCGGCGGAGGAGGAGGCGGAGCGGATCCGGCATGCAGGCACGCGGGTGACACCCGCCTCGTTCGATCAATGGAAAGCGGAGTTTTTGGCAGAGATCTCCCACCTGCTCAAGACGAAGGGGGAGGAGGCGCTCTCGCCTGCGCAGAAAGCTGCGGCGGCCGTCGCGGGGTTGTTGGACTCCATAAAGGGCAAATCGGGCAAGTTGACGGGGCGGCAGTTGTTTGAGAAGGATAGGACCCTGGCGAGCTCTGATATGGCGTATATTGAGGACGGCGATGTGACGGTTGATGCGGAGTTGTTTGAGGGGATGGAGGATCTGGATGTGGGGGATGATGAGGAGGATGAGGAGGAGAATTCGGTTTTGGCCGGAATTAGGAGTAGTAGAGATGACTGAGGAATTAGCGACGACAACCATACCCCCAGCTGTATCCGAGAATAGATTTCCCTTGCTGCATCCCCAAGGATCGAGTTTCGCATAGCAAGCAGCGGAAGGGGACGAACACTCCTCCACCACTTCCTTTTGCGATCGTCAACCTCACTTGCGTAACATTGTCAACTACAAGCGTAGACTCCCGTCATTAGCATTAGAAATAGGCGCATTAGCGTCACGTTCCATGATACCTGATACCGGTAACTTCCCGGTCGAAGCAAAAGCACATTGAACAAATGGGCCAAATGATTTTGAGTTATCCTGTTCGACAAAATGTTGATATATTGTTATCAACAGCAGGAAATTGGGGTTGCTTAACAACTAGTTTTTCTGACAACAAGACGGGGATGCCCACACAGGAGGTTCGAAAGCGAACAATTATTTACAGAGTAAGACCAACAGCCAAGAGGGAGGGGTCCATGGAGAGGATGTCTCTGGTGCATGTCAACGCAGACAAGGGGAGAAAAATTCATGTGTTTAGACCTTGGCCTCGAAAGCTTTGCTTCCCCATTCCGGGATGCCCTTCACAGGTTCCGGCGCCGAGTTAGCTCCTGCAGTCTGCGCAACCTGAGCAAGCTTCTCATCCAGAGTAAAGATGAAATCCTTCAAGTTCTTCTCGATCGCGTTCTCGATTTGCTTCTTGGCGGTCTTGTTGAGGATAGGCTTAGCGACCTTGTACAAGATATCGTGGTGCGAGTCGTGCAGGCGCAGGTCGAGCGACTTGACGTTGCAGCTGACTTCCGAGGCGTTCAACCAGCGGCCGTCGGCGCCGGCTTCCGCAGCGCGCCCAGCCTCGTTACCGGGGGTGAGCTTGATCTTCACGCTGAGGCCGTCGCCCTTGATGTCAAAGTCCGCGAGACCGACGTCGCCGGCTTTGAAGAATCCCTTGTGTTTGTTGAACAACCAGGCAATGTCGCGGGCGCTGGCTTCAATCTTGGAGATCTCGATCGTTACGGCGTTGTTGATCTGGTCGATGGCCTTTTCCTTTGACGCGTCGACGGTCGTGTCGGTCACGATGCGGATGTATTTGGGAAGGATGGTGGAGTGCAGGATGATGTTGTCGAAGATCATGTGGTAAGTGCCGTCGTCGGCCTCGACACGCGGGATTGGCAAGTACGCGAGCTTGTCGGCGATGAGCGGCACGACCTTGGCCAAATCGGCAAGGAGCTCGGGCTTAAAGGCGGGTTTGCCGCGCTCGTCAAGGAACAAGTCGTTGATCAACTGCGAGGTGTCGGACTGCAAGCGGGCAGTAGCCTTGTTGGCGGCCAAAGCAGCGGCAAAGGCTCCGGCCTCGTACGAGATGTTTTGCGTGTGGTCACCGTACTTTTCCAACGCACGACGTCCGCGCTCGACCAACTCCGAGGCGTCCTTCTCGAAGGAAGACTTCTCGGTGTAGCCAGGCTGGCGGAGGGTCTTCTTCAAGTAGGTAGAAAGGTCGTGCCAGAAGGTGGTCAACTCTTTGTCGTCGCGAGCCTCGGAGGCAAAGTCGCGGATGACCTCGATGAGAGGGTCGAGGGACTTTCCGTTGGCAATGTTCTCGATCAGCTGTTTCGCGTTGGAGATGGCGATGCGAGAGTCCTTGGAGGCCTGGATCTCGTCGGGGTTGGTGGGTGCTTGGGCTGTCTTCTCCACAGCCGTCTTTGTCAGGTCCTTAGCCTGGTACGCAAGGGGGGCAAGCAAGTCAATAAGGTCGTCGATGCCCTGCTGGAACTCGGGCTTTGATTGAAGCGTCTTTGCGACCGACTTGAGGCGGCGAACGATATCATCACGCTTGTCATCGGGCAAGTTGATAAGCTTGCGCGCGACACGCTCGCCCGTCTGGCGGACTTGCGAGGAAGGGTCACGGAGTTGAGAGCTGGCCTGGTTGGCGTAGTCCTTTGCCTGCGAGATGACGCCGTGAGCTTGCGCCTGGGCTTGCTGCTTGTAATCCCCAGTGGTCTTCTCGCCGGTGTACAACTGAGCTCCCTCACTGCGGATAGCGTTGGAAGCCTGGTTCACTTTGTCTTCGGGTAAGCGAGACTCGGCCTGGTCTGCCACGACATCGACAATGTTCTTGGCGGTGTCACGCAACGTGGCGCCGGATGCGAGGGAGTCTCCCGCCGTCTGGTACGTCTGCCTTCCAGCCTCCTGAGCCTCCTGCCCAGCCTGCTGGGCCTGACCTTGGACCTGCGCCTGGGTCCCCTGAACGGTTTGCTTTTGCTCCTGAACCTTCTGTTCGGCTTGTTGGCGGACGTCCTGGGCGGCACCTTGAAGGCTGCTGTGGGCTCCAACCTTGTCCCTGGCCTGGGCAGCGGCGTTACGGACAGACTCGGGTGCATTCGGGTCGCTGGCAAGGTCATCGCTTGCTTCCAAGACGTTAGAGCGGACGATGTCTTGTGCGATTGAGGAAATGTCGGTGAGGAGGGTGCGGAATTCGGGAGAAGTAATGATGATTTTTGCGAGGTTGGCGGAGGTGGCACCGGCTTGAACCAGACGGTCAGCAGCTTCGTTGGCCTCTGTAGGGTTCAAGAGAGTTCGTCGCTGGGCAGACACTGTGGTTGAAGAAACGGAGAAGGAAAGGTCAGATCAAATGCATGGGGTGTTTGAAGCGGTTTTGACGCCGTGGCAAAATGGAGCTTGCTTAGGGCGACAAAGCATCACAAAGAACTTACGATTTCCGTAGTAGACCACATTCTGCAATTCGTTGTGAGCGTTAACCTGCTTAAGAACCGTTTGCGTCGACTCCAAAATACGCTCAGCGTCGACAGCAATCTGTGGGAAAACGATTCAAGGAACGCGTGGGGAAAATGAGGTCAGGGAACTGCGCAGGGAAACGAGTGCAACCTGAACGCGTGGGGGAGGCAGCAGAAAGATGGAGATTTCCAACTTACCCTCTTTCCCGATGGGCTCAAGTTCTCAGCGTTCTGATGCAGAGCGTTGGAAGTCTGAGCGTCGTGGAGACCGCCTACGATCTGGTTGGTCGTTGGGAGCCTGCCCTCCTGAAGCGCGCTAGTGACCTCACGGGCCTTCTCGATACGTTCGCGTTCAACGTCGACGGGCATGATTGTAGATGTATAGTACAGTAGTCGTAGTGGTTTAGATAATGAGTAGATGGAGCTTGGGAGCTATATATGAAGTTGCGACGAAGAAAGGTCGAGTCGTGGGATAGTTGGTGTGTTTGTGTTGCGAGATGAGGGAATTGGTGGAAAGACAGAGGCGCGTCGTGCTGGCCCGTAGTTTCTTATATACCGCGCCTGCAAGGAACTATGACGCTGCGGAAGGTGTAATCCTTGGCGAATCTGGCTACAGCTCTGATGATGATGAGAATCGGATTGAGCAGCTCCTGAACTCGTGCGTGGTGGCGGGACAGAGAAGGAAGGCGCAAGTTCGAGGAAGAAAGGGACTCCGCGCGACAAAAAAGGGACAGATGACGTTGTGGCGATCCCCGTGCGAAAGAACACCCGCCTCCCTTTCACCCACACACCGTCAATCGCCCCATACAAAAAGCATATTCAGCCTCACCCAGCCCAGCAGGACAGCCTGCGAACGAGGTTTACCGTCGATAACGGCTGTCATCAGACCCAAGGCAGAGAGCCCAGACCAAAAGAAGTGAATTAGTGAAGGTGACGCAATTCTGGTGAGGCTTTCGACATCCAGAGCGACAGAGGCAGATCGCCGGGCACAAAACGCTCGGCGGAACGTCCCATTTCCATACTATATATATATGGTCTGGACTCGCAGATGGACGCTCGATCTTCAAATTCATGAACCCGGGGGAGCCGATCTCTGCCTTCCCATCAGCGATCTCTTCAAAGAGCTAATCGTCCATCGGCGATATACAGTAGGTGGCCAAAAGTCCGGCGACGGGTTCGCCAAGCCTTCGTGTGCAACCCAAAAGTCAACGACCAGGTGCCGTCAATTTGCGTACTTCTTCAGATGGGCAGGCAGGCCGGCGACTTCTGCTGGTGGCTATGCTGGGGATGATGTGTCCTTGTCGCGTCGTACCCGGACTTTTGGCCACCTACTGTAGCAGATGCCAGGGGACCCTCATCATTTCCCAACTCACACAAGCCTCATGTCTTGCCGACGACGGATGCAAAAAACGGGCCATGGTTGTGAACGTGGGGGAGGCAAACTCGTCGTCATTCCCGTTTGGTGGCGATGCTTTTCGGCATCTGCTGTGTGCGCAGCCTATTCGCGTGACATCATCTATCAGCAATTACGCGCACGTGAACTGTCTGACAGCATCTCACCGAGACCTGTCAGTTCGGTGGAAAACATTCGACAGTTTTGCATTCCGGTTTCCCCTCGTCTTCAGCCCACCGTGCCGATAGAATGAAAGGAAAGCAATCAAGCGATTCTGCAGCCACAATTGAAGAGTCTCTATGTTTCTGCATGCGTTGGGAGCCAGAGCGTCAGCGGTCAGCTAACAGTATGAAACCCTTCCTTTGTGGAAGTGTGGATTTTTGCGGCGGCTCATCTTATGGCGATTGTGGAAAAGGGTGGGGGCTGCGAGGGTAAAGACCTCGGCGCCGCAGGTACTACCAAATGTTCAAAGCAGGCAAACTGGACGAGCTTGTGGGACGTCTGAGAGGTGCGTCAAGGTGTATCATTGAGATGATAGCTGTGTCTCCTGAGGAAGGATGTGAGGCGTGGTATGGAGGGATGTACGGATGTATGGATGTGCAGTTAGGCCTTATTCGAATTGTGGAGAGATCGAAATACACCTCCATATGTGACAGACCACTCCCCTGGCACACCGTCTCCAGTTTCTATATGTCTTACATAATCTATGTCACAACAAAGTTCGTCCCTGCTACGTGATTCCAATCACGACACCTGAAGGCAGTAACCTTAAACCGCCGGCTCTCCTTCCCCACCCTCCACCCGCACCTTCCTCGCCTCCCTACAAAACTTATAATGCTGAAACAACGCCCTGCTCTCAATAAAGCCCCTCACCTTCCCACTCCCTTTCCCATTCCCATCCGCGACACATAAAGGACACTGCATGTTCAATCCCACAGCGGGTTTAAGCGTCTCGAGATGGAGCTGCATCCCCCAGGAACGCCGCACGACCGCTTGACCGCAGATGGGGCAGGGTGTGTAGTCGTAGTCTGCTGCGGGGGTTGTATCGATCGTATCTGCCGTTACCGCATCATCAGCAGGGGGATGCGGCAACATCTGTGAAGGCCGCGGATTCGGTTCCAAGTTCCCCACCTGCACAGGCAACTCCTCCCTCCCAACCGTCGTATGTCTATTCACCCAATGCTGCCGTCTCGCATCCCCCGTCGCAAACAGCCTCTCGCACCCATCCTTCTCACACTTATATTTCTTCGCCGCGTCTTTATCGGGTGACCAGTCCGCGCCGAATTTCTGGAGGGTGTGCACCATGTGGACGTGTTGGGTGTATCCGCGGGCTGTGTCGAGTTGTTTGAGGCAGTGTGGGCAGGTTAGGGAGGCGGGGATGAGGGCGAGGCGGCGTTGTTTGGCGGTGTGGCGGGAGGTGGGGGTTGTGGAGGCGGGGCTGCTGGGGGTTATGTCGAGGGTGGGTTTTGGGGGTTTGGGATGGGGACCGGTGGTCGTTCCGTTCGTTTGTGATGTCTCGGTGGGAGCTTCCAAACCGTCGTCTAGGCCAGGGACCAAGAGAGCATCCACGGAAGTCTCCTCCATCCCCTTCCACACGACCTTCCCCTCTCCCCATCCAAACCTGAACAACCGACTCTTCATCTCGCTATGGTGGTTCCGCCTCGTCAAGCCGTTCTTAAAACTCCCGCCGTGCTTGTTCCGCTTAACCACGTATCCCGGCCATAACCGCTCATCAAACATCGCTACCTGGTTCAACCGCAATTCCGACCGAGCCGCCTGTGCCACGACATCCCAGCGCGTCTCCTGACCATCGACCAGCGACACACATACGGATGCAAGAGGATGTCTACGCAGCACGGACGCGACGGAATCGAAGAAATGCGCCATAAGGAACCGATGGAGCCGGAAATCCTCCGTTCCTAGATGCGGGTGATTCCAGATCACGCAATCGAATCCCTCTGCTTCCGCGAGCTGGTTCTCAAAGGCTTTGCTCAACTCCCAGGCGTTGACACCGTGGCGGACTTCGACCCCGCATACGTTCCGGAGCCAGTCGCCTTGCAGTGATTCGAGGATTTCGCGGCTTTCGGGGTATTTGCCGAGGAGCTCTGTACGGTCGTCGAAGGAGGTTGAGGTGATTAGGATGCGACGGCGGGGTTGTGGGGTTGTTGCTGCGGTGGAGGAAGGTAGGAGGCCGAGTAGGGCGAGAGGGATGCGGTTGTAAGGGAGGGAATGCACATCCGAGTGAGGTTTCGAGTGCGAGTGGGATATGGCGCTGTGAGCGACCGGTTTGGGAAACAGCAGGCGGCATAAGGCGAGGGAGAAGGAGAAGTTGCCGTCTCCTAGAATGAGGACTCGGAAAGGCCGGTCGACGTCGGAGTGGAGGTCGGAGTGGAGGTCGGAGTCGAGGGTTGCCCCGCTGGGAGGCGGGACCACCGGCGGTTGTAAGTCGCTGACGTTCATTCTTTCGGTCGGCGTGAAAGCTTCGAGTAAAGTGAGCGAGGAGTAGCAACTCGTCTTTCCCATAATTCCCTGTAAGCCCGAACGTGGGCGGAAAGAGCGAAAGATGGTGCAGAAAAGCAGCGTCACTTTAACTTGCTCGGAATCACGTGAGCACCGACCACCAATTCGCACCCAAGCGTTTCCAACTTTCCATCGTCCTTTGGGACTTGCACCACGCAACCAGGCTGAGCGGACATCGGGATCAACCACCAGTATCGGCCTGCTCATAACAACCGCACTCAACTGAATCTGAAACAGTCATTCGCCTCCGCAACCTCAAATCCGCTTTTCAAAGTTTCGAGAAACCTGTGAGAACGAACTACGCTTACTCACTACGGAACACCCTTTTCGAACGAGCCTGCAGTTCCGCTGCAAAAAGGGGCATAGATCGCTAGAAGGTTGTGAAGCACCATAGAGCCATCACTTGAGCGAGCTATCGTCAACAACGCACCAGCCGGACTTGCGAGCAATTTTCTGCCGCCTCCAGTCTCCCCACCTCCGTTAGCAAAACGACAATCCCCTCGCTCTCTTACTCTATTTGGAAAAATGTCCAAAGCACCAACAACAGCCCACCGCCTCCGTCTCCTCGTCGGCGCCGGCAAAGCAGCCCCCACACCTCCCGTAGGTCCCGCCCTCGGTCAGCGCGGTGTCAAATCCATGGACTTTTGCAAAGCTTTCAACGACCGAACAAAGCACTACGTTCCCGGCGTGCCCATCTCCGTCAAAATGATCATTGAGCCCAACAGGACCTTCACATTCGAGACGCGCAACCCGCCCACATCCTGGTTGCTGCTGCAGGCGGCCGGGATAGAGAAAGGGAGCGCACGGCCGGGCGATGTGATTGTTGGGACGGTGTCGGTCAAGCATGTTTATGAGATTGCAAAGATTAAGGCACAGGATTCGACGTTCAGGGGTGTGCCGCTGGAGAAGGTTGCGAGCAGGGTGATAGGGACGGCAAGAGGGATGGGGATCAATGTTGTGAATTGATGATGGGACGCGAGATGGGGGCGACAGTCAGACGGGATGGAGAGGGAGAGGGAGAGAGTGCTGTGCGGGGAGCGGGGATCCATGGATTTGTCTTGTCGGAACACCCAGTGCGGGCTATCCGGAGGAAATCTATCTGGCATACTCATTCGATGACCCTCAGCAAAACCCAGATAGAGATGGACTGGGGAAGTCTGCGAGGATTGGGCTTACTGGGTCTAAACGACAACTCCTGGATGGGGGGAAGACCATACATGTATTTAACGTTTGCATACACATACCATATAGCTTCCTTTTGCGGAGAACACTTTGCTAGAAGTGTGTGAAGACCTTGGGGCTTCAGGGGCTTTATCCCCGTGGAGCGCGTCTGCAAGACAGCCAACAGACGGCTGCGCGCAGTGGCCAAGGAATTGGGAACATCGGATAACCGGATGAACAGTTCACAACCTCCTTCCCCACGAAGCACTGCTGGCACACATTCCCACGAGCCAACGCCGCAGACTCATAGGAGAGTGCTGTAGTAGTAGCAGAGAAAGGGTCTGCAGCTGCCGTGTTATTCCAAAAGTCGGTGCTTTCATACGCCTCAGCGCGATATAAAAAGCGGAGAGCGGTACCTCCAGGATCAAAGTCATGGACCAGAAACTTAGTGCCGGCCGCGAAATGATCATCACAGACTATCAGGAGGGAGAGAGGGAGGACAGCATGGCCGTCGCAACACGGTCTCCGCCCGACAACACAGTTGCAAGTTCGAGCGGACAAACAAGCGATGCACGAGCGAACCTGTCGCGCGTTTTCAATGCGACCGTAAGTGCTCGTCATATGCCACGATATAGGAGTATGCTTCACAACAGGTCACTAACAAGCCGATGTATCACAGCGCTTTCTCGTGGGAGTCTCCTCCGCTGCAACGAAGGTGGGCTTCGAAGCGGCCAAGTTCTTCACAAAGACCGGTTTAGACGTTGCAAGAGGTGTGGTTTCCGAAGTGGGCCGGACAACAGGTCTCGAGGCCGCCGGCGTGACACCTCTCGCCAATGGCGTCATCTCCGTTGCCGAGTTTTTCGCAATCAGCGGCATCGAGATTGGCCAGTACTGGACAAAGTTCGGCATCTCAACGGCCGACAGGAGCGTCAAGACGCTTGACAACATGTTTGGATCTGGGGACGTCGCCGTTGCGGTTCGGAAATTCATCCAGCTTGTGCAGAGGGAGTTGAAATCGTCGAGTGGAGATGATTCCGCTCTCGCTGATATTGGGACGGTGGATGCGTTTAGGGCGTTGATGGCTTGGATTTCCTTACAGCGCGCTACAAGCGTGCATTGGTGGGAAGAAGGGAAAAGCACTGGGAGACGGCTGAAGTTTGTCAAGTCCAAGCAAGAGGATCTCGACCGGGCAGCGGCAGCTGAAACGGAAGAAGTGGATTGGGCGAAGATCGCTGGGGGCGCAACGGCCGAGCCGGGTGATCTGATCAGAGGAAGCATCGGTGAGCCAGGAATGGCAGCGGAGAAGCGGGAAGCGTCTCCCGATAGATCGAACCCGTCTGGATCTGCCTCTGCTTCTGCATCGGACTGGAGCGCGCTTGGCAACTTTGCGGCTGCAGGATCAGCCGCCATTGTCAAGAGCGATAGCAAACGCCTGTCCGGTAGCAGCGACCGTCAAACCTCCCCGAACCGTGACAGAACCGTGATTGCCGATACGCAACTCCTTCACGATCTCCAACGCTACGCCAAATTCAGCACTGGAATGTACGGCCGTTACCACATCGGCGCCCTCAACGGCGAAATCACCGTTCCGCTGCCCAACTTCCCACCACTCCCATTCGTTTCCAACAATATTGACCCACGACAAACAACCGGTACTGAGGACGATCGGTTTTTCTCGAAACATGCCGACACACCACTCGAATCATTATATCACTCCAGCGGAGTCGGCTCGGACGATAGCGGATGGAAGTTTGCATTCTCGAATGACAGCAATGCCGCACTATATAGCCCGACCGTCTACGTGATCGCGGACCACCCACACAAGCAGGTGATCTTGGCATTCAGAGGTACCAGTTCCTTCGAAGACGTGATGGTTGATCTCAGCTGCGAGTACGAAGAGTTTGATTGGGGCAGCGGCCACGAAATCGACGGGCCCAGCCATGCTCGCAAATCCTCGACGTACCAACAACAACCCGAAAAAGTACATTCAGGCATGATGGCCGCCGCTCGTGAAATCGCATCCCACGCCCACAAATCTGGCATCTTCAAAGCCGTCTCCTCGCTCCTCTCCCAAAACCCATCCTACGGTCTCCTCCTCACCGGCCACTCCCTCGGTGCCGGCCTTGCCACCTGCCTCACTTTCCTCTGGACAGACCCAAGCACCTACTCCACCTCCGCCGCGTCCGGTCTACCCGCCGGCCGCGCCATTCGCTGCTTTGCGTACGCGGCACCGTGTGTCGCATCACCCATTCTCAGCGTGAACGCAAAACCGGTCGTAACATCAATCGCACTTGGCGCCGACCTCGTACCCCGGCTTTCCCTCGGCTCCGTACAAGACCTGGCGCGTATCGTGCGCTGGATCCATAAACGACCGGAAGTCAGGGACCGTACCGCGACGGACTCGGAAGCCGATATTGCGCTGAGGGCTAAGATCGAGGAGGAGTGTCTCGTGCAGGAGAAGCTGTACCCCGCTGGTCGGATTATCTGGGTGTTTGATACCAAGCCGTCAACACAGGGAGACGATACCGCTGACGCCGAAAATGCGCAATCTGTAGCTACTGCGTTTGAGATTGAGGTGTCGCCGGAGGGACATCCGCATATCCCAGCGCCGTTCAACCAGATCGTGTTTACAAGCCGGTTGGGGTCTGATCATTTGCCTCATATCTACCCTGCTATTTTGCAGAGGCTCACATAATAGTTCAGCGGGGTCGTTCAGTGTAGTCCATAGTTTTTGTTTTCGTTGGCACCCACACTTACCGTAACACTTCGATTTGAGCAATGTGCATTTTTGACTTTGTCGTTTCCCGTAGACCCCCGTATATACACCGCGATACTTGCGATTTTGATATCATAATAGACGGTTGCTTCTTTCCTCTGCATCATAATTATTGCTTTCCACGACTTTCACTGTTTGCCTGTTCACCGGAGTGTCGAAGGTTTGGTTGGTGGAGCGAGGTTTTGCGGGTTGCGTTTTTGTGTCCCGTTCTGCGTACGTAAGTTGGCGTAGGATTTTCTCACGGACATCCTGGTTGCAATGTCAGCCACTGCGATAATGAGCAGCAATTGTCCAGCGCACACCACTCACTGCACCCAACGGCGACATTTTAGTTATTGCCGCCAAACTCGATACCTCGGTGGCATATTCCTTACAGAGCGCCGTACTTTCAGACGGCAAAGCCCACCGCCCAGTGCTAGTCGTTCCACAGCCCAATAGTCGCAGCGATGGCCCGCAAACCCACCAAGGCCAAACGGCAACCCATCACCACCCTCCTCCCCCGCCCCGCCCCCAGCATCACCAAACCCACCGCCTCCTCCTCCACCACAACCCGCCTCCGCTCCTCCCAAAAGCTCATTTCCACCTACCACACCCTCAACAAAAAGCTCTCAACACTCGTCAAACAGCACGACGAGCCCGCCGCCGCCGCCGTGCGTAGGGAGATGGAAGCAATGGGTGGACTGCATGCGTATCAGAGGGCGAGTTTGGCGGGGAATGAGAAGAAGGGGATTGTGGCGAGTGAGAAATGGGTGTTGCCGTTTTTGAGGAAGGAGCGGACGAGGGTCCATGGTATTGCTCAGGCGGTGGAAGGAGAGGTTGATAAGGACGCGGACGATGCAACAGTGACGACGGGGACGAAAGCAAAAGAACCGACAACAAAACTGAAGATGTTGGACGTTGGAGCGGTGAACGGGCAAACGTATGCGAAACAGGCGTCGTGGATCGACGTGTCCAGGATCGATTTGAACCCGCAGGAGCCTGGGATTGAGAAGCAGGATTTCTTTGAGCGGTCGTTGCCGAAATCGGATGCGGAGCGGTTTCATGTGCTGTGTTTGAGTTTGGTGGTGAATTTTGTGGGGGATCCGAAGGCGAGAGGTATGTTATATGCTGCGTTGTTTGCATGGCATGCCACCTCCTATCATGCTGGGCGATGTGCTTGGTGTGCAACTAGTCGACCCACCATTTTGCGTTCATCTTTCTAACGCCACTCATCCCCACCAACTGAATCTACATCCTACCCACAGGCGATATGCTCCTCAAAACCCTCCACTACCTCCTCCCCCACGGCCTCCTCTTCCTCGCCCTCCCTCTCCCCTGCCTCACCAACTCGCGCTACATGACCCATGAACACTTCACCGCCATCCTCACATCCATGGGCTACGAGCTCGTCGACCATCATCATGCGCGCAAGCTTGCGTTCTACGTGTTTCGGAAAAGCGGGAATGGGAAGAAGGGCAAGGGAGGGAAGAAGATTGTGGAGTGGCCGAAGAGGGAGATGAGACCGGGTGGGAAACGGAATAACTTTTGTGTGGTTGTTAGGAGGGGTGGGGAGTGAGGATTGCCGAACGGGGGTTACGATCCACCTTGGACGAATCAAGATGCTGTGATCAGTGTTTTGGCGCTGTACCGAATTGACACGGAACAGGCGCTTCCGACAAAGCCCACGCAACGGCTTGACAGATCGGATACTGGCGGGTCCCGTGTGCCAATTCCGGCTCGCCTGTGTCTAAGATGACGTTCCATCGATCACGCCCTGCATGTAGCATCCTCCCTCGGGATGTGAGACCTTTTTGTCGACGGCAGCATGCTCACCGGCGATTCTCGCCTCGTCCACAAACAACCCCCTCGACTCCGTTCTCGGCGGCACTAGCGAACAACATCTCCCACCAATCTTCCCGAAGTGGAATGTTGATGGCCCACCTTCAGTCTGCACAGAGCACGAAGTTCTCAAGAGTTCATGTAGACTCTAACAAGTCAAACCACCTGCCCGCATTCGGTACAGATGCTCTCACCCCGATCCAACGGTGAAGTCGCTTTTTCAAAGCATGCAAGACAGCATTCCTAGGAGCATATGCTCTTCCGCAGGCCTGTGTACGACTTTCGACTCTGACTTTGCATGATAGTTCAACTCATACTTCGAGAAGAGCGTTGCATGTACAGCAATGAGGATGAGGAGGGCGAATGCAGCATCACAGGGCCAGCTGCCCGTGTCATTCGAGCGTCTCCGCCTGGAAGGCAGTCGGGGAAGAAGGATGCGCTTGGTGCCGAATGGGAACTTCATCCCTGTTGCCAATGGGATGATGAGGTTCGAATACAATGTCACAGCTCAGTGAGCTACCCGAACTATAATTGCTATTCCACAATAATCGTAGGTGTACTCATGATAGGTAGCGTGAATAGCAAACACGGGTAGCTAGCTCAATACAGAGCATCACACCTCCACTCTCGCGGAACATCATCTGGCCGGTAGAACAACACGAAGCCCAGGGTGTGATGTAAATATACCTGAAGCCAACACCACCATCATCGCTGCAACTGCTGCTGGTGGTGGTGGTGGTGCTGGTGGTGGTGGTGCTGGTGCTCTCCTTCTCGTTGGTGTCCAACTTCATTCGCCTGCAGTCTCTACAAGAATGTTTGGACATTTCGTCAGAACGAGCACATCCTCTCAACATGGTATGAAGCAGACACAACCACATGCGATTTCGTTCACATACCGGCTGGACTTCATCAAGATGCGTTCCCGTTGAGTGCTGGGATCGGAACCGACGCCATCAGCAAAGTTCTTGCACGCTCTCGTGTATCCTTGGTCGGTGTGGATTGCGACGTCTCGCGATCGATACTTGAATTCGCACGAGCGCCGATTGACAAGCTTCGTGAATCGCAAAGGGGAGACCAGCCAACACCGGAGACGAGGCGGTAAACAGGTCCGCAGCCCGCGGTGAAGGTCGTCCCCTTGAGCTCGACCTATCATCTCCCCTGGAGACGCTGGGTCGATGGTAGAAAGGCGAATTGCCGGACTTGAGCGGCCGTGGTGGTGAGGAGGAGGGAGCTATCTGGCACAGATTGATGACAGAGTTAGCACCTTGTAGCCCTTCATGCCGCATAAACACACCATCGACTTACGGTTTCATTCCCGACCTGGTGAGGGGGCATCAATTGGTGAGAGAGTACATTGGATTGATGAGGTGCATTGGATGGTTGCGCGGATTGAACGAGTTCTTGGAAGTTCAGGGTCGCATCATTCCTCTCCCTCTGCGCCATTGCAGTCCTAGGGAGAGAATTAGGGTTGCAATCTCTCACGTCACCCTCGCGAGATCTCTCGCGTCATCTCTCGTTATCTCGCGGTCACCCTCGCGTCATCTCTCGCGCCACCCCGTCAAACCGCGAGAAGGTTGGCGCGGATGAACTCTTGGCGAATGTTGACGAGGAGGTGGGTGAGCTAGGCGTTCGCGAGCTCGAGTCCCGGAGAGTAACGCGTCTCCGCCATTTGAAAGAGAGGTCGGAGAGAGCGGGGCGCATGAACGAGATATGCCCGATCCAGATCCAACCCCGAACCTCTCAACTCACCTCTACGCCGCCCACGAATCCCCCGCACCCCTCCTCCTCTCGTTCGGACTCAAACTCCTCTCCCTCGCTTTATGCACCCTCCCATTCCCGATCGGCGCGATAAGGAACGTGTCGGGAAAGAACCGCGGGTCGTGACGCGAGGTTGTGTCGACAGGTGCGGAGAGGGCAAGGGTGGACAGCGTAGCGGTGCAGGTGTCGAGGTCGTCGGTGTCGAGAGTGGTAGAAAGGGCGGTTGGGGGGTCCAGGTTGCCGGGGCCCGAATCAGATGGGTGGCATCTGTGTTTTTTTGGTGCTGATAGCTGGTGGCTATCCTCGGCGTCGGGTCTGCGGTTCTTGGAGTTTTGGTTGTCAGTGCAATGGAGTCGTTCAGTTCTCCAAGTTCTCCAAACGGCATTCACAAGCCTTACCATTTTCCGCTGAAAAAGAGGTAGTGTTGCAACCACACTCCGCTTCCCAAAAAGGTGGCGACCTCGCTCAGCTCTGTCCATCCACTGTGTTCGAGCAGCGACGGTGGCGTGCAGGAGGACCACGTCTTCCAGCTGTAGATTTGTAGGGCCGAAATCAGAAACCAGTTTGTTGAGTTTGCAAGTCATGATGCAATGACAATCACCTGCGTGTCGGAGCCCTGTTAGGGTCACTGATCCCAAAGGTGAGATATTCCAGCCGTAAAATGCCGTCTGTCTGGCAGATTTTGCGGACCGGGGGCAAATGAAATCCAGCCAACCATCCAGCGAGCAAAGCCCGTCGAATGCAACCTTTCATGCGTAATAGTACGCGTAGTTCAACATAATGAACTACTTCAGAGAGTCGGCTTTGCCTCGGAATGTATCTCCCCACGACAACGGGTTGATAGTCCTATCTGGAGCGCCGGCTTCCCCGTTCGCTTTCCGGCGGGATCGATAGTGTTCTAGCTCCTCCTCTTGTGTATATGGGTATCGATGGCATGCGAAGGGGTGGTTGAGTGCCGGTTGCAATGCATAGCGTCTCTGGGCTTCCGATGTTGTGATCCGCCGTTTCACCTCTCGCTCCGCGGCGTACTTGCGCTCGCGTTTGGGATCGGTGGTCCATCAATAAGCACAGCCAGATCAGTGCGGGATTCGAAGATGTTTGACCTGCTCCATCTTGACTTCTCATTCCCTTGTAAACCTGTGGCGACGGCATCGGGGCCCCAGGACGAATAGACAATAGACCCGGTGGTTTTTGCACCACTTCGACGCCGGTTGTTGTAAAACTCAATCAGAGATTGCCGGGTCAGTGGGATGAGTGCACGTATGTTCACTTCGAAGACGTATCCGGGGTCTTGATGTGTCCGAAAGACGAGATTAAAGTTTCGCTTGTTGACTCCGACACTGCTTGGTCTGCAGTCACCATTTGCCATACATACGCGGTCCCGTGTAGCAGGTCCCAAGGCCGAACATGTCGCAAACCGAGCGGAGTCGATTTGAACATTGCGTTCTTTAAGGTCCCCTATGCGCGGTTTGGAAGCGGTAGTTAGTGTGCGGGCAACAACTTTGCCATCAGAGCGCAGTATTGAGCTTACCGTGGGCAACGTCCTCATATCCCTCATACAACTCTGGCAGGGTCACAGCATACAGGAGCAGATCGGATACCGGATGTCGTGGATTTCTTCATGGCGATTATCGACCCTTGTATGAGGTGGAGAACATCCAGTGGGGATCGACCATGAATGTCGGCCTTCTCCAGGAATCGCTTCGTCACTGGGACCTTCGTATTGGCAGTGTTCCATTGGTCCAATGGTATTGCGCTCGTAGCAGCAGCGTTCAACCTTGCTCCAGATTCAGCTGCAGCATTTTCATGCCTCCCCGTATCTACACCATTATCCACGCCACCTGCATCGCCCATATCCGCCGCTCCGCCCATATCCTCCTGGTGGTCCTGGTCTTCACCGTCCTCTGGATCATAGACGCTGATTGTATCCGCGTTCCTGTCACCCTCCTCCACACCGTCACCCTCTTCCACACTCATCGCAGTGGCCTCGGTGCTGGCCGCGCCGGTCTTCGTACTCGTGGGGAGGTGGTGGGGCTCCCCGCTCTTGGTCCGGATCAACCCGTACTCCCTACGTATGATACGACGTCCGGTCAGAACGGTACTCGGCGTCGTGGCAAAAGAGAGCAGGTATCGATACCACCCCATTATACCTATGACCGCAACTAGTATCAATTTCCCTCGTCCCATGCAACAACTGCGGCAAACACGACCACAGCATGTTGTTCCGCAAGCGCAAAGCAATTCCATACTCCGAATACTCGAAGTAGCAGTCACTGTCAGCGGCGTCGACGCCTTCCTCCGAAGTGGCAAATGCGATGGCATGCTCGCTTTCGTCGGCGTCGGTGTGCGGTGGAGCAACATAATGGCGCCGATCATCGGAAACTCGCCCTTGAACTCGTATTCGAAGCGCATGCCCTCCGCCGCGATGAAGAGTCTTCCATTGGGAAGGAGATGCCAGTAGTGGCCACTCATACCAGTGCCGTTGGTGCTGGCCGTCCCGTCCTCCGGGTGCATGATGTCGCGGTTCGGCACCTTCAGTAGCTCTTGATGAGGTTGTATTCGCTACCAGTACACATCAACGTCCGTCAGACCAGAGAACGAGCATTTGCGCCAAGCGGTAATATCCTACCGGCGGGGGGGCCTCGTACTCCCACCCATGCAGTCCAATGGGATGAACAGCCTCCCATATGGGAGAACCGGGAGAGATACAGAATCTGGCCAGAGATACAGAATCTGGCCTTCGCTTCGCTCAGTTGGCTTTTGGATACCGTACAGCTGGTACCAAATCCTATTGAGGCACTGCAGCACTCAGGAATCCAGCTCAAAAGGATTTGGTACCAGCTGTACGGCTATGCCGTGAGAACCGCCGAAAACTCGGCCACTGCCTGCTCGAATGACAGGCCCACATCCTCGTACTTGATCTATAAACGAACAGAACTGTGAGGTCTCTGGAAAACTCACGACACGACATGGCCATCCTCATCCTGGGCAAATGCGCTTCTCGTAGCAAAACGGATGGAAATTTGAACAAACCTGGGGAGGGAGGCTGTGGGACCGAGGCAGAGGAGGCGCATGGAGACGCCACCGGCGACATCTGTTGCTGCTGCTAGCTGGGAGCCGAGCTGAGCGTTGAAGGCCGCAGCCCTCCCGCACGACTTGCGCTGCGATCTTCACCCCCGCCGCAAGCCCCGTTCGCCACGCAGGCAACGAGGTAACCCCACACACGCAGCTGCGCCCTGCATGAAGGTAACGCTTGCCTCTTTTCCATGACGCGCCCTGCATGTTGCTCTTCGGACTTTTGTTCCCGTCGCTCATTTACGGACGGACACACACACGGCGGACTGCTTGACACTCCCATTCCGTCCCCACTTCAACAAGGATGTTCTGGGACCTCAACGTCCCATATGAGCCGCAGGCGGTCGCTAACACAGAGCTAAAGAAGACTATCGCCATACTGCACGAATGTAGGTACGTGCGGGTGTTCTCTTCGTAGGGAGTTTTCTTTGAAGGACCCTCATATTGCGGTTGAGATTCGGCCGAGGTGTGCAATAGTACATTTCCATGTTCCCTCATACACTCCGTCTGACGGCTTTCTTCTCGTTTAGTTGGGTATGGGGCAGTTGCATATAACGTGACCTACTCTGGGAAAGAGGCAACTTCCAAGGTATGCTTCGGGGAATGATGAAACGTCTACGGTGCAGGACGTAGCTTATGGAGGTTGACCACTATTTCCCACTCCCCTCAGCCAAATCCGATAAAACCTCTGAAACTAAGCGAGATTGGCATCAAATCCGCCCAAACGACGACCGGTCGCTCGTCCCTGCATCCTTTTATATCCGCAAATGTGGCAGCGTGGACGGATGGATTTCAGCAACTGTCTCGACTGACAGTCATTGCTGATGATACGAGCGCGAATTACCAATTGGTAGGCAATCTGAGAGTTCAGATTGAGTAGCGGACCAGGATCTAATCATGTCCATCACAGACATCAGCAAACTCCAACGCAGCGTCATATGATCTGATTGCAGTGCAACCGACAAACGAAAAGCTCTTCCAGTCAGCCTGCAGCCTGTTCGATGTGGATATTGTATCCCTGGACATGTCCAACCGCCTGCCATTTTTCATCAAAGGACCAACAGTAAATGGGGCATTACAGCGTGGGGTGTTTTTCGAAATCGCTTATGGGGCTGCTATTCGAGGTTAGTGATGGATGATGGATCTCGTGCATGACGTGGTTTGCCGTGACGTATCTTCCTGAGCACGGCCTTTGCCTCTTCCGCAGATGCAACGGCACGAAGGCATCTCATCAGCAATGCGGCGGCACTGGTCCGAGCGACGAAAGGCAAGAATATCCTGATCACGAGTGAGGCCCAAAAGGCAATGGAGATACGAGGACCTTACGATGTGATAAATCTGTGAGTGATGCCAGATTCGATGCTTTTGATGAGGGAACTGATCAGTGACGTTGTTCACCCAGTGCGACCATTTTTGGAATGACTCGCGAACAAGCGAAAAATGCCTTGGACGCAAACTGTCGGGCTGTTGTGTTACATGCTGGTAAGAAGCACTTTCCTTTTGATACCGAGGACACTCTTGCAGAAAGCGGGATCAACAACTGATCTACTCTCCTTGTATCAAACAGCCACCCGACGTCAAACTCACCGCGGCATACTCAGCATGGAGTCTGCCGCATCGTTGAGTGCGGCGAGCACATGGAAGCTTGGGCAGGGTGAAGAGACCGAAGCTATGCAGGAGTAGATGTTAAAACAATAGGGCGTAGAGCTTGATAGCTATACAGTGGTGGGTGGTGGATCGAGGTTAACGGTTGCATCAGAACTTATGTGTATTTATGAAGAATATGGATGGATGAAGGTCGCCCGGCGCAAGCCAGGTATAGCCACGATCGTCGCTAGGCCGGCAGGCTGTCTCCTTACTGTCGTTGTCTGAATGGCGAGCGATGCTCCCCAGAGAGCGGATGTCCTGTTGTTGTTGCTGTTCCTGGATTGTTGACCATGATTTTCAGCCATGTGTCCGGTACCAGCCTGACGAAATCACCGACTTACCAGGAGCGCTAGCTGCTCTCTCAGTTCTTTGACGTGGAGGGTCTGGTGCCGGGCGACACCGCTGAGAGCGCGGATATGATGTTGCTGCTGTTGCTCCTGCTGCTGTTCCTGAATGGGTGACCATAATTTCAGCTCTGTGCCCCGCTACGAAGCCGAGACGAAATGAACCAACTTACCAGGACAGCTACTATGAACGGAAATATGGAAAGAGAACAAGGAAGGAGAGAAAACGCCAAAGCTGATTCAGGACATGGCGGCATACGACGATTACAAAGTGAAGCGGACTCCCGAGGTCTCACTTTCTCTCACTTACCAAAACGCGCAAGAACGACCTCCTCGGCGGGCACTGCAAAAAGGCGAGAAGCATGTTTAGCTACTCCGGTCATCTCTCCGACCTTCAGCACATGTTTCAGTGTGCTCTGACTCACGAGCTGCGTCTCGCGGGCTTCATTCTCCATAGCTACTTGTTTGAGGCGAAGGAGCCGTTCGCCTACTTCGAACATGTTCAAGTAAATACATATCTATCTGCAGCACCGATGCAGCACGGCTTTTGAGCCATCCTTTAATGTAGTTGTCATTCCGTCGTCTGCGTTCCTACAGCGCCTCAGGACGCCGAAAGTCCCGGTTCCAAATTTCGAACGGTTTGCGTAAAAAGATCGATTTGGGGGACATTGGAATGCCGGGAGAGAAAGATGTAGTGACTGCGAACAGTCATCACATCTTTCTCTTCCGGTATTCCAATTCCTACGCTGTGGCAAGACCGCGCCGAAGCTCTTGTATGATTGTTCTTGCCCATCCCACGCGATTTCCAACGTTCTCCAATCCGGAGTTCGTGCATCGTCGTTCGAGATGCTGCAAGCGACATCGGAGCGTTCGCACCAGTTCAATGTCGAGGAATCTCGTATCACATAGGGAGGGAACTCTGACATCGTTGGGGCTTGCAATACATCCATTGTGGCCGAAGGAGAGCCCGTTCATCTCCGGCATTTTCCTGTTCCTCCACGTCCACTTCAGTCAAGTAGTCGAGGGAAATCTCTGTCTTCAATCGCACGGTTGTAATTCGACGGCAAGGTGTATTCGGGATACATTTGTAGAGCAGTTCTCCACTAAACCCATCCCCTTGTTGTCCAGGCACGAATTTAAGTGCGGTCCAGCAAGTTTGTTGATGTAACCACTGATGAACTCCACCACACACCCCTTCGAAGAGTTGCTGATCGTCAACGTAGTTGGCCATCGCCGTCTGTGCCTGCAACTAGCCGGCGCACGGCCCGACATTGGTAAAGACCAGAACTCCGTGATGGGGGATCCTTGGTCGATCTCGCAGGTGTGATTGACTTCTATGCGAAGCTAGCGCGCACCGTCCATCTCAAGCCCCTGCAATGTACGCGCCCGAAAGCCAAGCGGCACAATGCTCGAATGCGACGATAACGCCTATCCAACATGGAGGATGAGACGTGGCGGAAGCACCGGTTTGCTTGTTGTTGTTGTTTTGGACATCGTGACGTACGATTTGATGGCGAGATCCTGTCCCGTTCTTGCAGGTAGAGTATGTCCCGATCCGACGTACATGCTTCGTGCTTTTGAAGAGCATGACCGGAATGCGGCCCAAAGGGCCTTTGCGATCTTCTTTGATTGGGCAGACTTCTAACGCGTACGCTTTGACTTGGGGTCAGGCTTGGACCCAGACTTTGGTTTTGCAGCTGCAGTCAGGCTGCAGTCGTCTTTTGTTTGGGTGGCACAGTGCCCGTGGGTTGGCGTTTGCGTCGTTGTTTCTTTGGAGGAGGGAGCGGGGGTTCTTTGTCATGTACTGTAGCTCCAGACCCGGCAGCGTCCGTCCAGACGGTTCTCGACTTTCAAGTCCACTGCACAAAGCATAAGTACAGTAAAATGGCCACCGCCCTACCCGCGCACCTGCTGCTTCGCTCGCATCTTGCGGCAGGTGGCCTCCGTCTCTCGCCATGATTTACTCAACTGCCTCCGGGTATGCAGAGCCTGGAACTCCGCACTCCCCGCGCAAGAACGGTGTCTCATCAAGTACGACTTCGAAGAACTCGATGGCATTGGGTGCGGACGTGTCTTCAACAACGCCGCGAGTCTCCACATCCAGGCGCTGGATACCAACGCTTACAGCATTTGGGACGGCCCGAACATCGCCTACCTGACCTCCGAGTTTGGATTCCTTTCGACCATGCAATCCGAATTCCTTTCGACCATGCAATCCGACCTGCGTGGCATTGACAGTGATAAGATGCGCAGATATCATCCGAATGCGCCAAAGGATATGTCTCAATGGTCGGCCTTGAGCGCTGATCTCGCGTTCCTCGCTGGGCCGCTCCAAGTCATCGGCTCGGAATATACCGAGCTAGATGGGACCGAGCACATTGACCGCAGCACGGGATATAACGGAGAGATGGCATTCCCATTGCTATTATCAGCTGTCCCTGAGTTGGACGACCCATCCGACGCGGTAGCCTGCAACGCTCTTCTCGCTCGGCTGCAGGTTTCAGAACACCTTCGCGGATACTACGGAATCAGAAGGATCTCGTTAGCAGATGAAGACGCGGTCATGGCGTTTCTCGTCAGGCTGTTCGAATGGGATAGACGATTCTTCCGCGGGTGGTTCAGTCTCGAAAACGATGCGCAAAGACAGACCTTAATGAGACTGCATCAGGCGCTGAAAGACGACAATATTGTCGAGCTGATCGATGTAGATCGTCCAGAAGCGACTTATTACGACGTTGGTCGCGGCGGATGGGATGGGAATTTTTGTTTCTTTGTCTTGTGCAGGAGGGGAACGACGGGCCGGAATGTGGTGGGGTGGATGATGTTCCAGAATTTGCATGATTATGAGACTTTTCATTGAAGAACCTTTCAGGTGTAAGCAACATGTAGCATTATTTACTATATAAGTGAATTCATGTCTCCACATACATACTACGGGAAAGTTGCCGCAGCAGAAGTGGTTTAAAGACCGGGCGTCTATATAGCCTTCCACCTTCTTCTAGCCCTCTCTTTCCTTTACCTTTTTCCCACGAAGACCGAGAATCACCGTCCGTTTTGCACCCACCCACCATCCCTACTGTATATATCGTTGTACGTGTGGCCTCAGTGCCGTCGAATACATCGTGCTTTTTACTGTACCTCCAAAAGGTGCATCTCAGGCGAGAGGGACGGACGGAAGCGCTTGAATCCCGAGAGAGAGCGGAACGCGTTGGTGCCGTGTCTTCTCTGAGAGGCTCTAATAATATCGATACAATGACTGCGTGCGTCATCCGGCGGCAACAAAGACAAGGCCTTTTTCCTTTTGAACAGAACCCTCCAAACAGCATTAAGCGACCTCGTATTCTCCATAGCAACCATGACTCAACTCTGGTCCGCAGACAACAGGGTCCCCCTCTTCGTATTCGGCCTCACTACAGGCATCGCCCTCACCGCTGCAGTCCAATATCTCGTCACAAGCATCTCAGGCACCCCGCTGAACCTCCGCGCCGCTGCCGATGAAGATCGCGACCACCGCTCCTCCTCCTCCTCCTCCTCACAACAAGGCCCCGTCGCCCAACGCAAGAATGTCGAAACTGCCACCCAGCGTCTCGAGCGCCAGTTCACAATCTCCACCGCCATGCTCCATAACCTCGTCAAGGCCTTCATCCGCGACATGGAGCGTGGCTTGAAACGCGACAACGCTGTCATGAAGATGATCCCTTCCTATGTCATCCGTAGACCCACCGGTGACGAGACCGGAACGTACCTCGCTCTTGATCTCGGTGGAAGTAACTTTCGTGTCTGTGAATGCACTCTCGCTGGGAAAGGACAGGTCCGCATCCGCCAGAAGAAGTTTGTCGTGTCCGAAGAGTTGAAGACCGGCACCGCCACCGCCTTGTTTGATTACTTTGCCGAGTGTGTTAGTTCCACTATGGATGGGTTTGGCTTGGATAAGCAGGCCGGCACGAAATTGGGTTTTACCTTTTCCTTTCCGGTTCAGCAGCAGGCTTTGAATAGAGGTGAGTGACCGAGCCGGCGAGCGACGAGCGATAGCGAGTCCACTGTAATACCGAGCGCTAGCGAGGACGAACGCAGTGAGTGCGAGCGAAGCGAGTTCCGCGCCGCAGGCGCAAGTCTAGGCGAGCGTAGCGAGCCCCTGTCTTAAACCGTGAGCGACAGCGAACAATCGCTTTTATTACGCATCGGCGACCAACATCCTCGTCGCGAGCGGAGCGAGCAGCATATCGTTGGACCATCCAACCATCTTCAACCATACCGTTCAACCATCATCCATCATCCATCCGCATCCATCGATTTCTAACTCCGCCTCTTCAATCCATAGGAACCCTGTACCACTGGACAAAGGGCTTCACTGCTGAAGGTGTTGTTGGCCAGGATGTCGTGGGTCTTCTTGACGCTGCCTTGCGGAGGAAGGTTGGTTTCGTCTCTCTCCATCAGCGAGACGTTCGCAACATATGTCCTAACCTCCTTCTTCCCTCGCAAACTAGGGCCTGAAAATCGACGTAACCGCCCTAGTGAATGACACCGTCGGAACCCTCATCTCGCACGCGTACCTCGACACGGCCACCACCATGGGCGTGATCCTCGGCACGGGCACTAACGCCGCGTACGTCGAGCGCCTGGAAAACATCCCCAAATGGACCGGCCCCAAATGCCCTACCAACGAAATGATCATCAACATGGAGTGGGGCGCATGGGGCCAGGACGGGATCATCCTCCCCACCACGGACTACGACGTGAAAGTCGATCGTGCGAGCCCGAACCCGCAGAAACAGAGTTATGAGAAGATGATCTCCGGGTTGTATTTGGGCGAATTGACGCGGTATATTATAGTGGATTTGATCTCCACTGGGGAGCTGTTTGCGGGACGACGGTGTGAGGCGTTGGAGGTGCAGCATAGCTTCGACACGGCCAACATGTCGCGTATCGAACGGTGAGTCTCCATTCCTTCTCAACGTTTACTTTACCCCCACACAATCCGCCACTGACACATATCTCCTTTATCTCTCCCCCGCCCCCCTTCCCCAGCGACCACTCAATGGAACTAACAGACACCCGCTCCATCCTCGAGGACCTCTACGCCGTCAAAAAAACCACCCTAGCCGACCGCCGCCTCGTCAAACGCATCTGCGAGCTCATCGGAACCCGCGCCGCGCGCATGGCCGCGGTCGGGATCGCGAGTGTGGTCACGAAAACGAATAAACTTGCCGGAACGACGGTGGCGGTGGACGGGAGCGTGTTTGAGCATTATCCGCATTTTGCGAATCGGATGAGGGATGCGCTGAGGGAGCTTTTGGGCATCAATGCTGAGGGGATTGTTTTGGCTCAGGGTGGGTTTGAATTTGTGCGGAGGGGTGGTTTGGGGTGACTCTCCGTAACTGATGCTGATCTTGACTTTTTTTTTTTTGGATAGCCCGCGACGGATCAGGACAAGGTGCTGCACTCATCGCTGCGCTTGCTGACCACGGCGAGGAGAAGTTGCAGTAGAATTCACGAAATCACCCTTCCCTCATTCGGTTACTGTTATCACCATGCCAAAAAAATGTCGATTTGGACTCCTCATTCATATTGTCCCCGCCCTGTGTGTCTTTCTGCTACGCTTTTTTCCCCTTCCCAGAGATCATGATGAAATGAAATGAACACTGCGTACGGTTATGATAGTTTGGAACGGATCTGCTCCTCGTAGAGAAAAACCGTGCGATGGTCGAATACGAACGGCACAAACAGAGGGGCGACAAAGAACCGCTCCATGTCGCTCAAAGAACACGCACTCCGGCAACAAAAATCCCAAAAGTCGTCCCCAAAGATCAATTCCTCTAAACCATCCATTTGCAGAACATCCCTCCCATAAAATAAAAAGCCAAAAAGAACAAATACCTCTGGCGCCCCCATCCATCACTTCATCCCGCCCGCGTCGTCTTCCCCCCCGTCTTGCCACCCCCCGTCTTCCCCTTCCCACCCGCGGTCTTGGCCGGCGTCTTGACGGCCCCCTCGTCGGCCGTGGCTGCTTTGCCTGCTTTGGACGCTTTGGGGAGAAGCACGGCGTGGATGTTGGGCAGCACGCCGCCTTGCGCTATCGTGACCTGCGGGGTGAGCGAGGTGAGCGGGGGTGTGAAAGATGGGTGGGATGCGGAGAGAAGAGGGGGATGCGGGGAAGAAACGCACCTTGTGAAGCAACCGATGCAACTCCTCGTCGTTGCGCACGGCGAGTTGGAGGTGCCGCGGGCTGATCCGGGTCTAATTCACCAAAACCCAAAAAAAAAAGAGAAGAACATCTGGTTAACGATCGGGTGGATATATGTGGTCGGGGGGCGAGGGGAGACGCGCAACGCACCTTTTTGTTATCGCGCGCGGCGTTGCCCGCTAGTTCCAGCACCTCCGCGGAGAGGTCTAGTGTGACGTGGAAGCGGTGGGGGGAGGAAATGTCAGTGAGGACCATCGGAGCGAGGATGGGGAGGGAGGTTTTCGCCCCCCCTCGAATGAATCCATTTTCTCTCGCCCTTGCTACCCATCATCGGGGGTTTCCTCCCACATGGGCGAATACTCACCGAGGGAAGCTACGGAGAGAAGAGAAGACTACTTACATTCGAGCACGGCAGCGAGGTAGATCGGCGCACCGCCGCCGATGCGTTTGGCGTAGTGGCCTTTCTTCAGAAACCTATTCACGCGACCTTTTTTTCGGGAGGGGGGGGTTCCGGAAGTCAGAGATGGGTTTCGTTATATGGACTGTTGTCCACGGCTGTCGTAGGGGTGAATGGGACAGCCCACGACGTACCGACGGGGAATTGCAGGCCTGTAGGGGCGCAGAATTGAACAGGTGAGGGACCCGGGCGGATATGCCCCCGCCCAAGACAGTGGTGGTTAGCTCTCCCGTCTCACTTACCGGCACGGTCAGACCGCGACGTCATCTTCCCTCGCACCGTACGTGGACCCTAGCCATTCCACAAAGTCAGAAACGGGGAAATCAGCAAACCAAACCATGTCCGCCAAACGAAACAGCACAGCCCGGTGGAGAGTCGGGTGTGGGTGGACTCACCCGCGGCTTGCCGGCTTTGGCGAGGAGGGCGGAACCTGCATATGCGAGCAAAGGATGAGCGTGTGTGGGGGGTGATATGCAACGAACCAGGACCTCCCACTCCCGCGGCCTTTGCCATCCCGTCCACCTTATGTGTCGCCCGTATGCACGCACACCCTCACACAGAGAACCGACCACCCCTCCCGACGTTGTGTAGGCTACCTTCTTTGACGGTCTCGACCATCGTGCGCGCGTTCTTGAGGTGGGCGGGCTGCGACATGGTTTTTCCGGGTTCGAGCAAGTGGCGGTTTATGGATGGATCTAAGTCGAATGGGGGAATGGGGGAGGTATGGGACAAAGGGTTTGCAAGTGTTGATCGATTTGTAGAAGACAAACAGCGCAGGGGACTGTTTACCTTTTAGTGGTGATGTCGGCGGGTTGTGGGGTGGGCAGAACGGTGTGGAGAAGCCACGGCTGGTGTTTATCTCTGTGAGATTGACAGCCGGCTGTTGCTTAAGTAAGTGCGCGAGCCCGTCAAATCACACACCAACGGCTCTTTTTTCGGGCACTGCGTAGTTCCCTCGCAAACTTTCACATCCACTCCACACAAGATGCCCCAGCGCAACACCACACGCACCGTTCAAACTCAACCGTGAAGCAGATGCATATTCGACGTATATGTACATTATGATGATGATAAAACTCCCCAAGAAAGTAAAATCCCCCACTTCTCACCACCCCCAGTCTTGGATAACCTTTCCACACCGCCTACTTCGAATAACTAGTCGTAACAACACACTTGATGATCCCATCCTTCTTCTCATCAAACAGCGCATACGCCTTCGGCATCTCCTCGAACGGGAAGGTGTGCGTGATGACGAAGGACGGGTCCATTTCGCCGGTTTCGATGAGGTGGAGGAGGTGCTAGGTGGGATGGAGAGACGGTGGGGTTAGACGTGTGGGAATCCGGACGGGACGGGACGGGCTTACCTTCCAGTATTTTTGGACAAAGACTTGTCCGCCGCGCATGGTGAGGCCTTTTTCCATCTGCGCGCCGACGGGGTACTGGTTTGCGAGGCCTACCCAACGAAGAAAGGACCGATGCCCGTTAACGCATGTGTCCAAATGGAGGGTTTCACATCGAGTCGGTACTTACCAGCGTAATCCCCGATCAGCACGACCACCCCACACTTCCGCACACACTTGATACACTCGGCGACGACATCCACGCCATCCGTCTCCAGGTTCAACCCGCGCTGGATCGCATGCAGGTAACTCTTGTTATACCGGAATCCGACACAGTCGATCGCGACATCGGGCCCGCCTCCATTGGCCGGGAAATGCTTCATGAGCGTCTCGTACACATCCTCCTTCGCAAAGTCCAGCGGCACACACCCGATCGACCGCGCAACCTCCAGCCGCGCAGCGACGGTGTCGATCACGACCACCTTCTTGGCCCCGCGATGCAACGCCCACCGTGCAGCCATGAGCCCCACCGGCCCGGCCCCCCACACCGCGACGGTGTTGCGCCCTTCGGCGGACGAGACTTCGCCGAGGTCTACCCCGTGCCATCCCGTGCACGCGATGTCGGAGAGGACGATGCCGTGCGCGTCGGAAACGCTGTCTGGGAGAGGGAGGAGGTTGACGTTGGCGAAGGGGACGCGGGCGATCTCTGCTTGGAGGCCTGTTCCGAAAAAAAAAACCCCCCAAAGAATAAATCAACATGAATTGTCCATGATCAACACCCCTCGTCGACATTGCCCCGACCCGCCCAAAAGAGCGTTGTTAAGCTCCGCACGCACCATCATACCCGCCCAACAGATGCGAGTACCCAAAGATGCCCGCGGAATGGTGGCCATACAGATACGTCATGGTCCCGGAGTTGTTGGTCGTCTCGCAGCTCGAAAACAGCTCCTGCTGGCAGAACCAGCACTCGCCGCACCCGATGATCGCGGATATCACCACCCGCTGCCCGACGTGCAGGTTCGTCACCTCCGCCCCGACTTGCTCGATTATGCCTACGGCTTCGTGCCCGAAGACGTCGTGCTGCATGGGCATGGGTTAGTGGGGTGGGGAAATGGGGAGGGAGATAGGGTAGGACAATCGAGGGGTTTGGGTCTCCGCACCTTCTCGATCTCGGGAATCTGCCGATGATACAAATGCAAATCGCTCCCGCACACCGTCGTCGCCGTGATCTTCACAATCGCGTCCTTGGGGTGGCTGATCATCGGGCGCGGGCGGTCGACGACCCTCAGATCCTTCTTGCCGTAGAATTCCTATATATATCCGAGAGGTGAGCAAAGCAAGCTGATGGGGGAGATAGTTGACGGCCGGGACGCAGTACCAGAGCACGGGTCTTGAGAATCGGATCCTTGATGCTGACGGTAGGCGTCGCGGTCGGGACGGTGCCGACGAGCTTCTCCGGGAGGGAGCCGATGTAGTTTTGGACCTGCATTGTTGTGCCTTTCGGTTTCTTACTTCTGTGGTTTTGGTAACGGTGCGGATGTTGCGACTATATCTCGTGCGATGATGGATGGCTTCGAACGAACTCGGAGGACGTCCCTCCACCCCCCACCCCCGCTTTTTATACCCCCCACCCTTCCCATCCACAGCGGCATTCATGCCATCCCGTTATCCCGCAACGCCGCCAGAACAGGTTCAAACCCCGCCGATTGTGCGGGAAATCGCAGGGTGTGAAGTGACAGCAGAGTGACAGTTCGGCGGGGCGCGTCAAGGTGTCGTCATTTCCGCGTCTTTCCGGGGAGGGGACCGGACCGTGTTGTTGATTTGGGGTTTTCGTAGGTGGTATGGCAAGGGACGGGTGGAGGAGGTTGCGGGATGTGGGGTATGGCGCATGTCCGTCTGCGGCATGCATGCCCGTGATGCCACAAATTACGGTATATAGAAGCGGGAATTTAGGAATTTAGGTCCGAAGCCTCGCAAGTCGCATGAAGTGGATTATATGTAACCTGACATCATACAATGCATCGGCAGCGAGCTCTTACATAGCCTCCGACAAACGGCCTGAAGCTAAGTTGCTCAGAGCTGTGAGTTTCGTCTTTCCTCAGCCAAGCCACATACAAAAGCAGCGAATAAAGAGTTCAAGTCCTGGGGATCGAAAAGTCCATGCGAAGGTGGAGTGGGGGATATGGGAGACACAAAACAACACCGCAATTGGCACAGAGCCTGCTATATTTGTATGATTCTCAATTACGTTTGTATTGTTATTCCGTTTCCCGAATATGCGGGGTGGGGAGAAGACGAGATCTATCCTCGCAGCGATTTCTATAGGCCCGTCCACCATTCTGCACAGCTTTGCTACAATCTTTCTACGTCCATTCACAATCCCAATCGCCGCGCCGGTGTGCGTAAGTGAGATATAGTACCTCCCTACACTCTACTCCTGCTTCTCCCTCTGCGCCCCACCCTTCTTCCTCCGTTCCTTATTGTACTTTGTCGAGTTCCGCACCGCCTTCCGTCTTTTCTGCAATTTGTGCTTGTTCATCGCCTTTCGGCGTCGTTTGAGGATGCTGATCGCGTGCATTGTCTTGTCTTCGGTGGTGGATGCAGGTGCGTCGCCAATGGCTGTGGTGCGTTTCGCAGCGAATTTGTAGATCCGGCCATGTCTCCCACTGCGACCACGGATGAGGGAAGCGGCGGTGGGGTTGGAGACACGCGGACCCATTTGGAAGGCGTCGAGAGCGGCGGCAACGGGGTCGGAGTCGTCGATATTGTTTTCTGGGCCGAAGGTATCAAGCATCTGCTGCTCGGTCAGGCCCAACTGCGCTTTGGAGTCCACTAGCATGCACGCAAGGACCTCTGCCGTGTCCTCATCGACGGGTTCCAGCGTCCTCGGGTTCGTGAAGTCGCGGTCCACTACAGCTTGTTTCGCAAGCGTTATCGGATTCGTAACGGAGGAGGGCGGTGGGGAGAGAGAGGAAGGGAGAGGTTGCGCGATGCGTTTACTCGCGATATATTCAGACACGGTGTCGAGCGGGTGTTTAGGCCGTTTCATGCGAAGCTGAGCTTGAGAGACGATGGCTTGTGGGCCCGTGGGGTAATGCGGGGCGCCGAATGTGCGCAGGGGGGTGGAGTAGGGGACGGTGCCGAAGATTTTGCAGTATTCGTCGTTGTAGAGTGCTAATACCCGCTTCTCGCCAATTCGTTCGATCAGGTGTCGAAGATGTGGGCCTTCAGCAAACATATTCCCCGTCGGCCCCATCGTGGTTGGCGCCGCCGTCTCACCCCTCCTGGCAGTCTCAATCTGCACGACCGCCTTGGCACCATAACTCTTCAAATTCAAAGGTCTATGTTCTGCAAAAAACGCCGCATGGGCAAACAACCGGTCGTTGGGGTGAGGTGCAGGGGGTGTGTTGCCCTTTTGAAGTTGGAGGGTGGTTGAGGGTTGTGGGGCGGCGGCGCGGATCCCGTTTCGGCCGTCTGTGATGGGCCGTATTTGGGAATGGCGGAGGCGGAGGGAGCGGCGGGAGGCTGCTGATGGGACGCGGGATGTGCAGCGGGTTGATAGCATTGTTGCTGGATGTGGTGTGGTTTGGCTAGCGCCGACTCAGGCCGTCGAGTCCAGTGTCCTTCGATATGCGCCGCAGTTCTAGAGTATTGTCCTAAATCAGGAGTAGCAAGCGGGGTCTGAGGAGGCCGATGATCTGCCTTCCGGATGTTGTTTGTTGTTTGGGTGGCAGTTGAGGAAAGACCCGTCGGCAGTCAGTCGCTCAGCAACGAGACATTGCGGTCACGTGCGCTGTTCATCTTCTGCATTAAACCAACTCGCTCACTTTGCCACCATGCAGCTCCACCCAATACGCAACGGCCAGCACTGGGCAGAGGAGTGAGACGACACGCCACCAGGACATGCGATTAGGGGATATCCTAGGACTAGGACCCGGACGCCGAGTTGGAATGCCGCGACAGGAAGTCGGGGGTTAAAACTGGGAGGAACATTCGTGAGACTGACTGCTCCGTCCATTTGATTCATTCGCGTCGTTTCTGAGATGAGGATTCGGACGGAGATTTGTCGCATGATTCATTTGCCGGCAACAGGAGGGATATCAATGGAGATCACCAGCACTACAGGACGGACGAGCAGGGCATTCAAAGAGATTTCGTTGCCGCCCATTATCAGTACATTTCACCAGCAGTCTCTAGCGGAAGGATGGGCAGGGGCCATACGGAGCTTGCCCCGACGCCTACGACTTGCTTTTGCATTTGCAAAACTCGCACTTCCGCATATGCCACGCTGAGAAGGACATTGGCGGAATGTAGTGCAGTGATGTGATATGGAATGGATACTCGTGCCAAGGTAGCATATACAGTATCTACTAATATGCAACCTCTGACGACGTGCGCAGAGAGCTAGCAACGCGCGACCATGGGGCACGAGTAAGGCTTTTGTTTACTCCATCCGGCCGTGTTCCCCGGGAGTCGCAGTCCACGTTTTCATCAGGGAGCTGACGAAGTTTGCTGTTTGTCCGATTTCAGTTGTGGACTGAATTTGAAGGGTGCAAAATTGATCTGGCTGGGTGGCGGCCCCCCCCCCCTAATTCATCATAAGGATACATATTTACAGTAAGTGAGGGATCCGAGTGTAACATCCAAGTGCGGCGGGTGATCACTTTTGACAGGGCCCAACCCCCAACCCCTCCAGATTGATTAGGAAACGGGTGCAGAATCTAAACAGAAAGGACGGCCTCCTTCTTGTTATGCGGCTAAGAAACAACGAAAGAGACAAAAGGCCCTCGTCGCCGGCCTTTCCCACGACTCCCGCACATTCCCAACCAACACCCTCATCACCCCACTGCTTCGTCGTCGGCTGGCCCGTACGTCCTCGCTCTCGCCGTCGCTCACTGATACCATATAGAGTCATAGAGTTTCACACACACCCCAACCACAACCCCCAACCACAACCAAAAATGCGCTCCGCACTCTTCGCCCTGGTCGCCGCCGTCGCAGGCTCCGTAAACGCAATCACTGTCCTCGAAGCTCTCCGCGCAAACGCTGGGACCGCCCAAGTCGCCGCCGCCATCGCTGCTCACCCGGAGTGGGCCGCTGCGACCCCAAAGACCTTGATTGTTCCTACTGATGCGAGCATTGTCGCTGCGAGGGCAAGGGGGAATCTGGCCCCTACGGATTTGGGATTTGTTTTTTTGCCTACTGCTGTGGACCATAGGGATAAGGCTAACTACAAGGTAAGGCCGAGTGAAGGGACCCGAGCGGGTGCGACCCAAGGGCTGGCGACCCGAGCGTTAGCGAGGGCGTTTGGTTTCGGTCAGGGAATCCGAGCGTTCGTGAGGACGACCACAGCGAACGCTCGGACTGGGACGAGGGGAGCGAGGCGCAGGGATCATTGAGGAAGGCGAGCCCTAGGCGAGCCACATTGCGCCTACGGCGCTAGATTTTCCTCACCTACGCATGGTTTCAACCATCCAACCGTCGCTTGTTTGTTTTCCCACGCCTCGCTCATCCAACTGACCTTTGCTTCGCGTCGGCTTGCTTCTATTGTCGCAGGTCTTGAAGGCCCCCCAGACGGCCCTTCTGTTCGACAACTACGTTCCCGCCGGCCCACCGGAGATCCACGTCCGCTCTTCCACCCAGCAGGGCCTCATCACCAAGGCCGTCAACTGCGATGACGGTTTCTTCTACGTTTCCAACATCCCCTTTGAGGCCGCGGTTGTGCCCTCGAAGGCAATCGTCGCCAACCCGGCCGCCACCTCCTTCCTCGCTGCGTTCACCAAGCTTGGACTGGTCGCCACCCTGGACTCGCTGACCGATGTGACCATCTTTGTCCCCACGGAAGCCGCCATGGCCGCCGCCGCACCCGCTCTTGCCGCCTTGACCCCTAACCAGCTCGCCTTTGTCCTGGCCACCCACATTGTCCGCCCCGCCAAGTTCAGCACGGAGCAGGACAACGTCGCCATGACTTCCCTCAGCGGCCTCGCCCTCCCATACACCGTTGTCGGTGAGACCGCTTCCCTCGGCGGTGCCGCGATCGGAACCCTCGTTGACGTGCCCACCTCCGCTGGCGCCATCCACACTCTCAACTCCGTCATCATCCCCGGTGTCGCCAACCTGCCCCCCGCCGCCCCCGGTGCCCCTACCATGTTTGGAACCATCCCCATCGTCGCCGGTGGTGCCACCGCACCCAACTCCACTGTTTCGTCCGTCGTCGGTAACCCCACCACCTCTTCTACCGCGACCGTGACCAGGCCCATAACATCCTCCCGCGTTACTGCCGCCGCGACCCGCCCCGCTGTCGCTACCAGCGTTGCACCTGTTGTGTCTGCGACTCCGTCGGCGGCTGCCACTGCACCTAACTCTGGCGCCAACTCTATTGCTGGGTCGTTTGCGGTTGTTGCTGCTGCGGCTGCTGGTGTCGTCGGTCTTGCCTTTTAAAGGTGACATTTTCCCCATATCATAGTTTACACATGGCGTCACTTTTAGTTTTGTGAGACGGCGTAGAACATTTCATACAGTAGATGTGCTCTTTGCACAGACAATTTATCCCCCTCCATATTCCTCTACCCACCCACCGTATATACAGGCCTATATGCATAGATAGATGGGGAGTGGTATCACACAGTTCTGTCATGTTGAATTCGCATCAATATAGTCATAATCCGAGTTCAGTCCGTTGCAAGACGTTCAGCTTTCCTTTGTTCTTTTGTTTCGTGACCCGACACATATTTGGTGAGTTCAAACATCGGATTATGAGCAGTACGAATAGGGAAAAACGAGGGGGAGGGGGAGGGGGGGAGGAGGGGGGGGGGGGGGGAGTATATTGTATCTGAGCAAGAGGTAGTGAGAAGTGGGATGGGAGAAGGGATGATTTCCAACTGCCAACGGGAAAGAGCGGAAGATATTGCGGGGAAACGCACGCGAGATGTCTATCACGGGGGAACCCAGCGGGAACCCGCTTCGATGGTCGGCACGGAACTTGGGCAAATGTGTAACTCCCCTCGTTGACACTCCGGCCCCTCATCAGCCCCCAAGTCGTCCCAGATACCGCATATGTAGCGGGAGGCCATCCACCCGGCACGACAGAATCCACCAGCGGCTGGGAAGTCTATACATCAACTCTGCGGACATCTTCAGTGCAGCGTTGCCTGCCTAGCGAGTGTGGCGTGTGCACCTCTCTGATTCCAGGCTTGCGCTCGGTGGAACTGGGGCCTCGGGGCTGTTTTCAGATGTCGAGCGACATGGTGAACGCGTGCACGGTCGCGCCCCAGCCTATCTGCGCATCGTCGTCGTCTGTCAGGTTGCCCCTACAAGTCCCAAAAAAAAAGAAAGAAAGGGGTGTGTGTGTGTGTGAATTCCCCCCCTTACACGGCCCCACCCCAAGAAAACTCCCAATGATATTTACCAATCCGGCTCAGTCATATCATTCTCGTTCCCCACATTCTCCCAGCTCTCGAAGCCCTCCAACGAGTCCACCACAAGCTCCAGCCCCGCCGGCAGGGTGTCCCCACACGTCTCGAGGAACCGCTGCACGCAGTGCGTTCCCGAGATGTCCAAGAAGGTCAGATGCGCCAGGTTCTTGATGATCGCGGGGAGATGCATATCCGACGCGTTCGTGCCCGCTATATTCAGGGATTCAAGGTGTGGGAGAGCCGGTGGATGCCGCGCGAGGGGTTCGAGGGCGTCGTCGGTGACAAAGGGGAGGCATTTGAGTTCGAGGTGGCGGAGGTGGGGGAGGAGGGCGATGGCGTCGCGGACGCCTGCGTCTGTGAGGCGGTCGCAGTAGGCTAGCGAGAGGGATTGGAGGTGTGTTGTTTTCGCGAGGGCGGGGAGGGCGCGGTCGTACAGGGATCGACAGCCTTCGAGGTCGAGGTGGGTTATATGTGGGCAGGCGTTTAGGAGTCGCTCTAGGGCTGCGTTGTTGACGAATTCCCAGTGGCCGGGCGCGCTGAGGAGGTTGAGTTCGCGGACCAGCTCGCCCAGGGTTTTGTTCTTTTCGATGGTTTGGAGAAACTTCTCGAACGCGGATGCGCTCGCGATCTCGGGAACGGCGTAGACTGTCGGGGTGGCGAGGTTGTTCCAGAGCTTGCAGACGCGGGCACAGCGGGCGAGCGTGCGGCCGTCGCTGGCGAGGAGGATCTCGGCGATGAGCTCGAGGGGGAGGAAGGTCACTGTCATTGATGTGCGAGGGGCGGTGGAAGGTGGGAGAGTGGGTGCGGGTGGGAGGCTGAACCGCTTATACGGGATCGTAACCGGCCGACGGAATTGACGTATCTTCTGAAGTTTCACTCGTGATTTATGGTCAGGCTGAGGCGGCGGTCTGGGGCCTCCGAGCGGTTGGAAGAGTCCTAAAGGGGCGCTGATGTTGATGGGACGCCGTAAGTCTAGGTTTGAGTGCAGGGTTCCGCTGGTGCTGGTGCTGTTCTGTCGGCGAGTAGGGCGTTTGTGGGTGGACGGGAAACAACTTCGGAAGACACCTAAGGAACAGAGATGCATTCCGTGCGCGGAGATACGGAGAAGGGATTGAGTTGGGGGTATGTTCTGCAAGCCCTTCTATCTGGGCACGAATGTAAAGTACAGTATCACCCGTTTGAACTCGATGCCATATGGGCCACAGGTGTGACAAATACATACCTTGTTTGCTCTGAGTGAGTGGGCGAGACTGTCTCAGCAGAGAGACCTCAAGTGGATAGGGAGACGTTGCGCAAGAAGGAACGAGAACACTTGTTGCGAGTGGTGGTAGTTCGTATGCGATTTGTGTTGGGCGAGCGGGAGTAAGTGAGGGAGGAGTGTGAAATGCGGGGAAGATCAGCCATGAGGGTGTGGCTTGTGCGTGGCGTCTGCGTGGCTTGTGCGCTGTACGTAAGCGCTCTCTCTCGACCCTCGCATGAATCGCTTCCTGTGCTGGGAAGGCTTTGAACAGCCAGCAAGGAAGGCAATTGCGAGGAAAACACTCCGGTCCTATCAAGGCGCCTGCTCTCAGCAACCCAACGCAGCTATGCCGCCGAAAAAGGTCGCCGCCGCCTCCACAGATTCAGCAAAAAAGAAGCTTCCATCGCCTCCCAAGGTCGCGAAACCACCACTCTCCAAAGAGGTCGTCGAAACCAGCGACGACAGCACCGACTCCGAAGAATACCAGGCCATCCGAAAGCAGGCGACGGCTTCCTCGCCGCTAGTCTTCAAACCGGTGGGGGCAAAGAATGGCGTCAAAGCGGCCGTAGCGCCGGCGGAAAGTCCGAATGAGAGTGAGGACGAGGAGGAGGAGACGGAGGACGAGAATGATATGGGGGCGAATGCTCCACCGGCAGGAGACAACGACGACGAGGAGGATGAGGATGAGGAAGATGACGATGAGCCAGACACCAACGCCTTCGACCACCTCCACAACACCCCATCCGTCGACGACCTCGAACTAGACTACCAGCCCCCAAAAGGCTTCACCCTCGAAACCCTCGCCCGCACATCCATCTCCAACCCCTTCGACGTCGACACTCTCACAAAGGACGATTCAAAAGAAGTATGGCTCTTCCGCGCCCCGCTGGATGTCTCCCTTGAACAACTACGTGGTCTCATGCTCAAGACACAGTCAAAAGCACCACCGAGCGAAGAAGGCGAGTTGTTAGGCACCCTCCCCATCCCCACCTCCGGCCCCCCAACCCACGCCTACGGCGTCTTCGACGTAACCCACAACCCCCTCGACGCCGCCGACCTGCGCGTCGTCCTCCCCCAGGGTAAACAGCAGCGGTACGCCCTCCTCCCGCACACAGCGAAACCGATCACGCGGTTCCTGAATGTGGCACCCGTGGACGATGATGTGGCGAGTGCCGAGGCGGTTAGGAAGGCGGGGGAGAAGGCGAGGGGGGAGAAGAATGAACGCATGGTGCATCCGGAGGGGATGCGGTTGCAGAGTGCGCCGTTTGGGTTTGATACCGGTAAGATTTGCAATCACGTCTTTCCAATGTTCTTACTACTTGAAAACTAACCCCCTTTTTCTCGCGAAAACAGCCGGCCGCGCACTTGAACTCTCCCTAGCACGCTACCCCCATCTCCAACCCACCACCACCTCCACATCCCCATCGACAGCCAAATCACCCAAAAAATCAAAACACACTAAAACCCCATCAACAACAACAACGACAACACCAACAGCCCCATCACCCGTTAAGAAACGGAAACGCTCCAGTGCGGTGGTTGAGGAGGTTGCTGGGGCGGCCACGGCGGTAACCCCTCAGGCGGCGGTACCGAAGAAGAAGAAAAAGAAGAGCGAGATGGAGTGAGGCGAGGGTTGCTGTGGAGCCAGGGTGATGACGAGGGGGGTTTGGAATTTGGAGTGGGGGATGGAGTGGGGGGATGTAGAATGAAAATGAGTAGAGAGGCGCTTTTGGAGTGGGGCTTCGCCGTCGGGGACCTCGCGAATGGCACAACCGCCGAAAGAATGACTCGACACGCATACTCAAAAAAAGGGAACCTACACGAGACGGAGCCGAGGGCTACCCGTGTCTTGTCTGGGCCCGCTCGCTACCCATCATCCCCGACGCGACTCACAAAGACAGGCGCCGCTCCACCCCTCCTCGCAGACAGACACCGCACATCTGCGAGGATCCGCAAATCACTTGCTCAACCCATCCCCGACGAGGCTCCGCCCACATTGCAACAGGGCCCCCGCCCCCATGCCATACCATCCCGTCACCGTCCATCCACATCTGTATTTATTTATATACCATTTGCGCTGCCGTAATCCTCATTGCCCATCCTATCATCTCATGGCCAAAGTTGTGCATCCATCCCGAAAGTCCATTTCACAGACGCAAACGCAGGATTGCAGCATTAGGATTCGTTGTTTCATTAAGAGGACGGTAATATTGCAAGTCGCTACGGATGCTCAGCCTTCGCAGAAGAAAAGAAAGCGGGGGCTATGCATAACGGGGAGATGAGGGTGCATATACATGAACGAAAGGTAGGGAATTATGTACGCCTGCGATAGAATGAGACGGGTGGCTTTAGGCGCGCTTGAGGATCCAGTCGATGTAGTGTTGGATGATTGCGTCTTGTTCCGTGTCGTTGTGGACTGGGGAGAGATGAAGAGTGTTGTGCAAAGATCAGTTTCTCCCCCTAGTCCCAAATGCGGGATGAAACCCCAAACTCACGTTCATGCAACCCTCCCTTGACGACCTTCCACTCCTTATCGCTGCTCCCACACTTCTCCGCCCACTGCTCCGCCGCCTTGAACGACACGATCTTGTCCTCGTCCCCACAGACAACCAACACCGGCAGCGAGAAACTGCCCGCGGTCTTGGCCAGCTTCTCCCCATTCAGCACGCAGCTCGCCGCGGTCCCGAACGACGTGTACGCGTGCACGAGCGGGTCGGCGCGGTAGGATTCGCGCACGGAGGGGAGGTGCGAGAGGTTGGCGTCGTCGACGGTGGATTTGATGGTGAGGGTCGGAAGGATTTTGGAGAGCCCGCGGATGGCCCAGTATTCGGGCGTCGAGACGGCGGAGTTGGGCCCGAGGGCGATTAGGGGCGCTGGGGGATGAGGGGAGGGGAGAGGGTTGGGTTAGTGAGGAGAAGTAGATGGATGGTTGAAGGATAATCAGCTGCCGACGAGGAGATTTGGGCGATGATGGGCAGGAGCGGTGATCGTGCTCGCTTCGCTCACAAAAGATCTGACGCTCGCTGAGGCTCGCTAAAAACTGTGTCAGGGGTGTTGCGCCTCCAGCGCAATGTGGGCTCGCTTCGCTCGGTAATTAGAGTAGAATCGCTTCGCTCCCGATACTCACATGAAACGACAACCCCAGCCAACCCCTTCTCACTCCCCTTCCCCATCGCAAAGCTCAACGCAATCCCCCCACCCATACTATGCCCCATCAAAAACCCTTTAACCCCACTCTCCCTACTCCTCTCCACACAAACACCCACATCCTCCATCAGCCTCTCCCACCCCTCATTATGCCCCAACGTCGCCTCCTTGACCACATCCTTGTGCACCACCGTCTGCCCAAACCCGCGCTGGTCGAACCCGCGCACCTTGATACCCGCGACCGCGAACTTGTTGAAGACGTGGTCGTACCGCCCGACGTGCTCGCCCATCCCGTGGCAGAAGGCGACGGTGGCCCGCAGCGGGGTGCTGCTGGGGGGCGACCAGATGCGGTGGTAGATGGGGGAGGGAGAGGGGGCGTGGGTGGTCCATTCTTCGGTTATGATGGCGGTGGACATTTTGGCTGGGGCGTGGATGGGACGGTGGGAGGGTGGGAGGCGGGTGGGGTGGGATGGGGCTTTCGGTGGGGAGTGAGAGTGGAGGTGGGAGTGGGAGTGGGAGTGGGAGTGGGAGTGATGGGTGGGAACGAAGTGTGCTGGAGGCAGGAGGTGGGACTTTATGACGGTGGGGGCGGGGATGATCTTGCACTCACGAACAGCGACGAGGAGGCGGGATGAGCTTGAGGTAAGGTGCATGCAGCTCAGCGAAGCCTTTTTGTGGAAAGTGGAGAGTGTTTGGGTGACGGCCGCTTTGTGGTGCTCGCCACACTTGTTGGTCGTTGAGGAAGCGGAGCGGCGGACGCACAGGCGATCAAGCAGGGGGATCACCTACAAAAAGGGGTCATATCATAATATCACACATGGATGCACACATGGATGTATTGGATGTGGGACATTGCTTCCTTCGTCGCACAGCGCATATGCCAGAGAGCAGAAGGTCTCCGTCTCTACTTGACCCATCTTGTTTTGTCTCGAGAACATATGGAAATGCCCCATGCCAATGCAGCACAGACATCCTTCCTGCGCATTGCTCTTGCGGGCTCCGAATCCCGCTATGTGAGGCCATTCCCACCTTTCATCCTGGGCTCCATCACCACACCACACCACATTATGACAGTGAATTAGAGATCCTACCCTCAATTCTAAACGGCCGAAAAAATTTCCCAAAGCAATATCGCTTGCTTTTATTACGCTCCGCATGTGCCGTGAAAAATCTAAAAGAGGTATACCCCTAAGTGACTCAAACGACAGGTGCCACTATGGACGCTGCCCAGTGCCGACGGGTGTGATGGGTCTGGCGAAAGGGACGAGAGGACACTGGCGGAGAGATAGCCATCCCAGTGGTGAACGGCTCGTGGCATCCCTTACATATAGGCGTCAAATACCAAGATTTATGTATGCGTGAACGTTGTCCGGATATCCGTAGGAGACTCGTCCAGCACGGTCGTGCCTGATCTCCCTTCGTCGGCGTCACGAGCGTTGCTTCAAGTCTTTCCCTCTTTCTTCATTCCTAGAACGGGTGGGGAGATGGGAGTTGATCCGCGAGGATACCTTCCGACGGTTGTTGAAGGCTGTGGAGTCGAGACTTGTTGCTGGCCTGCATCACTTATCACAGGGCACCAGGGCAGACTCGGACAGAAGGAAGCAGCGAGCATCGGAGTCCTCTTGGCAAAAGTGGAAAAGCGCCTTGGGCGATCGGGCCGCTTGCCTGGGTTGGGTTACAACCAACCGCTAATAACAAGATCCGCCGCTGAAAACATGGAGTAGCGGTATAAACCACACCCAGTTCCGAATCCCACTCAATTATGCAAGCCCCGCAAAATCCACAACAGGAAAAATGTCGGCGGAGTGACACATGGGGACGGCTTTGTTGTTGTCGCATGACCTTCACAAATTGCGAGAGCGGCGTACCATTGGGAGTCGACGGTGGAAGAGGTGTGATTTTATGATCAAGCCATACTGAAACTCCGCGGCCGCCTCTTCGGGAACGTAACCTTGTCATATAGGTTGGAATAGGACGGTAGGAGGTAGATAGTGGAGGCGGGAGACAGTTCAATTGAGAAAAGGGCCAATACCTACACCCAAATCCAACATTTCGCTGGAGCCAGCGGCCGAGAAATGCTGAAGCGACGACTGCGAGGGTCGATGAAAAAAGCACAAAAAGGTCCGACGGCGTTGCGGTCTCTCGAATCCTCACCAGCTCTTATAAACCAGATCACACCCGCTTCGTCGCACCTGTGAACCTGCCACACACTTCGAAACTCACATCCAACACCTTTCTTCCATCAACCCCAACAATGCACTTCACAACCCTCACCATCCTCCTCGCCTTCCTCTCCCTCGCCGCCGCTCAATCCTCCAACAGCGTCGTCCTCGGCCCCTGCACCGTCGGCGCCACCTGCGACCTCATCCCCGCCGCCTCCACCACCGCCTCCGCCGCCGCGCCAACGGGCAGCCCCATCCTCACCCGTACCACCAACAGCACTGCAACACGCGCAACCAACGGCACCACCTCCGTTGCTGCTGTACCGACGCGGGACCCGCTGCCGAGTATCAGCTATGTGGACCCGTTGAGCATGACGATGACGTTTGGAGCGGGTGCAACGCATTTGTCGAGTGGGGTGGAAAGGGTGGGGGGCATGGGGTGGGCGGCAGTTGTGGCGGCGGCTGGGGGCGTTGTTGTAGGGCTCTGGTAGAGATGATTTGGGTGCTATCCACAAGTTTTTGTTTTTGTGTTTCTGTTTCCGAGGGGAGCGTGGGAGTGTCCCCTTGGGACATCGGCCGTGCGGTGCGGTCAGCGCTCGAATCCACATCCAAGACGGCGCAACTGGACAACGTTGCCAGGCAATCCCCGTGAAACCAGCCGCTTATCATCCCCCTCCCGCCGCCCGCCCGCACCTTTATCCGTACCGGCAATAGAATGAGGAGCCCCCCGATGGCAGGCCACCGGGATCCCATCTCACCTCACGTCACAAGCCGCTCAGCTATCCGAAAGCCTTATTCATACGCCGAATACGACCGAAGTTAGGACCTAGATAGAAACCTTCTCATATACATTTTGTACAGTAAACGAGCTCTTCTTATATACAGTATATGCAATCGCAAGGTGTGCGTTTCAAATCGAGAGAATGGCGAATGGGCTGTGATTTGTGCTGTTGGAGGTCGTTTGATACATGCTTGATACAACGTTATTCCAATGTGTTGATGGATGGATTGGGCATCCGAGGCGCACTCTCGGATGTAGGATTTTGGATTTGAACATGTCCGGCATGAAAGCTCCCCGGTTGTGCGATTGCGAGAACGTTGAACAATGGAGACCACATGGCCGCTGCAGGCTAGTGGAGTTAACCAGGAAACGAAAACGCTACGACGACTCAAGCAAACCTTAACAAAAGCATATGGCGCCAACCGCCTAATAATCGATAGCAATTCGGAAGTGAGACTTTTTTTGTGGTTTGTGAGATGAATTTGAGGAAGTATGAAAGGTGAGGTAAGGTCTCTCAGCCTCGCTAGGCTGTCAAGCTCTTCGTTGCTTTGTTGAGGTCCCGACGACGGTCGGCGTTTTTCAACTTATCGTTTCGATAGCGGATACACACCTACCTTCTATCACATCCCTGGAACGACCACATAATCTTCACCTCAATCAAGAACAAATACCCGAGGTCTCCACCACCACCAACACCTACTCACATCCTTCATCCAAAGCCCACAAAATGCGATCTCCAACCCCCTTCACCCGCCTCCTCCTCGCCGTCCTCCTCCTCACCCTAACCCACGCCCAAATACCAATCCAACCCTGCGACATCAAGTGCATTCTTATCCCGGGGTGCTGCCCCGACTTCCCGTTGCCCGTACCCGGACATCCCGCGACGATCGTACCACAGCCGGGCGTAACTATTGTGGTTGGCGGTGGTGGTGGAGGGAGCGGTGGGGGGTTGGCGACCGTGTCGATTGTGAGGCCGTCCAGGACGACGGAGAAGGTGGTGATTACGGCGTCGACGAGCGCGGGGGGGAGTCAGAGCTCGGCATTGACGCCGACGCCGACGGAGAGGGTCATCGTTGTTGGGGCGGGGAGTGTGAGTGCGAGTACACCGGCGAGTGCTAGTGCGACGAGTGCGACGCCTGCGGCGGCCACGTCCGCGGATTCGGCGACGAGTGCGGGGTCGCTTGGCTTTGATGCCAAGTTCGGTGCGGCTGCTAGTGCGGGCGGGATCGCGGTGATGGCGGGTTTATTCGTCGCTGCGGGGGTCGTCTGATTCGATTTGATGCCGTAAAGCCTACGACGGAGTGCTATCCTTTCACATAGACATAGATAGACATTGACTCGCATCCCCTCGCCTCTCATCACTCTGCATATCCCGTACACTTTTGCACGAAGTGGATGTAGAAAATTTGTATCCTTCTCTTTTTGTCACCATGGCGAAGCTTTCTCTTGTCATAGCCCGCATCTCTTGATATATAGCCCCGCGGAGTACATGGAGAAACGCTGCACATTGAGTTGATTCTCTACTCGTATTGACAGCGATATGGAACATCAGTTGCGACCGGCCTCCTCCTTTCCTCCAGTGCATTTCTTTTGCACATGAAAAAGTCATCCAGGCCGACAGTTCTGTTGGTGAATGAGTCATTCAACGCGCTGTCGATTTGGTATACTGACCACACTCCGCCCTTGGCCATCCCGCCGTAACCTACGCTTTCCAACTCTATCGGAGCTGTGCATTATTGAGCATCCGCCATTTAAGGTTTCCGTGGCCTTCCCGCGCATTCGATCCATTTGTCCTCGCACTACCATCAAGCTCCCTTCATATCGCATCCTTCATCGCTGTCACAGAGCCAAACAGACGGTCACTTGTTGAGAGACAAGTAAACACTCTCATTTTCCACCTCCTATCCCCTTCCCATCCTGTTACTTGATACCACTTACCGGAAAGCTGATGGGGACAGGGAAGGCGGACGTACGGAATCAACAACCAGAACATCAGAGGCGTAATACGAGCATAGTAGTCAAGAGAACGACGACGAGCGACAACATCAACATTCGGTACCCATAGCAACCATGGGTGGAGCAGACTACAAGAAGAACGCGTAAGTGCGACGAGGGCAGCCATTCGGTTCAAAGCTTCCGCCGAACAATCAAGCCGCCACGGAAACTCACTAACTGCTTCGTATCCTTGGTCCAACTTCAGTGGCTTCATAGGAGGAATCAGTCTCCTCATCAGCAGTGTCACGGGACCGGGAATCCTCACCATCCCGCTGCTCTTCCAACAATCCGGGTGGCTATTGTGAGTGTGAATTCACCCGTCGCGGTGAGCGAAGAGGTCTTACTGATAAGCCCCTGCCGCCCGATTCGATTCAGACCAATAGTATGCTTCATCGTCATCGCATTCCTCTCCGGCCTCGGCTGCCTGTTCCTTATCGAGAGCATGACGTATTTTCCAGGGAATGAGAAGTTTCAGGTGCGTGGAGGCGTCTTCCATGCATCAGGAGGCGTTGGTGCGAATACTAACGCTATTTGGTCATTTGGGTATGGTTTGGATCGAGCAGAGAAACGTCGAGCTGACTGTCTTGGTGCATCAGGTAAGGTTCTGGAGCTGCGAGCATCTGCGTCCTTTCCCATGTGGGAAGTCTGGGGATCGAGCAAATGGAGAACACGCCTGGATGGTTTTGGGAGGATCGAATGAGTTGAGGAGGACTTAGAAACCGGCGGTGGAGGCGGTGAAGCGACAATAACGACTAAAGCGCAGGCAAACAACATGCACCGCAGCAGATCGAAAACATATCCCGTCGTCCAATCCATCGACCGCTTAACAAAACCCTTTTTCCGTTAACCCACATAGTTCTACGGGCGCAAATGGTACTACCTGATGCACGTCGTCCTCTACGGCTCCCTCCAATCCTTCAACATCGCCTCCATCATCTCCGCCGCCCAGGTAAGTAAACTGTCTCCCACCCACTCCCGACACCCACTCACCCATCTCATCTCAAACTAGACATTCGACTCCTTCCTAATAACCCTAGCCGGCCAAACATGCGGGTACGGCATCAGCCCGCAGGCGGGCTTCATTTGCGTCAGCGAGCAGACGAATTCGAATTCGCCGTTTGGGGATAACTATATGTTGGCTACTGCGGGGTTTATTGTGAGTTTGATGGAGTCAAGATGATATCCCCAGGAGAGGAGCTGGATTGAAAGAATTTTTTGGGGGGGAAACAGCTACTGCTAGTCCTCGTGATCCCGCTCATCTCGCTGAATCTGAACGATAACCTGATCGTCCAACTGCGTAAGTTTATCTTGACACCGACGCAGTCACTTTTTTTCTTCGACTGCTGATATTCCTTTCCGCAAAGTCTCCGTGGTCTACCTCGCCTTCGCCATCTTCATCTACGTCTGCATCGCGTTGGCCGTTGGCCTCAACAATGCTGGGATGAAGACGATCGGGAATGATATGACGCCTGTGTTGGGGACTGTTATGTTTAATTACAGTTGAGTTTCTGTCTCTTTTGGGGTATTGGTTGTCCCAGTCCCCCATGATTGGTTGTTTTGACTGACCGACTTCTGCTTGTTTGCGTAGCGCTGGCGAATACGGTGCCTAGTTGGGTTAATACGAAGGTATACGACGAGGCTGGGAAAGAAGAGGGTGGCTGGGTGGGCATGGAAAACTGATGGGTCCACTTGATCGTGTCGTTACAGCACAAACGGGTCCCGATCGCGAAAACCATCTGGTACTCCGTCTGGATCTCCACGGCTCTGTATATCGTCATCGGCATATTCGGTATGTTCCCCCAGCCATCGCCGCTCTACTTTGCCCGCTTTGCCCGCTTTGCCCATCCCCATCCCCACCCTGACCAACACCTCTCATACCACAGGCGGCGCCGCCTTCCCGATGCCCGACGACTCTAACCTGATACAAGCGGTCAGCGCCAGCACGAACGTGTCGCAGTCCGGCAAGAACATCAATGCGCTGATCAACGTCACGTACCCGATCTTGGTCCTGCTGACGTCTATACCGGTGTCGATCATTATCGTGAAGCTGAATTTGGTGTCGAGTCGGTTGTGTACTGGATGTGAGTTGGAGCCCAACATGATTTCGCAAAAGGGCAGCAATGTTTCGCATGGGTTGATCATCTTTTCGGATTTCATCACACAGCATGGGCCCAATTCTGGGCCGCCGCCGTCCCCTTCCTCGCGGCCCTCCCCTTCCAAACCGGCGCCTGGATCACCGTCTTCTCCAACTGGACCTCGCTCATCTTCCAATCCACCTGCAACTTCGCCGCCCCCTTCCTCGTCTACCTCTTCCTCCACAAGCGCAACATGGTCATGCAGCAGTCCGTCCTCGACGAACTCGAGTTCCTCGACTTGGATGCCGGGATCAAGAAGTGGAGGGATGATGATGATGATTTCGATTATGTGTACCATCTTCCGCACGCGGATCTAACACGGTTGGGGATGAGGAGGTATAACCCCTTCGAAAACGCGGTGGGCGCATCGCAGGCGAGTCTCGGGCACGGGCTCCACGACCCAACCGCAGCGGGGGGCGGCGGCGGGTTAACGGTCCCAGGAGCGGGTGGGCTCGCCCCACCGGGCGCAATGCAGTCCCAGTTCCTGTACCGCGGCCGCGGCGGCGGGGTCGGCCAATCCGTGTCGGCGCTCTCAACCGCGTCTGGCCAGTCCGCCCGGCAGCTCATGAAACAGATGCTTGGACCGGGCGGTGATCGCCCGCCACGACGTAAACTGGGCGCGCAAGGTGGGGCGGTGGGAAGCGACGGCGCAAGTGTCATGCTCGGCGGCGCACAGTCCCGCCGCACAAGTTTGGGCGGGTCCGGGCTCAACCTCGGTGTACCCGGCGGCGGCCCGAACGCCCCCGGCGCCCGCTCCCGGCGGATGTCCCTAATCAGCGGAGGGGGCAACTTGAACAAGATTTTTCCCGTGTCCGACATGGACGACCTTGAAGCGAAAGGCACCGACGGGAAGCGGTTGGACGCGGATATGGCTGCGCCCAGTTATATTGTGGAGGACGTGACGGGGGAATTGGGGCAGTTTCGCGCGATGCCGTATTGGGTTACGAGGCGGGTGAGCCCGAGGGTGGTGGCGGGGGTTAGTTTGATGATTATGATGAGTGCGGCTCTTGTGGTGCTTGTGTTGGATATTAAGGCCGGGTGATGATTGGATCTGCGGTGGTGTGATGGTCGGATGTTTGGGACAAGGGACGGGGGCTGATTCATGAACGCTATGGATGGTCGGCGAAAACCCGTGTTCGGCGGGACGGGTGCTGTCAAGGACCTTCTTTTCTGTATAGTGGAATTTTTCGTTTCCTTCTTTGTTATCTTCAACCTTTTTTTTCCTATTTGAAGGGCATTGGTCCTCGTATTGTCGCAAAAAATGAACGTTCGGATTGCAGACGATGGACATACAGTGGCAACATCTTTGATTTTGGTTATACAGGTTGCCGATACGATTTTCTACGCTACATAAGTTCCGTTTCCCCTCCATGATCTCCCTTTTCATATGTTCAACATCGAAAAGCTCGATCCACTTCCCTGCTCCGCCCAACATTGGTTTCTTCCTTCCTCCCTCTTTTACCATTGATAGTGTCCGCCCGTCAACGAGCCAAAGAATGTACTTTTGAGTGCTCGATTATTGATATCACTGCTGCTCGGCAGCGGCGGCAGCAGGTGCGTCCGTATTAGCAATGGCGGTTTTGCCGGCGGACTTGGCGTACTGGTCTGGGTATGCCTTTTGGAATTTGTCTTTCAGTGACAGAACTATGTTTGATGGGGGCAAAGAAGGGATTATTCAGCGAATCATAAAGAATGGTGGCAATCGGCAGCGCAATGGTCAATACTCACGAGTCTCAGTCCCACTACCCTTAATCCCCGTCACGCCCGCCGTGCTAGGAGCCGCAGGCGCAGGAGCACCCGCCAACCTCGCACTAGTACGTCTCTGCGGAATCAACGTAGTACCTCCAGGCGACCGCGGGATATTAGTCTTGCGAAGCCGCGCATACATCGCCTCCTTTGCAAGGTCTGAAGCGTCTTGGGCGTTGGTGGAAGTGTTCTCGGTGAGTGGTTTTGTGGAGAAGGAAGGCGGTGTGGGAAGGTCGTTTTCTTTGTCTTCTGAGGGGGTTGGGGTGGATGTGGGTTCGATGGGTTCGGCGGCGATGGCCACGCTTTGGGGAGCTTCGAAGGGGCTGGAAATAACGTACGACGATGGATTAGCCCTAGCCTCGAGAGTCAAACGTTCACCGGTTTTACAATCGCAATGGTGCAACATACCTTTCAGCATCACTAGTAGGCCCGTACGTAGACGCCAGCTGGCTCTTCATACGCTTGAGCGTTTCCAAAGGCCTCGACGACGAGCTTGCCGACCCCGAGCTTGTCGAGCTGGTATTGCTGACCGATCTAGGGCGGGCTGGCAGCGAGCCAGCGGACGCCGCCACACGTTTGAGGGGGGACTCGACGTAGCTCGCAGGTGCCTTTTTCGACATGTATTGTTTCCTCGGGCTGGCGTTGATTAGAACATGAGCAAAAAATGCGGAAAACGGGAGGAGCCTCTGTCGAAGAGCGTAACCCTTCCACGCACCTTATATACTGGACAACCTTCCGCTGGACCCTGCACAGCTCCTGCAACAAGTCACCCATCATCGGTTGTTCTGCAACTCCATTCATCTGGTTCCGTTTCCCTTTGGCCTGAGCGTCAATCTTGAGAGACGTGTCGGTAGGGATCACGGGTGGAAGAGGTGGGGGTGGTGGAGGCGGCAGCCCTGTGGTTTCGGGAACAGGGATGACGGATTCGAGGCTAGACAGACGGCTTTGCAGGTATGCGACGTTGGCCTCGAGTGCCGCGATCTTCTCCGCTTCGTTTTGCTAAACCATTACCCATTAAAGATTAGTTCATCAATCATCAACCCATCACTTAGACCACCATCAGCCATCATCGAGCACGATGCATGTGTAAACGAACGACAGTTCGCTGTCGCTCACACTTAGAAACCATGTGAGGAGAGTGTTGCGCCTTTGGCGCAATGTGGTGCTCGCCTCCCTTGAAAAGATCTGACGCTCGCTGAGGCTCGCCAAGAGCCGTGATCCGGAGCATTGCGCCTTTTGGTGCAAGGGATTCGCTCTGCTCGCGAAGCGTTTGCGATGGTTGCGCTCGCTATCGGTCGGGCTCACATCGCAAACCAAGGCTCCCCTCATGGGTCACCTGTCTCAAGCATCCCTGTGTCTCGCTTCGCTCGCCGCTGTCGCTCGCGGAGGCTTTCGCTCTGATCGCCATCTCTACGCTCGGAGTCTCCTTTCGTACCATACCTTCTCCACAATTACAGCCATCTGCTTCCCACTCTCGTCGTCGCTCGCACCAATGTCCTTAGTCTCCACCTCCTCGTCGTCCGCATCACTCCCACCGACAAACCCCCACCACCTCCAAGTCCCCTTCAGCACGTCCCACGTCAGTGCAGTTGCAACGAACCCCAGCAAAACGGTAGTCGAAATCGCCGCATAGTTAACCCAAGCGGACATGATGATCTGCGTTGTCTTGTCGTAGGTATCGAGCGGGGGCAGGGTGTACGCTTCGGGCCCTTCGTCGTCGTAGTCGGAGCTGCGGTAGGCGTAGGTGTGGTCGTCGTCGCCGTCATTGTCGTAGTAGGAGGATTGAGCGTAGACGTCCCGCTGCTGCGCTGCGAGGCCGCCCGCGATCAGCCAGGGAATCCAGGTCTGTAGCATGGCGGGGACGATTGGTAGCGTAGCTTCAGTGCTGTATCTGAGAGTGGTCCTTCTACAGTCTCTTTGTTTTCGTAAGGCTTGTCCGCTGTTCTCTGCTGGGGGGTTTGGGTTCTCGTCGAAAACAGCAACATTCCCACCCAGAGCCGGCTAATTGATTTTGTGCGCGAAAGTAACGCGCAGACAGACCCCTTCAAATTCACTCCAGGCTCCAGCCAGCTGAAGAAAGTTCTTGGCTTCCCACTAAGGTAGGGACGCCCATGGCTACATCGGTTGGACGATATCGATACGTCGATATGTGACAAACATCACCTCCCGCGGTGGACCCTGACTTGCTGCATCCTGATATCCTACTTACAGGCGTAAAGTGTGCGACCTGACCACTTCCGCAAACATGACCGATGCCCAGGCCCAGCGTCCGCCCCTTCCTCCGTTCACCCTCGAGTCGGCGCTTCAGAAGGTCCGTTTGGCGGAAGACGGATGGAACAGCCGTGACCCCGCTAAGGTTGCCCAGGCCTACACCGTCGACACATACTGGCGCAATCGCGGCGAGTTTGTCGCGAATCGCACCGAAGCACAGGCCTTTTTAGAGCGCAAGTGGAAGAAAGAATTGGACTATCGCCTGATCAAGGAGCTGTGGGCGTTCACCGACAACCGCATCGCCGTGCGGTACGCGTATGAATGGCATGACGACTCGGGCAACTGGTTCCGCTCCTACGGCAATGAGAACTGGGAATTTGCGGACGACGGCTTGATGGCTAAGCGGTTTGCGAGCATTAATGATTTGCCTATCAAAGAGTCTGAACGCAAATATCACTGGCCGCAGGGACGCCGGCCCGATGATCATCCGGGGCTCTCGGAATTAGGTCTATAAACCTCGTGCGTAGGGCAGATTCAGTGATATGTAGTATCTGTTCGTGCTGGGGGACAGAGCCTCTCCGAAACTCTACTTCTAAAAAGCAACTATACAAAGTTTTTGGTTCTGATTGTCTACTGTATGTGGGCAAACCGTGATCCACGCCTTTCACAAGTCATTGCCGTCCCTTATGCGTTGGTAGAAACCAGCGACATCGCCCGCGCCATCCAACGCAGCTGGCCCGATCTTGATTCAGAAAATGGGAACTTCTGGATGCAGTTTAGAGAATGGGACTTTCTGAAGACTACCGCCTTTTTAATGGAAAACCACGTTGACAGGATGGGGGAGAGGAAGTGTTGTGCGGGGATGGGATTTGTGATGATAACATGGCAAGGTTTCCCTTTGGTCTCTAAAAAGGGAATAGAGTTCGGACAAGCGTTGGGAAGGGCGCGTGTCCGAACGCACAGACGTCGCTGAGTTCCCTTTCTTCGCACAGCACCAGCCCAATTGAACCCCACTGAACCCACTGGATCAGTGTGTTCACCAACGGAAAGATAGAAGAGACGCTGAGCATCTTGGGGAGGCAAGAGCAGTAGCATCCCACCGCAGGCACAGCACCAGTGCTCCGAAATCACACTCTCAACAACACTCCGTAATCCCCACCTACCCACAACCAACATGGTCCGTACCCACATCCCGTCCTCCGCCCCACCACCGCTCATCCCAACCCGCCGCTAACTCACACCTCTCACCCGCAGGTCGACCGTAAACGCCCACGCCCCACCTCCCCAACCCGCCCCTTCAGCGACGACAACCCGGCCTCCTCGCCACCCCCCCGGAATGGCGATGAAGCGCAGCCATTTGAAGAGGAAGCAGAGGAAGCGGATGAAGTCTTCGTGGACGATGTGTTGGATATGATGGAGGAGGAGGAGGAGGAGGAAGGGGGGGAGGACTTGTTTGGGGATAATGTTGATGGGTATGTATGTGAAACTCGTCCTCCCTCTCTCTGTCCCTTGTGGTGTGGTGTGATACCCCTTCACCACAGCAGACCTAAACCATTGATTTCTTTTTCCAACGGGAAACAGAGATTACCGTGAAAACGTGCGCCTCGACCGATACGAGATCGACGACGCGGCCGAAGCCGAGGAGCTCGACGCGATGGATCTCGAGACCCGGCAGCTCGTGGAGGCGAAATTGAGACGGCGCGATCGCGAGGCGGCTAGACGGGAGGGGAGGTTGCCTGCTGCTTACATGGATGATGGTGAGTTGAGGTGGGGGGCATTTGCGAGGAGGGGGGGGGGGGGGGGGTTGATGGTTGCTGATTTTTATTTGTTGAAGATGATGATGAGGATCTGGACGGCCCCATGCCTGTGCGCAGACGCCGGAGACATGGGTTGGACGATCTGCAGATGGATCTGGATGGCGAGGTACGAAAAACATCACCGCCTGTCTACACATCAATGCGGAACGGCGCTGAATGTAAGGGTGTTGCTTCTCTCCAGGTGGAAGTCCCCGCCGACATCTCCGATGTGCGCGGCCCGCTCAACGAGTGGGTGATCATGGATGGCCCACGCCAGACCATCAAGCGCGAATTCCACCATTTCCTGACCTCGTTCGTGAACGAGCAGGGGGAGTCGGTCTATGGAGAGCGGATCCGGAATATGTGTGAAGGTAGGCTCGGTCAAACCGATCCGTTACCCACCACATAAAATCAAGTTCCCGCATATTCACAACTCCCGACGGTCAAAATCTTTCTTAGCCAACGGCGAATCCCTCGAAGTCAGCTACGTGCACCTCGCAGAAGTGAAACCGAACCTCGCCTTCTACGTTGCCAACGTGCCCGCCGAAACATTAAAGATCTTTGACGTTGTGGCCCTGGAGGTGGTGCTGATCGGGTTTGAGGAGTATGACAAGATCAAGAATGAGATTCATGTCCGGATGACTGATTTGCCTATGTGTGAGACTTTGCGGGATCTGAGGTCTGTCCTGTTTATCTGTGTTTGCCTTTTTCTATATTCGTTTACAGATGTTGTGATGTGACATTTTCCTAGACAAACACATCTCAACACCCTCGTCCGCGTCACGGGCGTCGTCACCCGCCGCACGGGCGTCTTCCCCCAACTGAAGTACGTCAAGTACGACTGCGTGAAATGCGGTGCCGTCATTGGGCCGTACTACCAGGACGCCAACACGGAGATCCGGGTGGGAAACTGCACGAGTTGTCAGTCTAAAGGGCCCTTTAATGTTAATGCTGAGGAGGTTAGTTGGCTGGGTTTTGTCCCTCGCTCCCTTGAGTCGCCGTTGTTCTAAGACTGAGTGCTGACTGCGTGTCGGGAACGCTTTGACAGACGGTGTACAGGAATTATCAGCGTCTGACGCTCCAGGAAACTCCCGGATCGGTGCCCGCCGGACGTCTGCCGCGGCACAAGGATGTCATCTGCTTGTGGGATTTGGTCGACTATGCGAGGCCTGGAGAGGAAGTGGTACGTTTTCTTGACTTGGTTGATTTCCTCATGCTCCCGGTGTGTGATCGACCGCCATCGTTTGCTGAATTAGTGAAACCCCTCCCGTAAACAGGAAGTCACAGGAATCTACCGCAACAATTTCGACGTGTCGCTCAACACGCGCAACGGGTTCCCGGTCTTTGCCACGGTCATTGAGGCCAACTCGATCACGAAGAAGGAGGATGCATTTGCGAGCTTTAGGTTGACGGAGGATGATCAGAAGAAGATTCGGCAGTTGGCCAAGGATCCGAAGATTTTGAGTCGGGTACGTGTTTGAGAGGCGGTGTGAGTTGAAGGGTTGTGGGGAATGGATTCTAAATGTGTTGATGGTTTGCGCAGATCATCAAATCGATCGCGCCCTCCATTTACGGGCACGACGAGATCAAGACGGCGCTCTCTCTCGCCATGTTCGGCGGCGTCTTCAAGAACCCCCAAGGCAAGCACCGACTCCGTGGCGACATCAACGTCCTCCTCCTCGGCGACCCGGGAACGGCCAAATCGCAGTTCCTCAAATACGTCGAGAAAACCGCCCACCGCGCCGTCTACACCACCGGCCAGGGCGCGTCCGCCGTCGGTCTCACCGCCTCGGTGCACAAGGACACGGTCACGCGCGAATGGACCCTCGAAGGCGGCGCGCTAGTCATGGCCGACAAGGGCGTGTGCCTGATCGACGAGTTTGACAAAATGAACGACCAGGACCGCACATCCATCCACGAAGCCATGGAGCAGCAGAGCATCTCGATCTCCAAAGCGGGCATCGTCACCACCCTGCAGGCCCGCTGCGCCGTCATCGCCGCCGCCAACCCGATCCGCGGACGATACAACTCCCAAGTCCCCTTTTCGCAGAACGTGGAGCTGACCGAACCCATCTTGTCCCGGTTCGATGTGCTGTGTGTTGTGAGGGATCTGGCGGATCCCGTGGTTGATGAGCGGCTGGCGCAGTTTGTGGTCAATAGCCATATACGCAGTCATCCGTTGTATCAGAAGGATCAGGATGTGGAGGATTGTGTGGCGCCGCCGCAGGATGAGGATGTGAGTTTTTGGCGGAGTTGAAACTCTGCGGGTTTGTGTGGGAGGCGTTTGTGGCTGACTGTTATGTGCGACTTGTGTGTGTGATTTGTAGATCATCCCGCAAGACTTGCTGAAGAAGTACATCATGTACGCGCGCGACAAGGTGTACCCGCGCATCGCCGATATCGACCATAACAAGCTCGAGAAGCTGTATGCGGAGCTGAGGCGGGAATCTATGGTGCGTATTATTCCATTCATCTTCATTTCATATAACCCCAAGCTGACCCCCAACCCATGCTTTAGATGACGGGCGGGATCCCCATCACGGTCCGGTACCTCGAATCCATCGTGCGCATGTCGGAAGCGTTTGCGCGCATGCATCTGCGCGACTTTGTGAGGCAGGACGATGTCGACCGCGCCATCTCGGTCACGATCCGGAGCTTTATCTCGTCGCAGAAGTATTCGGTGAAGAAGCAGATGGAGAGGGTACGCGCTGGTGTCATTTCCCGTTTCCCCCCGGGCGAAAAAAAAAAACGTCATGGCAGTCTCATCACCTGTCGGCACATCTAACCCATCCCCTTGTAATCCCACACAGGCATTCGACAAATACCTCTCCCGCGACCGCGACTTCTTCGAGCTCCTCCAACACATCCTCTCCGAGCTTGTCGCCGAACATATCCGCTTCGACTTTTACCGCAACGACGCCATGCCCACCGGCGAGATCCGCATCGACGCTGAGGAGCTGGTGGTCCGCGCCCGCCAGCTGAACATACATGATTTGGCGCCGTATTACCAGAGCAGGATCTTTAGGAGTGCCTTTAGGTTGGATGAACGGGCGGGGGTTATTGTTAAGAAGATGTAGGGATAATAGTAGCATATGAATTTCTGGACGCACCATGGAATGGATTCCGTTCGAGGTTGTGCTTACTTCCATGCCAAATGTGCAACTTCCATGCCATGGGATATAGTACAAATAACAGACATAACAGACAACTCAAAACTCCAGACGCGTCAGGACAGCAGCTTCTTGCATCCATGCAAAAGCAACCCCCTTTCTGAGCAGACATATTCGGTACGCCACAGTTGTGCCGTACGCCACTGTAGTGCCACTATAGTACACAAGATAGATACAACTCAAAACTCCAGCTTAACCTCCCACTCCCTCCCAACAATTACCGCCGGATCCCTCAACGTAACCCTCACCAGCCCATCCGCCAGCTTTTCACTCTCCACCAGCACCTCCCTATCACTCTTCTTCCCGCCCTCAGTCACAACGACGCGTTTCGGCGCCGTTTTCAAGCCTACAATCACCAACCGCTCCACGCGTGAGCCGACCTCGGTGATCGTCGACTCGGACGGGGCAGAGGTTTGGGTGGTGTGAAGGGTGCTGCTGAGCGTGTTGTGGGTGTAGGAGAGGGCTGAGAGGATGTACTTGTTCTCTTGGTATTGGAAGGTGTGGCCGTCGTCGGCGTAGAGTTCGCCGTGGGCTTGTCCCTACGTTGCCGATATATGAGTGAGACCTGATTCCAACGCTCGCAATTACAAATGAGGGTTTGCCACCCACCTGTTGATCCAAAGCAACCCATAACGTGTAAGGGTCGCGCAACATAAGGTTCGAGGCGCGGCGGACTCGCTCGCGTCTGGGGATGATGCTTCCGCCCCGCAGGAGGACCGGGATCCTTTCTTGCGGAGTCTTGATTGTGACATGGCCGGAGGTTGAGGCCGCGAGCTTCGCGTGGGTGTGGTAGTCGTACCATACCTGAAAAAAAGTGAGGTCATTATAACTGCACTTTTTCTGAAGGTGTGAGCACACAAACACGATACATACCGATGCCTGGGGTACGTAGACGTTCACGCTCTCCTGGTCCTTGCTAATAACAGGCTTGACCAGAATGCCACTTCCGAGCATAAACTGATCACCGATCGCGAAAGTGGCTTCATCCTCAGGAAACTCCGCAAGCAATGGTCTGTCCAACGGGTCAATCGTGAGCCTCAACCACGCCACGAAAAGCTCTATGCAAGCGAGTCCCAAACGTACCTCATTATAGGCGCCCCAGACCTCGTAGCCTCCGCGAACAAGGTATAGATGTATGGCAGAATCTTGTAGCGCTCCCTGATCGCGGCTCGGATCAAGGAGGTGTAGGGCTCGCCGAAAAGCCATGGTTCGCGACGCTTCGTGTCGATGTGGGCGTGTGCTCGGAAGAAAGGCTGAAAGGCTGCGACTTGGTACCATCGAACCAGGAGGTCGGGTTCGGGGTTGCCGAAGAATCCTCCGACGTCAGCTGCAAGATTACAAAGTACAGAGATTTAGTAGGGATAATCTTACACAAACGATATTGATGGCCAAACTCCCTACCTCCGCTAAACACGACCCCCGAGGTCCCAACAGACAACAACATCGGGACCGAAGCCTCCAAATGATCCCACTTGGCAAAATTGTCTCCAGTCCAGATAGCCCCATACCGCTGCGTCCCCGCAAAGAAAGCACGGGACAAAATGAACGGGCGTTCCTTATTGTCCGATCGCAGCAGATGTCCCTCATAACTCGATCGGTGTAGCAGTGTACCATAGACGTTGTGCACGTCGCGGTGCTCGACGCCGCCGTTATGGAGCGCGTCTTTGGGCATGGTGATCTCTGGCCCGGTGAAGACGGAGGGCTCGTTCATGTCGTTCCAGGTGAAGAGGGAGGGCGTTGAGCCCTTGTATTCGGAAAACTTGAAACGCTCGGCCCAGTACTTGCGTGCTTTTTCGTCGGTGTAGTCGATCCAGCTTGAGCTGCCTGTGAGTGAGTTAGTTTTAGCCAAATCGGTTGAGCTTTCAGTATGCCGTTGTGTGAAGCTTACCTGGCCAGCACCACCCGTCGACATCGTTGCCGTTCTTGTCTTTGATAAAGATTCCCAGGTCTTTTGCTTCCTTATAGACTTTGTAGCTGTCATCTCGTTTGATATGCGGATCAATGATCGTCACCATCTACACGAAAGTCCACGGTGTCAGATGAAACCCCCTCGCGATCGACGATAGCGAGTAGCGTCAACCAACCTTCCGTCCCTTCACAGCCAAATTGTTCTGCATCTGTTCCGAATTAGGAAACTTGGCACTGTCCCACGTGAAATATCGTTTGCCATCGGTATGTTCGATATCGAGCCAAAGCACATCGTACGGGATATCAAATTTGTCGAAATTGGCGTCCACATCCGCAACATCCTGCTCATCAATGTAATTCCACCGACACTGATGGTACGCAACAGCGAAATGCTGCGGCAACACCGGCCGTCCAGTCAGCGCAGTGAACGAGTCAAAGATATCCATCGGTTTCGTGCCCAGGAAGATAAACACATCAAAAGCGCCCGATTCAGCCATCCAGTGTGCCGTCGTGCTCGCTTTGGGCGCCTTGTGCGATCCGAACGGGAGCCATTTGGAGGCTTTCGACAAGATATCGCTCTCGTCGTGTTTCTCAACGTCCACCCACATCTCGGCGGCGTTCATCCAGTACAGGCCGGCTGAGACGCCTTTTTTGTGGGAGAACATGAATGGGATCGAGCCGTATAGAGCCATAGGGCTGTCGAGGATGTACTCGGCGACATCAAGGTTGTACAGACGGTAGGGGTCATCGTAGACTTTTCCTTTGCCCCTTGTCGGCAGGAGGGAAAAGTTCGCCGCATGCTCCGGCAGTCCATACACGTTGCTGGACCCAGGGAAGGAAATGTCAAATCCCATCGATGCCGGGCCTTTTGAGAGCGAGTTGATTAGGAGCGACACTCAACGGCTGTGGCGAACATTTATCGTCTTACCATTAGGCTTCGAATCAGTTGTACTCTTGAACGTCTCCTCCCACAAATCCTTGTTCAGCGCCTCTTTCAGCTTCTTCTCTTCATCATCCGTGATCCCTGTCTCAACAACAAGATCTCCAGACGAAGAGGAAGCATCCTGGTTCGCAAGGCCAGCGGCCACGTCCTTCTCCCTCCAATGCTCGTAATAAAAGTAACCGTGTTCATTGAAAGTCACGGCGGGAACATTGTTGACACTCAGCGAGAAAGCAAATGGCTTGGCGCGGATCACCAGGGAGTTCTGCTTTTTCTCCCCAAAAACAACGGTCGTCTCCGAGGAGTCCTTGCTATTCGTCGAGCTGCTGATTGGCACTGACTTGGGCAGCTCTGATGCTAGCGCGAGATCGCCGGACAACTCATAACGAGACTTAACGGGCCGAGTCTCCTTTATCTGCACACGCGCGGTATTTCTTTCCAATAGAGATACGGAGAGTGAGAACGGGATCTTGTTCTCCGCATCCAGCAGCGACGCCGTCACCAAGCCCGCCTTCTCATCGAATTTCAGCGACCCGGCAACAAGCTCATAAGGCGAGAGCCGCGAGTCCTTCGAGTCATTGTACACTTTGTCGGCAAAGTCTGCGTACGCCCGCTGCCGAACGCAGAATGCGCTCTGATCGCAGCGCTTGAAGTCGTCGGATTTCACCATGTAGCCGGGAGCGGGGAAGAGCGCTACTAGGAGCACCGCGGCGCATGCGATCTGGGTTTTCCAGCCGGCGGAGATGGTGGGCTTGCGCCTGACTGAAGCCATCGCCGAGAGATCGCTGTGTGTGTTGGATAACCTGACCGGTAATTAAGTCCGGACTCTATATAGTAGACGGCAGAAAGTGTCTTGCGCCCTTAGCACAGGGGATCAGAGACTATATGAGAGTGAATTCGAAGTCTACTATGCTACCGGATCGCGCTGTCGAGCCGACGGGCCTTGATCTTTGGCGCTTCCAGCCTGGAAACATGACGTGCAACTCACATATAGTCGCTGTTTGCGTTCCCCCCTCCAGAACAGAGACTGTAGATTATTGGCTGTTACTGGCGCAGAAGGCTGTGATTGGCTGTTACTCGAATGTAACCCTAACTGTCAGTCATTTCCTCCGGAACGCTGTTATTGGCTGCTAGGCGCGCGGAAAGCTGTGATTGGCTTCTCGTCGCACATGTAACCCTAACTGTAAGACGCGGTGCCTAAGGTTCCTTCCCATTGGCCACGCTTCCGATTGACCAATGGGACCCCTACTTCGCCGCCAGCCTAACGTTCCTTCCCATCGGCCATGCTTCCCATTGTGGCCAATGGGAACCCTACGTGGCCTTCCCATTGGTAAGCAACTCCGCCGACGCCGGCCTAACGTTCCTTCAGTTGCTTCTTCGACGTCTTCCAAAACCCTAAAAGCCAGCGCTCTCGAACACTCCTGCGAGCCGTTCACAAGCATCAGGGAGAGCGGTACCGCCCGTTAATCACTCTATTGAGCGGTCCGTTTCCAAGCCAGCCAGATGACATCCATCAGGAAGCCGGTGGATCGCATTTATTTGACCAGTCGTCAGGCTCGGGAGGTAACCGGGCGATGTTGCACTAGTTTTGGGGTGATAAGCGGCATATCTGACAGCCTGGAATCTAGGCTAGGGCTTTCAACGATGCTCCTTTCTCGTCAACATGTTAGTTCCACTTTGCTTCTAACGCCTTGTGTAATATACCATTCTGACCCGAGATCCCAAATTACATAGCTCGAGCATCATACAAACCGCATGATGTAAGTCAGGAGCAGAGCCCTTCAACTTAGAAGTAAATTCATAATATAAAACCGCATCCGCAAACAGGTAATATCGATCCTCAAAGAAGAACGAGCAGAATACGACAAAAACAAAGGCAAAGCCCGCCACGCCGGCGAATGGTGGGACAAATCCAACGATCCCCGACTCCCGTCCTCTTCCCAACCCAACAAACACGCCGAAACGATCTATAGAGACAGCTTCAAATCCCAGGACTACGCCAAATGGCTCCGCAGCGTCGCCAACGTTCCCGTCGCGGGGAACAAAAGCGCTCCGAATGATGGCGCGGCGCCGACGGGACCTAGTGTGGCGGCTGCCGCGGCTGCGAACCCGTTGGCGAAGCGGCAGGTGGTGAAACCGGCGACAGCGCCCGGGGATTTTATGAAGGATTGGGGACAGCATAGGGTTAGGAAGCAGGTGTCGGGGGAGGACAGTGGGCGGTATGATATCATTACGGGTACGTGCTTACTGACACGCCGTTGACCACTGGAGGTTGAGCCAATGCTCATGTCTACTCTTCTCCGGCAGGCTCGAGGCTGTTATCGTCATCGCAATCCATCAGGCCGTTGAGGATGTCGTACGATAAAGTTGAAAACGGAAGGGACAGGAGCTACGACATAATCTCTAATGTCAAGCTGGTACCATTACCTTCGGTAAGCTTTCCGAGGCGCTTTTCATATGTACATGCACCTCTCTGAGACTCCTCCAAGCAGGAAGCGGATGTACAAGGATGATGATAAGGATGATGATGGTGAATCAAGGACTCGAAGTTGCTCCGCTACATTGTGCAGTGCATTACTACGTAATAGATACCCTATCGTACACCAGGACCTCCTTGTCTATCGGTGCCGATGTCTATGTCTATGTCTCATTTCTACATCTGCTTGCACCATCGCCGATGGTTCATTTCTCAAAATTGTAGCTTGACAATCTCACGACGCACGGAGTGCGCCTCGACCCATACGCTCTGTATCTCTTTCGCCGAGCCATCCTCCTCCACCAACTGCAGGAACTGCGGTAGGGACCCTGAACAGCCAAAATATGTCGTTTTGGCGGCCACATATCTGCAAAAAGTGTCTGTGTGTGAGTCCTCTCTAAAGTGGGAGTGGGCGATAAGATTAGAGGGACGCACGCTATGCCACCAGGTTTTATCACCGCTTTGATCAGATCGAGCAGCTTGCGATGCGAGTCTGCTGAGTAGATCGTCTCGGATGTCAGTATTATGTCGTACTTTTGTTCTGCAGACATGTCGGCGAGCTTGTCCTAGGAAAGTCCGGAAAGTTTAGCTCAATGGTTATACAACCGAGCTCAATCTTAGCTTTGCACCTTCAAGGATGCCCAGTCCCCTGCCCAAAAATTGACTGGGAGCGTGGCCAATTTCGTGAAATCCAAGTCCACCTCGACATTTCCCCCTTCATGTTCATCTTCTGGTGGAAGTTCTGTGGCGATGTTCAACAGTACGTTGGGTATGGTGACGAGCCGAAGTACTTCCTCGTTCTAGAAAGATGATTTAGCGTAAGGGTTGATACGCTGGTGAGACCTTTCAAACTTTGACGTACATAGTCCTGCAGATCCACCAAAGCACCCTTCCCGAGGCAGAAGATCCCAGGAAGCGACGACCCACACCCCAGCTTTCTCAAAAATCAGTCGTATGATGTCGCGCTGCATAAGCCGCCTGTGCATTGCCCTCACCTCAAAAACCCTCTTCCCTTGCAGCTGCTCAGCCTCATGTGTCGCTAGGTAGTTTACCAGATCGACCGCACATTCCCATGTCTTGAGCCCTCCCTCGTACCTCCCAGGTATCAGGTCCGATTGCGACAGGATCGCGTCGCGAAAGTAATCTGCTTTTTCGAGCTTGTCCGTAACGGCTACTTCCCATTTTATGTCGGCGAGGCTCCGTCGATGGAAGGCCCCACCTTCAGTGAGAAGGCAGTCCCCGATTACTGTCAGTTCTCTGGAAAGCTAGGGGGAGAGCGTCAGAAAGAACAGCTACGCTTTGAAGTCGCCTGAGCCGTTCCTTACGAGTGCGTCGTCCAGAGCAATGAGGTTTGCCGGCGCCTCAGGGGTTGCAGGTGGCTGCCCTATCGTCAGAGAGTTGGCTTGCCCGACACTTGCTTCCTAGTAGACGTTCTTCAGTTTTAGCAATGAAGTGAAGCGGAATGGGAATCGTTCAAAGAAGGACCTACCTCGCCACCAAAACTGAAAAATGACATTCTCTACTACCGAAGACTGAAAAGAAAAGGACTAGAGAGGATTGCGCTGCTTCTTCCACAGTTCCCAAAAGTGCCCTGGCCGTCGATGTAGAATCGAATTTTGGACTTCTGCTCGACTTGTCTGACGCCAGGGTGGTGATTATTATGGGGAATCAAAAAAGGATGTGCCAGGGAACATGTTCCAGGGACAAGGATGTACGTGTTCCGGTCGCCGGTCGTCTTGGGATTCCGCCCTGGTGGGTCTCCAGTCCCAGGGATTCCGACGGTATCCCTGACAAAACCAGTTCCCTTTACCAGCCCAGACCATGGTAAACCATCTTCGCCACGGCATGAGAAGCACGCAAAATCCGGCGTGTTACAAAGAGGAGTTTATACCCAGAACCAGCGCAGGAAGGGCCGAGTAACACCGCAATCCAGACCGCAGAACGACCTCCGGACAACGCGTTTTTCTCGCACATGGTGAGGAAAACACGGAAAACGTGCTTCTCCGTCGTCGCTGTCGAAAACTCCTCATATTCTGTCCTTCTTACTCTTTTCTTCACTCCAATACATGTTTTCAGCCCTCTCGGAAGGGCCCAATATCGTCCAAGTTTCCTCTGACGTTACAATGATGGAGCGGGGGAGGTCGATAACTTCTATGGACGTCATTTTGGAGCGAGGGGGTTGCAGCGCTGTCACCGGCAAGGGCGTTGGGGAGGGGTTGGAGTGGGTTGTGGCGGATGTGGGGGGGAGGATATATATGTTGAATTAGCGGGCGGAGGGGACAAGGGGACTGGGAGGGGGGTACGGGTTAGTACGTTACGTTGTAGGAATGGAGGTCAGATGGAGGTGTCGAAAAATGGCCAACGACACTCCCACCTTGTGCCTCGGGAGGCGACAGGACGGCTTCGTTTCAAATTTACGGCCTTTCGGACGAAAAGGACGATTTCGAATGCGGTCTCGTTCCATGTTCAGATCCTCCAAATCCAGGAAAAGCTGATGCATGACAGTTTCAAGGGCCTTTATTTCGTGCTTCAGAATGCTGATCCGTACTTCGTAGTCTTTGAACAGCTTCTCCATCACAAATACCCAGCCCACCCCGAAAAACAGGACCTGGGAGCCAAAGACCACAAGCGTCGATTCTACAAGGTTGCTTGTGGAGCTTTTAGTTGCGTCGAGTGGCACGGGCGGCGGCGGCGTCAGACCGGCCACCGTATTCGAACCTACGATTGACATCCTTACTGTAGTGGCATTCGCGTTTATTGCCTGTCAATTGCACCGGTGGGGTGGGTAATTTGGAGGACAGTCAACTCGTATACGTGGCGGAAAGCTAGGCTATATACATAGATACTGCACAACGCACAGACAAATGAGTGAGGGAGTCTGGGTGCTCCTTCCCGGGTCTGCTGTGTGGTGACGATGGAGGTTGGAACTTGGAACGGGATCGACGGAGGTTGGGAAAGTTCCCTCTATTGGAACAAGGGCTTTCTCAGGCGAAATTCGTGAAGTTCGGCCACGATCTTTGTCATATGCTCCACATTAGGCGACATTAGGGGCCTTCAGGGTTCGAATATTACATACAGTACAAGCGTCGGCCGGGCGAGGCACGCGCTTTCGCACGCGGGCCCAGCGGCGTCGCTTTTCCCTCACTTTTCCCCACGTTGTTTTCCCGTCCTGCTTTTCCGTTCGCAAAGCTTCAATAATTTACATACGTTTATTTACACCCCACCCATTAACATTTACACCCAGGCCCATCCCAAGAAAAAAAGGAAGCCATCCCCAAACCTCCATAGGAAAGCTAACACATCCACAGTCCACGCTGCGATAATACGTCACCTCGCACCCCGCCTACATGTAATACATAACCTTCGCCAGATCCGGCTTCACAAGCCCATACGCAGCCGTCATATGCTCCATCCCCACCGTCGTCGGGCTGTACCGGGCCGACGCCGACTCGCCGGCCACGGAGCCGTGGGCGCTGTTGCTGTTGTGGCTGCTTGTGCCTTCCATCGCGACTTCGCTTGAAGTGGTCGTTGCGGTTGCCGTTGCCGTTGCCGTTGTGGTTGTGGTAGAGGTGGATGTGATGGGAGCAGCAGCCACAACACCCTCCTGAGACCGCACAGGTATACTCCCCTGTCGGACCGTCCTTTCACCCAAAGGCACCGCATTCTCCCCCCCGGGCCCGCCCACACTAACGCTCACAACCGCCGGCGGCGGCAGGTTCAACTCCACCACGCTCGGGGGCACAAAGAACGGATCAGCCCACGAATCGCCCATAAAATGGAACCGGGCGCGCGCGGCGACGAGATGCGCGTAGTAAGCGGGTGGGCAGACGGATACGGCGCGCGTGGCCCGACAGTAGAGGTAGCAGAGGCGGTAGGTGAGTTCTTGCAGGCCGTCGGCTGTGAAGTGGTTTTCGTCGAAGAGGACGTGGTAATGGGTCGGTTTGGAGGTGCCTTGGAGGCCGGGGTGGGAGGCGAGGTAGAAGTCTGCGGTTTTGTAAGGGACAAATTTCAGTAGGAGACTGGTGAGGAACGACAGGGACATTGCACATACCAAACTCGGCAGGATGGGTGATTCCCGCCTCGACGACGGTCCCAGGAAGCACATTACCGGACTTATCCGCATCCGCCTTCTTCAACGGGAAAAACCGTGCATGATGCCGTTTCTGCACAATCACAAACGTAATCGTCGGCCTATACCCCTCTGAATGAAACAAAAGGGTAAGCATCCACATCCACCTCCCAAAAAGCTCCCCCACTCCATTACACTACAACGAATCCCTCACATACCTTCCAACATAGAACAAGCCTTAACAAGCGCCGCCACCTCCGTCCTCGCAATCTCCCCAAACTGCCCCTCACTAACTCCATCCCTATAAAACAGCACCCTCTGCGGCTTACTCCCACAAAACTGATAGAAGGTCCTCAACAACTCCACCGCAGCCCCCGTCAAATCCCTAATCCCCTCACTCCTCCCCTTCTGCACGCGGATAGCCGCAGCGTACCGCGAGCACTGGGCGTCCATGGACGCGACGATGGCGGCGATGGAGGGTTTGGCGTTGTCCCCCGGTGCGGGGTGGGTGATATCGGCGCCGAAGATAATGGTGGGCTTTTCGGCGACGAAGGGGAGTTGCGCGTTCCCGAGGTAGCAGTTCATGCCGCCGAGTTTGACGTTGATTTTGAGGCAGAGGTTGGCGCAGTATTGTTTTTTGGCTGCAAAGACGTCTGTAGAATATAAAGGGGGAAGGAAGTTAGCACATGTGGCCCTGTCTGCCAACAATGCAAGGTTTGGTTTACTCACGCTTGGCCTGCATACACTGCGTCGCAATCCCAATAACCGTATCCGCAATCCTTTTAATCTCCGCATAAAGCGGCACCCCCGTATTCGGTAAAATGACCAACACCAGCTGCGGTTTATGATTTGACGTGTTCCCCGCATCCATAAACGCGGCTTTCAAAATCGCCTCAATGTTGCCCAACGGGTTCGCGTGCCTGATCGGCGGCTGCAGCTGCCGCACATCCACCCCCGTATCCCGGCAGGTCGAGATCAGCTCCCGGAGGAATTTCTGTACGTTGTAGACCGAGACCTCGCGCTCCGAGCCAAAGACCACTACCGCCCATGAGTTAAGGGATGCGCCTTGTGCGACTTTTTTGTCGCGGAGGTTCCAGGAGCCTTCGCGCGGGGCGATGCTGGATTCGCGCGAGGAGGGGTGGTAGGAGAGGGTTGGGGTGGGAAGGACACGGGCGTTGACGGTGGCCATTTCGCGGCCGATGGTGACGTTGAAATCTTGGAGGTATTCGTTGTCTTGGGTGAGGAGGAGGTTGAAGCCGTTAGAGACTTTATTGGAGCGGACGTGGGGGGGTTGGCAGGTGAAGCGGATCATATCGGCCTGCGTGGGAGGGATGTAACATCAGCCCCTTTCTTTTCAAGCCATGGCAAAACCAAGTCCACGCTCCAAACATAGCTACTCACCGTCTGCTTCTCATTCAATTTCCTCAAAATCCTCTGCCCCGGCACCACCCTACACACCTCCATCGGCAAATAAATATGTTTCGCCGGATCCCCCACAACCACACACGGAAAATGCTCAAACTGTAATTTCGTCCCATATCGCTCCCTAAAATAATTCGACACGGTCTCCTCGCGCCCGCCGCTGTCCTCCTTCATCGGGAAGAACGTGCGGCTGCAGGGTGTGGTCGTGATTTTGGCGATCTTCCATCGCCGACGGCTGTTGCCGCGGTGGGTGGTGATTACTTTGACGTTCTTGAGGCCCTTTTCGAGACGGTAACGGTCGCGTTCGTTGAAGGGTTGGCGGATGTCGTCCGGGCGGGCCCGGCCGAGGATTTTGGCGACTGTGTCTACCAGGGGGCCTATTATGACCAGAAGAAGGAAAATCGGGTCAGAATCGTGCCGCTATTGGGGATGAGACTGAACGCCACATCGTTGCAATAACGTACCAGCCTCCAAAAACGCCGTGGCAGAAACATCCAAATTCAACAACATCTTATGCTGGCTCGGCCGAATCGCCTGATGAAACCCCTGCCACAGCTCCGCCCCATTCGCAATGCTCGCCGACCCCTCTGGCGTATAAAAGCACCGCCCGACAGTTGTGTACAGCATCGAGGGGCGGTGTCGCAGGAGAATGTCTAACGCCATGATGGCGTCGGTGGGTGCTTCGTAGGATTTGCCTTCGAGGAAGAGATGCAAGCGGTGCATGTTGATTTCCCCGATTTTGGAGATGGAGACTTTGAATTTTCGGGGGCCTCTGCCTGGTCGACTACATTTATGAAAGGGAAGGATTGGTGATCAGTGTGGGTTGGTTGATGGATGTGCAGAGCGATGGGTGGGTTGATTGATGGATGAAAAACGACATCCTGCTCGCTCCGCTCGCGACAAGGATGTTGGGTTGCGGTGGGCGGAGCGTGCTCGCTTGGCTCGCAGAAGATCTAACCCGGTGCCCGCTAAGTACTGCGATGAAGGGAACCTTGCGCCTTTGACGCAATATGAAGTCGCTCCGCTCACGCTTCGCTGTCTCTCGCCGCTCCCTCACTCATACTCACATCGGAACCTGAGGCACCCCCTCCTCCACCTCATCCCCCAACTCCAACGAAAACGACGCGGCATCATCCTTCATCAATAACCCCCTCGGCGCAAAGATATACCGCCTCCCATCAAACACCGGCCGTGTATTCTTCAGGATCCCATTCCGATTCAGCTCCTCCCACAACGTGTATAATCGCCGGTTGGTCCGCGGGTTGGCTTCGGGCGTGATGGTGACCTCGTAGTGGTGGATGTTTTGCCCGGGGAGTGAGAGCACGGGAAAAAAGTTGGTTCGCACTTGCAGTGGGCGGCCAGAGGTGCCGAAGCCGGGGCGGCGGGGGAAGCGGGGGGGTTCGTCCATTGCGAGCGGCTTTTGGTGGGTAGTGGAAATGCGTGTGGGGGGGTTCCGCGCGGGGATTGGGTGAGCTTTCGCCTGTACGCCGTTCAGACTGCCCGCACAACCCTTCCCCGCCTCCACTGGATTCGGTAAGTTGGGTCGTCCCGATACTTGGTGCTCTGTGGGCCCTGCCTCGCTTCGAGTCGGTTATTCTGCTTTGTTGTCAGAGGCGCGGTTTCAAGCTCCAAGGCGAACGAGCGCAGACGGCAGCAAATGCGGGTACGAGGAGCTTGGAGCGACAGCGAGGGCAGGGGACGGCTGCTTGGATGAAGCGGCGCTGACCAGAAGCAGTGCTCTGTTGGAGTTCTGTATGTGCTGTAGTTCCTGGGAAACGGGTTGAAGCGTTGTTTATGAGGAGTTGAGCGGCGAGGGCGACTGCGCGCGGCCTTCCTTCCTGCACGCGCGTCCCCCCTAAGTGATCCTAGTCATGATGGTCAACGAGGGTTCTGCACACAGGCAACGAACGGCCACCCCAAGTATTATGGTAGGATATGTGCGCCAGAGGCCGCTCTTCAAAACTGTTTCATTACATCTGTTTTATTTTCTCTTAAAAACAAAGAGATGCCTACTTTAACTTGCTTCAGCTAAGAGGGCCTTCCTGGAGTCAGTTTGTGAGTCCTGGAGGTGAAATTTCGCGCAGGCCTACATCAGACCTTGTGGATTATTGAGGAAATGGGTATTGCGCTAAAGATGAGGGACTTCCATACATGTATTATCGAGAAGTGTGTTGGGGGCGTGCGCTCTTTTCCTGTCCTGCTTGGTAAAAGCCCGCAGTAAGTAATTACTTCGTCCAACAGACAAGCTAGCGTTGCTCCCCATACCTGGTTTAGTTATCCCACAAAGGTCTCAGGTCAGTTGGGTGTGTGTGGCCAGATGTCGAGGGTCAAGTCCCTCAGACGACTGCGAGGTGCGATCGCGTGTGCTCCGATCCTCCGATTCGCACGAGTCTATTAGAGGCCGCGAAACGTCACCGCTTGGGAAAGGGTTTTTCCCTTCCGCGATTTCTTCCCCCTTGCGGCCGTATAAAACATCACCTGAAGCTTGGGAGCTGTCCCTCTCGAAAAACCTGCTATCTCGCTTGGTAACCTCCGACATGACCAACCAAGCAGTGGCTGTATCACACCTTACCTATGGCTTTGGCGGACCACAGAGCGTCCTGAAGGACCTTTCCTTGGAGTTGCCGCGGGGTTCGCGATGTCTGCTCGTTGGCGCTAACGGTATGCCCTCCGTTTACTTCTTTGGCTTCAGAGGTGCCAGGCTGACTTCTTCTCTATTGTTATGCAGGTGCGGGCAAGAGTACGCTGCTGAGGATTTTGGCCGGGAAACGACTAGTCAACACCGAGGGAGTGCACGTCTTGGGCAAGAACCCCTTCAAGCAAGGGTCGCAGGTGAGTCTGTTCTGTTGGCATGTTACAAATAAAGACACAGGCTCATCCTTGGACTACCTCGCCGCTGATGACAGGACATCACATACCTAGGGACCGAGTGGGCACAGAACCCTATTGTTCGTCGGGATGTTCCTGTGTCACGCCTACTGAAGACTTTGGGCGCTGAACGGAATCAGGAGCGCTGCTGTAAGTCGTAATCATTGACGATAAGGAGGTGGCGAATGAATAATAACCATATCATATCAACAGCACACCTCCTCGAAATCATGGACGTTGATCCCAACTGGCACATGCATGAGATCTCCGACGGACAACGCCGCCGCGTCCAGATCGTTCTTGGGTTGATGGACCCATGGGATCTCCTCCTCCTCGACGAAGTGACGGTTGATCTGGACGTCCTCGTCCGCGCCGACCTCCTACGCTTCCTCCGCTCCGAAACCGAAACGCGTGGTGCAACCATCCTCTACGCGACGCACATCTTCGACGGGCTTGGCGGCTGGTCAACGCACGTCGCGCACATTGCTGACGGCGCCGTCGATGTTATCCGGGATCTCACTACGGCGGGAGGATTTCCAGAGTACGATGAGCAAAAGGAGTTGAGGGCGAATGGGACTGGCGACGCAGGGTTGTTGGACAACTCGCCGTTACTGCTTGTGGTGGAAAAGTGGTTGAAGAAAGATCAGGAGCGGTGGAAGAAGGAAGGCAAGAAGTGTCCAGAGGGGAAAGTGATGACAAAGTGGGAGATTCTGAGCGAGAATATGAGGCAGTATGGTGAGTTTGCCCAAGATCATGCTGCGGCATCTCAGTTGCACATTTTCTTGAACGTTCCCTGAACGGGTGTTCTCTTTCGCTTCAGCTGACAAGTACTACAACTACTGGACTGACGCTTAAACGGAAACCCTGCGCCAATCCGCTCAATACTTGCAGAAAAGAAAAGGCTTCACCCCTCACTGACGCCGTGTCGCCGTGATGTCGTATTTATCGACCATGTACATCCTCCGTTTGCCCTTGATTGTACATCGCATGTATACATTCTTAGACAAGACTGGAGCTGTAGGCTCCATTAGCACATCCACATATGAAAGGGAAGGGGGATCTAATACGTAGGCCTGGACTTTCGCTGTGATCCTCCCTATATTCCCATGGTGACTCTTCGTCGACCATGAAGATTAGTTGATTCCCCATACATTGAAACGCTTTTGATTGAGATTTGCAAGCGCGAAACAGTCACTACCTCTGCGCCACCACGTTCATCTGCGGCGTAGAGTTTGTGCGTTCTATATTTTGTAGGTAGCGGATATGCGGATTGTGTATGTGTGTGGACATGTAGTAGCAACGACCGGCGCAAACTTCATATTCATTCCGCTGGGGAGACTGCACAATCGCGAGAGTGCCGAGACTATGAACAGATGACATTGTGGATGTTCGCAAAAAAGGAATAAAAAAAAGGATACACAAAAACGAGCTCAGACGCTCAGACGCTCTTACGACGAGCAGTCGACATGGGGCAGCAATCCGCATCTCTACCTCATCACCTCCCCCTGATGATGCTTCAGCCTCTCCAACACATGCATCAGCCCCTTCGAGCTCCTAATGGTATTATCCTTGAATTTGGAGAGCCCAAAGCCCTCGATCCTGGATTTGATGGGTGCCCAGCCGGTGTTTGATATGATGCGGACGTTGGTGCGTAATTGTGTGCAGTTGATGGGATCGTCTATGCGGGGTGTGTAGGTTTGGGTTTCTTCGACAAGCATGATCTTCTTGTGGGAAAGGTTGCGGGTTACGGTGGTCATGGTTTGGGTGCGGGGGTCTACTGTGGAGGTTTCGAGGATGAAGGCGTCGCGGACGTTGAATAGCTAAGAATTTGAAGTCGTTTAGTCTATGAGCCATCCATTCCATATCCGCACGTCCCAAATACGAACCGAACGGCCCCATTTTGGTATAGCTCCTTTCTTCAAGAACAGTCTCGTGGTACTCATGACACCTAACGAAAACAAAAACCACGCTTCAGTACGAAAATCCTTTCCCAAAGGCTACCCCACCATTCCCGCCCACATACCGGTCACCGGATCGACCCTTCTCTCAACGACATCGGACGACAGCACGTGGGACGCAAACGGGTTTGGGTATTTTTGCCATACGGCCTGGGTAACGTTTGCCCAATTGTGCTGGATGTAGTTGGTGGTTTGGAAGAACTGAGGCATCGTTGCGAGTCGGAACAGGTATATGTATATTGAGTGTGTTTATATATGTATCGTATGTGGGACGCTGAGGTGGTCGGTGCAGTTTAACGGGGTCAATGGGTAGGTCCAACTGGCTTTGTCGTATAGGTGGAACACCTGGACCGTTGGACCAAGAACGGTCCTTGTGAAGTCGCAATACTGGCGCTTTGACAGCCGGTCTGGAACTAAATGGAAGGCTTTTTCGTCGGCTGGCGTTGGGATGTCGGTCAGGGAGGTGACTATTCAGAATGGCAGGATGGAGGTAGGAGAGGTAGGCTTCGTGGCAGTTGGAGCAGTTGCCTCTCGTAGCGACTCGTACGCGCATGTACTGTATACACCTCCAGGTAAGTCTTAGGCCGACCCGTGCTGCGCCACCCGTAACTGGACTATGTCGCGAAATTGTCTTCCTTACCCACCATTGCCAACATCATGGCCATCTCTGCGACAGACATACACATACAGAACCTCCGCTGGCAATATTAGGGTTCAGCACCTCCTAGGCTTGAGGTTCACAATAAACAACACTCGATTTGAATCACAGGCTTCTGAGAAATATGGGTGAAAGTGACAGAGGTCCGTACACCCATACCATGTCTGCCTTGAGCCAGATCACCTTGCGCAATTATAATTTTTTGTTCCTTGTACTCTAGTTTCTGAGAGCGTAACGCCTCATGATGGTAAGGAAGTTGTGCGGTGCATGATGGCACTCCTCCCAAAATCTGCAAGGACCTTACAAAACCAGCCGTAACTCGGCCAGTTTGGAACTTTTTTCAGATATTTTTGCTGATTCTGATAGCCCTGCCAATTCCGCTGAAGTCCCGCACCAACGGCACTCACACGTTGCCCTTGCCTGTCCAGCGGTCTGCATTGAAAACGAGGAAGCTCCTTTTTTCCTGGAGCGGAAAAGGGCGAGACGCATTATAGTGTCAGTTGCTGTCAAACCACGTGCCTGAGGGGTAAGTCACAATGATCGCGCTTGACCCAATTGACAAAACTACTGCACTGCTACTACGTGGGGCTACTACTGCTACTGCTACTATCGTATCATACTCGAGCGCGTGAAGCCGGACACTCTCTAGAGAGTGTCGCCGGAGCGCCATCGGCGCGACTGCGGGCGAGTATGATACGAGACCTTGGCACGGGTAGTCCATAACAGAAAAGCGTTCTTGAACGGGGAACGAACGGGGGGAGAGGGAGGAGGGTGTGGTTGCCGCGACTGATGCAGGTGACTTCTTGCACACTCGTGGAGCGTCAGAGGTGATGAGTTAGTGAGTTTCGGTATGGTTTCGAGGGGTTTGTTTGGTGATGCGGGAAAGCCCAAAAGCAAGGTAGCCTTTGGCTCTGTCGTCGTGCTTTATGCTCCTTGTGCACATACATGTACATACAGTACATAGTAGGTACTACGTACCAGGGACACTGCATTATCAAGAATCAGCTAAAGTCGTACAAGACAGGGTTTCCCACGAACGGGGTGGCATCTCAGTAGGGCTGCGGTGGATGTTATGATTGACGCAGTCATCGGTAGTTGAAAGATGGCCGAAACCTGCGTTGAACCAGATTGCGGCCTCCAGTGCAAGATTCCCCCCCTCTCTCTATTTATGAACAAGCACCCACCTCCCCCGCCTCCCCTCCCCGTGTGTCCTCTCCCACTCCCTTATCCCAAGCGCCCCCACCGAGTCCGTTAAACACACCACAACGGCGAGATTAAACACCAACGTGATCGCATAGAAAAAGTTGGCGTTGCCGCTGCCGGCGTAGATCCACAGGTGGTGGAATAAAGGGCCGAGCAGGAGGGCGATGAAGAGGGCTGTTGCTGTTATGTAGAGGTGGCGCATGTCTGTGGGGGTTGTAATGAGTAAGTGGGGGCTGTGATGGGGAAGGGGGAAGGGTGGCGGAACGACAGACACACATTTATGAACCTCCCGATGCATGCTAAAGAAGGCGAGGAAGAGGGCCGTGTCGCCTACAGTCGGGTACGATTTGAAAACGGCCATGATGCCGGTGTACACGTATGCGATGAAGAGGGGGTGGTCCCTACAGAAATCCAAATTCCATTTATCAATACGAGGAGATAAATAGAGGAGGATGTGGAAGTGATAGCACCAACCTGAGAACAAGCCCAATGGGGATAACGAACGCAAACGCCATGATCTGAAACACGCACAGGAAGAATGTGCGGAACGAGTCAAACATCTCGGTGAAGAAGTACCAGAAGAGGCCGATGTTGGGTGTTAGGTCTGGGACGAAGAGACTAACAAAAGAAATCATAGAGGCATAAGTGAGCGGAAAGTAAGGTGAGAGGTGGGGAGAGGGGGAGAGGGGGGAATTTGGCACGTACATGACCCCGTAAGTAGCGTTGAGAAAGTCCCACGTGCCGACGAGCAGGTACGACAGGCCTAGTAGGGCGCTGGTGTAGAGGACGAGGAGGGGTACTGTTGTCTTTAGTTCTCTCTTGATCTACAAGACCATCCAAATTCCAAGTCAGCTCAATCACCATAAACACGTAACATGCATGTCCAAACACAGCATACAGTACCGCCTTCGTCTTGGCCCCCACCAAAAGCAACGTCACGGGCACAACCATCATGACCGGATACAGCCCCAAATACGCGGCGACGGCCACGCCCGCCACCGCCGTCTTCCTGTTCCCTTCAATCGCCTGCCGCAGCGCGACCACAATCGCCAAGAACATGAATAACAGTGTCGACTGCGACAGGCATGTGATCACGCTGAGCGGGTTAAGGAGGTACATGGATCCGACGTCGGTGGGGTTTATGAGCACGTCGACGGGTTTGGTGGGGTCACTGCTGCTGCTGCTGCCGGGTTTCAGGCTTTGTTTGCGGGCCCCTATCGCGCTCCTCGGTGCCCCCTCGGTTGTTTCCGACAACACATGCCAGGGCGGGACGATGGTGAGCGGGTTTTGCTGGCGCGACGGTTTCAAACTATTCTTCCGCGCTCGCGTTCTGGACAGCTCGGCTTCGCTGGTCGCTAGCGTATCGGCTTTATGCACCCGCCTGTTCGCGGACGACGAGCGGCGCCGTTTGGGCATGTCTGATGATGTCGGCGTCATGGGCGCTGCTCGCAGATCCTCGGCCATACTGTCCGCCCATCTGCTCCCTCTCCGATTCGCAGATGACGACCGCCGCCGTTGCCGCGCGTGCGTCTGCGTCTCACCCCCATGCAGCCCCGATCGCAACTCATCCACCACATCCGTTTCCTCCTCTACGCCCTCGGGTATCCCCCCCGGCTCTACCACCTTCGTACTCGGTTCCGGCCAGTGTTCCATCAACTGCAGATTGCGCTTATGTGCCGCGATGGCCACGAGGCAGCGGGCGATCGCGTAGTCGAGGGATATGAAGAGTATGGGGACGAGGATGGGCGGGAGGTAGGTGAACACGGGGAGGAGGAGCGGGGCCTGATGGAAGACGCCGCCTTCGTACGGGGGGATGCCATGTTGGTAAAGATACAGTCCTTCCTTGACTAAAGAACATAGAGCGAGTCAGAAACACCGACCGTAAGCCTTCCTTTCACAGTTCTCTCAACACAAACGTACATACATCGCTTCCACCCATTCACAGGCGTAGTAGTCTCCACCCTCTCCTGAAAAAACCCGCTTGCGCCGACATAAAAGAACAGTACGATCCGGACGAGGACGCCAACCCATAGCGGGATATGTACAACGGGGTCCTGCGAGGGGTCTTGAGCGGCGCTGTCATAGACGGGGCTGGTGGGGGAGACGGCCAGGGAGGGCACCGGGGGTCGGGTAGGTGTTGCTGGTGATTCGGCGGGCATTGTGGGTGAAGGGTGATGAGGAGGGGAGTAAGGCGGATATGGCGCGCGCGTGCTGCTGTTCGTTGCACTGGTGATACGGCCTTTGTCGAAGCTGTACGTATCGAGTGACTGTGCGTTGGGAAACCAAACCAAAGCCAATCCCGAAGATGACCGCCCGAAGTCAGGGTGGTGTAGAGGCTACCAGAGAGGCTACATAGGAAATTGCAACCGGAAGTGAGCACGTAGGCGCGCGTACGCCAGAACCCTAACCCCACAAATCGCAAAACTCGCGCCCCAGCATCATTTCTCCAAGTTGTATATATGTGGATGTGAACGTAGTACACTAACTGCCGCTTTGGAGACCGTATCATTTTTTTCCATTGTACCTACTGTATATACCGCAATGCATGTCCTACGCTACGACGAAATTCTACACTCTCAGAGTCACAGTCGCGTCTGGATATTTGTCACAGCGTATCTTTTGCAACCCCCTCAGATCATAAATGCGATGCCGAACTTAACTACGCCGAAAAGAGACGCAATCAGCACAAAGGACATCTAATTTTCTCGCTTTGTTACGAAAAACTCACGCAGATGATGCCTTGGCAAACTCGACTCCCTTTGCGATGTTGGACTTCAGTTCCGGGATGGCGGCGTCGAGTAGCTTCTTCTCAAAGTCGTTGAGTGCGGGGACGGGGTGGATCTTGGAGACTCCTTCGGGCTGTATATATGTGGATTTCATAGGAATGATGTCAGAGACGAATTGCACAACACGTAGTTGGGTTTGGAAGCGATCAAAGAAGGGACACGTACCCCAAGCTCAACGACCGTCGAGAAGTATTCCAAACCCGGAACCTCAGAGCTCGCAACGAACGTGCATTCCTTAACACCAGACTTTTTTCCGACACTGGCCTCAAGGAGGGAGTTGACGAACCGCGCGCCGGCGTATGCCATGGAGAGGGTAGCAGAGCCGGCTCCATCCTTGGCCTTGACGACCTCATCGCCGCCGTACTGGATGCGTTGCGTGAGAGCGTCACGCTCAGAGTCGGAGAAGGTGTGGCCAGACTGAGTGTGAATGTTTGAGATTGGGAATGCTCACGAAAACCAATGTGACCGACTGTGAGAACTAACCGCAGAGAGAATGGGGATGATGGTGACACCAGAGTGTCCGCCAATGACCGGCACGGCGATGCTCTGAGGGTCGGCGTTTTTTACTTGTCCAACGAAGGTGTTGGCACGGGTGATGTCCAACGTTGTAACACCGAAGATCCTTTTTCGAAAGAATGCATTAAGAACAGCCAACGTATGGTCTGCATGCGAACTCATGTTATTGTTTATCACTCACCTCTTGGGGTCGTAGACGTTGTGTTGCTTGAAAACCTCCGCCGCAATGGGCACAGTCGAGTTGACGGGGTTGGAGATGACGGCAATGAATGCCTTGGGGCAGTACCTGAAGACAAATAGTTGCATGTTAGTGTAGGCCCATGACGATTAAATTGTCCGCGCGTCTCTTCCTCTTACTTAGCAGCGGCGGTGGCCAAGGTCTTGACAATTCCGGCGTTGATCTTGAAGAGATCATCACGGGTCATGCCGGGCTTGCGGGGGATTCCAGCGGGAATGACGACAACGTGAGCTCCGGTAAGAGCTGCCTCCAAGTCCTCATTTGTCTTGTACGCCGTTGTCTGGGATGCCAAGAAAGGATGTGAGTGCATGACCGACGGTTGGATGAAGCGAAGCTATGGATGACTGCCAGCGCTCGCTAGGTATGTGAGGGGAGCAGCTCGCGCCTCGGGGTTGGCCTATGGCGCGCCTGCTTCAAGCAGCCCATGCGCCTCGCTCGCAGCAGCCCTTGTGCGCTCCAGGTCGCAGACTCCGTTGCGCGAATCAAGCCACGCGTCCTCGCAGGTATCGGTACTACACCGGCTTTGCTTTGCTCACGATCCCTCTCCTATCTCCCTCCGGCGCTCCCACGAGTAATTACCTTAGCAGGAGTGCTAATGTGGGACAGATCTGCAGCGACACCGACTACGGAAGGAGCGACATCATAGAGGGAGAGTTCGGTGACGAGCGGGTTCGCTTTAAGAAGCAGGGACAAGGGCTGGCCAATGCCACCAGCTGCTCCGAGAACTGCTACTTTTGCCTGGGAAAAAGGGTTGGATGATCGTGAGCTTTTTGATCCAGCGCGGACAAGACGGTTGCTGAGTGCAAGGCCTACCATAGTGAGGTTGTTATTTGGTAAATAGGATATGCCCGAAAATACAGTGATGATATGTCGAGGGACGTTAGATCAACTGAGGGTTATAAGCCAAATTGCATTTGCAGAAAGCCCGTGGGAAACGTGCAAGTTTGTGAGTTTTGGCCTTTTTGGCTGGTCACAGGCGGCCGGGAGGAATCGGAGGCGCGTGGCATTGAATACGTAGTATACGCGCTGTCAATCCTGTCAGAGGCAGTCATCGAGCTTCTCCGCTCTCTCCGCATTTTTTTCTCCACAGTTTTTGTGTCCTTGGCGCCAAGTATAGTAGGGAGACTCGCAAGCAAGCTGCGTCTCACACGAAGCTGGACAGAGAACACACAGCTACGTTTAGCCGCAGAAGGAACTGGCACAGAAATCAAGGGTAAAGGAGGAAGAGCAGAGACAAGCAGAGTAGCTGCGTGTCCAAGAGCAATTAGCGGAAATACGTCAGATAGGACAAGGCAGTATCCTCAGGTCAGTCAGAGTCCACTCAACCGGGCTATTCGCGAACAGAGGTACTCGTCTCACCCATTTGCCTTTACAGGAACTGAAAAATCAACAATGTCCGGTGAACTCAACGGCCCGGTGATCACGCTTCACACGTCTGGTCTAGATGCCCTCGACGTCATCCGCATCCCGCTGACGTCGGCTACGGTTGACAAGCTCACGGTCGACGTGGTTCACGAGCACATTCTCGGTCTTCTAAAGGATCTCCACATTGATCGCGACTTCCGTCTCGGGATTGGAAACCGCCGTGTGTGGCCTGACATCGACGGAAAGAAACCGATCTCCTACTTTGAGCCTCTGGGCGCAAACTGGTTTCTGCACGTCCCTCCGGCCGTACAAGTAATAGAAACCGTCGCCGGCAAGAAACTCACTCTCCAAGAAGTGGGAAGCAGCACCGTGACGGCGGTGGCGAAAATGCTCAAACGAAAGATGGATGCTGAGGAGGGTATTCCCCAGCCCAAGCAGAAAAAGCCCGCTTTCGCAGGACAACAACTTCTGGATCTGCGGGCCCTCTGCGATTTCAACATTCGGAAGAAGCGCAAAGTGGATGAGCGTCCGTGGAATGAGCGTCCGTGGAGAGTCCCCTACAACATCCAGCCGGAGTCCACCCTACACCTCGTCTTGCGCCTGCGTGGCGGGAGTGGGGGGATGGAATTCGTCGATATGAGCAACCCGAAAGGGCCGAAGAAGGAAGAGTGGGTCGACAAGGCACCTGATTGGCGCGTCGTCGCTCCCGGGCTAACCCTCGAAGGAAAATGCCGGAACCGTAAATGTGCCGCTTACAATCAATGGGTTTGTGTCTAAGTATCTGCATTCGGACCTAACCTATCCGAGTCACTCATTGGTCATAAATCCCTCGCAGGTCTGCATCAACATGGGCATGACCGAATACAACACCCTGCATGACAACCACAAATCAAAGTGCCCCGAATGCTCCACCTACGTCCCCACGAAGGACTGCGGCTTCAGCGACTGCCGATACCGTTTCTTCGGACTCAAACTTAACCCCAAAACCGGCCACCTCGAGCGCGCCCAATGCGACTGGAAGACCATCACCGACTCCGACTGCTACCAGTCCTTCAGCAGCGATGACCTCGGGGTGTGTCATTGGCACTCGCTTGTTATCCAGACCAATACATACCCTGCGGGGGATTTATGGATTCCCTGGTGTACTCCCTCGAGTTCTGCGTGTTGCTTTTGTTTGGATTTGTTGATGAAGGAAGAGTGTGGGGCTGTGTGCACGTTGAAGTGTGGGCATCAGTTTCTTCAGAGGTGTGGGAGGGAGTGGATGGAGAAGAAGGGTACTTGTCCGACGTGCAACGCGGGCGCGGTTGAGGAGTGAGATACCCATTAGCCTTGGGTCGTGAGTCGGGTTTCAATGGAGCGCATGGTGGGTTTGCTTGCACTGGTCTCTGTGCAGGTTTCATGGGGATAGGGTACGTTCTGCGTGTTGCTTTTGTTTGGATTTGTTGATGAAGGAAGAGTGTGGGGCTGTGTGCACGTTGAAGTGTGGGCATCAGTTTCTTCAGAGGTGTGGGAGGGAGTGGATGGAGAAGAAGGGTACTTGTCCGACGTGCAACGCGGGCGCGGTTGAGGAGTGAGATACCCATTAGCCTTGGGTCGTGAGTCGGGTTTCAATGGAGCGCATGGTGGGTTTGCTTGCACTGGTCTCTGTGCAGGTTTCATGGGGATAGGGTACGTTCTGCGTGTTGCTTTTGTTTGGATTTGTTGATGAAGGAAGAGTGTGGGGCTGTGTGCACGTTGAAGTGTGGGCATCAGTTTCTTCAGAGGTGTGGGAGGGAGTGGATGGAGAAGAAGGGTACTTGTCCGACGTGCAACGCGGGCGCGGTTGAGGAGTGAGATACCCATTAGCCTTGGGTCGTGAGTCGGGTTTCAATGGAGCGCATGGTGGGTTTGCTTGCACTGGTCTCTGTGCAGGTTTCATGGGGATAGGGTACGTTCTGCGTGTTGCTTTTGTTTGGATTTGTTGATGAAGGAAGAGTGTGGGGCTGTGTGCACGTTGAAGTGTGGGCATCAGTTTCTTCAGAGGTGTGGGAGGGAGTGGATGGAGAAGAAGGGTACTTGTCCGACGTGCAACGCGGGCGCGGTTGAGGAGTGAGATACCCATTAGCCTTGGGTCGTGAGTCGGGTTTCAATGGAGCGCATGGTGGGTTTGCTTGCACTGGTCTCTGTGCAGGTTTCATGGGGATAGGGTACGTTCTGCGTGTTGCTTTTGTTTGGATTTGTTGATGAAGGAAGAGTGTGGGGCTGTGTGCACGTTGAAGTGTGGGCATCAGTTTCTTCAGAGGTGTGGGAGGGAGTGGATGGAGAAGAAGGGTACTTGTCCGACGTGCAACGCGGGCGCGGTTGAGGAGTGAGATACCCATTAGCCTTGGGTCGTGAGTCGGGTTTCAATGGAGCGCATGGTGGGTTTGCTTGCACTGGTCTCTGTGCAGGTTTCATGGGGATAGGGTACGTTCCGGTAGGGTTAGGTTCAGAGCGTTAGCAGTTTTGGAGCAGGCGGCGTAATAGTCCTTGTTTATGGGTTCAAAAAGCGTCAAAACGTCATTGGGGTTCGACCTCATATTTTTGGTGTGCAGTTTATTCGTGAATATCTGATTGATTGATTGTGAGCCCTCCGTCTGCTGTGTGCACCGTACCACGACCAGGACGATCGTTTTTGGGCCCAATTTTCGATTCTGCCGTTGCGAAGGGCGGCAATTGCGAGCATTGTGAACACCGCATCCCGGCAGGGAGCATTCTGAGCACGTCGAAAGCTCAACCTCGAAGCAAACAGCAGTACGGTAGCGGGAGCAACTATTGTCACCGTTTCTAAATGCCTTCGGAAGATGATGCGGACAATGACGCCGAGATCGAAGCGCAGGAGGCAGCGCTTAAGAGAATGAAGGGGCTGAGAGCCCAGGCTGCGAAACTCGAGCGACCCGCCACGTCGTCCTCATCGTCGTCTACCCCCATGTTGACTTTTGCCTCTTGGTCTGGGCTCCTTTCCAAGGGATTTTCCCATTTGAATTTGAAGCCGATCAAAAGCCCAAACGCCAGTATACGTATGTACACATTGCTAAGTGCGTGAGTCACGTAATTAAGGCCTTGCGTTGCTGGCCAATGGCGACGCGTTTGGATCGCATCATCGAGGAGGGTTGTGCACGACGCTCATGCTTCTGGTGCTGATGGATGACACATGCCCCAATGCCCCATACAGAGTGTGAGGGTAAACATGAAGCGAGGGGAGATTGAGATGGATTTGGCAGCGTATTGCGTGCTGCCAGACCCACACACAGACGACAGCGTCGTGCGTGCTATGGGAGAGAGCGTGGGAGAACGGGGCGGGAGAGCTGCGGTCTGGGTCTCGCTCGGCCTGCGGGCGGGATTCTGGCTGCTCTGTGTGTCGCTGGCCTTATCTTTCATGTGCCACCATACAGTAAACCTTGGCCCCGTGGGAAAGTTACTAGTAACTAGCTCGTCCAGAGAAGCATATAAAAGCACAGCGTTCCCACCGTTTTCCCTCAATTGTCCAGCACCCCAACTGAAACGTCTGCAATACCAATTCATCGACCACTCTCATCTCCAACTAAGGATCTCCCCATAAGCATCTTCACTCACCGCAATGTCGCTCGACCCTGAGAACAAGAACTACCGGTTCGAGACTCTGCAGCTTCACGCTGGAGCTCAGCCGGACCCGTCCACCGGTGCCCGTGCCACGCCCATCTATGCCACAACGTCCTTCACGTTCAAGGACGCTGACCATGGCGCCCGATTGGTATGTAGGAGGAGCAGTGATACGATGTTGGCTTTGGCACCTGCTTGAAATTTTCCCGGCTTCAAGACTTATCTATTCCTTCCACCACATCAGTTCGGCTTGGAGGAGTTCGGCAACATTTACAGCCGTATCATGAACCCAACCAACGACGTCTTCGAAAAGCGCATGGCAGCCCTCGAAGGCGGTGTCCACGCGATTGCCACATCCAGTGGTCAATCCGCCCAATTCCTCGCCCTTTCCACCCTCGCACAAGTAGGAGACAACATCGTCGCTGCCAGCTACCTCTACGGCGGAACATACAACCAGATGAAGGTCGTTTTCCCACGTCTGGGGATCAACGTGAAGTTCGCCAATGGAGACGACCCGAAGGAGCTGGAGAAGCTGATTGATGAGAAGACGAAGGCGGTGTATGTTGAGACTATCGGGAACCCGCAGCACAGCGTGCCGGACTTTTCGGCTATTGCAAAGGTCGCTCATGCTCACGGTGTACCATTGGTTGTCGACAACACTTTCGGTGGGTATTTTGGTTGGGTTCGTGCGTTCGATTGATGTCGTCGGAAATCGTCTCTGATTCTTTTTCTCTCCTTATTTCGCAGGAATGGGATCATACCTCTGCCGACCCATTGACTTCGGTGCCGACATTGTCGTTCACAGCGCAACCAAGTGGATTGGTGGACACGGAACCGTCATTGGAGGTGTCATCATCGACGCCGGTACCTTCCCATGGAACAACGGCCGCTTCCCAACATTCACCGAGCCTTCCCCCGGCTACCACGGTCTCAAGTTCTGGGACGCCTTTGGCCCCACCGGCGCTCTTGGCGTGAACGTTGCTTTCGGCATCAAGGTCCGTGTGGAGCAGCTCCGTGACCTCGGACCGTGCCAAAACGCCTTTGGCGCTTTCCTCCTCATCCAAGGCTTGGAAACACTCTCCCTACGCGCTCAACGTCACGTCGAGAACACACAAGCGTTAGCGGAATGGCTGCAAACGCGCCCAGAAGTCGCTTGGGTATCCTACGCCGGTCTTCCCAGCCACCCATCTCACCAGCTCGCGAAGAAGTATCTGCGGAACGGATTCGGCGGTGTCCTGACGTTCGGTCTGAAGGGCGGCAAGGAGGCCGGCAAGGTGTTTATCAACTCTGTGAAACTTGCAAGCCACCTAGCCAACGTCGGCGACGTGCGCACGTTGGTGATCCACCCCTCGTCCACAACGCATCAGCAGCTGAACAAGGAGGAGCAGGTCGCGTCCGGTGTCTCTGGTGACCTTGTTCGCGTGTCGGTGGGTTTGGAACACATTGAGGATATCAAGGAAGACTTTGCACAGGCGCTGGAGAAGGCCGCGGCGTCTACTGCTCCCAACCCGATCAACTAGAGAACCCAACCCCTATCTACTATACTCACAGACAAGTCTGGAAACGTAGTTAGTGTGCTCATCCGGTCCCTCACTCTTCATTATATACGTTCGAGTTGCGCTTCTTGGCAGGTCCTAGTGTAGCTTGTACGATCTCTCATCATGCTCGGTCGTCCCGTTTCCTCCATCTTGTTCCCTTTCCTGTGGTTGGTGTAAATATTAGACAGTCTTCGCAAATCAGACTCTTTCTTTTGAGAACTCGGAAAGTAAGTGCGAGCGACTTTGGGATCTCTGTCGTCCCCTGCGCGCGTTCCGAAGCCAGCGCCAACAACCAAGCCGGTCCAGGCGTGCGCGCTGGGATGTGCAACAGAATCGAATGCTTGTAGTTGTACTGTACTTGAAATTCACGAACCCATATACATACAAGCCATCAGGTACAAATTGCAGGTTTCAAACATGTCCCCACCGAATCCGTCGTAATGTTTGTTGCCCCCAAATGGAAAACCATGAAAAAAAAAAATGATCGGAACAAAACGGAACCCCACCTCCCCCCATTTTTGACGGTGGGTAGGCGAACAGAACGCCCCCGAATGCTCACATCGACTCGAGAGGAAGCCTCTCCCCCACCCAGACCCCGCGGGAAGCGCAGGGCGGGATCGGTCAAATCAGTCTTCGGGCCGGCGGCCTCCTTTCAAACCACACGAAACGAGGTGGATCGTCATACCTCCTGAAGCCCATCAGACATCGACCCATCTGCGAGATCCTGAGGGGGGCGGGAGGAATCACTGGTTTCCCCCTCTTTCCCTTTCGTCGTCCCGTCCTTCCGTCCTCGCCCGCCGTAGTCTTTCGTCCGGGGTCCATCGACGTTCCGCCCGCCTCCCCGCAATGCGTTCATCTCGCTCCCCTTTGTTGTCCCTTTTTTCCGCTCGTTTTCATGATCAGGGTATGGAGTTTTGGTTGACCATACCCGAGAGGGGGGTGACGGGAAACAAAATCCAACAGAGAGTGGGTGGGTGCTGAGCAGGATCCCCTTGCTTGATGTGACGGTCCTCGGCGCCAAACAACCAGTGAAATAAACTCTGAATAATTCCACTGGGATGTGCACTCGATAATCACCCTTTTGGTGGCGCGGGGAGGCGGGGGGGAGAACGCGCGGAGGAGAAGCCGGGGGCCAACTCCACGGCACAGGGCAAAGCCGGGGAAGGAGAGATTCGCTCAGATGGACCGGGGCCGAGCGGGGACGGTTTGGATCCATCCGTGTTTTTCTTTCGCCAATGTCGAGGGGTGCTTCATCTGGCGGACGGAGATTCCCGCCTCGCCTCATTCTCATTCCTTGCACGGGTGGGCGCCCGAGTTCTCTCCCTAATAGAGCCCGCCGTCTTCCCCCCCCCCCCCCCCACGCTCCTCTCACATCACCTAACACACCCAAACCTTACATCCTCAACCCTCCAAACCCTCCCCTCCTCCCCCCAGCTCCTCTCCACCGTCACAACCGCATACCGCCCGTCCCTCAACGCCCCCGGATTAATCACAGGCACGTTGCCGAGCTGGGACAGGCCCCAGGAGGTGTGGGCGTGGCCGTGGGCGTGGAATAATAGCGGCGGTTGCTGTTGGGTATCACCCGTGGGGGTTGTGATTTGCGAGGTGGATGACGGTGGGGGTGGTTGCACACCCTGACACCACATATGGGTGACAACACTCCTAACCCCATCACTTCCGCTCTCGATCCTCTTCGAATCACAGAGCCATGGTTTGGGGTATGTGTCGGTCGTGGCGCAGCGCGCGGGGCCGCAGTGGGTTATTAGGATGTGTGTGTCTGGGTCTGTTGGGGTCGTGGGAGCGGACGGGAGTGAGGAGGGAGATGTGTCAGCGCGCCGATGGGATTTGGCGATGATGTTGAAGGCGGGGTGGAGGGTTAGGAAGTGCCGTTTTGCGCGGAGGAGATTGAGGAGGGCGGTTTTTAGGAGGGGGTCGGTGTAGGGATAGCCTTCGGGGTGGGGGTCAGAAGGGTTTTGAGGGGTTGAATGTAGGGGTAGACGTACCTGGATGGATTGTGGTGTTGGGGCGGTTGTAGTCGGTTTGCGGGACGGAGCCGCCTAGACCGGCCATTACGAGGTTCGGGGCTGTGAAACGAAAAAACAAAGAATAGGTAGTGGAAGTCAGCGAAAGCAGGTTGCTACCGTTCCCTTTCACGAACCTCGTCTTCATCCAACACCCAAAATGCAACCCAAGGCCAACAAACGCAAACACATACCTAACCGCACAAGCCTCGAATGGAAATTCACAGCGCCCGTCTCATACATCATCCGCTGCCACAACGGCGCATGTTTCAACGCTTCCTCCCCGTTGTCCCTCCTTTCCCTCCCCTCGTCCCTCACCCCCAAATCAACCGCAGGAACCAAATCCGGAAACGCCTCCCTCGGGTCATGATTCCCCGGCACGTACATCACATTCCTGGATATACTCCCGAATGCGGTGAGCACGGCGCGGAATTGGGTTTCTTCGGCTGTTGTTCGCATACGGGTCAATTGTGATGAGACTGAGGAGGATGATGGTGACGACGGGGATTGATAGTCGTGGTTGGCGTTGATGAGGTCGCCCGTCAGAATCACTAGGTTCGGCCTATCGGATCCGATCAATGCTTCAGTGCCTCCTTCGTCTACTTGTAAGCCGTCGTGGAAGTATACCGTCGTGGAGGGGGGTTGGTGGTTCTTACATCAGCTTTTTAGTCTGCAGGGCCATGGCGAGGCGGTAGACGTTGTCGACTTTGGAGTGGATGTCGCCGGCGAGGAGGATGCGGGATCGGAGGGACATTGCGTGCGTGTGGTTGTGTTGGCTGGGCTGGGATGTGGGGGTAGGCGGAGGGAAGATTGCCAGGGGTTGTTGTTGCAGGAGCTTCTACTCTTCTATTCGCACTCATACAGTACTCTGATTGTTAGGTGCCCCAGTTAGGGTTAGGATACTGGAGTAACAGCCCTACCGTCCAGCCTACCGTCCCACCAAGTTTATGTCGCTTATTGTCCAGCAACTCCCATCCACACGCCCACACCACAACAATGGCAACAACAATCCTCGGCCACGACGACCGCCGTCTAGTCGCCGACTCCGCCCTCGACTTTCTCGTCGTCGAGATGGTCGACCTCATGCGACGTCTGCCCACCGAGACCGAGAACGATAAGGAGGCCGCGTACTTCAAGCTCGAGAATTTGGGGTACCGTGTTGGGGTTGCGATGGTTGAGAGGTGCGTTGGGATAAAGTGGAGAGTGATTAGGGATTGAGAGGGGACGGCTGGGACTTGCATGTCTTGGGGAACTATCGAGGTGCGCATGTGGAACTCAGGACCAAAAGGGACACCCCCGGTGAAGCTCAACCGTGGAACCTTTTCGTTTCCCCCGTAGGATAACACGGGAGCGCCCACGCTTCATGGACAACCTAGACGTGGTTAAGTTCATTTGCAAGGATTTCTGGATCGCCGTGTTCAAGAAGCAGATCGATAACTTGAAGACAAACCATCGGGTGCGTTCCGGGGACGAGGGTTCTGCTGGTCCAGTGGGGGGGATGCGGTCGCGGGGGGCTGTTGAATGGAAGTCGAGGGGATGGGGGTTGTGCGTGGCGGCGATGAGGAGGAGCGTCCTCAACCGACCGGTGGCCTCATCGACTCATTCTCCTATCCGATTTCCATCAACAGGGCGTTTATGTATTGACAGACAACAACTTCCGCTGGTTCTCACGCATGTCCGGCGACGGGACAAGTACCGATCTTGGGCGGCAGGCGTTTGCTGTATGTTTTCCTCCCATCAAATCCCACTGAAAGCATTCCATTCACACTCACTTACGTTTTATGTGTATAGCACCTAGCCTTCCCATGTGGTCTCATCCGCGGCGCCCTGAGCAACCTCGGGGTGCCGAGTGTTGTCATTGGGGAGGTGTCTACTGTGCCGCAATGTAAGTCTTGTATCTTTCCGTCTTCCCGTACAATCAATCGCTGTTTATGAGTCGGGGTATGCAGAGCCTGCACTCCATTGGGGGTTTGTCTGATGCGTCATTTGTTATGTAGGCACGTTTCAGATCAAGATATCTAAGCCATAGGGTGCGCTGGGGACGTCGTTGGGGGCCGAAGTGGTGCCCTTCGCGCATGCATATTTCCGTGGGACGGTGCGATGGTGGGATTTCGTGGCGGATGGGGCGGGGGCGAGAGGGAATACTTTGCCCGCCTAACTGACAATTTTGGAAGGACGTAGTTGATGGTGGAAAGGCCGGGTAGGAGGGAGGGATAGATGGAGTTGTCGCATATATCGCGGACGGACGCTGCCCCCACCCGCCATTGGTGCTGATCAGAGGCCCCTGCAAAAGAAACGACGCGTGCACAGAGAATATCGACACGCGCCCATCTCGGTGGGCCGTGCACGCGCCCCATACCCCACCATGTCTTGTGAAACTGCCCCGTACATTTGCAGGGTATCCATATTGCCGTTACGGGCAGGCGCTGTTTGTCATACCCAACTTCAGCACATCATACGCCCGCAGGGACGTTGTGCACAAGACCGGGGAAGCGGGGGGGCGGTGGCCGTTTATGATACATAGCAAAACCTGCGAATACTACACTACATCTACATCTACCCCACCCCCTAAGAACCCTTTCACAATTGTGACCTAACCACCCCTTCCCCCTCCCAAACCTCCCCAAAGACCCCACCAATCACATCAACCATATCCCCCGTCGTCACACTCCTCCCCCGCTCCTCAAACGCCCTTTTTGAGCACAGCCGCGCGGTATGCGACGCGGCCCAGGCGGCGAGGAGGGGAAGCCGGGTTTGGAAGTCTGTGTCGAGGTCGGGGTTTGGCGGGTGGCTGGTGGAGGTGATCGGTGCTTAGTCGTGCTGTACATGTTACATGTACGGTTGGGGAAAGGGGTCGAAGGGGTATACGTACTCCCAAGCTTTAGCCTCGTAATTCTTCCCCCAAGCCAAGAACGCGGCACACGCGCCCGACAGGAGGTCGCCTTGGCCGCCGCAGCGGCGTGGGCTGCCTTCCGTATCACATTTTATAACTGATCGTAGATGGTTAGCTAGTGCTGGTCATAAATGGGTGATGTAAATGTTGGGGACTCACCTTCCTTCCCGTTAGAAATGATATCCGTCGGCCCCTTCTGCAATATAGTCACGTTCCCGAGAGCTTTGCTAAGGTTTTGCGCGGCGGTGTCTTTGTGGTCGCCGTCAAATTTCACATTCTACAATCCCAAACAATCAATCTCTCATGGTGAACGGATGGGTGGGGATGGGCAGTATGAGGTACCTGCGACTCGCACAATTTCTTGAACTCGTTGACGTTTGGGGTTAGCACGGCGAGGGTGTAGCCTTTGATTAGCTCGGGGTCGGATTGGATTAGGAGGAGGCCGTCCTGCATAAAAAGAAGGGCGTGTCAAAACCATCGCAGGAGAAAGAAACGCGAACCAATGATCCAGTGTCCCGTCCGCGCCAGTAACGAACGCAAGCCCTTTCCGCGGCACCATCAAATACTTGAAAAACTCACGGCATCAATAACCAACGGCAGTCCCTCCTCTCTCGCCCTCTCCACAATCTGCCTCGTCATCTCCCCCATAACCTCATCCCTCGACAACCCGGGCCCAACAACAAGCACATGCAGGCGGGAGAGCGTGGATGCGACACGCTCAATTTGGTCGGTGATGATTTTTTTGCCTTCGGGCGAAGAGGGGGGGTGGCCGAGGGAGCTAGATTGGTGTTGGGGTGAGTGTGGGAGGAATGGAAAAGTGGAGATGGGGATGGGGACGTACTCGGTGTTGCGGAGGTAGGGGTGGACCATTAGGTCGGGGGAGTAGGTCTGGGTTTGGATTGAGAGAGGTGGACGTGTTATGAGAGGAGAAATGTGCAATTCTAGCCCGTGCGATCCATACCGTACCTTGATGACCGTGCCTGCGTGTTTTTCACAGAAGACGTGCGACAAGTCGGCGCCCTAGTATGAGATCCAATCGCAGACGCTTCGACTTCAGCCCATGTCCATAAACCCTGTCTGTGTTGCTGTCCCTTGTGGCAAGGGAAGTCCACATGCTCAAAACTGACCAGTTTCAACCCCGAAATGGCCGCAAAGTACGGGGCGCCCGTATAACTGCACACAGAGAGATGATTCCAAGCATTGCTCGTCAGCCTCGGTCTCATTTCAGTCCATCTCCGCCTCGTTTTCGCGTCGACAGCCTCTAGATTTACTCACTCCTCGCTTCCACCAACAACACCAATACGACCTGCCAAACGTAAAACATATGAGCTTCTGACAAACACTTTTTCCGAGAACAGCAGTATAAGAACTGACCTGCCTGCCCCTTGTGCAACGCGCCGCTGAGAGGCGGGATAAGCCTCTTGATGGTGGTGATGAGGGTGGCTGGTGCGGTCATCTTGACGAAATTGGAAATTATAGTTGCGTTCGTTTGGAACAGTAGAGCGGTGAGAGTGGACGGTATGGAGTCTTTTTCTACTGGATCTGTCGCAGTCGCTGAACTCCTCGCTGGGAAGGGAATGTGTTTGTTCGGAAAGGACGGGATGCCACCTGGAATGGGAAAGGGTGACGTAAACGAGGCGGAGGCCCAGAGGGCTTTGCAGAAGGGAGACGGGAGTCTTCTCTGGAGGCCGCTAACCCGCCGAGGGCAGCCATGTAATGGAAGCACAGTCATCGGTGTCCCTATCACCCACAGCTGGTGAAGCTACCGGACACCCGCCGCTGCAACAACGCCCTCGGAGTAGGAGTACTGTCGCTTCCTTCTCCTGTTTCAGTCTTCATGCAGCTTGATACATAGACGTTGACCATATGAGACATGAGCGAGCATTCTCTTACACCACCCCAAAATTGATTTCAACTGTCCATTTCACAAAGCGCGCGGTTCTTAGGCGAGGACCCACCAGACCCACCAGAATTGACGAGAGATCATCTTGACTCCATCCAACCCATCCATCACACGCAACAACCCCCTAAAATGAGTCGCCGCCCACCCCGCTCACCCCTCACCACCGCTTCTGTGTCTCTCGGCCCCGCCCACACACCGTCCTCCCACTCCCAAGCAGAAGCAGATATGGAGCAAAACGAAGACGACTTTGCGTCGTCCTCCCCCGTTGCCAATGTCGACACGGTGCCGTCGATGAACATCCCACGGTCGGCGTTTGAGAGAAGGTTTCATGCAAAGGAGGAGGCTTTTCGAGGTGGGTTTGGGGTAGGCGAGGGTGAGGGTGAGGGGTGGGAATGGCGGTTTGGCGAAGGTTGGCTGGGGTGGGCTTTAGTGAGTCCTGGAGACCAGGTCACCGCTGGAAAACAAATGTGACATGAGGGAAGGTTGGGAACATGACCCTACAAACGTCATTGAGAAGGATGAACAGGAGCCGGGGTCACCTTGGAAAGCACAACGGAGCAGATGACCCCATATGAGGAACGACACGAAAATCTCAATATTGTCCTTGTTGCTTTCACCAGATCTGTCCAGGTTTGAGGAACAGCTGCGATCCCGCCTGAATGATGCGCGGACGGAGCAAAGGCGGTGGCAAGGTAAGGCGGCCGAGTGCAGATATGCAGGAATCCCCGGGAAATCGGAGAGAGACTCAGGGTCCCACCCAACCTCTGTCTCAACTCTTTGCTTTCCGCGCTAATCACTCGATCTGCGACCATGCTTGATAGCTGGCGTTCTTCTCCTATTCCTACTCCTGGCTTGGAGCACATATCGGATCGTCACAAACGATAAAGTCAATGAGCGGGTATGTCTTTGCTCGAGGGTCCTTACCTGGCGGATTGGTGGAGCGTTTTATCGACGTTGGCATGGTGGAGACCGACCGAAGCGTACAGGGATCGCAGTAGCGAAAGGGCTTTTCACCCTTCATTCTTCATCGCACACAGGGCATCCCGCAACAAAGCTCCTGGCACGTCTTTGGGGTGACCGTCCCGCTATCGGCATTCATCATCCTGCTCGCAAGCGGATCCATGCGCGCGAAACTGTTGAGTGCGAGGATGTGAGTTACCCATCTTCATAGACAATCGTAGATGTTCGCGGTTCCAATTCTCGCATCACCCCTGCTCACCGTGTCTCAACCCACAGCTACACCCGCCGCTGCAACAACGCCCTCCGCCCCTTCAACATGCAAATCGGGCACTCGGACTCCTCCCAACCACCGCAAACAACCTCAAAAGATACGCCCAAAGACGCACTGTCGTTCCTGTGGAAGGTGCCGCCGGAGTTCCGCGAGGGGTATAGGCAGTTCAGAGAGAGAAGGGAGGAGAGAAAGAAGGTCGGCGGGAGGGGGAAGGGGAAGGGGAAGGGTGGGAAGGCGGCGTAGCGTGGTTGGGAGGAAGGGGTAAGATCTGATTCCGGGCGGGCTTCGGGTGGGGATTGTGACCCCGATTTTGGAATGGAGTGGCTGACGCATTTTGGAAAAAGGATGGCCTTCGAGGCGGTGTGCGGAAAGATCGCAGAACCTCAGAACCTGAGGGAATGAGCAGAATCAATGCACATAAATACACGGAGTCAACGTTCTCCTTCGGCACACCGACTTGGAGAATCTCCTGGCGGTCTGAGGGGACCGAGCATTCTATTCGCGTGTCAGATTATCATTTATGTATAAAGATATGTGCAATATACACCAAAAACCTTCCTCTTCGACGAGCTTGCGCCTCGGATATGGATTCGGTGAAGGAAAGGGGGATAACGGTGCCCTCGTGTCCATCACATCCACCCAAACATCAAGTTACAAAAGCCCTCGCTCCCGCCGTACGCCCCCCACACACCGACTCCCGGAACGACCGTATCGGCGCACCCCGCCCAACCATCCCCGCCCCGCTCTCCCCACCGGCAACCCCACCTCCCCCACCACCACTCGTCAGCGCCAACACCCTCATGTCCTCCACCTCAAACGGCTCCCCATTCCGCACGAGGCGCCGACCCCCACCCGCCCTCCGCACAACATGCACGCCCGTTGGCCCAGGCATCAGCGGCGTCGTCGGGGTCGTCGGAGACGTGATCGCCAACATCGACGCGGAGACCGGGGCGCGGCCACCCAACGCCGCTGCGAATTTATCGAGGGTCGCTGACCTATATTGCTGGTGTGTGGGATTCATCATGTTGCTGGATGGGAGGGTGGTGAGAGTCGGGTGGGAGTGGTGGTGGCGGTGGCGCGGGGAGGGTGGGGCGGCGAACCATTTGGGGAGTGTTGGCGGGGAGCGCGGGGCGGGCGGGTGGAGGATGGAGTAGGGGTGGCCCGGGGGTGGGGTTTGTTGTTGGGGCTGTGGTGGGGGCGCGATTGCTGAAGATGTCGAGGAGGCGGAGCATTTGGGTTTTGTCGGAGCTTCGACAGTGGGCTCCCCGCCACCGTTGACGTTGGGCGCAGACTGACTCCGCCCTACGCCCCCCGCACCTGGGGCCGCTGTATGTGGCCGCATCGCTAGGTGGTCCCGTCTCTGTGGTATCGAACCCGCCCCGCTCTGCACGGTCGCGGGAGGATGGATTAACGGGAAGAGTGCTTCTGATTTGGATGCGACGGGAACGGGCACGCTCATCAATGCTGACCCGGCAGTTTTTGGGCGTGGCCATGTTGGCTGGGCGGGGACCGTCAGCGAGGTGGACGTCGTCGACTCTCTGGGTGATGAGTGGGCGGACGTTATCCGTGCCGCTGTTGTCGTCGTTGTCGCTGCCGGGCTTGTTGTCATGGTAAGACTGGCCGTGTTACCCGCACCACTTACACCCTTGGCAGAGTATCGCGTCCCCATAACAACCGCCCCCTCAATCGCCAACGCCGCCGCCGACGGAATCGATGCTGATGGATGGCTTCCCACCGTCGCAGGTATCAGTCCCGCCACCGTCTCCGCAGCCGGCGGCAACAATTGGCTCACACTTCCACCCCGCCTCCCGGCCGGCCTCGCCGAACTCTGCAACCGCCTCCTCATCCTCGCCATCACATCCGGCACAAGCGCGTCCACCACCGGTTGCGGTACAGGTAACCGTGGGGGGCGGGCGAACTTTTTCCCTGTTGTTGTTGGCGGCCGCGTTGCGGTTAGGGAGGCTGGTGGGAGGCGCGGGGTGAGGAGGGAGGGGGAGGAGATGGGGATTGGGATGGGTTCGAGAAGTGAAGTGGGAGGCGGCCGGCCGAGGGTTGTTTTGGGACGGCGAGGCGGGGGCGGTGTTGGGATGGGGGACGGGTCGGCGGACGGTGGTGGGGGTGTTCCTGTCTTCTGTGTCGTTATGGCTGCAATCGTATTCAGCGCCGTCGTCGTCCCCGTGTCCAACACAGGTCTCTCAACCCCACCACGCTCCTCCTCATCTTCCTCACCACCCCCTCCACTCCGTCTCCTACTCCTGCGTTGCGCCCTCGACAAGCCCCCATCTTCCTTCTTCACCACTTTTCCCGGAACCTTCCTCTTTCCCCGTTTCCCAACCTCCCTCCTCAATCTCCTCACAACATCCGGCCCCGGCGCCGGCGAGGCGTCCGCGTCTCTGTTATGCCCGTCATTCGGGGTGTCGAAACGGAGATACTGGTATGCAGCCCCCGAGAACGCGTGGGTGGTGGCTGCGTCTTCGTCAGAGGAGTGCCAGCCGCTGATGTCGTCGAAGAATGTGTCTGTGAGGAGGGGTGTAGGTGTTGCGAGGGTGGCTGGGGGTGGACGGACGAGTTCCGATGCGTGGGCGGGCCCGTCGTCGGAGTTGGAGTTGTTGTCGGACTCGTCGGCGGACGAGGGTGGGTATGGGCTATGAGGCGATGGCGATGAGGTGTGTTTTGCGGTGTTCTTTCTCCGCCGCTCTCTATCGGCTGGTAGGCGCCGATTGTCTGATCGGGAAGAGGGGATATCGAACAAACTTTGTGACGTTGCCGATTTATGTGCTTCGACGTATAATGAAGGAGATGAGACCGTGACGAAAGGCGGCGGAGCGGTCGGCGGTCGTTTACATAGATCGTATTTGCTTCCACTCAGTCCCATCGGCGTTGGTTGGGATGTTGACGTTGCGGTGGCGATGCGTCTTTCTCGTAGGTTGACATCGGATGAAAAGGGTATCGGCGCGGCTGTTCGTGGACGGTCATCCTTTTCCGCGACACCATAGCCACTACTACCGTCCACATATCCCCTTCCAACTTGCCGAAACCCGTACGTTTCGATAGGCCCCACAAAGCCGGCGGCATCGATCGCCAGCGCAGCCTCATTTCCGAGCGCATCACCATCGAAGGTTGACCTTGGCGGCCTAACATACGCGGAACGAGCGCGACGATGCAGTGGAGGTATTGAGCCTGCGTAGAGGGATGTGAGTTCGTTTGGGAGGATGGGTGAGATGCCGGGGAAGGAGGTGTGGTGGAGGGTCGGTGTTGGAGTTTCTCGAGTCATTTGTTCGAGGGAGTAAGTACGTATGCTGAGTTGTTTCTGTTTGACCGAGTTTCTATGGCCGCATTCTCGAGGGACTGGATGGAAATGGAAAATGTCCGAGGGCGCGCGAGAAACCGCAGACAGAGAAGTTGACGGGAAGCCCGGCGGAAAGAGGGGAACGCGGTGAACACGTCACGCGCCTCTCAGGCCGACCCGTGCTGCGCCACCCATTCTTGGAGCCTGTCGAAACAGGGCATTTCTCGCACTTCGCATCCACCATGTCCCCTAACCCATCGCCACATATGCACACCGGGAAACTGCAGATCCGCGGCCTCCATGTCCTTCATCTGAGCATATAGTCGCTTCCTGCATGAAATCATGAGTAATGATACAATAGACGCATTATTTTATCCGGGCTCTTACCTGTGTGAGGTCGTGAAAGCGGACGGACTGCAATCAAGGTCGAGGGGAGGAATCCAGCGGACGAGGCCGGGGGTGGCACTGGTGGGTATTATTGTCCGGCTGATGTCGACCGATTCATGTGTTGCATATTTCATGTACAGGAGGCTGCCCAATCCTCCGATCCAGGGCCGCTTGCGGGATCCCGCAGAGCTCAACGCATCACCGATCTTTGTCGCTTTTCCATTTTGGCCGCATTTTGGCGTCATTTTGGCTGCCAGCGACAAGGGAGAAAGAACCCAGATGGGTCACATATATGTATTGGAGTTTAGTCTCTGGAGGAACCGTATGATACGCCTCCAAAAATTCGCTTCCATTGCACTATACGCCTATATGGGGCAAAGCTACGTACGCTGCGTAACCAATCCCAAACACCGCACCCACGCTGGGTATCACCAAAAACCCTACCCTCGGCACTACAGACCCTATCCCCGACACAGAAACCCGACCTCAAACCCCCCCATCTTCTTCCCACCGCCATACCCCGAACTCAACTTCAAAGACGCCAGGACTTCCTCGCAGAGCGTTGCGTGAAGGGTGATAGGTTCGACTTGCGGGTCGGACGCCCATTGGGTCATTGTGCTGATGGAGAAAAGGATAGGTGAGGATTAATGGCGTAGGTTTTCCGACGGTGTAGGCTGGATAGGTCTGTTCAGCTCCTTACCTGGTGATTGCCGCGGTTTCGGCCCGACAGTCCATGTACATCACTTTCAGCGCTTCAATCGCACCGAAAAGGGCTCCGAAAAATCAGTGAACGCCCCTTCGAAAGCCTGTGCAATGATGATATGCAGTATTACCAGGAACAAAGCCCCGCGGCTCCCTCGCCAACCGCTCCACGATGACTGCCGATGCGGCTTCGATTGTTTCCTGGGACGCAGCGGCGAGTACGGATGTGATGTCGTCCGTGGAAGGATGGATGGTGGTGGTGATCAGGACGTCCGGATTGAGGACCCATAGCTGACGAAGAAAGGGGGGGGAAGATGTGATGTGAGTCTGAGACGAGGGAGATATGCGAATCGCGTGACAGAAATGAGGCACCCCCCGGAGGTTTGACAACATTACCAGTATCCTCGGCCGCTCCCCGCCCTTCTCATAAACCGCAAACCGAAACGCCGCATGTGCACCCGTCGATTCCAAAACTTCTTCCACGAAATACGTCGCAAAATGGGCATGGATCCTCTGCTCCCCTTCACTCCCCCTCTTCCCCACCACGTCCTTCAAAGCCGGTGAAGGAACGACAAGATCCGTCCAATACTTGTACAACTTGACGCCGTGGATGTAGGGCCGGATGTCGGTCCCGGCGTCGGGGATTTGGTCGAGTTGCACTTCGCCGATGTCGTGGCTGCAGTGGGTGCAGTAGGCTGGGGCGGTGCGGCCGACGCGGAGGATGCCCTGCATACCGGAGAAAGGATCAGTAAGTCACTTTCTAGCCCTTCGATGCCCCTTTTCTTTGCTATAGGTCATATATGCTCTTTTCGGTTAAGGATGCATGTTCCATTGATTCCGGCGCAAATCCAATGGCCCGCCGCCAACCTTCCACCGAATGACCCGGGAGTAAATAAGGAGGCAACGAGAAAGATGTCCATTGTGGTAGTAGATTCGTGTCCACAAGCTCTGGACATGAAGGTATTTTCACAGCGTTCAATAATATGATTGATTTTGGAAGTTTGTATCGATATGACAGCCTTCATAGAGACGCCCTTCTTCTATAACTTCCGTCGCAACTCTACCCTCTCGCACGCCGCCAACTGATGCCATAATAGAATGTTCTCGCTCACTCACCTTTTCCCGTTCACCGATTTCCACCCTCACAGCCGTCGTCAGATCCACATCATCCGGGTGCAGCACAACGTAGCTTTTGGCGACCAGGAGCGTGCCCTTGACCGCCAACACGACCCCGCCTTTCTGCCCTGGCATTTGTGAATAATCCTCCTTGTGGCATGCCCAGCAGTCCGTCAGTTCGTGCCAGTACTCGGAGGGCATCTCCACCGCCCTGCTGAATCGGGGACCCGATGCGCTGCTATCGTTTGATTCCCCTGATCCCGGCAGTAAGAGAGGATTGTGACATTGATGGCATTCAACCTGTGACAGCCCACGTAAAGGTTCCACGTCCATCAAACGCTCCTTGGGCGTCTCCGGTATCCGTGCCGCGTACCGAAGTGTCAGCTGAGCGTCCACTCCGGAATCATGACGGATCTTCTTCAGCGATGCTGGATCGACCTCTAAGGGCAATGGGATCTCTATTGGTGTGTGTCGTGCTGATTGGAAAGTCGCGGCGAGGTGTTTTGGACCAGCGGTGACGTCGGAAACTCCGCGTAAGGAGACGGCGAGTGACCGGAGTTTGAGGAGGACTTCGAGGAAGTATGGGATGGGGCTGCCTGGGTTTGGTTCGTGCCCCGAGGTGGTTCCATCCTCTTCTGTCATCGTCCTCCCCTGAACAGGCTTTTTTGAGGAATGCCGAAAAGTCCAGAGATCACCAATCAATCGTTAACGGGGACCAGAACGGGGACTGTAATAAACGCCCCGCAGTTCCTGTTTATTATGTTTATTAATGATTAGAACCGCGATCCTGAGGATCCTCTTACAGTAGGACAGCGGGCAGGAGGAGAGCAAAGGTGCTAACTTTCTGCGTTCTATGCGAGGTTGCAAGCGAAATTGTGTTTTCAGTGTCAGCCCAATGGCAGCGGAAGCTCGACGAAAACTTGATGGAAAAATTAGCGTACAGCGCCGTTCATAAAGCAAGGCCGCTGTCAATTTGATTCACCGGCCCCCTGGACGCGCCTCTCCATATAGATAGATCTATGCCTAGTATCTAGTGAATCCTCCTCTAGCTGCTATGACTGCCCTGTGCGAGAGCCACAATGGTGCTTCTCTGAGCAAAGCTGAGGGGTCTGGGCATGGTGCCCAGCCAGATGGCGAGAATGTGTTGTGCATGCATTTCCAATCTCGACGCTCGGGTTGTCCGGAGCGTCCGGCCGGCGACGACGCGGTCGAGCACTTCTCTGACGCCACTGTCAAGTGCGGCCTTGCTTTATGAACGGCACTGTAGATAGTTAAATATTGAAAGATAGATAAGATACTAGAAGAACACCGCCCGCTACGGAAGATCTACTCTAAAGATAACATGTTGGGGACCTTTAGTATATAGGGTTCTGGTGATTGCATATATGGAAGGTGGGATGCTATATACAGGTGGAGCGGGCTTGGGAATCAGGCGGAGGATTGTCGAGTCGTCGGAGTAGACGTGTTGTTGCAGGCGCGGGGGCAAAGTGTGAGGTATTGGGATGCGCATGTGGAAGGCCCAGTTTCGCAAAGAACGGTTCTTCCGTCGAAGCGACTAAGCTGTAGGCTCAATGTCTCCAGCTAATTGATGGCATCAGGGAAAGCACGGTCAGCCAACGACGAGATACGGTGCAAGTCTTTTCATCCTCAACCCTCCAACTCCGAACCCAATTCCCAAGGCAGTCACAGAAACTCACATCTTCAGAATACGGTCCTTTCCTCCACTCGCCACGCGATCGCCCGCTGGGCTCCAGTCCACCGAGTAGACCTCATCTGCATGGCCTGGCAACTCGTGGCGCAGCTTTTTGTTCTTGACATCCCAAGTTTTGAGTGTGCTGTCTCGCGAACCGGAAAGCACTTGGCGCGAATCGGAGGACCAGCACACTTGGAATACCGCGCCGACGTGACCGCGGAGGGTGGTGAGGAAGCTGGTAGGAGTAGGGAAGAGCGTGTTTATGTCAGTTGAGAGGGCAAAGTACAACGCAAAAGGCGGTAAAAGACCGTGAATGGCCTCGGGAAATGGTCAGGTATACTCACGTTCCAGTGACACCGTCCCAAAGCTTGACACTCTTATCAAACCCGGCACTAGCCAATGTGCTCCCATCGGGGGCAAACGACAGGTGTGTGACCGGTTGCTGATGGCCGGTCATTCGCGTGATGGGCTTCTTGCCCGTGCTGGGCTCCCACAAGAAGATGGTGAAATCATCCGAGCATGACGCAAGTTTCTCTTTCTTAGAGCCATTCGCCGTGGCCGTGTTGTAGCGGGTGACGGCAGCGGCGTAGGCTTCGGTCCGAGTGGCGAACTTTGGTGCAGTGTGGTCGTGGGGACCGGTGCGGAGAATGAAATCCGTCGACAGCGTCAAGTGATTCACCCAGTGGGCGTGGCCTTCCAGCGTGCGCACGAGTTTACCCTGAGAAGTGTTTGTCGTCAGTCAAGTGCTCGGAACGATTTATGAACGCCCGTGTATTCAACCGAAATTCTCACCTCCGTGGAGTCCCAGACTTTGATGGTCTTATCTCTGCTTCCAGAGTATATCAGCCCTTCCCCACCCCACTTGACACTCAGGACAGGCGCGGTGTGTCCTGAAAGGGTCATGATGACTTTCCGTAGCTTGGCGTCCCATATTCTAACCGTGCCGTCCCTAGATCCTGATGCAAACCGGTTGCAGTTCTCGTTCCTGAAAGACGCGCACATTAGAATCAGGGATGGCGTTTCTCCCGAAACGGATGGGTGTAGAGGGAAAGACTTACAAGTGCCATGGCTCCCATGATATGCTGGTAATGACTTGCGAATGTGCACGGAGAGCGTCGCCGTAGGCTTTTCCAGTTTTCGGATTCCACAATCGGATGGTACTGTCCATACTTCCAGATGCCAGCATCTCGGAATCGGGAGACCAAGCAACAATCTGGACCCAGTTTTTGTGTCCTGCGTGGAAGTGCAATACGCACATTCTCAGTACCGTCCTGATACACCCGCAAGGAACATCCAATCACTGACAAAATGGGCCTGCTCAATCCCAAGCAATATCCGCAGACTAACCTTCCAACGTGTGCTGTGGCGTCTCGGTATCCAAATCCCACACCCTGACAGTGGTATCCCCTGAACCCGTCGCCAGCTGTTTTCCATCAGGACTAAACTGCACCGAAAGGATGGCCTCGGTATGGCCTGACAGCGAAGCGCTGCATCGTGTGACTGCTCGTACTCGGAACACCGCCTGTGGGCGGTAAAGAATAGTGATCTGGTCTTCGGTGGATTTGCCGAGCCCATGAATCACATCCGTATGCAGGTCCGCCGTGATCTCCGTGTCGTCTACAAGGAAAGTGTACGGTAATGGGTCCTCCTAAAAGCCAAAAAGACACCACATTATCAGCGACTGTCGGCAAGCCTATTCCATCCCTCGGCTGTATGAAGCGCCAGGGACCCATCAAATATCTCCCTCCCTCTGTCCCGCCCTCTCCCTTTTGACGTACGTTCTGCAGCAAGTTGTTCAACAGCAGGGCAAGTTGCTCAGGGGTTACGTCCGCCGGCAAATTGAGCGGAGGTCCACAGGTATCGTCGTCCGCGCTCTTGAACTGAGCTACCACAGTAGCCCCCGAGGGCGCTGCTGGGGGTGGCGCTGGGTCATTCCTCTTGTACCGATTCGGTTTCACGTATGGGTGGTATTTTGTCTCGCCCATTGTTGCGTTATGCCTCGAGAATCCTGGAACTGAAATTAAGGTTGAGCACGAACTGAGGTCAGAACTGAGGTGCACGGAGTGAAAACCTTTTGCTCTTCAAATGACGAGGACTCAGTTTCCACAAGGTTGCAAGGGGGAGGAAGAAGCACCTTAAGGGCGGCGTCTGCTCGCAAGAACAAAAGTACAAAGAAGGCAATTCGACGAAAACTCCCACCAGAAAGTGAGGAACATGAACGCAGACCGAGCGCGCGAACGAATTTGAAAACAAAAAGCGCAATGAAACAACTTGACCAGCGTCACGTGTACTCCATCATCATCATAAAAATCAGTGCCTCGCTCCGAACGGGTCTACAATTGGGTGCTTTTCGCCGTCCCTTCCGCCTGCAGACCGTCCAAGCGACAAGACTACGTTGATAAGATGGCCAATATCGGCTCCCTCTTGTGAGATTGGTGCATCACGGCCACTAAAGCCCCCCTCAACCAAGCACCTACGAACGCCGCCCTCTTCACGCCTCGACAGACCGATGACCAGAACTGCGGTACATTTGTGTGCATGATGGCTGATGCCATTGCCTGGGGTGTTGCCGTGTGAGGTCACGGAATCATGGGCCGATGATCCGCAGACCGCCGTCAATGCCCGCCATAACATCGCGCTGAGCATCGTTTTGGCGACGTTTCTTAATGATGGGGATGCTCATCAGTATACGAATTTGACAAAGTGCTAGATCTCTGACTGTAGGTGTAGTCCTGTAGACTTCAATAACATCATTGTAGTAGTCATAATGGCGAACATACATATATTGCAATAGTCAGAATAGCCCTCCCAAAGGAAAATCTCAGATAAAACATATTCACAAAGGTAAAGGCGGCAAAAGCGAGATATGATGAACGGCTGCGATGTGTACATCTATGGTATGCGGCGTGTCTGACAATAAGAAAAAGAGTGCTATCGGGGAGGTTGCTACGAATGTACATAGATGTTTGCTGGATCTACGGGTTCAGACGGACGGGGTCACGGGGGAAGAGAGAAGTTTTGCGGATGTTGCCGAGGTTCAGGAACAGCATGAGGACACGCTCAAGACCTAGATGGAAAGAGATTCGGCACTTAGATCGAGAAGAGCTTCGAAGGCTGAATATGCTCCACCAAAGCGAAACTTACCGATACCACCTCCGGCATGCGGGGGTGCACCGTACTTGAACGCGTCGAGGTACGGCTGGATGGTGGCGGGGTCAATTGGGGGCTCGAAAGTTTCCGCGCGTTCTTGCAGGAGCTTCGGGTCGTGGACACGCTGAGCTCCGGAAAGAATTTCCTCTCCGCGCATGAAGAAATCGTATGAGTTGCTGTAACCCTGCTTGTTTGGGTCAGGCATGGTGTAGAAGGGTCGCACGGCCAAGGGGAACTTGTCGAGCATGAAAAAGTCGGTGTGGTATTTCTCTTTCACCAGGCGGCCCAGGGTACGTTCTGTCTCGGTGCTGCAGTGGCGAGACGCGTCAGGCATAATTGGGCACAGACTTCAAAATCGCCTTTCTCAAACTGACCTGAAATCGTCAAAGTCACCGATTTCAACACCATGCTCACGGAGAAGCTTAATGGCTTCGGGGAACTCCAGTTTCAAGCAGCTGTCACCAAACTCGAAGTCCTCGAAAGGATATTGTTTCTTGATGACCTCGATCTCCTTAGCATACCGCTCCTTCAAACCTTTGATCATGTGTGTGAAAAGACCGTCGAAAAGGTCGAGCACTTCATGGTAGTGCTCCTCGAAGGCCATCTCGAGATCGAGTCCAACGAACTCGGTCATATGACGATGAGTGTGGGAGTTCTCAGCGCGGAAAACTGTAACGAGACCCGGTGTTTTAGGGTCTCTCCATATTCCGATGAACTACCCTTTATCGCACCCACCTGGTCCGATCTCGAAAACCCTCTCGAAGTCGGAGGTGATCATCATCTGTTTGTAGAATTGAGGGGACTGCGCCAGGAACGCCTTCTCTGTTAAGATCGAAAGTGTCAATCAATATGAATCCACGCACGAACCATGGTACGGGGCCTACCTTTGAAGTATTCAACCTTGAAGACGTTGGCACCACCTTCGCTTGCTGCACCGAGCAACTTCGGGGTGTGGATCTCGATGAAGTTCTTGCTCTCCAGGAATTCGCGGAACAGCCGGCAAACTCCGTGTTGCATGCGGAAAATGGCATGGTTTGTTGTCGTCTACAGATTCCGTCTTAGCTTGCACAACGATAGTCCACAAGACATCCCACTGTCTGCTCACCCTCAAGTCGATTGGGCGATGGTCCAACCGCGTGTCAAGCTTCACGCGCACAAGTGCGGGGTCCTACAAGATTCACTCGGTGAGCCCTCCGGCAAAACGTCGCGAAAACCTAAAATGAGCTCATACAGTTTCGTAGTCGGTCTCGGGGCGGGAGGCATCCTCCAAAGTAAAAGGCAACCTGCTGGCCTCGCTGATAACGTGGATCTAACGTGCGCAGGGGGGTGGAGTGAGCAAGATGGAGTCCTGGCCATCCGATCAGTCATGTGAAGAACCGCACCTTCTCGATCGCGAGCTCAAGGTCCTGGATCGTGCATGATTGCACTTGTTGCAGAGCTTTGACAACAGTGGCCTCCACTAACACGAGCGACTCGGAAGAGATTCCGGCTGCAAACTTCTGCATGTGTCCACTAATCTTCTCGGCATCCACCGTCAACACGCACTGAACTGTAACGGTTCCCTGACGCAATGTAAGGAAGCACTTTTTGCTACCGGTAGGACGGGAGTTCTGAACACGGGCGCTGAGGAGAACTGTGCTGCCAACTGGACTTCCGTTCAGGTCCACGATCCGGGTTCGATGCCGACCTGTTCGCTCCTGAGATTTGTTTGTTGGAAGCAGTCCATAGCGATTTTTTGAGTAATCCTGCGTGAATGAAACGTCAGACAGGCTTCCATAACGCTGGCTCGTGCCGTCGTACGTCTGGTCTAGCCAACTTACGGGATTCGCGGCTTCGCGTGCAGCTTTCTCAGCAGCCTGGTGGAGAGGTTAATCAGCCCCACGATCTCATTTACCACTACAAACAACAAGGGACGACCCTTACCAACTTGGCTTCACGCTCCTGCTTCTTCTTCTCCTTCTCACGCTCCTTCTCGAGCTTCTTCAATGCCGACTTGGAAAGTGGCTTGCCATCCTCTCCCAGGACAATCCCCTCTACGTTCTTGGTGAGCTCCTCCACTGCTTTTTCTGTGGATTCTGACATGTTTGGGGTTTTAACGACCAAGGTTGAGGGATCTTGTGACGACGGCCGCAATTAAGTATTGGTCGATCGCAGTACGGATGAGTTGTGAGTTCCTATGGCAACTTTTTACTCGGGGTTGTGAGTCATCCACACAGATGAGTCACGAACATGAAAACACAGTGAGGCCAATGGTTACGTAGTCATACTCATGTTCTAACTACGCTGATAGGGTTAGGGTTAGGTGTAGCGTAAATTAGTGCCTCGCTCCGAACGTATCTAACGGTCCTAGAACGCTAAAGCTTCTCGGCAGAGTGAGTGAAGCGGCGCGTTCGGACAGACGCGTTGGACTCTGCCCCCAACAGCTTGTTGTTGTCCACCCACGGGACGGCAGTTTCCACCCACACAAGCCCACCCACCTCACTACTCGCACCACCGCCGCCGACAGACAAGATGCCAACCGAAGAGCCCCCCTCCGACGCCTCCCGCGCCCACTCCGCAACAACCGACCCCTCCGCCCCACCCACACGGGCCCCGACCGGCCACACCAAACTCTCCAGCTTCCGCAACAACCTCGCCATGTCGCGCGCAGGAAGCCGGATGAATCTCTCTGAACCTCGCGGTGCAGGAGGCGTCCCGCAGAGCGCGCGCACGGTTGCGGATGCGCCTGTGAACGCGGTGATGTTTGAGAACACGTTTAAGTTGAAGCCGGATCGGAAGTGCGTAAAAGGGGGGGAAATGTTGGGGGCAAGGGGGAGAACATGTATATGAGGGGGCATGATTGATCGCTTTTGAGGCAGGTTTCAGAGCGAGACGGTCCGCCGCATCGCGGCGGAGATCCTGCAGCGAAACTTGACGAAACAGAAGTATGAAAGCGGGAAGTCGCCCATATTTGCGCAGAGTATCTCAAATGAGATTCTGGGGGCGGTTAAGAGTAGTTTTCAAAAAGTCAAATCAGAGGTGTTTTGGAAAGTGTGAACGGTCGTCCTGATTATCCTTTTTTTTTTGACAGAACTGGACTATGAGCGCTACAAGATCATGGTAGACGTAACCATCGGTGAGTTTAAAGGACAGGGGATCCAGGTTGCGTCGCGCGCGGTGTGGGATACGACAACAGACTCGTATGCTTCGGCGCGTCGTTCAAGAACGTATGTACCTGGGTGTTTTCGGAACGGTGCCTTTTCAAATGGGAAAATGGCTGATGGGCTGTCATGTTTGATTCTCTAGGCAACGATCTTTGCAGTTGCGATTGTGTTTGGGTGCTATTTTGAGTAAATGGGTAGATGCCCTGCCTTTGGCACAATATCTCTTTTTGGGCAATATTCTTTCTGGGAGTGTATGGGGAAGAGGTAGGTGGTTGGGGCTCGTCAATCGTCATCAGGGATCTCGGATCGTGAGAGGGATGACGCCGGTTTCGGGTTCGGGATTTTGTTGTGTATATGTGCGCATTAATGTGGGATGGGACACAAATATCGCTGTGCGATGGTTGGTGCATAAATTCGATACAAATCCTCGTAGAGGTGTCGTTCAGAACTCCGACAGGGGTCTATACTGCACATGTCCTGCCCCACCGTCGATAATTGTCTGTCTATCTGCTATATACTCTCCATTCCAAAACTGAGTCAATGAACATTCCGGCCCTCTCTTTCTTCACCCAACCATCAATGCCCACCCAACAGCGCCCTCATCTCCCTCTCCGTAAACACACCCCTCATCTTCTCGGGCGCCGTCAACTCCTCCTCCCTCCGCATATGCGGAAACACCAACGCCCTCAACCGCCCAACATCCGCTTCAAAAGCCTGCCAATCAAACCCCGCAGGATCCTCACCACCCGCACGCGCCACGACCCCGTTGAGGGAGTATATCAGCGAGTCGAGGTCGGCGTGGTCGGCTTCAAAGGCGGACATGTCGAATTTGGTGGCGAGGATGGGGAAGATTGCGCGGTCTTCGATCGTGTGGTGTGCTTCGAGGTTGGAGAGCACAGTGCGGGTGAGGGAGAGGAGACGGGGGAGGCGTTTGGGGCTGCGGGTACGGCATTCCTTTGGGGACGAGTAGAGGGAAGGTTAGAATGGAGCTTGAGGGCACAACAGAAACACCGAAACGGGACAGTACTTTGAGCAGATTCAGGATGCCTTCCCTGTGGTGGTCGTGGAATGCCTTGAGGAGGGTTGACCACTTTACATATGGGTCTGACATTGCTCTCGGCGGGGGGTCATTAACGAGTTGGAGGGGAGGGGGGGAAATTTCACTGTTCTCACGCGTTGGAGACGGACCTGGTGGACGGGCTGGATGGACGGGACCTATAGGCGTGATCTTCAACAGCAACTCCCACAGCCAACACACTGATACCGAAAGCACCTCCCACTTGCACCTCCCGTTCGCACGTCTGGATTCCATTCCATCAACCCGCAACCATAAATCTCCAATGCCCGACACCCGCCGCATAGAGCGCGAAATCCGCCAAGTCCTCGCCGACAAAACCGCCAACGTCCATGTCGAGGTCCTGGGCGACGACCTCTGTACGTCGCATAACCCCACTTTCCCCATCCCCATCTCCACCACGTTAACCAATGAATTCCCCCTACCCACAGGCCATCTCCGCGGCCGCCTCTCCGGCCCATCCGACACGCCGTATGCCGGCGGCACCTTCTTTGTGGATATCGTGCTACCGGGGAATTACCCGTTCGCGCCGCCGAAGATGAAGTTTGAAACGCGGATTTATCATCCGAATATCAGTTCGGTTACTGGGGCTATTTGTTTGTGAGTTTGAAGAAGGGGTGGTTGGGGTGGGGAAGGATAGGGGCTGGGGATTTGATGATGTGTTCGGATGGGGACCGGCTGTGAGAGTTGGAAGCGGGAACTTGTGGGCGGAAGGACTGACCTTGCTTGTTCCATAGGGATATCTTGAAAGATGAGTGGTCGCCAGTCCTGACGCTGAAAACCGTGGTATGTTCCCAATGGATAGAGATCCCTGGGAAGGATCCTCATCCTAACAAAACCCACGGTCTCTCATACACGCACAGCTCATATCATTGCAATCCCTCCTCTGCGACGCCGCGCCTGATAACCCGCAGGTCCATATTCCATCGGAAAGTTTCATCTCCTCACGCAGCATACTAATCCATCTCCCCTCTCCTATCCACAGGACGCCGAGGTAGCAAAACGCTACATCTCCGACCGCGCGGGCTTCGACCGCACCGCCACCGACTGGACAAAACAGTACGCCATCACCGAAACCCACGCACCCTCCCAACCGCCGTCACATCCTACACCACCACCAAATCCAAAGCCGGAAAAGCAACCCCCACCACCCCCAGAGGAAGTAGGCCTGGACCGCGCCGCGATAGCGCGGATGACGGAGATGGGCTTCCCGAGGGCATTGGTGGTCAGGGCGTTGAGGCAGAGTGATGGGAATGAGGTTAGGGCGCTCGAGGCGGTTTTGGCGGATAATGTTTTATGAGATGGCGTTGTGGGGGAGAAGTTGGTAGGATGATGCATGCAGGGAACTGGTTCGTGCCGCCAGTGACACGGACGCGGGCCTCGCCTACCCATGTCCCCTAATGCTACAGTAGACAAGACGATATAGACAGCCCGCTCAAGCAACAAACCCCCAATTTCACGGACCGGATGTCGATAATGCCGTCAGTCACGTTGTATATATATATAAAAGAAAAGAAAAGAAATGGTGTGTGTGGTGTGGAACAAAGTATGTGTATATGTGACGCCGTTGAGGTGGGTGTGCATAGGGGAGTATCTACAGATGTGGTGTATTCTGCTCTGCGGTGATGTGTGCGTGCGGACTTTTGCATATCGCGGGGATGGGTTTGCCTTTAGAGACCTCGCTTCCAGCCCAGGGCATTGTGCCATCCCGAACACTCCAGAAGCAGGCATCCCCACTTTCTCGAGTCGGGTGCGTCCACTCTATCCCGACACTCCCCCATTTGATGGTGTACTGCCGATCTCAGCTTTGTGCCGTTTATACTTTGGGTGCGGGGAGACCGGGAATTTGCGGGGGAGCGCCTCCGGGGAGACCACCGAGGCCAGGTTGGACCATCTATTTGTGAAAGTAACGAAAATAAGAAACAGTCCAAGTATGCCCCAAAAAACTGAAGCGGCCGATCAAAAAAACAAATATCCTGCTGGATCCTTAAAAACGCATACCTGCTGAGCCTGCTGCTGCTGCACCCTCATCTGCGCCTCCTGCTGAAACACAAACTGCTCCCTCTCCAACTCCAACGCCACAGGCAACCCCACAAGCATCACCGCCGTCGACACCACCCACGCCGCGCTGCCAACCCACTGCGCAGCTCCCCACGTCGCCTCAACCGCCCTGGTCACCGTCTTCACAACCCGGACCCGCGTGGTCGGGGGGATGACGTCCCGGAGCGCGGAGATGCGCTCCAGGAGGGATTCGCGGGCGAGATCTTCATCCTCCTCGAACTCGTCCTCGTCGTCGTCCTCGGTCGCATCCGAACCGTAATCGGATCCCAGAATGTCGCGGGCGCCGAGGGTGCGGACGACGACATTGCCGTCGTCGTCTTCGTCAACGTCGCCGAGTGAGTCGTCATCCTCGTACTGCGAGTCGCCGTCGTCTTCTTGGAGCGCGAGGAGGAGGGCGTCAGCCGCGGCAGCGTCCTGCTCGATCGCAGTGGCGGTGGCGGTTGGGTCGACGACGATATCGGTTGTTTCGGTGATTGTGACTTCCATTTCGTTGAGTTCCACCATGTAATGTTAGGGGATGTGTTTGGTTGGGGTTGGGGGTGTGATGGAAGGTTGTTCTGTTTGGGCTTTTGCAGGTGGGCAGCGGGCGGAATATTCAATGCGTCGAGGCGAGGGAGAGGAATACAAATGGGGAGAACAGCACGTGATGTCCTCCGTGAGTCTCGCCCCGTTTTATTCCGGGCGAATATGCGCCGGCCCGCGATTCTGACAGTGCCCAGAAAAGCCGTCATTTTATGAGAAGGCCAAATAAAGGAACACGCCGGATCTTCCAGGCACCTCCCAATCACACGCCTCCATGCAGAACAATCTGGCCAGGACATCTAACAGCCAGCCAATCACGCCCCTCTGTGTGGAATGTATTTCCAGCCAATCACGTACATCACAGTAGAAAATCTGGCCAATCGCACGCCTCCCAGCAGCACAATCTGGCGTGGACTCCCAACCCAGTCATTTTGCAGCAAGCTTCCCTTCTTGACTGTCTTCAGAGCCTCACCTTCATACGCAAAGTTGGGATCTCCCCTCGTCTCCGCTGAGCTCGAAATCAACGAAAAACCCACATCATGAGCCGAAGCGGAACCAGGTCGCCCCCACCCACTTCGCGGTATTCCCACTCCTCAGGGGCACCCGCCAGAGACGCTCGTCGCTCTCGCTCGCGGAGTCAAGATCAGCGACCCAGCCGGAATCCGCCACGGGATAGATATTATGACGACGAGCGGCAAGCGCGCAACGAGTATCGAGATGACAGGCGGGGGAGATCGAGAGAGCGGTCGGAGAATCAGAGCCCGCCTCGTAACATCCGAAGTGAAAGGGATTGGGAGAATAGATACGAGAGCAATGGCCCCGCAAACGGACATCAGGGTGGGTATCACCGTGAGCAGGACGGATACCGCGGCGATCGTCGAGGGGGTCACGAACTCGAACAACAGCAAGGAGAAACGTTCCAACAATTCCTGCAAAGACGGCAGGAGATTAGGGAAGCTAGCACGGCGACGATATGGCTTTCATCGCCTGAAGTCCGCGTGAGGGATACGTCGGTGTCGCCTACGCGGAAGGGGAAGAGCTCGAAGCGGAGGAACCGGTCTGAGTCTGGAAGTCCGGCGAGACGGAAGAAGAAGAGGAGTAGCCGGGACAGCGAGGACAGCGCGGGGGAGAGCAGCGACTCGGATGCGGGGGCGAGGCGAAAGTCAAGGAAAGGGAAAGATTCACGGAGGGATAGGAAGTCGAAGAAGGATAAGAAGAAGAAGAGTAGTAAGAAGCGGAGGACTCGGACGCCGTCCCCATCGTCGTCTTCGTCGTCTGCTTCTGAGGGGGAGTCGGAACGAGCGGTGGTAGCAATCACTACCTCGACGGAAAAGCAAGCCGAAGCATCCGCCGAGGTAGACGAGACAGTGCAAGACTACTGGAGAGAGAAAACCGTAGAGCAAGTCGACGACGCGCCTGTCGGACCACTCCCATTAAACGTCGCAGATCCAAAACATGATGACCGGGCATACGGTGGAGCACTGCTCGCTGGAGAGGGGTCAGCAATGGCAGCGTACCTGCAGAGCGGCAAACGTATTCCACGTCGTGGTGAAATCGGATTGACGTCGAATGAGATTGAAGATTATGAGAAGGTCGGGTTCGTCATGTCGGGAAGCAGGCATCGAAGGATGAATGCCGTTCGGATCAGGAAGGAAAATCAGGTATGCCTTGGACTCCACCTACTCAAATGACGTGGATTACTTTACAGAGAGCTCACCACCCAATTATCTCCACGCTTCCGCCAGGTCATCAGCGCAGAAGAGAAACGAGCTCTGCTACTGTTCAATCAAGAGGCGAATATGAAGAAAGAGGCGGAGATCATTGCGAATTTCAAGGATATGGTGTCGGCCAAGATGAAGCCCGCGGAGGATGCTGCTTGAGACTGCGTTGTGTTTCTGTGGATGTGATTGTAATAAAAATGTATATACGCCGATACCTTGCCTACAAGTGATGCGCGGATAGGACTCAGGATGGGGTCTCTGCTCTTGGTGGAACGCTTGGTGGAATAACGTTTCAATATCTTATGCGATGGCGATGATTTTCGCATTTGCCTTTCTATGAACGGTTCTATGTTACGGTGATGGCTACTAAACATTACAACGCGCTGTTCTACGCTTTTGGGCTGCACAACTTGCTGGCAGGTCGGCCAAGCTCCTTTCCTTAGTTGGTGGAGCTCCTTTCCCAACTGCCGAATCTTCTTTGTGTAAGTAGTGGCAGGCGCTCGCCTACTGCAGAATGGATGTCGTTGTATCGGCCGCTAGTACGTTTCTTGCTCAATGAATCCGAAGGGTAATACGACCCTTGTTTCTTCTTCACATCACAGCCGCCGAATCTTCCGCCGAATCTTCATTGGTGTGCGACCCCTTTTTCTTCACATTCCTACGAATCCGAAGCTTCGTGGGTGTGCGACACGACCGTCTTGGATGACATCCCATCTTCCTTGATGCCTTGAAAGCTGACTCTGAAACCCCGCGGGGGCCTCGGGACACCAGCTTCTTATATTCACGCTGCGTCCAGCCCCCCTTGTCTCTCGTCTCCACAAAATCCCTTGACGTTAGTATTCTTCCCCCAATTTCGCCCTCCACATCACACAATGCCACCTGCCTGCGGTCTCACATGGGCGGGAGCCATATTACCCCTTCCTTACCTGGTGGTGTTCAGGTAGGTAATATCGCAAGAAGGAGTAGGGTTGGGGTTAGGATCGGGGTTCGCCGTTAGGGTTGGCCATAGAGCCTTCACGCTCGAACTTACGCCCTTCACGCTCGAACTTACAGCGTCACGCTCGTAGGGTTAGGGGTTACATGTAAACGTCAAAGGAAGCTTGATCGATAATGGGCTGGAGATACGATGTATTGAGAAGAAGAAGACTAGTTACGTTCAAGAATCCCTGCCCACACTGCTTCCCACCCCCACCCACCACCCCCCCCTTTTCCCCCATTCCCCCAATCCCATAGACCGACCACTGCGTAAATCTAATCAATGCCCGTAGCGACGTCGAGGGCATCTCGACCGTGAGCTCATCGGCCGTAGAGCTCGTCGACCCACCCCCCCTCCCCCCCCGCCCGGTTCTCCCCGCCGCGACACCTTGAGTTTGGCGTACACCCGGCCCGTTGTTTCACACATGTTGTGTGGGGGGGGGGGTCGTCTTTGTCGTTGGGGGGGGGGGGGGGCTTTGTCGTTGGTAGAGCGGGGGGCTACGGACAGGTGCGGTCGACGTCGGAGTGACGCTTGGCTCTAAGGGGGGTGTGATGAGGGGAGTTCACAAAAGTTGAGGGGAGCGCAGCAAAACTGGGCAAAACGCGTATGACGTAAGCAATAGACGCGTCGTTTGCACTGCTTTCCAGACATCGTTTGCAGCTCAAGGTGATCTACAGAGAGCGGATCAAGTGTCTGTACAGCAAGCATGTCCATCGTTACAGCTACAGGCAGGCTCTTGGTGCTGGCCCTCTTGCATGACTTTGTTGCGGTAGGAATTTGGAGTAGGTGTTTGAGGACCTGATGTTCATTCTATTCAATCACGGATATCCTTGTTCTCACAACTGCCTCGCAATTCAGATCGTCTCCACATTGGAAAGGATAAATCCATTTCCGACCTCTTCTCATACGCATATAGTGTCCCAGTTACTGACTCGACGCTACGCCTCGGAAATGTCACCTGTACGCTGACCGTCGACAAGTCCCCTGGCAAGTATGTGCAGCCAGGGATTTGGAATGCCGCTGAAAAGGTAGTAAAATGCGTCATTCTGTCGACAACTGAGAGGTATGATATTATGCCTATTATCAGATTGTCATTTAAGCTAGTCGATGACCCACAGCTAGTCCGCTCCTGCCAGCGACACTCAACTTAACAACGGAAACGAACGTACCCGTAGGCCCCGGGGTGCCAGTGTGGTTCGGGAGCCCTACTCGCGGTAATTCGCACATTCTTCGTTCTCTTTGGCGCCATATCAATCCATTTGGGAAAGGCGGCACTGATCGCAATGCTTTCCAGTGACCAAGAACTGCAGTTATTCGTTAATTCAGCGGCTTTCCGGGCCCGATGGTAAGCTCGACTGTGGTGCCATGAAATATTTGATGACGGTCTCGATTTACCCGGAATAGAGTCCGTGGGGAAGCGCAAATCTACGCGATGATCAAAGCGTGCTAATTCGATATCTGTCTGTCTGCTTGCGCATCAGACATGTCAGATTTCTCGGTGATTACACCGAAAAGCGACACCACACCTTTCTGTACATCAACCGCAAACGCTCGGAATGCATATGCAGACAAAACAGCGTGGCCAGCCATTCAGCGATACTATTCAGCGAGCGACAATACTCTTTCTGCCAAAACCTCGAAGCGCTTCATGGACTGCTACAAGCTGTGTGGCCAGTCACGCTCCGGTACAGTAACCATGTGTCTTTCCCCTCAGAGACAGCGGGCAAAAATCTCACGCGATAAACGCTTCTTGCTCTGAACTCATACCCAGTCACGAAATATCGGAAAAAGCGATGTAAATACTTTGCTCTAAATTTTCCGATTCCGTTCAAGACTGCAAAAGATGCTGGCAACTTGTATTCGGGTGGGTTGCTGATGTCTCTCGTTTCTCCAAGCGGTAATGTTCGTGCTAACCAGGACAAAAACAGGATCTGTGGTTCCCACTCGGTCTGCCTTTACGTGGTCGCTCAACCAAGCCTGTGGGTTCAACACGACGGGCGCGAGGGTACCTGATTGTCTGAACCGACAAGCGGGCTATAAACTCTTGTCGACGCATTTCCTGCAAACTGTGACCAACCCACTGAATGTGACTCTGGATTATTTTGACGACGTTGACAATCCGACGTCGGTGTTCACCGAGTTTGCAGGGATGTACGCCATGGGCCTGTCCGGAAACGTCGACGTCTGGGTGGATCGAAACGTTACGGCCATCAGAACGGGAACGGCCTTTGCGAAGGCTTTAGAGGTGATTTTAAGAATCATGACTTCATGTGATGTATTTGGCTAACGGCCATAACTTTTCTCCGCAAAACAACCCAGGGCGTTCTCATTTACAACACCGATGTATCAAGCGTCGATTTTCACGTCCAAAACTCAGCAGTGGCGACGGTCACGAACGAGTGTGTAAAATTCATGGCCGCGCTCGAGGACTACCTTACAAAGACTGCCTCCAAATCATGTGGACCGGGACGTCGAACGCTTCCTTTCTTCCAATGCATTGTTGAACCTGACACCCCATCTGGGAAGAGCCGGAGAGACACTGCGGTCTCGCCGGTGCGCAACAGCGCACAGGCGGTTGCGAACGGGGCGGCAAACTACACATGTATGCATCCGTTACTTTGCCGCGGCGTTTTGCGGGCCTACGGAGGTCCTTCCCTCCCAACGATTTCTGAACTTACTCTTTCTGCATCTCATACACAGTGCCGGGAGGCATCGATAGCGATCCGGACGATGTCGTTATTCAATCGATCAACGGGACCGTTCCAATTGGTGCCACCCGATCTGTGCAAAAGGCAATCAAGATCTTTCCTGATGAAGAAAGCTGCCTGGTGGGTGGATCGCTGCGCTTTAGAATTCCAGGAAGTATGTCGACAAGGAATTTTATGTTGCGAGAAATGTGTCTCGGCGAATTCGTCCGGAGTTTTGACATGTTTTCCCTTTGTCCCGTGTTCCCATGTTGCCGCCTCCTAGAAAATTTGACAAACTTGGAACAACTTGGGTTGACTCTCAACCGCAGCGACGTAAGCGTCGTGGCTGGATCGGCGCGTATAAGCATCATGGAAGTTCCTCTGCCCGGAGTTACTTTTGACGACCGCCCGGTTGGTCCGTATGAATACTCGACCGGGGAGGATCCTGCCAGCATCGAGACGGATTTGTCGCCCGTGATTACTATCTCGGGGAACGAGTTTCTGGTGGATCTGCCCCTCACGCGGCCTTTTTTCGGTCCGACGCGGCTTGGTCTCACCTTCCGGGTCAGACGTAACCTTCGAAAAAGCAAGTACTTTTTCCCATGGACCTTCGAGCCGCTAGTGGTGGTATTCTCTAACCCCCAACTTACCGCCACCAGGTACAACGACTGGTCAAGCATCGGCAAACTCGGAGACCGGGGTCATCAACGTTAGGCTCGTTTTTCAGTGTGGAAGCTACGCGGGATTCCAAGTGGAAGGGAACTCGACGACAGCCGCAAATTTGAAAGCGCGGAATATCGATGCCCCCGGCAGTCCTGAATATCTCATCTCCGTTTTTCGACGAATAAGAGCGGTCGCGAACGGCCTGTATCCCAATCAACTCTCTTCCATACCTCTGCACGATGGTAGGCTCGGATTCACGTTGGCATGGTACAGTCAAGTCTGACTGGAATTGTGTTTCCATCTAACCTTCCTCTCGAAGTCCTTTCGTATAACGTCGAAGGCTTGCCTGAGAACGCAAAGAACCCGACCAAGGGGGAACATCAGGTTTTCCTCGCTGGAAAATCGATACTCATGCTGATGCAGGAGAGCGGGAAAGATTCCCACGACCAATTCAAACTCTTCGGAAAGGCTATTTTCCCGAACCCACCTGCGGATGGTCAGGAGCACCCTTACGACTTCTGGCTAAAAACAGCTCACAGTGGAACAACGCAGCATGCCGTGGCTGTCAGGGCGGATCTCGGATTGAGTGTGGTCGCCGTCGATTTACCGAATAGTATTGGCAACCAGAGGCGTCCAAACACCGGGCGTTCAAATAGGCGTCCGCCGATAGAGCTATACAACAAACCTCCTCCCAACAAGCCTGGCGCCTTCAAGATCACGTTCGAGGATGGTTCAAGGATCCACAGCTTCTGTGCTCTCTCAGTTCATTGGCAAACCAACGAGAAGGAGGATACATGGCATGATCTGGAGTTTCAGATGGTCCTGCTCGCCGTTGAGCATCTGAGAGTGACCCAAGGTTGCACCACTCTTGTTGGTGGAGATTTTAACTCGGATGCTCAAAATGTCCCGGTACGCAGTGCGCATCGCACCCCGGCCACGGCCACTTCAACCCTGCACCCCGTTTACCCCCATGACATTCCACGCACTCACCCATCCCTACATTAATCTTGCAGAGCATCGACGCGGACGGCAACGTTGTCCAGGTGGACAAATTCAGGCAGCGATTTTTCAAAAATACTCAGAAGCAGATTGGCGTATTCAATTTCGCAACGCTTCCAGGTATTGCCAAACCCCCCACTGCCTCACAGTGGCGCAACGGAAAGATTTACGACTTCTTTTGGTGAGTCCCGGGAATGAACACCTGCAGTTCTCCTCGTCCGTCAGGCGTTTTCCGTCCCTTCTTGTGGTTGGCTTGTAACTCCGCACACGGCTTACACTCTGGTATGCAGGTTCCCGCACCTGCCAACAGTACCCGCCGTCAGCGTCATAACACCCGATAAAGTTTGCCTGAATCCGTGGGACGCGGCTGTTTGCAACGACAGTCCAGATGGCGACTGGGCCACCTCCGTTTTCCTTAGGCATGCTGAGCTGGATCCCAGCATCCCCGGTTGCTCAACAAGGCGGAATGCGCGCCCAAGAAGATGCAGGTGGGACGCATGTTCGCTTTGCTCCCATGCCGAGGCCCACTATCATCGCACATATTACTCACCATTCTCAAAGTTCGAGATATACGAACCATTTCCCCGTCTATTTTACTCTCCGTTTATTCCGCGATCAAACGAAAGCGATTAGGATCGGGTCCTACAACCTGGTATGTGTCGGTACCATTTACAACACTTTCAAACACGCATATCTGACGGCACCCCGCACATTGCAGGAAACTAACGCTGCAGACGAAGCGGACGAAGCAGACGCAGCTCCGGTGGCTGATGATGGTGATGCTGATATAGGACCCGGCATCAGCAGATACATACAAGGCGCAGCGATTGTTCACGCCATGGCTTTCCAGGAGATCAAAGCGCAACAGGTTCTTAATATTGAGGGAGGATTAGTGCCGCCCGCTCGGGTGGGATCGTCAATTCCAGCAGACCAAGTGCCGTTCGCTCCGGTGGGATCATCGTCAATTCGACCAGACGAACTATTTCAGAAGAATCTTTACAACAAGCTAGGTTACGTGGAAGACGTCTATCTGGAAAAAGTGGACTGTCAAAGCTCTCGGTACTCAAAGACAGCAAAGGCTACTCGGTCTGATGGGTCCGCCCAAAAAAAACAAAAAACTCGAGGCTCCTTTACCAAGTCGGTGATCTACTGCATGTATCGGGTCCATAGCCAGTCGGGCAATAGCGTGTTGGGATATGTGGTCATTGGGAACGTTCACGATTTTAGCTCGGATCCGGTTTTGAGTTCCGGGGAACTTCTCGGAGATTTTGGGTCCGACATGCAAAGCTTTTGTAACAGCCTGGCTGTCACCGGCGGTTATAAATGTGACTTTGCCGCAACGTCAACAGACCAGCCAATAGATAACACGAAGCGGATTCCGTTGGTCATTTTGGTGGGTTATCGATTGACTTCGATATGAGCGCCGCCCCGCCAAAACCGTCTAAACCGGACACTCCTTCCGATTTAGGGTGACTGGAATAACGTCCGGCTGAGCAATGCGCTTGCCGCAGATCGAGACAGGAAGGCGGCGCTGCTTCGGGAGATGGCGCAAAATATGTACGTACCCTTTCTTCATATGCCAGAAACGTGTGCAGAAAGGAAGCCCACTGACGAACCGTGAGCTCTCGCTTGGTTTGCGATGCCATCATATCCTTTAGAGCCACTTCGATGCAATTCACATGCCCTTCGTTGGGAGTGTTCATTCCGGACGACCTCGATGATTATGATGGAAACAACGACTGTGGAATTGGAGGAGAAACCAGACCTCAGTTTGCAACCTCAACTGCCGGTGCCTTATACGTGAGTTTGATTTGAGAGCCCCAGAGTGCAAGAAATCAAGCACAACGTCCTAATCTTTACGTTCACTTCCCACGCATCAAAGGACCTGCTATTCTTTTGCGGGAACGATTATACCCCGAGGGATGCAAACGATATCAGTGATGACTCCGTTGCAAAAGTCGTCACTGATTCCTCTATTGACGAGTATATGTTCGGTTACCCGACACCCGCTAATCCGGATCTATGCACAAACGCCGGCAGTGGGGGCGAGTGCGCCAATACCGACATCCCATGCAGAGTTCTCCGCCTCTCAAAACATCTGCCTGTGGCTGCCGACTTGACAACTTGACTCCAGCGAACGGCAGGTTTTATATTATTTATTTGTAAAGAGGACTCTGGTTTGCCGGCGCATTCAAAGGATTTTTCGCAACTAAACGACAACGTAATGGGGCAGATAGTACTTCTTCACCTGAAAATGCTATATGGTTCATCCCCTCCCCCATCCCGCCTCAGTCGCTTTACGAAAGCGGCAGGCGACAACCAGCAAGAGGGTGCAAGGAGGGCACTTCAGTGCACTCGTGTCAGTATAACGATCTTTCCTCGCCTGGCCTTATCTGCAAACGCCGTACGGATCTTGACCAACGTCGGTCCCGTCTCGAGCTTCATCGTTTTGCCCATTTTTCAAGTCTTCCTCTGCCCAGGCCACCCCGTACTTCGCCAGAAGCTGCAGCGAAGGTCCAAAGTCTTGGAACTGCTCCCTACACTCAGGCTCAATGAGTCTCGGATCATATCCTGCTTTCAAGAGCCATTCCACCGACGTAAGCAGCCGTAGGAGTTCCCAATCATCCCCGGCGTCCGCAGCTTCCTCATATGTGCTCATCCAATCGCTGAAAGGCACCGTGTACTCCCGCAAGCTCTCCCCCGCTTCCAGGAGGGCTGGGAGAAGGTTCTTCAAGTGCCGCTTGTCCAGGTATCGAGAAAAAAGCATTTTCCTCAGATGAAGACCGGTTGTGGACGTTATCGCAAGATCAGCCCTGCTCGTTTCGGCTAGCAAGCGATGTACCGCCTTGTTGACCTCTAATCTGTCACCTCCGCGCCCACCTCTTCGTCCCTTATCATCTTCGTCAAATGTCTCACTATCATCTTCGGTGGTAACATTATCCCATCTGAATGATACATAAGGGTCTGCGCACAGGCGGATCAACTCACGGAGAGTTATGCGTGCGGCCTCAGAGACCACTTCTCCATCCCAGATAGGCAGGGTCAGCTCCTGAATGGCATCGATGGGTTCGGGCATGTGCAGCATTGCGAAAAATAGAAACGAGGCAAGAAACATGTTGACGTGTGCGTCGATGTCTGCTGGTCGTTTACGTAGCGCAAGCTGAAAGATCTCGAGGGTGAACGGTACGAATGGCGCGCATCCATACTGTCGGGTTGATCCCCCATTCAGCAGGCAATCCAGTGTCGGGCAGTATGTACCCCTTTCGTCATCCAATTGTTGCATATCCAGCAGCGCCGAAAAAAGGTCCTTGAACTCCGCAAGACGTGAGTCGTTGTCGCAATATGGCACAAGGCGTGTGCAATCCTTCACGGCACGATTGGCCAGATAAGACAGCTCGCGGCAACCCTGCGCTGCTTCAACAATCACTCCTAACCTTTTGGAGAGGAAATTTGCGTCAAGTGTTGGCAAGTGCCGTTGCAGCAGCTGCAGGGATCGTATGTCGCCATTCCGACAGATGTCTCTAACCGGTTGGTATAACGAGAAGCTCTCGCCCTGTGCACGTGAGTGATCAAGGTACAAAGCCAACATATCCACAGGGGGCTGCTGCGCGTGGTGATAGTAAGTGGTAACCAATCTAACCTCGATCGACGGATACCAGAGGATGGGGTCAAGCTTCTTTCCGGTTTCCAGTATGTGCCGTACGAGTGAGACATGCCTTCGCACAACGGCGGCGTCACGGAAAGGTGTAAAGGAATGAAGGACGCCGTCCGGGGCTTCGAATTTCCCCGGCGTTCCTCCGGTGGCAGCAACGATTCGGCGGCAGAGATTATGGTCCAGCAGAAACATATCTGCCAGTTTTGGGAGCCCATACCTGAATTTCGCGAAAGGAGGAGAAAAGTCAGAATGTATGTGGGTTCGTAACCAAGATTAGGCTGGCAGGTTCAGAGACACATACCAAAACGCTTGCCGTGCGATGGCAAGAAAGATGTTACATTGAGTTGCGGTTAGGAACTCCGTCGGGGAAAAGGTCAATTTGGACTTTTCACGTTCCAGCAAAATCTGCAATACAGCTTCGCTTCTCGCGATTGCGGGCGGGAGGTTGAGCCGTAGGTTGTGTGGGTATGTGCTAAGGAAGGCATCAGTGTAGTATCCAGAGGGATCATACTCAGGATGAGTGCGGGGGAGATCGCAAGGCCTGACGTTTGCATTGCAGCTGAAGTCATTCTGATCGTACAGCGGATGGTCTGGCGGGAGATCGCGGCGCTTGGTTTTGAAGTGTTGAGCAACGTAATGGGTGAGACTACCCCTGTGCCGCAACCAGCGAAGGCGGAAGCTGGTATCTGCGGTAAGGTCTTTGAAGGGCCGACAAGCAGCAGTAATGCTTGCGATGGCGGGCGAGTCCAACCAGACCAAAACTTCTCCGAGCAGCTGCGGTTGCAGCAGCTTTAGCAGGAGCGAGAACGGAGGAGATGGTGCGCACGTCGCCATCGCAAACGGTGGGGGGGGGGTGACTGAATGCAAACCGGAAAGCGTCCTACGAGAGTTGCCCTCCAAACTCTCGTTCGTTCTTTCTCGTTGCGGAAGTTGCCGTGAGGTTTGTTCCAGCTGTTGGCGTAAAGCAGCGCCCCCCCCGTCAGAGCTTGGCCGGCCCCTCGAGACGCGGCTTGTCCAACTTGTCCGCCACTGATTTCCGTGGGGGTGGGCGCTGCGTGCAGTTCGCGCAGTATCGTCTCGACGCGTTCAACGAGAGACGCGTCCGAGTCCGGCGGGGCTTTCGGGACAACGCGTCCCTCCCTCGCATCGCATCTCTTCACCTGAACGGTTCGTTTCTTTTGTTGGCAGGCAGGGAACGCTCGGTCTGATCTAGCTGCTATATACTCTACAATGCTTCGGAAAACGAAGTGGGCGTTGTGCCTTGTCGCATGCCTGCTAATTGCGAATGTCTACGGTATGTTGGTTGCTTTTCCTGAGGACGCGCTTCCTTTAACTCATATTCTTCCTGTCTCAGCCGGTGGCGGGGAAAGCTGCCCAGATGGCACGACACAGTACGGCGACAAGTGCTGTGAAAATGGCAAGTGCTGTCACGCTTCGGTGAACTCCAAACGGGTTAGTTAATTCGGCTTCTGATACGTGACCGTGAGGACGCTTTCCATACGAAAGCCTTGCTAAGACGGAACCCTGATCAATTTCCGTTAGTGTTCGGCGATATGTTGTGAAAGTGGTGTCATTGTTACCAACGTTAACCTCGATACCAATAATCCTAATTGTGCGGGATGGTCAAACCCCCACGATAATTATGGCACGGAGACCTGCACTTCGCCGGGCTCCACTTTTTGCCAGTATTCGGGCCGGTAAGCCAAGGGCTATCTTGCAGTACACAACTTACAGAGCTGCCATACTCACTTCATTCTCGATGCTGTCAGTGAAACCGGCAATTGCAAAGGATCACAGTGCGGAATCGCAGGAACTATCAATTACCGGGAGACGTGGAAAGATTCGCAGTGCACCTATCACGAGACGAACTCTGACATCTCGTGTAAATCGGTCAACGAGTTGACAGCATCCACTACTACCATCAGTCCACCAAGAAACCATGAACCGGTTGGACCGGAGGTGCTCGTCGTGAGCGGGTGCTCTGGCGGTGAGTTCTGAGACTGCGGTTCCGTGCGGTTGAACCTTATACAGTACATCGCACCCTCGGACCCTAAGGACCTTGGACCTTGTATCTTCCGTCATCAACAGCCGGATGTGCCAACGGACAGTGCAACTGCAACGGTGTAAACAACTGGAGAGCTGCTGCCACGTGGGGATGTGCCCCGCTTGGAGCGCCCATTGTCAAATACCTCTCGCAGCAGTGGAATTTGCAGAATGTGTGGCAACCTGCAGTCACGCTTTCGGTATGTGCAACCCCAATCTGCAGTAGAGGCATCCCCCTGATTCTCAATTTTAACACCGCACCACAGTGGCGTGAGTACCCGCTGGGTTTTGACGACGTCCAGTATACAAACAACTTAGTCAGACCAAGTAAGGCGGCAACCGCGGCATCTACACGGTATTCGACGATGATGCTCTAATCACGTCTCTCTTTACTTCCAGACCCATCATCTTCTGCTTGGCCAACAACAACCAGAACGTTCTACATCGTTAATAGTAAGTGAAAGTCCTTGAACCAGTGTCACAAAGCCCGACTCTGACTCATGTTCTGCGATCGTCACCGCCATCCCTCTCCATACCACTAGATGGAGTATCCTTGAAGCTCGACGAGCAGCCGACGGTCAAGTGCGACCCCGCGCTCGTAACCGTAACCGAGGCAAACTTCTTCGGCAACATCCTCTTCGGCAACATCCGATACGACAGTTACACGTCAAACCTCCAATGCTCCATAAGTTACACACCGCCAGCGAATTTATCTACAATTTTCGGAAAAATCAACTTCGGCAGTATCGAGACTTTCACTTTGAAAGCGACGCTGACCTCCGAAGCTAATGTAAACGGACGAGACGTCGATATGGCCACGTTTTCCTTCGTTTATCCCGCAGCAAAGGCATGGAATCTGGCCTTAGCGGCGGACAAATTCGACAGCAATGGCTTTCTATCTAATGTCCGAAACCTGGGATGGCAATCTACACCTCAATTCGAAGATTTCACCGTGACCAAGTTGGAGTTCAGAGTTTCCTGCACGATGTACTCAGAACTCTTAGCCAGTCCTGGAGATCTGACCGTCTGGACATATAGTCAGACGATGCCGACCGCCAACGGCTTCGGATTCTACAAAGCCCTGGATTTTGCGGCGGGTGTCCTTAAACAGTCTGTTTGGGAAGCAACTTGCGATATTCAAGGTCAGGCTTTCAACGGGAACCCAATAGCAACTTTCAGCAACCCCAAAACGGTGCGCTTCGGGATTTTGAAAGCGAGACCAGAGGCAATCACAGCTCCTTCGCATGTAAGGTTCAGAGCTCAAAAGCCCTGGCAAGCGTCCTAGAGGAACATTTACCCATTTTTTGCTAATCCTTTTCATCGTTGTACATAGGCATCGGGCGATTCGAATGCTCCCGTCTTCTGGACTGTTCCGACGAGCCTGTACACAACTTGGGCGAATTGTTTTAGAGGGAATACAAAAGTTGTGGAAGCTATGAAACAAGCTTATCCTGGCAATACCTTCTGGGCAACGGGTGGCGATCACGGAATATTTGGCTACACCTTGACCACGGTGGGAATAGTGCCTCTTCCGCAACTCCAACATGTACGCTGTTTCACTGACACTTGACGATATGCAGATGCTCGACATCACCAGTAAGGATCAGAGTACTTTGAATACCGCACTCCGCAGCTACTTCCCAGGAGTTCCGGGTCCCGTAAATATCATGATTTGCGTCGAATCGTACGCTGGTAACGAGGCACAATTTAAAGAGTCTAAAAATCCACTCATAACCGTAAGTTACATTTCTGACTTGTTTGTCATGAACGCATTCTGACGACCGATTTCCGCCCGAACATGACTGCAGTCCGCCATGGAAAAATGTCGCCTCAGTTCTGCCCTCTTCAAATGCGTCGACTGTTTTACTTGCAAGCTTAGCGTACTGGTCACTGCCAGCGACGCTGTAGGCAACTCGACCTCCAGTGTCTCGCCAGGAGTGGTCAGTACGCAACGCATTTGGGAATGCCAACCTGTCTTTTAACCCTGCCCCCTTTAGAAATTGGATCTTACGCCCCCAGTCATTACGGGATTGACGTTTGCGACCGACAAAAAACCATTGGAGGGGACTCTATTTTATGCGCGGATGACAGATGTCAAACTGAGCACCGCCGTTTATGAGCCGGAAGCGCCACTATCGTCTGTTGTTCTCAACATGGCTGTTGCAGATTTCACACAGTTCACAAACAGCGTTCCGAATATCTTTGGCACACTTCCATTCGGAAAAAATGTCAATTATGCGACCGGTGCTCTGGCGGTCGACGCAGCCTCGTGGAATGGCAAGAGTTTTCACGGACAACCCTATGTCGTTCAAATACAAGCTACATCCGCTGCTGGGCTTGTTAGCTCGCGGAGTTCAACTGTGATCGTCGATGGCACGCCTCCGTCGTCGGGCTACGTTCGCTTCAATCAGTCCTACTACGATCCCACTGTTACGAGCGCCGTTAGCGCGACATTTGGCGGGATAGCGGACCTGGAGTCGGGAATCAAGGAGTTCTACTATCGGTGGGGCTCCGATAATAGCTTTTGCACCGGAGCCGACTTTGCATTGCCTCTGCCGGCAGGAAGCAAGTGGCAGCCATTCTCACTCCCTGCAGACGCGGACGCCTATGCACCCGACGAGCAGACGGTTCTGCTCAAGCTCGGCAATGTCAATGCTTCGAAAGTCTATTTGGGGATCGCTGGAGTGAATCGGGCTGCGACGGCTGGTTCCTCCATGTCGCAGAGCGTTTCATTTTCGTGCTCACTGGGACTCGTGGTGGTAAGTGCCACAACGGCTTTTTAGCAGAGTGTATTGGTCATCTAATGCTCATCGTCATGACCACCGCTCTGATAGGACTCGACAGGCCCTTCCATTGATATTAATTCGATCGAAATCGTTCAGGCAACTCTGTTCAACAAGAAACAGTATCTGTCCGGCGTCGAAAGAACTGTTACGGCCAAATGGTGTGCCCTCGCTTCGTTGTCAGGTGTCAGCTATTACAATGCGTCGCTGTATTTCGATGATAAGCTCGCGGTAGGACCGTCAACCTGGTACACAAACTCGGCCACCTTGAGCTACAAAGAGTCTGGGCCCCTCCCAGCCAGCACCAAAGTGAAACTTTGCGTCACGGCCATGAGTTACGCGCACAGGGTGGTGGGACCGGTTTGCCAGGATACCTTGATCAACACCGTCGAACCCGACTTCTCAACCTGCAGCACCGCAGGAATGACATTGCCTACATCGGCAAACAGCATGGCGACGCTTCAATTAGATTGGATGTCGTGTGTGTCAGCCACTTATATGGTCGATCACTACGAATACAATATCGTGAAGAACGGTCAAATTGAGTATGGTGGAAAGCGCGGCATTCTCTCTGGAAATACCACCAGTTTGGCGTTGCCCCTGAACAGTACGGTTGTCATTGGAAAGATTGTGGTGTGCCTAACGCCTGTGGACATGTTTGGCGATTCTCACCAACCATTTTGTACCAATCCGGTCACCATTGATTGTGAGTGGTTAACATGCATGTTTGACTTCCATCACAATCATCACTCAACGGCTAACTTATCTCGCATCCGTGGTTAGCAACTGTGCCAATGCCGACGGGGGGCGTGCGAAACATTGATCCGGCGACGAAGTTGCCAATTCAAACAACTACAAGTCTGACCGGACTTTCAGTAGGGTAAGTGCATAAGCGCACGCGTGGTCAAGTTTAATGCTGTTGAGCGGGTTCCCGCTAAAGAATGCGATCGACAGGTGGGACGCCTGGCAGGATGCAGCAACTTTCATCTCGAACTATACTGTCACAATCACCGCAATGTCCTTGAACAAGACAGAGTCTGTCTTTGCAGGACCCGTCACCCTGTCGACCGTGGACCTGAAGCCGCACGCGGATGGCACGTTTTCTCATGATTTCTCGGGGTATAGAGTGGTCGTCGGATCGACCTACACCGCCTCGATTTACGCAACAAATGCCGCTGGACTTTCCAGTGGCCCGACCAATTCCAGCGGTATCAAGGCCGTCGATCCTGCCCTCTTTCCGGATCCTGTTGTAACAATATTGGACGGGATTGTGCTCCAAACTCAAAGCACGCTTTATCGCCTGTAAGTGCCATGACAGCACGATGATCAAACCCGTCAACGTCATGCTGAACTCACTACTAATCCTTTCCATTAGCATACCTCAGGGAAAGGATCAGAAGTTGCACATCACTTGGCAAAAGTTCCGGGGCTTTAGCGGTGCCAATCGCGTTTCCTATGCTGTCCAATTCGTTTCCGAACTCGACAACCAAGCAAGCAATATAACCGTCGGAAGCTCCCTCGACGCGCTGGTCGCCATTCCGTCGAATCCAGGAGCGTACCGTGTGTACGTAAACTTGCTTTTGACTGACGGCGCGAACGCAACTACCATCGCGAAAACTGCTTTGGCGCCGGAGAAGCTTATCATCTCAGAAACGATCGGATTCACACCGGGAGTCGGGGAAAGTTCGTGTGACGTGCAGTTTGATGTATCTTCCGTGAGCGTTCCTCGGCCTGCGGCAACTTTGCAGGCAAAGTGGCCTAAGTTTGTGGATACCTATGGGCTCATCTCCAACTATCGGCTTGCCTTCCGCCGTCAAGGCCAAACCTTTCGCACGTCATCCTGGTCCGAGGTTGGATCGAGCTCGCAGTCGTTCGCTGGAAAGGTCGCCTATCCGTATGGGGTTCCGAATATGCTGACCCCTTGGCAGCTCGAATGCGTGATCGAAGCTGTGGATGTTGCGAATCGGTCTTCATCAATCACAGTGCCTGCGAGGTGGACGACTCTCACTACGCCTAAAAACAAGGCTGCTGTGGTCTCGGTCCCCCTCACCAAGTTGAGCCAGACTCCTGCGAATAGCTCGGATTTCGGCTTTCTTGAGGAAATCACCATGACCGCCGGAGGAGATATGACATTCGCCGCCGCTTTTTTTGGGTTTCCACAACTGCAAAGCTCGGGGACGCAGTTGGCGACCGTTCAGTACTCGGTAGGCAATGCGATGTCGAACACTACGGGCATATTTGACAACATCATACCTTTGACCGCACTCGACCTCTCCGGAGCTACCAATCAATCCATGTTGATTGAAGGTACTTACGTGCCAGTCCACATGTTTGCAGTTCCCATTACATATCTGGACGCAACGCCTGGTAAGCATTTTATACGGCCAGGGCGCGTATGTGGTAGGGCATCAACTCACCCTCTCTTTGCTGTACAGTGTCGGTGTGCGTCAACGTCACAGTGCAGGCAACTTCGGAGTCGGTTTTCACATGCAGTGCCGGAGTCGCAGCAGATTCAAACCCTCCTGCTGTTGGCACCACGGAGATTTCCCTGGGTGCGCAATACGCAACGACCTCCTCCTCGCTTGTGATAACTTGGGATGGCTTCACATCCCCAAGTTGGCTGCATCCCAACGGATCGGGGATTGCCTTCTATCAATGGACATTGGGTACATATCCGGGCGGAGACGACATTGTGAGCGCCACTCGATCCTACCCAAGCGCCGGGAGAGCGCTGGTAACTGGCATTAAGCTACTGAACGGATATAGCTACTTCGCTACTGTAATAGCGACGGCCGACAACGGGCTTTCGTCGAACGCAACTTCGGACGAAGTCATCATTGATTACACACCGCCGAGATCTGCATCTGGCATCACCGCGATTCGTCCCATTCAAGTTTCCGACAAGGTTTGGAATGTCAGAATTGAGTACGATCACTGGACCGATTTGGAAACCCGCGTTGCAAGCGTCACTTGGGTGATCGAAACACAATATGGATATGGGGATGTTCTCCCAGCCACGAGGACTGACACGCCGACATCTGCCGAAGCAAAAAATCTGCAGCTCGGCGTCGGTATCACGTACGTCGTCAGAGTCATAGCGACCAATACGGCGGGATTGGCGCAGGAGTCTATCCGCTCCTTCACGGTGCCGTATCCCGTCTGGATTCTCTCGCTCGTTGACGGCGCTGCTATAGGTCGAAGTCTTTACTCGACGAAAGCATACTCCACGGAGAAAAGTATTTACAATCTTTCGTGGAGGTTACTGGGGTCACCTCTCTACGCGGAGTATGCTCTAGGCACCAGGCCAATGCAGAACGATATCTATCCTTGGACGAGAGTTACTTCGGAGACTGAAGCTTCAATCATCTTAACGGAACAATTCAATGACGGATTGACATTGTACGCCTCGATGCGAGCATTTGGAGAAAATGGAATCATCGCCGATGTAATTTCGACGGCTGGTATCACGTTTGACGAAAGCCCGCCTCTGGTGGGTCGAGTTATCCAAGGTCGTGGGACAGTTCACAAACTGTGGACGATGAGTTCCGCCATTGTGTCCTTCAGCTGGACTGGCTTTTTGGATCGGCACAGTGGTATTGCCCGGCACCATTATTGCATTGACGCTGACCCGGACCCTAAAAGGTGCGCATCTGAGATGACGGAAATTTATGGCTCCACCGGTGTCTACAGTGCAGGCTTGGACACTGAGCTTGTTGTGGGCAAGAAGTACTACATCAAGATCCGTGCCACAAACGGTGCCGGCCTGTCTTCCTATGGCATGTCACCACCATTCAAATACGATCCATCACCACCGACCCTGGGCCTAGTCACAGTCCATCATCCGTCTTCGGCCGATTTCATCCCGGCTGCTCACGGTGGGGCACTGATCTATCAAGACTGGTCCACCGTCCAGGTCTCATGGACTGGTTTCTCAGATAGCGATAGCGGAATTGCAAACTATCAAGTCGCTCTCGCTGAACAAGAATCCGGACAACTTGTGCAACAGTTTGTGTCGGTCGGTGGAAGCACCCTTTGGAGGTTTACGGACGCCGACGGTCTCCTCTTGGAGGATGGCAAAAAGTACTTCGCGGTGGTGCTTGCCACGAATGGCGCCGGGGCGGTGTCTCAAGCGACATCCGGATCCTTCATTGTCGACACAGAACCACCTTCGGGGGGGAAAGTGGAAGTCGACTTTAACCCGAATGGGATCTCCACAACAATTGATGGTTTCTTTGACAAGACTAGCGAGATCGTGGAGTATCGAATACTCATTGGGTCTTTCCGTGGCGCAAACGACGTGGCACCCACTCGGGTCCTTCAAATGGGAAGTGGAAAGGATTGCAACCCATGTGTTGAAACGTTCCCGATATCGTTGCAAGAGAATGCCATGTACTTTGTGACGGGTAAGTGCGCGGCCAAACTCGAAGGTCTAGTCTGAAATGGGGATAACGAGGACTAAGCACCTTCAAATTCGTCAGTGTTTGCGGTGGATGCTGGAGGACTTTCATCAGCGCCCGTTTCCATCGGCCAGGTCTACACAAAAGATCCAGTCCTGATCAGGGCCGCTGCCGGATTCACCTGGAATATATCGGCGGCCACACCGAATGTGTTGAACTTCGGCGCATCGAGTCCGGAAACCGTCACAGTAACCGGATATGGCTTGACGAACTTCGTTGTTTCTGGAGGCGCCGTGCAGCCGACCTTCCAATGTCAATTTCTTTATCCGGGCGAAGCGAGTTGGTCCTCAGCATCAGCACAACTAACCTATGAAATATTCCAAGTAACTCAGCTGGATCGCTTCCACGCCGAAGTGCGTTGCCCGCCACCAAAGAGAGTTGCTTTGAACAATCAAGATGCAGTCCAGTTGCGACTTGTGGCGCCTGACGGGAAAAGCACTTCCAACCCGATCCGGCTTGTCCACAAAGGTACTTGATGCCCAGAGTTCTGCATAATGACTCGCTGCGGTGCTGATCATCCTTCTCACAGTCGCTCCTACAACCTGGGGTTCCACCTCGGCCGTCATCACTATGGGCCTCAGCAATAATATGGCTTCAGCATACCGGATATCGAGGGCCTTGTTTCAGATGACCTGGCCCAATCGTTTTCCGGCAAAAAGCGTTGCGTACTACTCAATATCCTCCTTCGGTTCGCAATTGGCGATCGTGCCCGGCGATTCATTCGAGTGGATCTTTACCATTCCCCGAACTCTCTCGAACTTTGAGCAGTTCAAGGCCATGACATCCGTCAGTTTCGAAGTTTGCCCTTACTTTTACGGACACGGTGCGGAGCCACGACAGAACTGTCTTGCCTCCTCGGAAATCGTCTTTGACAACAAGCCAGTGAAGCTGAATCCCGCCGTCCAAAGTCAGGTTCCCACCGGAGTTCGCATCCTCGGTTATGGTTCTGCCAAAGGATTCTTGTACGAAGCGGTCCAATTCCAGCCGACGGATAAGAATTTGGCAGCTGAATGGAAAGATTCCTTCGAGTACGCAGGGAGTAAGAAAATCGACCATTATGACATGATGATCGGGAATGCACCGTTTGAAAGTGCGGTTGATGTTGTTCGCGGCTTGACGAGCACATCCTTCAACACGTCGACGGCGCTCGAAGTTGGTGTCGCGTACTTTGTCACAATAACTGCATGGGATGAAGCGGGAATTCCGTCGCTTCTATCGTCGGCGCCCATAACCGTTGACGCCACAGCTCCAACTGGGTAGGTTGTGATTGAGAAGTTACTTTTTGGCCGAGGACAAAACTTTCATACTCTACAGGGGCATTGTGTATGATGGAAACGTGACATCAGTCTTGGAGAACGGATATCAGTCAGACCCATCGTCAGTGACGGCGTTCTGGCGGGGTTTCGTCGAGAATGAGAGCGTCATTGCCGAGTTCCGCGCATGCGTGTGGGATGGGTCCAGGTGCATATACGGACCGGTTTCGACTGGAATAGCTACCAGCTTGATGGCCGGCAATCTCTCCCTTTCGCCGAACTCTACCTACTCTGTCCGTGTGGAGGCGTGCAACGGAGCCGGTCTTTGGAGCGACCCTGCATTCTCAAACGGTTTTAGGGTGGATATCACGCCACCCGTGCTGAAAGGGATGATTTTTGGGACAGGAGGTTCTATTGCGAAAGCGTCTGTGACAGAAGAAAAGCTCAGCTGGACGTTCGTGGATACGGAATCGCCGGTTGTGGAATATATGGTGCAGCTCGGTAGTTCCCCGGAAGGAGCTCAGATCCTTCCGCTGACCTCGGTGGGACGACAATCTTTCCTGCCCTTGAACGGACTTGAATTCGCTCACAACTCCACGGTCTACGCGATGGTTATTGCCAGAAATGCCGCAGACCTCAGAGGGGTCGGAACGTTTGGGCCCGTACTCATCGACCTCACACCTCCTGTGTTGCAATCTCCCGTCACGGCAATGGACGGCAATGACGTTGTCAATGTTGTGGACAGCGTGCAAATTAACGCGCGGTGGTCCTTCGTGGATTGGGAAACAGATATCGTCGAATACAAGGTCGCCCTTGGGAGTCCATCTGACAGAGAAAGCTACCGAAACTTCGCGTCTGTTGGAATGAACAGCATGATACGCAATGTGACGGTGGAGGTTGTAGAGGGAGCGCAGATGGTTGTGTCTGTCATCGCGGTCAATGCAGCTGGCTTGGAAGCCAATGCTACATCCCAAACTGTTCGATTTACAAAAGCACCTCCCAGCAACTGCTCCATCATTCTGCTGGACGAGCAGTTGCGGGCTCTGACGGACGCCGCAATTTACAAAGGCATCACCTACTTGTCACCTCAAACAGACATCAAGGCACAACTGTCTTGCTCGGCAGCCACGCTCGCTGACATTGCAGACATTTCCTTCCGCCTCGCGAAAGATGGTGGTCAGATGTTCGACTGGGTTCCGATTGGCCCCCACGATATCTTGACGATTGAGAGCGGCGGATTACCGAAACTGGACACAATGACTCTGGAAGTTCGGGCGAACAACGCCGCCGGTTTATGGAGCGACTTCCGCTCCGCTCCGTTCAGGATATCCAGTCAACAACCGGTTCCTGGCGCCGTCACCCTCGAGTGGAGGAACGGCACCGACGCAGCGAGCGCCAAGAATCTTGTGGTTGCGATCTCAGCTTTCAAAGATGCTAATGCCCCGACATACCCCGTCAATCATACGTTGGGAGTTTTTTCAAGCGATAGTGTGGGCGCTTACAATATCTACAGCTTGGAAGCCTTGAAGCCCGATTCGACGGGTAGCCTTGCCCCGGTGGTCATTCCGGTGACTTCCAGTGCGAAAGGAAGGAACTTCACAGCAGTTGTGAGGGGTGTTGGCTTGCTAGGACTTGAGACCAGAGTGATTACTATGCTTCCGGGCGCTTGATCGCTGGTGCACACACCAATGCTTCATGTTACGAATATTTCGATTTTAGATGACATTTTGCGAACAAAAATAATATTTAATTAGGTGACTCGGAATTTTGTAGACAGCGGAAGGACAGCGTATACGGAAATTGGTGTGAGCATGACGATTACATCGAACGTTTGGGATGAGTTTTCGACTTTGCAACGGTGAATGCTGGTTATTCCGCGCAGCCAAACTCGAAGGCCAGCCGCGTAAAGTTGATGCACCCTGTAACAGGCGCCATCTAAAAACTAAAGGGGGGGATCATGGTGAACTAAGGAGAACTACCACCACGGCCCATTCACAACCAGAGGGGATAGGGATTGGGTTCCCAAGGCTGACGGTTCATATCTGGTCTGAACCCGTCATATCGCGCATATGTGTAGAGGAGGTAACGAAAGTTGGCGCCTCCTTGGATGTCTCTGTTCACCATGATGGGCTCTCGCGCGCGCCTTTGGAGCCCTGGGCCGCCTCGGGCACTTTCTCTTTCATTGTCTCAACCCGTTTGCAACCCAGTGCACGGATACGTCTCAGTGCGTCCCACGCTCCCTGAACCTCTTTCGGAATCTCTTCCTCGGGCTCGGTTGCTGTATCCGAGTCTGATCCGCTCTCTGATGTCAGAGCCCTTTCCAGTCGCTTTCGTTTCTCCTTGACTGGCGTTAGTTCGAGCTTCACCACTACGTTGTCCGGACACTGATTGATGCGAATGTCAATGTGCGACGTCGATTGCGACGGAATCGGCTGCTCTATTAGCATCGTGTTGTTTGGAGGTTGAATCCGGGTTCGCACTTTTGCTGAGCGGCGGCAGAAACTGGTATGCCTTTTATCTGCCTTATTTAAATTACAGGCGCCCGTTCACGTGACCATGGTGCGACGTCGTTTCGAGAAGGATTTGCTCAGGTGAGAAACTACCGCAGAGGAGGATTCAAACCGTTGGTGAACGAAGACGCCGGTGAAACGTCCGTCACGGACTTTGTTCCTTTGCAAGAAAAAAGGGCAGAGTAGATGGTAATATGATTTTAGACGTATATGCTAGCCTATGTTATGCTATCCGTATATACTATCATTGTGCATCACTTCCTTGACATCCATCTCCCTCAACTTCTTCTCTGTGCGGTGCTTCACACGCACGGTGTTGCAAAGTTCGACAGCGCGTGTACATTATAGCACCCGGTGCCCCGGTCGGCCGAATCGTACACAGTACATAGTAGGTACAATGAACCAATGTACTGTACTGTACATCCTTCGGTTTAGTGGGTTTTGCCAACTTTGCCCACTCGATCGCCGTGCCCACTATTCTGCACCCAAAGCTTCTACTGCGCGTGTTCTTCCCAGCCCGCGTGTTTCACCCCAGCGCGCATTGCCAGAATCTTGACCCACCATTTTAACCCAAATTTGGCAAGCGAAAGTTCAACAGAGGAAAGCGGGTTGAGGGACTTTGGGTTCAAAACCCACTAAACTGCACCCTTACCCATCCTTCGTCAGTCAAGTCTTTCTGACTTTCCTACTTCGTGTGGTGGAAATGGCGTGAGAACGGAGAAAGCGTGTACTGGTGGTCCGGGTGGAAATAAATGGTGGGTGAGAAAATGATTCCCCCTTTCATGGGATTGCCGAGAGAGATGGAGAGAGAGATGGGTTTGTGGTAGATGTGCAATGGTGGGTTTGATACTCGGCAAAATCCAACGCCAGGCCTCCGTTAGGGAACGCTCCCGGGCAGCATCAACTACAAGTTGCCTTCATTGGCGACGCCTCAGGCAGAGGTACAATGATGTGGATGGCAGATAACCACCACGGAAAATGGGATGGGGTGAAATCTAGACTACCGGTTACGGGAGAATGCGTCTGGTCTGCGGCCATTGCCAAACACCACCGAACGCACAATCGAGAGGAAATTCTTGGTGCTCAGGACGTCCCGATTGTGCACTTTCATCCGTAGTCGTAGTGGTCGTCTTCCAGGAATCTCAAATGGTGTCCAGTCTTGGTTGATACATTCGGGGTTGGGGCAACCCACCAATCCATGGACGTATTCCATTCTTCCCTTTCTAGCTTGCCATGGCCGAGATGACAGCCGCTGTCGGATGTTTTTCTTCACACGGCCGTGGCAGTCAGGGCACACGGACGACGTTCGATACTCATCTAGCAAGTAGCATGGAATGCTGTTTCTTGCAAAGAGTGTGCGGAATCTGATTTCCATGATGAGTTAGCATATTATAATACATAGTAGGTACCACCAATCATGGTTACTCACCCCTTGGTCTTCGATGACTCCTGAAAGCGCATCATTTTCCCAGCATCGCTCCAATCACCCAAGATGACCGAAAAATTCTTTCCATACCGGCGTCGCATGTTCTTAATGAGCTTGCTCTCAGACTTTTGCCGCAGTGAGAAGGCCTTGAACCTGCGAGCGATGTGAATCTCATCCTGGTAAAACTCATCCAGGGCGGGATCTGGGATATGGATGGATGTCAGCCCAGGTAATACTAAATTTGAAGACAGCGCATAATACATCATACCTGCATGTATGTGATCCACAATGAACGCTGAGAACGCCTCGATGTTCATGCTCTTGTGCGATGGAATATGTGATTCCATCTCGGCGATGCCGGCATTGATCTTTCGCTCTCTCATGTCTCTTTGAAAGTACCGAGACTTTGTCTCGACCGCCCGTTGATTGGATGTGTATCTGATACGGGGTGGTGCATTGTGGGAACGCTGCAGCGGAATGTCGCCGCAATGGGAATGGTGGGGATAGGGGCGGTGGGAGCGGCAGCGGAGACGGGGGGCTGGCGGGCGGAGACGGGGGGTTGGGGGGCGGAGACGGGGGGCTGGCGGGCGGAGACAGGGGGCTGGGGGGCGGAGACGGGGGGCTGGGGGGCGGAGACGGGGGGGGGGGGGGGGGGGGTAGCGCAGAAGGGGGGGGGGGGGGGTAGCGGAGACGGGGGGGGGGGGGGGGGGGTAGCGCAGAAGGGGGGGGGGGGGGTAGCGGGGACAGCAGGGCAGCAGTAATCGACTGAATCGTACCAAAATGGCCGCTCCTTCTTGATGTCTCGACAGAACAAGAGGTCACGCTTGCCCGGATCAATGCTGACGATGTTTGGAGCCTCCCGTAGTTAGGCGATGTGGTGCTCAAAATACAGCTGCTTGACTTCTTCCTGCATTTGGGCTTTGCTGCGCTTCCGGGCGCGATGGCCGTACTTGAGCCCTGGCTTCTTGAAGTGGATGGTAGCGGAATACCCGTTTGTGCTGATTGACCCATCAAATTTGAGACCAAGCTTCTTTCGATGCTTGAAGACCTTGTCCTACAATCCGTCATTCAGCAAGGTAATCAGATTGAAATAACCGCAGAAGGATACAGACTTACATTGATATTGAGAAACTGCCCCCACAGCTCCCGCTTGCGTTGATCGGTGAGTTTCCCCATGCGATGGTGGCCCAAGGCCAGGATATGAGTGGTTAGGATCTTCGTGTCGATCCGAACAGATGACTGGATTCGAGATTTGCGCAGCGGGATAGCGGAAAACAGCCGCATTCCACGGCGCTCATAGAGGCGTGAGAGCTCACAATAGGCACCTGTGATGAGGCAGGTGCGGACTACGATTAGACAAAAGAGGAAGCAGCGCGGGGGGGGCATAATTATACAGGATGTAACTCACCTAAATATGGCATTGCGTCCACCGCAAGGCTGTACGCAAGCGCTTCATCCAGGGGAGGAAGCAGAGCCCATAACTCGTCGAGGACGGTCCGCTCAAGTCGTGTGAGGCGCGCAAACTCTTCTTCGGTTGGAAACTCTTCAAACGTCGCATACTTTTTGAACTGACGGACACGCTGGTAATAGCGTCGCCGCTGCGCTCGGTTGACTCCAGCTCTACGGAGATGCAGTACGACTTGCTTCAAACCAAGCCTTTCATTGACGTAGCGCAGAAACATTTGCATGAAATGCTCTTGTACGTTAACTTTGAGGTTTGTGAAGATGCTCGTAGCCGTGTACGCTGCGGTCTGTTGGCAATACCGCATGCGGATGGGGGCGAATCCGTGAACATCACAGCAGTCTTGAACCCATGGATGCAACTCTTGCGCGATGACCGGATTGGCGTTGTAGCCTGGATTGTTGAGCAGCTCAAATATCACACTGATGTGCTTGTCGGTGATGTCCGGGAAATCGTGTAGAGGATGTGGTGGGGGGGAGACGTAGCAGTCAGGACATTGGTTTATGCGAAATATACAGTGTAACTCAAAAACTCACCAAGGTAGTACTTGAGAAAAAAGCTGGTGTGGGGCGCCAGGATGTGAACATCGGCGATGAAGGTTGTTAGGCGCTCCCTTTGCACTTGATTGTGATTTTGGATTCGGTAAAGGGAAACCTTCGTGCTGGCATGCGTCTGCGGGCAGGGTCGTTGAACTGGTGGTGGTGGGGGGGGTTCAAGCACCAGGGATCCGCCCGGTGTGCTGGGAAAAGGGAAAGGGATGGGAGCGGGGAGGTTCAACGGACGCTGCAGACCCCTGTCCGCGGGTGAGAGCCCTCGCTGCTGTTGCTGTTGCCCGTCTTCATCGCCAGAACTCTCGCTAACCATGTCTGCGATTGCTTGGGGCAAGTGGCGTTGGACAGACGGTGGGAATTCGAATCGCGGGGGTGGTTGCAATGGTGTCTGCACAGCGGTTGGCAGACGTATGGGCAACCGCGGGGTAACCGGAGCAACCTTCCTCCTCTTCCGCCGTGGTGTGGTAGCTTCGGTAAAGATGCCACACCACAGGTGCCCCTGGAGCGCCTGGTGTGATGGCATGATGGCCGTGCTGTGCTTTAAGTCAGCCGAGACGGGTGGTGATTGCCGTGATAGCTGTGCGTCAAGGAACTCACGTCAGTGCTGTGGTAATGAGGCTGAGAACGGTGAGGAATTGCGGTTGTTACCTGGTGGCGGTTGAAGGTGAAACCGGGGATGCTTACTGCTCACAATTGCGTTGGGAAGGAAGGGGGTTGGGAAGGAAGGTTGGTGGGAAGGAAGGGTGGTATGTAATTGGGAGTGAGGATCCCCACGTTTTTTACACGCGTGTAAAGGTAGCTTCCTGGTGTGTGTACATGTACAGGTGTTGCAGGTGATTGCGGGACTTTTTTTTTGAGAAGGAAGCGCCTTTGGCAGTGCAGAGAATGCAAGCTACTCGACGCACCTTCCCAAAGACCTTGTTGTGGAACTCGTTACTTTATTTCCCTTCACACATACCACTCGTTTTATAGACATTTGATCGGACGGTCTGCCCAAACACACAACCAGCTCTGTATCTGCAGAGAAGAAAAGGGGGGGTACGGTAGCTATAAAAAGGAAGCTGTGGCTGAAACTGGTTGTTTACAACACTCCCTCTCAGACTGCAAATCGAATTCAATCCGCAGTTGCCGTCGCAGTCGCTCTGCATGATCCCATGGAACGTTCCGCTCTCAACTTCCGCAATCGCTTGAGTCCAGATCGGAGTAGGAGCCGGGCTCGCGATTGGTACGCCATCAACTTTACGCTGTCAACTTCCGCCATCGCTGATCTCGACGCTTCCAGTGCTGAGCACGACCGCCGCTTGCGGGAGGTCGACCGGCATGGGATGCGTTGTCGCTTCGTCGTCATGGTTGTGGATGCCTCGGTAAAAACCTCTCCCAGTTGTAAAAACCTCCGTGAGGAAAAAAAAAATAGATCCTGGGAGTAGGAAAAGAGCGCATCGTCGTATCAGGAAACATCGGCTGTTGGGCGCAATCCTAGAGCGTGAACAAACTTCCAGTGTTTGTTTTCATCGAGTGACTTGGTAAATATATCCGCAATGTTGTCATGTGTATTGATCTGAGTGACGCTGATCGTTTTCGCATTTTCCTGACGGATGTAGGCATAAACCTTGGGCTCGATGTGCTTGGTTCTGTCGCCTTTAATGAAACCGTGGGCAATTTGGAAGATGCATGCGGAGTTATCTTCAAATATCGTTGTTCGTTCATGGCAGGTGTCGCCTCTTTTTGTCGTAGATTCCACATGGTTGATCATCATCCGTAACCAAATGGCTTCCCGGGTTGCTTCATGTAAAGCGATGAGTTCAGCGTGGTTTGAGGATGTTGCAATGACGGGTTGTTTCGTGGGCGCGATGACAACAGCAGCGGTCTTCGAGTCATTCTTGCGAGACGATGTCATCCCTAGAATCGACGAAGCCAACCAAGTTCTTATTATGGACAATGCACCTATCCACCGTCGATGTGTTATCAAGGATATTATGCCAGATGCGGGCCATACGCTGAAAATGCTCCCCTCTTATACCCCATTTTTCAACTGCGCAGAGTGGGCAAGCCCTTCATTTGTTGTCACGAAATTTGAGCTACTCAGGACAACCTTCCCCATCTTATTCATGAAGGGCTGGATTGCATTTCAGCGCAGACGGTGGAAGGGTGGATGAGAGAAGTCATGAGGAATTTTACCATTGCTCTTAGAGGAGAACGACTCGGGCGTATGTATGACTGTCAATCCTACTTAGACCTTGCACAGTTCCAAGGTCAGGAGCCTGCGGCGGATGATGATGATGGTGATGACGATGATGGGAGCCAGAATGGGAACGAGGTCGGCGAGAACGACAATGAGGAGTAGCTAGTTCCATAGAAAAGCGACGATCTTGTATAGCTGTGTGTACGCTACTTGGTGAATAAGCGAATATGATTTGCTACAGCTGTGTGGAGGCTCTTTACGTTGCAAATCTGCGCTGTTGTGCGAATGTTAAACACTGACAACGATTTCGGTGTGCAGCCAGGATATGTAAATTTAGACGTCATTATTATATGCCTACACTGTCAAAATACTGTCAAACGTACCTACTTTTGCGGTCCCTGTCTCTGAGACCTCTTTCTCGCTCTCTCTTCTTCCAACCTCAGCACACTCCGAGATCCACACCCCGACACAGCAACAACAACAACAACAACACAACAACAACGACAACAACACAACAACAACGACAACAACGACAACAACCATGCCCAAAGCACCCCCACGCCGAACTCAATCTGGTGCAGGAGCAGGCAGGGGTAGGGACGACCGAAACTACTCCTGCCTTGCTCCTGGAGGAGTCTGCGTTGTTTGCGGGGCTCGGACGTCCGCTGCGTGGCGAACGGGCATTGTGAACAACGTCAAGACAGCCAGGGCGGCCTGCAATAAGTGTGGGCGCGCGCAGGCATATCTGGATGCCATCGCTGCCCTCCCGGGCAAACCCGTCGTCCCCTCAACCACCCTCCCCGCACCCGCCCCAGCCACCACGCACCTCACCCGCCAGCCCCCCATCTCCGCCCACCATCCCCCCGTCTCCACCATCCCAACCCCCGTCTCCACCGCCCAGCCCCCCGTCTCTGCCGCCGCTCCCCCCGTCTCCGCCCCCCAGCCTCCCGTCGCCGCTGCCGCTCCCACCGCCCCTATCCCTAACCCCCTTGCAATCACCAGCCTCCTCAACCCCGCCCCAATCTCTGCCCTTCTCAAACCTGCCCCCATCCCCACCCGCCCCACCCGCGCTGCCGCCATAGCAGGGGTCGCAGCTGCAGCAGCAGCAGCAGCAGCGCCCACCCCGACGACCGGTGACGAGGAGGAGGGGTATGACGAGATGGCGCAGGAGGAGCTGGCCGCGCTTGAAGAGGAGGAGGGGCACTGGAGGGCGTTGGGAAAGCTAGTGAGGGAGACGTGCGGTTCAACAACACGCCAGGCGATGAAGGCCCACACCACGCCCCTCTTTGACGCACACCGAGCGCGCCCGGCCGCTGCAAAGGAGAAGGCCGAGGAAGTGCGGGCTTTTACCCCCGCCTCCGACGACGCCGATGATGATGACGAGGAGTATACGTCGGTGGAGAGCAGCCTCCCACACTCCGAGTCCGTGTCGTCATACGGATCTACATCTGGTGGCGACGAGACAGCGGGCTCCGAGTTGTGGGAGGAGGAGGATCATGCATTTGCGTGAGGGTGAGTTCATCATTGTCTCCGAGACAACTGTCTCCGCCATCTCCACTGCTCCTGACACACGCTCTCTCATAGAGCAAATCACGAGGCTGCCCCTATTCCGGGCTGTCTCCATCGATCGCGGGAGTTGAGAGCGGAACGTTCCATGAGATCAGAATGCAGAGCGACGGCGACTGAATTCGATCTGCAGTGTTTATAAACAACCCGTTTCAGCAGGAATAAAACGCAAAGGACCGTGAGGCAGAGGAAAAATGGTCGTGGCTCGAGCTGTTTGAGAGTGGGTAAGGTTGCTTTCTGTTGCGATACATAGTACGTACGGTAGTTGTGCTGTTCAGTTAACACCCACGAAGCGCCGAGCGCGACAGTAGTTACCACGCCGCGCCTAGCGCGACAGGGGTCATAATCTGAACAAAGAAGTTGTCTGGGAATGGGAATTGAACTCGCTACCTGCACGTCTGCAGGGAGAGCAAGATTCAATTGTGCCAAAGCGCCAGTGTTATCAGAGTGCAATTACAGTAGGTGGCCAAAAGAGCGTCCGAGAGAGCGTTCCATCACGTGGGTTTCATCAAGTGAGCGTTGCGCAGGCTTTAATAAGTCTGATCCATATTCATCAGTCTGTCTGACATTTCCGCCTTCTGGCGCGTCCTCAACTACGTGTATTGTCCATCTCATTAAAAAGAAACCTCCGCATTCACCCAAGTGTCGTGGCCAACGCCAGATTTTGACCCGGCTTCAAGTTTCGCGAAAATGGCTGGGAGATGACCGTTCCGTCCGGCTTGATGCTCCACAGGAGGACATATTTCTGCAGATTGCCTGACGGACCACAGGTAGCTGTTGGGCTCGTACACTGCAAGAGCTGTTGCATAATAGGGCCGCGGTTAGGATTATTCCGTGTTGCACCAGCCTGCTCCTGGCCGCACTCACCATGTCCGTATAGCCATCTCCATCCATGTCTCCGGGAAGATATGCTGCCCATGTCTGTCCACGACGATCTTGCAGCGTGGTTCGGAGCACCACCTCGGTTGCCGTCATCTGATGTGCCGTCCCTTTGACCGTGACAGCGAGGTTTTGAATGGCAAAGGCGAATCCGTCGTATGTTCGTTGCCAGGAAAGGAAACCGATTCTGGTTCCCCATGCGCCCAGGCCAACTGGCGTTCCACTGGCAGATACATACACAGTCTCGGTGCAAGGCTAGAAGAGGGTGGAATTGCGTCAGAACTAGGGTAAAAGCAATCAGCGCGTCCGATTGCTTTCTTACCAATGTGAAATTGCTGCCAAAGCAGAAGGACACCACATTCATGATCCTCGAAACCCAAACACTAAAAATTGCATTGAATTCAGCGGTTGGAGAGAAACCATATGGGGAAAATCCTCCAAGAAGACCACGTCTCTGTCGACTGTCGTACCTTGCGAGCCTATCATTTAGATCAAGATCTGCAAATCCCAGCAATCGCGGACCCAAAGGAGGTGAATAGAACGCCTGTTCCGCTTTCAAAGTGCCGTTCGGCTTCAACAGCCACGCCCGGTAGAGGTTCGTAGCGCTGTTGTAGATTATGGCGTCCGTAACCAGATCGGCATCCAGATCGCTGTAATGGTTGGTTACAAAGAATAGATGGCAACGTGAGCAAATGGGAGGGAAGTAAGCGCGCCCACGGCCCTTCAGATTCCAGGAGCAGCGACTCTTACCAAAGTGAGACGATCGTCATGGTGCTGGTAAGTGTCGGTGACTGGAATGTCGCATTCATAAGATAGGAGGTCGAAGGCCAGTACCCGTAGGTCGTTGGCACGAAGGAGACAGGTGCACGTTTCTGTCTTTTTACTGTTGTTTCAGCGGGATCATCGATCGTTGATACTTCTTCCGCTTCTTCCTCTTTACGACGCAATCTATGAGACGGGCTGTCCTGGGTATATAAGATGTCGGGAAGTCCATCCAGGTTCAGATCGACAAAAGTAGGCACGGTTTCATTGACGTAAAGCGCGTACATCCCCCCGAAAGTGGCCTAGGAATTCGTGTAGCCTAAGTTAGTCGGTCACGCACACACTCGTGAAGTCGTACCCGCCACACCTACCGTGAAATTGAGGGAACGTTGCGCGCTGTTGGCGATAGACTTCACTCCGACCCATTGACCGCCGGTGACCCTGACGCCATAAACCGCGAACGACTTTACATCCGTGGCATTATCGTTGCTCGTAAAAGTACCGTTAACCACAACAAAGGATCCACTGTTGATGTTACCGTCTTTTGTGACGCTAAGGATCGCAGCCTCGGCCCGCTTGTACCGACCGTACTTTCCTCCGGCTCGCAAAACGAGTAAAGGTGGTGGCAAAGGAAGTCCGCCAAAGCTGTCTGGCACGTAGCCGACATTTGCGGTCAATGGCACGACGAGGATCGCATGTTCGCTTGTCGCCGGCAACAACGTTGCCACACTTAATCCGATGGTCTCATCTTGAAACCCCTTGATCATCGCCGAGTTGTTCTCGCGAGGAGCCAGCAACATGGAATCCGTGCCCAAATAATACGCCGCCCGAGTAGACACCTCGCTCGAAAGACTCCCCAAGTTCGTTGCTCGAACACGGTAGAAGAGCGGCGAAAGGATGGTGCGCTTATTCGTTGGGAGGAGGTAAGAGGCATTCGGGCCAAAAATGATGGCGCTTTCCACTCGATCACTGAACGAAATAGCAGTCCAAGGAAGAACATCAGGGGCGCCTGAGTTCCCCGAGCTGACAGAAACCTCGTAATATGCAATCGAAGTAGCGGACTCGATAAAACCGGTCCAAGCAATCTGGCGCCCATGCATCTGGAGCCTCACAGATGCCGACGCGTTATCGGGGGGGTGCGTCTGCACCGTGGCACATGTGACCGTGCTGTTCATATTCAGCGCTCCGTCTGTCGCGTTCAGGCTGACGCACACCCTCCCTCCTTCGGCCGGTAGTGGGGCGGTAGTCGTAAAATTTGCCCCTGTTGCGTTGGTTCGGGTCCACGCATACAAGTCGTTAGAGAACGGGGTTGTCCCTAGGGCAAAGTCGTAAAATAAAATTCCAGAAACGCTGTCTCCAGCTGCCCAAGCTAGACTGATGTTTTGGCTTGAGATCACAGTGACGTTATCGCCGTTGCGCATAAAGTCCAGTGACTGCAACTGCGGTGGCTCAGTGTCTATGGTCATTTGGTCTGACCATTTGATTGCTTCGAGACCCGCTCTGTTGATGGCCTTCAGACCAACGTAATATTTTGCGGGGTTGATGTCAGGGTCGGGTGTGATGGATCCGGCTGGTGCGCCAGAGATGTTGAAACGGGCAGGGTCATAGAAGCATCTATCGTTCATCTTCACATATCCTTTCGTATCGTCGCAAATGCAAGAGTAACCGCCAAAAGTATTAACGCATGTGGCCAATGGCTCGCAGGTATCGGTTCCCTAAGTGTTCGGCAATCACTCCATTAGCCTTCGCCTCTAGGAAAGCTTGCTTCATTTGGTCATGTCCTTACCTCTAAACATTCGTCATAGTCGACACACGATTGAGTTGCTGCATTGTATGCAAAGCCAGTATCGCACTGAATCCTATACGACGGCGTCGTTGTGTTGCCAGATATGCACCTTCCGTATAACGGGGTTGGCACGGCCGAGCACCAATCCACTTCGTTGCAAGAGGCTTTCCTTTGGGTGGCAATGTCAACAAAACACCAGGGAAGACGTCCAGCAATGTCGCTTACGCAGTCCGTTTGAAGAGTAGCGTTGTACAAGAATGGTAGAACACAGGTCTGGTTCGTTGTTGTCCGTCGGGGTGCCACTAGGCTAACCGTGTCTGTCGGCTTGTTAAGGCTCCCATCTGCCTTACAAGTTTCGGAGATTCCACACCACATCGGAGGCAGCGCGACTTGAAATAACGGGAAGTCGATGCTCATCGTGTACAACGTGTCCCCGCGGACGGCGGGGTTCGGGTACGAGCAACTGGAAGTCGATCTCGCCATACTTCCAGGCGGAATGTTTGGCATGCACACACATACGGATGACGTGGAGGAAGAGCCATACTTGACAGCCGATTGGTAGCTGAAGAACGGAAGATTGAAATTCGAGCATTTTGTAGCGCAGGCGGCTAGGCTCAGATCGTAGGTCAATAAGGAACCCTCCATCGCTCCGCGTAATTCTATTCCACTATTGATCCACGGCCGCGGTGTGTTGAGGCAGCCCTTGAACTCCGGAGTTACAGGACTCACAGGTAGGCCTGGGGCGGGACCGGGGATCCCTGACTTCCATGTTTGATTGTTTGAAGTCGCTTCGATGCAGCGCCTTCCGGATCGAGTTGTTCGCGGAAGCATTTGATACTGGCGAGCATTTCCAGCATTGGAACTGCGAGCGGAGAGTGAAATTGTATAGTTCACAGGAGCCTCATCAAGAACCAGGATGTACACTGGTTGCCCACGAGCTGCATCGAGCTGAAGCGTGCATTGTCCAACGGAAGGAGAGCAGACCGAAACGGCCATGGCATCGAAGAAGCAATCGCCGAATGCTGCCATGAAAAAGTCCCATTTTCTTTGCGGCGTCCGCTGGGTCCGGGCAACTAACTGGTCCCCCGTTCCCACCAACTTGTACCAGTTGCCAAAAGTTGAGACGGGCGTTCGCTTATCGGACCGCTTGAAAAAGCCGCTGATCGATCCGGTGGTGTTGGTTCCGATGTATAGTGGGGCCGCCCCTGCGCAGCTCAGTTCCGGATCAGGTGAAGAACATCCCTGTAGACCTACTCCAGACCCCACTTTCCCAGACGGGCACAAGCATTGGTAACCCCCGAGTGTATTAACGCAGGTAGCTAGCTTATTGCACTTGTGCTGACCGGTTGCGCACTCGTCAATATCCACGCACGTCCACTGGTCAATCCGTCGGAAACCTTCGTAGCACTGGCAGGTGTATGACCCCGAGAGATTTTGGCAGCAACCTGAATTTCCACAAATCGTAGTTTGGTTGGCGGCGGATATTGCGCATTCATCTACGTCGGAACATCCATCCGATGAAGAATAAGGGTTGGTCCCCGCAAATCCAGCATCACAGGAGCACATGTAAGAGCTATCATTCGGTGCAGGGAGGATAGCATTAGCTCAAAGATCATGAATTGCTATGTGACGCCAATTCGACAGGTCATTATTTACCCTGGTAAATTAGTGCAATGCGCGTTCTTGCCACAAAGAGACACGTTCTGGGCAAGTGCGACGGCGCATTCATCGACATCTCGGCAGCCACTGAAACCAACTCCATCTCCCTCGTAGCCTGGAGGGCATGCGCAAGTGAATGGGAGAGCCGGCTGCACAGAAATTGACGCGACATTGTTGGCGTTTGTGCCATTTGCAGTGACTGCGACAGTGCCGTTTGCTGAAACATTCGTTTGAGCACCGACCCCTCCGAGGGGCACAGCTGCAAGCTGCGCACAGGAGGCAAGTGGCGAGCATCCTCCCATCGTAGCATTGAGCTTACACCAGTTGATGGTGGTGACCGTCGTAGGCAAGACACTCGACACCATTCCAAGTCGAACAAGCTCGCTAGGCCGCAAGTTCACGGGTCCAGCCGAAAAGGCGGATATGTTGGGCTGAATGCTTTTCGCATCGACCTGGGTGAAAGACAAGACATCCGTTTGCCCTGGCTGGGTGCCGATCGCGATCTCGTATTGATGTATACCGGACTCAAGATCATTCCACGGTTCACCGTAATTACAACCATGCGTTGTGTTTAATGGGTAAGTCATCTCACTAACGCTCATAGTCGCGTTTGTGGTGAGAACACCGCCCAGGCTCCAGAGACGGAACCGCGGAGCAACTTTGGGAAGCGCCGGGAAAGCAATGGGGCCTGCTGCCAGCCCGCTTGTCGTGACTGATCCTACCGCATTGCCCGAATCATCCGTAACCACAATTCGTGATGCATCCTGACCGATTGCGACTGTGTAACGAAGGTAGGTCGAAGTGGCGTTCTGAGTTAAAGAAACCTGTTTGCCTCTCCAGATTTTATCCCCTTGTTGAGTTGTCCAAACAACGAGGACGCCAGGGGCATCGGCATAAACGTCAAAGCCAAGTGCGGAATAAGCAGGGGCCTCGGAAAGCGTTTGGTAGGTCGTGTTCCAGTAATCTCTTTCGAGAACAGTTTGATCCGTGTTCGCCAATATGATGGTACTGACGGTTCGAGAAGCATTCGAGGCCTTCATTCGGAAAGAAAATGACGAACCGGAGGCGTAAATGCTCGACAAAACTTCGCAGCCCGAGAATGTCTCGGAATCGTTGTTAGAAGAGCTTCCTCGTAGAGATAGGCCGTTGGAGTTCGACGCGGCGCACTGGTCTCGGAAGTTCACTCGAGCTGTTGTGAGGTTGAAATCCCCCGGACCCCTTGTATACCGCATCCAGGCGGGAAGACTGCCATTGCGAAAATCCTGAAAGCGCCTTGGGCAGTTCATACCAATCTCGTCCTGCGCCTCGAGCCAAGTGATCTGCGACTCGTTTGAGAAGGCGCTATACTTTTGATTCACCGTGACGTCCGATCCCAAATTGACTGTTCCGGCGACTGGGTGGCTCGGGTCGAAGCGCAACGGGGCACTCAGCGTATAAGCTTTCACCCCAGCCCCGTTGATCGCACCGATGAGAACGCGATACGTCCCACTCGGTGTCAATGTTGTTGCAACGCTGATATTCGCGGCGCCTGCTGTCTGGTCAAAATTTCCGATAGATTGAAATGGTTGAATTACCGTTTCCGGGTTGAACTGCATTAAATTCAACAGGTTATCAACCAACACCGTGCTCGGATTCGATCCAATACCCGCCGTATCCCTGCGGGCGATTAAGTCCGGAAGAGACGCGTTTACGACCGCGTATTCCAAGGCAAATATTCCGGTACTTGCGGAGACATTTGAAACGAGAAACTCCAAACTCGTGGCTTCCGAGGTCCACATCAATTCTGAATTGGCCAAAACCGCAGAAGCGCTATAGCTGGGGAACGATACATGCCCAGGTTTTGGAGGCACTACATCGACGATGAAGGAACAACTGCCAATGACACTTTGGAAAGATGCATCGACCGCTTTGACGAAAGCGTAGTACTGAGTGGTGACGTTCAGACTGAGGTTGGCGAAAGTGTACGTGGTCGTGATTGTGCTAACATTCCGGAACTGCGTTGGGTTCTCAGGATTGGCGGAACTACTAAGAGCGACGTAGTATTGGAGCGGGCTCCACGTTGAGTGAAAGCTCTCCCAGTTTATGGTGACGGTAGTCGTTGAGCTCTGGGCCGTTGCGTTCTTCGTTTCGAGGCCGTTGTCAAGCCATACGTAGCCTTTCGAAGGCGGTGGTCGCTCGCCGATCGAAAAGCCATTCGATACAGCGGAAACAACGTTCCCTTGACATGTGACCGCTTGCACAGTCGTATAGATGCTCACGTACGAAGGAAGCGAGGTGGACAGCTCAAACGACACTGATGTGTTCAGTCCTACATTCGTGAGAAGGAAAACGTCACCCGAAGCGTCTCTATAGTTGGTTCCAAACGAGACCGAGTAGGAGCGGATAGCGCAGGTTGGGGTTGACATGTCATCCCATGAAGCGGACAAACTGGTAGAAACCCGCGTTTCATCAATATCGACTCGGAAGAACGGTCCGTCGTACACTCGTCCGGGATAAGGGGGTTGAAAGATGATTGTTATCCCATTGCTTTCCGTTTCCGGCCCGGGGATATGGAGACTGTCGTATGCCTGTACTCTGACAATGTATGTCCGATTTGCAGCCAGTCTGAGATTCGATGCCGTTACTCTAGTCTGGGTTGTGAACGCCTCCGGCTGCGCAGGTTCTCCAGTCAAGGAGTCGAAGATCGACCACCGATATAGCACGATGGCACAGATGTGCTGCGACTGCCATTCAACGGAAATAGTTCTTGAATCAAGGGAAAAGGTCTCCCCATCGTCCGTATTGCTCAACGATTGCCCGACCCAGAGGACTTTGGGCCCCTGATTGGCAACACCCACTGGTTTTGATTCGACCATTGACGTCAAACCTGCCACATTAGTTCCCTGCAGAATAACAGACAGCTGCATGCCGTGCACAGCACGCTTGTTCAGGTTGAATACCCCCGATGTAGCATTTCCCTTTTCCACCCAATCCAGAAGGACTTCACCTGGTGACAATGAGTCATCCAAGCGTCGACCTTTGATGGCGATTCGATAAGATTTCATTCCACTCTCGGGGTCATTGAATACTCCATCCCAACGCACTTGGACACGCGAAGTTTCACGTAGGCAGTCCGTCGATTCTTCCAGTTCGGCGATGAAAAATCCTTCTGTGTCTTTTTGGAGACCTCTACCCAGCGGTTTCACCACATACAGATTTTCGGGTGATACCAGAGGCTCAGTAAAGTCCACATTCACGGAAGTGATAACGGGGGTTTGCAAGCCGACGGAGTTTGTGCCCCAAAGTGTCACGAAGTAGCGAGCGGTCTGCCTGTCCATGCTGTACTTGGAGGAGTCAAAGACAAAGTACGTCCCAGTCACGTTGATACGATTTGTGATTTCCGACCCGCCGGGAGACGTGCCAAGTGCAATCTCAACATGGTCAATCCCGCTCTCCGCATCGACGAAGGATCCCCAATCGCAAAAGATGGGGCTGCCGGGCGAAACGATCGCTGGACTGCATATAAGATCTGCAGGAGGAATCGGTGGGGTGCTATCGATAGCGAGAGGTCCAGTAAATTCGCTCGAGACGAAGCCCGTGTTCCTTTCGACGGCAACGCATCTACAAAAGATTCCGGCGCCAGGGGCAAACTCGCCGAGATCCAGGACGGAGCTCAATGTAGCACTTGTTTGCTCGGCGGTTGTAGTAAGAGACTGGTTTGGCGAGGTGGAAACTTGTTCCGCATGGTTCCGGGCAGTACCACATACTATCGAGAGCTGGCCGATTGCACTTCCGAGGCTATCCGCCGTCGTCGAGCAGGAGACTGGCACGATGGAAGAAGTCTGGTTCGTGATGTATTTCGACACCGTCGCGATGTTGACAATAGGCTTCGGCAGTGCCTGATCAATCACCTATAAATCGCAAGTTTAGATTGATTGCGGAGTTCGCCATAGCCGCCCCACTCCCTCTTCCAACTCACCCTGAACGCATTGGACGTAACGGATATAATGTCCGTCCCTAACACTCCGCCGAATGTGGCGCGCACCGTGAGATAATAATATTGCCCCGAAGATAGCGAGATGGCGGAGTACAAGATTTGTCCACTTTTCTCTTTGGAAGGGATGAGGAGACATTCGGTCGTGTAGTCCACGAGATCAGTCCCGCCGGGGATCGTTCCCAAAGACCATTCGTAGAAAGCCCCGGGTAGTGAGTGAGTGAAATTCTGGGAGAACGTGTTAGCGAAGTCGCGGGGCGTAGGGAATGCTTAGGTGGAACTTTAGGTACACTTACGTTAAAAGTTGCGCTCAGTACATCATTTTCAGCTTGGAAATCTACACTCCTTTTCGGATCTGGACCGATGAAAACTACACCGGGACGTGCGCCCGGCTTGACCGTCGTTCCTTCGGTGAGGTTTCGGATCCCTGAGACGAGTCCAGCAGCGTTGATCGCTCGCACGCTCATGAAATAGACTTGCTCGTCAATCAATGGATGCGGCACAACCACGTAAGGCTGACGAACGGTTGTGAAAGCGGCATAATCCGATAGTCCGGGGCCACTGCCAAAAGCAACCTCATAGCCCGTTATGGGCGCGAAGGCATCCTGTTTGCAATGCGTGAGGAAGGACTCATGCAATTTTCAATACGCTTTTACTTACCTGGAACGTAAACCATCCCCGCAGGGATCCATGATCGGTAGTTCTCGGGAGCGTTGTTTGACCGATTACAGAGCTCCCAGTTCCAGCAGAGACGAACTTCGGCGGGTTGATTACGATCTTTAGAGGCAGTTCCGCCGTGGATACCAAACCGGCGCCGTTTCCGGCCGCCGCCGAGACAATGTAGGTCGTCCCTTCAACGAGCGCTGGAGTTGCACGAATGGTACAGCCTTGCAAGGTTGCGTTCGCGTTGGCGCCAGGAACTTCTATCGCCTCGCCGTTGATCATCTGGAAAAGAAGACACTTGATGGTCGTAGGATCAATCCCTGACTCCGGATCCTCCCAAGACCAAAGAATGGGAACGCTAGAACGATCAGTCACGTAGAGCGCAAGGCCACTGGAATTCCTGCCCAAATAAGAGAGGGATTGCAAGATAGGCGACGTCTCATCGATCGTGACCACCTGAGTACGAGATGCCGTGGTGTTCGACGCTCCATTGTAGGCCGTGATCGTAGCGTAAAACCGAGAACCTTGGAAGAGGGGCACACCGAACAGGACCGTCGACAGTTTCCGTGGATCCTGATAGTCCACGACGGCGTCTTCATACAAAGTATTGTTGTTCGAATAGTCTGTGACGGATACTCTGTACTCAGCAATGCCGCTTTCCCCGTCCTGGGCCGCCGTCCATTCCAGGGATATATAAGACCGTTGGAACTGGTACGCTGAGAGGCCACCGGTTTTGACTGTCGCGTTAAAAGAGAGTGGGGCCGTCAAATCAACGAGAGTGCCGCTGCCAGAATTGACGGTGGCCTGGGAGGCGTTTCCGTTGTTGTTCCACGCTCGAACGTTGCAGAACACAATGCTGCCTGTTTTTGAGAGACTTGATCAATTCACATAATCCCTTATGTTCGGAAAATGTGCCACTTACGATGTCCAACGGTAACGTTCGACGGGACCGCGAGAGTAGTGTTGAACGCGGTGACAGGGACGTCTTGCCAGAGGATGACGTCCGTTAAACCGGGAGAGAAACCGAACGATACTTCAGAGCGACCGATCCCATTCACAGTGTCGATAAATGCTGTCCAGCTGCACGAAAGTGCCGTAGCGTTGTCAATATAGTTCGTTTGTATCCAAAGTCTTGGTCCATCAAAAACACTGCCAGCGATAGGCGGGAAGAAATCCACTTTACTGGAAAGCGACAAACAAGTCAGTGCATCTTGGGGGCATGAGGCCACGCCCATACGATCGTAGCTTACATGGGTTGCTCCGAAGCTGTGAAAAACTGGTTGCCCGCAAAATCAACCAGGTTCAATTGCCCTGCGTCCAGAGGTGAGAGAGAAAGTCAAGCAGTGTAGAATGAGGTAAGGTAAGGCCAAACTGAAAAAATTTACCGTAAATGAGCACCCCGGCCAAAGATTGATCGATAGTGAACATATATGTTGTCGTGTTGGGATTCGTGGGGACCTCAATGGTAAAAAACTCCTTGTAGATCGGTACGTATCCGTCGCCGAGCCCGACTCGCACATATTGTACCCCTGAAAGGTTATCTGTGTACTCGAAATGGATTATAATATCGCCAGGTGAAGCGGGATCATTTCCGTGTTCAAGCCAAAGGGAGCCTTTTGGAGGCGTCGTGTCGACGACATAACCATTTTGGCAAGCCATGGATTGCATGCCCACCCAATTCGTGACTTGGACGCAGATGGTGTGATTTCCTTCTGGCAGCCGCAAATTGCCGATTTGAGCATTCACATCCTTCAAGAGGGATTACATGAGTCAGAGGAGGAATAAGGAAAGGATAGTTTCGATGCGGTTACGGGCACTCACCGAGGTCGCCCCGCCGGTGCTAATAACAGGCGATGTCCACGATCCGAATGGTGTCCAGATGCCCAGACGACTAGGAACCATTTCCGCTGCCGTAGTGTTGGGACCAATCGCATAGTTGAAATCTAGGTCAAGCGGTAGATTAAACCATTGCTGACGAAGCTCAAATCGATGACGATGGCTGCTCACATGCTACATCGGACTCCGCGTCGGAAAACCCAAAGAAATTGAAGACCGCATTCTAATTGTCGATGGGAAAAGATGTCAGACAATGCGCGAAGGTGTTTTTACCGTCCCTCCCTATACAGGTGCTCGAGGTACTTACGGTGATCACATTGGTGGCATTCCAATTCTGGCGAAGCGTTGGGCCCATGAAGATGCTGCCCACCACTGGTGGTGTCAAATCGATCTAGGAAAAGAAGCGTGAGCATTCCAAAACCGCGAAGCGCGTATTTGCGCAACACTTACAAGGGTTCCGCTAGACAATGTTGTGCTTTCGTATCCAAGTGCATTCAAAGATCGTAACGCCAAGTGGTAGGTGACGCCATGAGAGAGCTGCAAGCTATCAAACGCCAGCGTCCCCTGAGTTTGTGTAGCCGGCAGCTCTGTCCAATCCCTCAAAGAAGTAATCAGATCTGGTGCGGCACCCGTGCCGACCGCATATTCCAGTGTGCTCTGAGCAGTGGCATCCTGTATCACGTACGAAAAATCGAGCCGGTCCGAAAATCCTTGTAGCGCGCCGCCTCCTATCTGTTGCGTAAGATCGTACTTGAAGGTCTGCATTGCCTTTCGCAGTGCTGTGCGGGTCTCGTTTTTGCCAATCGGGAAAGTGTATTGCGCAAAGGGCGTGAATATCTCTGCGATTTTGATCACGGGAGGACTGAGATCCCATACAAGCTTTTGCGACTGCTTCGTCATCATCTGGTGTTGGTTGAAAACCGTTATAGTGACGTAAAGCGTCTTCTCGTCGAACAGCGAGATATCAGCGAGACCGGGGATCGTAATCGACTCGCCTTGGTCTCTGGGTATCAGAACGGGAGCGGCTACGGTAGAGTCGCCGGGGTTCCAGCCGACGGCAATGGAAGCATTCGCAATGCCGGATTCGGGGTCACCAATCGAGAAGCGAGCAAAAAGAAGAGGCGCTGAGGTTGGCACATTCGCGACTTGCGAAATGCTCAACTGATGAACGATGGGCGCAGTGACATCCACGATCGTGCCAGAATCCTTCGGCGGGAGCTGACGGGAGTCCGGTTGCGGGCATGTGTCGGTCACCAAGAATGTGATCTTGTCCAAGGTGAGTCGCACGATTGTCACGAACCACGATTTGGAAAAAAAGACAAAGTCAATCTCAACCCCGACTGAAACCTCGAGTTGTAGTGGCAGGATCTCCACATTGATTTGAATGCATGTTCCAATTGGAAACTTTGCGAGCGGGAAAAACACGGCGATAGGCACGTGCGTGTCCGCTACCGTTCCCCTTGCCAATAAGGTAATTTCGATGAAAGCCCCTACGGAGAGAGATCCCTGCATTGCGACCCCAAATTCCGGAGTGACTTTCGGCTTCACTTCCAGTCCTATGAGACAAACCGAAACTCCAGCTTGAATGCCCATCACTGCGTCGAACTGCCTGTAAAATGTTCCAGATTCATTAGCTACGGGAATCCTAACCCTAACCCTACCTACCGCGCGGTACCTACAATTCGAACGTGACGGGCACAAACCCAGCAACCAAGAAAAACTGCTTCGTTTTGAAGAGCAGCAGACTGCGCCTAAACTCGGGGAGCATTCCCCCTCCACATATTTCCGGTGCATTCTGAAACTCGTCGTCCGTGCAGACGTTGGGGATCTTGACATTGAACTCGGGCAGGCCAAGATCGGAAAGCAAGTCTCGTCTCGCCAGTGATCGGTCTTGCCCAATATCCGCTTCAAAACCTCTCCTGGCTTTCGTGCTCGTCCGCCCGGTTTTGTTCACCGACCTCAAGGAGTTCAGATCGATAATCGCCGTGGGAGGCACAATCTGCTTCCCTACGACCGTGAGGGAGTAGAAATTCGGATCCGGTTTAAATCCGTTTCCTAAAATCCCAGGCATTCGACGGGGTAGACTGAGGACCATCGAAAACGAATGATGAGACACATCCTCCACCTCATTCGGAAACTTAACGCAAACGTACTATTTGGCGGGATCAATAAAGCGCTTTGTCAACTTGTGCTGGATACTGACGTGGATGGTGCTTTGACCGGTGGTAACAGTCCCGATCGTCGCATTCTTCTTGACGGGCCCAGTGACACCAGCTGCAAGCGACACATGACCGAGGAAAATGTAGTAGTTCCGCAAGCTAAGGTGTCATCTAGCTTCAGTTATTCAGCTCTCGAGAACAAGGCGCCTGCGTTGAACGCACCTGTTCTCAGTTACTTCCAGCCTGACAATGTCGCTTGAAACTTTGCTGACCACGCCCGCCATTGGAGCAACGATTGGTGTTCCTGCCGCAGCAAGCAGCGAAGTGCCATTGTACGTTCCGTACGTGTTGTTGGGAAAGACGAGGGCGACGTCCTGGAACGAGGCCGGCTTGGAAGGAAACTGTTTGGCAAATTTCGCACCAAACACGCTGTCAATGAAAGTCTTGATTTTATCGTACGCCGAACGCAGTTTGGCAGTCCACTCTTTAAAAATATGCAGGGCCTGCACAAACTCGGCCTGGAGCTTGGTGCCCATGTCCATAATCTTGGTGTACGCATCCAGTAGTGGATCGATGAAGCCCAGTTGATCTTTGAACTGAGTGGCGAGGGACTTTAGGGAATCGAAGAATTCATCCTCAAAGTCAGGAAGACGGCCCTCGAGGGCGGTCAAAGAGAAAAGTCCTTTCAGAGTCGTCACGGCGTCTTCAACCTTGTGTATTGTTTTCTCTACGTCCTGTGTTTGCAAGGCGTGGGCATCAAAGCTCTAGATCCTCCAGCATTATTTCCGGAATGAAGAAGTTACCTCCACTCCCAGAACGATCGCTGTTGATGCTTGCTGGGGGCAGTCGAGAAATTGAGCAACTCCGGCAAATATATCCGCTGCAGAAAGGGATTTGTCAGTTTCTCCGGACCGGTTGTTCAGGTATTTACTTGCTAACCTATTGCTTGTGGAATCACTTGAATAACGGGCTCGACTCCAGAGACGACCGCCGTTTTGACTTCCTTTCCAAAGTCAACAATCTTATCCTCAATGTCCTTGAAAAACATCAGCACCGAGTTGAAATCGTCCACATCATCCAAGGACAGGTTTGCCGGAACAAGTGGAAGCTTGAATGAAAATTTGGTGAAGTCCAATCCATCACCGCCCGTCCCGTCGGTCAACTTCTTGAACTTTGAGAATGCCGTGGAGAGGCTAAGGAAAGCAGTCGTGAGACCCGACCTGACTTCTTCAAACTTCGTCTTGACATCATCGGCGAATTTGTCAAACAGCTCGGCAATGTTGGTGATGTCTGAGAGCTTGAAATCCTTGAGCATGTCCATATCGTACCCGACTTCGGCGTGAAACTGAAGCTCAGCGTCGAAGATCGGGAGCTCGAGGTATCCACCGATGTCGACATAGAGGAATGCGCCTGCCGAGTCCGATACGTCTATGGTCAGCCGGGATTGCAATACGGAGAGCAGGAGATCGACGCTGTTCTGGAACTTTAACGACGCTCGCACTGAAAGACAAGGATGTTATTCAGCAGTATGCCCCAACGTTTCTTAAACGGCGTGACGGCGTGGAAAATGCGATCACGTACCTCCCACCAGATCCGCGCCAAACTTCTTCTCCCATGAGAAGCTCGGTGTCTGCAGATGGAACTTCACCGATGTCTCCGTCTGGATAAACGACACCAATTCCGATGCACGCCGCGCTTTGGTGGAAAGCGGCTCGGAAGCATTAGCCCCCTCCCGCTCTTGCAACTCTTCAATGCCCGAAGCGACATCTTCCATGGTGAACTCTCGCTTATGTACTTTGTACGCCACGGCAGCGGCTTGCCTTACAACAGCGTATGGATGAACGGATGCGACCATCAACATGAAATTTTCCGCAGATTTGCTCTTGTAATGACCAAGAGCCCGCGCAGCAGTGGTTTGCACAACCACCGGTAATTTCGAGTCCGGCACTGTCGCATCCACGATGTTCCTAAAAGCTTCCACTCGCTGAGTAGCTCCAAGAGCGGCCAAGATATTTGCATGGTTCGCAGCCTTCTTGCTAGCAATGATTCCTTCACGATCGAAAGGTTCCTTCGAGAGACGGTTCCTATTTAGAGGGACCGAGGTCCCTGCAAGTGCTGCGTATTGAGCCGGATCCTATTCCATCGCGTGCAAGTAGACAGGAGACAGTAAACGACCAACGGATGTTAAAAACGCATGCATCCCCGAGGCATCAAACCCAGCGTCGCCGTCTTACCTGCTTTTCAAGCGAGTTTTGCAGCTTCTCCATGATCCTGCGGGACGTGTCCTCATCTTGCGCTTTGAACGCTTTCCGGGACATGTGTCCAAGCGAAAGCAGGCCATGCTGGGCGACCGTCTCTCGCTGCTGTTGCCCTGCAAAAGGTGAAGTCCACGTACGTCAGAAATGCGATTCCGTGCATGCAGTGGATGCCCGTCGCCATGCCTCACCATTTAAAGTCCCGTTGAATGCAATTTCAGACACCGCGTCAAGCAACTCTGTTGTCGGCGCGCCTTTACACTTCCCAAGTGCTTGCAATGCGCTCTCCTTCACACTATCCGCAACTGGCGGCCCGCCCTTGGTCGACCCAAACACCGTGCGAAACAGGACGTCGGCAACTCCCGCGCTGAGGGCGCAGCTCTCTGCTGCGAGGTCCACAGCCACAAACGCATTCTTCGCTAGAATGGTGTCCGCAACGATGCGCTGGATGACTTGCGGGACGTGCTCCTCCGCCAGCCGTGCCATTGCGATCCTCGCCGCGCCGAAACACTTCGCTTTTCGCGCATGTGATGGGGTTGTCGTGCTGTGGAGGACAGAGCCGTCGAAACATGCAATGCTCTTTCGGGCGATCCTGATGGCTTCCTGGGGCGAGATCTTCTGTACAATCGCATCTTGTTGAACGATGAGTGAGAGGGTTTCGATGGTGCTGGGTGGCAACAGATGCGGGGAGTTCCCATTCATAGACCGACGGCCGAGTAGCGTGACCGTTGTCTTTCCGGTGGTTTGCATGAAAACGCTCGCGGCGCGGGAGGGCGCGGGCTGTTCGTATGCATCTTCGTAGTCGTCGTCACCACGTTTGCTGAGACCTGTTGATATGGACATAGCAGGGAGATGCTAAGGAGCAGTCACGCGACGAGCGGATGTTGGAGATACTAGGATTGCTCACCGGTAACCTGAGTTCCTGCAGACCCATGCGACGACACAAAGTCATCAATCGTGACCGACAGAATCGCGCCGTCCTGGAGGATGCCGTCTCAATATTAGCCAGAAGAACGATGAGAAGAGGAAGGACGCGTCGAACACTGACATCGATGCTCTTCGCTATCTGCTTCTCGCTGCGATGGCTCATCCTTTCATGTTCCTCGTCCCGAAGACTACGCTTGCTGTACACCAAGTTGCGGTTCGCTTCATCATGCTGCACCTCATACTTTGCCAGGTTTTTTCCTGCGGAGTCGCAAGATGTGAGTGTCTTTCATCATATGTTCCTTGCAGAGTCAAAGACACATACCAGTCAGGTCATTCTCAACGACCTCGAAATCCCTTCTGTGCATCCCGGTATCAGAATGGAGTCTGGCTGAAAAAATGTTTGCGATTCTGAAGCATCAAACGTCAGCTCAATGGGTGTAGGCCGCTCAGGGAACGGTGACGATATTTGTGCATACCCTTTTTTGATTTCCAACGCCTTTGGATGCTCTTTGGGATCAGCCAGAATCTATGGAGAGGCCCACGGACGCGTAAGTCAACCTCTTCAAGGCCTACGTGTACTGGCGGGAACCAGGCAAGAGATATCTTACCTTGTGCACATCTCCTTGCTCAGTAAGCACAAAGCCAAACCAGTGCTCATGAAAGTTGAGCACGTTCTCGGGTATAGTCACCCGCTTCAAGGTTCCGTCGTCGTGCGAGGTCTCGGAAACGATGATTGGCTGCTCCGGAAATGTCACTTGACAGTACATACGGCCATCCTCATCAATCTGTACATGTTTGCGGGGAAGGATAGTGATGCATCAGGACCGCTCTCGATCCTCGTTCCGCTCACGACTCCCAGTCTCCTTTCCTTTCGGCCGTGACGTACCTGGTAAGGAGTCACATCGAATTTGGCATCGAGATGAAACTTTCCGACACTTGCCATACAGAAAAGGGGAATGGATAGATTAGAATTGCACGGCGATTCCCCAAATCCCGTGCTAACAGCGTAGCAAGCATAGTAAAAATTACCTTTGAGCGCGATTTTGGTGCGGAAGGCCAGAGAACCCGGCGAATGAGTCGGAGATGTCGTTGAACGAGCTGACTTTCGTAGACACCTCATAGCTGTATGTTTGGTTGAGGCGAAAGTGGACTGCGCTCGCCGTTTCGCAAGAAATTAGTAGCAGGCATACCAGAAGAAGGCTGGTAAGCCGCGAGGTGGATATCCCATCCCATTTTCTCCAGCGCTTATGAGCGGCAAGAGACATTCCAGAACCGACAGATCCAACAAATCCATTGCGGAGCCCCATCTCCCCCGGCAGGCAGATGAACGTGCCGATTGTTTGGAATCACAGTCTCTAAGAATATTGTAACAAAGGCCCAGGTACGCGTGGTGGTGCCCTTGGTGATCTATAGTGCTTTTCTTGGGAACGCGAATTCGTGAAAGGGAGCGGATGCACCGAAGCGCGAAGGGGAATCACCCTGGCAGACTGTGGGATAGGAGGCTGCTAATGCTGATCCGCTGTACAATAAGACCGCTCGCTACGGACGAGAAAAGGCCGTCTTGCGTACAGTAGGTCGACGAAGTAAGTACATACCTGTACACTCGATGGCTACAGACGAAGTGAGAAGTCGAGTCTACGCGTCGAGCGAGACGCGTTTGCCTTTTCCCAGCCAGGCCCAGTGAGAATGCGCAGGAGGGGGAAATTCGGACTCCTCATTATTCCCGCCCGATGCACCCATAACCTGAGAGTATATTATTGCAGATTGCCACGGCCATTGCCACCGCCATTGCCAAGATCTTTTTTGAACTACACACCTACAGCACACCCGTCAGCTGCAGTAGTGTTCCAGAGTGGAACCCCAACTTTCTGCTCTGCTTTTGTTTACAAGGTGACTCCAAAACCAGTCTTCTCATTCTTGCCCCGGCAGTACATCCTTACGCCAACCACCACCCCACAACACTGACGGTTTTGACACACAGCTATCACGGCAATCACCGCACTGCAACACGGAGTGGGCAATCTGACCTTTACAACATCACAAATCCGGTAGGGAGTGAGCAGCGGGAATGTGAGGAGATGAGGTACCCTGCCCAGATGGTTTCGCGCATATGGCGCATGTGACCACTGTCAGCAGCCCCTGGGTTCGCGCATATGGCGCATGCATCCGGGGGATAAAGGAGAAGAGAGAGAGAGATAGAGAAAGAGCGGACTATACCCTGCCCAGATGGTTTGGTGCATATGACATATCCAACCAATGTCAGCAGCCCCCGGATTGGCGCAAATGGCGTATCCACCCAGGGGATAAAGGAGAAGAGAGAGAGAGAGAGCTCAGGCTGCATTCTCGCCTCCGATTCCCTACCCACTCCTCACTCTCACTCTCACTCTCTCTCTCCCTCTCTTTCGCTCATAGGGGACCTCACCTCCACGCCGTGCATCTACATCTACATGGAACGAACGGTCCGCCCCACTATAGGTGAGAATCAGAAGCCACACAGATTACCACGCACATTACCAAAGCCGATCGCTTGAGGGACAGCCTGCATTTGGGCACTTGCGTTGCGCTCTCCTGACTTCCGCAATCGCTTGAGGGACAGCCGCATTTGAGCACTCGCGTTGCGCTCTCCCGACTTCCGCTTGAGGGACAGCCTGCATTTGGGCACTTGCAGTTCGTTTGCCACCATTCTAGCCACCATTGTACCAAACCCACTCCCATGACTACGCGAACTGCCCACGCGTATCCACCCAGGGGATACAGGAGAAGAGAGGGAGACAGAGAGAGGAGAAGAGAGAGAGAGAGAGAGAGCGGGCTATTCCATGCTAGTAGAAAGGTAATGCATGTGTAGGAATAGGAGACGAGTTCCATCATCTCTTAAGCTACTGAAGAACACGCAGTGTGATAACTCCATGGGGAAGGGCTATGGGGAAGGGTTGTAACTCCACACGGACAGGCTATAACTCCGCGTGGAAGGGCTCTTTCTCTGGGTGGGAGGCGTGGCACCATAGCGCCGACGGCTACGAGTCTGCCCCGAAGGTGCGGCACCCCGCCAAAGTGGAAAAGGGAAATGCTGCTGCGGAAGAAAGTGCCCTATTGTGCCTGTTGTTGTTGTTGAAGCCGTGCAGCACCCTCGGACACATGTACATAGCAGTAGCAATGGGTCGATGATACAGAAATTATTTCCTGGGATTCCTTTCACATCACACATTCACAATGTTATTGCTCTGGGTTAGGGGTAGGGACAGGGTTGCGGCATGCGCGTCCTCCTACAGTAGTAGGATGCCAAAACGGACGTTACGACGACATACATCACCGGCTGCCGTCTAGCCATTGCGTGGTTGACCGGGGACCGGCCAGCCGCGACTACTAACCTAGGTAGTAGCCCAAATGCCGTCAATTTCGACGCGCCCGTCGTAACGTCCGTTTTGGCATCCTGACTGTAGGTAATCATTTAACACTGGCTGGGTGCAGGTCTATCCGGATGAAAAGCTATCTAAAAGGGCTTATAGTTTCGTGAAGGATTCTATGGTGGCGAGACGACTAACGGTGGGGCCTCTGAGTGAGAAGGGTTTACACTTCTGACCCCTCCAGGGTTACCGCTGGCCCCCGCTATCCCGATATACCCCGGTGATATAGCGACGCAATATCCGCCAGGTCTCGGTATATCCATGTCCGGCCGGTTGGGCTAAGTCTGAGGTCAGACTTGCTCTCCAGCTGCCATTCGTCGTCATGACTCCATCACGGGGTAAAGATTGCAGTAGGTATCAGGCTAGGTTGCTCGCCATACGCGATCTCCCCTTCCCGGCAATGTATGGCGGCAATCGAACCCCGCCTTTCCAGCTTTGTGGTCGTAACCTGGACCCATTCTCTCCACAAACGCCCGCTCCAACTCTATATGCAGACAATCGAAGTTGTCCGTGGCCAACCGGCGCGCCTCGATGCCAAGCCACCCAACGAGCTCCACAAACTCCCGGTCGAACCCGTCCAGGATCTGTTGAATCTTTCTCTCCGCCGGCTCGGTGTGACCCATCCTCATCAGGATCGGTACCTGGTTTCGTTGCGTGGTGAAGGGACGGAGACGATATTGAAGGCCTCTTTGCAGACGATCAACGCAGGTTTGGACGACGGGACCGAGATCGTCCGTCATCTCCCATATCTTCAACTGGCCGTCGGCCGGTAAGTCGTCCGGGATGTGCAGGCACGGTGCACTCAGTACGCGGGCCACCGCAGCAGGAAGCGTTGAGGCTGGGCCAATCGAACGATATACTGCGATGACGCGAGTGTTCTGTCGGTGTCGGCAGGCGAGGCGAACTACGTGGGTATCTGTCACGATGTCACGACAGAAAGTGAAGAGGACGGAGTATGGACGACTGTCAAGCGTCAGGGTCGTAGGTGAAGGATCAGAAGAGAGGACGGGTGCGGCTTTGGCATTCTCTGGAAGGTAAACTTTGATGCGATCCGTTGCAGATACAGACGTGACGCGGAACGTCTGTGGTGGGGAGTCGGGAAAAGCGAGAGCGAGCACTTCATTGTCCATAGTTGTGTGTGGGATAGCCGGTGATGCACGATGCAACGAGGGTCTTATGGTTCTATGGACGACGTGTTGGCGAGATGGACTCCGTTCAGAGGTTGCTTAGTAAGCTCTCTCTATTTTCTTCTCGAGTGACAGTATAAATAGGGAATTGCTAACGACGCCGTGTTTGCTATCCACGCTACCCTCCGCGCTTTTGACAGTAGCTTTTGACAGTCTGATTGCGACGCGTCGCATATAAAAGGCGACTGGCGCGCCCCTGGGCCCTTGGGTATAATGAGGCTCACTTCTGACGTGACCTTCCACCCCAGTTACCTTTCCTGAGCATTTTCGAGTGCAGGAAGTGAGCCACACACACACACATGCTTCCACCACCCACCGAGCCCCTGTATGGCATGCTGGAGGAATGTATGCACAACGTAAAGGCATTCACTTCTGCCCAAGGCTACGCTGTCACCAAAATCAACTCCCGCCCTGGTGTCAGTACCTATTTTGTGTGCGACCGCCATAGAACCCCACGCCCATCTCCCCAACATTTCGATGTTCACCTGAGGAACACATCAACCCGGGGAACCAATTGCCCGTTCAAGCTATACGTCCAATCCTACAAAGCGCTGGATTATCAATGGCAGCTGACCGTAGTTCATGGTGAACATAACCACAAGCCCTCCCACAACCCTGCCGCCCACCCAATTCTGCGGAGACTTACCGATTCCCAGAGAGGAATGACACATGCGCTGCTTCAGGCAAACGTTCAGCCACGCCAAGCTGTCACCGCTTTACGACAGCATGTGGACCCGTGCTACGCCATCCAGAAGACAATATACAATGAGCAGCAAGCCCTCCGCACGCAAGCATTGGATGGCCGCACCCCATTGCAGTCGCTTCTCCAACAGCTACAGAATGGATCCTACCATACCGAATACCGCGCCAGTGCCGACGACAACCTGACGCACCTCTTCTTTGCACATCCTGAGTGCATTGCCCTCCTCCAGCGCTATCCTACCGTGATCTTCATGGATTGCACGTACAAGACAAACAAGTTCAAGATGCCGATGTTTCATATTCTCGGCGAGACCTTGCTCAAGAAAACGTTCACCATACCCATCAGGTTCCTCCAACAGGAACTTGAGGCAAACTATGCATGGGCACTTGAGTGACTCCTGAAACTCTTGCCATCACCTGATCTAGTGAAGGTCATGCTCACGGATTGCGAGAAGGCATTGGTGAATGCAATCCCTTCAAGGTTTCCGCACGCAGCGAACCTTCTGTGTGTCTAACACATTCAAAAGAACGTACTTGCCAGGTGCAAGCCCGTGTTTGGTGCAGGCGAGGAGTGGGACAGCTTCCTGAAGCTTTGGACTGCGGTAAGGACATATACTCAATGCGCACATGTTATCCATGACTAACGCAAGCATTGCAGGTGATTAATGCAACTACACCCGATGGGTTTGCTGAAGCGTGGGACTATCTCCACCATCAGTACGCTGGATACCCGGGGGCCATTCAATACCTCACCGAAACCTGGTTGCCATACAAGGAGCATTTTACTGCAGCCTGGACAAATCAAGTGCGCCATTATGGCAATGTCGACACGTCCCGGTTTGAAGGCGGTCATGCAACCATCAAGAAGTACCTCAACGTGTCAACACTCCATCTTCGGGATGTGGAGAAGCGACTTGCGACGTACTTTACGAAAACAAGCCTCGAAATCAAGGCCGCACATGCATCCGATCAGATCCGCATGCAATTTCAGTTCAACAATGTTTTCTACCAAGATGTAACCTACCGCATCTCATCCGTCGCTCTCGCTAAAGCACACCAGCAGCATCTACCTGCGTTGTGGATGATCAAGGGGTCCAAGGATGAGCGGTGCTCAGGGGCATTAACCACGACCATGGGCATAACCTGCAGCCACACGTTACACACTCGAGTTGAAAACGGCAGGGGCCTATGTGTACCTGATTTTGATGTGCATTGGCACCTCACCGCACCTGTGAACAGTACCCTCGACACACAGGCACCTGGTCCTCCTGCCGTCCAGCCTCTGTTGACACAGATACAAGAAACTTATCCACGTCTCGCTCCGCACCAGCAAGATCGAATGCGGGAGGTTCCAGGTGCCATGGGCTCACAGCACTATGCCTTGCATGACCTTATCATACGTCAGGGCAAGGGACGCCCGCGTGGTGCCCCCAATCATGACAAACGTTAGGGTTAGGGTTACAGGACTTAGAGTTAGGGTTAGGGTTAGGGTTAGGGTTAGGGTTAGGGTTACAAGACCCCCTGGGTTGGGTTTAGGGTTAGGGTTAGGGTTAGGGTTAGGGACAGGGTTGGGGCATGCACGTTCCCCTAGTCTATTCGCCTTTATTGATTACCGGGCGAAGTCCTGGTCTAAGCGATTCCAGGTCTTCTCTCTGTGTAGGGAGGTGTAATCAACACTTGAAATCACTTGCATCGTCCCCGCGATTGTCCCGAGCAGACCATTGCAGAAGAGATCTTGCAGAGGTGGTAAGAGTGGGTCGGATTGAGTTCGGGCTATTCGTGTTCATATTTCTGATATAAGTGACAGCGTCACCTCCTTCGATCGGGAGCACTTTGTTTCCGCCGATACCGCAATCGAATGCGGAGTATTCATGGTTTCACAGGAGGTTAGATCGCCGGATTTGAATCTCATCCGGTGCTCCATGATGCCCACGACTCCAGCCTCCTTTTTTTGTTGATAATGTGGGAGGCGATTTTGGAGTCCGTTCCGTTCTAAGCTTCCATACACTGCTCATTCGCGCAGCTATCGGCCTGCGCATTCATATGTTGACAGTCAAACACAATAAACGAAGCCCCCGCTCTTGACCATTGTCGCCAGCAACCTGTTCGGGACGGGAACGCTATGGACGGGCGCACGGTCTCGTTCCATTGGGGCTGTTGACTCGCGTTGGCAGAGCCAAGGAACACGTCAGAGCTGTCAACATTGCTGCCAAAACGGCCTGAGTTACGCCAACGCACATAGAGAACCCGACTGCAGAAATGTTGGAGATCCGAGGACACTTGCATCTGGTCATCCACATGTCAGAATATACTCTGGAGATACTGAAAACACTCGAAACCTGGCTTACCGCTATGAGGTTCCCACGTCGGACAGAAGGGTCCGAGGCAGACATCGCTCTGTCAAGGCCGACACATGGCACATGTCAGGAACCACAATTGCACGACAGCTCAAGGGGATCCGAAGCCTTGCTCGTACTCGGGGATTCCACCGTACCATTCCCACATTGAAGCACTTCCTCCGTCCCGCTTCCCCAGGCTCTGCGGTGACTGCAACGAAGGGCACCACCCCACAGCCGAAGACTGGCTTGGGATCAGAGCGAGCGGGATCATTTCGCTTTTGATAAGTCTGGAGGTTCCGCCGGGGCAGGCTCCGGGTTTGGAGGCTAGAGACCGAATATGGCTCTAAAGGATAATCACACCACACCCGACGAGATCTCATCATTCCACCCCGCGCCATTGCCGGCGGAGCCTGGCGGCCGAATCCACCGTCCACTTGCCGCTCGGCCAACCGCTTTTGATGTATATCGGCCTATGTTTGTCGGAAGTGGTACTTTCACTTTCCAAAGTTGCATTGGGTCAACAGTGCGCTGTTGAATGGTTTTGGCCTTACAAAAAGGGTATGCGAGGGTCATAGATGAAAGCAAAACCGGCAACGTCGCAAGCCTGCCCGACGAAAATAACTAATGGGGCCACCTTCGGCTCCCGTTTTCCTGCGTCGCAGGGCCGATGAGTGGGCGTGCCCGAGTTTCGGCGCCGAGGGCCTGGTCTGACATATTTGCCATGGTCAACTTACATTTCGAATGAGTGCACAGGGAAGGCGGGGCCCAAGCGGCGCTGCAGAGTCAGGTGTAGGGCCTACGAAGAGTCTCCAGATGGGACATCGGTCTCACCCGCGTTGGGCTTCCAACGCGTCCTTCACTGTATTAGAAGTCGTTCGCACTAGGTAGTCGCTCCCTACATTGTCATAATCGAGCGGCCAGACGATATCTCTCGGGATGCTCTTGCGTAGAACATCCCGTGCGTCGGCAGTGAAGATGACCCCATCTGCAGATGTTCCCCCGGGTTGCGATCGCTGCAAGGCCAGGAAAAGGCCCTCGGTGTTGGCTTCGAGCCGTACAAGCTTAGCGAAGCCAGGCAGCCCGTCGCTCTGCTCAATCCCCACCACTGCCCCAATGGGCGGGATGACGTAGCGAGGGGAAGAAGCGCCTTCTGTCCCTTTGTTGAAACCGAGAACAGCCCTCTTAAATGTGTCCGTCGCAAAGTCCACAGCTTTGCGTTTCCGCTCGATAGAGCCCGCGTCGTTGTACACGAGCTGCTGCATTCTGATCCGTTCAGAGGAACGTCGTAATGTCAGCCAGCAGTCCTTCGATGTGCATCACATACATCACATACATCACATACCTGACGGTGTGCCGCATCGCACGGCTAGCCGATTCTCTCAGGCGCTGATGGTCCAACCCGTCCGAAGATTCCACGAAAGTAGCGAAAGCATGTCGCAAAGCATTCGGCCCAACATGCGGAATGCCCGAATGCTTCTCCACAAGACCGGAGATATACGCAGTCCATTGACTGGCATCATCGAATGCGTCCCCACTGCGCTTGCAGAATAGCAATCCATGATCTTTACCGCACGTCGTAAGTTGGCGAACATCCGCACGCATGAGCCACAGAAGATATTTCAATAGAACTTCCTCATCCTTTGGCAGTTCTATTTTATCTTGCATGCCGTTCGATAATCTGTTTTTATAATCACTGAAGATGGGGCGTCGGTGTGCCTTCTTGTAAGTAATCAACTATTCAAACCTTCTGCAAAATTCACATTCACAGCCACATTCACGTCTCACCTCATGACTGCAACATAACGCCCATGAGAGGTAGTTATATGGTTTTGCGATGACCCCCGACTCTCGGACTCGGGTAAGATGCAGCCCCAGAGCAGTCGGACTTCTTTCGACCTTGCAGGTGGCAACGCCGTGTATAACGACAACGCAACGAATGCCTGAGCTTCGGCAGCCAAAGCTTTAATAGGCTCATCCGAGGTCGCACCCCATAGTTCCAGCAGCGCCCGATATTGACGGTGAACGGCTTCGAGGACCTGGAAGAGCATATTGTCATCACATACGCGCCAATATGCCAGACCCGCCAATACGCCAACGTTGACAAATGTTTCAACAATCTGGAAACGAACCTGTTCCCAGATGACAATGCCCCGAGGTTCAGAGTATTTCTCATCGTTCCTTTCCCTTTCCGCTAAGGTCTGTAAATTGTTACGAGCTCGCATCAACTTGCGGATCTTCAAGTTCGCTTCAGCTCCGCTACCGGATGCCTCTTCTGTTGTGCCGCGGTATCGCAACACGTCGAGGGCGCTACTCAGATGATTGCCTTTACTACCAGCGCTCAGACCTCTGACACGGCCGAGATATCCGTCTACATACTTTTCCTACCGCAATGAGACATTAGCGGTGAGTGCGACAACAGAGGATGTGGAAATGGCGTCAGAGGATCTCTCACCAAGAACAGGTCAACGTCTTCGAAATTCTCAAAGGATGGAGTTCGACAACGTCCCGACGCTTTCAGCCATCCTAGGAAACCGCAAATCCTTTCGCGCGATTTGGCGATCGTTTGTTCATTCCGAGGGTGAGCGTGGCCCCGCCTGAAATCGTGCGAGGCACTGAAAAATGCACGCAGATTGTGGAACTCCACGTGATTCAGCGGCGTCATGTCGAAAGTCTGCAGTGTGTAGCATTTGAAACGGACCACGCTCTTGATGCCGCGGGATAAGTCGTCCCCATCCACGTCTGGCATAACGTCTCTCGGCCGTATGGGTGGAGGAACCGATGGCGATCGACCAGAATCGTACGCGAGGGTAGGAAGGACCTCGTTTTGCGAGTTGACGCCGACGAAATCTCGCTGCTCATTGCTTGGAGTAGGTGGAAGGGGATTCCTATTCTCTGAAGGATTGCCGGGCGAGTCCGCTGCCCTCCGCCGCTCGGTCTCAGGGGTAGATGGCGGAGTGACATTTCGTAGCACCGCCCTTGACGTTGGAGTGTGGGGTACATCAACGTCAACCCGTTGATTTAGACTCGCATCACTGGCAGGTCTCGGCGAAGACACCTCATATCTTTCCTCGGCTTCGTTGGATCTCTCATCGCCGCGACTCCGTGGATAGGCAGTGTGCGCCTCATCCATTTCGGCGTGATGAACTGATTGAGAAAAGGGAAAGTGAAGAAATAACATCAATTCTGAGTCAGTTTCGGTGCCACTTGAGCGACTCCGATTGATTTCGTATATTGCTATCGGATATCGAAGCTGCAAACTGGCCAGGGAGGGGATGGCATTTCCAACGCCGATTGGAATCGATGCAATTGTTACTCACCGGACGCCCGCGGCAAAGTCGCGCTATCGAGGGCCGTCAAAGTTTCTCCTTCCTGTTCTGTTGTATGCGTCCGCTGAGGAGGACCCTCCAGAAATCGATCGTCCGTATAGCCAATATCTCGAAGAAGCTTCCCTAGCGCAGCCTGCTGTACGAACGCCAGGTGGGAGGCCGTCGTACCGTAGGCCAACACCGCCTTGAACTCTCTCAGTTCCGCCCCAGTCAGAATCAGCACCGGGGCCTCAGACTTCCTCCTGTTCAGCATGCCACGGATTCTTCCATACGCGACTCCTAGCGCGGAGCAGGCATCTTTGAGAAGCAAAAAGGTAGTGCCTGAACGTTCGTCTGTAGAAAGATCAATTAGTCGTTTCTCCAGGGTTCCCACGGCAAGGTGCGGATCTAATTCCAACCTTTCAGTACAGGGACTGCAACATCGCCGACCCGCTTGCGCCAGATGAGCAGCGATGACGGGTACGCGGGCAGCTGTAAGCTCATCCTCGTCGGATTTCCACCTTCAATATACTAAGACACGGCGGCGAACGATGAAAAATCAGCTGCTCCCCCGGGGGGACGCGAGATGCCGCTCAATTTATGCTCGCTGGTGAGACGAGTCCTTGGCAACCAGACACGTGATGCGTAACCCTTCCACCACAAACTTTCCACATGATTCACACCCTAATCGCAAACGGACTGAATGTCATATCGGAACCTCGACGTCAGCTCGAAAAGGCGCTGGCGTACAGCAAGTGAGCCCGAGGTCATCAGGGGGTCGAATTGAACATGCTGCTTGAATTCTGACGTGCCGCTGAGAACAAACTTTTTCAGCACAGCACCGAATGTTGTCCTCACATATGAAGATCCTCGCACCTGTACGCCTACATCGAGAAGGGTCTCATCGTCAAAGCAGCACCTTCACACATCACTCTCGGCAGCGCTGAGGAAGAGACCCGGGATATCCAAACAGCGTACGGCGAAGTGGACCACTTGCTCTTGCAACCTGTAGCGTCAAGAAGCGTTCGTTCCTAGTTCGGTCACTTCCTCGGCGGCTGCATGCGTGGCTTGTCGTTCTTGTCAAAGTTCATCAAATATCCCTCCTGCTACCGTGGTGTTGGCATCAAAGAGCATGGGTGCGAATCGATGCTTCGAACCATTTGCATGTGTCTCAATATATCGCATATACATTCCGTTTGCGACGGCGGCTGCAGTCTGCTAGGCGCAGTTATCGGCGGGAACAATTTGTGGTGGTGTTCGCCATGCGTTTTTCGAACTTCCTGCTGAATCCCGGTCCGCGATAGTGATATCAGCATTGTCTGTTCTGACGACAAAGAAAGGTGGCTCTAGTTGTGAGCAAAGGCGTACGTTGGAAACCCTATGCCTAACCATGCCCAGGATCGTTGATCGCTTCCCGATATAACAATCAAGCTGGCCGCAAGGTGCCGCCTCGGGTGTGGGTGCTGAATACGAAAACTGGTTAAACTGATCATCCCGAGCGGGTTGTTTGGAGCCAAAGTCCACTGAAGCTCACTTACACTGCGCTCCTTCCGGGCCCGTCGTAGCGTATCATCATAGTCCACTCTAACTTCGAGGCAGACATCAGTGTGTTGGTTAAAGATGGTAAGCTCCATGTCCGATCGCTGGCAACGCTTCATCCTTGCAGAGGAAGCTAGCACTGTTATCGCGTCTCCCAAATAGCTCCCTGTGAGACAACACACGCGTCACAATGGATGTCCCGTTCCTAGATGCCTAGCCGCCGCACGCTGTGTGCATTGTCTAGAGTTTCAGCGACAGAGACGCCTAAAGGTCATCCTTCTGGCGCGACCTCGAAGGTTGTATGTTTTATTACGAATCGTTTATATAACGAATCGTTGACTCGGCCGAATCCCTGAACTTCGGGTTACAAGTTTACTACCGAGAGGCCACGTCCTCTTGCTGTTTGTTGCGTCGGTCCGTCAGGGTAATAGTGGGATGTCACTCGCAGCTGGACGGCGGAAGCCTTCCACCTAAGCGATCATTGAAACCCTCTCGACGTGACCGAACAGCCAGATCGGAGGTGCGATCGCGATTACAGTCGGGTGGTACTCAACTCAAGTGCACCTCCCAAATTCTAGCAAAGAGTACACACGTCGCGCGTGCCGTTCCATTCACCACCGCCGTTGTAACAGCACAAATCGCTTTCCCTGCCTTTGCTCGCATATCGCTCCTTCTCACACCGAAAACTACAAAGCGACGCTAGAGCCCCCTTTCACCGCGCTGTTTCACTACTAGTTCGCTCACGTTATCAAGCGTCAAGCGTCAAGGTCAACTCTGGAGCCTTTCAGCCTTCTCCCATTTCTCAGCGAGCCGAGCCGCTATCGAGCTTAGAGATAGATATGAAGCCGAGGGTTCGAGTTTAATGAGATATAGCTTTCGGGTGGCCATCGTCGATGACGACTGCGTTTACGTCGACCTGTTACCATATTCGGTACTTCCCCGTTCGTTGACCCGTATCATTGTTGCCTGGGAATATGGCACTTGAAACAGAACCCAGAAGTTCTTCGCCAAGCACTTGCCCGGTATCTGGGAATTAAGTCCTGCTGGAGGATATAGTTTCCGATGCGAAAGAGCTTACACTTGCGATGGGCGTTGCGACTTTACGGCTTAGTGAGAAGCCCTGATCTTTCACAAGCGCGACCTCGGGATGGGAAGTTACCCGATTACCAGATAGCTGGTAACTTTGCTGGTAACTTCGGCACACGAAAGCATGAAGATTGTAGGGTAGGGTGGAGCATCTGGTAATCTGGTACTTTCATTTCAAGATTTTGATCTGAAAATTTGAAAGAGAGGGAAACTGTTTTCATTTCTCACTGTCACATCTGGAGAAGAGAAAGGTGTTCCGAAGATACCAGATATACCAGCTGGTCACCACGCAATCGATTTCCGATGGATGCCTTCGATTCTTTCGCGCGGGGAAGTTACCAGACCAAGATACCCGGAAGTGGAAGATATGGTATTCTCATATGGTTTCGTTCGGCGAACTATTTCTTGATTGGATTTTTGCCCATGAATCATCGGCCTTTACTGAGATCTTCCCATAGCAAGCCCAATAGTCTGAAGAATCTTCCCTTGGTCCCGACATCGCAGAGCTTTACTACGTCTCGGTCAGAGAACAGTCAAGCGATCCATCTTCATCTCGAATCGGCGTATCCCATCTTTCAAACGCACAGCGTCGACTGCAGGGGTTCACCAGACTGCTACAGCACAGTAGAAGTTTGCCATATATGTATGACAGAGCCCTTATCAGATGTATGCCCAGCTTTGGGGAACCATACTTTCAATCGTCACCGAGGAAGTGGGAGTCCGGCTTCAGAGAGCCTCGGACGTTTCGCTTAGGCGTTAGGTTTTACTCTGCTACCTGTAAACAGAGTGCCACATCTCAAATGAATTATTCACGCTTCCCCGTATTTTACCATATGGCGGTTCCCTCTCTCACCGTTGGACGCAGAATCAACCGTGTGGTGGCTCCGCCGAGTGATGGGACCTGACGCCGAGCAAGCTTCAACGTTGGTGGACATCTGCGATGATCCCTGACGCTGCTGAGGCACCGCACTGTTCCACCATCCAAGGTTGATGGGGGTTACCAATCAAGGCCACCTCCCGACTCGCACAACGATGGGTAGTGCGGAAAACACAAATGCTATACATTGTATTGCGACAACTGGGTACATATGTGGGAACCCATCACAATCAAAACAGAAGGATAACGAAAGGTACGATTACACAGAAGGGGGGTGAACGGTACTGATGGAAACATGGCTGACTTTGTACAAGGAAAACAATGAACACCAACTCTGGCCGACAACTGAACCAAAAAACGAAGTTGCAAATCAGGGTGTGGGGCGAGGGGGACAGCGTAAGGGTAACGGGGGATGATGCCAGGGTATCGGGGTCGAAATGTCCGGGTATCAGGGGGGAGAGGCACGAGCGAGCTGACGATTGGGGGTGGGATGCCACTCGCACGAGCCCATAGGGTCGGGAATGGGACAACGACAAACCACCCAATTGTAGATATAAGCCGTAAATCCGATCGTTTTGTAGTATTTGACGGGATGGGTGTCCGCAAAGTCATGGCCGTCACCGCCCCGTTTGTGGAGGTATTCGAGAAAGTGGTCGCAAATCCTTCCGGCCTTCTGCAGCACAATTCCATCATTTTCTCTGATGGACTTGATGTGGGCGAACAGAACCTCGCCCAGCTGCTTCTTGACCGTTAAACGCGGGAGAGTATCGCCGGACTTCCTGCGCAATGCTGCGTCGATTGCAGCCTGCGGAGGGGGGATTACCCATTCCTTCTCCAAGACATCCTCAAGGAAGGCCACAAATTCGGAGACCGTGAAGCCTTCGAAGGTGTACTCCTCATCCTGCTCCTTTTTCTTCCCCTGATGAGCAAGATACTGTGTATCAGCCATGATTGACTTGCAATCGGACTGCAACGAGTGCGTGTGCGTTCGGATGGCTCCGAGGTGGTCGTTGGTGGCCCGAGTCGAATCGGCTAGGCTTTTGACGGCGGTGACGATCTTCCTCTCGCTGCCCTCGACATGCTTCTTATAACTTTCGAGCTGCTTCGCCGTCACCTCCGAAAAGCTTTCGAGGAGTCCTTGCGCGAACTGTTTCAAGGGCTCCAAGGAATCGTTCTGCTGGCGAAACGGAAAACCCCAGGAAAAGAGAAGACGATCGAATCAGAGAAGTTAAGGCTAGACACAATCTGTTTCCACCCTCACTTACGGTGACACTATCGTTTGAGGCGAGCTTCGCCCGCTTCACCGCCTTGCTGTTACTGCGGGCTGAGGGAGCCTTGGAACTACCGATCGGATGTTCTGGAGTGCTGTTCTCCTTACCCCCATTGGGTAAGTGCAGGGTGTTGTCGGTAGGGGAGGCGTCGCCGGTTGTCGGAACAATGTTCAAGCTGACCGGGAGGAGGTGGGTGCTTGTCGGCGACGTGACGACGGCGACATCGTCGAGAGTGATGGTCGGGGAGGTTCTGTGAGTCATCGTGAATGCGACGCGTTTCTGAGATTTAGATTTCGGAGATGTCAAGTCGCACAGGCGTGTCGTTTGTATCGCTTCAAAATCATCATTTGTACCTCTATTTATAGACGCGCCGGACATAGTGGCAACCTGCATCGCCGTTTGGATGAGTCACAACACGCGTGCGTACTTTTGCGTCGGTTTCGGTCGGACATGATGTCCGAAAAATTCACACAAGCCACATCGACTGGCTGGTAAGCCACCTACTCTGTGGCTAAGCCACTTCATGACGTTGCTAAGCCACTCCGAAGCGTCGCGGATCCGCCGGACAGGCTCTCTGGCAGCTGTAAGCTCGTACGGAATGTTGACCGCCTGTTAAATATGCAAACGGCCATAGGGTGAAAGACATGTTAAAGTCCTAACATGAAAGAAAGAGTAAGGCAAGAAGGGACAAACGTCGAGATCACGCTCATATTCGCACGAAACGGGTGCATACTTCTGGAGTGTTCAAGCTGTTCCCAGGCATTCTTCATGCTTGTCCTGTTGAGAAAGATAACTTTTACAACCCTGTGCGTCGTATAGTGATGTCCAGCAGCCCAAAAAGCGGCCGGCTGCCTACGGGGGGGGGGGGGGGTCTCCCGGACCCTCTTCGACAGGGGTTGCGCGCCGAGAAGGCGCCCCTTCCCAGAGAATGAAAGCCACCATCTCAGCCTCTCAACGGGCGGGCTCAAAGCAGGAATCCGTGCAGCCTACGGTTATCATGAGAAACAGTTGTGTCCGGTGGCAAAAATGGGCTTTCATTGCCTGACAAGTGGAAGTCGTTCTCCGCCGAAGGTGATGGTAACTTCACCTCATGTTGTTGCTTTGGTGGTGGTTTCGTTGTTTTTTTTTTGGTCTTGATGTTGATAACATGAACGTCCATGCTTTCCATGCTCTTGGTGATGTGGTTGTGGTGTCCTAGATAATATGTGATCATACCCGGACTCCATCCGCTGTATGGTTTGCTGCTGCAAGCGGTATTCGAGATTCACAGTCCAGCGGCCATAGGAGCGCTCTCCGGAGCTATCAGTCGATCTGCCGTCAATTCGGACGGACTCTCCGGGTGACTTCAAAGGAACCACCAACCGAGCATTGCCTCCCACGATGTTAGATACATTGATGTTCTTCTGTTATGTTGCGATTCAGTGCAACATACAGAACGTAACATCTGCTCAGGAATTCACATTCACGCACGAGGAGTGCAGATTTCTAATCTAGATTGGTGTTTTCTTTAGTTATTTTGTTATGTAGAAGTTGAGAACTAGAGGTCTATAGGGATTCCATAGATACCATGAGAGTCCTCACCATAAGCGAGCCAAAGGTTTGGAAACCATCATAACAAAATAACATTTTGACCAGGAGAGGTTATCAACCCCAATTTACTTATTAACGGGTTGGATTTCAAGCAAACCGCTTGTTATGATTGTAAAACATAGCACAACAACAACCATAACAACATCGACAAACAACAACGTCAAAATCAGCATCAACATCAACAGCAACAGCATCGTCACCGCCACGTCATCATTGTCATCATTGTCTTCATCACCACTGCATCATGTCGATGCTCCCGTTACTCCGTCCGCTTCAACGTCCAACCTAGAAGAATCCGACCGGAGTTGTTGCAACTGCACCCTCCTTTGACTCGGTCCACTTTTTCTGGGACGTTCAGATTCATACCTTTGAGCTGCTTGGTGGTCTCCTTTGTAGATGGGCCGCGGAGCTTCTCGTCGTTATTCTCCCTATGCAGATGTTGTTCGAAGAGGTTGGCAACGCGGTGCGCGTGGATCTCTGCTTCAGCACTGGGCTCGAACGCCGAGTGGAACCAACTCGGAAATGGATTGTTCTCTGTCTTTTGCTCCTCAAGATTGGCGCTGACCTCCGCTGGTTCGGTGAGCTGTCGTCCTGTGGCGATGTGCTCCCGGTAGACTTCCATGAGCAGAAGGAGGAATTCGCCCGGCCACCGTTCCATCTTGGCACCAAGGTCAAAATCCACGAGCATTTCCTGGGGGCACTCCGGCCGCGGCGATTTCACAAACTTCACCTCAAAGAGGATAATCTTCAGACGTCGCCATAGCGCGTTCAAGTCAGTCCCCCCACCCGACATCTTCGGAATGTCATTGCACAGAAGTGTGGGTATAAACCGCGGGAGGAAAGACACGATTTTATTACTGTTACAATCCCGTGCGGATATGTGGTCGTTCCCAGAAAGGACCTTGATGAACGCACCGTTGGCTTTCTTCCCGGCCTCCAGTTCAGAGCAGAAGAGAGCTCTCTTGGTCGCGAGATCCACGAGATGTGGTGCTGGCCTTTGCGCGTCTGGCACTTCGTTGGTCAAGAAAGTAACCATCGGCTCCGCGAAAAGGAGGTGGGTGAAGACCATCTTGATGAACGACTTCAATTGAGACTTCCCATTTCCTCCGCATCCGGTCCAAATCGTCGCGATCTGATGGGAGTTCTTTCCCTCTAGGCTCAAGGCCAGTGTCAGCAACAGGAATTTCCGAACCCCTTGGTTCGGCATGATCTGCTGGAAGAAACGAAGAATCTCAGCGCGAAGGACCGGGTCGGATCTGCCCGGTATGCTGTGGGGAAGCAAGTATGAAAGATAGTCCTCCTGGCGATGTTCCCGGAAACTTCCATCGCGCGAATCGAAGACGCCGTTCTGGAAACCGAGGAGGCAAGGGTTGCTATCAATCGGAACAGGAGGTTCGGTCGACTCTCGAAGCCGCTGTTCCAAATCGGCCATCACGTATTTCCTGCGGTTGCTGTTGCCGAGGTCCTCGACGATCATGTTCAACCATCGAATCTGCTTCCGGTCATTGTAGGAGTCGCGTAAAGAAGCGTACGTTCTGCTCACTTCTCTGGTCAAGAAGGCTCGCGGGGTTACTCCCTTGTTCCAGTACGAGCCTGTGAAACGATACCAGTTCTCGTCGATGAACGCGTACTTCCCTTTGATGGCCTCCTCGACATAGGCAGCAATGTCGTCGGTGCGGCCCATGGTCAAACTCTCGAAGCAGAGCTGGTCCAACCTTTCGTTGTCATGCGACCTCGGAAAGTCCGCCATGCGTCCAAAATCCCGGATATCTCCTTTACCATCATCGGTCGCGCAGTTCACGTTTATCACGTTGTTATTACCTTGGAAGAGAACGTTCGTCACGCTGCTCGGGACAGTCAACAATGGATGGCCGGGTGTGAAAAGGGTTCGGAGACAGTGCAGGACGATTTTCCCAGTGGTGCTGCACTCGAGAAAGTTCTGAGGGTCTTCATGGTGCTTCTTGCACTTGATGCAGTAGAGGTCCCTCAACATGAGCCAAGCGCCCGATTCGTGGACTGCAGCTTGGTCTTCATCAAAGTCAAACTGATTTTGTGGATATTCTATTCGTAAACTGGCAAGCTCCTTGCCGATGAGATCGGCCCCGCTCCGTTTGTCCGCCTTCCACGCTAGTCCGCCATCGGTGGAACTTTTCAATACCCGACTGCGTAGAGCGTCCAAACTCTCGCATATTGGTTGTGGGATGGTATCGTATGTGATTCTTGAGCTCCGGGTGCCGCAGCCCTCGTCGTGACAGCGTATTTCGAGGGAGGTCCTATGGAGCAAGAAGTAGACGTGGTTCGCCTTGTGCTGACCTCGTTTGAAAGGACACGCCCGATCTCGAGTAGGAATGATAACCCCAACGTTTTCCTCCACCCTCTTCCCTTCCCCCTTCCGTTTGCCGGGCCCGGGGATGCGCCTGCTCTGGTCGATACATACGTTATTCCCGTCTGACAGGGAGAACTCCGTAGCTAGCCATTGCTTCAGTCCATCGTCTGTGACGTGGTCCCCGCTTGAGTTCGCCACGCTACCAGCCGCGTCAGCCAGCTCGGCTGTGTTCCGGAATTTCCCCGATGTCCGTGTGACGTCCGAGGTTCCCGTCGTCCGCTTTGTCGCCAGGCCAAGTGCGGCTTTCGCAGCGGGGCAGAGGGGTGTTACGCTGGGAACGGGTTCCGGGATGATACTGTAGTCGTCCAGATCTTCCCTGCAAATGCGCCGCCTGACGAATGTTGCGCTGTCCACGGGTTCGTAGGCGTAACGAAAAGTTCCTTTACCGAAGCGCATCTCGTATTTCTCCACGTCCCCGAGGTCCAGGCAATCCCCTTTGTGACATCCGAGGAGTCGCAGCCCCTGTCCGTTATAAACCGAGGTGTCGAGCCATTCCTTCTCCATCCCTGCTTTCAGACAGCCCTTCTCCAGCAGCCGCTTGCGCAAACGTTCACAAAAGCTTCTCGCGATGTCCTTGGTCACAGTGATGTCCGGACAGTTTACGTGAATCTTTTGCATGCATCCCTGCGAGATAAGTAGACAAGTCCCGGCAAAGCCTACCCCATAGGAGGCAATGACTTCCGCTCTGATTCCCTGCACCACCTGCCGATTACTTTGCAGGACCTCTTCGTCCGTTCCCACTTCGGAAACCTGAACATCCCAATCGAAGAACAGTCGGAACAGTCCATCCTGTGGTACGCGCTCGCACAGAACGCACGGTGATGATCGGATGTGGTCCCCGGCCTGCTGCATCACCTGGAACAGCTTGTCATATAGGTCGGAGCGCACATGCCCAGAGGGCACGCTCAACTTTGCGAACAGGCCTCGGCCGGGGAGGTTGAAGTGCGTCTGGTAACGTGCGTCGCCCTTCCTCATGCCCAGCTTTCGGGCCGCGTCTTTGTAAGTCTCGGGTGCCATCTCCATCCTTGTCGTCGTCGTCGCTGTCGTTTGCCGTTGTCTAACAATGGACAACAGAATTTTTTTCTTGTGACTTGAACGCGATGATGCTTCGTTCACCATGGTCGAAACTGATTTCAAAAGAGGACCGTCTGAGCGGTAGGCGAGTATCACACCAGAACGCAAGTCAACGGTAGATGTGTCGACAGTCGCGGCGAACGACCTCCGAAACTACGCAGGGAAGCCGCTGTCTCTGTCCATGTGGCATTTAGCACGTGCCGCATGGGTAGCTGACCAGGAGAACGGTCCACTCCGAAATGAATATCAAGCCAGCACGAGATGTTCTCCTTTCCGATGGTTGTCTAGTCAAAGTCAAGGATAGCGTTAGCGTGTGAGGCACACTTCACGGTCGAACTCAACAACGATGGCCGAATCATCCACCGACCCGCCGGTGACACACCGGCTTTTGGTGATCCCGACACTTGCAATTGCAGTCACATTCATCGATCGGACCAAGAGCGAAAGTGCTCCAGAGCCACTGGAACTCCTCCTGAACCTCCCCTCGATCTTTGTGCGAATAGCAAATGCGCCTCGGTCATGGATATGAGACGTCCAGTCTCCTCCGACCCGCAAGGAATCGTGCTGTACCTCGTGATGAATCTTTCTCCGACGTCCGCCGTGGACAATTTCAACACTTTGCCCGTCGCGCTCGTCTTCACCGGGATCCTAACAATCAGATCAATCTCACTGACTATCACGGCTGCTCTAGTTCTAAGATGTTGTCCCACCGCGGCAGTTCGTCCGCTGGGGTGGACATAGGGCCTCCTCCTCCTGGGGACAGCCACAGAAAGACCTTTCAAAGTGTGGTGTTCCCAACGTCCGTACCGTCTCTGTTTTGCCACAAGTAAAGACGAGAAGAAGTCCAACGTGCTGATGCGTGATATCCGTCGTGAAGCCTCTTGCAGGAAACGATGATCCTTGATCGCCAGATTCATCCTTGTCATCGCCGTGCCCGTTGTGCTCGTTGTGCTCGTTGTGCTCGTTGTACTCGTTGTCCAACGTCGTGCAACCCAAAATAAGTTCCCTCTCTTGAACGCCGCGACGGGGAGACCAACATCGGAAAGCACGAGAATGTGGCCGCCCTTCGACAACAGGCAGTGGCCACTACGTGCGTTTCGAGTCTTGAAGCGTTGAAGCCTACCCACCCACTCCTATAGCACATGCCGGTAAGACAGCCGCTGACTTCCACACGCCTGAACCTGAGTTGTGCACGCTAGCTAGTATAGCTGTAACTTCATCCGAGGTGTTCCTCCCCTCCATTATGGTAGACTGTATGTACAGTACATCTGACCGACGTGAAACGCGCTCTCCCTGGTCCATCCCCAGCACGATATCATCCCTAGGCTATGTACAGCTAGTTCGGCGCTCGATATTTACTCTTTTACCTGTCCTGCAATGGTCGCCCTCTTTGAGAATACGTACGATCGTGTTCACAGATAAGCCTAGGACCTTTGATAGCTCCCTGAGACTTTGTGCCTCCACTGAACTGGGCGAGCAGCCAGCCCAGATAAATCTGGCCTGATAAGAATATTTCTGTGTCATAATGGTTACAAGTGCACCCCCAAAATTTATTTTTCGCGAACCGGCAGTGCGAGGATGAGTTCTCCTGCGTCCGCTGAGGACATTTTACTCTTCTATGTAATGTATCAAAACGGAGACACGCACACCTGTTCCCGCCAACCCCCTGAATCTGACAACGGCAGTTATGTTCCTTATGACTTTGAGTGACTTCGAAAAGGATATCAGCGTGCGGTGTCCGGGAAGGAACAAGCTCTCAAGAATCCGGCAGCGTGATATCATGGCTCTGTGTCGAGAGTGGTTCCTCGACGTGGGCATGCCGTGTGATATTCAATCTGGCATGGAAACCTCAACGCGACACGGAGAAGGAATTCCAGCGATGACGCTAGGGTCTGCCAACCATGGGAGAGCTTCGAGGCCACCGAGGGAGGCAGACGTTCAATTTCGAGATGTGTCTGAGATACATCCCTGACCGTACCAGGAGGAGGTCCGTAGTCAGTTGGAAGACGAGCCCTCAGCGACGATGTCGATGCGATCATCGGCGGAAAACCGGTAAGGTTCGCGGCTTTCAAAATATCGAGGCCAGGGGAATGGATGAGTCGAGGTGCGTTCGTAGAGGATTTTGTTTTCTTTGTACATGTGTCAAAACAGACACGCATCTTTACACGTGGAAGCAATATGAGCGACACAACCAACTTCGACTCCAGGAGGAACCCTCAGCAGGCGCAAGTGGAGTATTGCAGCTCTTTGCTTGAAGCTCTGGCGCTGGATGGACGGCAATACGGGGACGCCGAAGTCTTCTCCTTTGTGGTCGAATGCTATGTGCGACTATTAACGCTGTTTGCAACAAGGATGGCGAACTGTGATATCACTGTCGATCTTCATTACATGGTGAATCGGTCCGAACTCCATATACCGGGTCCCGATGCAGACGCCATCGCCGATACGTTGAGATGTTGTGTCGCTAACAGCTATCCTGCAGCGAGATTGCACGTCAGGAAGTTTGCATCACACGTCGTGTTCGGTGTCGGCCGTGCTGTATAAAGATATGTCCGAGGGCGCGAGAGTGATAGGCGAGTACACCTCCTCTCGTTTGAGAATCATCTGCGTCGGGTATCCCGGACAGACCTTCGTCTCCTTCCTGGCGAAGTCACGACACAGGCGGAATGAATTTGACAGCGCGTAAACCTGTCATTTCCTTTCGTGCCAATCTCAATTCTACCCGCCCCCCTTTCGGGCCGCACAAACCTTCACTTTGACCGACGCGTCTGACATCGCAAGATCCATCCTTGTCCGCACTGTCTAACATTTGTTGACCGACGCAAATGTTGCATGTCATGTTCTCGAGCGGCATGGTTGTGATTTATCTGCCGGAGTTGAATCTGACGCTGGGAAGTAAGATGTTCGCACAGACAGACCAGCGGTAGAGTTCCCGACGTCATCTTTCCTAATCCTTTCTATCCGGATGGGCATCTTTCCTGCATACTTGCCATCCCCAGCGAGGAGCATTGCGGTTGAGCCATTGATCTTGAGCATCTGAGCGAGGGCTCGCAAGCTAGCCGCTTCGAACCTTTTCTCAAGGCCGTAGAGATCATAGGTGGCGATGTAGTCGTACTGTGAGGCCGGCATGTACGATGGATTGTTTGTGTTGTATAGAACCAGTCCGCAGATTTAATACCCCAATTTCTGACGCACTTTGCTCCGGAGTCGCCGTGCGTCACAACCGACGCCGCAAGCCCTGACAATGACAATCAATTTGGCAGGGCGTCACCTCCCGTCGATGGGGAGCGTCGAGCTATCATTTACCACTAACGTCCTGCTGAACACATCTTTATGCCGGGTTTGTGCATGGCGGCTGAGCGATATAAGATATACATGACCGTCAGAATGCATCTGAGGGCATGGATGTTGGGGTCGCCGACTTTGACTGCCCATCGTCGTGGTATCAAAACAGTGACAGGTCTACTGCCGGCTTTGGTGACTAACCTGACGCACGACTATTAGAGGAAACGCAAGGATGTACAGCCAGGGTGCCAGGGCAATGAGACATGCATGATTTCGGCTGTACCAACCCCGCACTACAAGTCGAGACTTTTTTATCCATTCACAGGGGATCAAAGGAGGTCTCGTCCTTGCAAGAATGGCTGTCGAGTTGCACGCCCGAGGACGATAAACGTGGAAGCAAATGGACGGCATGATGGCACGATATGTTGAAGTTGAGGTTGAAGTTGACGTTGACCTTGATGTTATGTTGATGTTGAGATGATGTTATGATAGAAAATGGTTCGCAACATGCGGTTCGCTGGAAATCCAACCCCCTCATAAGTAAATGGGACCTGACGCGCTCTCCTGCTCAAAGATGTTATTTTGTTATGATGGTTTCCTAACCTTTGGTCCACTTATGGTGAGGACATTGATGGTATCCATGGAATCCCTATAGATCTCTAGTTCTCAAATTCTCCATAACAAAATAACACACAAAAACACCAATCTAGATTTGAATTCTGCACTCCTCATGCGTGAATGTGAGTTCCTGGGCAGATGTTATGTTGTGTTATGTTGAGATTCAGCGCAACATAACAAAACAGTATTTCCCCTTGGTGCAAGGATGAGGGATAGAACATTGACGATACGTTTTTTCAACAAGACCCCGCGGAGTACGAGGCGTTAACAACTCGTGAGCCCGTTGTCTGTCGGGATTCTGACAAATGGCGCTTCTTGTTCAGGGCCCTCGCCCCACATCATTCACACGGTCACATGTTTCAACTGGCCCGTCTGGTCCGTGTTTGTTAACCAACGTTTACCTGATCTTGACCGCGAGGTGGTAACTTATACGGAGCGAAGCTGCCGCAGATGTACCAACAGCAACATGCGGGAATACGATATCGAAACGTCGCACTCTTCCGCCAGGGTCTAGGCAGCCGAGACCTTTACCTGGTACTAAGAGGGGCAAGATGGAAACAATCGTGAGCGGTGCCGAGAGGATCAACTCATTCCGGAACGATACCCATCTCCATTCACGCGGGCTAGCTTGGGGAACACTGCCACCGCCGAAATAAATATTTCATATAAGTCTATATTGCTGATGGTGGGTGGAACATTGGCAACGGAGTGCCGAGGGAAGGGATGTGGGAGTGATTTTATGGGGCGATAACTGCACGTAGTCCTCTGGACATCCCACTGCCCGAGCGGGAATCATCATATTCTGTTGCTGCATGGCGCATGGCGGCTAGGCGAAGACCTCAATACAAAGGGCACAGGAAGATATCTACCAACGACCGACCGGAACTTGCATACCATTCGCGCAACTCCACATGCCTGTTCGTTTCCCGAACAGCGGGAGGCGATGGGAAGCGAGAGGAACCAAGGGACAACCACATCCTGACGCCCTCTCTGCCTTACTCTTCGTCGTCAACCTCGATTCCCGTCTTCTAGCCGCTGAAAAGATGCCCCCTCACCCCGTAGAAAGTCTCATCTCTCCACAGCTCACGGTTGTCCACAGCAGCCCACCCCTCCAACCAATAAACGAGTTTCGGTGAAAATCTCCCATTTCATGAATACCTCGCCCTCTTGTGCGGTTCCGATAGAAACCCCAGGCTTTATTTTCACTAGCCACTGAATATCCACGTCCCCTACCATCCTGTAGTCGGTAATTTCCATGTCTCTACCCGAATCGCAAATCGAAATTTGGTCGATGAAATATTCATCTCCGTGTTCCGAGTCGTACACGCGGGTCAGTGGGGATATATGTGGCGGCGAGGTTGACATGTGTTTGACATGTTTCGGGTTTTGACAGGGCACTGACAGCGACGGGCTGTCAAGGCTTGCTGCCCAGATGAATGCTGAGGTGAGCCATGGTATGGACGGCGCCATCCCTAACAACTCCATATCACCTTGATCCTAGGTCCGCGCATTGACTACCTCTGTCATCCCCCTAGTGAAAATTTCACCTGTAGCGGGACATCATCAATGTATTTACGCCTTCTTCCCGCTTGGATTTCATGTCATGAAGTTGAACAGGGATATAACGTAAGATTTTGTTTATGAAAGAGAAACCCGGGTGAAGTATCCAGTATCCAGCAGGCAACGGTACAATGTACTGGCAGTATCTCGGAATATGTGTACTATTTATCTTGGCGGTACAGGCATTGCAGGTTATGCCTCGCGCAATGCTCGTGACGATGCACAATAGTTGGCCTACCGGCAGTCAGGGACATTCCATGGCTCATTCCATGGACGGGGTGAAACCTCTTGTACGAGTGACTGCAGGATTGAACAATGACCTCAACGCAGTGTGGAAACACATGAATGGGAAACGAGTTTTCCCCATCTTCCGCCGCCTGCTCCGTGGGCCCAGCGCTAGATCAGGAAAAGGAGGCTACATATACATGTTCCGAAACTTGAATCATGGAGGAGAACCCGATGACCAAGCGTGTTGGAAAATTGGCTGCACGGCAGCCAGAGTCGGGGTGCGAAAGCGCCTGCGTCAATGGGCAAAAAGTTGCGGCCACTCTCCCAAACTGATTGGTGAATGGAGAGTCACGAGATATAGCTTCTGTGAGAATCTCATTCATGCCGAGCTCAAAGCGCAAGGCAAGTGGTTGGGAAAAGTCCGCTGCGGTTGCAAGACTTCCATGCATTGTGAGTGGTTCCGTGGGTCGCTCCATGAGATGCAGGACGTAATCTCGTTCTGGGTCGACTACGTCAATCGGTTTTACTGATATGGTATCGCGAAAGAAAGGCGCTTGGGGTAATGGGTTCATAGGGATTCCTACATTATACGAAGCTATGATGGTTGACTTCCTCAGAGATGTTCAACAGTGATTCGTGCTTGAATATGCCTACGGATATCTATAGCGGTGTCTTACAGGATCATTGAGCTCTCATGCAGGAACGATGGTCAGTCGGATGGCTTGTTCGTGAAATAGCCCAGCCCAGAGGAATCCGGGGGAATTGGGCAATGACCCAGTACCGAAGCTACGAGCTGCGAAATCGCTGATACCGGACACAAACGCGCGATATCCTCAACCGGTGAGCTCCGTCAAAGATCCGTATGCAGGTTGGCAGGCGGTTCTTTCGTTGTACCCCTTCATGATGGGATGGAGTATGGCACATGATTACCAGCACCAGGGTCGATGCTTCGGCGGCTGTTGCTGGCCGTCGAATGAGACTCCGGATTCATCTTCGGCCGACTTCCTGTACTCAGCGACGATTGAAGTGGACAAGTCGCTTCCCCTTGGGAGAAGGCGGCGCAGTCACTCACGCGTTCGTCTCTGCTGCGTCTCCTTCCTGATCCACCGGAAACTCCGATTAACGCTGCGTCCAGCCCACCGCGTTTTTTGCGGTTAGCGTTTGTCCTTTCGTGCCCTCCAAGAAGTATTAATACCCGAACCCGCTCGCTCCTGATGGTTGCGACCAAAGTAAAGTTCAGCTAATGACCGGAAACAGGTTCGCAGCACTCGCCGAAGATGACGAATCTGTATCTGCGGTAGCCGCCGCAGATGCAGCACCTCCCCGCAGTCGGAAGCCTCGGCGGAGAATCGCCTCGCCTCCCCGCAACGTACGAGAGCCACCAATTTTCCCTGAAGAGGAGCCGTTCGACGATGATGCGGGACCTAGCCAGCACTATATGGTGTATAGCAGCACAACGATAGATCCGAGCGTCACGAAGGGCATGTACATGGAGTGGCGCTGGCCCCGCCGCTGCGAGGAGAACCCGACGGACCTCACCAACCCGTATTATATCGCCATGATCAAGTGCGGCTGGTCCGCGTGGTCCGCGGCGAAGAAGTTCACAAGGAAGCAGAGTTCGCTGGACCGGGCTCCCGAGTGGTGCTTCTCGCCACGTTTCGGTCGGAGTCGCACCGTCCTCGATCGGCCGGTAGCATCAGTGGGAGGCTACATGCTAGAGGCCGGAACCAAGCTATTCATTGCCGGGGAGCACGAGGACTACTACGACGATGACTTTTGCATCTACAACGACGTCACCGTGGTCCGGCCCAACGGCGAGATTCGCATATACGGCTACCCGACGGACGTGTTCCCGCCTACCGATGGACACTCGGCCACTGTGGTTGGCGACAAGATTTGGATCATCGGGTCCGTGGGTTATATGTGGACGCGCGGAAAGGAAGCGCAGGTCTGCATCCTTGACCTCGCCACCATGCGCATGTCCCGGCACACTACAACTGGCGACGACCCGGGCTGGTTGGCGGGCCACGTCGTGACTCGGGTTTTCGAGGACGCGATCGAGGTGGAAGTTGGACAGGAGCCGTGCCCTGGAACTACGGCCCGGTCGGGCAAATGGACGCTGTATACCACCGATTTCAGGTGGGAGAGGAACACTGATGCGAACGTCGTTCCCGAGAGGACGTCGATGGACGAGGCCAGCTGTCGCGGTCTGACCGCTGTCCTAGATTTCTGGAAGAATCGTGGCGAGCTGTGCGTGTACGTGGGCGACTGCATTCGGTCGCGTCGACGTCCTGGAATGGTGGAAGAACAGTGGGCTGACTTGCAAATGGGAGGCGGATCCCCGTTGGCTCAAACGGACTTGTGCCAGCAACCCTAATAAAGCCGCGGTGAAGAAGTGGTGGACCGAAAACCAACTGAACCTCGAGCTTCGTTTTGGAAGGTAGCAGGGCGATAGACAGTGTTAGATTTAGGCTTTAGGCTTTAATTTACGATGCAAGGATAATAGGCATGTTCGTTCATATGTATCCCTGAGCGGGAGCGCGTCTCATGTAGATGATAGATAGTAGATCCAGCCGGAGAGGCTTTCATCTGTTGCTGTCGTTTAGATTGACGATGTTGGGAACCGGCTTCGAGCAAATCGTGTCATTATCATAACTTGGGCCGCACATACCGCGACCCCACCGTACTCTTTTCGCAATTCGTTCTACAGCAGTCTTCACCTTCCCCAGAATAAAGAGTCTATGCATTGGTCGCCGCTCGCATCCCACCCCTTTTACCCTCAGAGCCCAGTCACTTCTCGCCCGTCGTTGCGCAAACCGAGACAAGCTCTGTATTGTTTGCAATGGCCACGGCGACACGATGCTCCTCAGATGGACTTCAGAATCCTCTCGCTGCAGAGTAGCTCGTACAACTTATCTTCCGCTTCCAAGTGCACGTCTAAAAGTGCATTTGCTATGTCCGATAAGCCCCGCCGAACACCAAACAGCAAGGCCAAGGAAACTTCTGCCACAAAACGAAGCATGTTTTGCCTTGTCCTCTCCCTCACGGGACTCCCTACATGAAAGCTGTGACTGTACAGATCCACCCACACCTGCCTGCCCACTAAGGACATGTCATCCGCTCCAAAGGGCATGTCGGAAACCGGGTCGTTCATGATACCGATGTATGTGCAGGAGGACAGCCTTCGCTCTATGTTTGCCGCTTTGTCCCGGGCGGCCACGCGGGGGCCCGCAATCTGGACGCAGTGCACAGGGTTCACCAGCATGCTCGCTGCGCAGAGAGCTTGTGCAGCCCCTAAACTGTAACCGGCGAAAATGACGCTGGTTCCATTCTTCCTTCGTTTCCGTCGCAACGCTTTCGCCACCTCGTCACGCAAACAATCCATGAGCGTCCTGCCGTTCGTGTTTTCCATAGCTTCGTTCAGCATTCCTTGGTGAGCCAACGATAAGCCATGGTCTCCGCAGCGTTTGCTGTGTACCGCACGACATATGTCGTACAGGTTAGCGAGGCAACGATCTGAGCGTCTCGTGGGCCAAAGCGCGGCGGTATCCCATAAGGACCTCAACAGGAGACCGGGGAGACCTTCTAGGATCGTCGGTCGAAAGCAAACCCATAAGGCCCCGGTGGCCGTATTTTCTGCGATCCTGACGAAGGTGCGATTGCCGTGCTGATCTCCATAGCAGGCCACCAAACGATACGTGTCCTCCTTATTTCCGAAAGGTTGCACGTACTGTATCTCCGCTTCTTCGCTCTCCGGTGTCGGTTCGATAGGGCTGGTCAGAAACAATACCAGTTGAGCCGCATCTCGTATGGAAAAGGACGAATGTTGCTCCAGGAGACCGTTCCGTCGTTCAGTGTCCTTCGCACGTCTTTTGCCCATGCTTTGCCCTTGGTGTGCCCCCGTGAACGCTGCAGTCTCTTTCCTGCTGTCGGCACTTTTGAAGCCACACGCGTGTCGTGCCCGACGTACTGTAAATTACATCGAGTCGATTCCTCGTTTCACCGGTGCAAACCTTTCTCCGGTCCCAAAGCGATAGGTACTACTGGTGCAGTCCGGCAGTCCAGTAGGCGCTACGGGCACAGGTTAAGTTGTATTGGCGACTGAGAAGGACTTCCTCATGTCGTCGTTCAGCACCCGCATATGGATTGACATAACACACAAACCAACACTCACACAGCGAGCACCACGAACCGGAACGTTGACCTGTCACCGGACGGGCAACCCGAAGTAGAAGGAAACCCAGCAGTTTACCAGCGTGACTTGGAGCACAGCAATGGGACGGACTATTACGATCCTGACCTGGAACATAGACGCAAGGATCGAAAACAGGGCAGAAAGGCTTGCCGCTGTCGGCGAGACTGTACGGAAACTGGACCCGGATATACTCTGTTTTCAAGAGGTCTTATTGGCCACCTATGGAGTCTTACAGCGTCTACTTGCTGCGGGCTGTTATGTCGATTCGGGATTTGCGCGCAGCGGCAGCGGCTTGCAAACGGTACTCTTCGCTCGCGACAAGATAGCCGCCGATTTCGAGACCGTCCCTCTCGCGAGCCGTATGGGCCGGACATGTGTTTTAGCTCGATGTCGAAAATTGAATCTGACGGTCGCCAGCTGCCATATGGAGTCTTTCAAGCACAATGTCGGACGCCGGTCGGAACAGACACTCCAGATCCATAGGGCTTTACTACCCGAAAACGCCGTCGTGTTGAGCGGCGACATGAACTTCATCCTTCCTCAAGAGGGTTTCCCCTCACCGTGGCTGGACGTTGGGCCGAGCGAGTACACGTACGACTCGCTGTCGAACACAAGCATACGAGACGGGTTCCGGTCGCGATTGGATCGCATATACGTTAAATGCGTGGGTAACATCGACTGCCGTTTAGTGGGGACGGAGCCTGTCGATGGCGTGTTCCCGAGCGATCATTTCGGAATCTACGCGGAACTTACGCTCACATCTCAATCTGAAGAACCACCACCAGGGGGTTGAACAGTTCCTCGCCAGAGGCGCACGAGCGCTCCTCCGATAGTGCCGTTTTCTGGGCAGGATATGAGACAGGGTTATATGTCGAGCGCGATACCCGCAGCGATGCGTAGGACCGAGGGGTCACGTTCTGGGGGTGGCGACGGCGATGGACAGAGGATGACCGCACCTGGTTTGTGGCCGACCAGATGCTGTTGCGTGTCAAAAAGGAAACAGCGGTCATTTCGATTCCGTCGCCCACCGGGTCGGGTGGATCAGCCTGCCCTCTACTGTTTGGTCGAGGTGGCCGGCCGTGCCGGATTCAGTGCGGAGTGTGCACCTAGGTATAGTCACCTTTCTTCCTGGAGGACCTCTGACTTCATCAATGCTTCATGAAACTGGAAGATCGATGAACAACCGGGTGCTCTGCGCTGTCGAGTCCCGTGTATGAGTGGCATGGTCAACTGCCTGTCAAACGGGACCGAAATGCACTATGCGTGAACAACCTACGAGGCTCTTTCCACTGGATATATCGACATTTAGTCGACCTATGCAGAGACATACATTGATGAATGAATGGTGGAAGTGGAAGAGCTTATCAACCCCTGTTGAGCTGGGTTGCGAGTGAAATTCAGTTGCTTTCTGCTTGTAACAAAACAAGAACAGACCCGCCCTTTCATTTTGCATCGTCATACGTTTCCCGGCAGAAACTGGTCCCCGCTTTAGATGCCATCCTGCGAGGCGCCTCATCCAAGGATCTGTATATACTCGACGTCGCATTGGCGACGTGTTAACTAAGAAATACAATACTTTGTTTCCTCTCATCTAGAGGGTGCCGTATCTTTGTACATTCACCGTAAACGATATCCTGCCATCGTCCCCCATACGTGAGCGGTTCATCTTTCGAATTCCTCCGGAAATCAAATATATTTGGGAAATGAAAATACGCTACTACAAGGCAAGGGAGACTACATTGGAACAAAATTACATAACTACAAGGCAAGGTTGACTACATTTGTACCCCGATCCAAGATGCTGTGAGCGCTTCTGGGTTTCAAGTGCAAACGGCATGGGCAGCTCCAATCACAAGGAGTCTCCCCATCCATGGCACAGTTGCCCATCAGCCAGTGGCATACCCGGTCATCCGAATCGCCCGCGTAATAAAACACCGAGGTGGCTTCCGGTGTCATGCACACCTCCCACCACGTCTCCTGGGGAACTCCCTCGTCCAACAACGTCACATCCGTGGTTGTCTCCACAATTAGCCCACAGTCATCCCGGATGAGATATGTTTTCATCGACAACATTTTCTTGTCTGTGATGGGTATCGCAACTTTGAAGGCTTGTTGAGATCGTGTAGACGTTAAGGGCGACCTACTATCGGACGTAGTGATCGAGAAGTTGATATCCTTGACTCGGGCACGTCTTGTGAGGTGGTGACTGACAACAGCAGATGCCTTCTTGAAAAGCTCGCGACTGATATCGGTTCTTCCTTGTATCAGGAGGAACTGGGGAAGGTCGTCCCACGATAGACGGTCAAAATACTTGTTCGAGATCTCTTGGGGAAAGGAGGTGGGCATTGTGGGTATCGTGAGGAGTGTGAAGTTTGCGGCTGTTCAAGATTGTGGGCAACCGAAGGGTGAAGGCCGACGTTGGGTTGGTCCCGGGAGAATGTTTGTGTATGCAGCCAGCCCCAGGATGGTGGAACCAGAGACTGGTATATATATATGTACCTGCACCGTAGATTTGTCTTTCGGCCGTACCATGTCGCAGGACGGGGCTTGAGATCTCGGTTGCTCATGCTCACTTTATTGGCGTGACAGGAGATACGTCACTACCATGTGGACAAGCAAGGGTGCTCCCCGAAAGTTTTCTTGACGAGACTTGGCATAGGACGGTTTGGTTATTCGCCGATAGCAGAAAGGGGATGGGGAATGAAGATAATGATAGTGACGGGGAGTGTAAACGGCAATTGGAAAGGGAAGGGGGGGGGGGGGTTCTGCTACGCGTCCCAAGATGATCACGAAACGCGTCCATAACAGGAGACTACGCTAAAGGGTGTAGCTCGCGGCACATTGCGGACGATACACGCGTCAACAAGACACATTACTTTCTCCAAGCATCCAACCCGGTTGCACGCCCATTTCCCTGCGACTGCATGTTCGAAACAACGATCATCATTGATGTTTGATGTCCGGCGGACGGCACAAGCCACGGTCATTGTAGCTAGCCGGCATTGCAAGACCGGGACCCGCCCGACCACTCTCATCCCGGCTTGCGTCCGTTGGGTGTGGTCAAGAGATGCTGCACTCTGGGACTTCTGATTGAATCGTATGAACGTCCTGTATTGACGAGCGATTGGTAGGTACATGCTCGTAACTGGTACATTTGTTTTGGCACAGCGGGGACTATTTGGGTATGTTGCGGCCCCCCTGTCCACGGACGCCCCTTACGCCGTAGCTGTTTGCCAAGGGCTGTCCTGTGTTATCAAAGCGGCCCAAGTGGGGAGGAAACGAACATCGCCTCACAGGCTGGTGATTCATCCTTGCACCAGAGTCGAAGTTCTGTGTTTTGTTATGTTACGGTGAATCCCTGCCTATCGCAACATAACATTTGCAGAGTAGCACTGGCTGTACAGATGGAGGTTAAGATATACGGTTCAGGAGGTCGTTTTCTTGTTATGATATTATAGAGTATTTTTCATGCATACCTGCAAAGGTACAACCAGGAGCAGATCAATGTTGAGTTGAGAATCATAGTAACGTGACAGTAACTCGGCGAGGACAGCTAGCAAACCCCATTTGCTTCCAACCAGATTGGATATAGAGGAAACCGGATGTTATGATGGGTCGGTCATTAACATCTACATAACCATCATAACATGAGAACATAAAAACACTCCGTAGCGTATCATGCATTTTCCCGTTGCTCCATCTGCTTGGGCTGTCACACCACTCACATCAGAGACAACATGGAGCCTGACAAGGTTTATCTGTTCCGGAATATGGCAACACCATTGAGGGGCGTTATGTGATGAGGGATGCAAGATATCAGTCCCTCACCGCGTGTCACATCCGACGTTACCTTCGACAGAGGGCCATACAAGCCCATACAGCTGGAAAAGGAGCAAACATAGTCCCGAACCTTCACCGCCATGTTCAATATCAATGCATCTCCGCCGGATATCTTTCCAAGGCTACGACCGTCTTCCAGCCAGCTTTCCGATTTGACTCAGGAACCTATTCAGTGGACGGATGCAGTCAGATCACGTAAGTAAACCGACCTTTGTCCCTTGCCTGCCATACAATATGACGAACGTCGCCGCTCGTGACCTCTATAGCCTCACAAGAAGCTTGAGGCTTCTAGCTTGCACGCTTTCGCATCGACGATGAAGATTGGTCAATCGACGGCCATGCTCATTGCTGCTGCGCCAAAGGTCTTCTTTCCCACGACGACGCACTCTATCTTTTCGAGACGTTGAAATTGGCTGCCTGGGTGTCGGTGCGTCGATAGGCATGTTGTGGCGAGAACATGGTGCTCAATTTAGCAACAGGGGTGAAATGATGCTCTGATTAGATCAAAGGAAATGAAACTTACAGGTGGAACAAGCCAAGCATAATACTACACTCGGGGCCTTGCCCTCTCCAAATCTAGACGGAACCAAACAGCGTGGTATGCGGCGTAGCTCCTTACCTGTATCAGATGTCTTTCTCTTCAGCCGGTTGCCTGATCAATTGGGTGCATTGTCCAATTGCTCAGATTTCCGATCCAGTGGTCTAACAACCTGCTATTTTCGGCCACCACCGGAAATCGTGAAGCGCTCAATGATTTCGCGCTGTTGGTGAGAGTTGGTGAGACAGACACACTGCAGCTTTATTTGGCTCTTTCTACTTGGCTGCAAGTGCTTGAAATGCAATTACCTTTTTCAAGCTGATTTAAGGCCAGGGTTCATGGTCGCGTGTAGGCGTTGAGGACCAAAAGCAAAACCACCATTTGCAAACGTTCAAAGGCGTCCTCACCCCCGAGCGTTCGCGTTGTTCCTCTCGCACGAACGGTGTCTCTCCTGCTGTAAGCACATCCACAGTACCGGAACCCGAATGACACTCTTTCGTTTTCCTATTCTGCTACTTCTCTGCGGGTACTTGCTAGGTGGCGCCGCGGAACCCACCGCAGCGGATATTGCCGGCGCGGCTTTGGGTAGTCGAAAGGCCGCAGAGCAATATGCGGAAAGGCTCTTGTTCCGTAGCCATCAGGGACATGGCTTTGCCGCCGAACATGTCAACAACTTCGTTGAGAACCATATGTCGGACCATACCTCTGCCGTCGTGGGGGGCAACAACGAGAGGAATGGTCCTGATCGTATCAGGACAGGAAGCCAGTTCCGTGGAGGCGCCCAGCGTGTGCAAGTCAAATACTGGAAGACGGGTCTCCTATCGGTTGTCGACTGCTTTGACCCGAAAACGGGACTCTTCATGTACCTAAACGAGGACGGGACGCCTATGGTAATCGAAGTCGCCAAGGACAATTACGAGGCGGCGGTCGCCGCCATGAAGACAAGAATCATGCAAGGCAAGGTGCCTGGCGTGACCGATGTGGCTGCCGCGGAGAAGCTCAATTCCCGCGGGCATATTACGTATCTTCAAGCCAGAAACATTGCCCGTTTCGGAACCGTGGATGGGCTTTTCTTCGATGCGCAGACAGGAGCAGTCACATCGCTCGCTTCCGGGGGAATATCGATGTTCCTTACGTTCGCCGGAGATATATGGAAAGGAGAGGATTTCGATAAAGCTAGCGGAAATGCCTTCCGCGCCGGAGGGAGGTCACTGAGCACTTCAATCTTCACGCATGTTCTATCCTCGCAAGTGGCTCGCTCTCGCATTGAATTACTTCTCCGTCCTATGACGGATTCCGTGGTCAAAAAGCTAGGAGCGGCCACCGCTGCAACCATGGCCAGTACCGTTAGCGGCAAGACCATACACGGGGCCGCAGCGATGTCTCACATCTCGAAACTCATGAGAGGCACGATCGTTACAAACACCATCTCCACCACTATCATGTCATTGTGGGATGTCAAGCAGTACTACAACAGTGAAATCGGCGGCGGGCAAGCAATCAAGAACATTGGAAAAACCGGTACTGGGGTGGCGGCAGGCGGAGCGGGTTGGACCGCCGGAGCTGCTTTGGGCGCAACCGTTGGGTCAGTCGTTCCTGGCCTCGGAACAGTGGTGGGAAGTGTCGTCGGCGGGGTAGTCGGTTCAGTAGTCAGCGGTCAGCTCGGGTCGCACGTTGCCGATGTCACCCAAACGAAAGTCTTCCGCATCAAGGACGACAATGCTGTCATGATGGACTACATCCACCAAGTCATTGAAGACTTGGCCAACAATTATCTGCTGACGGAGGCGGAATTCGACATCTTGATGGACCATCTGAAGGGTGACATCTTGGAGTCCATCATGTCTGAGATGAAGAAAGCTAGGAAAGTGACCAAAATGGGAGACACCGCCCTTTCTCAGACCGCCAGACTTCACATCGAGCCTATTTTGGAAAGCATTAGAGAAAAGAATTTGGTCAAACGCTCTCTCCCAGAATCGGAGCCGGCGGACGGTACGAAAACCGGATTGGTGCTTGAATCCGCCTCGGAGAGAGAAGATTACTACCCCAAAGGTCAGACGGGACGGGCGTTGGGTGATGCCTTTGAGAATCTGTTCACATGATGGTTGTGAGAGGAGGAAACAGTTATTTTAGAACTTCTGTAGCTGGCGACAGCTGATACCTATTACACGCACCCGTTTCACGCGCGGATTACTGCCATGGCAATCATGGCTCTTTCTGCCTTTGCTTATCTACCTCTCTGATTTGCGTTTGTTGGAAAGGAGGGGACTACCAGCGTTATGCCCATGGGTTCTCAGTATCTGTAAACCATATAGAATGATCATAATGAAATCTACTAGGTACATACATCTATATTCGAGCGTCTGGTTTCCGCTATGTGGAGCCAATTGGAACCAGGGTATGAGAGCTGGCGTTCAACATGGCTAACACGCGCCGCAATATGCACTGTGGGACGCGTGAACGAGACAAATCCGAGCAGCCAAGCAGCCACCTCGGTTGCTCATCCCCATTTTGCTGCAACTGCAAGCTCGGAGCTCCCCCTGGGAAATGGGACCGCGGCTGGATTAAAACGCTGTATCGACCCGCACAAGCCGCTCGCTTGGGCACTATGCCAAGAGTGTCGATGCTCGTGTTCGCCGTACAGCACATTGCCCGCAACGCACTTCAGGAGCTGGTGCCCATCACGGACACCCTGATAGGGTGGATCGAGCATAACAAGCTCGACGACTCAGTAGAATGTAAGCTCATCCAGGAGGCGCTAATACGTGCGGTCTCCCGGGGTGGCATGGACATATACGAGCTTAGCTACGACGAGATCAGTCCGTCCGCCAGGGACCGCGCGTCCACAACGGTTCGGCGTTTGGGAATGCTCTACTGCTCTGCGCCCGATTTCTACAGCCCCAACGTCAACTCGCAGTCGACCGCATGGCTCAAACGTCGTTGGGTCGACTCCAGTCCACCGTCTATACTGGTATATCTTGTGCTACACATCGACTTTGCCTCTACCGGAGAAGCCGCGCCGGATCAAAGACGCAACCCGGCTGTGTCTGTATGCCATGATATGTGCGAGTTAATGGATCTGTATTTGGACGACCGGGCGCATGAGAGAATGTGTTACTCGTGCGTTCGACACGACCCATTGTCGATTGCGAAAACTCGTACTAGAAGGTTTCGCATCAGCAGGCTGGACCGCGGATCTTATGAGCAGCAGAATGGGAAGATATGGGAAATTCTTGGGACATATGAAGACCGGGGACCTAGAAGACTTGAACCAACCAGCATTGTAGCGCAGTTGCATGACTGGAGGGTGTACCTGCTTGTACGGGAAGCGGACTACGCGATGTCGCGATTCAAGCCACATGCCCCAGGGTTCAACCTGGGGCACCAACCGCCCATCTGGTACAGCGAGTTTGACGACGGTTTCCAGAGCATCGAGGACGACTACAAAGCATGCGTACACAGACAGACTCTACTCAAAGCAAGTATCATCGGCAAGATTATTGACGCCATGGCCCTGACGCACCGAAACGCGCCATACCACGTTCGGGTCCCCCCTGAGTCTGTATCGGTGCTTCCCCGGTGGACACTACTAAGATACCCCCGTCCGCCAGGAGCGCGGCGCCCGCGACCTGCGACGAGGATCGCTGAAGAATTGCCCATCGACCAGCTCTTCGACATCTTCCGGGACGACGGTGGTGGACTGTGATTGTTTAGGAATATCTGTCGCAGTTCGAGCCCGGAGATGCCTCCAGGGAACCTAGGGCGTACTATGTATTGGTGAGATCGCAACGAAATTCTTGAGCAAGATGAGCTTGGGCACCTGCGCCGTGTTGGGGTATGGAATAGATGGAATGCGGACGATGTACTCGGCGTCCGTCCGTGAACTACCTTAGAGCTCGCTATGATTCCACCAACTAAAAGGATTCCATGGCTTCCCAAAGTAATTATCGTAAGTGGATCTCCAAAACCAAGGCCGAACCCAGGACACCCATCCAAACCCAAAATAGAACATGATTATATCGAAGAGAGCCGTATATACGTCTTCCCTCTTGATCCCAAGTTTCATGCCCAGTGCTTGACCCAAAAGTATCGCTTCCCGCATGAATGCTGCTCGGTCCAAGTCGGACCCGTTCCATGACCCAAAACCCATGAAATCTTTCAATGCCGAAAGCCAGATAGGCAGCAGTTTCTCATACTTTTGCATGTCGGTCAGCTTTGGGTCAGCCCGGATCTCATTTGTCTTCTTGACGAATTCAGACGTGTAGGGTTCGGGCGATTCGATGGATGTCGTCCCTCCAACCCATCGGTTGGCCCGGATACGAGTTGCCATCGATCATCCTTCCGGCAAGGCTAACGTTGTACTGCACTTCCATCGACTTAACGATCTCTGATCGAGCATTCGCGGCCGTGTGCCACGCTATCGAGTCCTGAAGACTGAATTGTCAACAAACGACGGTTTCAATTGGACAATGGCAAGATTGCTCTCGCAGCCTTCCATTACCTCCTTTTGATTGAAAAAAACGATCGCATTCTTCCAGAATTCCTTCCCGAGTGCCTTGGTGTAGCGGTCCAACCCTTTCTGTAATCCAATGTCAAGCCTGAACGACATGAGATGATGCATCAGTTTCAAAACATCCGTCGGAAGAGACGTCGCCCACTACCCACTTATTGTTGGTTCCTCGCATCACGAAAATGAATGCGTTCACTCCGTATTGCAGACTCAACATCGTATGGGCAATGTCTGTCATGATTACGCCTTCAGGCATGTCGGTCGCTTGAACGCCAGGTGTATCGATTAGGCGAAGACATCCTTGTGCAGTTTTGAATACTTCCATCTGCGTCTCGTTCGTACAAGCCTAAATTGCCAGTCAGGACACAACCTAACATCAGGCCCAATAGGTATGGTCGCCCCTTACCTTCGCCGTATCGCCTTCGGCAAAAACATGGCTTTTCTTCTCCATTGACCAAGTTGATTTGAGTTCGTAGATCCGGTTCGCGGTGGTGGATTTCCCAACGCCGGTCGATCCGATGAGCATGAGCACTGTGGCATCGACAGTGCCATTATCGCACTTTGCCGCGTACACTGTGACGACGTGAAGCGTGTAGAATACCACGATGGAGGACCAGAACTGCATGGTCGTGATAGTGGCGGCTCTAGAACCTGGGACACGCAGCTGCGTACTCAAGGGTGTCTGTTCCTGCAGGACCACGAAGAGACCCGAATCAAGTAGATACTCGATATCCCGCAGATAGAGCCAGACTAACAGTCCTGCGATTTGCGTTGACGCTTAGCACTGGACGATGCCGTGGGCGGCTTTCCAAAAGGCTCAGGGTCTAGGAAATCCCGACACATGTCTCCTTTTTGTCCGGAGTCAATAACCAAGGAGGTCCCTGGGATGAAGCGCTATATTATGCGATACACTCCAGATGAACAGGCCACTTTGCCAGCAGCTGAGGAATGGTATCTTCCTCCGACGTATGAAAGGGGCGCTTTGGTGGCGTAAAAGCATCGGATTTTCATTGTTCGCACGGCGGGAGATGCCCTCATTGTCCGGGGACACAATGAAATTGAGACAAGAGACATCGCCGGCGTGAACCTTGTTTCCCCGCGAATTCGATGCTTCCATATCCAGCACCCCTGGAGTGCCCCTCGTCTGATGTCATTGACCCATCGAATATATCGGATCCACACACATGCCGGTGCGATTTCGAGGCGCGGTGAGTTGCACGGAAAAGGAACCGTTTCGACTCTGAAGGATATAATTGCAACTTATGCTGCGGGCTTCAAATAAGCTCGCATTGAGTTCACCACACGCTGGCTTCGATCACCATTGCATCGCGTGGATCGCCAAGCTCGGGGGCAAACATTGACCCGCTACAATCCTGTCATCCAACCCTCCTCCACCCGTCACCGCCACTATGCGGTTGTTCAGCTGGGGTCGGTCGTTCCTCGTGTGTTCTGGGTTCCTGCAGCCGACTAGCGTGCTTGCCGAACAGAATTCAGGCCTATCGAGGATTGTCGTGACCGGCAAGACGGGCGCTGGAGTTAGCTCCACAGCTAACGCGTTGATGGGACGCCTTTACGCCAGCGACCAACTCTTCGCCGTTTGCTCCAGTGCGCGTGTAAGTGACTTTCCCGACGACCGTTTGACCCATCCGTATTGCTACAGCACAGCGCCGACGACTGACTCACGTTTTCTGGACCGCCGCAGTCTTGTACGACAGAGTGCCAAGTAGAGGCGTCAAAGCAGAACCGTCTCGAAATATGGGACGTACCAGGGACGAGGAGTACGACCGTCGATTACCATGCCGCAGTTCCCGTGTGCGTCGACAAGGCTGGAGAGGACCAGGTGCATCTTGTCTTGATTGTGATCCCGGGGACCGATAACTTAAAGTGAGGATATACTTCTGCTTCAGCGCCCGAGCCCGTTCAAAGCATTTAACGCAGGACGAGGAGCTGAATATTCACGTATCTATCGAAAGGTTCGGTGAAGACCTGCACTTGTCTCTGAAGGCCATGGAGAATGCGTTTGGAAGAGCCATGTGGAGGAATGCAGCTATACTCTTCAATTTTCGGGGGAAGAACGTATGTGGTGTCCCTTCCGTCCGCGGAGACGAGCAATGCACGTCGAAGATACTGACGTTCGATCAACCTCTCAGGACACCATTTGGGCGGCAAAGGAGGCGGGTCGGGCGTCGTTGGTGGAGGAGATTGAGTCCAAATTCAAAGCTACGCTGGAGGGCAGAGTGTTCAAGGAGTCCTTCGTCGAAGACGGTAGCGAGCGGGATATCGATTGGGCGACAACGGCTATCGAACTTTCTCGGAGTTTGTCCCCTTTCTCCATCCGACCGGAAAAGATCCGACCGGAAAAGATAGATGATTCGAAACGTTCGTCGTTGCGGGATATTCTCGACCATGCAGCTGCTTGTATAACGGACTACGGGCATAGCTTCGCTGAGAAGTTCACCAAGCGAAATCCACAGCCAGACGACGGTAATGGTGGACAAGCAACCGGCGAGAAAGCAGCCGACGGAAATCAACATGGTATTTGGGGCATGATGGAGGCACCGCAGTGGGCTTGGGAAATGATAATTCAGAACTCGCAGCTCCCTGAGTGGGTGAAAGATGTTCTGCTCGGCAACGACACGCTCCTTCACAAGGCAGTCCTAGCCTTCATCGCAATTCCGTTGTTGTTCCTCATAATTCAGGTCTATGTCGGGTCGTTCATATCCCTTATAGCCTTCCTACAGAGGTTGCGCAGGTTAGCAGGGTTTTGAGCGGGATGTTAACATGCGACAACCAAAGAGAATTGGGCGGGAGTTATCTCTTCTTTTTTTTGGGCGGGCGGTGGGGTTGGTGGTTGTGTGCGGGACTGTACCTTTTCATTTGTGCGGAAGTTAGGTTTTACCTACCGATTGCAGGGCGAGAGCGCTGATTTTAGACTGCTTCACCTGTACTTTCCTATGCACATCATTGCTCGGGAGGGCGTTTAGTCAACCGCACAACGTGTTTAGATCCCACAGTGTACGAAAGCTGGCACGGGAGTAACGGGCAGTGCCCAGCCGATGATAACCTTCCCAGGTCGGGTTCTCTCCCTCCCATCCACGAGGAACTCTTCACCTGAACGAAGCAGGTCTTTTCAGCCGCTGATGATTTCCGAGATACGCAGCCTACTGTGTATGTGGAGCTTTAACGAAATCCTTGACGCTGATGCAGGGGATGACGGACGTCGATACCAGGCATACTAGTCGATGCCAACGGCATCTTGGTGCTCGCCCAATCATTCATTACCTGGCTGCTTCGTGAAGGAGGGTGCACATGCCGAGCGGAATCTGATTCAATTAACCAGGGAGAGACTTCTGCTCCATCTTCATTGAGTCCCAGGCCCAGGCACAGTGCGTCTCGTCGGTCACTCTCCCGCCATTATCATTACCCGCTTGTTCGCCCCCATGGGCCGCAGTTCCGTTGCTCTTTACTCTCAAACGATCATCATCTCATATTCGCCGAAACCGCGCAGCTCCGTTGCTCTTTACTCTCAAATGATCATCATCCCATATTCGCCGAAACCACGGCCCCATGCCATCTCAACGTAGGGAGATCCTTCCGGTCGTCTGTCCATTGCCTATTGCTTCTGGACCCGGACAGGAAGGAACATTCTGCGTAACCTTTACTGGAAAGGTCGGTACATTACGCGAGTACCTATCGCAACTTTTCGTCCTCTGCCCGCCTTCCGCTCATTCTGTGAAGGCTTGCGGAGGCCGGGGTCAACGATGCCGGTTGAACATAGGCTAGTGGTTTCAAAGCAAACCATCATCGTCGGTGCAGTCATTGTGAATTGCCTATGCGTTCCTGAATCTCACGTATTGCTAAGAGGCGAGTGTACGTGCGAATGGATCACTCAACAGTGACACTCGTGTTCTCAGGAGCACTTTGCCAACTGGCAACGACTAACTGGAATGCAGCTTTGTGGGCAGCCTATGAATGTATCGAAGCTCAAAAAATGGCATGATGGGGTTTACACTGGGAAACCTTTATACGCATGCATACCTTGACTCAGCGAGTGAATGCGGTCAAACGATCGCCTTGAAAATGTAATGTCAGGACGTCATATCATCAAAGTGGACGCTGCTTCCAGGCCAACACAACGGACAAGTCCCCGGTTCAATGTCAAGACTTTCAGAGTCCGAAATCCTGTCAGGGGTGTCATCGCCTTGCGGATAGGAATCGCCCGGTTCCAACAGCACGGTATGCTCATAGCGGATCTTCTTGATTATGCGTGCACACTCGACGCACAGCTCGTGTCCACAGCTGGGCAACTTGACGATGAGTGGTTTGTTCTCATAACACACCCGGGGAGTGGCGGTGGGAGGATGGAGATAGTGGGGGAGGGCGGCCAATCCCGCAACTTCGATCTGTCCAGCGTCTGTCCGGGAGCCCGGACATTCCGGAGCGGGATATACGGTAGCTCCACGACAGGTCCCTTGACTTTTCCCGTTCAGCTGTCAACGACACCGATTTCCGCGGCGTGAGGAGTCCCGTCCGCATTTCATTACGATCATCCTGTCCCTCGCCGTCAAAGTCCTTCCTGAGCCTCCGTCACTGATGGTTCGGAAGCGGCTCAAGTTTCGGACGGCCTTACTGCGTCAACGAGGGTAGTGCGTCCCCAGAAACATTGAATTTATTTGTGGACCGACTCTAAACAACGCAACAAACTGTCGTCCATGCCTGCCTCACGATACGACTACATTGCAACTTATGACCTCCACGGCGTAAGCAAGAGGTTCCAGGCTTCTAGCTTGCGATCTCTCGCACAGCTGCTCAAGATCAGTAGGTCCACCGCTATGCTTCTTGCTGACGGCGGTAAGTATACAGGTAAGATGCCTATCAGGATAGAGAAGATGAGAAAAGGTGTTGTCGCTGATGGAAATGTTGTTATGCGTGAGTGATTCTTACCACGTTGCCTTGCAGGCCCTTTGTCGCGAACAAATTCCGCATCGCATGCCAATCATCAACGTTGCAAGCAACGGGTTTGCACGACGGTTTATGTTGTCCACAGTCGCGACGTGGATGAGGATGGAGGCGGCGATTCGATGTTACGAAGCCGCTATTCGAGTTCTCTATGACCACATCTCTCTATGTGATGTAGCGGACTGGGAACCGCATTCAGCCGACATGCCTCAATAGATAGGCTTGGGTCTTCCCTGACTGAGGTGTGAGCTTCGCGATGTCAGAATCAACGAAGAGCTCGGTTATGTTGCGGGGAGGAATCGCTCTCGGGGTACTTACGGTGGAAGAACCACTGACAAACACCGCTTGAAAATCGTTCGTCGAAAAGTACCATTTGAGAATACCAGATCTTGCACTGCCTGGTATCTTGGTCTGGTAACTTCGCCGCGCGAAAACATCGAAAACGACTGTCGGAAATCGATTGCGGGGATCAGCTGGTAAATCTGGTATCTTCGGAACACCTTTCCGTTCTCAAGAAGTGACAGTGAAAAATTAAAAAAACTTTCCTCCTTTCAAATCTTCAGGTCAAAATCTTGAAATGAAAGTACCAAGTTACCAGATGCTCCACCCCACTCGACGAATTTGGCACTTTCGTGTGCCGAAGTTACCAGCAAATATACCAGCCATCTGGTAATCTGGTAAGTTTGGTTCCCAGGTACATTTCTGACAAACTAGTGCTGGCCAACACTCACGGCGGGGATTGATGGTAAGAAATAGCCAGAATCAATCGAGACCCTGCGTCAAAGTGGCCGGAACCCTCAGCATCCATGGGGGTCTGCCGAGCAACTTGATCTCCCGGCAAGCAACACCACCTCGCACAATGGATGAGGCAGCGGAGGCAGGGAGATGTCCAGGAATTCAACGTACCGAAGCATTTCACCTCTCTACCTTCTACGCATGCACCCTGGTGAACTAGGGGGTCCCGCTTGCGTTTGAGAAGCTTAAAAGTTGACGCGACCTATCATTGCTTTTAGCGCCACGGACGAAGTGGCGCTTGACTCAATGCCAAGCAAGCTCGCCAGACGCCGTGCCCGAAAGCCTGGGGCGTGCGGAGGACTACTTTAACATCGTTAATGGAATGGAGAAAGTACCAGATGTGCATACCAGAACCCCGACAGCCCTGGTATCTTATCCGGTATCTGCTCCGCGCGAAAACATCGAAAACGAGTCGAGAATATCGATTGCGCTACATCATCTGGTAACTTGGTAACTTCCAAAGCCATTTCTGTCACAGGAAAAGAAAGTGAGAAACAACAATCTCTTCTAATGGAATAATTCTCCAGATCAAAATCTTGATATGAAGTTACCAGATTACCAGATGCTATACGGCACTCGACTTTTCTGAAGCCTTCGTGTGCCGAAACTACCAGCAAAGATACCAGCCGTCTGGTAATCTGGTAACTTCGCCTCTGCGGTTTGGATGTGGAGCAGGGCAAGGGGATCGCATACAGGACATGGGCAACTCGAGAAAGCAAACGCGTTTGAAACTCGAGAATAAAAAACGTTGCCCAAAGTTAGGCAATGAGGACGAGAATAAGATTGCGATGACAACTGACGCATACAAAAGCTTGGTCAGGCAGTTGCGCATGGACAAGAGCTCCCAAGCACATCAGACGCACTTCAACTTCCCGGGCTTCACTGGAATATTTGCAAGGTTGAGCGTGCCCTCTGAAAAGGAGCGCAGGGATCTCTACGACATACTCTTCGCTGTGATTCAGCAGGCAGGTGACGACATTCGGGCGAGCCCATGCGTTCTGTGTGAACGCATACCACAAGATGGTCGATTTCGACTGTTCTTCGATTGGGATGTGAAGCTTCACGAAGTCGGAACCGATGACGATATTTTGCTGACCAACCAAACCGTCGTGCAGGGAATCAGGGACGAACTTGTTGCATCCTACGGTGCCGATTATGGAGATACGCCTCTTCTGGTCTCTGTTGGCTGCGCCCAGAAAATTCATGTCAACTGTCCCGGCATTGTCGTGACGAAAGAAGTTGCGGTCTTCCTATGTGAGCGTTTGCGGGTACGACTGATCACAAAGGCATGTCTTGCAGTGGACAAAGCAGATAAGTGTCTCGACACTTCGGTCTACAATGGTCAGGGCCTCCGCCTGCTTGGATGTCACAAGGGAAGCAGCTTGAAAGGCGCCGATGTTGAGCCATACGAAGCGCGATTCGGCGCTGGATCCTTCCGGTACGCTTATACCCCCGTGGACAGTGTTTCACTTGAGCGGCGCGCGATTCGGAGAGAGGATCTAGACGACTACAGCATCATTCCACAGCCTCATGCAACAGTGACCTTGCTTTGTGACGAGGCTGATGGAGACCTTCAATCGCGTAGAACTGCGAAAGTCCCCCGACAAGCATTGAAGAGGGGAGTTTCAGCCGAGGAGAGCGACATGACAGTCGATTGCAACAGCAACACAGAGGTGTTTTCAGGACCGGAGTACAGCGCGGTGCTAGGGAAAGCGACCAGCTTTTTCTCCTCCCAGTACGGGCTGACGGAGCAGTTTCACTCGATCATTGTACAAAGGGCCAAGAAAGCTCTCATTTTCAGTACGAAGAGCCGCAGGTGCTACATCAAAGGCGATACCCACGGGAGCAACAATCCCTACATCGTCATCTCCAGCTATGGGTGTCGCTTCAAGTGTCCAAGCTTTGAATGCAGTAAGGTGCCTACCCGGAGTATCCCTCTCTGCGATCTGCCGGAAGAGCTTTCGGAAGCGTACACGAAGGTCTTCCATGTGGAATCTTCAGACAAGGGAAGGAAGGCGTTTGCGTCTGGAGTTCGCGCCCTGGCAAAAACGCTCCCGAGTATGAACTTGAAGTTCAAGCCCGCAGAGGTTCGCAAAAGTGGAGTTGGCTGGGTGTGCGTGCTGCAGGAGAACACTCACTGTCCCAGTCATCAAAAGGAGCACGACCGTCCTGAGAACTATCTCATCGCGAATTCTAACGGGTGCTTTGTCGGCTGCAGGCAAGATCCTGCGCTGTTCTTTCCGTCCGGTGCTTCTGGTCTACAGCTGCCAAGCAGTGTGACCAACGTGCTCTTCCAGTATGTAGACAAGCGCACCTTCATTGTTGACAGCGGGACTTTAGCGGGCAACACCCCATTCATAGACGAGATCAAAGACGAGACACAGCATTTCGAGGACGCGGAGGCCAACCGGCTGTTCAAGAGTACATTTCGAGGAACGCACTCGGCGTACGCAAAGTACCTGTACCACTCTAAAGGCGCTCTCTTTATCTGCAATCGGGAAAGACAAGCTGCTTGGCACGTGTTCAACTGCCACCGCTGGAAGTATGACCCGGGCGCGGCATACCTAATGCGCTACCTCTCGTCCGATGAGAACCTCGAACCGTACCTCAGAGCGCGCAAGCTCTACAGTCAGGGCGACGAGGTCTCATGGAAGATTGCGTTCAACATCGACAAGCTCATTACGAGCTTCCAAAACCATGGGAGCCAGCGGGGTTTTGTTGACGAATGTGCGTTGTTTTTCAACGAACGCAGCGATGAGCTCGAACGGAACCTGGATGGGAACCGGTATCTGATCGGTTTTGCCAATGGGGTCTTTGACTTGAGGGAGCGCATGTTTCGAAAAGGGGAGCCGAACGACTATGTCAGCATGACTGTGCATTACGAGTACGGTGAGCCAATCGAAGAAGACGTCGGCGACGTGCTCGCCTTTATCAGCAAGATTCTTCCCGATGATGCGGTTCGCCACTACGTACTCAAGCTCCTGGGATCTTGTGTTTCTGGGGATACTCGCGACGAAAAGTTCCATGTGTGGATCGGAGGCGGAGCGAACGGCAAGAGTACGCTGCTCTCGCTTGTCGCTGCGGCTCTGGGTCAGTACGCAGCTTCGATGAAGGCCACGATGTTGACCCAAAAGTCACCTCCCGCTGACAACGCAACTCCAGGAATGAACAAAGCAGTTGGGGCACGTATGGTTGCCATGCAGGAAACAAACTCTGGCGAAAGCGTCAACGAATCGCTTCTGAAGAGCTCACTGGGTGGTGACAAGATAGACTACCGCCCATTGTTCAAAGAGGCGCGAGAGTTCTATCCTCATTTCAAGATGATCCTCTGCACGAACAACCCCTTGACCATAAAAGGGACGGACCACGGAATCTGGCGGAAGATCCGAATGGTTCCTTTTGAAAGCCAGTTTGTGGCCAAGATTGGCAGGATAGCCCACAAGGAAGGAAACGCATCAGTTGAGCCCATCGAACACTTGATTCAAGATGCCCAAGGAGATGCTGTGTTTGAGATGGACAAGAGCGTTAAAGACAAGATCGACGGGCCTTGGAAAGTCGCTTTCATGCACATGCTTATACGATATTATTACGTGTGGCAGGAGGAGGGGCTTGACGAGGTCCCGGACAAAATCGCTCAATACAATCGGGACTACAAGGAATCACAAGATATGGTTGGGAAGTTCCTAGAAGAAAAGTGTCAAATCGGTGCAGAGTACAAGGTGCACAGCAAGCCGCTATGGGAAGCTTTCTTCGACTGGCAGAAGACTGAAGCCCACCAGATCCGTCAACACGACTTCAGCCAGAAGCTCAAGCGAGATTCAAGGTTCACCTACTCCAAAGGGGTTGATATTAACGGGAAGAACAGTTGTGGTTACGCTGGGCTTCAGGTAATTGGAACTGCGGCAGCGTGTATGTGAGCAATCCTCAGTACGGACTGTTGCCGCAATGCGCCTCATGGGGCTACTTCGATGACCGACCTGAACGATGCACTGTAGAGAGAGACCTAATGCAGTATGTTTCCAAGGGCGTGCGGAATCCCTTCAAATATGCGCGAAGCCCATACATCTCGGACCGGCGCTGACTCTCACGAGTCCACCTGCCCGTCCCATACGAGTTCACCTACCTTTGGAGAGGCATAGTCTGCAATGTGATGGCTCACCTACCGGGGCTGCGACATCCCCCTGCGTCGATGACCTTCCGAGTGACGTCGTTTTCATTTAATTACATGTACCAGGGCTTGCGATGTAGACAAATGACTAAGGATCGGGCTGCCATGACTGCCAAGTGTGTGTCTGCATCAGGCCGCCGGAGGTCCATTGTTCATGACACGTAGGGTGAATTTCCCACCACATGCCGATTCAAGGAGGAGGCTCCGTGGGAATTGGCTACGACATCCCAGTAACGCGTTCCCATTGGCCGGTTCGGTTCCACACACGAACGACTGTCTTGTAATTAATGTGTGGGACGCGTCGAAGGAATTCCGCCAGGAGGCCGGCAATTTTCTCACCGTTTTCGCCTATTTCTTATGCCGTTACCCTTTCTCCTCTAGCGACCAAATCCTATTACACTTCCCACCAGGGGCCCCTCTGCTACACAAATGATCCGCAGGTGCCCCTTATAGCTATTGTACATATGCTCCACGTCATAAGAAGGGGTGAGCACATGAGCTTGCAAGATCTAAGGAATACGGACGAGCAAGGTGCCACCAAACTGTCATAATCTTGCCTTTTCCTTCAATCCTTCGAATCAGATGTCGGTCGGGAAGACTTCTGAGGCAATACTGTACAAACGCACTTTCATTCTCGAGATTGTTACATTTTCATTGTGGAGAATAGTCCGACGGGCCAGGAAGCAAACCCATTGCCAAGGTGAAGTATGCATTAACACAACTGTGCAATCCACGAAGATGGGCCTTGCGTCGGAGGGCTCTGCCAGGGGGAGCATTCAAGAGAGCCAGCGCGTGCCAGGGGCGATAACCCATTTCCCCTTATCTCTCTCCCTCACAACCTTCGCTACACGGTTTTCTTATTTCCATTCCGTTTTCGTCCTCATGACGCGACGTTTTTGTCCGTCCTCCACCACTTGTTCATCCTGACATCAGTATAAGGTGGGTGGGATCAGAATGGAGGGACAGGAGAGTACAAAGGGATGGTAAGAAGCTGCTTGTCCTGCGACTGCGACTGCGACCTGCGACCTAGCAAGTTGTGGGCGATCGTTTCTCAACTCGCTGGAGCTTCCCCTCCCGTACCCGTCGTGTTGGCCTCCTGTTTCTCAAGCCAAAAGTAAAGCCCATCACATCGCCCGGTCTTCTGTACGAAGGCGTCCCCTTGTACTGCTCACTGCACTGGCCCCAGTAACACCTGAAGAAAGCTCCTTCACGATCCACTGCCGGCAAGCACCTATCCAGACACCAGGTAAGCCTCACTCGCCTCGATTTGTTTCAAAATCAGCGAGGTAACCCTCCACGACCCGATACCAGCGAGGTCAATCTCCGATACGCTTTGCACACCGATTCCCTATCAAGCCATATCAAGCCATCTTTGGTCCAGAAGCCGCAATGCACGCAGCCCTGACAGTTGACCAGAGTCATGAAACACGTCGTCACACTTCCCTGCCTGGTAACACTTTGCACATAGTTTGCTCCAGCAAATCCAGAACCCAAGCTGACGTCAATCATCATGATTTTTTGCTCATAGTGAAGATACATATCTTGCCAATCGAAGTTCTTGAACGCATTGCGGAAGCCGCAGCGGGAGTGATGAACTACGACCAACTTGTGCTCTTCCTCTACATGATACGCACTAGCAGGCGAAACCTTATTGCTCGTCGGGCTGCGTTCATGACAGCCCGGAGCATCATTAAAGACCATCTTGGACGACGCAGCACAGCAGACAATCGGACCTACCCTCTCGATTTTGTCAGTCGGAGCTTGACCATCCCCATCGATGGTACGAACAAAGAACTCCGCATTCACTCCATGATTTGGGGTGCGAACACGTATCCGGAAATCCCTTCCAAAGAGATAGTACACTGTGGCACAGTGAAAAATCGCTGGATGCTTCAGCCGTGGACTGTGCACATCGATGAGTTTGGAGCAAGCTTGATCGAAACGGTTGACGGTCATGAGATTCCGGAAGGATGGAACGACTCTGGAGAGTACGAGGAGGGTGAAGAGGAAGATGAGGAAGATGACGAAGACGAGGAAGATGACGACACGGAATCGGTGCATTCGGTAGCCAAACACTGGTTATGGGGCGCGTGTGCTCTGTCTGAATCTAGAGACGAGTTGTGCGATTGGCGTTGTCCTTGCCGTGATCATCTGAAGCCTGCCAGCGCACGAGCGCTTGAGCCTCGAAACACTGTACCTCACGAATTGTAACTTCGCGCAACAGAATAGATTCAGCTCTCCATATTTTCAATTCATATACTTCATTGATTCCCCTTCATCTGTGCGGCATCATCAAACATAGTATCATTCGATGCCCCTTGCGTGGTTTAAGTTGAAGTACACCTTCAACCTTTTCTTGTACGGGCATATGCCGTTGGAATATCACCCTTTTCCCTTTTCCATCAAATGCCCGCACGAAATTGTCACGATATCACTCCTTATTCATTTGGTAGACCGTCACTGACCTGATCACCATCCGATGTGGACCTTACTCTTCCCCAAATGAGCCTGACCCGATAAGCGTCGCATAGCCGTTTAACCTCGCGGAGGTTCTTAGCGCCAGCGTCACGCATGCTTCTCGGCTTTTGACCTGTGCTTGCCGAGGCTGTTCTATTCAACTGCTTTGCGGTGTGGGGGCGACGGTGAACGAGTCGATAGGGATGTCTAACGGGGTATGATCAAACCGGATTGTCCCCGTACACGGCAATAGAAGACGGTCATCGTCCCTGTTCCGTCCGTCTTCAGAGGCGATCTTCACTTCCGCTCTCGCCAACAGTAGCTGTGACCTCTCACTCCTTGCCGGCGATGCGAATTGGCAACCAAGCCTCTTCTTCCAGCGACGGAACACTCAGATGCATCCTGCTAAGAATAGTGTGTACCGTGGACGGTAGCACAGTACAGCGGTAGCCGCATGGCGAAGGGTATCAACCGCAAGTGAGCCGCGAGGCAGAGATGCCCAAGGGTAAGATTCTATCTCATCGGTTTTGGCACAGCTTTCAGTTCATGTCCCCACACAAGAAAGTGGAGGTGCCCCTACACCCGCTCGAAGAAAGTCACATCGTTACAGGAGACGCTGTCTTTTGTAGCTACCAGAGCTCCAGTTCTCAAGACAAGCGAGACGTATGGACTGACGCGGGAGCAGCACTTCTATCTTTCGCTACTTCTGGCAGTTCCCGAGAACCCTTTGACAGCGCAAAAGGCCGTCTTTTTCCTTCGTACTGACAGTGTGCCGTCAATTTCCAACTGGGAGCTTGACCCATGCACCACCCAAGCGAGATTCTTTGTACCTTTCCTTTCCTCCTTCGCTTACTCATTGTTTTCCATCGGAGGGTCTCCGAGATGTGGGGTTGGATGTGGGCGGGCTTTCTCGCATCCCCGCGTCTACTATAACATGCAAAAGAAGTGCGTTCACCGCCGAATATTATATTCAAACCTGTAGCAAAAGAGATACACAACCCTCATAAGATTCAACCTCGATCAGGAGGATGAATATCTATCCTCCTCCTGGATTGGGACCGTCGCCTACAGGAACGGGACCGTCGCAATTCTGGCTACGGAGCGCTCTGACTACGGCTCTTGATATACCAGGCGACCACGGTGATTTGGAAGTATTCAGTTATGTGGTCGAAAGCTATATTGGTCAACTTGCATCAACCGCAATTGGTGGCTCAAGCCTGGATCTCACAGTCAATATCTTCCGTTTGGCAGGCACATCGCAACTCTATATACCCGGCTCGAATGCCAGTGCATTGCGAACTACTTGATGGCCCGCGCCAAAAGATTATTTCCCGCAGCATCGCTGAAGATAACGAAGCTTCCCTTGCATACTATCCTTGAAGTTGGTCGGACGCGGAGCCGAGGGTGAAATCTAGTAACCCCATATACCTCTTCACGTCTCAGCATCTCAGCACCTGTCTTTCGCACATGCTTTCACTTTCCGACCATCCAAGTGGCCGTTGTTTTATTCCATAGCTTCAGCACATGATTGTCATTAGCGTTTGCTGGTTTTGCGGCGTTGGCTTGGGCATTTGTCTGTGGTATGCCTCGTAAATCGTCCCTCTTGTTCGAAGAAGGTTCGATCGAAAATCCTGACCAGGAACCAGAAGCGAAGCTCGGGCAATCCCAAGTGCCAATCATCCTCCCAGTCTTGCTCCCAAAAATGGACCGAAGTTACGTTGTCCCCTTGATTCTGCGTCGATGATGCGCGGAGTATGCTACAATGGGCGCCCTCGCTCATGCATGTCGGCACGGAGCCAAACAGCGTTGGACCGCCGGTGTGGCTACGTATCTAGAATATCAACTATCGCGCGTAGGACAGGTTCCGCTTTGTATTCTTTTTGATTAAACCCGTTTTGACACAGCAAAGGAGCGTGGCCAAGCTGTGGTGGTGGCATGAAGACACTCCCAACGTGCATTTCGTCGCCACCGTACATTAAAGATCTATCCGGTCGATTGGCTGCTCGGAGCCACATCTGCAGACTTTCCATCGGCTGCTCCGCTCCTCCTACTTTCCATCGGCAAAGTATGTACGACCAAGGAAAGAATATTCCCCTGTTGTTATATTCCGCTGGGGCATACGGTCCTATTGGTCCCGAGCTATATTCTTACGACTGCCGGTAACGCTTGGGTCGTCGACGCGGCAGCCCCTTGCTCAAGTCGCACAACATGGGTCAATGATGTGAGTGAGGCCCGGCATTCGCATCCAGAAAGTACTCCTTGCATAAAGCAAGAGAAATTGCGCTCTTGATAAAAGATCCATGACTCGGACCAGCTAACCCCGCTACTGCATCGGTAAACACATCATTTTCTCGTTGTTGCACATTGGTTCTATTCTCATTTTCTCCTTCTAGCTCCGAGCGGGCTCAAGATGGTCAGCCGGGTTCCCTTAAACATGAGCAAACGGAGTGCAGCTCTCAAAGATGCAAACCCCAGAAGCACTCAGCGGTGCCACTCAATATCACACGTTTGTCATAATCTGCCACCAGATTCCCCGTCATTTTGAGTATGGTGTGGGGGATGGAACGATCAGCCTTCCCCAAAAAGAAAAGCCTATATACAAGTAGCTTGGTCAGAGCCGGGCCTCAAGAATGTTCATTTATCATACAAGCATATGGCTTCTTCTCCTGATAGCACTATGTGTCCTATGGGCTGCGCCTCCTGCACTTGCATGGGAATGGCACAAGGGCTGGAACGAGACCGGCCAGCGGAAAAGTCCCGAAGAGGACCCCAAACCTATAGCTGGAGCTGGCATCCAGCATGACTTCAACGCGATATCTCGCCGCATTCCAGGCAGTAATGCCGTGCCTGTTTTCCGTCGCTTACTTTGTGGTATGAGACCAGGCTCCGATGGGGAAGGCGCTATGTACATATTCAGGAATGGTCTGCAACATAGATACTCGATGGATGAGGACCGCTGGAAAGTGGGATGCACCAGCCTCAAGGTGGGAGTGAAGAAACGCTTGGCGCAATGGGGAAGACAGTGTGGCCGCTCGCCTGTGCTGATCGGTGAATGGAAGGTCAAGCACCACAGATTATGTGAGAACTTGATACATTCCGAGCTGAAGTTGAAGGGTAAGTGGCTGGGAAACGTCCAATGTGAGTGCAGAACCCAGAAAGGCCATTGCGAGTGGTTCCGGGGCCCGTTAGCTGACCTTCAGGAAACCATCGGATTCTGGGTGAACTACGTGAATCAACACTATTGAATTTATCACCCCAATGAGAGCACTGGGAGGTCTTTACATCCGTCACTTCGTGGGAGCCGAAGGAGGAGGAACCTTAACGCTCACAAATTGGCAGCCCTATGTAAATAGGAAATCTATGTATCTTCTCTTTCTCCACATTACTATGCCTCCGGAGCTCCGGTGCTGGACAGAATGGATGGCCCGGGACATGTCACCGTCGTAGTACGCTCGATGCCTGACGGTATTGATTGTGGATGCTGGTGGATGCTGTGCTAGTCCGGATACACCTGACTACCGTTACTGCTTTAATTTCACCGTGCCAGCAGCGCAATGTCAGTAGATTCCCTCCTCCTGCTTTACTGACAAAAAACGACGGTCACCCTCCGAAGAAGCTCTACGACGATTCCAATCAGGCTCTATTACAGAATGAAATCAGTGCAATGCACAGTGTTCGGCACAGCGCGAAACGTCAACCGGAGCACAAAAGGGGTTGGACGGATCTGTGGTAACTCAGAAGGGCCAAAGAAAGTAAGTGGCAAACGCAGCCATAAACGACGCCCCGAGACCTTTCATCGTCGTGGATGCCCCTGACGATTCCGACGACCTTGAGGAAACGTGAGCAGCTAAGCACGTTTGAATGATGGGAGCACTTCGCGAAAGGTTGGTGACAATCTCGCTACTAGGCGCCAAGAAAGGACCGCATGGTTGTCCGGCGCTGTAGATGGTGGAGTTATCGTTTCGCACGAACACCAAGTACGTGTTCCCCACGAGAGGAGCGCCACCATCCGGCACAGAGGAGTTGCAACCACTCCAGTCGATTTGGATTTTCATAGGCGAGCCGCTCACAGACGTAGAAGCGACGGCACGTCGTTTCCTTTGGGTTCTCCAAGAAGTCTTACTGAAGCCTATGGATTGATTGATTACGTTTTTTAGCGTATGAGAGGAATCGCTTTCACAGCAACAGCATACCTGGAACTCCAGCAACCATGTCGATCAGATTGCTGATGTCCATCTTTTGCGTAGCAGTTGGATCGAACACATCTCCTTGCTCAACATACAGGCATGTAGCGATATCGCGCCCATTAACAACCTCACGGGCCCGAAGGAGGCCCCCGCTAGCTAGCAATGGATATTCTTTCCAGATAAAATCTCTTGGTCCGACGCTGTTCAGCGACTTGGCGGGCAGGAAGATCCCAGCCCTCAGATTTCGAAGTACACCTTCCATGGTCAATCGTAGATACGGATTCACCCAAGTTCTACCGGGGGGGCACCGCCTGCAAATGCCTGCTCAGAAGATGTGTTACTTGATGTCAAAGACCGCAACTTCCGAGCGAATCTAATCGACCCACCGTCCTGCAAAACATCGAATTTCCCGTGGTCTGTACAAGTCGCGTCCTTCTGTGTGCGAATTCCCGCCGTGATCAACGCCGCATCGGAGGTGTCAACAGGGTCCTTGAGCCACTCCACTGTGCGCTCCGACCACCACCCGAATCTAGTATCGAAGTCGTATACCCCTGTGACGCCTGAGAACACTCCTCCAGATAATTGATTTGGACTCCGACTTCCGGGCTTTGATATGTCCTCTTCCATTACACTGACTGCGCCATCGAGACACACAGGGCGCCAAGCCCCATCACCGCCCGCCGTTGGTGCGATGGGCCTCACATAGGCCTCTGTTGCCCCTATTTCGTTCGCTTTGAGGAATGGACCTTGTCCAAGCTGTCGCTGCGCGGTGCCATCCCATTTGTAGGAAAGTTGCGCGTCGAGGTGAGGCACAAGCGCGTGTGGCGACGCCCAGCCGAAAAACAAGCCGCAAGTGAAGCAGGTACCTATCGCGAAGACGGGGACGTTCAGTGTCAACTAGAAACAGTTTACCGTGGGGGGTCACGTCGCAAAAGACAGTCATCAGATTCAAACCATTATTGAACAGATCGATCCCTCCTATATCCAGGCAGCGTCCGCTGGTGCGCTCTAGAATCTCTATTCCTGACCCAGCCGGTGCATCCCATACCCATGCCGGGTGCTCTCGATTTTCTTGACTATGTTGATGTCATCATGTCAAAGTCATGCAAATAGGGACAAATCTTTGATTCTCACTCACGGTACGATGAAATGTTGGCTGGCACTGAATTCCCACATATAAATATCAAGCACACTCCGCCATTCGATAAAACCAACGATCAAATCCAGATTGTTTGCGACATTAACTTTGAAAATCTTTCGAGGTATTGTGTCGAAGTTGAAGTCTATTTGAAAAACCTCCCCTTGCCGAATATCCAAACAAGCGGGCGTCTGGAAAGCGGTCTTCGCGGAAAACCAGACGAGCGTTTTGTTTATCGTGACTCCATCGAGACTATAGAGGCGAGTCTTCATGGTTCCCCCCCCCTCTTCATCAAGTGTGCCGTTGAAACCATTCCTGACCGCAGCTTCATTGGTGATTGCCAAACCAGGATTGACCCACTTCCGTCCGGCGCTACAATAGAAACAAGTACCTGAGGCGAGAACTACACGTGAGCATAGAACACCGACCCTTTTCTTTGCATACACGCCGCAGCGATGAGCAGAATGGTGTCGTATGTACATACCGTTTTGGAATAGATCGAACCCATTGTTTCGGAAACATTGCGCATTTCTTTGCGATGTGAAGATCGATATCGCAATATCCGGGTCTCCGCCGGCAGCGCTTCCTGAGAGCCACCACGGGTTTGTCACATCCGAAGTTGAATCTTCGTGTGAAGAACCTGCAGGCGGGTTCGTATCCTGATTTGGAGGACTACCACCAATTGGGGGTAGAACGGGTTGTGCGAGTTGTCCACCAGAACCACCTTGGCCTTGCCCGAGACCTGCAGTTCCTCCGGGATTCTGGTTCTGATTTCCTTGAGTCAAATCAGTCGCATCGCCTGTTCCACCTTGACCTTGCCCGAGACCTCCAGATCCTCCGGGATTTTGATTCTGATTTCCTTGAGTCAAACCAATTGCATCGCCTGTTCCACCTAGCCCTGGGACAACCCCACCTCCCGATGGATTTGCCACCGTCGCACCCTGGTTTGCGGTCCCAGCAATGACTGTGTTCTGATCGGGTTGGGGGTTCAATTGACCCGTGTTCGCCCCTCCACTGCGGGCGGGGCTGTTTGGCAGCCCTGTGTTTTGGGTAGATCCAGCGCTGGGACTCTGAGCAGAACCATTACCTGCGGCTGTTACGATGTCAGTAACGCTGGCCTGACAGAGAACATCACCGAAAGCCTGTTTATTGATAGAATCAACGTTCGTGATCTGGAGAAGGAACGTGCTAGTGGTGCATGTACTGAGACATGCGACATCCGTGTGAGCGCATCTAGTACAGGCAGGGTAAAACCCCGCCTCACCTATCGTTGGAGAGAAGCTGGTCAATAAGAATCGAGGCCTGCATAAGATGAGATGGAGGTGGTTCAGTTAGACTTTACCGCGCGCAACGACAGATGTAGTCCATACGATGACAATGGTACTGAAGACCAGAGAGAGCATCATCGAAGTTCCGGAGCGACCAAAAGGGAAACTAAACAGTCGGTATGTGGACTCCTTTGCAACAACGTGGGTCGACGCGAAGCCAAAGCGCCTCTGCGAACTGCAACGATGCGATGCAAAGTGGTATGCGATGCAAAGTGGTATGCGTAAGTAGGGTGTTTGGATCGAACGTAGGCTGCTTCACGATTCGGAGTTTACTAGCCTCCAGAGAGTTAGTACAGTCGAGTGCGTTGGTCGTTCAGCACACAATGCCCCCGGCGCGCTGTCGTATGTGCGTCCCATTTGACAGTAGTGATGCGCAACCTCGTCCCGCTAAACCTATTGCAGATAGTTTGGCCCTTACTAGATCGTGACACACACGAACTAAATCATACATCCCAATGAATGAACTGAGTGAATTCCATTTCGCACCACCTTATATATGCAGGAATGAAGTCCGTCAAGCTCCCATTGACGGTGAAGCGAGGAAAATGCGGCTCATCCTCGGCTCTGGTGCCGCTACTTTTCTTCAAACCACCAGAGATCATTCCATGAGATTACGATATAGGTGGAATGTCCTAGATTACGATACAGACACCGTAACCATTCACCTCCCCCAAATCAGCAAACTGCTCTCCTATCCTAGGCCTGCAGCGAGTCCGGCAGCCCCAGCAACAACTCCACCTATAAGAGCCTTGAGGGACTTGGAACCCAAGTCTGTTGCTTCGTTGGTATAGGAGTTCCTCGAACCAGAGGATCCCACGTTTCCTGTATTGGTCCCGCTAGAGCTAGAATCCGAACTTCCGCCACTATTGACCGGTGAAACCGGGCTTAAGTCGGCGGTGATAACCTTTACGCTCAAGGTGGGCGAGTTCACTACGGTTAGCGGAGCAACGCTGAGGGCTCGAGCTTTTCCATTCTTGAAAACGGCGAGGTGAAAGTGCGAGGCGTTGTAGTGAAAGCCGTACCAGAGGGTGTCATTGTCCGACTGCGGCAATGACAATCCCGTCACATCGCGTCGTCCGACAGATCCGTAGTTGGATGGCGACAGACAGTTGACCCCGCCAATAATCCCATTGCTGACGGCAGATGCTTGTACATCGGGGTTGGTTGAATATGCGACATCGCTCATAGCTGCCGCAAGCATCGTACCCGAAGAATCCACAGCAGAAAAGCCACCAGTGAAGACCTTGAATGCGTGGAGTCCCAGCTGGGATACGCAGGTAATCACACCACCCAATTTGAATGCGTTCTTCGTAACGGTTATAACCCCTTGCCGTAAATTCTGCAGGGTCCGTGATGTGGCCGTGAACTTCCTGCGTATGCTGTCCAAATCGGAAACATCCGAGGCTTCCAGCGAGGCCTCGGAAACATCCGTAAAGGACGATTCAGCGTTGCTGGAGACCAGAATAGACGGCTCCGTATTCGCTGCTCGTTTGATTTCTTCCGGAATCTGGTCATCAGTGAGGACTCCGGTCGTCATGGCGGGGAAGACCGAGGTTGTCAAAGGCATCGTCCGGGGTGGGCTTGCCACTGCGCCTGCACTAGAGGCAGGCTTTGCGATTTCGGTGGTCTCAGCGATAGGACCGACAGTAGCCCCGCCCCCGCGGCCCGGAAAAGTTATTTCGGTCGCCGTACCTCCGGTTGCTATCATAGTAGATGGTGACAACGAGGTCGACGTTGGCGCCGCCTGTCCGATGGCAGCGCGGGAGCAACTATCCGCCAGCTCCCTCGCATCATTGACGGTGGACAGTTTCAAACATTTACCGTAAGCAATTTGAGCTGGCCAAAACTTTTTGCAGTTACAGTCCAGTTTGGCTTGTCCGCTTGATGACAAGCATTCTGACAGTGCCGCGTCCGATACCTTACTTTCCGCAGGACAAAAAGGGGGTTGGGTGTTGATGAAAGCGGTTTGCCATACGAAGACCCCGAGCGCCAGAGTCAATGTTGAGAACTTCAGTGAGTGGCACATGTGAGCTCTCTTCGCCGCCTGGACTTGAAATGCAGGTGTATGTCTTCCGGCTTCGCGCCACAAGAACTGCACTTATATTGAATACCAAGCTGAGCTGAGATGAGTGCATTCCGATGGCACATGGTCATCGGGCAGCAGCACCGGCGCTCTATATGTGCTGAACTCGTTTGAATCTCGAGGGCCGAAACTTGAACCCTCCTATTGTCTTCAATGTCGCAAATGCTGTATCTATGGCCACCCTTTGACCCCAGATAAACCCGAAGTCCTGGAGGGACGATCTACTGTAAGCTACACACCATTGCAGCTCGTTCCGCCTGTGGTCCGCAATAACATGAAACGGCGGTTGTCAGCCCATAAATAGTAGCGTTTTGGCACCCATGAAGTTCTACCAATCCGCCCCGAAGTTCTGTCAGAATTTCTACCAAGAAAAAGCGGATGTTCCGAGTGGGAGCGGAGCTAAAGACGGACGCGTGACGTGATAACAGCCCGCGCGGAAACATTTCAATACCCGAGACAGAATACCGCGTAGATGTGTGCGTCTTCTAGCTCTTCCAGCGCTTCCGGCTCTCGTGCACAAGACGAGCCGCCCAATGTTTATATGCGCTGCCTCCCATAATTTTGAATACCGAGCTTTCAACGCATTCTTCGGTTTCGCACCTTCCCGTGATTCTTTGCCTCACACACTGCTGGGTACGTTCCGGGAAGGTTTGAACTTGAAAGACATGCAGCGTGTTGTGGGCATCGGGCTTATTATGTCATATCATATCATATCATATCACCCCCGGCATTGCAAGGGCCAGGAGATTACCGGTGGGATGATTACAGTTTGCAATAGGGCTTGCTTCTATTGCCCCCGCCCCCTATTGTAAGTGAATCAGCCCGGACTTGGAGTCAAGAAGGAGAGGGCCGATCGGCGGCAAATGTTGCCACTTCAAGCGCCATTACCTTCTCTTTGGAGTTTCCATTGCCACTCAAGGATTTCCTGGTACGTCAGATCTGATTGATTTGGTCGTCCATACTATTACAAAAAGTGGCAACGCCTCGTGCTACACATACACTAGGGAAGGAAGAACTGCCCATATGACGCTGCGCAGTCCGTCGGGTATTCTTTTTGAGGGACGAAGTCCCTGATATATTGTTACTTCGTCGTTGCGGGGGGGACATTTTGAATATCCGGCATCGGAAATTTTATCGTGCCCTGTGATTGGCTCAGGGTAACATTTGCCACGCCCACAGCTTGAGATTGCCGGCGGAGCAGATGCTTGTCGATGTGCAAAATTTCTTGACGGAGCAATGTCCGAAATCCTTCCAATGCCCTCACCCGTTCCTCCAACTCCGCAAAGCTCACCTTATCAGGGGAACTGACCGAGTTTGTCACAATTGTATATTGGCTGCTAACCCACTTACGTGGCGAAAGTAACCGTTGCTGGAATAGACCTTGCAGAAACGAGTGCCGACAATGAGCATGATATTCTATCTTTATATCCTCATGCAAGTACGGTCTTGTGGTGCTTACCATGTGTTCTATACATGCCCAGTCCGAAACAGATGGTGAGGAGGGAGGTGATGGGACCGAACGGAGCGGATATACTGTTGATGATGTCAGTGGCTTTCTGGGTTCCGATTTCTTTTTGAACAATCGTATATCGTGGGCCCGAGTTCAGAATGATAGCAGTAAGATTCCCGTTGTTTCCGCGATCGACGTTCAATCCCGTGAAAGATGATGTCGAATACAGTTGGTAAAAGTATTCCGTTCGCGGTTCCTGAATCCTCTATCATCGCGAAATCATTATGAGGGGACTGCATATCGACAGGGATGGTATTGACCTTCCGCAGTTCTTCACCTTCGAAATGAAATCAGGCCAAAAGCTTGCCCAGGGTCCCGGATATTCAGTATATTGAACCATTGTCAACTGCAAGTTCTGCACATTTCCCACGCCCCCAGCTGACGTTTGAAGAATGTTGGGGCGCTTCGCTAATCGGGGAATATTCAACAGATCTTCCGGATCAGAACTTGGATATTGAACATTTTCGCTGAATCGCGGGTCAATGTATCGAGATCCTGAGTGTAACACTTGTCAGGTCGTCCCCCAAAGATTCCGCAATTGGCCCACTGTCATTACCAAAAATGGATGCTTGAATGGAGAGGGTGATGTCTGACGAAGTGTACATCATCAATTGAAAGGGTTCTGACCGGATCCTGCCCGTCTCTGCGATGCTTCACTGTGAGGGGCCCGATTCGAAGAGCTTTGGTATCAAAGGGTACTTGCCTGTAGGATCCAATTGCACAAACGTACAGTTGATAGTTGGCGCCCGAGTGCACGGTTTGATCAGAGTGCTAACTTCAAACACAGACTTCAAAGGATCTGTTGACCCTCCGGGAGATACGGAAACAGTCGTCGCGTAATTGGTTGTATCGCCGACCCAATTGAAACCAATGTTCGGAGCTGTTGGCGAATTTCCTTGGACGAAGATGACAATGGCTGCGGAGAATATCCATATGCACGCACATTAGCTGCGGAGTAGGCCCTCAGCGATGGAAATGCGCACTCACGAGGGAGATGGAAAGCCCCTGTCTCTGTATCGTAATACGTGCTGATCACCGTTCCTTGATGGGCATACGAGTAGATGGTCGATGTAACATAGAGGCACCAAACCGTCCCCAAGATGAGCCAGACAATGGCCTTTGCCTGACTCACCGTTAACGGAATCTTGAGGGACTTCATTCCTACATATAAAGCGGCAATCAGTAAGATCGCTGTATACGGGATGGGTAGAATCTAGCCGCTGTCACTTGGCCAGATGTGAGAACAGGACTCCTTGCAATTGCAAGATCCAGTTGCACCATCACGCGATGCGATAGCAATTTTGACAGCACGCTTTGTAGAAACTCTCAGGCTTTGGGCATTCCAGGATACACCGTCGCGGAGAATGTCGGGGAAACCTCCGGATCGGCAGGGGGCCACAGATCGCGAGCATCTTCAGTTGTTCTACAAAGAAAACCCACGAACCTTACTTTCCCCACCCCTGTGTTATTCTAATAATTTGAAGTAAAATACAACCGCACATTCTGGTCCGAAAGTTGGTACCCATCCCCGGTTAAGTAGGTGTCAGACAAGCTGCACTAGTTTGCGATATCACCATGAGGACTGCCCAAACTAGTGTGACAACCCCTTTTTCCGCCCGCATCGCCACTGGCACTCTTGGCGGTTCAAGTACGGTCTCCGCCGGAACGCAAGTATCTCTAACACCGAAAAAGTTTCGGGGTTTTTAACCAAGTATTGAGTGAGGCTAGAAAGAAATCATTCGGGGGACACCTCGTTGTCGGGCAGATTCAAATAGAATGAGGAATTATCATAACGTATCGCCAGGATCTCCCTCCTTCCTGCTATTTTCGCGCACTCCATATTCAATGTAGGGCCACACATTCATCGCTCAACAATTTATCGCAGTTCGTTAGGTGTTACAACACACCGCTCGCAGGACGGTTTGTTAAGCACTCAGTGCAAGGAGGGCATTTCCCAAGGATTAAAGGACTGCGTCTCAATTGTTGGTTATGACGGTTTTTTTTATCACAAGGCAAGCGGCAGGTTGCTTCCTGACAAATGTAGTGGAAAACGTCATGGCCAATAGCGATGGATGAAGGCTGCCATTAGCTTCATAGCGAGAATGTGGCATGCGATCCAGAAGGTGCGGCTTGCAGGGGCCTATATCATCGGCGTTGTGGAACGTCCCTATTCCTATGTGCTCCATTCAAATCATTTGCAAGTTCGCTCCTGCCCAGTGACGAGCTTGGCCGCCGGGGCTCGCTCGAATTCAATCTCCCAGTTTGCAAACCCATGAGCTCGGGGGTCTGCACACGGATTCAGTTGCCGAGGCCGCATGGGGTTAGGGTTAGGGTTGGGGCATGCTTTAGCATCAGGCCAGGTCTGTTTGTTTTGAGTCCATTTTGCTGCTCCAGTTGACAACCATCGTGCTATTTTTGATCCGAATCCTCGAAATTTGTTGTGGTGGGTCCATCATCCAGCTCGACTATCGATCCTAGGGGTGTATGTGTCTCCTCCATGTGCAAGAATGTCGTGTCCACATCGGGGAATAGTGAAGCCGTAATCAAAGCATCATAATACAAGGTTCCTCATGTGTCCCTTGTGATTTCACGAGATCAATGCGACCACGACAGAACATCTGAGCATATTTTGTGAGTTACGCGCGAGCGCCCTTTGAAGATGGATGGATGTATGTGGTCCACAGATAGTATATTGAGCTCAAACATAGATAGCGTCCATTCGGCAGACTTCTCCGTACCCTAAGCCGGCATTCGCAGTCACTTGAAAAACCTAACGGCTGCGTCCTTGACGTAGGATGTGCTAGATCTGGAAGCACCCGACCTTCCTGAAATGATGCTGCTAGAGCTAGGGCTTCAATCCCCAAGGCCATTGGCCATCGTACCACTGGAAAAGCGAGCCCGCAATGTCTTCAACATATGAGAGCGGTGGAGTTCGTAGCGGTAGGGAGCGGTCCTGATGGCCTGTACAGCTCCATACTTATAGATGTGCCACATGGACGTGAGTGGCATTCCGGTACGAAGTGCCTGCGCTGCGCGAAATCTATTTCCTTTGCATCAGCCCATAGCTCATGTCGGACCGCATCAGCAATTGTGATTGGACCCTTCACTATGCTCGACATCGCGCCCTTCCACTTTAAGTGGTGACCCGAAGTTACGAGCCGGTTGGTGTGAGCGGATGTTCTGTGACGATGCTAGACAAGCTGACACTGAAATAACCACACGTCGCGGGCTTGTTCTTTCTGGACAATGTCGTCGGTGGTGGTCCCTCGATGAATATGGCGAATGGACTACGGATGTGGGTAGATGGGAAGCCATAGTGATGCGGTACACGACCGAGGCTTTGTGTGTGTATGGGAGCGGCGAGTGGCTCGCGGACTGTCCGTAAACTCCATTTCATTACTGAACTGGGAGGCACGTTGAAGGATTTGGACGAACCGACCCCGTGAACTTGCCCCGGCGCAGAGACTATCAAGGGCTAATCAGATGAGACCAACTTGCTGAAAGTCGTGCTAAGTGACTTCCCTGTCACGTCCGGAGCGCCTGGGACATGATAGACCAACGTCCCTCCGAACATACAGCATCCCAATCGCACGTCTTCAAAGCAATGCACAGCAAAAGCATAAGTAACGATGGTGCCAGGAGGGTCTTGCTGGGAGGAATGCGGGGACGGATAACCCCTGATCTTTGCCCGCTACGTAATATGGCACCTACGGTCGCCGTTAGCTGAAGGGGGGAGGGTCGAACGCTTACCACGAACCCGATGCACAAGACAAGACATGTGGGGCGAGGGAAGTGCGTTCAGTCGGCGAACTTTTTTTCTATTTCATCAGTAAATTCGTCCCACCCACCCTCAGTCTTTCTGAAAACATGACATCGGAAATTTCCAGCTGCTCTATGAACTCGGTGAAAGCCTTTGGCATGGCCACCCTCCCGGCTGAGGTCCTTTACGAGATCTATAGAATGGCCGCTGTGGACGACCGATTTCGCATGGAAAAAGCGTTCGCTAACACCCGTATGAGCGATGGGAAGCCCTTTCGCTTCCCCCGGTGCCGTCTGGTCTCCCCGAATTTGCAGTTGTCCACGCGCTGGGCATGTGTCCACTCCCCTGGTAGCGTTGAAGCCACCATTGAGGTGGCTCCTGACATAAAGTTGTGCTTGGGGCGCCTATGGGTCGAACTCGAAGACGACCGTGTGCGTTTTGAGAACGTATCATACCTCTACTCATATAACGGAGACAGCTGCGGGCAGACGATATACTCATACGTGGAGACTGATGACGGCGCTAGGACCTTGATCATAGAACACCCGGCAAACCGACCTATAGCGATACGCATGGGACTGCCTTGAAATGGGAGCCTCGGCGGCGGGGGCCGTCCACGTAGCAACCGCGCTTGCAGTTCTTTTTATTTCTGAAAGATATAGGTAACAAACAAGGCGAGATACAGTAAGTTGATCAAATGGACCGTCCAGTCAAAGATATGCTTCGAGCATACATCAGCACTCACACATCTGTGCAAAAGTTGCATGCTGCCGTCAGAGCCAACCATGCTGGAAGATCGGTTGCACCGGAGCTGGAGTTGGAATCAGTAAGCGCCTACAACAATGGGCAAAAAGTTGCGGCCATGCTCCCGAGCTGATGGTCAATGGAGAGTCAAGAGGCACAGATTTTGCAAGAACCTCATTCACACCGAGCTGAAGGCCCAAGGTAAATGGTTGGGAAAAATCAGCTGTGGTTGCAGAACATCAAAAAAACACTGTGAGTGGTTCTCTGGGACCCTACAAGACATGCTGGAAGCCATTTCGTTCTGGGTGCAATATGTGAACCGACATCACTAACGTCACTCGACTCTCATGAGTTCGCCTGAAGCCTTGTTGTCCTCACTTGCAGGATCTGGTTCCATACCACCTGACAGTTGCCTCTAGAGTTGACTTTAGTGTCAGAGGCCAGCATTAACATTTAATGATCAGCCTACCGCTGTGGCTGCCACCTGGTCACTGTTGTAGATAGTAAGGCACAATCGTATCGTCATCTCTCTACACCCGGTACTTCCCGATGTCTACTATCTGAACGTTGCCCTTTGAGAGAAGCGGGGCGATTCGATTTTCTAAAGCTTTCCTTTCCGCTTTGACGGCCTTCAGTTTGTTCTGCAGCTCCTTTATGGAGAAGTGCGCGCTGAGATACAACCGCACATGTCTGAAAACCTGTTTGTCCATTGATATATTATTACTGCTTATGTATATCTTTCAGAAAAAGAAAGGTGTCCGCTTTCGTACTCAGCAACTGCACAGGAACTCCATGTGAATCGTTGACTTCACATGGGTGAGGATCTGACATGGTGCTTAAATGCGTCATGAAAAATAAAATAAAATTGACACAGCACTTGTAATCATCATGAAACAGAGATACTCCTATCACGCGAGCCTCATATGGGCAGGATGCTCTCCGAGCTCTGTGGAGGCGGAGAGTCTCAGGGCATTGTCGAAAGTGCTTGGCCTATCCGTGAATACTATCATACGCATCCTCAAAGAAGGCGACCACTGCAGGACAGGCAAACGTGTTACCATTGAGCGGCGCCCACAAACAGATGCAGCCCTGGTTCTGTCCCTTCAATACCACTGGTCTCCAGGCCACCAGAAGATCCAACAGCTATCGCATCACATAGCTCTGACGCACTAGGTTTCCGAGTACGTGAGGGGAAAGCGCTAAGTTAGCCTTTCGAGGCCGTGACCGTTTTCGACAGCACCTTGACAGACCGTCAAATACCGTCCTTCTCGCTCCGTGACATATCAGGTCGCGTAGAAGAGCCTAAAACATGCACGCCATGGCGGCCTTTGCCCACTTTTTCCCCGCTCCCCTATCAGCTAGTGGACATGTCATGATCTGACCCTATCCCAATACGACCTACTTAAGCAGGTGTGCAACCTTTCGAGCGATTCGAGCATCTTCACACTGAGTTCTGCCATGTGGGTTATCAGGTGCAGGTGGCTTCGAGCTTCCTCCAGCAATTCTTCAGAACTTTTTCCGACGTGCTTAGGCATCATGTATGCAGTTTCGGCAGCCAAATGGAGAGCTGTGAGCTGTTTCGTGATTCTAGCAATAAGGGCCGACAGCTCATGATCAAGTGTTGTGACCTTGGGACGATGCAAGTTACTCCTGCTCAGATCAACATGCTTTTTGTTGCCGCGCGAGGCTCCTGGATATGACATTCCCGTTCCGATGGGTGTGCTCAAGTATATGTTAGTGACCTAAATAATCAAAATTTTTCTTGGAGGAATGCAACCCATGCAAAGCCGTGCTTGAGTGAGTTTCAATCTCTAAGCGGACGGCGTATACTTTGTCCCAACGAAGCCAAACCAGGAGTGGGGTTCGTACCCTGGTTAACTGATTCATCAGGATGCAAACCTTACACTAAGTACGACGCCAGTCTCTGGTCCTCCGGAAGATTATGCTTCACTATATATAAGGGTTTCATTGATTCAAAAGTTCTGCTCACGACACATTTGAGCCTAGATCCCATTCCGAGCTACCAACTCCGTATGATTACCAAGCTCCGCAATCCGCCCCCCTTGAACCACTGCAATCTGGTCCACATTCTTGATTGTGGATAGCCTATGCGCATGGTAACAGTGGTTCGCCCGTCGCAGCCCGATCGATCGCTTTTTGTACTTCAAGCTCACATGTGGAATCCAAGAAGGGTAGCTTTGGACGCAATAGGTCCTCATCTTAAATGCACCTTTCATCCCTTTCTTGTTTTTGGAAGTTGCCGACTAGAAGTAGGGCTGCTCCAATAGATTCCTTATTCGTTGCTAACGCTGCTTATTACAAGGGTCTCTTACGCCGGCTATTTTCATCACTACTGTGCGAGCTTCTCTGCTGACATTGTCTGTGTAACTCATACTGCCGTATTCAAGAAGTATGGAAGCTCGTGTCCGAGCACAACACAACACCCTTGGCGCTCCCTGCCTTCCAGTTGATGTACATGATTGTCGGCTGTATGGTGCTTGGGCGTCTATGGTAGTATGGGTTTAATGGTATTAGTCAGGAATGATTCATGGGCATACAATTGGGTATGCTGGCATGATGGATCAAAGTGGTAGTAGCAAGTTTGCCTGCTTGGCAACCAAGGGCCAAATTTGACCAAGTTCGGCTCCAGCGAGGGCTGTCAAACTTGGGACCTGCTTAAAGCTTAGGTCTAAGGGCGTAAGGGTTAGGGTTAGGAACAGGGTTAGTGAACGCGTAGGGGTTAAGCCAGGTATGTGGTTGGACGTGCTCTCGTGCTCTCCGTTGATGTTTATTCTTAGGGTGGTTGAATGGCATTGATTTGGTAGTGGCTTGTGATAGGTTCGTTCAGGTTCAGTATGATCAACGGCCGCCGCATAAGCGTCTCTCCCTCCTCCATGTGGGTCTGCAGGGCATCACATGGAGAATACGGACGGATGTGTCCGTTTCCAATAGCGATAGAAGTGGGAATAGCGAGTCTTACCGAGAGACAGCAGTACAGCCTTTATCATGTCCTTGATTATCTCCTCACACGGCACGACCAACGCCGAGGACTACATGGGTGGGAAGCCTTGTGATATGCAATCTTGCTGCAGGAAAGCTGTGGGAAACGCATGATACCAGGGTATCAGCCACAGCATCGGCGTTTGGACCGGGTATATGAAGCTCGGATCTATTCTCCATATAGAACAGGTTGACAGTTATGTCAAGGTGTGTCATCCCTGTTGCGAGGACACCCAACAGCCGAACGTAGCATTCAACCATGAAGGTGAACATTTCCGGGTCCCCATGGTGTCCTGCTATAGTCAAAGCTGCACTCAAAGAGTTGCAGGACTGGCGTCCCTCTTGAGAGTTGCCGCTGAAGCTGTTCATATTGTTCATGTTTGTTTCACGTGCGACGCTGAAGGTTGCAAAGGGATGTTTCTATCTTGATACAGTACAAATGGATTAAAATGTGACCCGCAAACGCACTTAGCTGCTTCATCTCCGAACTGCAATCCGGCCATGGAACTAAAAGGTACAGCTCGGGTTGGTCATCGGCCCTTCTCTTTTGACTGGTGAATCGGTGTATGGAGGGAGATCATCCAATCTCACAGCGTGTGGGGTTGCTGAGCACGCGGCTGCAGGGATAGCTGCACTAACCACCCATGCTTTCCCTGCTTCAAGGATCTCGTTCGGAACAAGCAGCACGATGTGGCCTGCGGGAACATGGCAGTACCGTCCACCCCAAGGCGCGGCGTATCCTGGTAAGCTAGCTGTTGTCACAGTATCTGAAGGTGGGATAGACATGGCTTTCGAGCCGTTCAGAATGGGACGGAGGATATGATCTGAGGCGCAGCAGCCTTTCCGTCGCTAGTTGCCGTGTATACCAAGTCCGCTCACTGACACATTCTGACAGCGCGTCACAAACGCGCGGCAAGAAGTGTACGCTATACAGTCTCCTGCCCCATTCCGTTGAACGTTGGACAAACGTAGCTTCAGTGCGACGGGAATCCCCGAGATAGAAAACAAGAAGCGTTTCGAACTTTTTTTTTCTATCTCTATGAAAAACAAAGGTATCACCTTCTTTCTGAAGAAAACATGCACTTTGGAGACACTGATAGATCGGTCACTGAGGAAAGAGACCTTGGAGGACTCATCAATACTCCAAACACTAAGCAACTGCTTCGAGAGTTTATCGAAGTTCATTTGATGGTGCGTGATCTTCAACGGCGCTTGAAAGATGCCAAAAGTAGTCGGCAAGCAGTGGAAAAGGACCTGGCGCAGGTCTTTACTGAGGCGGAGGTTCAGACGGTCGACATCCCGGGCTTTCGTTTATACCGGTACGATCAACGGCTGGTTCCGTACCATCTGCCTAGGCGACCGAACACTTGCACCACCGTGAAGCAAACCACGCACGCTGGTAGAAAACGCATGTGTAGAAGCCTCCTGAAGTTCCGGCTCTAGAGCGCTCGCCGAAACGAAACGCAACCAACAAAGAATAAAATCTTTTCTGAAAGATAGAATCCTCTGTCTTTCAGAAAGGACAAGACATTGCGTGTAAACATGCCTACCTCGTCTTGCAAAAGCCTTTCCATCCAGGCCTTCACAAAGAAGAAGCTTTATGAGATCATACCTGCAGCTTGGGTTAGGGTTTAGGGTTAGGGTTAGGGTTAGGGTTAGGGTTAGGGTTAGGGTTAGGGTTAGGGTTAGGGTTAGGGTTAGGGTTAGGGTTAGGGTTAGGGTTAGGGTTAGGGTTAGGGTTAGGGTTAGGGTTAGGGTTAGGGTTAGGGTTAGGGTTAGGGTTAGGGTTAGGGTTAGGGTTAGGGTTAGGGTTAGGGTTAGGGTTAGGGTTAGGGTTAGGGTTAGGGTTAGGGTTAGGGTTAGGGTTAGGGTTAGGGTTAGGGTTAGGGTTAGGGTTAGGGTTAGGGTTAGGGTTAGGGTTAGGGTTAGGGTTAGGGTTAGGGTTACAAGACCCCCTGGGTTGGGTTTTATTTTTGGGTTGCCTGGAACCCTAGGGACTTAGAAATTTTCGGGTTTTTTGGCTTTTGGGTGTGTTCTACAGTTCAAATTCTTGACTCTGAGGGGTGTGGTGGCGGGGGGTGTTGCGCACCTAGGCAAGTCAGGGGGGACTAGGTGTGCAAGGGCAAGTGATGGGTCATATGGGTGGTGGTGCGGGTACGGGGGGGGGGGGGGCAGGGGTGCCAATAGGGGAGGGGGGGGGGTTGATATAAAGGGGAAATATATGTTATATATACGTTTTAGGACTTGTGCAAATTGGGATTTTTTAGTGCCGATCCGGAGTTGGCGTCCTAATTAAAAGTTGGCCCCATATCATATTCTCTAATTGAAGTACTCTCGGATTGGCAATCCGTGCAGAAACGGCTTCAGAAACTTAGAAAAACGAAATTTTCACGCGACGGGGGGTAAAAAGTTGGAAAATGTGGTGATATCTCAACATCTGGCTGACTATCCAGTGGAGGGCACTTAATGAAAGTTGATTGTAGCCTATGGTTTGCATAGCTGATGTGGTAGCAAATCTTGTGTAACCTTGCTTTTGGCTGAAGAACAGGGCCCCTTTTCAATTCTCAAGTAGTGACCCCCAAGACCTCCTAACAAAAGACACGAGTACGTATGTGCAGGCAAAGGGGTTTGGCTGTGTTCTCCAGTAAACATTTTGTGATTCCGCTGTGCATCGTAGACTGTTTGTAGGACCGTTGCGGAATGTCATTTACCAAAACTGTTGAACATTTTCCGTTTAAAGCAGTGTTCTACAGTTTGTCCATGCAGGTTAGAGCACGTGACCTGGGCTTGCTTGCAGGGTATGCAGAGTGAGAGGGTTGGGGTTAGAGATTTCCCAGATCACTTATTAAATTCAGCCAAACTGTCTCTGTCATGGAACATTTAAAATGGTGGAAAGTAGTATTGCATTTATTGATTTAGAGTACATTGGAAAAGCGCACATTCAGAAAAGGGTTTTGGTGTAAAGTTATCAACGACATTCAACAGTACTAAAGGACTTCCGCAAGCATGTCACGGACTTGGTTCTGTCCAAAAGTCGTACGGCACTCAGGGTACCTGGCGCAGCGGAGACGGAAACGATGCTGACCGCCAATGCTATGAAAAGCTGAGCCTCCACAGTTGGGACATTGAAGCTGATCACGATGCTGATGGAAGAGTTCACAGATATTGCCAATGGGAGCAGCATCAGGCACTTCCCCATCCCCATGACCCCACCAAGCACGAGCAGGATCAATGACGGGTGCAATGCCTTTGAACCATCCGGGATTGAAACCAAAAGAGTTGAGAACATCTCGGAAGCGCTGACAGTCTGTCACAGTAGTCTGTCTATTGCGATCTCCTCTGAATAGAACTCTGGTGGCAGCGTCCATGATGCCATTGATGAGACTGTAGTACTCTTCCACCGGCACAAGCTTCAAGGAGTTTGCGCCCATGTGCTGGAAAATGGTCTCGATCTGGTCCAAATGGAGATTCAAAACCATCTGTTCTGCTGATTCCAACCTGGCGCACTGAACTCGCACTTCAACTCGCATGCCAGTAATGTGGAGCGGGTGACCGTTGAGCCATTGACGTAAACCTCTCAGTGTCTCACTGCGATCACCAAGGCTGGACTTGGTTTGGGGCATTCGCGAAGACAAAGTCGAAGAGTAGGCTTTGAGCGCATGAACAAGCTTTGGGTAGCAAGTAACCCGAACATTGGCGTGACCCGCAATGTCAAAGCGGGTGGACCCAAGGGTTAGGGTTAGGGTTAGGGTTAGGGTTAGGGTTAGGGTTAGGGTTAGGGTTAGGGTTAGGGTTAGGGTTAGGGTTAGGGTTAGGGTTAGGGTTAGGGTTAGGGTTAGGGTTAGGGTTAGGGTTAGGGTTAGGGTTAGGGTTAGGGTTAGGGTTAGGGTTAGGGTTAGGGTTAGGGTTAGGGTTAGGGTTAGGGTTAGGGTTAGGGTTAGGGTTAGGGTTAGGGTTAGGGTTAGGGTTAGGGTTAGGGTTAGGTTAGGGTTAGGGTTAGGGTTAGGGTTAGGGTTAGGGTTAGGGTTAGGGTTAGGGTTAGGGTTAGGGTTAGGGTTAGGGTTAGGGTTAGGGTTAGGGTTAGGGTTAGGGTTAGGGTTAGGGTTAGGGTTAGGG